TGCGACGCTTTGCGCGCGCGAGACTCGAGCATGGCCTCGACAGTCACAACAGCGCTGTCCGTCTCTTCCATCTAGAAACGTAGACATAGTTAGTAATATCTCAGGTAAGTAGGGTAAATACATACCAGGGCGTCAAGAGTCTTAGGCGTCTGAAAGTTTGGTTTCAACTAAGCACCCCAAGTGGAAACCATACTCGAAGAGGCTTACCTTGTCTTCCCCTTCCTCTCCCTTTTTGTCAGGCGTTGCCTTCGTCTTCTTTGCCCTAGCCTATGAACAAGACGACGTTGGTTTCAACCGTCGAAGACGAATGGAAACCACCCACCTCTTCCCCTCCCTTCCCGCCTCCCTGGCCATCATGGCGATACTCCTACACCGAATGTACGTGTTGGTTTCAACACACGTCGGCAAATTGAAACCACTTACCCCTTCCGCTTCAACCTCCTTCCCTCCCTTGCCAGCATTGCCGTCATCCTCCTACGCCCAAGGTAAGCCTTCATTTCAACGCGCGTTGACGAATAGAAAGCACTTACCCCTTCCCCTTCAGCCTCCTTCCCACCGTCGCCTGCATCTCCACCATCCTGCAACGCGGAACATTGGTTTCTATTTCTTGTCGAGAATAGAAACTACCTACCTCTGCCCCAGTGAGCGCCTTCGGGGCTCCCTCAGCCTCACCGTTCCCTCCTTCGGCGTTCTAAGTGCCTGGTAAGCGCTGGTTTCTATATATCTTCACATATAGAAACCACTCACCTTCCCTCCGTTATCCTGTCCACCCAGGCTCTCGTCGACAATCTCAACATCAGAGTCCTGGGGCGTACGTGTAAGTGCTGTCACCGCGATGTTTGCAATCCACGACTCACCTTGGCGCTGTCGTCGACAGCGGTTTTGGGTTTCTTTGGAGGACGTCCTCCGCTTTTCTTTGCCCCCCTCTTCGCAGGAGGACCGGTGGTGGAAGGTTCCCCCTCGTCGTCCGAGGATTCGACTATCGCAGGGGTCTTGGGCTGTGTGGTTTCAGGTAAGTATGAGCTACACATCGGTCGACTCAGAGGACTCACCTTGGCACGTCTTTTCCCCTTTCCACTGGTCCCCTCCATCTCCTTCGCCGATCGCTCTTGCCCCTCCTGAACGTGCTGCTCCGCGGTTTTCGTCGATCGCCGACTCCTAGTCGTGGTAGAACCGTCCTTGGGCGGCTGTTGGGGTATAGGTAGTTAGCTTCTGCGTCGCCAATGCTCCCCACAGCTTCGAACGAGGCGAACGCGAGCTGGGAGCCGGTGTAGGGCCTAAGGAGTCACTCACCATTGCGGGTTCTGTTGCTTTGGGGCAGATTAAGGGACAGAATGGTAAGCACAGGTGTGTGGAAGGTATAAAATAGTACTCACCTCGATTTAATGCGATTTACACTGGGTTACTGAGGGTGTAAGAAGAGAAGAGGGTGGGTGGTGGAACGAAGGAGAGAAGGAAAATTTATGGGAGGGTGGCATGAGACCTTGGCTGACTCAGACGATCGAGGTCAATTTACTTCCGCTTTCGACTTGGGATAATCTTCACCGATTTATTTGATTTTAGGCTCGTTCGAAAGCGCTTTTTCCATCGATTCTAACGGTTCTAGCCGTGTAAAAATCCGTGCATTATTCGTGGAGGTACGGGCGGGACAATGGGAGGTATGTCTGTGGGCGGATCAAAGGTGTCCCTGGTGGATCGGGTGGCCTGGTCGGCGGTTTCCTCCGGTGTTATACCAATTTTCCAGACGGAACTAACCCCCTGAACAGCCTCTTGTAAGCCCTTCCTCAACGCATACGTATATGAGGGCTGAATGACATGATAGACACCTATCTACCTCAAGTATACCTGTGTGTGGAACAAATCGGTGTGCGTGATTATAATAATGACGTCATTGCCCTCTCGATTGGGGGCGGTTTTAAACGTTCAAGCCTCAGGTCTATCGCCCAAAAGATGGATGAGCTATGGCCATTTTCGTCGCACCGGAGGACTTTATACTCACCAGAACTAATGCTTCGATTGCTTTGTAGCCTCTAGTCAATGGGGTTAGATTATTGTTTGGGTTTGCCTTTTTTCTGTATTCCCTCCTTGAATTGTGTCGTCCTTAGCCTGAACGATATCTGTACCCTTACCTGTGGGGACACCTCGCTTGAAGTGGCTTGGGCGCTTTTTTATTAAGCGCTTGTCGGACCGAATCACCGATCTCGGCCGTTGATCCGCCGGGCCTGAACGATTGGCACCGCGGACCCTATTCTAGTTGTTGGTTTCTACCCCATCAGCTCGTTTGAAACCACTGCACCATTACAGGAGACGGGGGTGAGTATACAGGGCAATGTAAATTGTTACTTAATATAACTGTATAGCTACTTACAGTTATAGAGGCTGTGATGGACTAGAGGGTTCCATGGTAGGGGTTAACGAGTGGGTTAGTAAATGGATTGACATAACTTAGGTTACAAAGAGGGTACTAGGAGGAGTCACGGTTTCAACCCTTACAGGATATTTGGAAACCGTGAAGGGTACTCAATGCGATGTTGAATGTAGTTGGAAGGGAATTTGAGGTACAGCCTGGGTACGACGAGGTACTGCGTAAGGTACTTCGAGGGTATGATAAGGTACTTTGAGGGTACGATAACGTACTTCAAGGTACTTTGAGGGTACGACAAGGAACTCTGAGGTACTTCAAGAGTTAGATGGTTTCTATTCGTATGTAAGTATTGAAACCCTACAGACGAGGTACTGCGGGTACTGCGGAAGGTACTACAGGTACTCCAAGGTACTACGGGTACTACGGGTACTCCAAGGTACTCCAAGGTACTCCGGGTACTACAGGGTACTACAGGGTACTACGGGTACTACGGGTACTCCGGGTACTCCAAGGTACTACAGGGTACTACAGGGTACTACAGGGTACTACGGGTACTGCGAGAGGTACTATGAGGTACTCCAAGGTACTACGAGTACTCCAGGTACTCCGGTTACTTCAGGTACTACAGGGTACTACAGGGTACTACGAGGTACTATGAGGTACTCCAAGGTACTCCAGGTACTCCAGGTACTATGGGTACTATAGGTACTACAGGTACTCCATTAACATGGCCATGTTTTTCGGAACATAATATTAGATGTCGTTTAGAATGAGGGCTGTTTGAGCGACGATGGCGGACAATGACTGACGATCGGCGACAATGGACCGACGATGGACTGACGACGGCAACGATGGTGCGACGATAGGTGACGACGGACTGACGAGGAGAGACGGTGGCCTGACGATGGACTGATGGTGGGCGACGATAGAGCGACCGGTGCGACGATGGACGACGATAGACTGACGATGGGTGACAATAGACTGACGATGGTGCGACGATGGACTGACGATGAGCGACGATGAACCGACAATGAACGAGGGGTCGACGTCGGAAAGGGCGTTTGTTGCGACGACGGGCGGCATTCTATTCGAGATGTCGTTTGGAAAGAGGGCCGTTGGTGCGACGACGACGGGTTTGTAACACGGCCATGTTACGGGAAGTATATTATTAGTGTTTGCTCGTCATCGATTTCACCGCGCCGAATATTTTTCAGGACCTATTCCGAACGCTTGAAGAACCCACGCCTCAAGAGTTAAATCGTTTCTTACCTTCTCAAATCCTTCACGCGTTGTATACGAGCCAATCTCCACCTTCCGACGTTCCGACGCGTATCGAGAGCGGGACATCTGGCTATACGCACGTTAAAGGGGATAAGGCCCAGATATATTTCACGAAACACACCTTTCTGTCGCAATGTACAATGTCCGACCCCTGGCTGCTTAGTGCTCACTGCTTGGTGTCGCGAAACGAAATCGGTCGCGGCTGCTCGCGTAGCCGGAGAGCTTTGAATTGAAGCGGAGATTACATACCCAAAGCCCCTTTCCACCCGGTATCGCCTACGGGTATGACGAGGCCATTAGGGCAATGTTCAGGGAGTGAAGTTGGTCATGCTTCAGGAGTTAAAGTTCCCCAATGAACCAATCATCGCCTCACCATCGCACAATCCTGACCCCTAAACATTCAAGCTAACTCAGCGAACCCAAGAAAAACCATCGTAGGGATTGATTGCATGGGGTATCGATTCTGCAGTTACACAAAGAAACAAAAAACACAGGGTTCGGCAAAAACATATTGTCCAAAAATGTGCAGGGGTGAGCTCGAAGAGAGAGTGTGGTGTGATGTAGCGAGCGAAACGGGATCGATAAGCGAACGAACGTGAACCAAAAAGAGTTCAAAAGGATGTTGTGAATGACAATAGACCAAACAAAGTTCGAACGATGCCAGAAATACCAGAACGTTTGAAACGGGATCGTTCGAAAAAGAAACCGGAATAGGATATATAATTAGCAAACTAATAAGCAGAGACGGTCCTATAGACAGCGAAGATTCAAGAATGCAAGCGAAAAGTCGAAGTGGGGATATACTGTAAGCAGTCAGTCGATGAGTTTAGCCCGATCGGTGAGGTTAGCCAAGGGTTGAGGAGTCGAGGGTCGGCGTTCAGAGTCGTTTCGTGGAGGCGTACGTGAAGGAGCGTGCGGTGAGAGTCGGAATTAGATATGGATGGAACAAGACTGGGGATGTCGACGGTGGAGGTGACAGTCGCTCGTTCGGCTTCAGCTGTAGCAGAGCTACGAATTCGAGTTCGATTTCTAGTCGAGGTTGTTGGAGGTTGGGATCGACGGGCGAGGACGGATCGGCGGGAGACGACAGAGACGAGCGAGAATGGTGGTGGGCGAGAAAAGACGAACGAACGACGACGACAATGGTCAAGAACCATCCGCGGGGTATGCATAGAAGCCCATAGTCCACAACACGGACTTCAAACAAGGCCATGCCCCACCCAAGTAAAGCACGGTATCAGAAGAGGAGCGACGAGGACGCGCTCTCGTTCCTCACTCCCCGCCGAACCGAACCACCCACCCATCCGACGTCGCCCATCATCGCCATTCCTCACTTCCTCAACACCGTCATCCATCAACTCCTCGACGTCGTCTTCCTCGGCGACGACGAACTTCCCGCACTCGTCCTCACACCCGCACCTTCTCCCCTCTCCAAATCCCTCTCCCTTTCAGCCATCTCCGGTCGACTACTATTCGGATGCTGAACCGGCTCCCACTCATTCTCATCAATATCAATATAGGCATCATCGTCATCCTCTTCCTCCTTCGAACGCCTCCCTTCCCCATCCACACCTCCCACATCCTCACCAAGTCCTTCCGGCTCACCCAATCCCTCTCTCTCCTCCCCCTCCTCGGCATCCTTCGCCTTAGCCTTCCCACCTCTAGCCTTGCCCTTCCTCCGTTTCGCCTTCCTCGACTCATCGAGCACGATAACGCGCTTATACTTCGCAGCAAGTTTCTGTCGTAGGACGGCGATAAAGTGTACGACCGTGAAGAGGATACATTGGCCGACTGCGATACCGATGACATACGCTGGGAGGAGCTTGCCGGAGCCGTCTTCGGAGGGGTCGAGGAAGGAGTAGGCTGTGCGTGGGGAGTGGATGTGGTTAGCGTCCGGAAGAGCGCGTAACGAAAGATCACCAAGGCGTCAAAATGGAAAACGAAAACGAAAGGGTGGTGGGTGAGGATGACGAAGGACGGAGTCAACGACGAAAGAGACGAGGGAATAAAGAGCGATAAACGATATATCAGTACAGAAAGGACTCACTATAAAACCCCTGCGTCTCATACGTGATATACGCAACACCCAAATACGAGCCCAACAGCAATATCGTAACCGGGAGGGTGATCCACGGGACAGGCGGGCTATTCGTGAACACCAGCTCGCAAGCGGCGAAGAAGGCGTTGAGGATGTGCACTGAGACGGCGTTCCAGGCTGCGAAAAGTAAAAGGGTATTCGAGGGCGTCAATCAGTCAGTGTTCAACGACAGGAGAGGGTGAGGAAGAAAAGGGACTTACAGCTCCAAGTCGTCTCCCACACATGCGGTCCTCCCAACAACGCCCAATACACAATCGTCACGATGAACGCTGTCCAACAAAACCATCAGAATCAATCAACACTCGAATCACATGCAGGATGGAAGGAATGGTTCGATTGAGGAACTACTTTCGGCGATCGTGAAGCACCAGTGGTGAATGTGATGGAAATGGGGAATAGGGGAAGGGGAGATGTGGAGAAGGAAAGGTGGGACTCACGAAAGGTGATGACCGTCGAGTAGAGGATGACATGCAGCGCTTGTAGGAAGCGAGGCCACGATTGCTGGAGGGGGTACCCCGCGCCCGCCCCATTCCGTCTCCATCGCAGCGCGTAGCATATCGTCTGAACTCCTGAGGCGAAGAAGTAGGCGCACAGACCGATGTAGGTGAGGTTGGTAAAGTACGAGAGGTAGCTGATCATACGAGCGCAGAAAAGTCAGCACGCAACCGCGAAGAACTCGGCGACGACGACGCACCTATCGCCATTCCCCTGGCTAACATACTCCTCCAAGAATATGATAGTCGTGATCAGGATGTAGAGCGCGACGATAATTCGTAGTCCTCCAAAGATGAACGGGTTCCGGAATATGGGCGACGTGACGTATTTGTGTTCAGGGTCGAACGTCCTTGAAGCCCAGTCGCTCTTCTCATCCAACTTGTGCTTTGGCGGTATACCGAGCAGGGCGTAGAACGATTTTCGATTTTTGGTCATGGTGGGCGAAGGCGAAGAAGAAGGGGTGGAAAGGAGCGTGTAGGGCGTCGTTAGACCGCGAGTAAAAGGGCTTCTGAAAATAGTTTTCGTGAAATCAGGAACACCGAGAATAGCCTGAAGCACCGAGAAGCACTCACTTGGGTATCGAAAGGCGTTGGAACCAGGAAGTCAAAACGTCGAGACCTCTAAACAAGGCGGAAACAGGGGTCGAAGCCAAATCGGAAGTGTCGATTGTCGAAATAACGTCGAAAGGCGAGTTTCTTCTAGTCTTCTAGGCAGCGAGTTTCGGGTGCTGCAGCGTGTCGAGAGCAAGGACTTGAGCACCAGATCCAAGGGGAGCCAATTTGGAAGGGTATGGTCGTCGCCAAAAAGATCGTTCTCTGGTCTTCTGCCCGGTCAACTTCCATCCAAACTTGATATCGATTAGGGGAAAGGCGATATGACGAGGTCGACTCACCGAAGAGCAACGAACGCAGCTATTCCCAGCTCAACAACACGTCACTTCTTCCAGTTCTACCCTTCGAGAGGAACGAGCGTGTGGGGCTGGTTCTCCGAATTCAGGGGGCCCTAACACCGTTCGGGGTGGTCGTAGCTGTCGTATGAACGGGTTCGTAAAACGCTCAAAAGCGCAAGTCGACGAGCGATAAAACGTAGCGCTCGTGGGTTCGAGAGATAAAAAGGAGGTCGAGGGGAAAAAGTCGCCAGACCGTCGAGGACCGGGTGACCACGACCACTACTGACAGCGCAAAAAGGGTCCAAGTGTGTGCCAAACTCGAACTCTTCCCACAATGCACCAGCGCAATGTGGACAACCCACCGTCAGCTGATGCGCTGTTCGGGTCTAGCAACACCAACCGGGAACGACCAAACGGGGTTGGTTGCGATAAGCAAATAGAGAGCGCGCTGGTCCCCTCTCACTCGGGCGCTGTGCGTGGTGGTTGGAAAAGGAAGGTGACGCGGTTGGGGAAGAAAGTCGTCGCGAGGGCGGCGCCGAGAGTTTCGGAGACTTGTGATTGTCCTCTTGGGTCGGATTTGGACCGGATAGAGTAAATTCGCTGGAACCGGCCAGGGAACGAGGAGGAGAGGGGAGGGAAGAAAAGCATCTAGCCATGTAGACAAGGTAGTTATACTCATGTTCATTCAGGTCGTGTGCACCGTCATATCTATAGACAGCATTTGATGTTCTTTTTGTGTCAGTTTCTAGGGAGTCATAGATCATCACTGTCAGGTTCAATAGCATAGCCGCAATGGACCTTCCTTCGACGATAGAAATGAAGAGGGTCTGCCGAGAAAGGCTGATACAGACGTTCGAAGGGATGAGGATTCCTGGCTCGATAACTTCGACGTTGTATTGCAGTCAAAACTAGAGATTTCACAGCAAGCGACGCACAGTCTAGTTGAAGGCGATACAAGCAAGATACATCTGGTGACATCAACGGAGGTTGGCTGGGTACGTCTCGGTCCAACATCAGTGGATTCAGGAGGATCCACAATAGTCAAGGCTTTGTACTTACGCGTGCTGGAGTATGGACTGAATTGACGAGCGCTGACGAGCGCCAGGGGTACGTTAAGCGCCCTAGTTTCCAAATCCAGAAACGCAGCGGCGTAAGGATTCTAAACGTTGTTAACTGATCCCAGAGTTACACGGGGCAATCTCGCTCTTTCTCGAGTCCACGACCAACGGAAGACGGCGTCACGGAGTGTTTTAGGTCGACGGTTATCCAAGGTTGGAGGCTCGAATCATGCGGAGGCGAAGGTGAACGATGAGCGCGGACGTCTAGTAATTCAAATTACTCGACACGCTTCCTGCCTAAAGAACTGACCTTGCCTATTCCTTCGCACCTCAAGGCGACTACTTAAGTATCGATCTTAATCACTTTCCATACCCCAACCCACTCGCTGCTTCCATCCCATCGAAAGCCTTCGCTGGAGTATCACTGTGGAGCTTCTGGCAGAACATAACGTTAACGTTAACACCAGCAACTCCAACTCCTGACCTGCAAAGTGCTGGACAAGCCGTGTAATGCAGCAATCTGACAGGTAAGGAGGGTGGTGAAGAAGCGTAGAAGAGTGGAGATCAGAACGGAACTCGTGTCACCCCTCATGGCACGAGGGTTCCTTCCTCTCTCCCAAAGTCCTAAGCAGACACTGCTAGTCAATTAATATTCCGGCTATCGCGGTTCACGTCATGGTCAAAGTACGCGATAGTCGCACTGAAGAGTTTGCGAAGGATACACAAGCGCATACAATGAAGCGGTATAAAAGGCGACGAGTAAGGGATGGTAGTGGATGAGAAGTCGCCGAGCTCCAGCAACACGACCTTTGATCTAGCAGGTCACTTTCGTTCCCCAAGTATACCAGTATGAAGCTCGTCACGTTCATCTTTACTGCCCTCGTCCAACACGTCATCTCCACCTCTGCTTCTCCCACTTCCGCGAGCGTGGAAGACGGCGCAGCCATCGCGAGCAGAACTCAAAAGGGATGCACCAAGATCGACGTTCTCAAGGAATGGTAAAGTACCACCTTCCTTACCTTCCATCGGTCGACTCAGGACTGAACTGGACCAACGCAGGCGCGACATACCCGTCCAACAACGCCTCGACTACATTCGCGCAGTTCAATGCCTTCAAGCTAAACCAGCGGACATTACACTACCGCGAGAGGGCGTGCGCTCGCGGTACGATGAGTTCCAGGCCTCACACGCTGATTTAACCCACCACGCACACTGGCCTGTGGTACGTCGCAAAATCCAAGCACTATTGAACTAGATTCAGTGTATCTGACGCAGTGATCCCATACCCACTGAACGGCAGGGACAATTCTTACCATGGCATCGATACTTTGTGTTCTTGTACCACAAAGCGTTACAAAAGGAATGTGGATACAAAGGAACCTTACCGTGCGTCTATTCTTTCTCTCGTTCAAACGATAGGACGATAGCTGGATGGTCTAACCCTCTTTTCTCACTCAGATACTGGGACTGGACTCGCGACGCTGATTCTGGCGTACCGTAAGCCTCACCTCTCCTTCCCCTCTCACCACTCACACCACATTCACCGCACACCAGGTTCTCATCCTCCCCCCTCTTCGATCCCATAACTGGATTCGGAGGGGACGGCGTTCCAGGTACCTACACCGGCCCACCCGAGGTCTTCCCGCACGACCCAATCGGTCCCTGGCCCCCCGGCGTCTCCTACCCTCCCATCCCCTTCCCCCCCTTCCCCGGCTTCCCCTCCGGGCCGCGCTCTCCCCAAGGCTGCGTCCCCTCCGGACCCTTCGCCCACCACACCGTCATAATCGGTCCAAAGGCCACAGACGTCAACCCCCGCTGTCTCGTCCGCGGGATCTACGAGGACGTGAAGAAGAATGTGAACAGTACAGCGCTGAAGGCTACGTTGGATCAGCCGACGTTTGAGGCATTTAGGAACTTTATTGCGGTGCAGGGTGAGCCGCTGGAGCCTGGTTCGGGGATACATTGGGCTGGACACGCGATTGTGGGAGGTACAATGAGTGCGGCGGGGTCGTCTCCTGGCGGTACGTCGCTTCTCCTTCATTCGTATTCATCTTAAAACGGGAACAGTAAATCACTAACTCTCGACGCATCTACAGACCCCCTCTTCTACCTCAACCACGCCAACCTAGATCGTATCTGGGCGAAATGGCAAAACGCCGATCCAGAAAAGAGACTTTTCGAAATATCAGGAAATACAACGATGTGGCCGCCGTTCGTCAACACAACGCTCGACTACGAGATGCCGTTCACGACCATTTCCAAACCGATTAAGATTAGGGATGTCATGAATACCGGGTCGTATCCACAGTGTTATAGGTATTTTGATTGATACTATCGATTTGGCATTAAACTTGCCCAATGGAAAGGTGCTACAGTCGAGTCGAATTGCGTACTTATTCTGTCTTTCGATTCAGTACCTTTTGAGGTCGGTTTGTCCATTGTGTACAACGCTAGTGCGGTGGATTCCAAAGTCAGAGTTGGTCGGATTTACATGAAACATCACGTTACTAAGGAACGGGAACGGGCGTCTATTTCCTACTATATCTTGCATGCGATTCTTTTTAATTTCCTCTACCCGTGGACAATGAAGTTTGAAGCCAACCGACTCAGCGCGAAGCTCGGCGCTTATGTTACTTTAGGGCCGATCAATTTTACTCGACCCTGAAAAATCCAAAGAAGATTTACCCGTGTTCATTCGTCACAGAGTACCATAGCCATATCTACATGTCACGTCCCTCCCCCAATAACTATTCCCCGGTGTCCAAGTAGGATCCAGCGATCAGTAACCCAAGTACGCCAGGCCAAATAATCCAAACGTGGTTGGTTGGTTGGTTGGTTGATGGCACAGTTGACCCAATAAGAGCCGGCCGGGCAGCCCAGAGACTCGCCGATTCGATACTCGAGCACCCATTTGGCCCGACCTCTTAACCCAAGTTACATGTAGGGACCCAAGTGGGACCCAAGTTACTTTATTGTCAATCGCCTGGGACGCGTTTCGGCAGAAGGTTGGTTCCCATCCGTCTCGGATGTGGGGTGCACGCCTCCATGGTTATATAGGAACGATGTGACCAGCGCAAGGCTCGCTCAGTTTGGCCCTCTCTCTCTCTCCCACACGCGTCGTGTCTGATAACAATGCTTCCGTGCAAACTCCCAGTCTCCCTCCTCACTCTCGCCATCGGGTTGGCGAACGTTAACGCCTTTCCGGCCTATCAGTCGCTTGGGGGTCTCCCCAAGCGCCAGCTCGAGACAATTATCCCTGGACTGCCGGTTGTCAATCCTGGCCCTCCACCTGGACCGTTGGCAGATCCGGGCTTGAAGTTGGTTAATGATGCGGCGCATCCGTATCAGGCGCCTAGGCCGCATTTGGATCATAGGGGACCTTGTCCGGGGTTGAATACGTTGGCGAATCATGGGGTATGTCGCGTTTTGGTTGCGAATGATTGTGCGGATGTTCATTTACAATTGGTACTTTGTGCAGTACCTTCCCCGGTCGGGTATCGCGACGCCCGCTCAGATCGTTCAGGCTGTCATGGAAGGTGAGCTTGACCTCTCCTTGTGGGTCCTCGTAACGAGAATTCGGACGCTGATCGAGGGTTACGGCTTGTTTAGGATTCAACATGGAGAACACGTTCGCGAAATTCGTTACCTATGCGGCCTTCCTGGTCGACGGAAACCCAATTACGAATTTGATGAGCATTGGAGGGAAGACTTGGAGGACGGGGATTATCGAACCTCCACCTCCCGCGACTGTGGGAGGGCTGAATACACCTGCTATGTTTGAAGGTTCGTCTCCCCCGCCAGCCCTACGGATTGGGAAAAAATGATTGAAGGTTTCTTTTAGGCGATGCGAGTTTGACGCGCGGGGACTTTTATTTCGGTGATAATCACAGTTTCAACCAGACGTTGTTCGATCAGGTACGTGCTTTCTCGTTGACTTGTACGCGAATGGTTTTTTTCTCATGTTGAGTTGACCGCATATCCCTTTGGACAGTTCGTAGAATACAGCAACATCCACGGAGGAGGATTCTACAATCTGGAATCTGCAGCTGAACTGCGATACCGGCGAATCCAGCAGTCGTTCGCTACGAACCCGGAGATGAGCTTCGTCTCTCCTCGCTGGTTTGTAGCGTATGCCGAGTCGATGTTCCCCATCCTCTTCTTTGTTGATGGGAGGAACCATGACGGTCCGTGGAGCAACCTCACCATGGATACGGCAGAGTCGTTCTTCAAGGACGAGAAGTTCCCTGATGACTTCCATCGGGCACCTGCTCCGTTCAGCTTCGAAGGTCTAGGGTACCTGGTTACGAGCCGACCTATGCCTCCTGGAAGAAATGTTGGAGGAGCGGGGAATTATATCCCTGATCCCAACTCGGCGGACCTCAACTCGTTCTGCAAGATGTATGAGGACTTTGTGAACGATATTGTCGTTGCACTCTATCCGAATCCGACGGGTTTGTTGAGGAGAAATTTGATTAAGAATTTGGAGTACTTCTGGACGGGGATGTTCGATCCTGCTTGTACCGAGGTGAAACCGTATGGCACACTGTAGACCCCTTCTACGAGTAGAATACATATGTCCTAACCCTCTCGACTTTTCCTGTCAGTTCAATGAACTGCGACCCGCTCTTCGTCTCAAACATCGTCCGAGCGTTGGTATATGCATCCAACGACGTCGTTAGAGCGAAGAAGACGATAAGAAGGGAAGTGACGATGTAGGGCACATTCCCCTTGCAGACAGAGGGTGAGGAAGACAAGAATGTGAAGAGCGAATGGAGGGACATGAATAATTGAAGACCTGGTGGGAGGACGGTACTTAATTAGTTTCGACACTTTTCGGATAGAAGGATATCAGCTAACCGACGAAGTCGAGGTTTACGCCGGACATATCTAATTCGAATCAGAAAGATTGTGTTTTAGAGGAGAAAGGGGAGGAACAAAGGGCGCCTGGGGAGTATGTACCGCAATTCTGCACCGAGGCTTTATAGCTGCTGAAATACCCACATATTTCTCGTGTACAATGGGAAGAACCCAGCGCCACTAGGTTTCCGTCAGCCCTCCTGGATTACGATCTGCCCTCAAAGAGTAACTTTGCCGCCCTGATACCACTAGCAAATGATTATCATTGGCCGATAAATGATTCACATAACACCGTGAAGCACATTCTCGACGAAGCAGTGCAGTTACGCAGCTTGTGGTAAGTGCAACAAACTCATCATGTCTTCATCACCCTTCTTCTAACGTATACCGCGGCCATACAGAGGTCGGGGGCTGTGGTTTGATGTGCAGGGTTTGTTTCATCGCATCCAAATCGCCCTACTCAGTGAATTTCGACCCACCCGTCATCAGATGCGGCTTTAGAGCATAACTTTGCACCCCAGAATAGTGAATGCAACATCGCCCTCGGGTGGATTTGGGAAGGTGCAAACTCCCGGTTGAATCGCCAGCCCTCAAGTCGGTAATTGAAGTAGAATATGATTGCAGAAACGGATTATCCGGACACACACAGAGGGGTAGAGATAAGTTAGGCTAAAGTATCAGATAGCTAGACGTTTAAAATCGACAGAGACGATGATGATGATGTTGTATATACTCCAGGAGATCGCAGCAAGGATATCAAAAATCAGGAAACGAGAGAACGTCAAAAGGTTGCATACTACGGGGTTAGTAAAGGAAGTATAAGCAAGGTAAGAAACTAGTAAGGCGCAAGCGAAAAAGAGATATATGAAAACGATAAAAGAAAGAAGGAAAGATGGGTAAGTGAGAATGGTATTTTCTTCCAAAAAGAGACAAAAGGGAAAAAGGTATGTGACGTCAAACGAGAGACTTTTTATCTTCACGAGAAAAGGTAATACATACCACAGCCAACGTCTCATCGCGGCAACGAGATGCTCCCCGCACTCCTCGGGCCTTGCTGTTGCTGAATCTGCTTCTTCACCTGCGCTTCCATCTTGACTCTCTGTTTCTTCACGTCGTCGTCCTTCAACTTGACCGTACCCAACACAAAGTTCAAGTAGTTCTCGGCGTTCGACGGGAGGGAGATGGGTGGAGGGCGGTGCAATAGTTGGAGGACAGCTTCTTCAGAGGTGCAGTCGAGGAGCTGGCGACGGACGAAAGCGACGATGGCGAGGCCTACGCGGAGGAGGAATGGAATACCTATCGAACGAGATGAGATACAGTTTCGTCGACCAACGCGCAGAAAGAGACATACCGTCATACAAAAACACATCCCAACTCCTCGCTAAAAACTCATCCGGCAAACAACCCACAAACAGGCTCTCGAACCACGGTTTACAGATCGTAACAGGCAAGATCCCCATATCGACGAACAGTTTCTTGGCAATAGGCGGGTCGTTCACCTCGAGCGCGCGACTGAACAGAGCAGCGTCCACTTCCATTTGTGATGACGTGGTAGAGAAGTAGGATCGGATGTGGGTGTCCATGATCGAGACGAAGATCCAGAAGGCGTCTTCTTCGGGAGCGAGGAGTAAGAGTTGTCCAACGATATGAGGCAGACCTGGAACGTTGGATGAGTCTCGCGCTCGAGGAAAGACAAAAGTTGGGACGCACCACTCGAATACTCAATATCAGGCACCATATTCAAATACGCCTGCAAAAGCTGAACAACCCCACCTCCAGCCTCCTTCAACAACCTCAACTGCGCACGTTCCTCATCCAAGAACCACTCCCCACTCTCAACCTCCCGCTCAATCCTCTCACTCAGGGGTACTTTACCACGCTTACATAACTGCGGATACACCCCCGCAACGCACTTGGCCTTGCCATCCGTCAGGTGCGACCAAACGAGGTACCGCACAGACGAGGGAACACCCTCGAGGAGGAGCTTGCGCACTTTCTTGGTCTTACGCGCTTGAGAGGGAGGCGAAGACGAGAGGAGAGACATCCACTTCTGCTCGCGGTTGCGGTGCGCTTCGATCGTCGAGGTGTCGGGTGGAGGTGCCGCGGGCGATCCGTAGGGTTGCGGACTGGCCGATCCAGAGAGCATCGAGAGCGAGCTTCCGCCTGCTCCAGGGGACTTGAGACCTCCCCACGAATTGGCAATGTCGACGGTGGGTGAGCGACCACCCGAGGAGATCGAGAATGCTGGTGATTCGGCACGTAGGAACGATGCACCCGATCCACCTGTAACAGTCGATCCAGCAGAATCAAGTGCAGGCCCCATATCGCGTCCAAGCACGACCGAATCTTCGGACGCGCGAGCGGCGGTGAACTGGGTGAGCGCAGGTCGAACGAGCTCAAACTCCATGTCCTGAACCTGTAAAAGTACTTCAGGAGACGGCCCATCTAAACCCCACAACCCCCACAAGGATGCACGCCTTTAGTCACAAGTAACGAAGGTAAATGTAAAAGAGAACGCACCGATACTCAGAGCATCATCCTGCTTATTCTTGATCCTGCGTAGGTTAGGCAACGAGAGCTTCGACCTCAGCGAGTTCTGACGACCGATAGTAGGCGAGAGCGCAGTCGGGCTGGTAACGAGCTGGCTTCTGCTATCCAAAAACTGTCCTCCAGCATTGCCAAATCCACCAAATGCGCCACCTCGCGGGGAAGGTTCGTCGCCGAGGTTCTTCGTATCGATGTGAAGTGAAGGAGACGAAGACGGCGCCGCACTGCTCCCTGAACCTCCACTCGCGTTCATCGGTTGAGGTGGAGGCGAGAGCGTACCCCCCCTTCTTGGGATAGGGATGGGTCGAGTCGCACTGGGGTTACTCGCCGTCACAGGTGAAGAATTCGACGCAGAAGCAGCACCCCCAATGGAAGGCGGCCTAAACCCATTAAGCTCCTCCCACGACGGACTCCTGTCATCCCCCAGAGAACCCCTCAAATTCATCGCACTCCTCGACCCCGTCAGCCTCCTCAAATGCAGCCCAACACCTGGGACAGGACCGTTTGTAGGTGGAGGTGAAGTCGATTTCGCGATTCCATTCTCGTTCGTATTCGCATTGCCAGAGGTATTGGCAGCGGTAGAGCCAGCCGTAGACACCGAAGCGATATTCGGCAGCCCCGAGGTATGCGTGCTCTCGGGCGACCCGGCTCTACCTAAACCAAACCCCAACTTGCGCGGCGAAGTAGGTGGCTGGGCGTTGGCTGACGATGAACGATGTGGTTGGGCATGCCCTGACGACGAACAATACGGTTGAGCATTTCATCTCGGTGAACAAAGCGATCGAGCATTACCTGACGACGAACGACTGGGCTGAACACTCGCAGACGACGAGCGCTGAGCTTCCGAAGTCCTCCTAGGCGACGTAGGCGTCTGCGCACGCTGTTGAGACGTCGGAGTCTGCGACCTCTGCTGTACCTGCTCCAGAGGTCGATGACTCTGCGCAAGAGGCGAAGGCGGCGGCATCTGCGATTGCTGCTGTCCAAACGTCATATCCCTCGCCAACGGACTGCTTGGAGACTTGAGGTTAGGAGTCGAGATTCTTGGTCGAAGCTACATTGTATGGTGATATCGCAATCAGTTCCTTCCAGGCGTAGACTAGCAATGGGACGTACCATCGGATGCTGATTAGGAGTAGAAGGCGAAGGCGTCTTACTGTTCGTGATCGTATTTTGAGGAAGGGAGAGCGGCGAAGGCCGGTGAGGCGTCGATTTCACACCCGTAGACGATTGGGTGTTGGTGGCCACGGCAGATGAGCCCGTGAGAGAAGCTGATTTCTTGATTTCGGAGGGTGCGGCGAGAGGATCGGGCCTTTGAAAAAACGACGAGTTAGTATGGAGGTTCGAAGTAATGCCAGGGAAAAAGAACAAAATAGGGGCATTCGTTTGATAAAGATAATTTAAGAATCAGAATGAGAGAGACGCACCTCCCCTTAACATCCCCAGCGCCTAACCCCGAAAAACTCCTCGACCGGGGTCTAACCCCGATCCCACCAACCTTTGGAAAAAAATTGGCTCGCGGAATTGGTTTGTTGCTACTTCCACTTCCACCACTGACATTTCCTTCCTTCGTCAACGTCGTCGTCGTCGAGTCGCTCTTCTCCTCAGCCGTCGAGCTCAAGCTAGAATTGATGGCAGTGCTACCAAGTAGACCTTCTCGCAGACTCATAACACTCGGCCTCTTCCCAACACCACCTCCTCCAACAGTCGAAGCAGAACCGAATCCTCCAGCAGCACCAGGCGGAACACTACCCGTCCTAACAGGCACACCTTCAAAACTCCCCATCCTCTGCATCCCGCGTTCACCAGGAGGCACACTCCCCGCTCTCAAAGGCGACGACTGGATCGGCGCGGTAGGTGGCAGACCCGTCGTATTCGTCGGGGGAGTTCGAAGACCCGCGTGCGGACCTCCTCCAGGCGCATGCGGACCTCCAGCAACATGCGGACCACCAAGAGCATGCGGACCTCCACCAGGACCATGCGCGACACCACCACCACCACCACCAGGCTGCTGCACCCCACCAGGCTGAATACTCGCACTAGGCGGCACAACCCTCGCCTTGGTCGGCGGCGGGTCCACACTCCACGTAATCGGTATAGGCCCCATACTCGTCGCAAAATCACCTTCAATCCGTCCATAAATCGTCGGCCCTCGTCGGATAGGTGGAGGGGGCACACGCATGCCTGGGCCGGGGGGTCGAGGGATGGGAGCAGGAGGGGGAGGCGGAGGACGCGACAACGCTTGGAGGATAATCTGGCGAGCAGAGGGACGCATCATAGGAGGCGGAGCCTGCTGCTGGTATGGATAAGGATAGCCTCCAGGTGGTGGGGGCTGTTGTCCTGGACCTGGTGCTTGACCTGGCGCTTGACCTGGTGGCGGGACCTGACCTTGGGCTGGTCCATGAGGTTGTTGCTGGAACCCACCCGGCGAAACAGGCGACACCTCCCCTCTCAAAAACATCGGACCCTCACTCTCCTCCACACCCAGATCTTTAGGAGCCTTGGGCGCCCCAGGATGAGGCATGAACAAACTCCGCCTCTCGCCCGTACCAGGAACACGAACTGTCGCGCCCTCCCTCAACTCCCTCAGCGAAGGACGGAGGTGGCTTGGCTGGCCTGGAGGAGCGAGTGTCGACGATGCCGTGGTGGTAGTCGATCCAGTCGCCGTCGTCGTAGTCGAAGCGGAAGCAGCGGAGGGGCCTTGCTCAGCAGGCGTAGAAGGCCTCGACGAACTCGAGATCGTCAACGAAGGCGGTAGAGGGGGTGCAGCAGCCGATAGCGGGGTATGTGGTAGGATCGTCACATTATCATCCTCCTCATCTTCATCCGTACCATACGCCAACCCGTCCTCGCTGTCCTTGCTGCTAGACTGCGAAAATTCGGTGGTAGAAACAAGAGACATATCCTGCTCCCCATCACGGTCCATCTCCCTCTGCGAACGCGCGCGGTCGAGAAGAATTTGTTGACGCGACTGTCGTTGACTCGAGTCCTTCACCGCCGTATTTGAAGCCTGCTATTCAGAGGAATAATATAATTAACACCCCATCATCTTCAAAATTTTGCGAAAAACGACATACCTTCTCATCCCCACCACCACCAACCTCCGTCTCCCCACTCTCCCCACTCCCAACACTCGTATAACTATCCTCAACAACACTCGGCAACTCCTCGTCATCCTCAACAACAATCCGCCTCCCCAACCCAAGCGTGCGTCTCTCGCTCTCAGTGAGCGAAATATCGTTGTTCGTTGTATCTTTGGTGGTATCGCCGTCTGAGGATCGAGACAGGTCGGTGGATTGAGAGAAGTCAGTGGTATTGGACATGTCACCGTCTTTAGAGTTGTCGGTCGAGTCGAGCGTGGTATCGCCCCGTGAAGAATCCTCGTCCCTAGAGAGATCCATACTCCCCTCACCCTTCTCCTCCGCACTATACTGATACCCTCCCTTCACACCCGCGTTTCCTTGATTCTGCCCATCAAACAAACTCATCAAACTACTCTCACCAGTCCCAACCTTGCGCTCATCCTCAACCCTCTGCCTCAACGCACTCGCAATACCACCACCACCAGCACGTCCAAACGTGCCACCCCCCATCCCTGGGTTGACCACACCTAGCATACCGCCTCCACTCATCGCACCAGGTCCAATATGAGAAGTGGGCGACCCTAAACCATCATGAATAGCAACATTCCCAACACTGACCATCCCATACCCTCCCGCCCCCGGACTCCCATACCCCACCGCTCCCGGACTTCCAATCGCCACACCCATTGCGATACCAGATCCAGGACTCCCATGCTCACCCATCCCAGGCGACGAAAGCGGACTCCCCCACGTCGCATGCAGCAACGGCGACCTCTGGTTCTCCGGATCCGAAGTCGCGTTCGAACTCGAGGTCGAAGTCGATGTATGTCGCTGTCGTTGAAGATCGAGAGGAGGCGGTCTTGATCCATTTGTATTCGACGTCGTCGTGTAGCCTGACGTCGAAGTCGCAGTAAACCCCGAGGTAGAAGTGAAGCCTGACGCTGCCGTGAATCCCGACATCGCAGTCGACCGGCCATCGAACGAGTCCGCATGTGGATTGTGCTGGTTGGCGTTCGTCCTAAACGCAGAGAGGGCAAGCGACATCCGCGAGGAGGAAGCTTGGGTGTACACGCTAGCGTCCGAGTCGCGGCGGAGGGTGCTTCGTTTACTTTCCTCATCTTCCCCTTCTCCCAAAGGAGTCGTCGATACCGAAGGCGCTTTGGAGTCTAAACTCAAAACCCTCCCTCTCTCCCCGACACCAACGTTCGAACCACCCGCACCAGCGCTCGAACCACCCGCACCAGCGTTCGAACCAACCCCTCCACCACCACCAGAAACACCCAAAACTCCAGGTCCCTCCGACCCCCTCCTAACAGGAACAGGCGGAACAACATCCTGCTCACTCGCAGCCGTAACAGCACTCATAGAACTCATCCTCTTGCCCGCCGCACGTCCCAAACTACCACCGATCCCTGCTCCCATCGCCCCTGCAAAAGTCGCACCGGGGACTGGACTCCCCGGTCCTCCTCCTCCTCCTATCGAACCGCCACCACTAAATCCACTAGGACTTCCACCAAACCCACTCGGACTCCCTCCAAACCCACTAACACTCCCCATACTAAACCTCGAATACCGATAATCATCATAGATATCCCCCGCACCCTCCCAACTACTACTCGTCGCCGCAGTCCCACTACTCCGCACACTATGCGCAATCGAGCGGATGGAGCGCACGGAAGGCGCCTCGGAGGGCCGGCGTTCGCGTTGGTGAGAGTAGTGGAGGTATGGGGGGTTCGGAGGCTGGTGTTGGTGCTGGTGGTGTGAATGTGCGTGATGCGGGTACGTAGGCGAGGTAGGCGATAACGACGACCCGTCCGTCGTCGGGAACTTTTGAAGAACAGTCGACGGTGGTGAACTCGATGGTATAGGAGGGGAGGTGTGAACCTGCGGCGGACTCCTATTCACTCCTACGCCTCCTCCTCCTACACCTCCTAGTCCTCCTAGACTCTGCTTATGCCCATGCCCTCCTCCCAAACTCTGGTTATGCCCATGTCCAAACGACCTCGCACTCTGCGCTAACGAATGCGTCCTAGAAAGCGTCCCAGGCGGAAGCTGCACATCCTGATGCGTATTCGGTGGCATAGGGAAGAACGTCGAGGTGCTCGGTCCGTCCTCATCATCATCATCATCGTCTTCGTCCTCCGAATCATCTCCATAGCGTAGACCGTCGACCGTATCCACGCTCCGCACAGAAGCGTTACGCGTGAGACCCGCACTCCCAGGTCCAGATCCCACTCCATCCACCCCTCCCCCTCCTCTCCCTACGTTGGCGTACGTCGCAGTCCCCGCACTACCCAATCCATCCTCCCCTCCCCTCCCTTCACCCTCGTCTTCATCACTATCGCTATCGCTCATCCCATCCGCCAAATCCTGCAAAAGCGACAACCCAATACCCACGACACCCTCCGCACTCGCCACACTAAACCGGTTGGAGAACGAGGTCGTAGAGTAGGATGTGTCCGGCATGAGCGATGTGTTGGGAGGTTTAAGTGGATGGTCATCATCGTCGTCGTCGTCGCCGTATTCGGAGGGGGAGTCGTCGTTTGTCAAGGAGAGCGTGAGTGGTGCGTTCTTCGAGGAGGGGGTGGGAGCGGTGTTGGAGGATGATGGAGTCGCAGTCGTGGTTGTAGCAGTAGTGGTAGTCGAAGAGGACGAAGAACCCTCCACAGTCGTATTAGGCGAATCAACGAGCGACGACCTCGACCTCTCCTCAAGCGCCGTGCCTTCATCAATCGGCATCCTCCCCTCCCTCTCCTCAATAAAAGCAGGCACAGCAGGACTAACAACCGGACTCTTCTTCGTTATACGCAGTGGGTCGACATGTGCTTCGAGTAGTTCCAGCGGGGCTGGCCTCGCTTTCCCTTCTTCCGCATCAGCGTCGACGTCGACCGAAACCCGTGCACTGCTAACAACAGACGAATCGCGTATAGAGCCCCTCCTCCACCCCTCCTCCACCAGATGAAACTGTTGTTCGAGGTTGCGGACTGAAGGCGACGGCGAGTGGGTGTTACTCGAGAACGCGAACTGGGGTGGTCGCGCTTCTTCTTCCTCAACCTCTCCTCCAACCATACGACCACTCTGCTGCTGATCAACCAAGGGCGGGGATGCTGCCGATACTGGAGGAGCCGATGTCGATGCTGGCGTAGCTGATGACGAGGGTGATGATGAGGTGTGATCCTGGATAGTCGCAGACATCGACATATGGTGATGATGCCTCCCAAGCGACGCCCGCGAGTCGCTGCGCATCGCACCGACGTTGGAGAGGTTGGGGAACGGGCTGGCAGGCGTCGACGTCCTACTACTCGTTCCATCCCTACTCAACCCATCTCTCGCCACCCCTTCTCTCCCTAATCCTCCCTCCCTTGCACTCCCCGCACCCGCAACACCAAACGACCCACCCAATCTCGAACTCGGGGGCGTAAACGTCGGCGTCGGCGACTTAGCGAAGGTATTAGGGGTAGAGCCTTCACGCGATGAGGAGACGGATGCGGTAGAAGACGAAGCGCGGCGGGCCATGACCGGTTTTTTGAGTTTGCCGTGGAAGCGGACGTGCGAGCCTGAGAAGCGGCCGATGACGCCTTCGCAGTAGCCCTATATACACGCACCATCGTTGATTTTGTTAGTTAGTTATTTGGGGTAAAGAAGAGAGCGAAGAAGGGAGGCACGCACGAGATAAACACCCTCCTTATCCGCCACCTGCAACAACACCACAATCTCATCGTCCTAATAAATAACCCACAAACCCTAATTAGCTCTCCTCCTCTTACCACCCCTTCATCCGGCGATCAACAATACCGAATTGAATTAAACGCACCTTGAGAAACATGAGGTCCTCTGAAGACTCGGCTACACAGTCGGTGAGAGCTGTGCACTTTCCTATCCCACCCTTCATCGCGAACCGTGTCCACCGCGCCAGCTCGATTGGGTCCATCGTCGACATGGTTGTGGATGTTGGCAGGTGTTGTAGGGTGGTGGTAGTAGTGGTAGTAGTCGTCGATAGTAGTTGTTGTCTTCAGTTTTTGACGATAGAATATATCTTCGAGAGAGTCGTAGTCGGATGGGTAGAACCGCAGAGTCGGATGGCTGTTAAAAAAAGCTCTACGGCCACACCCTAACCATCCGCGTCCAAACCCAATCCCTAACCCAAATTCTTCCCCGTCTTCGTGTTCGCCTTCTCTTTTCTTCTTCGTCTTCTTCGTCTTCTTCGTCTTCTCTTCTTCTACTCCGTAGTCGTACACGTGCGTCTCCCTTCCTTCCTTCCTTGCTCTCTAAACACACCCCTATTCAACACAAAAAATCCCAAAAACACAAAATCCAAAATCACGGCGTACATACCTGTAGAACCACGTCCACGTCGAAGCAAGAATCTGAACAGAGAATTCAGACTCGCGTCCACGAGGCTCGAGCCTGGAAAACCGACGAGAAGAAGAGGAAGAGGCGTCCAGCCAAAAAACCAACAGGTAAAACCCTAAACCGAGCGCACGGAGCACAGAGAGAACGGACGAACGAACTTTCCTCTCTCTCTGACAGCTGAGTCTAAGCTCTGTCGTCGAGCTTTCAGCTGAGTTTGGAATATGCGCCCTGTGAAATGGTGCCTGAGCTGGCCAGGTCCGAGTCCGTTGATCTGGACTCTTGTCACCCCCGTTCAAACCACCCATCACTGATTGAGCGGAAGGTGTTGGCAAACACGGACAATCACGTCCCTCGGGACCCGGCTTTCCATATTGAGGCCAAGCAATTGATATGAGAAGCCGGAGGAAGCCTAGGACGGGGACGAAGAAAACGGGGAGTGGTGGATCGAGTTCCAACCAACTTGAACGATAGACTTCGAAAGGGCTCATCGCGGGAGAGGAATTGACTGGATGTCATGTCCGTCTAAGTCAGGAGGGAGGGCTGAAGAACTACTGGTAAACAAAAATCGACTGGTGCTTGGTGGTTCAAGATACAAGATACAAGTCCGCATTCATGTTCGATGGTTATAACGTTCCAGGTACATTGACACCATTCACCAACTTCGAGTCTTCGAGGCAAGAAACCCCTCGTCACAGACATGTCATTCTTAACCAAGTCCTGTTCTGTTTGGGCGCTCTAAAGTCTATACATGTAGGTCGTATCATTTGTTTGTACAAGTACAACAAATAAGACGGGGAAAAGAGGAAGAAATCCCGAATAAATTTTCACTTCTCGCACTCCTCGACCAAAAAAATCTCTACAAACCGCTCTACCTTTCGGACCCCTCCCCCTCCTCCTCCTCCTGGTCAGCCACCTTCGACCCCCTCACCCTCCTCGTTCGAAACAAATTCCAAACCCACCATGCATTACTATCCTTCTTTACTGGTTTTGCCTTTGCCGCTGGTCCTGATTCCGAACCTAAACCTGACCCCGTACCTGATCCAAATTCCGGGCCTGATCCTGAACCTGAACCTGACCCCGATCCCAATTCCGAGCCCGATTCTGAACCTGACCGCGAGCCTACAAGTACCACAGACTCGGACGACGGCCGCAACCTTGCAGCGCCCGAATCAGGAGAGGATAATTCGGGGACATGAGAGGATAATTCGGGGACACGAGAGGTGTTGGTGGTGGTGGTGGTGGGTTTAAGATCTGGGAAGCGAAGCGAGTTTCGGTACAGGGATGGAGTGATGGAGTGGGAAATGGGATCGGATGTGAATGGAGGATGGTTAAAGAGACGACGATGGTCGGTAAAAAAAATAATCATCGTTAGAGCGAGATTTAAACAGCTTGGGAGACATACATACCTGGGCTGGTTGAACCGCCTCCCGAGTCCGCTGTTCTTCTACCGCCTCGCCTCTCTCCACCACCGCCAATCTCCCTCTCAACCCAAGTCGAGCCACAGCTGCGACACCGTGACTTCAACACATCCCCGCGTCCTTTCGCCGTATCCGAACCCAATCTTTCTGCTCGAACTTCTACCTCTACTCCTTCTCGGAGCTCTACTAGTACCTCTACTCCTCCTCGAAGCTTTACTAGTACCTCTACTCCTTCTCGAAGTTCTACCCGCCCAAGTTCAGCTTTACCTTCAGCCTCCGTCTCTGCTTCCACTTTACCTTCAGCCTCCGTCCCTGCTTCCACTTTACCTTCAGCCTCCGTCTCCGTCCCTGCTTCCGCTTTACCTTCAGCCTGAGCCTCAGTCTCTGCCAGTGCTTCCGCTTCGGCTCTCCTCTTCGCATCCCGCTGGCGGATAACTGCAATTCATAAAATATACGCAAGCGCAGGGTAGTGAGTTAGTTAAGTGTTTCGGAGATTTCAAAAGGGATTCAAAATGTAAAATGAACGAAGGAGGGGTTCAGACGAAAAGGAAAACAATGGGATTCAGCACGGTGAAAAGGAAGGGAAGAGGGTTCAGAATGACGATAAGAAAGAAGGTTCAGACCAACAAAATAACAGAACAAGAAAAAGAAAAAGAAAACGAGCAGAAAAAAAAAAAATCTCACTCACATTCCTCATTCTTCACTCTAATCCTTTCCCTCGCATCCGCTAGTATCTCGTCCTCACTCCGCGTATCTCGAAAACGAGCATAGTTGTAGGAATTGGAGAAGTATCCGATTTCTGCCATCCTACTATTCGTTACCGCGGGGCTTCGAGGTCGTTTATAGGGTGAAGGATGTCTCTCGTTGTCGTGAAGTGGGACCGTTGTCGTGAATTGGAAGTGGGAGGGAAGAAAGCCTGTTAGGACGGCCTAAAGCAGGAAGTAAGCGTATTGAGGAGTATTTCGGTTTTGATTGAAACAAATGGTCGGAATCGAAAGGAAAGGGGGTGTGCTTTCGAGTCACTCAGACTGATGTCCATAATCTAGACCTAAATGGACGGATCAATGTCTTGGAAGGCAGGCCCCACGCCGAACCTCCATATGTACAATCTCTCCTATCCCGACTCCCAGCATCAACTTTCAACAAGTTGGTTCCCTCTCGGAAGTATGTACTCCAAATTCCTAATCAAATTCTTCCTCAACAGACCCGTCGGGTTCGGATAGAGTGGAACGACAATATCCTTCACAAAGTCCGTGTTGGGTACTACGGCCAAGTTGAAGGACGATGGCGTGAAGAAACAGAGGGTGAAGAAGCAGATTCAGCGCAGTCTTTACTGTAGATAGCATGGAGCCTCTGTGTCTTGTAGAACACGCATAACAATGTACTTATCTCAACCTCCTCTGTGTGTGTGTGTGTGTGCGTCCGGATAATCCTTTCTCCAATCGTATTCTACTTCTCATTGGATGTACATCGACTTGCCAAAATGTGAAAGATCGACGGGCGTTTCGGAGTTCCCGAGCGCTTTGCTCTTGCAATTTGAAAGATCGACGGGCGTTTCGGAGGTTCTCGAGCGCTTCGCCAAGGCTGGCGATTCAACCGGTAGTTCGCACCCTCCTCCCAAAATCCACCCGAGGGCGATGTCACATTCACTATTTCTAGGACGCAAAGTTACGCTCTAAACCCGCATCTGATGACGGGTGGGTCGAAATTCACTGAGTAGGGCAGTCTGGATGGGATGAAACAAACCCTGCATGTCAAATCAGAGCCTCCAAGTTCTGTATGGCCGCGGTATACGTTAGAAGAAGGGTGATGGACATGATGAGTTTGTTGCACTTACCACAAACTGCGTAATCTGCCCTGCTTCGTCGAGAATGTGCTTCACGGTGTTGTGCGAACGATTTATTGGTCAATGATAATCATTTGCTAGTGATATCAGGGCGGCAAAGTGGCTCTTTGAGGGCAGATCGTAATCCAGGAGGTCTGAAGGAAACCTAGTGGCACAGGGTTCTTCCCATTGTACATGAGCATTTTGTAGGTATCACAGCAGCTATAAAGCCCCGGTGTATTCCAGTACATACTCCCCAGGCGCCGTTCGTTCCTCCCCTTTCTCGTCTAAAGAACAATCCTTCTGATTTGAATTAGATATGTCCGGCGTAGACCTCGAGAAATATTGAGAAGTCACTGCTATGTGTCTATTCACCAACGTCACTGTCACCATCCTCTTCGTCGGTTAGTTCGTATCCTCCTATTCGAAAAGTGTCCAAACTAATTGCCGTCGTACCACCAGGTCTTCAATTATTCATGTCCCTCCATTCGCTCTTCACATTCTTGTCTTCCCCGCCCTCTGTCCGCAAGGGGAAAGTGCCCTACATCGCCACTTCACTCCTTATCGTCTTCTTCGCTCTAACGGCGTCGCTGGATGCATATACCAACGCTCGGACAATGTTTGAGACTAAGAGCGGGTCACAGTTCATTGAACTGACAGGACAAATAGAGTGGGAGTGGTCTAGGATCTTGAGTCTAGTCTCTCTTTTCATGGCGCTTTTCATCGGCGACGGCCTTTTGGTAAGCCTCAGTAACTCTTGTAAACGGAAACATCAGTACTGATAGAATACTGCAGCTGTATAGGGCCTTTATCGTCTGGAAAGATCAATGTTTCGTCCTTATCGTCCCCGGTCTCTGCTACCTTGCGTCGATGGGTATGACCTCTCCCCAGCGCACATCCTAGTCCATGACTGAGCCAATGAATATATCCTTCAGGCCTTGGATTTTACATCGCTTCCCCTCTCAAGACAGACGCCTGGAATGAGCAATCCAGAGCAATCGCGAGCGCCTTCACCTTCCTCGCTGTCTCCGTGAACACCATGGTCACAATTCTCATCTGTACCCGTCTCTTACGCGCTCGGCGATCCATTGCGCACGCGCTTCCCGACCAACACTTGAGGGTCTACACCAAGATTGTCATCGTGTTGATCGAATCTGCGTTACCGGTTACGGTGTTCGGAATAGGCTATGCCATCTCTCTCGTCATTCCTATGGGAAAGACGACCCAACTAGCGACTGTTTGGCAGGTCATGTCGCTGATTTTCGCGCTGCTATATTTCGGTTTTGCGGTCGGTCATTTCATCTGAATTTCGGGAATATAGTTGATCAAGGGTCTCACAGACATTATCGCCCCAACTTATCATCTTCCGGGTGACGTCTGGCCGGTCGTGGACCAACTCGACTGAAATGACGGGTGGGCCCCATGTTGGGGGCCATGGCTCCAAAACGCTCACGTCCCAGCCCATCAGGTTTGCTTCTATGGCGACCTCTAAGGACGCTGAGAACTCTATTTTCTCGCTTCGAGGCGAGGTCGAGTCGGGGGTTGATCACGGGATGACTGGTACTAAACGCGATGCACAAGAGTTGTAGCAGGCGTGAAGTTAGTAGTTACCATACCCTGTCAGTACTGGTTACTGAGAAAACGTGTGCAAGGGCATTCACGCATCCGATGAAATTTTATTTATATATGCAACATATGTATTCTACTCGTAGAAGGGGCCTACAGTGTACCATACGGTTTCACTTCGGTGCAAGCAGGATCGAACATCCCCGTCCAGAAGTACTCCAAATTCTTGATCAAATTTCTCCTCAACAAACCCGTCGGATTCGGATAGAGTGCAACGACAATATCGTTCACAAAGTCCTCGTACATCTTGCAGAAAGAGTTGAAATCCGCCGAGTTGGGATCAGGGACATAATTGTCCACTCCCCCAACATTTCTTCCAGGAGGCATAGGTCGCCTCGTAACAAGGTACCCTAGACCTTCGAAGCTGAACGGACCAGGCGCCCGATGGAAGTCATCAGGGAACTTCTCGTCCTGAAGAAGGATTCTGCCGCATCCATGCTGAGGTTACTCCAAGGACCATCGTGGTTCCTCCCATCAACAAAGAAGAGGATGGGGAACACCGACTCGGCGTACGCTGTGAACCAGCGAGGAGAGACGAAACTCATCTCTGGGTTCGTAGCGATCGACTGCTGGATGCGCTGGTATCGGAGTTCAGTTGCAGCTGTGAGATTGTAGAATCCTCCTCCGTGGATGTTGCTGTATTCCACGAACTGTCAAAAGGGATATGTGTCAACTCAACATGAAATCCATTCCTGTACAACTCGACGAGAAAGCACGTACCTGATCGAACAACGTCTGGTTGAAACTATGATTATCGCCGAAATGGAAGTCTCCGCGCGTCATACTCGTATCACCTGACAAGCCTTCAATCTCAATTCCAAACCATGGACATGGTGGTGGAGACGAACCTTCAAACACAGCATGTGTATTCAGCCCACCCACAATCGCAGGAGGCGGGGGTTCAATAATCCCCGTCCTCCAAGTCTTCCCTCCAATACTCATCAAATTCGTAATCGGGTTTCCGTCGACGAGGAAGGCTGCGTAGGTAACGAATTTCGCGAACGTGTTCTCCATGTTGAATCCTAAACACGGAGTAAATTACTCAATTAGCGTCCGGACTCTTGCCTACGAGGACCCCACGAGGGGAGGTAAAGCTCAGAGGCCCACCTTCCATAACAGCCTGAACGATCTGAGCTGGCGTCGCGATACCCGACCTGGGAAGGTACTGCACAAAGTACCAATTGTAAATGAGCACCCGTACAATCATCCACAACCAAAACGCGACATACCCCATGATTCGCCAACGTATTCAAACCCGGACAAGGTCCCCTATGATCCAAATGCGGCCTAGGCGCCTGATACGGATGCGCCGCATCATTGACCAACTTCAAGGTGGAATCCGCTAACGGCCCAGGTGGAGGGCCAGGGTTGACAACCGGCAGTCCGGGGATAATCGTCTCGAGCTGGCGCTTGGAGAGACCCCCAAGAGACTGATAAGCCGGAAAGGCATTAACGTTTGCCAAAGCGATGGCGAGAGTGAGGAGGGGGAGTGGGAGCTTGCACGAAACCATCGTTGTCAGACACAACGCGTGAGAGGGAGAGAGAGGGTCGAGCTGAGCGAGCTTGGGGTCCCACTGAGCACTCCGCTGGCTACATCTCGGTACTATATAACCATGGAGGCATGCACCCACATCCGAGATGGATGGGAACGAACCTTCTGCCGAAGCACGTCCCAAGCTCACATTAGGAGAGTCCGAGCCTCTGTAAGGAACTACCCAAGCCTCTCGTTCCTGACCCTCCCAACAAAAGCGTCGATTACAGCAGAAGTACAAGGCGTCTTCCAACGCAAATGCCGCATACGTGCATCCATCGTGATATCAGATTCATCTTGACGTCTGATTGGAATTGGAACCCCACAATGCGGTTCGATGCTCACGCCTAAAGCTGCCAAATCCAGCCACTTTGTTGACGGACTTGAGGACTTCTAATCAGCTGAACCACTCGGCCATACTGAAAAACTATACGACATGGACCCACAAATAACGACAAAGCGCGCTGCTGTGGGACTTAAAGCGCCCAATTAGATAGGTTCTAATTGTCGTTAAGACCGGTCCGCTCGGGGTGTTGACGTCCCTAGAACATGTACACAACGACAGTTGGTAAGCGCCAAAGGATAAGGATCTACTGGGCAGTCCCAGGGGCTCCTGCGTTGGGTACTTATCTCGACGGAGTTTAGACAAGGGAGTGGAACATTGGAGGTAAAGAGCCGCCGATTCTAGTTCAGTGTTTTGCTTTGGTGTCCTCCCACTTGTCTTCCAAACACCGACAAGCAACCCCACGTACGTATATCATCGGTCGATAAGTTGATCGACTAGTCACCCTCCGGAAACGTTGCTGCTTCAATCTGATCTACATCCTTCGAGGTCACGTCTGCTTCCAGGCTTACCTGTCTTGTCATGTCTCTTGGATCGTCTCCTTGAAAGCCCAGTACTATCTACTGAACACCCATAAGCCCTCCGAGCCCATGACAGTTGATTCTTCGAACTTGGCAGACTAGCGCTCCCATAGTATTATCCAGCGGGCTCTCTTCTATCGCGACCGTGACCTATCAAACGGCGACGAAGCACCATCCACGCCGTTCTCAACGTCCACGCCAACCAATCGGTATAATGACGGTAGAAACAAGCCCTCTCGAAGTCCACTGTGTATTCAATAAAAGTCTTCTCTGGCGATTACTTCGATAAGTGGCCCCTTCTCTGACGGTTATTCCGTGAACTGGCCACTTCTCTGCTTGCCATTTCGATAAACAAATGCTGTGACGGCACTTCGATAACCAACTTCTTCCTCGTGGCTGGTCCTTCTACCCTTGGAAATAGCTCATCCGAGTCTTACTCAGCTGGCACATAAGAAGCCCATCGTTGAATCTACCCTTACTTTCTACTTAACCTCATCTAGTAGCGAGTATACTGATAGCCATGCTGATACAGCGATTGGCATCGAGTTTGGCGCTCGTCGCTTCCACTTATGCGCTCCTCCGATTCCCTTGCTCTCAGCTCGTCACTGAGCGTTTTGATCCGTGCGTCGCTTGGTCTCCATTTGTCCTTTGTTAATCTAACGACGACCTTTCACTTAGGCTGGTTACACCTGGCGAGGTCTCACCACACCTTCACCAAATCGTCGGAGGGGTGCGTTTCCAGGTCTCTCGTTTGTTCGCACTCATAGGCTAACGATGTCAATCTCCAATAACGTTCAGAATGCGTAAGTTCTCCCCTTTCAGAAACTCCAGGGAGTGTCGACTCACTTGTTAGGGTAGCTTTGACTTGACCATGGACCCCACAATCGACATCGCAGAGACAGCGACCTGCACAACCTGTCGCTTCAAGGAGGATAAATCGAACTACTGGACCGCCGTGCTGTATTTCAAGCATCCCAATGGGAGCTTCTTCCGGGTAAACTATCTATCCTTGACCTTGCAATGCGAGCAACTAATGAAGTACGATTGCTCCAGGTACCCCAGATGGCGAATCATGGCACAGGGCCAGGTACACAGTCTGGTGGAATGACGGTGTATTACTTCCAACCTCGCGCTCCTACGAAGAATCTGAACGTTACCGCCTTTGCTCCTGTAAATCTCTCTCTTCTTCTCTCCGTTGAGCAACTAGCGCTGAAGGGACATTTATAGGGATTCCGCATGCTAGTCGGCAATCCTATGCGCCGTCGAGACGACATTGATCCCAACTCTACGGCTGCGAAGGCGACTACGTTCAGGTGCTTCCATGGCGCCGATCCTGGACCCTTTGGATCGCCTGGAAACGGTCCTGATGACACGTTCGAGTTACCAAACAAGATCTGCACCGGGGGAATCAGGACGAACATCTTCTTCCCCCAGTAAGGAGACTGACTATCATCCTCGCAAAGTGTACTGATAACTTTCAAGGTGCTGGGATGGAATCCACCTCGATACCCCTGATCATCAGGCAAGGCCTTTTTACTTCTTTTGCTTGTGAAGGTTATTCTGAACCTGGAACAGAGCCACGTCGCACACCCCTCTGGCCCCCCAGCCCCCGACGGACTCCAATTCTTCGGCACAGATTGCCCAGATACTCACCCCGTCCGCCTCCCTCTCCTCTTTATCGAAATCGTCTGGGACACACGCCCCTTCAACGACCCCGAGCTTTGGCCCAAAGACGGCACCCAGCCCTTTGTCTTCAGTATGGGCGACCCCACCGGATATGGCCAACACGCCGACTATGTCTTCGGATGGGAAGGCGACTCCCTCCAACGCGCGATGGATAAATGTACAGATGGCAACCCCGCTCCCGAGGCGTGCCCCGAGCTGACACCGCAGGACATGGAGACAATGAATACCTGCAGGCTACCGGTCAAGGTTCCGGAGGTTACGGAAGATCAGTGTAAGCTATCGTCTACTTCTCTATCATAGGCGATCTGGCTGACGATGAGGGATGGTTTGATAGACTTGGATAATCTCCCTGGATGTAATCCGATCCAGGAAGGACCGGCGTATGCGACGCCTATCTCGAACTGCGATGCAGTTTCTACAACGGTGGATGCGCCTCTCCCAACCACGCCTCCACCAGTAATTGTCCCTCCTTGGCCCATGTGGTGAATGCCTTGCTTCATCGTGCTATCGATCCTGCCGTTGTCCTCGAGGCGTGTTGATCAATCATCATCCATTCCCTAGTAGCAAATCGCAGATTCCAATCGTTACATCAATATCCAAGGTCTAGATGAGGTTTTATGCGCTCAAAATTGTGATTATCTTCGAAAGCCTCATGCTTAGCCTACCAATGAGCTTGGAGCAGGGTTATATCTCAATTGGAGCTATTTTCATTCCGTCATAATCTCGTTTACTATAAGGTTGGCCGCGACGCTAAGATCGCTTGCCTAGGACACTGTGTGCGGGTATAAATTGCGAATGTAGCCCTTTAGTCTCCATTGGAATCTATTAGAAGGAAATCGAAAAGCATGAGTCGGAGGGTGAGGAGGAGAGGAAGAAACGGTGATTCATGTATTTGTACTTGTTTTGATCAGAAGCCATTGGCCAACTATTTGCAGGCCGGTCGTGATCATGTCTCGTTGCCCCATCGTTGTTTTCATTTCTCACCGCACGCCATCCGTTCCCAACCCAAGCTTCCTAACGAACGCCTACGAACCCACCACCGACCGTTGCTCATAGCAGTGGTAGCTACGTCTCAATCACAGTCTGAACTAGAGGGTTTCGACTGTCAGTCATCATGGAGGATGGAGTCAGCAGGAATCCAAACCCATAACGCTGGTGACGTCCAGGTTGAAGTTGAAAAGGAGGGTATCGGGAATGGTGGCATCGTCCTCCTAGAGAACTGCACCGATCCCAGGGAGATCATGGAGTGGGCAGGAAGGCTAGAAAGACTTAGGTATACGCCTGATCGCAGTCCTTCCCCGCCCTTACCCAGGGTAACTCTCGATATGGAGGAGGATGTCACAGTAAAGAATAGCGAATACGGGGTGGCTAGTAATGAACTACACATTCCTAACGATACCCCGAACGTTTCTCGAATCACACGATTCAATACGCCTTCGGCTCTGTCCGATTTTACCAGAGAAGGGTCTCTGGACACTGATATCATGTCTTTGGTGAGCCTCCTTTCGAACGTTAAATAAAAAATAACGCTTAACATCTCAAATGTGATCCAGGGGTTCCCTGACGAAGACTCGTCGTTCCTCACCACAGAGAGTTCGCCGTGCCCACCTAGGGACGGGACGATTCAACACCTATCAAAGGAATCGAATACGCCGTTAACAAAGTCGAAGAGTGGGAACCACCCTCGAAAGCACGGCGAAGGTGGATGGGTGTTCACATACGGAAAGAAGCGAAAATAGTGAGTGTTTACTGTTTTTTCCATCCGAAACACCGTTCGACTTACCAAAATTCCCTCATCTCAGCATCGCGAGCGAAGGATACCTTGACCCTAATCTAACAGACTACGAAGTAACCGTTATCGCCAAAGGCATGTTTAGAAAGAAATGGACCGAATCCGCTCAGGAGAAACTCCGCACCGAACTCGCTGCAGTGGGTCAGACGCCCACCAAAGCCCAGTTCGATCGCCTAAGTCGCCAGAAAATGACCGACGACATGAGGAGAGAGCAGCAAAAGTTCTTGAAGACGGCGTTGGATCAGGTTGAGGAATTGAGGAGGAAGATGGGGGTGAAGAATCCGACGCAGAAGGCGAAGGAGGAGGAGAATCATGGTCCGCCGAAACCGAAGAGAGCGAGGATGAGCGCGGATAAGAGGCTTGCGCTGGGTTTGGAGTCTGCTGGGAAGTATATTGAGGATATGATGAAGACGACATGATACTATCAATATGCCCTCACGTTCATTACTTTAATAACTCCCTGTATTGTCGCGCGTAAATCTTTCATTCATGTTCACTTCAGTCACGATGTTGATTGAACTCGAGATTTCTCAAAGTCGATGCGCAGCTTCACTAGAAGAGGGTCAAGGGTGAATTGGGCGAAACTGAGGACGACGTCGGGAACTCACAATTCATAGGCAAATACGACTGCAACCGTGCGCCTGGTTGCGTAGGGTTCCGGTGGGATGAGTAACTATGCCACGTGAAGCGTCCATTCTTTCGCCTGGCCTACTTGAGTAGGTTGTAACGGAGACTGCGCTCAACGTTGGGCCTAAATGCTATAAGGACTCTACCGGTTAGCTTTCGCGCTCACTGCCAAACTGAATTGCGCCAAGGCTCCAAAGCGAATCGGGAAGAAGCTCTGTGGCCACGACAGAAGCGACAGTCAATGAGCGCCCACTGGGGACCTCGATACAAGCAGTACATAATACAAATAAGACCTTTCGAATAGAATGAGCGTAATTGGAATTCCTAACTCAGCAGTCCTAATTTCCGGCATTGGGTTTACCGGGAACGAGCCATTCAGTGTCGCCTCTGGCGGACTCGGTATATTTCATACCTGAATGTACGACGTTTGAGTTGGGTCAGTATAAAATGGGAACTGATGCGAAGAGAGGACAGTGCCTACGCACCGACGGGTCCACCCAGGACCACCGCCACGGCGGTAAGCGCCCAAACGCACAACGAAGAGTACGTAGTGAATTTCATCTTCAGATCGAGACTTCTCGCTTTCTAAGAGGATAGAAATGTCTAGCGTATATTGAAGAGCCATCGTATGACACTTACTGAGTTCTGGGTGTGCTAATCTTGGTGGGTGATTTCTGGGGTACGAAAGAACGACGATCCTCCTCGACTTTATACCCCGCATCCTACGAACCAATAACCGTGTGATTCCTCGATAACCAATCATTCGGTATTTGGATTAATGAAGTTTCTGCTGTCTCTAAATAGCTAGCCGCGTCCACCTAACTACTCGAGCTCTTCCACGAAGGTTCTGAACTTGAATTGTTCAACTTCTTCGAATTTAGAACTACGATACTGGTACCTCCAAATAGATTTCGTGCGAAATACGCGGCCATGAATGAATTGAGAAGATGATCTCGCGAGAAAACATGCCAAAAACAACGCGTGGATTGTCCTATACGAACCTTCGAGATGTCTACTCCTGGATAGGTCGCTCTATCAAGGATCCATAACTCAAGGGCCGACGCTTCTGTCCATTCATGCACATTTTTTTGCCTTCGAGAACGAGAGTTCGGGGATATAAGGAGGTGGAGAAGGTGATAAGGTACGGTTAGAGTTGGTTGCGGACATAATATTGGAAAGGAATTAATAGACCCGTGTGGCCAGGAGAAGATTTCGAGGGGTCGGACCTGGGACGTACTGTAAGGCTCTTTTCTCATAGCGGGTCCAGGCTTTTCTATATCCAGGCTTAGCCAGTGAAATCAACTTTAGACCATGGAGAGTAGCTATTAGCGAAAGACTTCCATTTACACAAATAGTACAGGGTGGCGTATCGTTACTGAGCTATCAACGTTTTTCGAGGCTTCGTATCCATCTGTGTGCTCCTAGAACAGTCATCCATCGTCGTTAAGCTCTGTACAGTCGCAAACCTAACCGAATGGTGTTGTCCAGACTGCAGGTCTACACCCTCAATCGTCTTCTGTGTAGTATCATTCGTCCACGAGCGCCCAGTCGTCACTCTAAAAATAATCATCTGAGGCGAAAGTGACTAAACTTATCATCAGCTAATTTAGAACAAACGGCAAGAGACAGTAATAGACGCACCGCGAACGAGAAGTACAGCGCCGAGAACGTCATGTTCAACACCTGCCAAATCGACGCCGACTCGGTGCTCTTGCCCATCGGGCCAACCAAGACCAGCGTTATTGCGTAACACAATCCAAAGAATGCAACGGGCAGCGCTGACTCAATGAGGATTATCGCGACCTTCTTGTAGAGCAGGAAGTCGTGGCAGGGGAGTACCTTTGCCATTAGCTGCCGTGCGCGTAGGAGGCGGAATGAGATGAGAAGCGTGACCATAACATTCACTGAGACGGCAACGAAGGTGAATGAACCTGCGATTATCCGGTCGTTGTCTCTCCAGTTCTCCTTTTGTGGGGAGGCGATGTAAAGCGCGAGCCCTGAACTGAGATGTCAGACTCGGAAGTGGAAGTCGGTTAGGGGATGCACCACGTACCCAAAGACGTCAGATAGCAAAGGCAAGGGAAGATCAGCGCCCACCGCCGGTCTTTCCATACAACATAAGCGCGGTAAAGCTATGAAAGCGTTAAGTAGCCTTTTCTTGATCGAAAGGAGTGCATCCTTACCAAGAGCCCATCACCGACGAACAGTCCCAGAAAGAGCGAGAAGAGACTGAGAACCCTGAACCATTCTCCTTCAAAGCTCACTGTAAGTCGATAGAACTCTTCCCCTGATGTCGACTCTGACAGCGACCGGAAGACACTATAGGCGTCCAACGCAGCGGTGATGCACCAGGTAATCAGGATGATGAACGAGACGATCATGTAGGGTCTCCGTCCCTTGCGACTACTGGAAGGCGTATCCACGAAAACTGTCAATCCATAAATGCACATGAAGAATTGGAGACCTAGCCACGGCGTTGAGTCAGTCAGTTCTGGTGAGCCTTTAGGAAAATTCACACTTACCAGCCACAAAAATCGTCAAGAGCACATTAGCGTATATCCCTGCAGCAGTCACACGACCATAATGATTTAAATCCAGCGCCGACATTAGAGCCAATTGAGACGGGGAGCTAAAGAAGTGGGGGGATAGAGGTCGTTACCCCGGGTTGAGATGTGGAAAGGCGGGCATAGATTGGAATAGACCATGTATCGCAATGTCACAAGCTTTATACATACATAGCATCATGGCGTGAAGCACGTGGTGAACGCCCGGAGACTAACGTCACCAGGGTGCTTGGAACAGATATGCGGACGGTTATAACCGCATACACTTGGACAGCGCTCTCCGCCGAGGCTATACATACATGTATTACGCTTCTTGATTATCTTTGGCAAGTTGTGTAGGTCAAGTTACCGAGATTAGACATGCAGGGCAACGAAATCAAGACAATCGGTTCAAAGCACATCATTCAAACTGTATGGGTCATATGAAGCGAGGTGCGGGCGTCGTTGTGAGCGTGAAACCCAATGACAGAAGCCAAGTGACGCTAGGTGTGGAAACCTACAAGTAGGCTCATGCTCCTACCGAAGAATCATCTAGAAAGCGTCCTATTTGGTCCAGTGACTGCATCTAGCGCGAGCTAACACAAGAGTGACGAGAATCGACCAGATAGGTTATCGACCATGTGGTACCACATCCTGGGATCAGATAATGGAGATATGTCCGCTCTGAAGACGATACCTGGAGGGAAGGGTTGGAGAGCTTCAAGGCGGCTGAACAGATCGGGAACGTGAGTGACGTGCCGCGACTTCCAGGCCAAGTGGGAGAACAGCGGGGGGAAGAAAGACATAGACGACAGACGTTTGGACCACATGAGAGATAAGAGCTGTTGGACTGGTGACTAAAGTTGAGATGAAATCGTTCCAAGCACCGGGTCGACCGTTCAAGTTTCACTGAATCAGCGATTATTGATGGTTATTGCTTGGCTACTTGCTTGGCCTTAAAGGGTACAGCTTTAGGAACAAACATTGCCATTCAAAAAGATTGATCTGGCTCTCCCCCAAATATGGTCGGGGTTCGAAGTTCGAGTTGCAGTTCCAATTAACTAATGCTCGACTAGTCTAACCACTTCATCCTGACCCCCAGAACAGACGATGTGATAGCTCAGGGCGTACCACTGACTGGCCCCCGTTACGAATATCACGATTGATTTTGTGAAGTCATTTCCGACCATCCCGGAGCCCATTGTTGGCAATTCCACGCGCACTGCCAAAGCAGGGTAGAGTCGATAGGCTACGAACCCATAGTATTCCTATCGTACCGTTGTATATGTCGCGTCGTTACCCTTCTCACTGGTATGAGGGCTATTGTGCCCAAAATTCTGATTCTCCTCGTCCATATAGGTCCTCCTCGTCCTCACCCCCGTAGACGTAAGGTACGAGTCGGTCTCAGGACCACTGTTAAACCTCAAAGGTTGCGAAACCCCATCCCCACGTGTGATTTCATCGTGGCTCATCCATGATTTGCCCGTGGTGACTCGGAAAATAATCATTTGTGGCGAAAGGGCCTGCATCAGAGGCGTTAGCAATCTTGAGGTGATGAACGCTGAAGAAAGGAGGGGCTCACCGTAAAAGTCCAATACAAAACATTAAACACCAACGATCCCGCCACTCGTGGAATCACGCTCCCGCTCCTCGTCAACCTCAGAATCTCACAAACCGCAAACCCGAGTCCAAACACCGCAAGAGGCAGCGCGGACTCGATGAGGATACCCGCAATGCTCCTGTACACCTTCGTGTTCCTGCCTGGCAAAGCCTTCGACAATTGACTATGCGCTCTAAGGAGGCGATAGACGATAAGACCTGTGAGAATGATGTTGGATGCGATGGTGAGGAGGACGAAGAGTGCTGCTGTGAGTCTGTCCAGGTCGAGGTAAGCCTCGGTGAAGCCTTCTCCGGGGTAGCGGCACCGTTGGACGATGCGGGTTAGTTCGACGCCTGGTAGGCGTTAGACACAACGACAGGGAAGGATGGGGAGAGTGTTCTTACCTAAAACGGCAAGGTAGATTAGCCCAGGGAGAAGTACCGGCCATAGGAAGTCCTTCCAGATAATATAGCATCGGTACAGCTATAACCCACCGGGCTCCCTTGTTCAGCACCGCCAAGTACAGGATAAATTCGAATTCGAACTCACCAATAACCCATCCCCAAGCAAAACATACACCTCCAAACACGTCACACTCAGAAATCGTGGCCACTGACCCTCCATCGCAAACGCAGCTTCATAGTAAGCCCTCGGTCCCATCGAGAAAAACATTGCTGTGAAATCGGTGTACGCATCTAATGCTGTAGCAAGGGCCGAAAGAATCAGGATGGCTGCACTGATGGCGATATAGGGAAGGCGGCCTTTGCGCAGCGCCTTGGGTGTGTCGAGGAAAACGGAGAGGCCATACAGGCACATGAAGAGTTGGATACCTTTCATCGGTAAATAGGATAGAGATGAGGATTAGTGGTTGAACTCTCGAGGTGGTAGAGCTACGAGTAACGCACCAAAGTCAATCATAGCGACGTTGATCGAAGCGTACAACCCTCCAGCGAAGAGGTGCACATATCTGTCGCCTAGCTCTCCTTCAGGCAAAGACATTACATAGAGGGAAGAGGAAGCTTGAGTGGGAAGGGAAGGGACATTTGAATCGCGTCGGGTTATGTACCACTACTCTCTCATATACACAGCTCCGCGAGCCCATGGGAATATACGAAAAGACCGGACTTCGGAGACAATGTTCGAATTCCTTGGACAGTCCCGGTAATAATCTTCCCCGTAAAATCCGCACTTCGCGGGGCTCACGAGTGGCTTTGGGCTGCCTTATCTGGTTTATCTTGACATAACATGGCGGGTTGAATCAACTGAAAGCTCAGAGACTGCGATTCTGAGCGTGGTGGTCCCCCATAAATGGGTTAATGTGAAGGAAAGTTTTTTCGATGCCAAGTGAATTCGCAAAGCGCCCACCTAAATCCGTTTCGTTAGCAACACATCTTTTAACCCAGACCACGCAGCGTGTGGGCAAATAATCATTGTGAACCCAGGGGAAGCCTTGATCCTCGATCAATCATGATGCCGCGAGTCTGCGACTCGTGGGCACCATATCCAAGTGGAGGGTATGACTCAATACGCGTTGCATCTCACTCGTCCAAGTCACAGGATTGACAAAGCCAAAGAATGTCAATACCATTGAGAGCACAAGTAACTTCGGATAGCTGGGGAATACATAACACTGGTACGTCAATTTAGCTAGGTTATGATAGGCGCCCAGTCACGACAGAGCGGTGGTTCTGATAGGGGCTCGGTGTCGGTGGCTCGACGACGGAGCAGCAAGCGGTAGCGTCGATGATTAAATTCATAAAGTGGTGGATGCTTAACTTGAGCTGATTACAGCAGGAGTTTAGCTTGGACACCGTTTTTTACCACTTGAAAGCGCACCTAAAGGTCTACAGGCCTTGAATCGAACACGGACAAATAAGGCGACCATCTGGATTCTGCACAACCACCGCCTCTGGGCCCTCAGACTGACTTGGTTTTCATTCAAAGATTATCCCTACTAACTTTTGATTCCCCTGTTAGTACATAGAATCCACACCCTAACTGCTATCGCCCTGTATTCCCTTTCTCATTCTCAGTACCAAGATCAGAGTCGCCTCGCCCATCCCCCGATCTCGACTCTTCAACGTCCATAGTATCAAGGTCGCGCCCGTTGTAGAAGATGATGGGCTGCGATATTCGAGTCGTCCGGTTCCCGACTTTCGTTTGCTCGTAGCTCGTGAATGAGCGTCCTGTTGTTACGCGGAAGATGATTAACTGGGGGGAGAGCGCCTGTGTATAGGTAGTTAGAATGATTGTCAAATGGAGAGAGTCAAACAAGCTCCAGGCGCTCGTAGAGGAGGTACGTACCGCGAATGTACAGTACAAGTTATCAAAGAACCGCGCGGTTACATATAACCTCGCAGGGACGTTGTCCATCCTCCCCAAAATCGCACACGCATACAGGATGGCTGCTAGAGGTCCAAAAAGTGCAATCGGCAACGCTGATTCGGTGAGGATGTTTACCACGTTCCTGTATGCCCGCATGTTGCGCCCTGGCAGGAGCCGCGACAGTTTAGAATGAGCGCGAATCAGTCGGAAACAGATTAGAGAGGTGATGATGATGTTGAAGGCGCCTGTGAGTAGGATGTTGGCGAGGCTGAACCGCACATCGAACTCCGCGTTTGTATCACCAATGACCTCACGGATGAGGTAGGCGAGGGTCGTTCCTAAGAGAGGAAGCGTGAGGGGTTTATGAGAAATGGGGTGGTGAGGAGCGCTTACCAAGGAAGCCAAAGTACATTATGGCGGGTACCACCATTATCCATAAGGTGTCTCTCCAGATGATATAACACCGGTAAAGCTAGGGTATACTCAGCATGATCCAGCAATAGAGATCCATTTTCGAGAAGCGCACCAACAGTCCGTCACCGAGTGCAACATATGCATAAAAGAACCAATACGAGGCCGTCGTCGCCCACGGCGTGGGCTATAGTTGCGTCTCGGTTCGGAGGTAGTCCAGCACACCCTCCGAGTAAAACAGTTTCCGAAACTCGAGGTAGTGGTTGAGCGCCATGTCGATTGCCGATAAGATGAAGATGATGAAGCTGATGATGATGTATGGTAGACGGCCCTTTTTGGCTTCGAGTGGTGTGTCGAGATAGACAGTGAGACCGTAGATGGCCATGAACATTTGGAGGCCTTGCGTCGCATTGTCAGTACCGGTTGAGCTAGTGGGACCAGGGAAAGGGATCGGATGCTCACCGAGGCCAATCGTTGAAATTACATCTCCGGTGTAATTCACGCTGGCGATGGTTAATATTGTACGGTGAGCCCGTTCCGCGTCAGACATGGTGGGCGTTCAAGGTTGGAGAACTACCGGGGGAATTCCCAACGACCTGGGGGTTGAGACAAAGGAATGGAGCTGGCCAGCACGTCTTTATACCAGTTGCGAAGATTATCAGTGCATTTTGGGTAGATCGTCGTCGAACGAGCGCCATGGGGCTATCCGGACTCCCCGAGATGTGTGTCCACACAGACGCGCGCAGAAGAACCCAGCCGGTTGATCAATCACAGGATGATCATCCGAGGCCATGGGAACTGAATTGGCGGGAATTAGGTGGCGAGGGTGGGTGTTCCAGAAACCTATTTGGGACGTTCGTCTCGTTCGGAAGTGAGAAATCAGCGAAGAATGCTCTGCGCTGTATGGCGCGCACAGCGGGAAACACGGGGACAGGTCAGACTATGACATTTCCGGTCGGTAAATTGTAGCCGTATCAGAGGCCAACATACATTTCGTGCTTCGAAGGATCCAGTTCTATTTTTGAAAGCGAAGGATTGAGTCTGTCTTATAGGCTCAGTAGACCTCGAATTCGAGGCCTAGTAAGGGTACGCGGCCTGAAACTTGAGGTTTGCACCACATGGAAAAAGAAATTGGCAACTCTACTCGGCGGTCTCCTAATTGGTTATCACTGCTATATACACCGTACACAGCATCTTCGGCAACCATATCCACTCTTCCATCAAGCATTCATCTCGCCCATCACCACCTGGAAGACAATCATCTGTGGCGCCAATGCCTAAGCGCCCCAATTGCAGATAACCCAACGAATGCAAAAATCCTAGAAATAAGACGCACAGCAGAAACCTCATACAAAACGTCAAACACTCTAAATATAACATACATACGCGCACTTCCACCATTGAACAGGATATTCGTCGACATAATGGCTGCGATAGAGCCGAAAAACGCAATCGGGAACGCCGACTCGACGAGGACATGGGCAACGACTTCGCACCACCCGGCTGAGGCGCCTTCACCTTTCAACAGTTTCTTTCGAGTACCAATGAGACGAAGCCCGATAAACGAGGTGATGAAAATGTTGTAGGCTGCTGTGACCAGGCTGTTGACTACAATGAAGTAGGCATTTCGGTCGGCAGTTGGTCGTGCAACGTAGATGAGATAGGCGAGGGTGGACGCTGGATCAAGACGTGGGCGTGAGTTTGGTAGCGCATGGTCCGCTTCAGGAAGGATCTCCTACCGATTGTTCCTAGATATGCTACTGTACCTAGCATTCTAGCCCATAGGATACCACTCCAGGCCAGGTACAGTCGGTGCAACTGTACAGACGAGGGGGGCGATCAGCACTTCGAATAAGTATACTTTCCAGGAAATACGAACCAGAAGCCCATTCCCAAGCACAACATACCCATAAAAGAGCCAAATCGCCGCTCTGAGCACAATATGCGCACTATTGGACGGCCCAAGCCACTCCAAGTAGTCATCCTCCCTCCTCGAGAAGAACAGCGTCCCAAACTCGACGTGGTGCTTCAGAGAAGTGGACGTCGTAGAGAGGAGGAAGATGACAAATCCGACGACCAGGTAGGGTAGTCGTTGTCTGGACTTGTGGGAGGATTTGAGTTAGGTTGAGAGAGCATACATGGTCATGAACAGTTGGATGCCTATTTCGCGATTGCGTGTAAGGGTACGGCGAATATGGGAATCGGGGAAAAATCGAACGTACCGACGCTGAGAGTGGCGATTGCCTTACTGGCATACTCTATCTTTGCAATCTTCAACACTGCAGCAGCATGTTCCGTATCAGCCGACATCTTGTAATAATGTGCAAGTCTGTAGAACCACAAATTAAAGAAAAGTAGGAGGTTTTTTGTCCAAGGTATACATTCATAGCTATACAATACACTCCCCCATTCTCCTATCGCATTCGACTGACTGACACTTCGCATGTGACATCAACGGTCAACCAGGAATCCAATTCTTCATGTGCCTCTGCGTCCTCATCGTCCCGCACGAAACACCGCACTCATTCCGTAAAGGCCGGCTCCCCTACATCCTCGCCTCCTCCGCCATCCTCGGGTTCTCCCTGGTCGGGACGCGTGGCAAGTTTCGAGAGCCTCTACCGCTCTGCGGATGGGCTTGGATGGATCATGTAGTGCGATGATACGCACTATAGTCTATGATTGGGTGGTGGTGCTTTCGAGGACGATGGTTACGGCGTATGTATTCGTTGGGGGATGGACTATTGGTGAGTGGATCTGGCGGGCGGTGGGCAGCACTGAAGCAGAAGGCGTATCGAAACCTATTGAATTCGGGAGGGGTGTCTCTACTACTACTACTACTACTACTACTACTACTGCCACCAATCCAGAAGCACCGTCGAAATTGGAATCAGAGTAGACCCTCCAAAGTGGAATCAGAGTAGTTAGTTGCCGAGAGGAGGATTGAGTAAGTGTACCATGGATTGGAGGAATTGCCTGTGTTTCGATTTCGATTTCTATTTCTGTCCTCGCGTATTTCAAATGTGCATCTTTCAACGCGTACATGATTCGAGAGTCAGCTGTATGAACCTACCTAGCGACTACATTCAGACGTAGCTAAACCCAAAGCTGGTGGGAACTACAACCGTCGCCAAGGTACAGGACAACCTAGTCATCCAGTTCGTCGAGCTCGAAAATGCATATATGTAGTATATTCGAGGGCCCGTTCAAGTTTAACTTCCTAGCCTCTCCGTTGTCCAGGGTCAATTCGATGTTCATTATTCTCTGTGTAAGTACAAACACGGGCATGGACGTAGTCATGACTCAGATATCATGTGCAATACCGTTCCTTCAGCCACCCATTCTCGATCTCATAAAGCCTCGAATCATAGTACTTCCAAGTGGGATACAGCACGTCCAGCCGCCACAGTGGTTCCGGTCCTCCATACGGTTCGAACTTGCCGTCCTCCTCCTTTCCAATCCCGAAGAACTCACGAAGCGTATCGATATGCTCCTGCTTGGGTCTGCGGTTCCCACTCTTCCTACTATTATCCGTCATAACAATACACGGAATCGCTCTCCACTCCTCCCCACCATGCACAGTCTCAATCCGAATCGGTCCAAACTTTGCCTCTTTCCCGCGGCCAACATGGTCAAACTCCCACATGAGGTCTGGGAACCGCTCGGTGAGCACGGCGTGAAGGAGCGGCGAAGCGAGTTCGCAGTCGATGAGTGGTTTTCCTGGGTTGCCGTGTTTGTCTGTGCCGGTTGAGCCCGTCGGAGAAGCTGGGGAACCCGCATCGCTCGGCGATGGCGTGCATTGTGTTGTCGTCGAATGCCCAGCCGAAGTTGAAGCGGGGTGGCTGCAAGGCATAGCCAGGCCGCATTCTGAGCCCGCGGGGAATGTGCGGGATGGGCATGACTTCGGCCAGTGTCCGCAACCATTGCAGAGGGGTTTGATTCTGAAGGCGAAATCAGAGTGAGAGGCGGAAGAGTTGTAAAGACATACCCTGTCTACGAAGCGCAATGGCAGAAACTCTTTGGGAAGATGCCCCTAGCGTTTTGTGAATTCTTCCCGTAGAGATGGAGATATCGTAGCTGACATGATTCAGTGAGTTCCTCGTCGCGTTGGCTCTGAGGGTGAAGGTCAACTTCCAAGGTATGTGGGTGGCGCGTGACGACAATGACAGATTATTCAATACTTATTCAATATTCAATATGATACCGTTCCTTCCATCGCCCGGTCTGTATAATTTCACTAGACGTGTTATGGAGGTTTTCACAGAGGCGAGGATTCGGAGGCCATGGTATTCTGTCTTAGTAGGCAAAGGTCTACACCGTCTGAACCTAACAAGGCCAAAGCACACGAGCTCGTCCACAAACGGTAAACCAGGGCTGTTGTACCTGACCTTCACGGCCAACGACGACGAGGAATTCACTGCATCATGTCAGCTACAATCCCTTCGTGTCTCCGCGAAAGATTTCTGAAACGCTACGGGCATCTTCCCAAAGAGTTGCTGCCATTACGTTTCGTGGACCCGGTTAGTTTGTATTTCCTACTTTCCAACGTGCCACCACTAGCGCCCGCCGAATTCTCATGTCTCTCTTTCTCTCTCTATTCCCCATCGCGCACCGGTGCGGGTTCCCCGGGTTTCACGAGGAGTGGAAGGGGAGGGACAAGCACGGCAACCCAGGCCGGCCACTCCTCGACTGCGCGCTAGCTTCGGAGCGCCTGCATACAGTCCTCACCGAGCGATTTCCGGACCTCATGCGCGAGTTTGACCATGTCGGGTTAGGGAGGGAGGCAAAGTTTGGTCCGATTCGGGTTGAGACTGTGCATGGGGGGAAGCCTGGGTTGCAAGTGAGGGCGGTGTCGTGCGTTGTTTTGACGGATAGTCAGAAGAGTGGGAATCGGAGGCCTAAGCAGGAGCATATTGATACTCTCAGGGAGTTTTTTGGGATTGGGAAGGAGGAGGAGGGAAAGTTCGAACCGTATGGGGGACCGGAACCGCTGTGGTGGCTGGATACCATATATCCCATTTGGACGTACTATGATTCGAGGTTGTATGAGATTGAGAATCGGTGGTTGAAGGAGCGGTATGATGTTGACAGCTGAATGCAATATTGTAGGCCACCCCAGAATTTTTGATACTGAGAGCGCCCTTTCTTAGCTCAGATACTCAATTAGTTCGGATGGGATGGTGCAGAAGGGCGGGGGAAGAGTTGCACTGTAAAGTGCTATAGTCCCCGACGCACAGTCAGGGAGCGAACAAGGAAGGAGCGAGAGGAGCCAGGTGGAGATGGGCGCGCTATGTGGGCAGATTCATCGTCATACAGTAAGTACCTAAATGGTGTGGAATGGCGCTCTTATTGAAAATTCTGAGGTGGCCTAGAATATCGCATTTAGTTGGAATATTGACTGAATCATCGTGATTATCCGCATGCATAGATACCTCGAACACTCTTCAATTTTCCGACGAGGACTGAACTATTGGACGAAGAGGGCTGTACGTAGCTTTCCCTTTGGGAAAAGCCTCAGGAGCACTCAAGCCCAACACCGAATACGGGCGCTAAAGTGGCGGAACCGAAAAGTCTCGTGATGGGTAGTCCAAAAGGGGTTTAGAGCGGACACCATCACGTCACCAGACCTGACACCCGCGGCGATGTTTGGGTTTGGTTCGAAAACGCGAATCCCATTTTCGAAACTCTCATGTCGACCCACATCCCTCGTTGAACCACTCTTTTCCCGCCCAACGACTACTCGCCTTCGTCGAATACTTATCCTGGGCTAGAAGGTCATCTGCGCCCACCGCAAAACCAGGACAACGCCAGCGAGACTCCAAAGCGGGCAGGGCGGAAGCCGATTAGAAGTTTGAACACCCAGCGCATAGTTCGGCGTTCGACGTGTGGATGCCGCAATCCTCGATACGAAGTTCGACGTCGACGCTGGGGTTGGACCTGAGGGGATTCGGAAGACCAGGGAGCACGAGTGGGAGCAGTGCAGGGTCGACCTCGCAGCGGAGTTCGGTTATGGTTACAGTGCGTGTTCTCTTCATCGTCGTGTGCCCAGGTGAAGCTAATTCGGCTTGGGAATATAGACATGCAAAGAAGAAAACGAGGAAGACGACGACGGGGAGGGGAGTCTGAATGCGAGTTTGGCGGGGCTGGCGATTGCGATGATGGAGCATAATATGATTATGAGGGATAATATTGAGCGGTTGGAGAAGATGTGCGTTTTTGGTCCTCTTGTGTTTCCGCTTGATGACGCTTATGGGACGCTGTAGATTCAGTCATTTTAAGATGAGCACGCAGCAGTCTCAACATCACCAGCAGCAGCGGTAGCTGCGCATCGGCCTCGCTTCATACACCCCGCCCTGTCGGCCCCGCCTTTCTATCCCGCCCACACACCTCACATATGCTTCCCGCCCACTCTACACCCCGCCCAACCCTCTCGCCTATCCATCCCACCTAATCCACCCACCTCACCTTAGAGCACACACTACTTCTTGCACGACCATTATGGAGGGCCTCTGTACCACTTTTCTTGTACTCTTGCTGGTACGTTCCTTTCCTCTCTCCGCCAATCGCTCGCTGACGTATCATCTCTTGCTGTCGACAGTGTAACTTTATTGATTTCTGTACTGTATGTTTGGATAATCTATACCCCCGCCTATCTCTATACCCTCACATTCTTTCTTTCAATATGGCGTCGCTTGTCTCCTGAGGCCGCCCAGGCGCGAATCTATCCCGAAGTTGCGCCGTCTCTCGCTCTCGTCACCCGATGCTCGAATACCCGCTGGGTCGGTATGTACCACCCATCCAACGCGTTGCCTCCTGGTTGCAATCCCAAGGCCCGCGCTTCCATTCTCCAACCTCCAACCTCTCAGAACTCGTCGGCTTCTCGAGTGCTACAGGCCAGGCCCTAACTTTGTTAACCACCTCTCAGCCTACTATACCGACTCTCGGTGTCCCACTCAATGTTCAGCGGCGCTCCAATCGGCGTCAAGAGAGAAAGGATATGTGGTTAATGAATCCGGGGAGCGTGGCAGGTGGACGCGATGACGCAATGTCGGCTTGGTGGGAACAGTCCGTCGTCCGAACTTGTGCTTTTCATGACCTCTTGTCGTGTGATATCGAGATTCGACTCGAGGCGGGAGTCGTTCTTCCTTCAACTTTTCCTTGCCATTCCCATTCTCTGAGTAGGGGGAGGAGGGAGTATGTAGTAGTCTTGGGTGAGCCCTCGTCCTCTGTCTATCTCAACCTAGCGCAGCATCGGAATTGACGATTGTTTTCAAATAGCCCCTATCCCGTTTCAAAGTACGCGCGTAGTTACTATCCCCAAGAATTGCAGTCTGCTTGAGATCCCCTCGTGTCCAGGCACAACCTCCGGTAACTCAAAACTGATATCACGTTTTCGCGTGGCACAAGTTATGCATTCTCAATCGCGGTGTCTAATCGTCTTATCGTCGTTCCGTGGGCCGTGGGGTGTCCAACAGCACCCAGAGGCCAGCCCAGCGTGTGGACTTGGACAGTATGGTATGTTTTTTCATGTTGGATACCCACGTACTTGTGGTTGACAATGATGGGTATTGTGATGATAAGGAACGGAATGACGGAGGGAGGATGGCGTGCAAATTCGTTGTTGGGCTTGGGCGTGGTGGTTGATCCTGGACTTCAACTACAACCCATCGAGAACGACACGACTCGGACGACCCGGGCGCGACAAGGAAAAGTATAGGACGACGATTTGCGAGTCGTCGGTATGGCGGATTGAAGGTTTCGACGAGTATTGTTACTTACCTTCGCCTACATCGACTTTGCTATACTCCGTCGACGTGCTTCTCCATCGACTTTGGACACCTTCGCCCCCTCGTACCTTACGATCATCGCCATCGCTGTTGACGCCCTTTCAATTCTGTTCTTCCTTTCGACCGCTTCACTCACTCACTCACTCTCTCTGCGCGTACCTTCCGAAATACCCCCATTTCAAAGGACCATCGTCATCGCCGATCGTATCGTTCCGTCGTATTGGAGGTCAAGAAACCTTGGTCAAGAATCTTCGGTCGCACGGAACGTTTGGTCGTAGGAAACATCGGAACGTTTGGTCAAGGAACGTTCGGTCGTAGGAAACTTTCAGTCAGGAAATGTCGGAAGGAAAGATCGATTGGGAAGTCTTTGGGCGTGTCACGGCTGGTGCGATGTTTGTTAATGTGGTTGTTACTGTTTTTGTTGTTGGTGCGTTGCTCATTCTTCGTTCCTTGTTTCGAAGTTCGTTTCTCGTTTTCGTGCTGGCTTCTCGTCCTCGTTTTCGTTTCTCGTTTTCGTGTCCATTTCTCATTTCGTGTTCGTTTCGCGTTGACTTGATTGACCATTGACTTGATTCACCGTTGGCTTGATCGACCGTTGACTCGATCGACGGTTGACACCGACTCTTTATCCCACTGACTGAATCGAAACATTTGGCTGACGCTCTTCTTTTCAGGCATACAATTCTTCATGTGCCTCTACGGCTTACTCACCTATTTCTCGCCTCGGTCTGGGAGGTCTGGGAGGAGACGGGCGTACAGGCGGTCGTCTGCTCGTATACATGGGACTCGAAGCTCTCACCCAGGGGAGCTGGAGTTGACTTCTCTTCCGGTGGAGTTGCACGCGCATCCGGTGGAATTGAACACCCATCCAAGTTCGCATTTAGAGTTTGCGTCGGAGGAATCTTCTTCTTCTCCTCACCCGGCTCTGTCGGAGAACGAGCCCCATTCCGCACACCCGCTTCGCTCGCCGTCGTATAACGCTCCTCGTACCTCGCGTCCTCCTCGCCTCGAGTCGCGTTTTTATTTACGACGGCCTGTATCGCGGCATCGCTCCTCGAATCACGAGGGTTCTCAGAAAGCTTCACACCACTCCTCCTCTAATACTGTTACTCGGTCTAATCACTCCTCCTCGCATCCCTCCCATCGATCCTCTTCCCATCCCTATCCATCCTCTTCTCACCCCACCTATCCATCCACTTCTAACAACGCATGGCGTTCAACTACACCTCGCGGACCAAGTTCTCCCAGGAACAAACGCAAACTCCCGTACCTCCTCACCTCCCTCCTCATCTTCACCCTCTTCGCGCTCACTGCGTCGTTGGATGCTTATACCCAGTGGAAGACGTTGTTTGAGAGTAGAGGTGGGGAGAGTTTTTATGATTTGACTGAGGAGGTGCGTTTTGAGTCTGTCTTTTCTCTTCGTTTTCACTTTTTCGTTTTGTGGTTTGTTCGTTTTGTGGTTTGTTCGTTTTGTGGTTTGTGGTTTGGGGATACACGAAGCTGACGGCTGACGGCTGACGGGCTCTGACGGGCTGACGATGAATTTTGTTGGGTGTTTTACACAGCATGAACGGGAGTGGGCGAGGGTGACGGGTTTGTTTTGTCTTTTTGGGAGTTTGTTTGTTGGGGATGGGGTTTTGGTGCGTACTTGTGTTGGCTCTCTTGCTTTGAATCGGGCGGTTCACTGACTCGCATCGATACCTCTCATTCGAACTGGTCAATCAACTCGCTCGGACTGTCCACTCAACTCACTCGGACCGTTCCCTCGACTCGCTTGGACCGTTCGCTCTACTTGCTCGCGTCGCTCACTCGATTCGCTTGGACACTCCCTCTCACTCGCATCGTTCCCTTACGCGGACCATTCCTTCAACGCGGACCGCTTTGCAGCTTTACAGAGCGTATATCGTATGGAAAGACAAGTGGTATGTTATGGTACTACCTTTTCTGGCGTATCTCGCTTCGATCGGTGCGTACTTTCACTTCCCAGTCTGTTCCCGTCTACCCCTCTTAACTCACGTATTTCCTTCGTACCTTTACGCCCCATGTCCCCCTCCCCAACACGCTTCAATCACCAACTCGATTTTAATCACTCAACTTGAATTAATATAAACACAACAGGCCTGGGCCTCCAAATCGCCTCCCCCTCCCCCCACATAGGCTGGACGACGCAAGACAGGCGTATCTCCTCCGCCTTCACCTTTCTCGCTGTCTCGGTGAATGTGATGGTTACGTTTTTGATTTCGTATCGGTTGGTTAGGGCGAGGCGGATGATGGAGGATGTGGTTGAGAGGGAGTATTTGCAGGTGGGTTTCGTTTGTTCGTTCGTTTGTGCTTTTCCTCCTTGCTTCCTTACTTCCTTGCTTGCTTGTTTTTTTTCCCTTGCCTGTTTTCTTCCCTCCTTGCTTTCTTCCCTCCTTGTTTTCTCCCCTCCTTCCTCCCCTCCTTCCTTGTTTCTATCTATCATCATCCTCGTTTCCTCACCCTGCGGCTGTGCCCGGTACTTACACTCGCTCCGCTCGCAGATATACACACGCATAGTCGAACTCCTCGTCGAATCCGCTCTTCCGGTTGCGGTGTTTGGGTTTGGATATGCGGTTACGCTCGTTGTTCCGCTTGGTGAGACGACGGAGAGTATGATACGGTGGCAGGTTGCGAATATGTTTTTTGCGGGGATGTATTTTGCCAGTGCTGTGAGTGTTTTATTCGCCGAGTCTTTTGGGGTTTTATGTTTTGTTTGCTCCCTCACGTCGTGTTCTGCCTTTCCTCATGTGAGACTCGTTTCATCGTCTACCATGTTCGAAGGCGAGACGGACGGCCTTTGGAGTTGTTCTTCCCGTTTAAATACTCGTGAATCGATTTGGCTAACTGCGTCTCGTTCTCTCGTATTACTAGACTCTCGCGCCGCAGATGATTATCTTCCGGGTGACGACCGGTCGATCGTGGACGAACGATACCGACGAATCTTCCTTTTCTCATTCGTCGGATGGGGAAGTGTACGGGACGTCGTCGGGTTTTGTGTTTACTACGCCTCGGGATGAGCGCGAGCCTGGGGGGTACAATGATGATGATGATGATGATGATGATGATGATGATGATGATGATGATGATGGAGATGGAGATTGTGGAGCGGGAGGGAGAATGAGGTATCGAGAGCCGCTTGAACTTGATCATAGTTCTGGTGAGGGTGATCATGAGGATAGAAGGTGGGTATTGCCTTTCCTACCCACTTCCTCTTTCCTTTCCTGAATCTCCTGTCCCGAATCCGCCTTCTGACGAGCTTCTTTACGCTTCTAGACACTCACATTCGCCACACGATACGGATTTGGAGCCTATGCGGTTTGCTATTCCGTCCCTACCTGGAGTGGGAAGGGGTGGGTTGGCGGTCGCGGTCGGTGATGCCAGTGCGAAGGGACACGAATTGGGAAGGGGGAGCCTCAGCCTCAGTGTGTCGACGAAGCATGAGAGTTGGGAGATGAAGCCTGTCCCAACTTGAAACTTGAGGGTGGGGCGTCCGCGGGAGGAGGGGAAACTCAAGCTCAAGCTCAATCACACATTCGTTAATTTATTCCTCAGATTTTACTTACCCTTGTTTTTATGACCATTTATGCCGTTTTATACCCATACATGCCTGGTTCGTGCGTCCAGCCTGGTCTAAGTCTTTGTCTCTATGTGGAGAAAAATCATCGTGTCGACTATGACCAAGTTGGCCGTGTTTATAGGAAAGCGCCAAACCGTTCCTGCGACGACTTCAAGTCAATCCGAGGCTGGACGTGCTGTATCCCACTTGGAAGTACTATGATTCGAGGCTTTATGAGATCGAGAATGGGTGGTTGAAGGAACGGTATTGTACATGGTTAGCGCTCAGTTTAGGCGTGTCAGACAAGTTCGTTCTTGGGTTGTATTCCCTGGCAGATAAGCAGTCGTCGCTGTCGTTTCACAGTTCGACTGATATATTCGATCTCAATAATGGCTCCTCTGCTGTCGTTTCAGAGTCCGTAAGGGTACAATAGTCCTGGTTTACGGTTTGTTCGTGTGCTTTGGTCTTGTTAGTTTCAGGCGTTATAGGCCTCAGCTTTGCCTACTGAGACTCGAATATTTTATCCTGGCCTCCCAAATCCTCGCCTCTGTGAAATACTCTATAGAACATCTACTAGTGAAATTATACAGACCGGTTGATTGAATTGAATCATCGCGACTATGGCCTTGGCTGTGTTTATAGAGGACCCCGGAAAGTATATGGGGAGGTTAGATTTCAAAACCGGGATTTTATCAGGACGGAAAAAAGCGGTTTTTTCCAATTTTATCAGGACAAAAATTCAACCTAGCGCCGAAATCCCAATTTTATCAGAACCATTGTACTAACCTCCAGAATTGGTCAAAAATGAACATTTTCCCTTCAATTTTTCGCTCAGACTGGCCCTCTTTCGTCACCAATCGGACATGTTAGTCGTTCTGAATCCCCGAAAGGTGCATTAGCCGAAGACACTGAGGCGGTAATCCAACTACGACAGGTATTCAACATCACCATGGCATCAGCCAATTCCAAGTCTCCCTCATCCTTCTTCCTCCCTTTCCACAATTTCAACGCCTTCTCAAGCTCCGTGGATTGCATAGAGAGAGGTCTGACAAGTGGTAAAAATTCCTGGTCAAGAAGAAAGCCGCCATTGGGCTGGAGGGTGATGGTCTTGGAGGGCAAGACTGTGAGGAACTGGATGTGGGGGATGAGAGCGAAATAATTGCTGTGAGTCCGAAGTGTAGCATTGGTTAAGGGAGTAAATGCGTTTCCGTGGCGGTTCTGGAATAACTGGAGACCAAGGTAGGAAACCGCAGAGACCGCTGGAGTATCGGTGATTGCAGCATGCTCCTGCATGACGACCATTCTTGCCTCCGGTCTTTGAATACATTGTCAATACTACACGGTGTAATGTTAGCCGAAATCGGACCAGCAAAAGCAACATCAACGACTAGGATTCGAACCTGCGACCTCTACATTGTAATGCTCATTTGGGGCTCCTTGGCCAAGATTTTATCAGGACAAACGTCTAAGCTCGGACTCTCGACCCGATTTTATCAGGACAAACCAACTAAGATTTTCGCGCAAAATGCCCAATTTTATCAGGAACTAAGGTAACATTCAGGCCAAAATTTCCGAATTTTATCAGGAACGCCAACTAACCTCCCCATATATTCTCCGGGGTCCTGTTTACACAGCCAGAGTGGTCAGCGTGCTCTGAGCACGCTGGGAAAAATCCATGCTCGGAGCATGCTCGGGACGATGCGCTGAGCATCAAATATTGATGCTCCGCCTACGGTGGAGGGCCCATGAACGTGGATGAACGTGGCGTGTGCTCTGCCAGTGAACATCACTGATCGTGCTCAGAGCACACCACGACTGTGCTCCGCTCATCGTCGGCTGTCCATGCTCGGCCCATAGAACCCTTTTCCCACCATTCCCACCATCCCTTCCCTTGCCATTCGACGTTCTTCCCTCTTCTCTTTGCACGTTTCTGGTCATTTGTTGTACAAAAGTGTGTGTATGTGAATTAGAATCGAAGATGGTTCCTACCAACGCCGAACGTGAGCGCTGTTTCGATTTTCTGGGTGGACTTGCTGAGACGTTTTCAGATTTCACTTGGCAATTGCAATCCAATACATGGCAATGCAACGTTTGCTTTGGAAACCCAATATTTCAGGAGAAGCATGTCACCCGCCATGAACAATCTAGGGGGCATACAACTGCAGTTACCCGATACATCGACGAGATGAACAGGTCGAACTCCCAAGCAATTCTGAATACTCCTCAAGGGGTCATTGAACACCCGCCTCCACCTCCGACACCAGACTTTTCGTCTGATTTCGCCCTCGACAGCCTCATTCTGCAAGCACGGACCGGCATCCTTAACCCAACAGTACCTTCTCCATCTCATCGGGCGTCAGTGATCCCTCGCACTCATACCCCTGCACCACCTACACCACCTGCACCAACGGTCGACATCGCGATAACTGAACATCATTCCTCCCGTGAAACCTTACAAGACTCACGAAGGGTCGTCATCGAAGCAGTTCAGAACGCCATCGACAAGTTCGTGAACAACTCTGATGAGTCAGATGACGAGGTTTATGGGGACATCGAAGAGGAGCCTGTTGTTGGAATTCAGATAGATCAGGAAACCAGTACGTGAGCCGTTTTTACGTGATGTAGGACTGTGCTGACCGCGATCCTAGCCCCTGCTCTCCCAACCACCTCTAGCCGCAGCAATCGAAAGGGGCCTCAACGCGGACCATGGTCACCCTGGCCCGATCGCATTGTTAGGATATCTGTAAATATTGTCTTTCACCCTCGCTGATGATAGAAACAGAGTTGCACCATTGACGTCGCGTCTCGAATACCTCGTTCTGTCATGTCCGATTTGGATAAGGATGTATCTTTATGGCTGTTATCCGAAAATGGTGTTCCCAATGTACCGTCTCTTTGGGAACTGAAGCAGATCAGTGCAAACGTGGAATCGTATTGCGGAATGAACATGAAGCGACATACTGGATCAATGGGGCATACCTATTATGTCCTTCAACCATCCTCTCACGTTGAAATGGTAGCGTTTTCTCCACTTAAAGGTTGCGTAGATGTACTGAAGCTCATCTGGACAGGATTTCGCTAATCCAACAGTTCGCGCCCAGATGGAGTTTTACCCGGAGAAGCTGGACGGTCAGCCGATGTCTCGAGCATCCCAAGCTCAGCGGTGGCTGGAGGAGATGGACGGCGACTACTTGACGCCAATGTACAGAAAGGGAGGTAGGGATTTCTACGTCTTCGAACCGACCCTTCTTGACAATGGTAGTGTCGTAATGCCCACCCGCTTTTTTCGAATGGGGTCATCGAACACTATGTGGTTTGATGCATGGCCAGTTACACCTCTGTCTGGGCAGAACGGGTGGTTGGTTGACGAAGAACACTCATACTCTCTCCATGTCCAAGAGCTGTCCCTCTCGGGAGACGATCTCTGGTCTGGCGCGTTGCTCGGTGTTCATTTACCTCCTATCCGAAACCTGTGTAAGTAGGCTTACTGCTTCGCATAGAGCAAGCTAACACCTACCTCAGTGATGAAAAGTTATGAAGACGCTCGCGAGCCCTTCAAGCCATGGGATAGGCCATTTCTGAATCCGTGGAGACTCAAAGCGGGAGGTAGACGAGTTTTTAGCTATCCCATGTGGTTATACTGTGACGACACTTCGGGCAATCGATCGAAGAAGTGGAACGAGCATAATAGCTTCCTAATGGTCTCAGCCTGTCTACCTCGTGAAGCGGCGCATCGCGAGGTGAACGTCCACTTTTTGTGCACCTCCAACGCTGCTCCGCCCTTGGAAATGATGGAAGGAATCGTCGAGGACATCGAGTGCGTAGTGTATCATCATCGATTCTGCTCAAAGGCTAGTGAACTGATCCTTGCATTAAGATCCTCTCAGAAGGACGGGATCTGGGTCTATGACAGTGTGCTTCACGAAATGGTTCTAGTCGTCGTATGGGTATTAGCCCTTCTTGGTGATAACCCGATGCAAAGTGAATTTGCTTGCCATGCGGGGCTCCGATCGAAGTTCTTCTGTCGGGTGTGTTGGGTCAAGGGCAAGGATACCGACGACATGGAGGAGCTCATCGTAGGTGGTGGAAGGTCTGAGACGGAGGACGGCTTGATTGAACGAGTTTTACGGTTTATGAAGGTGAGATTTGTGCTTAATCCGATATCCCAAGGCTTATACTTCAGTAGGTTGGAAGAAAGCGCACGAGAGAGCAGTCACTAGAGACGACGCAGGAAATGCTCGACAACGTTGTGTTACTCGAAACGCAGAAGAAGAATAACGATCTCCGTGTCAAAACCGGAGTCAAGGATACCTTCCTCAACTTTTTCCTCGACAAGATCGAGCAGCGCCGGAAGAACATTACCGATGTTGAAGAGCGGGAGAATGTCACGGCCCGTGTCCTCAATACCATGCCCCGCAATGTCTTCAGTCCCGTCTGGAGATTAAAAGGCTTGTCATCCATAACTTCCTGTACTAGAGCGTGAACTGACTCGCCGGATAGATCTCAACCCACACCAAGATACACCAGTCGAGATTCTTCATGTCGTCCTGCTTGGATATGTGAAGTACTTCTGGCGGGATGCGATTGACCGGCTGTCAGATCCTCAAAAGGTCACCCTTAAGCACCGACTCAGCTCGTTAGATCTGTCTGGCCTCGATCCGGCGGCATCCTCGTTGCGAGGGCAAACCTTAGTTCAATATGCTGGGTCTCTTGTTGGACGCGACTTCCAGTTAATTCAGCAGGTGGCCATCTTCGCCCTTTACGATCTGTTGGATGAACGAATCCTGAGCACCTGGGCTGCCCTCTCAGCCCTAATTCCATATCTATGGCAGCCGCAGATCGATGATCTTGAAGCCTATCTGGTAAGTGCATGCCTGGCTCTGGTAGTCCTCAATTTCTGATTGGTATTTTGCGACTTCTTCGAACTAGATTGACCTGCAAGATGCTATCGACCATTTCCTAGAATGCACCGCGCACTGGACTCCTCGATGGTTTAACAAGCCGAAATTTCATTTATTGCTCCATCTTCCGGCACACATACGACGATTTGGTCCTGCTATTCTTTTTGCAACCGAAGTCTTTGAATCTTTCAATGCGGTGATTAGGGCCTGGTCTATCCACTCCAATCGCCTTGCACCATCTCGCGACATTGCCATGCATGCTGCGCACCTTGCTCGAATACGTCATTTTCTATCAGGAGGCTACTTTCGGGTCAAGGGTTCGGAAGAGCCTGACACTTTCGAGTGGTTGACCGCCGGCGCAGAAGTACTGCGGCTTGGACAAGAGCCTTCGGTGGTAACACGTCGGATTGGTTTGTTTAGAGAACCTCCCAGAGCGCCTGGTAAGTCTGATTGAATTGCTAGTCCACCTAACTCATATTCACTATAGGCATAACCAGGAGATCGAAGAACACTGGCGCGGTACACTGGGACAAGACCCAGTCCGCCCAGCATGCTCCAGTACCCGATGTACCTCATGATCTCACACAGCAGTTGTTCAGATTTGGGAAGGAGGCTTGCATTCAGAACCTTGACATCGTTCAAGTTGGGAGCTTCGTCATTCTATGCTCTGGGAATCCGTTGGAGGCATCGATCGGGGAGATCATCGAGATTCTGACCCCCGCCTTAGGTTCGCTTTTCTCGGATAGTGACGGTCCTTCGTATGTTCTTGTGAAGGAGTACGAGCCAGGTCCTCTGGTGCCGCCTTACTCCATGCCAAAGCTAATACTCAAAGGTTACGCCTTTGTACCATTGCAGGTGAGTGGTTCGTACTAATGCTCACACTGTATCTTTAACAATTCGCCAGGAATTGGCTTGCGCTGTCAATGTACAGCATAATTGTGCACAGAACCGTTGTGACTTATCCAAGTCCCGCATCGTCCGCATGGAACGAGAAGATACGACCCAAACAGAGCCAGAAACAAGGCACCGTAATGTGGACGACCGAGTGCTGAACATCTCGAAGATTCGAGACGCCCGATTTCTTCGCAAGTTCCTGCCAAAGCCAGTTCGAAGGGATAGAGAGCAGCTGGTACGGGACTCAGTACGCCGTGAACTCGATCTGTGATTATATTCGACCTGTAATTCAATCACTTTCGACGGTGGATTTGGGATGGAAATCGCTAAGTCCTTCGTCACGTGATGGCACACAGTCGCTCGCTTGAGTCTCGCTTGAGCCAGCAAGTCACTTTTGCTTGTTCCCTGAGAGCCACAGCTTCAAGAGCTCATTCCTCTCCCTCTTAAACCTCTTCGTGCTTTCCGTCATGAATGTCCAATCCCTCACCCATCCGACTGAACGACCTCCCAATCGCTATGATTCTCTCGGACTTCATGGACATCCGCATGCGCCCTTTCGACCCAACGGCGGGAACAGAAGCACTGCCAACGGTCCTGGAGCATCTGTCGTTCACGGAAATGTGCACATTCGCTCGGTCTCCTATGGAGGTGTCCGTTCAGACTACGAGAATCACCCTCCCCTCACCAATATACACAGCGGAAGTAGTGGCCAGAAGCGCCAGCGCACCAACAGTTGGGACGATGAACTGTCACCACCATCCTCTCCTGACGGACTCCCTGCTCAGCACCGTCGTAGTGCTTCGCTCACCACCAGCTCTGAGCCACTCAATCCCATCCCTGCATCTGCTGTGGCAGGCTTAGCTGACCAGTTCCAACTTGATCATGCGAAACGGACGCTACTGTTCTCGTTTCATAAAGTGCGTTTTATACTCAGTCTTCTGATAGCTTTTTTAACTCATACATCTGTGCTACGTGTCTAGGTGTGCGAGGGCCTCGCTTTTGCTGATGCCATGACTCGTGTCCTCACATTCAGTTTGGAACTCCAGAATGCGCAACGCATTGCAACACTTGAAGCCAAGGTTGCGGCGTCCGCCGCTCAGCTCGAAGGCATGGCGAATGCAGCTAAGAAGGGAAATGTTATCACTCAGGCTATGACTGACTACATGTGCAAGCTCGCACGAGCTGCATGCGTTGAGCCAGATCGAACTGTATTCAAAGACATGTACATTGACGTTTTAGTAAGTCCTATCCCTAATAACCCTCGTTGTAAGTTGCATCTGACCGACTGTTTGTAGGAACAGTTCAAGAAGGATGCACTTCACGAGGGATGGCTCACGGACGCAAGCTTTGGACCAAAAAGCAAGGTAACATCAGTCATCAAGAACCAGTCTAATGGTGCTCGAGAATTACTTCGCCGTTCTGTGAGTTTCTTCTCTTGATTTTCTATTCCACTCGTAGCTTAACGCCTATTCCTCGGGCCTCCAGTTAGGAGCTTCTATCTTAGAGAATGGCCCGTCAAGGATGAACCTCCAAGCCTTCTGCTCCGTTATAGCAGTCAAGTTTGGAGTCAAGAAAGAAGATATCAACGATAAGTATGTTGGCCGCATTGCATTGATGGTACGTACCTGACTCATTCCTGGTTTCAACTTTTGCGACTGCTGAGACGAAACTGGCATCACCGTACAGCGTGCTTATACCATGGAAAGGGCCAAGAAGGGTGACGTCCAGAACGTCAATGACGGTGCAGGGCCCGGTAACAGCGACGAGCAGCAACCATCCACCTCCGCGACGAGCTCGAAGCCAGTTTCTCAAGCTGGCAAGACCAGTCCCGACGAACGCTTCTGGGTCGGATTTGAGAATTACCTTGCGAAGAAGGCGTCTGAAGTCAGGCAAAAGGGTCAGCGTTGGGCCGAGTGAGTTTACTCTGGTTATGCTTGCGGGAATGGACGGATAGCTCACCTGGCTGAAAGCTATCTCAAGCAGGTTGGCCGCGACGACGAGAGAATGTTCAATCCTCCCGGGATTGAGCAAATGACACCTGACCAGCCTACCATCGCCGCATCAGAGCCACCACAGTCTGAACATCACGTCTCTCAGATGGTGGATTCTCTAATGCAGAATAATGCTGCTACGCGCTCCCAGTATTCCGCGGCCGGATTCTGAATTTGGGGGTAGTATGCGATAGAGCTCTGGATCTCTCGAGCGCCTTCGATTCTCATTCATATAATTTCACGATGTCTATACTATCTACATTATCATGGTGCAGCATTACGCTTAATGTTATTCCTTTGTTGCTACAACTGCAGCTTCGATGTGTGGTCACGAAAAGGGGTGTTTCAAAAGCCAGATGGAGGAGCAATTCCAGCCCAGAGCTCACTCCGAATTAGAAAGCGGAGTCTTTACCCGACTATGCTCTGAGCAAGAATCGCGAGTTATTGCCTGATCATGGGCCCTCCGCTGTGGGCTGCGCACACGCGTTGATGATCAGAGCACGGACGCGACTATGCTCGGATCATAGTTCTGTTTTGTGCTCTGAGCACGCTGACCTCTCTGGCTGTGTATAGGCGGTTTCTATCGGACTTTGAATCTGGATTGACGTCACACTGGCAGGCCCGCACCCCTTTCGACTTTACTCGAATTTACGTAAAGCCCAGGAGCACCCTGAACCATGTCGGCTATAATACCTTCATCTCGACGTGAAGAATTCCTCAAACGCTACGGGCATCTTCCCAAAGAGTTCAAGCCACTCCGCTTCGAGGACCCGGTTCGTATCTGCTTCTCAGTTGCACTGTTCTCACCTCACGCGCCTTCCTCGTCAAGTTCAGAATCAAACCCATCCAGAATGGTTGCGGGACCTGGCCGGCGTCATGCCCACCCGCCGCATCCCGCGCGGCCTCAAAATGCGGCGCGGCTACGCCTTACAGCCGCCGCGCTTCGACTTTGGTTGGGCGCTGGACGACAACACGATGTACGCCATCGCGAACCGGTGCGGGTTCCCCGCCTTCCACAACGAGTGGACTGGCCAAGACAAGCACGGCAACCCAGGCAAACCCCTCCTCGACTGCGCGCTAGCTTCAGAACGGCTGCACACCGTCCTCACCCAGCGATTTCCGGAGCTCATGCGCGAGTTTGACCATGTCGGGTTAGGGAGGGAGGCAAAGTTTGGACCGATTCGGATTGAGACTGTGCATGGTGGGAAGCCTGGGTTGCAAGTGAGGTCGGTCTCGTGCATCGTTTTGACGGATAGTCGGAAGAGTGGGAACCGCCGACCCAAACAGGAGCATACCGATACGCTTCGTGAGTTCTTTGGGATTGGAAAGTCGGAGGAGGGGGAGGAAGGCAAGTTTGAGCCATATGGTGGACCGGAACCGCTGTGGTGGCTGGATGCGCAGTATCCAATTTGGACGTCCTATGATTCGAGGCTTTATGAGATTGAGAATCGGTGGTTGAAGGAACGGTATTGAATCATCGTGTGCCAACGGGTGTGGCTGTTTGTATTTACTTAGTGAACAATGAGCATCGACTTGAAGTTGGAGGAACGCTGAGGCGGGCGAGAGCACTCGGCAAGTTGGGCGATGTTCGCAATGGATTTGGCCTTGTTAGGTTCAGGCGGTGTCAGCCGTCGCCAGTCATACCAGGAATGAGTTGGCTTGGCTTGGCCCTATTAGGCATGGAGAGCGTAGCGTTTAGATCCAAATCGAAAGCCTGCCAGTGATTCCGAATTCGCCTTGTCCCTTGGTTTTGCTTGTTGCTTTCCTCATGACGTGTTCCAACTTCCTCGTCTCTGTGATCATTTACTTACAGTAGCCCGCCTCTTCTGCCCTTGGTCGACCCCCAACACCTTCACAATTTGACTTGCTGGTTTGAGATACTTAGAGAGGATGATGGATCATTCACCAAGGAATCGGGCGACGTGACAGCACCTCTGTTTTGGTTGACAGGACTTCTCAAGCTCCCCAGCTTCTTCTTCTTCTTTATTGGATGGACGAATCGATGAATCGATGACGTCTCTCTCTAGCTCCTCAGGCCTCTGGATTGGGCGGGCATCTTCAGGATCGAGGAGACGTCCGTATTTGTTTTCGTACATGCGCGGTTCTACTGGAATGAGGGAGGTATATAAAGCGCAGCCAGGTCGTTCTCAATTTCCTTTCTTTCTTTCTGCCCTTCCTTTCGCCGCTCGTTACTGAGGAGGGTCGAACCACCGACACACGGTCTGACGACTCCTCCCCGCCTTTCAGTTGTGACCACCGACTCGCTCCCATCGTCTCGACGCTTCTGCGTTGTCGTTCTGCTAGCTCGGAAGCGTTCTAGGTTTTGGTATGTTCCTTTCATCTCATTGTGGACCCTTGCGATGCTCATATAGACGCGTAGAACAGGAGTTTGGGCGCATATACCCCAGTTAGAAGCTCGTATCGATGGAATTAGGCCATGCTACGACGAATAAACCCAGTCAGAAGCTCGCCTTGACGCATATAACCCTACGAAACTCGCCTCGACGCATATACCCAGGTCGAACGATGGCATCCGACGCTCAACCCTCTACCTCATCGTCTTCCACTCGTGCCGCAGCCTCACCCTCCTCAGTCCAGCCAGTCACCGCAATGGCCCCTTCGACCTCATCCTCAAGCTCACCCTTGAACACAACCTCGACCTCCACTTCGACCTCCAATGCAACCTCACCCCCATCCTACCACCCCCTCCACCCCCTGCACATCGCCGAACTGCAGAAGATCTGGGAGAAGGACACGCGTATCCCGTCGGCAGCGTCGAGGAAGGCATGGGCGGAAGCTAGGAACGTTAATCCTCATAGTGTTTATAACTGGTTTTGGAGGAGGAGGAAGAGGGTGAAAGTGGGGAGGGTCAACTCAGGGGAGAATGTGGGTGGGGAGAGGACGCCGAGTACGGCTGATAACGTTATGACGACCGGGAAGGCGAAGGGTAAAGCCACGACCGGGAAAACCAAACCCAAAACCATCGAGCCGACGTACGACTTGCCTGTCGGTATTCCGCCTGTCATCCCCGTCGAGGACAAGGCTGTCGTGAAAGAAGAGTTGCACGATGATGAAGACGCTGTCCCAGGCAAGCTTCTTGACGAACGCGCTGTGCGAGGCGGGGTGTGTGCTCCCGATACTGATACTGACAGTTCCAATCCTGCCTCGACGACCACTTCGACTTCGACCTCGACGTCCATCGACCTACCGACAAAAGCCCTGCCATCCTCCTCGACATCAACAATCCCATTTCCTCCGACCTCCTCTTCGCCACCAACCTACATCCCCCTTCACCCCTTCCACCTCTCCGAACTGCACACCGCATGGTCCCAGAACCCAGGCAAGATACCCACACCAGCGAGCCTGAAAGCGTGGGCGGAAGCGCGGGGTGTGAATCCGGTTAATGTGCATAATTGGTGGTATCGGCGGAGGAAGGGTGGGGTGGGCTTGGCTAGTCGAGGGAATGAAAGGCGGGGTGGGAGTGTAGGCGTAGTGGGGGGAGCGATGGGTGAGAGGAAAGACAGGAAGGGCGAGAGGATGGGCGGGAAGGGTAGAGGATGGCGGAAGGACACGACGGAGAAGATACTCATTATACCACCCGAGGAGATGTACGATATGCCTGTGGGCGTGCCGCCTGTCCTCCCCCCTCCTTCCTCCACATCCACTTCTACATCGAAGGACGTCGTGAAGGTTGAAGAAGGCGTAGGCCTGGTCGTTGACGTCGAAATAGTTGAGGAAGGCAAGGATGGAGGTGTCGTTAAAGATGGAGGTGTCGTTGGCGACGGGAACGGGGCGGAGGGTGGGGAGAATGTGAAGGCCGTGAACGCGAATCGAGCAGCGGGAAGGAAGAGGAAGAGGAGAGGAAGCGACGACCAACCGAGTTCGCCGTTCAAGGAGCTGTATCGGCTTATGCAGGAGCGTGGTGGGGATGCGAGGGAGGAGGGGTCTTCTGTGCCTGATTCGAATACATCGACGTTTACCTCGTCTGAATCCTCGACGGCGTCGGCTTTCGCCCCCACCCCGTCCTTGACAGCGTCGGCTTTCGTCTCATCCTCGACGTCCTCGGGTTGGAGTTCTACAGCGCCCACTCTCCTCCCAACACCCTCTTCGTCCTCAGCTATGTCGTTCGAGATGGAGCTGGATACGGACTTACTTCCGCCTTCCAGTCCTCCCTCGGAGTCGTCGACCCTACGGCCATCGTATTCCCTCGCCCAAGTCTCTCCCCTCGCTTGCCCAGATACTGTGGCTCGTCCACAGACACCGCGTCGTCGACTGGACGTTTCGCGCAAGAGCGGCGGAGTTGGACGCACGTCGTCACTTCTTTCTTCGGCGATTGGGATTCATTTGAATTCGAAGAGGGTGGGATTTGATGAGGAGGAGGATATGGATGTGGACGTCGCTGTGGACGATGCGGATGTGGATGTAGATGTGGAGGGTGGACATGATGATGAGGAGGGTGGGCAAGAGGATTCGGGCGGGATGGACGTTGATGGCGGGGTGGACGATTCATCGGGTAAGCGACTAGGTTCCCTATCCTCTCTTTATTGCTTAAATGTTTGTCTACTTCGTAGATAGCGGACGTTCGGGGTTCTCGAGAGTTAGATTCTCGTCTCTTCCTCCATCGTCTCCTCTCCCACCGTCCTCGCCTCGCACTCCGTCGTCTTCTCTACCATCATCGTCTCCTCTGCGTCCATCGTCTCCCATACCAGCTCTCGACCTTGACCTCCGTAACTTCTCCGACCTCAGTACAGTCTCGGGAAGTGGGTGCGACACTTTCAGCGGCGGTGGACACGACGCCAGTTTCGGCAGGGGTGGACTTGGACTTGGGCTGCATTTTCCTACGAGTTCGACTGACATGGAGGATGTCGATGATGAAGCTAAGGCGGGTTCGACGGGGTTCTCGGGTTCGACTGTGGGTTTGGGCTTGGGTTCTGCTGAATCTGGTTCTGCGTCAACTGCGACTACAGTCTTGGACAGTTCTGGTTCTACGTTCCCTACGACAACGACGACGTCAATTCTGGGTTCCGGTTCTGGTTCTACGTCTCTATGCGCTGGCTTGGACGGGATGCACGACTCAGACGGTATCGACTTGGATTCTGGACGTTCTGGAGGATATGGAGGGAGTAGTGGCACTAGTCTCGGACTCATCTTCGACTCTCCCGCCGACCACTTGAAGGACCGACATCAAAGCCGAACTCATCCAGGCCTAAATCACCGAAGCCTCAATCATCCAAGCCTAAGTCATCGAAGCCTCAATCATGGAAGCCTAAATCATCGAGCCTTGAATTGGAATCATAGTCTTCAGTTTCCCCTCGCTGTTTCCTCTCGGTTCACACTGGTGCATACGTCCTTTAGGGAGTATGTGAAACTCAACTATGCACCGATCGACGATTCGGTCTTCACTTTGTCGTCGAGGTCGAGAGTTGATTCAGGCTTTGCTTCGTCGTCGGGAGTTGGTTCAGCCATCACTTCGTCTTCGAGGGTTGATTTCCCGGCCATCACTTCGTCTTCGGGGGTTGATTTCCCGGCCGTCACGTCGTCGTCGAGGTCGGGAGTTGGATCTGGGTGCTACTACGAGTTCCCAATGAAGTTGGTCTGGGACCGGCCTTTTGATGGTGGTATTTCGGGTGTGGCTTGGGTTGAGGAGCACGGTGGTTCGGGTATGGCTCGCGTGGAGGACTACGATGATTCGGGAAGGCTGTTCTAGTACGATGATTCGGGAAGGCTGTTCTAGGACGGTTCGGGAAGGTTTGTTCTATGGTTCGGGAAGGTTTGTTCTAGGACGGTTCGGGAAGGTTTGTTCTAGGACGGTTCGGGAAGGTTTGTTCTAGTACGATGATTCGGGAAGGCTGTTCTAGTCGACTGTCGATGTGGTCGTCCATACTCGTAGGCTCTAGGGTACTGGATCGACTCGGTGCTATCATTCGTTGGGCTTTTCTTCATTCGTTAGGTTTTTCTTTGTTGGTTCCTTTGTTGGCTCTCGTTGATTCGTTAGTTCTCGTCGATTCGTTGTTTCATTTTGTTCGGTAGTTCTGGTTGATTCGTTGTTTCATTTTGTTCGGTGGTTCTGGTTGATTCGTTCGCTCTGGTTGGTTCCGGCTGATTCGTTGTCTCTCATTGATTCACTGGTTCTTGCCCGGGTATGGACTTAGTCTTCTTGTTGCTTCGCTTTCTCGTGCTCCCGCGTGGATTTCGCGACTCTTTTATCCTGTCCTGTACATAGATCTTGCTGCTTACGTAGAATGCTGTTTTGGACACTTTTTGAAGGTTTTCTCTTCGATGGACTCGGTTTTCGACGGGCTTTTGTTTTCGTTGGACGTTTGCTTTTTGTGGGCTCTGCTTGCGAAGGGCTTTTGCTTTCGATGATGGATTCTGCTTTCGATGGACTTTGAAGGGACTGTGTAACTCTATGCCATGTAATACTATTCCGCTTTTGTTGGACTACCCAGGCCTGGAATCCATTTCGAGTTGTTACGGCAGTTCGCCTCTTCCCTCTGAACAAATGAGCGAAGTACTCACTGAAATCCGTAGCTTCCCTCTGGAACCATCTCTGGCCACCGCCTCCGAGACTTGAAAGGGTCTGTCGGCAGGTGTAGAGCTTTCTCTACCCTGTCTAGTTTCCGTTCTGACTGCTGCTTCTGTCTCATGGTTCTTTTCTATATGCGACTTCGTTCGCGCTCCTCCTTTTCCCCTCAGTCTCTGCTTTACAGATTCTGAGCTATGTTTCTTTGTTTCTTTTCTGTCTCTATAGCTACTTATACGTACCAATAGCTTTCTTCTTCCCTAGGTAAATCCTCGATATCAGTCTCTGCTTTTACAGATTCTGAGCTTTCGTCTAACCTCGTGTTCTCACCCAACACGGCCGATCTCCATGCGACGATCTCGTTTCCCCCTGCTCCTCCTGGACTCCTAGAACATCGGAGTGACATCGAGGCACCTCGAGTGTAGATTGACAATTGGCGTCTATGCCTTGACGCGTATATTGAATCCAGTTGGAGCTATCCCGTAAAGTATTCCCTTGGCCCGCCAACCCCAGGATGGGCGCTTCGAGTATTGTGTAGCGTGGCGTCGGTTTGTGCCTGAAAGGAGTGATTGGAATTTTGAATATTCGAGATGGGCGCTCCGTGTCCCAAACTCTCCATGCTTGGTATGCACATCGTCTCGTGCGTGCTTCACCGTCGTGCGTACTCAATCGGTGGTTCTCGTTCGCGTCGGTGATAAATATCGACATTTGCTCCAGCTGTGCAAAGCAGTTCGTGGTGCACCGGTGAGTACTTGTCGAGTAACAGCTACTTGGCCCTTCTGGTCACACTGACTCAAGGACAATGTACTCGGGCGCTCGGGCTACTTCGCTGAGAAGGCGCCCACAATCACACGAATTTCACGACTTGGCACGCACACAAATCGGCGCAAACGTCGCTCCATCCGTACACTCTAATGATCAGCGTCCAATACAATACAATAATACAAGGGGCCCCGAAGGGCGAAACATGCAGCGCTACAGCCTTGGCTATGTACAGCATTAGTGGTGAATATGCGTTTCAATGGTGATGATGGTGATGTCAAATATCTGGTGGCATTTTCTTGGACGTTGGCATTCCGGATGGTGCTAGAGAAAGAGCGAGGTGCGGAGCCTTGAGGCATAAGCCTGGGTGAGCGCTCAGGCCTGAGTCTGTTCCCCACGACCTGAGCGCTCAGGTCGTGGGGAACAGAACCCAAATACTGTATGAGCATGTGCATACGGGGTTGGCACCTTTCTAGGTTTTCTGAAGCGATTTACGGGAAATTGGGTGTTTAAAAGGCGCGTTTCTCGAGGGGAGGAGCTATAGGGTGTTTTCTCCCTTTCCCTGACTTCTCGTCCCTTCACTCTCATTCCTCTTTTCTCATACTTGTTCCTCCTCCTCCTCCTCGTCTTCTACTTACGCTAATAGAATTTACACGATGTCGATGTACGACCCTCAAGAATGGGAACGATATCTCAACATCGTCGCAGGTGGAATATACTCCTCCGTTGTTTTCGCCATGACGGTCACCGGTACGTGGTTGCTATCCAAACCTCAGTCCTCCATCCATTCCACTCACTCTGACTCCATCCCCACCACTCTACACCCCACTCTGAACCCCAGGCCTCCAAATATTCATGTCCTTCTACGGGCTCTACCTCTTCCTCGAGTCTCCCAAGGAAGCGCGAAAAGGGCGACTACCCTACGTCCTCGTCAGCTTCGCTATTCTCGGGTGCTCACTCATATCGAGCACCATGGATGCCTCGACGACATTCAAACTGTTGTACCAACACCCCAGTGCCGAACCTCGCTCGCTCCTTCAGATTCTTGGGGAGATTGAACATGGACCTGTGAGGATTACGAGTGGGGTGTTCTTCGCGTTGATGATTTTGGCGGGGGATGCTGTGTTGGTGAGTGCTCAGTCTAGGGGCTGGATTTCGAGTTGAATAAATGGAGACTCATTACGATATGGTTGGGGGGTAGGTGCATAGGTGTTATATCATCTGGTCAGACCTCAAAGCAGTCGTGATCCTCCCTTGCTTGCTCATACTCGGAACAATAGGTACGCTACCTCCCCCTCCATCCTCGAACTCTTTCCCTCCCCAATCCAATTCTCACACCCAACTCACCTCCTCATGCAGCGACCGAGCTCTACCGCACCATCGTCCGCATAAAACTCAGCATCAACCCCTCCGCCCCAATGCACGACTTTGCGCACATCGTGAACGCCGTCTACCTCGTCTTTACCGTCTCCTGCAACGTCCTCACCACCGTCCTCATCGCGTACCGCCTCCTCCGCGCGCACCGCCAGCTCTCCGCCGCCCTGCCCAACAGGGACATGCGTGTCTATAAGAGCATTGTGGGGATCTTGGTGCAGTCGGCTGCGCCGCTCGCGGTGAGCGGGTTGGCCTATGCTGTGACGGAGGTCATCCTTGTTGCGTTGAGGAATATTGGGCCGGAGCATTTGCCTTTGTATAATCGTGTTTTGATTGCGTCGTGGGTGCTGGGACGGTTGTATGATGCTTCTGCGGTGAGTCTTTGAATACCGTCCTGGTTTGTTGTGATGGCTTTGCGTTCATGATCAGGTATACTGACGAAACGTCCCCATGGTCGCAGGCACTGGCACCGCAGATGATCATTTTCCTCGTGACCTCTGGCCGATCAGGTACGAAACGGGAGGAGATTACAGCTCCTGCAAGCCGAAGCCACGCCTTCTCCCAACCACTCCGATTCAATAACGGGCCTGCACAAGACTCGTTTATGACTTCAAACGTCATGTCGTCGAATGGCGATGGGTATGGATCGAGTGAGAAAAAGTCAGAAGGATCGGACGTCGAGATAGGGAAGGAGAAGACGAATCATGATTCTGGTCTTTCTGAAGCTCTGAAGGACGTTTGATTTGTTTTTGAAGGGTAGATACTATTTAATAAATGGGTGTACATAGTAATGGGATGTGATTAATTCACAGGTTTAAGTTCTCATTTGCGTCGTGCTCTAGAAACTGGAGGGAGAGTGGCAGTGCATGAATGGGCGATTGGGATGCACGAGCGCTTAACACCGTCGGCCCGGGACTAACAACTGGCAGGTGCTATGGCCCACTACTTACTCAATGCAAATGCTATTCTTGGCTGCTTTCAGGTATGCTTGATAGCTGTCACTTTGGAAGTACTTCGAGTCCGGCCTCCACGGCGCAGATAAGTGCCCGCATACATGTAACGAATCAGTACCTGACAAAGATCCTGATGCTCCTAGACCCATATCGCTCTTCTTCGATGGGTACCACCTCCGAAGGTCGTCTCTAGGACGCATTATAATCTGCCAAGTTCTTACTTTTCAGCTTGAGTTAGTACCCCCCTCGATTCCACCCTCTGAGAATCGCTTCCTCTCAGTCGCACCCCAATTCACCATTGTAGTTGAGGGAGTAACTTTTTACGCACTTGATCTTTACAGGCCCTTCAGCGGAAACACTGACTATGTCAGACGCAGACTCTGACCGCGCTGCTCAAATTGAGCTCGCCGCCAAGCGTATAGCATCGGTGGTTGCTGCAGCGAATGTGATTGGCGTCCTCGAATGTGGTGCGTATTTCGTCACTTGATGATATGCTCCTCTCCTGAATCCCCTTCTGTTCGTTCGCAACAACATTACGTACCTTCCTCACTCCATACTTACCATTACTACCTCTATTGTATAGGTATGCAGATCGTAATGGTTGTCTACGGCCTCTCCGCATTCCTCGCCACGACAAAGGCGAGACGAAAAGGACGACTGCCCTACATCTTAATCAGCTTCGTCATCCTCGTTCTCTCGGCTATACCCACATTCCTGAACGTCTGGTCCGAGTTCAACCTCATTTACAATTCCGGACCGGGTGAAAGCTACTACAATGCAATTGAAGGTACGGAGACAACCTGGAATGTTATCGTTGGGTATGCAACGATGTATTCTTACCAGACGTTGGGTGATGCGCTCCTGGTATGTTGCCTTCCATCCTTCCTTTTTACCTTAAAGCTGGCCAAACTGAGTCCTAAATATCACCCTGAACGAAAACGACAGATTTACCGATCTTATATAATCTGGAAAGACCGACCTTGGGTCTCAATTCTGCCTTGTATCATGCTCCTCGCCGTAGTCTGTAGGTATCCTGTCTCTTGTGCCCTCAGAGTCACTTGATTGATCATCTCATCTACCCCATGTACCTTCCAATATCCACCAGCACTCTGGATCTCCGGCGTGGTCATCATCTCCGGTCTCGAAGTCGGGGACAACCTCACCCAAAGCCTCGACGGCAGCGCAATGCTCATCCATGTCTGCCTCAACATTCTCGTCACACTCCTCATTGTCGTCCGTCTCCTCCGCGCTCACCATACTCTCTCCAAGGTCCTCCCAAATCGCAATCTGCGCGTGTACAGGGGAGCCATCAGCATCGTGATCGAATCTGCTTTACCCTTCACCATATGCCTCTTCATATCTGGTGTGGTTACTATCTATAGGACAGTCAAGGACGACGCCATCTCCTGGGCTGCCTTCGCGACTGGGTTCATGTCCGATACAGTAGCGAGGAGTTTGGCGGTGAGTTTTCCGAACCTAGGCCTGTTCCTAGCTATCAATATGGAACTAATCGTTTGTCTTCGTTGTTGCCCTGCACTCACTAGGCGCTCGCACCCCAAATGATTATTTTCAGAGTGACAACTGGCAGGTCATTATCTCGGCACGAGGAGACCATCGCCACGCATCCGCAGAGCCGCATGGTCTTCTCCCAGCCCCTGGCGTTTCATCATCCCGAAGAATCATACGGTGATGGTTCAACTCCCATGTTTCCTGGTCAATCGAAGCATGACCACGGCGACATGGAGCTCAAAACGCAGGCGGCACCCTAACTTCGACGTCAAGTCCTTGACGGAATCCCTTTTCACTTTGAGCCTATTCATTCTCCAAGTTGTACATCCATAGATCAAGTCAATGACAAACCCCTTATACCAGAACCATACCCGCAAAGAGCATCACTCCAAGTCCCACCACGACATCAGCACCTCTCAGAACCCTTGAGCCAACACCAGAATCCGAGTCCTCTTCGCCAGTATCCTCCCCGGTGACAGTGGGACGAGGGATACTGAATGTCTCCACGTTCTCGATCGTCCAATAAGCTGACTTGGCTCCGCTCCACGTTGGATTATAATACGCGGTGGACGGAGGCTGCCCCGAAGCCGAATCAACGATCTTGTGGACACAAGAGAAATCCTCCCCCTCCTCGTCCAATACACAGTCCAGCTCGTCAACGCTCACTCCGTAACCGGCATCGTCCGAGATAGTGCGAGTTTGGATGACTCGATGCCGGGTCGCGTCTGCCACGAAGGTGACTGGAGATTCGAGATTTATCGTTAGTTAATCAGATACCACTTGGTTCTAAATGTGAACTGCGTGCAGTATCAGATGAATGAGAGGGTACAGTGCGTAGTTGAGGGCTCAGCAACGCTGACGACCGTGCTTGTGTAGTTCTGGTCCACGAAGACAACATGGCTGAAGACTTGCGACCCGACATAGTGCGTGGCTCCAGTCTCGTCGACAGACACCGGTTCAATTCCTAGGATCGTTTCAGAGGAATCGATGTACGGATACTCGGAAATCGTCGGAGCAGCGGGGTAGAATAACGTGACATCCTCCGCGACGCTGAACTTGGACGCTGTAGAGGTAAATGCTCGAGCAGTAAGCTGGATTTCATACAACGAGCAACATACTGAGAGAGAGGATGCTCAGTACGTAGCTCAACCTTCGTAGGTACATTCTAGGATGGTGAAACAGAAGACCAAAACTACCCTCTGGTCGATGAGCGCGAATCATATGCCGACTTCCGTGAGAAATTGATCAACGCGCCGATGGACCAGGCGCCCGTGTTCCAGCTTGCCCCAAGGAGATAACTTCACTGTGCTCAGAGGCCGACCCCCCGCAGTCTGAGCTGCATTAAGGATTCCAGAAATTCACTGTGGCTCTGTAAGATCTCGCGCAGACACCCTCCGACTGTGAATCGTTTATCTGTCGTCGCTTGGCCTTGCCAGTCGCACAGTCGCGCTTAAAATGTAGGCGGTTGAGGTTGCCGTTCGCAGGAACAGTCTCGGAGGCATCAAAATGACGCAAATGCCTGATTCCTTCGGGCATCGCGGTGGTCGAAGGTTCGAATCTAAATAAGGGATTCGAGGACCCAGTCAGTAGTTGCTCAGCTTATCTTAGCCCGCGAGATGCACGGATTTCGACAGCCAGCACCATCTCCAGTTTGGCAACAGAATATGACTGTATTGGGACTTGGGGGGTAACCCGAAGGATCCCAATCCCAAAGTGAACACTGTCTCCACGTCTTATTTTTGAGCTGACTGAGTTCTTCCACAGGAGGTCATTGAAGATTGCTGATGTACGCGAGACCGCCCGCAAGACGTCCGAGCCCAGTTTCCATCTACTCTTACGCCCACTCCATGATTCGAGGAATGAATGAAATTCACTGTGGAGGGGTCGGGTGAGTCGGACATGGCGAGCCACGGGCGCTGATTGCAAAAAACACCTTGACTTCTTGTCGAACTGTCCCCTCGATTTCTGATGATCAATTGCTGGGAAGTCGACATCCGTCAATGGTCGCCCGATTTGACGTTACTTCTGTACATGGTGCAATACATCCATACCTAATGCACACAGATCTGTACCTCTGTGCCCAGAAATGTCTTGTGCACCATTGCCCCCTGTCTATGTATTTCTCTTTGAAGGTTTGTCGTAGAAGGTAAAGTCGCACGCTTTAAACCCATACACGATTAGCAGTTCCCACCGCATGACCACCATGGTATAATGCCCCCGTAGAGAGCAATATAACGCGCAACGGTGGAGCCAAGAGCTTTCAGGATCGTCTCTTTTTGCTGCCATGTCGGACGCGGAGAGATTCGCCACTCTGCTGGAAGGATACGCGGGAGTCTACTATGGCTCGAATATCATATCCACTCTAGTGACTGGTTCGTGCTTTCGTAATTCTCAAAATTTCTTCCATGACTTCTCATCGGTTTTGAAATTCAGGGATCCAGTTATTCATGTGCATCTTTGGGCTATCCACTTTCCTCGAAACACCAAGGGATCTCAGGAAGGGTAGACTCCCTTACATCCTGATTAGCTGGGCCATCTTTATCCTCTCCGTCATCCCAGTCGGCTACGACCTCTCCTACCAATTCACGGCCCTATACCACTCCACCAATGGGCAGGAGTATGTCGACCTCCTTCACAATGGAATCACTTCCAATGTACAAATCGCCACGACATCTCTCACATTCTGCTTCATCGCTCTGGCTGATGGTCTTCTGGTACGTCCTCATCTCTTCTCAAGACAAGTAGCTGAGTCTGGCGCCAAAATTAGTTGTACAGATGCTACATCATCTGGAAAGACCGTCCCTGGGTGCTCTTTTTCCCCGTCTTGATGTACCCTGCAGTCATCGGTGCGCCTCTCCACAGCAGCCAGATTCATTCATTGACGGACTTCCTTTTCAGCCATGTTGATCTATAACGTCACTCTAATTCCAGGATTGCGCGAGAAAACGACCGCAGAGATCGAGGCGGATACTAGGTCCAGCGTTGCCGCTGTATCCCTCACAGTCGGCTTGAACGCTATAACCACGTCCTTGATTATCTTTAGGCTCCTGCGCGCTCAGCGATCGTTATCCCAAGTGATTCCAGGCCGGAGCCTAAGGATATACAAGGGCGCCGTAAGTGTCCTTGTCGAATCAGCACTTCCATTGACAGTCTGCGGGATCATCTCCTGCATTGTCAACTCTATCAATGGCTTAGGGAACGCTGCGGATCCATCATGGACGCTAAGGTACATTGGGATAACGTTTGACAGGCTGTACGTTTGCTTTGCGGTAAGTCTTTGTTCAATCTCCCGTCTCCACTATGCTCACCGGATTTCAGGCGCTCTCCCCGCAAATGATCATCTTCCGCGTTACGACGGGTCGATCGTTCGTCAGACATGGCGAGACGACGGCGACACGCCCAGCAAGGACAAAGCTGGGACCCCTTGAATTCCATGGCACAGATTACGACACCTTTGCCGATGAGTCGCGCATCGAGAGGGGCGCGATTGAGACTTCGGAATTGGGGACGAACAGAGATTTTCCGTCGACAACGGCTACCTTCCGTGAAGAAAACGTTTCTAAGGGCTAGGGGTTTGCTTTCAACTAATACTACGATTCATCTTCTTGAAATTATGTCCTTAATCTCCCAACCGGTCCTACGTGATTCTGTTTCCTTGCCACTAGCACAGCTGGCTCTGTAATGTATTACTTAGCAAAATACTACAATCATCGTAATCCCCATTGGCCAAGTCCTCGGGGGAACAAAGTTTCCCAAGTGCCATCCCGTCTCACATTCATGTGGACCCCGGAAAGATGAGGATTTGCATTGTCTCGTGTGAATGATCTACAGTGTGTTACAGTTGATTAAATAAACGACAGTGAACCTAGTAGGTTAGTTCTCTGACTTGTCCCCAGTGCCCGCGGCGCCAGGAAGCTCCTCCTCGTCAAGGTAGCTTGCTGAAGAACCTTTGTCAAATCGAAGACCTTCCGGCGTCGATTGAATTGGAGCCGTTGTCTCCTCGTGTCGCATCCACGACCTTCCGGTTGTCACCCGGAATATAATCATCTGAGGGGATAACGCCTAATAAGGAGAAGATCAACGACCATTCAACTAAGTTCGGAGCACCGTTAACTCACAGCGAATGCGGTGTATAGTGGGCTGAACACGCTGGCCACCCCGACGATCTTCGTCAATATTTCAGTCTGACGCCCCGTGGTCGACCCTGCTGAAGCCGGTACGATAGTTAGTCTGACTGCTTCGTTGATTGCATAGCCCAATCCAGTTATGGTCAACGGCACGGCCGACTCGATGAGGATGCTCAAGGCGCGTTCGTAAGGCTTCATGCTTCGTCCTGGAAGAGCGGAAGAGATATGTCGATAGGAATGGAGGAGGCGGTATGCGATCAAACTCGTGTTGGCGACATTGAGAGCGACGGTAAGCATGAGGAACGCTGTCCCGGTCATTCGCTCGTGCCAGAAAGGATCTTCCACCGTGTTCCCAATGACAGTGATAAACTTCCACAGCGTAATCGCTGGGAGAAGGTATACCAATCAGCTCGAGTCCAGATAATGTAGAATGACGGCTCAACGAACCAATGGAAGCCAGGTACAAGAGACCAGGTAGTACGAGCACGATCTTTTTGTCGGCCCAAATGATAAAGCAACGATAGAACTGGGAGAGGACAATCGTTAAAATTTTCCTTAACGCTAACTGTGAGCACGTACCAAGATACCGTCACCTAATATGATGAGCAATTGGGTGAGAACGGTGCTGCATACGTTGTACCACAGGTACTGGGTCTCAACGATGCATCTCAAAAAGGGTCTTCCACCTCCAACTCGATAAAGGCAGTCGAAGAACCCAAATGTGTCGATTCCCATTGGAATACCAGACATCACCAATATGAGGAAGCTAATTGCGACATAAGGAAGACGTCCCTTCTTCAACGACTGCGGCGTCTCGAGGAATACAGAAAGGCCGTATAGAACCATGAACAGCTGAATAGCTGACCCCGGTAGTGAGCGAGACTGTCATCGGTCACAAAGGTTCCTCACTCACCGACCGAAGCTGTCGCTATCGTGGTACCAAGTTGGTATCCTGCCCCGAGGACGTACGAGTATCGCTCGACCTGCTGCGGTGTGGTGGCCATAAGGAGAGCTCAGAAGGGGCACGAACAGCGTCTGATGACGCGACAACAGCCTCTGTCTCGCCTATATGCTGGATGTGCTAAAAATTCCTTATTTTTGACATATGGCTTTTGATCTCCCCCTTTCTCTGTTCGATGCATGGGTGACAGACCTCGCCCTTGATTCGCTAAGCCATCACCCAAGGGCGCTCCTGCTGTCTCTTTCGACGACTCGCGGTCTCCGTCGCGCTCTGGGATCCGAGTCAGTCCCACTGGTGCCACAAAACACAAGTGACATTTCGTTGATACCATCGTAGGTGTGTGAGAAGCCTCCACACCATCCACGTAAATGCTGAGCATCTTATCTAACTTCCAGCCACATAATGCACTAGATTACCGAGAAGGAAAGTCGCCTTGAAGCCCATACTAGCCCTATCATTACGTCGAGAGGATAAGGAGCGGAACCTCTAAACGCAGAGTGGATGTACCAAGCATGGCTTATTTATCCTGCTTACGAATACGAAAAGATCACTGTTGACCAGAGCTGAGGAGAGTACACTGCGCAACCAGGCTTGAGCTCGGGAATGTTGCAGTTAAGTTGTATGTAGTGTCGTGGGCCAGACTCGATCGCTTCGAGAATAGCTCTCAAACCATATCAATATTCATCATGATCAAGTACTTACTGGTCCCGGTTCCTGGATATCCGTACGCAGTGCACGAACGATGGCTGAGATCAAGAAAACAATGGCGGCCATGACTCCTAACTGCAACGAAACGGCCGCTCCAAAAATTGAAGAGTTCACGTTAAATTCCGTAATTCCACAGTAATAGATCATCCACGGGACCATTCACTGAGCGAATAAGCGAAAGTACGAGACCTGGGACTGCAGTCGCTGAGCCTATAGCTCAATCCCACCTCCGGCGCTCCGCGCCATGACGGTAACCCATCAAATGATAGCACATTGAGCCCTGGGCGCTTATTTTGTAGTTCGGGAACGTCCGAGGAAACCCAGCCGACAACCACGGGGATGGCTCTGGAGCACCATTCTGGAGGCAGTAGGTATTCCACAGCTTCTATCTCGCACAGATCCTTGTTCCGTCACAATCGAACTTCGAAGCTGAAATCTCGTTATTTCCTCGGTACCTATCTGGCTTGTGAGACTATAAGCGTCACGGTCGCCTCACCACCCTCAAAGAAGCGACAAATACGATCGCTACGGCAGTTCTCGAGTGGATAAGGCTAAATTTACTGAGTTCTCTAGCAAAGGCCACTGCATAAGCGCAATCCTACGCAACCCCTTTAGAAGGGGACGTCTCTCTTCTTGGTCAATGGTTCACCCCTTTGACGAGCAACACAACGCTTCTTATCAGTGCACAAACGCCACTGTATCAAAGTTGCATGGTAAGAGACTGCCATTGTGTTGATGAGCCTTGAAGCGCGTGCAGCACCGAACCACGACGGTCACTAGCATAGTTTGCAACGTGGACTTCAGAACTCCCCGAACGACCGAAAGATTTTAAGGGAGTGTCTATAATCCGTGTTCCCAGAAGCAGTCGACCGATGTAATCATATAGTTAGCGATAAAGATATTTAAGTATAAAACCGCCAATACCAAAGACTCGCAAACGAACTGTCCAGGCACCTCTAGCAGCCAAGTTACCCGCTGCACAAGTCACATCAAGCACAGCATGCCATCCCAAGTGAGTTGGCATCCCCATTCCTACCACCGCTCCCATTCCCATTGACATGTCGCAGATCAACCGACTTTCCATTCCTCGCTTTCCCCCTTCCCCTCGCACCGCCCCTCCCTCTCCCGCGAATCCCATTCCCACTTCCAAAGGACGTCCTCGATTCCATCCCATACACCGAGAAGAACTTGGCGTCTGTCCCACAAGTTCCCTCCCTCTCCCTTCTAGACTTCCCTCGCGATGTCAATGCACCGTCCCCATAGAAATCCGCATCCATACTGCCAAACAGACCCTCTGCTTCGTCATCGTCGGAGGCTTCCCAAGCCCAACACACCCTCCTCACCACATATTCGAAGACTTCCTCGACACCTGAGCGCGACTTGGCAGAGGTAAGGAACAGTACAGGGCCCTTGTCATCTTTCCCTTCAGAATCGCGATTTGCTGGCGGTGTTTCATGCTTTCGCGACGAACGTCGGGATGGGGGAAAGAATGGACCAGGGTAGGCGTAATCAAACGAGGGATCTACCGCTCGCGCTTTCCCCTTCCAAGCCTTCGACGGCGAGATCGAAATGTGAGGCGAGGTTCCATTGACTTGGCGCAGTATTGGGGATGTTTCAGCCGGTGTCGTTCGAGTGGTGCTGACTGTAGCCGTGGAACTAGAACTTGAGCTTGATCCCGAGGCAGTCGAATTGAGGGATGTTCGCTCTAGCGAACTCTCCTTAACCTTCTGGGCGAATAGGCCCGGAGTTATCGTCAACGCACTCTCGGTGCTTGAAGTTGAATGTCTTCTTCGTCGTGGCGGAACGCCATTCAAAGGTGTCGTGGTCGTAGTCACTTTGGGACTCTTCCGCGTCGGGGGACTATTCAGAATGGATTTACTGAGCGGCGATTGTGAAGGGAGAGGCGATGTCGCTTTGACAGGTGAATGGATTGTCGAGCCTCCAGGTGTAGGAGAGGTAGGCTGACGAGATATAGCAGTTGCGAATGAAAGCAATGATGATTTCGACGAGAGTCTCGCTGAAGATGCTATTGACGATGATCGAGGGGTTGCATAGACGGACGAGAATGAGGAGACGGACGGTGAGGCAGACGTTCGTGCATTCACGCTCAACGACCTTCCTCTACCAGTGCTATGAGGCAACCCCGACGATAAAAGGGAGGAAGAGGATGATGTAGATGCAGAAGTGGGTGTTGAAGGACCCACGACGGAGGGTTCCCAGAAACTGGACGAGGGAGTGAAGAAGGCCGTATCCGTCGTCGTCCCCACCGTAGAAGTTGAGCGAATTGAAGCAAAGCGGTCAAATTGCGAGTGTGATTTGGCGGGTCGAAGTAGTGGAAGGCGAGAGTTGGCGGGTGGAGAAGGCGTGGTGGGCAGGAGTGAGTTCGGGATGGTTTCAGTTGTTGGTGTTGCGCTGGACGATGGAATGAGATCGTCCAGGAATGTTAGCGCCTCCTCCTTCGTGACAATCTCTTCTCCAACTCGGTTCTCATCGTCGAGCAAGTCAGTCTTGTTCCCTACTACCACGCAGCAGAAGCCCTCCATCTCCTCGTCGTCCAGCGGGCATTTGTCACAGAATTCGGCCCACCACTTGTCCAGCGCTTTGAGACTGTTTTGGGAGGTGACATCGTAAAGTAACAGAACCGCGTCTGCGCCGCGGAAGAAGGCGGTGGAGAGGGATGAGAAGCGCTCTTGGCCCGCCGTATCCTGCATGCGAAACGGGTTGACAAAGGTCATGAGACAGGTCATCCAAGGTAAGCACAACGGCCTTTGGGAAGCGGACACGTACCCAAATCTGCAGAACTACACTCTCTTCTGGGTAGACTGGATGCTTCAATGTCTTGCTAATGAAATCAGCGCCGATAGTTGCTCGATATCCCGTCGAGAATTGGCCGTTGATGTACTGCGACCGTCCAGCACCTCGTCAGTCGTACCAAACGCACAAGTTGAACTTTATAACTCGCCTGGCCCCGTAAACTCGTCTTCCCAACTCCTGAAGCACCGACTACGACGAGCTTGATGGTGTGCATTCCTCCAATATCCCTGTCACTGAGGTCCCGAAATTCGCTGAGGTCTTTGGCGTTTAATCATAGAACGCTTGCTCGTTGGGCGCGGTAGTCGAGAAGGACAAGACAGCCCGAGTCGAAGGGGAAAGCGAGAAGAGAGCGTGCAACGCCGCCGTGCATAACATAACACGGGAAGAAGAATCGTACGGTACAGCCACCAGAATCTACCAACTTGGCATCAGCGAGATTTGATCGCGCGAATCTGGGCAACCTGAGCGCCTATCGCGTATAAGTGCAGGATCAGCAAATGCGAGCACCAAAGTGCATGATTTTCGTGTGTTTAAAACGTACGCCTTTGACTACAAGGGCTTTCCCCTGGGAGTTTAACTTCCTCCCAGTTGGGGAGAATCGGTCAAATTCGAGGCAATGCTCAATCGATCGGCTATGTTATAGTGCAGGGAAAGTGTCTCGCTAACCTAGTCCTGACCATAAGGGAAGACCTGAGGACACACATCGGGACTAAGACCAATCACGTTAAGCAAGTCCAACAGAAATTCCAAATTAATATCCAAATTCTCCGTAAGACCCCAGTCGGTTCCGGGCACCGTCACATTCATAAACCCAACGTAAAGCTTGCAAACATCGAGCAAGCCACCCAGAACGTTGTCGGGGAGAAAATTTTTGACTACGTTGCTGCTCAGGCTCCTCCCAGGGAACGTTGGATGTGCGTCGAACGCCAGTTCAACAGCCTCAATCCCGGCAGGCGCAGCAGCTCTTCAGAACCCCTTGGGATATCGGCATCTTATTCTGAAAAGCTGTGATACTTCAGAACGGCCCTGGTCTTATCCATCGTGATTACTTATTTCCTGAGAGTTAGAAAAAGCAACTGAGCAAGTTAGCTCAAAGTTAAAGTTGCGATCCACATGGAAGGTCTGGAGCGACTGTGGGAATCTATCATTTCGGCGAACAACGGCACTGAAAGCCCATCGAGCGCTGCATCCACCACTTATAGATTATATTACTTCGTATACTGAGTATAAATTACACCTAATATACATTGAACGAATCAACAGGTTTAAACAATGGGTACTGACTTGGTGGCTTGCAACTGGGACTTCTCAGAATCATTCTCACTCATATCTCCAGTCGGGGCTTGACTCTGGCCCAGATGGTCAGTAATATATGACTGCTCTACTGGTCCCTGTGCAAAGAACAGTGGCCTGCTAATCGCAGTGGCAGTCGTAGGTTCGGAGGCCTTCAACCACGATCGTCCGGTTGTAACTCGGAAGATAATCATCTGCGGAGCCAACGCCTATCATCAAGTAAAGCGAACCAAGTTTAGCAAGATCGGCGAGACTGGAGGGGCGGGGTACTCACAGCAAAGGAGAAATAGAGGAGCGAGAAAATCATATTCGTGATGTGCCCCGCGGCTTGATGCTGGGTGGTTTTATGCGGATTCACAACCATGCTGAACGCATACCCCAGCCCGAAGATGGTGAGCGGGAGAGCGGATTCGATGAGGATGGCGACGACTCCCGAGTAATGCGCGAGGTTCCTTCCAGGCAGTGCTTTCGATAGATCACGTCGAGCGCGAATTAGGCGGTAGGAGATGAGGCCTGTGACCATGACGTTGACAGATACCGTCAAGAAAATCCAAGCGCTCACACCCGCTCGGTTGACGCGGACGTTTGGCCAGGGGAATTCGAGGCGAATCGCGCAAGCTGAATGTTAAAGTTACAGAATGTCAGTACGCAAAAGCAGAGCCGATATGGTGGACTTCACCTATGTGCGCCAGGTAGCATAAAGTCGGAAGAATCATGACCATCCACCTGTCTCTCCAGATGATATAGGCGCGCCAAAGCTGAACACAGTTAACCAGTGCACCGAGAGTTTGAGCACGATTCGAACGTACCAATAGTCCATCCCCAATGACCACATACACACTTGCCAACGAATTACTTAAAATCTTCCTCCACCCTCTCAAATCCTCCCTCCATAGCTCAATATAATGTTCCCCCGAAGTCGACGCAAATATCCTCTCAAACGCGACATAGCAGTCGATAGCAGCTGTAATCGCGGCTAGAGAAAAGATCACGAAACTGACGACGATGTAGGGCGTCCGTCCTTTTCGCAGTGGCCGAGGTGTCTCGAGAAAAACGGAGAGGCCGTAGAGAACCATGAATAGTTGTATGCCTGTGGATGGTAGCGCTGTCAATCACTGATAGCCAACAAGCCAACAAGAGGCAGGTCCTACTCACCGACATCCAGCAAAGTCACTGTCGCATTGGCGAACAGAGAGCGAGCGGCGACTTGACCGATGTACTCTTGGTCAATATCTGACATTGGGGCTTGTGGGGAAGCTGGGAAGGCTGAAACGGAGAACAGAAACGTCCAATGCGAGCCTCCGATGTATATATCCCATTCATTTCAATGGCAAGCTGTGCGCTCCAAGAAGATCATGAGAATTGTTGGCGGCAGATCACTCACTCCAATGCAGCCGGGGAATTCACCATCGAAACTAAGGCGCTTCCTTTGACCGTTGAACGTGGGGCAACTCCGTTCCATCAACTTCGTATCTCCACCGCAATCATGTATCGGAAACCATCTCCCGTCACCCTCCCACTGGTATGGCATTGCACCCTCTGCCATTGTTAGATGATAGGTGCGAAGCAGACGTTTGTCAAAAGCTAAGCTAATCTAACATGGGCGTCAGCGCCGGAACCACCGTCTTCGGTGGATTCGGACTCGTCGTTCGATAAGTCTATGCCAGCTGGAGTACGTATCCCATCGTGAAGAGAATTCCGAGTCAAATCTTGCTATAGCCATGGGCGCTCACCGCCGACACGGCGATTCTGGAGCCGCAGTCGATCTTTATCAGACAAATCTAGACAAACTTGAAGCGCCAAGGCAAGGTGAACGACTCAGAAGTTCGCCAACTGAGTCTGCGTCGGATGTCATGGTCTTTCTTCCCGTGTTTTTCATCCGTGGCTCGTAACGGTGAGAAACCTCGACAGCTTATCCTAGCAGTAATAGTGTCAGAATCACTTATTGCGGCTGTACCTGCGTGGTCCTCTGAATCGCCTGTTGGTGGAGTTTAGAGGGACGAGGAGGAGTGGGCACGAGGGAGCCGTGAAGTGAACGATCGGAAGGTCGTGCGGCCAGATTACGGGAGCTATCATAACCAAACGCCAATGAATTCGTCGCGTTGTAATAATCATTTCGGGCGCCTATTTCGGAAAACCAAAGCGCTAGCAGCGATTTTGAGGAACTCAGGCCTTGTAATTTATCGCAGATCAATTCCGTTTATAACGAGTTTCTAATAATTAATAGAGTACTTCAAACAGCCGACGTCCCTTTGGCCTCATTGAACTCCGCCTCTTTCAAATTCGCCTTCTCAAGTCCAGCGGGAGTCGTCCCATGATTAAACGCGAGAGGCTGGGAGAAAGGTAAACTCCTCATCCTCTGCGAGTCCACTTTCGTTTCTTCATGCCGCATGAAGGATCGCCCTGTCGTCACCCTGAAGATGATCATCTGAGGTGAAAGGGCCTGTAACTCATAGTTTAGTGCTATGAAAACCTTAGCCAATAGCAGAGGTAAGTGACGCACCGCAAAAGAAGAGTATAGCCCGTCAAAGATACTCCCCGCAGCCACATACTTAATCGAAACTCCGGGTGCAGAGAGGACGTGCTCTATAATACCGACGCTGATCAACCCGCAGAGGCTGAGGGGTACTGCCGACTCGACCAGGATAGTCACCGCTCGGCTGCATGCGCGGACACTTCGGCCTGGGAGGACCTTGGAGAGGGAGCGGTTGGCGATGAGGAGCCGGGAGGAAATGAGAATCGTAATGAGGGCGTTGGCGGCTGCGGTGCAGGCCATAGCTGCGAGGGTTGTGCGCATGGCGTCTTTACTTGCTTCAGGGGACATCGAGGCTAGCTTTGGTGTCAGAGCTGTGCTGTGGATGTGCGTTGCTGATATGGGGTAATAGTCCAAGGCATTAACATTGCCACTGTTTTTGTACTGGGGAGTTCAGAAAGTCATACCTATAGATGTGGCGTAAACCAAAGCTGGGGCCACCGTGACCCACCATATGTCTTTCCATATGATGTAGCACCGGTACACCTATTAATTCCGGTCGAAATAAACCGCGAGGAAAGGAGGAGGAGGCATGAACAGCGGGCTCACCAGAAGTCCATGACCGAGTAGAGTATCAGTGGCTGTACATGCCTTGTCGACGGTCCACATCCGCCCATTTGCTAACTCTTGGTTAACGATGATGTAGTCAATGTTAGGTCCCGACGTGTACAGATTCTCAAAGTAAAAAACGTAAAAGTAAAGTGTGAACGCGGTGGTTATACCCGACGTGAAGAGGATGATGAAGCTGAAAGTGATATAAGGCAGACGGCCTTTCCGCATTTCCCTGGGTGTTTCTAGGAAGGTCGAAAGGCCGTAGAAGCACATGAAGACCTGGATTCCTGATGTATCGCAAAATCTGTTCGTCAAGGTCAGAGGTGTCGCTGAAGTAGTTGTGGTGCGTACCGATACTGAGAAGCACGATGGAGCAGGAGAAATGGGACGCAGCAATGATCGTCATAGCCTTTGCTTCTGCATCTGCTTTCGATAACATTGCGAGGACGGGCGAGGGAGACTTCAGGTGAGATCCACAGTCAAGGGGCCAAGAGGCTCAGTATGTGTGTCCATGACTTTACTACTTCTCGACCCAATTTATACCGTAGAGCTCTCTCCACCATGTCCCGTCATCAACCCAGGTCCCAGTGCTAAATATACTTTGAAAGAATTCTCTGATGGCCGCCCACTGTCCTAGCTTCTCAAAAGATATTTCGGCTGAGAAACGCGTTGCACCCGGCGCATAAGGTTCGAATTTTTTTCGTTGCCCAGACGGGCTTTACGGAGATCATTGGGCGCTTATTCGACATCGGTGTTGATAATAGCTACTTGGATGTACCTTTGGGTTAACAGCTTTATTAACCAGAACTTCAGATTGACCTCCTTACACATGACACATACTCATCCCCTGGCTACACTGCGTTAATGAGAGTGACTGCCTTCCCTTCGATATTGAATAGAGCACGTATCAGCGCTGCGAGAAGGCGAAACTGACAACATACATAGCCTTACATAAAAGGCCATTGCCTCAGCGCGAGGCATGATGGCTTTGGAGAAGCCTGACGCACCCCTGCACAATGGCCTTTTTTTGACTCCTGCTTTACTTCTGCTTCTATGGATTGTGATATAACATCTATTTTGGTTTTACGCCGAGCGTCACTGCCCACACCCGATGAGCAAAGGCAGTAGTATTTTCAAATGAATGACTTGAAGGGGGCGGAGGGACTTGATGCAAGCCGTATATATAGGATAGCACATGTAATTAAACACCAAGATCAGACCATGAATGCTGGAGCGAGTGTGTAGTTATGCGAGAATATAGAGAAAGAAAGAAGATGAAATCAATAAATAATCAAATCACTAATCCCCTTTACTTGGAGCGAATCTTCAGGGAGATGTACAGCCTACACAGAGCAGATGTCAGACCACGGACTCCGAGTCATACCAAAGACAAAATAAAAAAACGTACGCGATTCGGAAGATAGCAATGATGGAGATGATAATACCGGCCCACTTGGAGTAGGAGATGTGTCCAATTTCGAGGTACCTGAGAACATCTTCTCCAGATACAGTGCAGGCTTCCGGAGGGGCTGATGTTGGATATGCGCATGCGCAGGTGCCGTTCACCAAGGTATCACAGGTAAATGTTAAGCCTCGCAAATCGGACTATCGAATGGATCGTGAGCATCATAAAACAAAAGGGACTTAAGGTACCGGTAACACTTACGTTGGTCAAAAGCTCAAAGGCATATTTCTGGAAGTCCATGTAGTGGAAGCTGTAGAACCAGAAGCGAGGGAGAGAACGGGCTTTGATGCTATGAAGGAGTCAGTCTCAGAACAGATCGACGAAGATCGACGAGCTCACAAGTATCCACCGACGCTCATCCAGAAACCGTTCAAGCTGTACCTTCGTCAGTCAAGTAGTAACGAAAGGATTGTGAGTGAACGTACAAGGCAGTGATAGCCAGGGCGGCAACGAAGATGGGAATCAGGGAGGCGACAACCACGACCTGACTTTCGGCGGCGAACAAGGCGAGGAAGAGGAATCCGAGGAACCTGAAGAAAGCAGGCGCTCCAGGGTGCAATCCAATGGCCCAGTAGCATATGACGGTGAAGAGCACGGTACACAGGAACAAGAAGGGGATGGTGATGAGCGTGTTGGCGAGGACGAATGGCAGAGTGGTGTAGAGGCCGTTCTTCGTCTCGCGGTAGTAGACCGAACGTTCTTCCAAGACTACGAAAAATGTTAGCCTGTGTACCAATGCAAAGTAACATCAAACCTACATTCAGGAATACCAGCGACAGACATGAAAGCAAGGAAAGCAACACTATAGAAATGAACCGAGAGCCGATCGTTAATCGTCGAATCGCTCAGCCCGAGTCGGATCCAAATCGTGCTACAAATAAATCCCCGTTAGCTCTCCCGCACACGAGCACAATGTGGACGCGACGTACGCAAGCATGAAGCCCATTCCTCCGTACATGCCGGCACGGACGCCATAAGCCAACAAGTTCCTCATGTAGTTCTTCACACTCCTCTCCGCCAGCACCATCGTGTTCCAGAAGAGAGTTCCGAGAACACCGGCCTTCCCGGCCTTGATCGTCTCGGACTCGTGCACCAAGCTCGTAGTCGAAGCACCCTTCGAGCCTGGGGGAGGTGGGAAATCAGCCCCGTTAGCTCTGCCCTTCGACTGGGCGAGATACTGTTCCCTAAACTCAGCAATGGCAACATCGTTGTGCCCAGCCTTCTCCTGCGAGAAATCCGTATTGAGGAAGTTCATCGCATGATCGGCAGGATTAGTCTATTGAACCCCAAGTCAAATCAAAGAGGTTAAGTTCATCAGTAAATTATTCCATGGGACTCGTGAAATGGCAATGGAGAACTCACGAATCGTCCAACAGGCCTTCCCCAGCGTTCGAAGAATCCGTCAAGTTCGCCCACTTCGCCATGGAAGCACATCTTGCCCTCCGCCAGGAACATGACTTTAGTGAACTGCGTCAAGGTCTCGAGAGATGGCTGATGGATACTGGCTATAACGATGATACCCTCCGCGATGGCCAACGAGCGGATGGACGACATGACTTCTCGAGCGGAGGTGCTGTCGAGCTAGAACAGAAAACAGCCATCGCGGCACCAGTAAGCCTCTACTGCGGCTATTTCGAGACCGGGCAAGTCGGCGTACCCCTGAAGTAACTTCATCAAGGAAGAGAATGCGTCTGGACAAAGATAAACGGACAGGGTGTGAGTTAGCATCTCAACACAACGCACAGTGCAGCGCTTCCTTCAGAGATAAGCTGAGTTGGAAGGATGACTTACGGGAAGGTGACCATAGCGCATGCTGCCGTAACACGTCGTTTTTGGCCTGTAGTAAACAATGGGAGGTCAGTCAAACGATCAGAGATATGAAACGATAGATGATAGAGGGGCAATCGTAGGATCTGAAGTATGTCACCCTCTTCCTATCCGTAATAATACAGCATGGATGCCTTTGTGCCCGCCAAGCGCGCTCAGAGGGTACGACAGTCAGATGGTAACGGGCGCGCACCCAGACGTCCCAGGTGGGGACAAAACACCGGAAATCGAGAAGACCGCGAAACAGTGTACGTACCTCCAGAGATACCGCGTTGGATGGGCGTTCCAATCCTCTGGTTCGCACATGACTGCAGACCAAGCGCCGTAATGACTCGCTCCACTCGATCGTTGACCTGTCTTCGCGGGAGGAGTGGGAGACTGTAATGGAAGACAAGACGTTCGTCAGACACTGCATACCACAAGGAACTGCCCCCGGAAAATGGACGGAAGCAAAAGTGTAAACTGGGAACGTTTAGCCAAATCGGGACTAAGCGTCCATTAAGGACCCACACATCGGTGGAAAAGGACCACCGGAACCGAAAGAAAAGAGAGACTAGTCCACACCCATTGACGGTTGGTAGAGCGTATGTGGGGCATCGGAATGGACCAAAGCCCGAAACAGAACAACCAAAATCCAGGAATAAGGACTTACTGAAGCCTCAAAGCATATTGAATGGATTCACGGACAGTCAAGACGCCCAAGAGCGCGTCTTCTTGCTCGACGAAACACGAGATCTTGTGCATCGAACTTCGATCGAGCTGTTTGCCGTTGAGGGAGGCCTACAGGAGCATAGCCGTGTCAACACTCCAAATGCCCACACCTCAAGCGACGAAAAAACCATACCCTTCCACCCTCAGCGGGCTGCTTCCTGAACGCCATCAAATCGAGTAGCGTACTCTTTCCTATCATTCCACTTACCATCAGCCATCTTAACCCAACTCAAAATCAAAAACGAAAACTCACCGGCACCAGAAGGGCCCATAATAGCCAACAGCTCCCCAGCCTTAATGTCGACCGAGACATCATCCAAGAGGACTTTACTGCCCTTCTTCGTGGAGACAGAGAAGCTGAGGTGTTGGTACGAGAGCGTCGACCCCGAGGAGGTATGTGAACTGGCGCGGGTGGATTCATCGCCCCCGGTACGTAGTTTCTCGAGTTCCATAGGTGCTTGCATCGTGTATTGGCTTTTGCTGTGACCGGCGCCTAGTGGTAAGTAACCCGCGGACATTCAAGGTCTGAAAGAGACGGGAAGGGGTAAAGTCGAACGCGATGTGGACAAGGTGTGAAGGGGTATGAAAGGGAAGGGAACTGAATAGGAATGGGCGGTACAGAGCTACCGCAGAGAGAAGAGGAAACCTAGGGGATAAGGAAAGAAGAAAGGGGGTAGGGTAGAACTTACCTCTCCTTACTTAAACCCTACCAAACGAGCGCTCAGCATCTACACCACAAAACAAAACCTCTAAGAAGATGTACTTACTTGCACTTTACGACCAAAGTGAGTCTATACGGGGGTAAACCAGCGCAGCCTTCCAGAAGCCAACGCATGTCTCCATTACATATATACGCAACGGCCGTCAGAAAACACCGCAAATGTCATCTGTAGGTGGGCACCCTCTCGATCTAAATCTATCATCGCCATCATCTGAATCACTGTTACTGCAAGCTATGTTATGTACACCACCTCAAGTCCCAAACACTAAACCTTACATAGTACTCCGTAAAGCTCGACCTGTCGAATTTGATTATCAACGACATATCCACCTGCCAGGATGCGCCTCTGTCTCCTCTCATAACGGAATACCCCTCGAAACAACGAGTTCCCTCCTTCCATAAAAGTCGATGCATTCCACATGGGGTATCTGCTATCGCGGGGTGTCCACTCGCACCTTGTTTGGGATATGACACGCCCCTCAAGGCTCGAATGCGAACCCTCGAGCTTCGATAATCAAATTCGAGGGCGAAGTAGGGAGGAGTTGAAGAGATCTAAACGGATGTGGTGAACCCTGTTTTTGGAACGAAGTCCTTCCTCGTGTATTCGAACGTAACTCCTCAGAGGATCTAACAACGTATTGTAAAGTTAGAAAGATGCAACTCGGAGGAAAGGTCAGGTAATCACCTTGATCGTCGGAAGCAAGGAAGTCCATTACAAGACCACGACATATCGCGGACATCCAACACCGGCTTCGACTATTGCATCCTGAGCGCCAGCGTCGGCCAAGTTTGAAGCTGAAGGAGTGTGGCTTTCCCCAAGACAGCCTCCGCCGACGGCCTTTCCCCGGTAGCGCTCAGTGCCCAGTCACAGGCAGAATCCAGAACGACTCTGTCAATGACTACTATTGAGTGGATCTACAACAACACCGGTCACCGGTTGTCGAATCGGAGTACCGCCTTCAACGCCCATTGAGTGCCCTTTGTGTGGTCAGCCGTTGGCCTCCCCGAGGCAGCAATGCACAACTGGCATGCACGTTGCAAACACGATACCAGCCCTGTGTGTGTGGTCACCAGTCACTCGCAGGGTATCGTCACTTTGCACAGCATTTCCTCTCTGAACTCGAGTCTTGTATTGCGAATTCTTCACTCTTTCCCTCCGGACCCCCTATCCACCTTCCACCTTCCTCCGCGCCTCCTGTACTCCATCTCCGACAAGGACGTAGGTTCGTCTGGCCTCAAGCGCCCATGTCTACAAAAGAACCACGGTCACTCCTTGCGATACGCCAGGAAAAGAACAATGTGTGGACGTACGGTGTTACGGGAATCCCACCTCCGACTCCTTGAACACCCTGAGCACCTCGAAACACAAACGCCCTGGACCTTCAATGGCCAGGGAAATCCCCCTCAAAGTTGACATCTCGCGATCACCCTGATTCCTCGCAGATCGACCCAGGCCTAAACCCAGTCGATTTGATCCCCATCCCTGCTAGTAACTTACTTAAGTGCATCAGGTCTGTCTATTCATAGAAGAAAACCCAAAGATAGATTAGAACCAGGAAGTAAGTAGTCACCTTTTTGCGTTCAAGCGTCGTCCACGCACTCTGCCGGCGTTTTCGGGAATCGGAGGCTGGAGCGGGTCGTCGTCCAGTCCACTGTCTGCTGCGTGATATGGATACCGTGACAAACCTACACCGCTTAAACTGAATGAGCCATTGCACACGCCTACACCACCCATTGTACTGTAGATCACCCCAAGACGACTCACCAAAGTTCACAATAGTTGCGCCTGGCATTCCGTAGGTCCAGCCCTGACATCTCGATGCGAATGCTATGCAAGGCCAACGCCCCGGTCCACTTCGAACTAATCAAAGACAAACCTGTGGAAGGCATAAATACCAACACAACAACGACTTACCATGCTATGTGCCGCCCGAAGAGGACTTATTACTATGCTGTACGAACAAGGCCTTCCATTCCCCTCCACCCACACAAACAACACGTCCAGCTCCTTCTCCCGTCCCGTCTCCCTCACCTCACCCTCCTTCTGATCTTGAAATTGATATTCAAAATCAAAAGCGAAGAACGCGGGAGAAGACAGAGTGATACCTACACAATTAGCAGATGTACACAAATAGATCTGTCACGCCGTTGTTCTGAGTTCTGATGACGTTTCCTGCAGCGTGCATACAACGTACATCAGCATGTCCAGATTCGAGGGTGTGTGTTGGATGTGTGCACCGAAAGTGCCCACAAAGGGTGTTCGTGGCTTAGCCTCAGCTCGAGCCCCTTACCCACAGACATGGGTGTTAACATTAAGCCCCAGACCTCCTACAGACCAAAACGTGACCTTCAGTCTACAGAAATCAAAGCAAAGTACGGGAATCAAGACCCACCTCTCTCCGTGCCTAACCGTGAAGGACGGCTTTGTAAACTGATGGCTGTGACAGGAATGGCTGCCGTAGACTGTTAGCGGCGAAAGCGATATCCAAAGTGCTTCAGTTCAATTCCACAAACCCGCGCGCCCACCGCCTCCCATCCAAACAACGCCAATAGGTATCTCAATGAGTCCATCCAACAAAAAAGGAACGTAAATAAATAAAAACTAAATCCTATTCCTAAACGCTAATCACTAAAAGATCATACAAGAAAAAAAGAAAGAAAGAAATATGTAGTACAACATAACGAGAAAAAGAGAAAAAAAAAAAGCAAACATGCGGTCCATAATCCATTCAATAGTCAAACAAATGTGATAGACTGGAGTGCGAACCAGAACCAGACCGAGGACGAGGACGGGTGGTCGAGGAGGGGAAAACGCCGTGAAGAAGGGGGAACACAGAGAGAAGGGAGGAAAGCGGGGAAGTGAATACGGGGGATGAACGTACCCCGGACACACCCAAAGGAAACCGAAGACTCGAAGCTGGGAGAAGCCTGGAGCTTCGGGGACGAAATCAAAAAAGGAAAGATAAAGGGCCAGCAGAAAATAAAGTAGAATAGGAGTTGTAAAAAATGTAAATCATAGCGCCTAAGCGTCAAATGCCGATGCTAAAAATGCAATGCAAATGCCCGAGGGTATCCAAAAACAGAACAAAAACTAGCGTCCTCGTCCTCGTCCTCGTCCTCCGGCCCCGACCCCAACCCACGACTCCAGCCTCCTGTCCTCTTCGCAGATTCTATCCTTCCCGAGCGCACCCTAGTCACACAAGACTGCCAAGCCCACCCGCCATCTCTCTCTCTCCTCAGAGAACTGCCAACTCGATCATTCCTCCCTCCCTCGCCAACCAACTCAAATCTATCCCCCCTATCCTATCCTCCCTTCCTCCACCGCCAACCGCCTTCAAACCCAACCCCATGAAGCCCTTCACCGCACAAGCTTGAAATACAAAATCAAAATAATAAGCGCCACAAAGAACGCGATGATCCCGGCTATGATGAACCGTTGTTTCTTCATCCTGTGGTACGAGTCGGGTTGGTCAGTTAGTTAGGTTGAATATTGTCGAACGCGGTTTCGGGAGTGGGAAATAAAAGGGACGTGAAGAGGTGGGTAGAAAAGGAAGGCGAGGAGGTGGGTAGAAAAGGAAGGCGAGAAGGGAGGAGGGATAAAAGGGTGCGAAGAGATGGATAGAAAGAGACGCGAAGAGACGAGTAAAAAAGAAGAAAAAAAGGAAGACACAACACAACGAAGAAGAACTCGAAAACCCACTGGATGATCATCTTCCCAATCGTATTCGACGACCTGTCAATGTTGCGATCCGCCGTGTCGAGCTATAGAGGGTCGTTGTCAGTCGTTGTTTCAGAATCCAAGATGAAGGCATGGTTAGAAAAAGGAAGTTCAGGAGAAAGAGAAGGCGGGTGTGAGGAAAAAGTGAAGGCGGGTGTGAGGAAAAAGTGAGGGCGGTTGTGGGAAGCGAGGAAAGGGCGCGAAAATGTATCAAAACTCACCATATCCCTAGCCCCCTCAATCTGCTCCCTCTGCCCCCTCAACGTGCCCAAAATCTCCGCCCCATACGCCTCCGTCTGCAGCGCCAGGCTGGTCGAGTCTTGCAGTCTTCTGGAGCCGTCGGAGAGGGAGTGGGAACCGTGGAGGAGGCGGGCGCGTTCGGATTGGAGGCGGGCGTCTTCTGTGTATGGGTTGTCTGTGTAGGGATTATCTGAATGTGGAGAACGAGCTAAGAGAAGACGATGATGAACGATGTCAGAAGAACCCGAGAATCTAAGAAGATGGCAACGATCTACTCACCTCCCGAAGGCGACCCCCTAGAGTAGGCACCACCACCCCGAGCACCACCCAACAAATCACCCCTCGCAACCACACTATGCAACTCCCGCGACATCTTCTTGTACTTGTTCAAATCGGATTTGGCTTGTTTGAGGCGGGTTAGGTAGGGAGGTTTGAGGGATTGGGGGATTCCGTTTAGTTCGATTTCTAGTTGGGAGACCTATGGGCGGGTGTCCGTGTGTATGGGGCATAGGTATTGGCAGTGGGTAGTTGGGGGTGGGTAGTTTGGAGTGGGAAGGTAGTTGGAAGGCGGGAGTTGGAAGGCAGGGATGGTTAGGAAGGGTGCAAATACGAATACAATACCGGTCCCCCAGTCAGCTGCGTAAAGGTCAAAGCCAGGAAGGAATAACGCACGATATCATCCGCCTCGTCCAGCTCGATCTCGACCTTCCTTAGCGCCGCCTTGCGCTGTTCTGCTCGTCCCGGGTATTCCAAGTATCACCATCCGAGGTAGTATCCCAACCACCATCATAGGTGTCCCAAGTACCATTCGACCAGCCACGACCCACAATCCAGAAAGAACCAACCACAGCCCAGAGCCAACCGACCGCAACCACGAGCCAACCGCAAGCGCAACCCAGACCCAATCGACGACAACGACAATCAAACCAAATTCCATATCAGCAAGGACCATCCCAAAACTATAAGACAAACGGCGACGCACCTCCATGCCCACTCCTAGCATCACCCTCCAATTTCTCTCTAATCCCCTGCAGGAGGTGCACGAAATCTTGTTCGTAGGCGTCGAAGAGGGAGGCGGGTGTTGGGTCCATGGCTGCTTCTAGTTTATTAGACCAAAGATCGAACTATTCGTACAATCGTATATCCAGGGGGATGTCGCCTAGTCTGAAAGTCCTAGCAGCCGAGTCGTGGATGGGATAGTGGTTTTAGCCGCTGTCGTCGTCGTTGAAGAAGAGCTAGAAAAATCAGTTGTCGTCGTCGTCGTTGTGGAAGGAGAAGAAGAAACTGTTTGGTCGTCGTCGTCAAAGGACAAGGAACTAACCCGCTGGTGACTGTGCAGCCGTGTTGACGGTCGTCGAAGCGCCAGACGATGACGAGAACCAACCCCTTTCGGGTGGCCGTGGCCGAGGTGGCACGTGGGGTGGAATTGATGACGATGACTCAGCGGAACAGTACTCGAGATCGAGGGTTCGATCCTCAGTCCAGTTCTTCTGTCAAGATAAGATGAAGTCGGGCTTGTAATTCGTAGAGAACTATGGAATAGTGAGTATATGTAGATCCCTTTGAACAGGGCTTTAGTGTATAGGTATGCTGTATTCTCGAAAGTCTACAATGGTGGGGATAGGGGTATAATGATACAATCACTGATCTTCTGATCGACCCGCTGTCGTTCTCGATTCTTTCCTCGACAACTTTGCGACAGCTCTCTTTTTCCACCGCCGCCAACGATGGCCGACCCAACAAACCAAACCCTGCCAACCCACTCCTACCCTCCACCCTCCCGAATCCACACCACCCTCTCCCGGCTCACCCACCAATCCCACCCCTCATCGTCATTACCACAAACTCAATCTAGTGGTTCCGCCTCACGCCTAAAAGCAACCCTCCAAACCCTCCTCACAGGCGGCCGCAAACCCCTCCTGCGCTGGGTCGCTCTACTCATCATCCTCTCCCTCACTCTTCTTTTCGTTTATTTCAATTTGTATGGTAGAGGGGAAGGAGGAAAGGGTTGGGGGTTGGGAGAATGGAGTAGCGGGATGGGGAGGTTTGAGTATTGGGAGAGTGTGCAGGAGGGGTTGGGGAAGCCCAAGGGTGGGGTTATGATGGTTCCGGGGAGGGGAGGAGGAGGAGGAACTGGTGCGGGTGCAGCGTAGCGGTCACAGCTTCACCCCAGTTCGACTCGACTAGCACCTTGGTCACATACGATAAATACCCCGTTCCCGACGCACCAGGACCACCCATCCGCTCATGCACCACTCACTCTCATTTCCTCCACTCGCTCCGCCTAGACCAACACACGTCGCTACCTCGATCTACACATCTTCTATACCCTCCCCACCGGACGCTACACGCTATATACCCTAATACATCACTACACAGACAGCGCGGTTCCTTTCACCACCATTTGACAGTAAACCTTCCATCAAGGCTATCGCATAGTGGACTTTATCCCGCAATCCAAATACCCATTGCTCACCAATTCCTCACCCCTGCAAGTTCTAGGCCATCCCCACGTTACAAGCGACAGCATGCACCCTCCCCACCTCTCCTCGACGTCGTCACCAACACAGTTACCGTCAGCCCCCCCCCCCGCGTCTTCGAGGATCATAACTCCCCAGGGTAACCCGTCTCTGAAGAAACGTACCGCTCGTCTACGAAAATCCTCGTATTGCCACCCACCCCTCAGAACTCCTAGGCTTCAGAACACGCTTTTTCGCCTCTCACTACCCACTCCTCGCTCTGGGCTCTAGCATCTCCCCTCCACCGTCTCCGCTTCATACTGCCACCCATCCCCATGCCATTCCATCCTATACCTAGGCCCCCGGTTGCCCACCCCATCGAGGTTTGAAACGACGACACCCCACTGCACAGAGAGTTGAGTTGAACGTTGACATCCATAAACGGGATGTTCTCGAATCCTGTGCGGGATGGCACAACTGGACGTCGTTCGCGTTCGCCTTACATACGTGGTACAGTGGCTTGTTCGTCTTGCGTGGTACAGCGGTTCGATCGTCCTTCAAAAACTTCAAGCTTCATGCCCTGTCCTACAACTTTCGCCCTCCACGCCACCCACATCCAACGTCGCCTCAACTACCCTCCCTCCCCCCCCCCGACCTCGCCACCGACGACGACGACGACGACGAAATCAACCATCAACCGACGAGGCCGGCTACGGGGTCAATGATCGAGGTCGAGGAGGACGGCGGTATGAAGTCGATGGTCGGCAACGAGGTCAAGGTCGAGGTCGAGCAAATCATCTATCCACACATTGTCAGTACACAGTCTTCGAAGGACCTTACTCCGTACGTTGTCGTACACATGTAACAATACTCAGCTTGATTACATGCCTAAAGCCTCCTTGGAGTTGTATCGTCAAACCGCGCAGCTCCATTCCCTCCGTGTATCGCCACTCCATTCTCTCCAATTGCAATCGTTAACCTCGCACTCCATTCGCAGGTGCGGTGCCGTCGCCCAGACGGGTATGTAGTAACTAACGAACAGGTTAAAAAAAACTTCACAAGAGGTGACCTTAAAGTTGAGCGCTTATTTCCGTCATTGGCGCAACCCACTGCCTGCTCCTCGTTTCTTGCTCCTCCTGCTATCTCAGATCTCAGGGGGAGACTGGATAAAGTTCCCCGTAGTTCAACCAGATAAAACGAGATTTTAAGGCCTCGATTGTCAATGGACGTGGGGCCCTCTGTCAATGCGAAGCTCTGGGAGAGTTCAATGATCATCCCTACACCCATACCTTTAAATTTGGGCGCTCTGGACTATGAAGTTTGAACGATGACATAGCACCCAACAGGCCCGGGTCCCGGTCCAACACAGTCGACGTCCAGACCAGGAATATAGTATTATTACCGAGGGACAGGGACTCGGACCATGCGGACCCACAAGTACATAGGAATAAGAGTGGAATGAGGATTGCAGCGACTCGCGAGTACTAGGACCTGCAGCGAAGACATCCAAAAAATTATTTATACATGGGTATGTGAAGATGTAGAGTTAGTAGGTAAGTACGGCCGAGTAAAGTAGATAACACAACAACCCTGCCAGTGAGCTCTCGAAACGAGCTCCAAGCGAAGACGAACTTGGGGAATTGAAGATGATAAATAAGCAATAAAATGTACTCCTACATTGATACACACACTGAATTACGCAAAGTTGATTGAAAGAAATGCGGAGACGACAAGAAGTGAGGGGAGTGCAAAAGGAAACGAAGTGTTGAATGTTGAACGTTGAACGAGGGAACGAGGGAACGAGGGAAGGAAAGAGGATGGATGGAATCAGAAGTCAGAAAATCAGAAATCACCACTCGCGATGGTCATGATCATTGTGAAGCCTGAGGTGAATAGGCGCCGTCGACGTCGGAGACCTTGTAGGTTCTACATAAGCGGAAACCATCAATCCTCCAAAACTCTCGAGCGCTAAAACCGGAATCAAACCAACTCACCAACAGCAGCAACAACATCCTCTCCCTTCCCCACCCCAATCCCCTTCGGATGTATCGACATCTCCAAATCATCCATCCTCACCCCATGCCCATGATGATGGCTCCCATTCAACCCATGCTTCAAATTCAAATTCAAATCCACCTCCAAAGTCGTATACTCCTTCCTCGTCGTCTCGATCGTAATCGTCCCGTGATTCGTCGAGCGGGACCGGTTAAGCGAGTCGTCATTATTCGAGGAAGAAGAAAAGCCAGTAGGTTTTCTGATCACCGTTCGTCGTGGCTGCCAGAACATCCACACACCCAGGAGATCCTTTTGGCTACCGAAGATCAGGACGGCGGCCACAGGTACTGTTTGTTGTGTTGTGCGAGTCACGACAGGTTATGGTTACGGTGGAAGTATAGGCGCGCGTGGAGAAAAGTCGGGGTGTGAGTGTGCGTGAGTGTGTGAGAACGAGTTGCTCGAGCGAGCGCCGAGCGCCCCCCCCCCCCCCCCCCCCCCCAAGCGCGAGTGTCGGGCGTTCGGGAGATAGATAGGAAAGGGATTAAAACTCACCAGTTGCAACAATCACGTTGAGGAATGGAGGGCCTCGGTCCGAGCCTGCTGCGAAGACGATTCCCAGACTGGAAAGGCAGGCACCAAGTTAGCCAATTCAGGAACGTCGAGAGGAGGGCATCGATGGACCATGAGAAAAGAAACAAATAAAAAAAAAAGAAAGGAAAAAAAAAAAAAGCTATGGATGTACGCACACGACCGCTACAATGCAGAAGCACGAAAACAGGAGAACGCGGAGGATGCTTCCTTTCAGCAGATGCCAGTTTCTTCGGAGTCGCAACAACGTCATAACTACAGGAAGGATGTCAGAAAGATCAGGGCGTCGTCATGAAAACGCGACCGTAGCGATGCGTACCTTGAAGAACGAGTGTCGGTATCGTGAGGATGGCGACAGATGCGGACGAGATACGAGAGCTAAGATATAGCGGAAGCTGGCTTGAGTTTGACTTGAGATACGAGAGGAAGGAAGAGGACTCACGGGACGCGAATGATAAAGTTGCAGAAGAACCCGTCTGGTGGTCTCTGGACTGTTTCTCGATTCTTAAGTCCGACCTGTTGAACACTCGATGAGAGGTTCTTTGCGCCCTGCAGCGAGAAGGTAGACTCACCACTAGACACCCGATGAGCATCGTTATGTGCAAAACATAAGGAAGGGGGAGAAGCTGGCGGATTGGTGTTGAATACCCAATGCCCTTGAACACCCGAGGAAGAGAACAAGAACTCACGATCGGGAAAAGCCATTTGGGTTCGCGAATCTCTCTCTCCCTCTCCGAAAGCCAATTCCGAACTTTGAAGTACACCTGCGTTCCAAGCGCAATAACCGTTCCCGAAGTCCTATCCGAAGCTCAAATAATCAGCCTCTCATCGCTAACCTTCATCTCGACCACGACTTACATCGGGAGCGCAGCATAAATCAGCGAAGCTTGTGTTAAACATAATCCAAACGGCGGAGTGGGGTCGTCCTTGTGGCCGGTGAAGAGCAGGAGGGAATAGGAGAGGGATGAGAGTATCCACGAGAACATAAAGCTGTACCAGGTCGGATGGCGGGGTACCGAATTCGAAAGTGCTGCAGTGACGAGGACGATAAGGGATCCGAGCGCCCCGAACATGTGGAGGGTGAGGAAGGCGATGAAGAGCCCGCTGTCCCAACTCGACATGGCTACTGCTGGTGCACGACACCAAGTCGACGAGTCGACGAACCAACGATAAGAACCTTGGTTCAGTCACAGAGTCAACATCTTGTACGCACCTTTTTATCCAAGCGACGTTCCACCCCAAGTTGTACTATGCTAAGTAGTTTGAAGAAACGAGCGGCTGGGAGATAGTCGATGCGTTGAGCAGTTGGCGGTGTTCAGCGCATGAAGGAGAGGAAGAGAGATAGGTGGGGGGGACTACAGTTGCCAGACTGCGAGAAGAGGTCAAACGGCGCCCGGTGGGCGTAGCTTTGTATCAAGCACTGGCCCTGGGGCTCGGAGATGGATACAGACGTCCGCTCCGAAAATCCCAATATCCACCGAGTGAAATAAGTATGTATGCCTTTTCCTCGACCTGGATCACATAGACCTGGATATTTCACATCCTTCGCGGCCGCGGCGCTGGATCTTCGGTTTTGACGAGAAAAAAGTTTCAAGTGGATTTGCTCAGTGCTGCAATCTGTCGCAATCTTGCCCCGGTTGATAACCAAGGCGATGGGTGGGACCTGGTGAGATTTCAAGCCATGTGGTTTGTGAGATGGGTGTCCCTGGTAAACACGCGCGTCGTGAAGAAATGCAGAGGTGGTTAATGGGGTTACTAGTGCTCTCGCGTGCAGAAAGGTTAACAAGACGACCCTCTCTGATGTTGGCATGATACTCCCGATCATCAAGGACTGGCGTGATCCGAGTGATCTGATAAGTATTCTCAACGAACGACACGGAGGGCGCACAGAACTACAGAAGACTCTTAACCAGCGCCCAGGATTCGAATGAAAGAAACGGATCCTCAATCGAGGTTCACTGGCAACAGCTATTCTATGAGAGGGATAACCGCGCCAGCGAGAGTTGAAGGAACGCGATTTAGGACGATTCCACAGTGGTGATGGCTTTCGGAATAACCAAGAGTCAGAAATGCTGAGTAAAGCGTATACCGCCGGAGTTCCTCTTTTCTTTCCCTCTCTATCGCTTCAAAGACATGTACCTATCCTTGATGGAGTGAAATGGAGTCGACGAACGTGTCTTTTTAATGGCTAGGAGTCGTGCCAAGGTGAGATAGGGGCTTTGGTGGCTAAAAGATAAAGAAAATGCTGGCTATTAAGGTAAACATCGAGGAGGACCGAGGGCGGATTTGCCCAGAATCGATACAATGATGCACCTTGATCACTTTCCAACATCATGAGGATCTCTGAGTCTTTTGGCCCCGTTCACAATTAATGCCACGTGCGACTCTTATGAGATGTTTTGGGCGCTTAATTTTATGACGCAACGTACTTACATCGTTGCGCGACTCTCATCAACGAGAATATGCGTATATGTCCTGCGTCACTCCCTTCTCTTCTCGGGAGACAGTAAAGCCGATCGGAAACAATGACAGGTGTGTAAACCAACCCTTTGCTTGAGTACTTGCAGCGCTGAGGAGCCTGAAGACTCTCCGTATGGGCTCTCTTGATGCTGGATACAGTGTTGCGACGGTAGGTTCCCACTACGTATACCAGAGATGGCCGAGTCACTCACCTCAAGTAGGTAGTTCCTAATGCAGAAGATATCAGCCCTCGTCCTCAGACCTTATACGAATCTATATCCTGGACTGGAATTGATCTCATCCGACTCGCATTGATATCGATGTAAGCTTAGCTTATGTAGGCGCAATTGTATTCAGTATTCAATCGACGTCTTCCCATGGTTGGTGGCCTGCTGCCTCTCGGTCCCGAGTGCATGATGACCGAGTATGGCCTCGTACCTTCCCTCAATTTACTTCCCTTGGGGTTGCCTCGCGCACGTGGCCATGGTGGCGCGCCATATCCCGATCGAGACGTCGAAACTGGGGACCACTGACAGCTGTCAACAATAATCCTGGGGAAGCGCCTGGAAACGCGCGCCCGCTCATCGCCAATAGCGTCTATGTTCGAACCCGCCTGGGAAAGCTGAAGAGGTACCCTACTTCACAGTCTAGGTTCTAACTAAGTGAAGTGAGCTCAACCCTAAGCATGCCTGCAACCTCTGACCCCTGTCTCTTCATATTACCTCCGCTATGCAGGCGCTTTGCTAGGCTTTGCTGACTGCCGTGCAATCGGATGAATACCACATTTGGAATCGGCCGCACGCGCTTGGCATGTTCTTGGCTCGAGTGACCCAACGCGTGGGTGAATGGTGGAAATCAGGTGCGCGAAGGCTCTGTCCGGTTGTTAAAGTATGTTTTAGAGATACAGTCAGTAAACCAGATACTTAATACTTCTCCTTGCTCTTTAGCGTCTCAGAAATTGCTTCAGGACCTTTGTGAGGAACTACTACTGGGTCGATAGGGGCAGAGGCGAGTCCTACACAGAGATCAGATCTGCACTTGGTCACTCCTTGAAAGTTCTCACGGGACCACGGGTTCGGGACTTGAAGCTCGATTTTCAACACCGTCCCGCCTTCTCATTCCTCGCTCGAGATCAGTCAAATTGTTCTCGCCGTGCCAGGTCATGCATACATCCAAAGCGAGTATGTAATCGGTGATTTGGTCTTCAGTCTCTTACCTCGACTGTAGATCCTGGGGTCAGCTCAAGGTCACTGGACAAGACAGAGCCTTCAACGAACGCCCAACCGACATTCCATTGTACTGTGTGTGATGTGGGCACGTTACGTACATCTTCCAAATCTGGAGTACCTATCACCGGGTTGAAGCCCCTGGGTCTTGGGACCTCCAACCTCTCGAGCGTCGACCCAAAAGTAAAGTATCCGATCTGCGAAGTTTTGGTGGTGGACGGTGTGAGCCGGAATTTGCCAAACGCCACCGAATACGAAATAACTTCGAGGAGCCTCGACACCTATCATTGTTGCTTCCCGCCCAGTTTCATCTCCTCGAGGGCTTGTCACCTCACCCGATGCATCGAGCTTGAGCGCCGGCCAGAGTTCAAGGTCTCTCGTCGCAACCACCATTCGTTTCGTTTCTTGCCCTTAGGTTGACCATTGCGCGAGTGGGGTGGAAAGGTACGCCTACGATTCCATTCTGTCTCTTCGAACTTGGTAATGTTTAACCTACCTCCAGGATGGAAGTCGACCAAGGCTTATTCACGGCTTTCTTGACTATGCACATGTTCGGTGCTCTAGGATCTCTGATCGTGCTCCTCACCGCCGCCCTTTCTCCATCCATACCTCGACATGCGACTTGGTACAGCTTCATGTTCTCCTGGTTTCTCTCCTCCACGTCCTACTCTCTTTTACTCCTCACTGGAAATAAAGACAACCCTCGGCCACCGTACGCCCTATGCGTAACCCAAGCCTCGCTTATCTATGCGGCTCTTCCTATGTATGTTCTGCGATGCCGATTTGAAGTCGTACGAAACTTATATGCGGATGAAGGACGACAGGAACGGTTATCGCCGTAGTGCTTCAGGTAAGAGGACTTGACTATATGTACTAGAACATGCCTGATGTCCCTTTAGGTCTACTTCAACGTCAAGAATTGGATGTCGGATACTGAGCACAGGGCGAATCCTATCCTCCTCCGAGCGGTGAGCAGCCAGCCGTTCCATCGTCGTTCGCACCTTTGCTGATCTGATTCGGGGAACGCAGCTGATTGCTGCTCCTTACTGCATGCACTTGGCCATGTTCATCGGGTCTCTAGTGGTGAGAAATTCGGTCTACAGTTATCGCAACGCGCTCCGTCCTCATGGATACATATTAGGTTGGGTTAAAACACCCAGAAACCGTTCAAAGACCGTCGAATGGGTTCTTCTGTAACTACGTCATTCGCATTCCGTGAGTGATCTTCGTACGAGGTTCCGTCAATACAGTTTGCTGAAGCCCGACTTATAGCTCCCGGATATCTTCCATCTCCGTTGCCGTCCTCACGATTCCAACGATAGTCCTGCAAGGTGAGTTGTCGCAATGGATCTGGGCGCTACGAGGTCATGACTCTCTCTTCCTTTAGGAATGACCTTCTGGGCATTGAAGAGAAACTGGATGCTTCTAAGAGGAAGTATCCTTCGAGTCCTTAGCTTCTCTTTCTTTGGTGTCGTCGCCATTGTGTATGTCCCGTCTCCATCTCCTTTCATTCAACTCCGCTTATCTCGGTTGTCGTCTAGTCTCGGAATCGTGTTTGCCACGGGCTCGGCGCAAGGCCCTGCCTTCCTGAATGTTATCGTCGCCACTGGTATGTCTCGGTCGATGTCTTTCTTTTCTTCCTCTGGTTGACCCTGTTCCAGTACCGGTCGCGGCAGTCTTAATCTTCGGCAGCCAAAAGGTATGGCGAGATCTCTTTGGGTTCCCGTAGGGCTGCTGACTAACGTGCTTAACTTCAGGATATCCTCAACACTTGGATGTTCTGGAGAGAGAAGAAGAAATACATTAGCAGACCCGCAGGATTCAAGCCGGATAACTCGACGCGCTCCTTTGGCCTGAATTCAACGAAAAAATCGACGCAAGACATCGAGCTCGATTGGGCGAACCCCCACGCTGACCTGCCTGAGTTGAGGTTTGGCCACGGGAAGGATGGACCCCGAGGTTCGTTGACCTTTCTCTCTTCTCTCTTTGCCGTGTACTGATCACATACTTACTCCCTTTCAGATATCAAGATTTCCCAACCTAATCCTGCTGCCATTCGAGTGCAATTTGAACATCATCGCCGTTTTTGACTTACTTATTTGTATGTATTCGTAAATAGTGTATTAATACTTTTGATACCTGTAGCGCTTTTTTCTATGTACATGTGGATCTTTTCCTTGGCTCTGTATACGTAGTGGCTGTTCGCACGTTAGTATCAGATCATTAAACATTTATGTGTTTCGTTACCCTTCTTGTTGAATCCTAGTCTGAGCTAGCCCCAGGCCCGGCGTTTTATCTTTATCCTGCCGCAGTAGTCCTAGGAGAGCGGCATGCCATACGTGTCACAAACACTTTTTCAAGCGACCAGACTCCAAAGATGGTAGGTGTTGGCCTGACTGTTAAGCGCCCATGGCGTCAAGCGCGCCCCAGTTCCCATTTTTGGACGGCGCTGGAACCCTTGAAATAGTTGAATTCGTGGCTCAAGAGGGAACGGATGTCGAGTGGTGTGACTGAAATTGAACAGATACACAAAACTAGATACACTGTGATACATGGCAAATAATTGTGGACGGACCTACACCTGGGCACCTGGTTCTCTGCTAGCAGGTTTTTCATTCAGTTCCGGAGACGAACTTCGATGTGGGAAGTTGCCATCGGAAGTTGCGCTATCAGGCATGGTGGACATGAAGGTATCCGCCGCTGGTCCATGGTTGAATCCCAAAGCTTGAGAGAAAACTTCTCCCGTTGAGGAGGACGGAGAGACACCCATCCATGATCGACCAGTGGTTACCCGGAATATGATCATTTGGGGGGCAAGTTGCTATCGGAGAAATTCAATGTTAATGATATGACTTCTTTTCATAGATCTAAGGGGAACACTCACGACTGCATTCTCGTAAAGCGCCCTAAAGACAGCATCCACCTTCATGATTCTGTTCGCAGCCTCCAACGTCTCAGGAACTGGTGTCGAGACGAAGACAACGCCATTGACAAGCCCAAACAGCGCTAAAGGCAAAGCCGATTCGATCAAGATTGCGATGACACCGGCATACGCTGACAGCTTCCTTCCAGGAAGGGACCGGGCGAATTCACTTCGGGCGCGGAGGAGTCGGAACGTGATGAGAGCTGTGATGATAAGATTATTGGCGACGTTCAGGAGGGTGAAAGTGCTCGTCATGTGCCGTGTTTCGGTGGAGACCATTTGTTCCCGGGTTGAGAGGGCGCCGAAGGGAATGATAGCTAAGAAGGTGAGTGCTGGTAGCACCAGGACCCATTTCTTATGCGTCCAGATAATATAGCATCGCCACAGCTACCGGAGCTAGCGTCAGTCATATCATTCCAAGGGGCAAGAGGGATCTGGACAATGCAACTGACCAACAACAGGACCCCGGAAAACCTAGGGGGGACCCAGATCCTTTTTGGCCCAAAATTTCCGGATTTTTCGAGGCATTTTCTTTCCGGATTTCACCCAGGTCCCACCCCGAGCAACCAAAATTTCCGGATTTTGGAACCTAAGTTCTCCAAAATCTCCTACCGACGCGGTTTTGTCTCACAATACGCCAGTTTTGACTATCTCTCGCCTTTCTGTACGGATTTACAACCATATAGAGTACTAATAATGTTGAAAGTATCGATTATCGTCTATAATCCATCCTCCTTCTCAGACTCGTCTTCTGCGGCTTTTCTTGAACGAGAGAGCTTGATGGCCTTTGTCAACTCTGTCTCCCTCGACTTCAACGTGTTGACAGAGCAGAGAAGCAACAAAAAAAAAAAAAATAAAAAAAAATAAATAAATAAAAATAAATAAATAAAAAAAAAACAGGCTGTACGGGACTCGAACGACCGTGGAGAGAAACACTGCACCGAAGGCTTGGGGGTACGTACACCAAGTCAGCGAAGTTTCCGTATTTTTCATCCAGGTTATGCACTCAGAATCCACTACTTCCGGATTACGGATCCAGGTGAATCGACTTTTTGTCTGTATTTATCCGGATTATTTTCTAGGTCTCGCCGCCTTCGGCGGCGCTTTTTTTCCGGATTAGGCCCCTGGTTCGTCCCAGGTTTTCCGGGGTCCTCCAACAACCCATCAGCAACGACGATGTACAGAACCCATAGAACGCCCTGGAGGATAGAAGCCCAAGGCCACTCCTCTTCATCCCATTGCAGAATGAATTCAGTTCCACTGCTTGGATTGTATAGCCCAAAGAAAATCTTGAAGGTATTGATGGCGGAATTCAAGAGGGAGTTGATGAGGAGGAACAGCGAAAGAGTGATGTATGGAAGGCGACCTTTGCGAAGGTGGTGGGGGGTTTCAAGGAACACGTACAAGCCATACGCGCACATGAAGAACATGATACCTGACTGGAAGTCAATAATTAGAATGAACGACGATCCGAGACACGACGGAACCTTGGATAAAGATATCTTGAACAGTCATCCCATAGAACGCGCCAGCGGCCGTAAATCCATAGCCATCGTAGTCAATCCCTGGTTTCTCTGACATGATGTAGGACGGTAAGTTGGCAACCTGCGGGAAGAGAAGAAAGGATGGACGGCGGAAAAAGTGGCGGCCGTTTTTCTAGGCCTGTATGCGTGCGTATCAAGTACGTACTCTCCAGGGGCAAAACCTCGCTGGCGATACGCCTTTGATGGCCAGTCTATTGCCTTTGACGATCTGTCAACCAATTGTGCCACGGGCTGATGATCCCGCTGAAGGAAGTAATTCATTACGGGAGCTTTCGACGATAACACCAAAGTTCACACTCACTCCACGATTTTCGGGCCGCGAAGTTGTTAGAATCTGGTGAGTTTGGATCGGTCAGCCTATGTGCTATATTCAAGGTCTTCCACGCGTAGTTCGAATAGGCCTACTAAGACCACACCGCAAACCAAGCTGGAGTCTGGTTGATCATTGACGAGACTAAATTCTGGAGTAGACGATGTTTCGATAGCTTCTCTTCGGGTTCCTTAGGGTGGATGGATCATTCACCCCATCTCACATACCAGGTGTAAGATACCATGGAAATCGGCTGGTTTGTAATGATCTACCCTCACGGAGGGCCATGGTGTGGCCTAAGGCACCGTCCCTCAATCGCGCCGAATGTGGCGAACTACGATCAATCTAATCTAATCTAGTCTACTACTGTACGTCCATCTCCACGACATATGGTCGGGCCCCTCGTTGCGATTTTCAATGAGTTGGCCATCCTTCCTGCCATTTCCTCCTCCTACATGAAAGGGGTTCCTCGTTCCACGTTCAGCGGTCAAGAGTGGTAATGCCGCCATGACCGACGCGTCTGTGCCAATCAGTCGAGATAGCCGGCCTCGGGAGGTCTGCATTCCAGGTTGCAGAAAATATTTCTGTCCCTCGTCACAAATTTGATAGTAATCACGGAAGACTAAGAATAGTCGCTGGGACTTGATTCAATGTAAAATTGACTTACATCAGCGCTCGTGAAGTTCGGTGATGCTGCGCGCTGTTCTTTAAGCAACAAGCCTATCAGCTTGACGCTGATGAGGGAGAACTCGGACATCCGGACAGGCGGGAGTTAGCTGATGGGCTAGTTCAATGCTGTTCCATCTGATTCGGAGGCATGAAGTGCGAACGGAAGACCGAAACACTAACACTTCTGGAACAAAGCTTCCTAGCCTCGCGCGCACCGTCCATGTGGGCATTGATTGGGATTACTCTAAGTAGATAGGCTATTGTCTTATGTATCCCAAAATCTCGAGATTGTCAGCCTGAACTAATGGGATTCAAAGCTCCTGCCAACGGCTGTGACAAACTATTGCGAAGCGAGTTATAGCCTCTAGTGCTCTAGTTTCTATAAAGAAGAGCTTGAGGTTTCGCTTCAATACCAGGCCCATCCCCATCTAAGTTACACTGACTGCAAACATGTCCGAGTCATTCATGTTGGCCGAGGTAGTCGCTAGCGTATTCTACATCTCCGCCCTCGTTACCATCTTCGAAATCGGTAAGGCTTCTGCTTGCTCGCCCTCTATACCTAAATAAACGCCCTATATCAGGACTCCAATGTTTTATGACCATCTTCGGTCTCTTCCTTTACCTCCAATCCACGACCGAGCAACGTCGCGGCCGACTCCCTTACATCGTCGTCAGCTTTGCCATCCTCTTCATATCCTCCTTCTCAGCGGGCCTAGACGCGCTCGTCACTTTCCGATCTCTGTACACCTCTGCTGGCCCCCAGGACTACATTAGAATTATCACGATTCTGGAGAACGGCTGGCACAGGGTTGCAAGCACCTTCTGTGCTAATGCATATGTGCTCATTGGGGATGCCGTCTTGGTGAGTGAGAATAAACAGGCTCGAGTGAAAGGAGTTGGACATTGGGACTCACTATTGCCCTTCGACAGCTCTACAGATGCTACGTGATCTGGATGGACAAACGTTGGGTCATGGCCGTCCCCACTCTCACCTACCTCTCCACAACTGGTATGACCCATAGCCCATTCCCAAGTCCGCGCATCTAACCCTTCCACCAGCCGTCACATTCAGCACAGCCGTTCTTTCGATCAAACAAAGTACCCTCGGACCGATGCCCGAATCCGCAATCCACACATACCGCAACCTCACCACAGCTTTTATTTTCCTCACCGTGGCACTCAACATCATCCTCACATCTCTAATCTCCTTCCGACTCCTCCGCGCTCATAAACAAATCGCGTCCGTCCTTCCAGATCGCGACATGAGTTACGTGTACAAAAACGTCATCACGATCCTGGTGGAAGCCGCCCTACCCTTGACGCTGACAGGACTGGGCTATGCCCTGGTGGAAGTCGTCCGACTGGCCATCTTTTGGAAGAACCGACCAGAGACGATGGAGTTGGTGCGCGCCGCGTATGCCTTCGCCATCCTGTATTATGCTTTCGCGGTAAGATCCCCCTCCCGAATCGAAGGACGGTCGAGAACTGCGCTGACAAGAGAAAAGGCGCTCTCACCACAGATGATCATTTTCAGAGTGACAACTGGTCGATCATGGATGAGACACGAAGAAGCAAGGTCGGCAGCGCCATCCGGACATCCTTCTCAGCCCCTCAGATTCAACCATGCGCTCGCTGGGGACCCTACGTCCTTTGCTTCGAGCCTTGTCGCCGGCTCCAGAGGAAGCCACGCCAACGACGCGTCCGAGCCCAGTCTAGCGGGCAAACCAACATAACCGCCGACCCTTTTATCTTTCAACCTGTTTCAGTTAATGTTCCTTATACCTTCCAGCCGAATGATTATCCAATGAAAAACCTATATCGAAAGCAACCGAAAAATGCAAGGGGTATAATAAATAAGCTTTAAACCTACTCCTCAACGATTCCAAACTTCCTCTTCTCTTCACTCGTCCATTCGAACACAGGGAGAGGGTGGGCTTCGGTGTTAAACACCCATTTATCGAGGGAGATCGGGTCCTCGTCGTCAAAGAGGAGGTAGAGGTACTTGAGCGTTTCAGCGAGGAAGAAACTGGGGAAGAATAAGTTGCAGAACGGGAACAAACGGGATGAATCGCACCTGGGCATATCATCTATAATAGTAGGCGTCTCTTGATTGACGTGGTGAACGCTCCCATACCCGAACGGCGCCTTGGTATGTTTCTCGATAGCCTGGTACACCTCATAACCTCTCTCCCTCCACACCTCGTCTCCAGTCGTCTTCCACATCAAATAGATACTCTCAACCGTCTGTGCTCAGAAATGAGCAACCAATCCCCCAAGCCGAGCGGACCAGAACACGTACCTCAGGGCGCATAAGATACCGCTCAGGCCACGCGTTCCTATAATCCCGCCTCCCAACTTCCACTTCCCTCGGTGGCTCCGTCAACCCCGGCGGTTTCCCCTTACTCCCCTTACTCTCCCACTTCTTCAACGCATCGACCCACTTCGGTCCTCCACTATTGAAGGTCGTGCCATCGCTGCTCAGTCCGCTCTTCTGGTCCTTGTAGATCATCCAGCACGTGTAGGTGAGACCCTCGGCGGCCCATTTATGCTTCTGTTGCATCTCTTCCGGGAAGAGCTCGTGGAGTTCGCGCGGACTGAGGAGTTGTGGGAGAGCGTGGGCGCCGAGAGCGAAGAGACCTGGGAGGTAGCAGCCGAGATGCTCGTGGTTGTGCGAAGGGTAGGGTGTGGTGTAGGCCCCACCAGACAAGTCGGTTAGGTAGAGCAGCCCGCGGGAGGGAGAGACATAGAGGAGATTGTCGATGACTCCTTCCATGGATTTCAGGTCTGGAGCAAAGTCAGGCCAGGATTAAGGGCGGGTGCAAAGGACGGACATTGTTTAAGAGCGCGCTTGTCGCCCATCATGAGATATTGTTTGAGGAAGTACTCGTAAGTGCTGTCAGTGTTGGCAGCAACGGTGTAACGCCCTTCACTGCGGTCAGCCGCGACGTCGGACCGAGTCAGTTTACAGCGTCACTCACCGCCTGTAGGTCCTCCGTTGGCAATCGACCAATTCTCAGCGAAGAGGTTGTTGTACGTCTTGGCATTGTACAAATGCTCCATGACGTACTCGACCTTCAAAGTCGTCAGTACGGCGCCCCAGTAAAAGAAAATGGGATTCGGCACAAAATCCGGATTCATGGCATGGTTTTGATGAATAAAATGATTGAGTTAAATAACGTACCTTCTCGTAGTATTCTGCTTTGCCCGTCATCTTCGCCATATACTTGAACTCCAACTGACAGCTCCCAATCTCCGCCAAAAGCCCTGCACCATAGGTAAGTTGACCTCTGAATTTCCGATGTCAACAAACGATCGATCATGGAGGGTAGGAGAACGAGAGTATTGTGGGTTGGAAGGCGATTTCAAGGTGGAATTGAACCAGGTCCAGAGGTACGGCATTTCGAAAGGAATGGAGAATGGAGGCGGAGATCAGTGCCCGAGAGAAATGGCGGAGGCAAAAAAGAAATCACTGATCAGTCCAGGCTGGAAGTAACGTGGAGAGGGAACCACTTACGTGACAGGTGCTACAGCACCGGCTGGGAGCTTGGACGTTGTATTGAAGGCACGGATGAGCTGTTCGCCCAAGTCATCCGCAAGCTTCAACATGAGCTTGTCACCCGAAAGAGCGTAAGCTGATAGATAGCCGCCCAAGTGCCTGATCACAGTCTCGAAAAAGGGAATGAGTCCACCACCAGCTGCCTGAAACGCGAGGTAGCCGGGACGACCGTCAGGAAGGAATCAACGGGGTTGAAAACCGTGGATCAATGACTTGTGGGCGCGTAATAGACAATTGTACCCACAGTGGCCGTGAACTTCTGATTCTCGATGAGCTTCGCAGCCTCGTAGAACTCATCTTTGAGACCCATGAGCCACATGGTCGACAAAGAGTCGACAAGGGTGACAGACCACCCATTAAAACTAGTTCAAGACGAAACGTGGTTAAACGAGACACGAGCTGGAACACCTTGAGACTCACTTGTTCTTCCCGCTCCCCGAATTTGGTAAAACCTCGTCGTAGGGATAGCCCTTCTCCATGTAGGCGTCCCAGGCGTACATGAAGGACTTCTTGACTTCCTCCCTCCTGGACTCCCATATCTTCGAAATTTGAGGTGGTGCTTTAGGTGGTGGATCCAACTCGTCCTCTAGCCCAACGCCCACCGGAACTCCTCCGAGACCCCCGTCAACGCCCACGTCGTCCTCGATGCCTAAATTCGGTCTGATCCCTCCCCTCCAGCTTTCGAATCTATCTGATACGGCCCACGGCGAAAAGAACCACCCCAAAGCCAGAAGTGAGATGAGTAGTGCCACCCATCGTAGCACTGGCCGACCGCCCAGCTTCGAGAGGGAGAACCGACCCGGGGCACGACCTTTGAGACTGGTCCCACCTGTGGCCGCCAGAGGTATTATCTCGTCGTTGTGTAGTGGAAGTGGGCTGCGAGGCGACATCGTGAAGTTCCTTCCCCCTTGTTACTTTGGTAATTCAAATCTTCTTAATCAAAAAACAGTCGCAAAAGTGTTCGGGGCTTGCCAGCGAATAGATCGGTGGTGTTTAGTTGCGGATCTAAATTGGATTTCAAAACATTTAGTACGTCTGTAAGTAGACCTTGAAGTTGAGAGAGAAAGGACAGGTTATGTCGTGGAGGGAACGTGGAAGTAAGAAGGAGAGTGCTCGGATGAGAGATTCCCTGAATTCGATTTGGCTTGTGCCAGGTCAGATGCCAAGCCAGAGAATCCGATGCCCGGATCAACCAATCTCCCGCCAGCGTCAACTCAGCGCTCGGTGTTGCTGGCGGAGGTGAATATGTTCAAGTTGGAAGGGCGGTATTACTTCAAGTGGAGAAAGATATGTAGGCTTTCAGCACATAGTTCAGAGAGTCGGGGACAAAACCCACCACCAAGACGAGAGAACGAAGTGAATGTGAGAGCTTCGAATAGTGTCACAAGATGCCTCGGGATGAACCATGTGAGCCCGCGCCAATGCGATGCGTTGTTAAGAAGGTGGAGTTCGTGACCATCCAACTACATGTATACTATATATCAATCTTATCTGATCTGAACTGCTGGCGCCTAAAACATACTGTGCATGGGCTCCCGCTGTCGCTCCACATCGATAAGCGCCCATGGCGCAGACCTCCTTCCCGATTTCTTCCCCGCCGGATTGGATAGTGGGTTCCCCAGAACAGCAATTAATGATTCATGATAAGTCCGAGGCGACTCGTATGTGTTTCCCATTAGCACCGGTTGAGTACCCAACGCATACACTGTAGAAAACCCTTCGGATCTATATAGTACAGAGTTATAAAAATAGATATGCCCATTGTCACAACCTAGAGCCCCTAAACCTGAGTGTCAATCCGAAGTCCTGAGCTTTTTGCAGCAGACTTTTCATGCAACTGGGAATCGGACCCGTCCATATCCATCTGGCCTTGTCGATGGGATTCCTGCCCAGGAGTTGTCATAAAGGTATTCTCCGCTGGTTCATGACGGAATCCCAACGCCTGAGAGAAGACTTCTCCTGATGAATGTGAAGGAGGTTTCATCCACGAGCGACCTGTCGTCACTCGGAAAATGATCATTTGAGGCGCGAGTTGCTAGATGACGACAAGCAAAGTTCAGTATCGTTCAACCTTGAGACGGGGCATGTTCTCTTACCGCTGCGCTCTCATAGATAGACCTCAGCACTGTGTCCAGCTTGATAATTCTGTTCGCACCCTCCAGAGTCGTAGGCGCCGGTGTTGACACCATCACTACCCCACTGATCAGTCCGAAAAGCGACAACGGCAGCGCTGACTCGATCAGGATGGCCACTACGCCAGAGTATACCCCAAGCTTTCGCCCAGGAATGGACTGCGAAAACTCCATCCGCGCACGGACAAGTCTGTACGTAATCAGACCAGTGCAGAGGATGTTATTGGCGACGTTGAGGAGGGTGAAGGTCGTCGTCATCGTGCGGGTCTCGGTGGTGACCAGATATTCGCGTGTAGTCAGGGCGCCGAATGGGATGACGGCGATGAACGTTAGCACTGGGAGGACTAAAACCCATCTCTTGTGCGTCCAGATAATGTACGTGCGCCAGAGCTATATGAACGATGAGACATCGTATTGCAATTGAAACTGTGAAACCCACCAGTAGGCCATCCGCGACGAGGATATACAGTGTCCAGAGTATGCCCGCCAAGATCGTTGCCCACATCCAGGGGTCATCATCCCACTGCATGACAAACTCTTCACCGCTCGCCGGCAAGTACAGCCCGTAGAAGATACGAAAGACGTTCAAAGAACAGTGAAGGAGTGAGCTGATAACGAGATAGATCGAGAGCAGGATATAGGGTAGTCGTCCTTCTCGCTGATGCTTTGGTGTCTCGAGGAAGACTGAGACGCCGTGGACGCACATGAAGAACAGGATACCTGGCAGTGCCTTTGGTCAGTGTATCAGAGAAGACGCTCGAGGAACAGTGGTGCCGACCTTGTACGAAGATATCCTGTACAGTGATACCATAGAACGCGCCAGCAGCCGTGAACCCATATCCGTTGTAGTCTATTTCGCGTTTCACAGGCATCGCGGTGGATTCCAATACAGGAGAGCGAGAGTGAAGTGGTGAGTTGTGCTGCAAGTGAAGCAGCTACGAAGGAGCCAATTGAGAGCGCCCCACCCTTTTTTATACTTCTCCCTGACACCAAAGCGAAGGAAAGCCCATTGGACATCCGCCCTGTTTTATGTCAATGAATGGAGATGGGTACTGTCAAACTCGTGACGGTGCCCCGAGGATCGGCAAGGTCAATGTCGGCGACGCTTCCAGGGGTCCACACATTTGATGTTTCGATTCTCGAGAATCATCAGTAAATAGAGGCGACATAGAGGCGCGAATCTGAATTTGGGAGTCTATCGGTGGAGGCATTGGCAGGCAAGAAACCGGCTATTATGTTTCGAGAATAGAGGTTCGCTCTCTCTTGAAAATGGGAAGGATATGGAGAAGAACCTTGAATAAAGCATTCTCATGTTTACCGAGAATACATACTACATTGCGCCACAGGCGCTAGTTGCGGGGCACGGCGACTTTGAATAGCCATCATATTGGTGTCATGCGCTCAGGACAGAATTGACCGGGGAAAGCTATTGCACTGTCGTCCTGCAGTTCGGAGCTTCGTTGAATACATACTCTCGAGTGCTAAATTCACCTCCGTGTAACCCGATGGAAATTTGAATGATTATTGCCAGTAAATAACTACTTTCAGTTACCGCCAACCTAACGCAAGGTGGGCGCTGATTTTGTGATCCGCCGAGTAGCCAGTGCATCATCAACGATCAGTTGGGCGCTCGCCGTCGATGTGAAAGCGCGCTTTTCTCGGGAAGCTGAACCGGTGGATCATCCAACTTCGTCACCCTCCCCTCTTGAGTCGAGAGGAGCCAACGCGTACATTAACACGATCATCACTATAGGGCGGTGTCGAGTCTCCATCTGAAAATCTTTGAAAAGTCGAACCATTTGGGAGGCCCCTCTGCCCTTCCATCATGTTATCACGTCGACCGTCCAAACTCTGTGGACACTTCGAATCTGCTCTCCGCAATTCCCGGACGCCCATTTGAAGTGGCCCTCCTGAGTCCTGAAAGGTTTTCCCGTCATAGTACTGGGTGTCGGACGAGAAAATAAATCGAAAAAGAAATAAAGAAAGAAAGAGCCCCCAGAGACTCACGTGAGGTTCAACTGGAACCTGAGAGTGACATCCGCTGAATTGGCATTGAGGGTATAAAACCGGCAGGTGGTGATTCATGCGTGGCAACAGTCGTCATTTCCGGTAGCAGCTGCTGGTTATCTTCAATAATGGTTGAAGAAAGCGCAACATTACCCAACTGCGAAGCAATCGAGTCCTCTGATGCTCGAGCGTTGGTTACCCTTTCCCAGTGCTTCGTAAAGCTCGACAGAACAGAGGATTTCATCTTTGGAGGTCGACCTCTTCGCACACACTGCTTCCTATTCTGATCCTCCGAGCCTTTGGGACGCCCGCGTTTGCGTTTCACCGGGATTTCAGAGACATTCCGGAGAGTTGTGTCCATGCTTGGGTACGCGGATTTGAATAAGGTTGATGCTAAGAGCTGTATTTCGAGTCAGTCCCGGCGGAGATTACACGCTCACCTTTTTCGCATCACCTACCACGTCTTTTCAAAGTTCTTTCAGTTGAGGGCGGTATGGGGGTTCGAGGAACGCCAGAACAATGCTGGTAATGTAAAACAACGCCTGAAATAACATAAAGGAGGTTGAACCGTCATAGTCCTGGGTTGTTATCTGCCCGGCAAAGTCCGAAAATTCCAACTCTTTCGCCAATTCCATGAGACAGCGTGCTTGAAATTGCTCCAAAGTCAACATAGAGAATCCTCTAGTACATAGCTAGTCATATATGCAAAAATATTGAAGCTTTCGGCAGATGTCCTTTCGCAATTCAGAAGTCGCGTCACAAAATACCGAGTGGCAGATAACACCCCTATGTTATCTGCCCGTTATCTGCCATTTGGCACGTGCACGTTTCCCGCGCGTGATAGCCAACCCCAATATGGATTCTCGACGACGCGCCAAGGGCCTTAAAGTTTCCCTCCATTTCTCACGGAGTGGTGCAATAAGATTTCCTAAAAAGAACATCGCATTCCCTTCATTGGTCACCCGTATGTTGCTTGCCAATACGCTTTTGCTATCCGCCGATATGACTGGGACTTGAGTATTGTCGTTCCTGGGTATACCGTTCCCAGCCTCCGATACAGAAGGAGTATTTTTGGATCGGCGTGGAGTTCCCCTTACCTTGAATGAGTGCCCCACCTCCCCCCAATGGAAGCGGAGAGTGCTTTCTTCCTGACAGCCAACGCTTCTATGACGAGATGCTTACGCTCGTGAAGGGAACGTGATTTATTGGCTGAGTGTCAATATCGTCGCGCTGACTGAGAGGAACATGCGTCCTGGTTTACGATCCAGCAAGTTGGACGAAAATGGTCGAGGGTTGTACACGAAGTGGAGCCTCAGAAACCATATAAAGCCTACCAGTTCTCTCGCTTTAAACCCAGCTCGAGAACCTCGTTCAACACCCAATATCCACTCAATCCTCAGCAACCAAACAGCCAACAACCATCATTTCCATGATGCACTTCAAGTCTCTTCTCATCTCGTTTGTCCTCACCACTCAGCTGGTTGTCGGCGCGTTCAACTACACCCGTCTCGACAAAGAGAAGGCTGCACTCCTCATCGTTGACCACCAAGTCGGCCTGATGCAGATAGTGCGCGACATGGGTCCGGAGGAGTTCAAGAACAACGTCTTTGGCCATGCGGCCATTGGACAAGTATTCAATTTGCCGACCGTAATCACCTCAAGCTCTGAAACTGGTATGTGAAACTGCACGCGACATCTTTCTTCCAAGAAATGTCTTTAACGATTTATTAACCTGAATTCGAGGTCCTAACGGGCCCATCCCCCAAGAGATCCTCGACATGCATCCCAACGCTACGGTCGTTCGTCGAAGCGGTGAGGTGAACGCCTGGGACAACGAAGAGTTCCGTGCAGCGGTTCGAGCTACCGGCAAGGACCAACTCATCATCGCTGGTATCACCACCGACGTGCGTTCTTGCTCATTCACACATACACCGTTGACTGACGAACTGTCCTGATCAGGTGTGCATTACCTTCTTGGCACTCTCCCTCGTCGAAGAAGGCTACACCGTCTTCGCCAACTCTGATGCTTCAGGAACCTTCAATGTCAAGACCGCTGATGAAGCCAACGCCCGCATGCAGCAACGCTGGGGTTCAGGTCCTTTCCCAGTTTGCCGTCGCCACCGAGTTGATGAGGGATTGGAGGAACACACCCCGAGGTGCACAGATGTTGGCTTTCTTTGACAAGTACGTCTCGTTTCTTCATCCCATCGAGGATTAGGATGACCAACACTTTGCAACACAAATAGGTATCTCCCCTCTTATGGATGGGTCGCTCGCGCGCACGCTGCTGCCCAAAATGCCAACTAGTTTAGCAGGTTCTGGATTTAGATCTATGGCCTTTCCTCAGTTCCTACTTTCGCTCGGCTACTACTTGGTTTGATAGTCAGTGTCCCGTTGTACATCCGTCTGCCTGTCCTTCACTGAGAATAAAATCACTGGATATCCCAATCTGTAATTATCGGCTCATTAGACTATTCCTACGGTATCGAAACAATGTCCGCCGTTGCACCATCCTAAACCATTACAGTCGATACGTCCAATTCCAAACCCTCAACAGCACACTTCCCAAGACCACTCTGAAGAACAGCAGCAGCCGCAGAGCTCCACGATGTGTGATACCCATGCCTGGACGATTCCACAGACCACTTCCACCCGCCTCAATGGAAACCTCTCTCTCACCGTGACAAGATCGAAGTCGGACTGGGATTGAACGGACAAGCTCCGCCACCTCGACTCAACCATCTGGCAAAAGAGGTACAACCCCACCCCTGTGCCTTCCTCGTTCATCTGCACCTTGAGCTCCTCCAACTTGGGCAAGATGTGCCCGTACGGCGTCAGTCCGTCCCCGTCTCCGATTGCCATATACAAACTTGGATCCGCGATGGAATGATAACGCCCGTCGTCCAGCATCGCATCCCACAGGTAGTCCATACATCCCTCCGTGGAGCCAGACGAGACGTGCAGGTGCGTGACAAAAGGGGTATACTGGAGGAATTGAACCAGCCCTGGACCGCCGTCGATTCGGTGGAGAGCGAGGTTCGTGAGATGTGTTCCTATACTTGCTTTGTGGGCCAGTTCGCAGGCTCATGGCAGCTTACGAGTCCGTTCATGAACTATGGTAGGCCTGAGGGCGCTCGCTGGCGCACACCTTCGGTGCGCTCGTGCTCGCGCCAAGACTGGTCACTGGTGCCCATGCCATTCACATACTTTATTTATTACAGTTCTATTATACTTTCAGTTTAGCCTTCAGTAACATAGAACACTTAAATGTAATTTAACATACTCATCGGAATTTAACTAACAAATTACAACTATCCTACACCAGGGTCTGATAATCATGAATATAAATGGCTCGAGCACGAATTGAACCCCCAATCTCGAGATTTTAAGGCAAATTCCGATCGTTTTGATGATAAGTCTGATGCCATCAAAGCGGCCCTCCGAGACCGGCCAGTGGCGGTCGTAAATGGAAGAACTCCTATTTCGCCCCTATTCTGAACCCTTGTAATGACGTCATAACTAGTGCTGGCGGAAAAGAACGAGTTGCGTTTAATTCCGTCATATGTCTGGACACCCAGGCTTGCTTAAAACTATCAACAGTATCAAAGATCACAGCTCTAATCAAGTTTTTTGCTCAAAATAGCATGCTGCATAATATGCCTTAGGCTGACAGCTGTTGCAACATCCATTAATGAAATCAAGGAAGCGCCTAAAATGAATGTTAAAATGAAGTCTCATTAAAGGACAATACAGAAGGCATCACAACGTTAAATGAAAAAAGAAGTAAAGAAGCCATCAATACCTGTCCATCAAATCCTCGAAATTAAGGCCTAAATGAAGTCTCGTTTTCGAGCTGCATAGAAACGACTCCTAACGGACTCGTAACACTTGAACGAGTCGAGGAGGGTCCAAGAAGCCGATGAGGGGTGGTGCAATGGAATGACGGGGAAATCGAATCCTTGTTTCGAGTGAGAAGCAAGGGTGAGGTTTCGCGATGACAAGAACTGGGTATTTCGGACTGTGGTGTGGAAAAGGAGCGGAGCTGTCGCGTCGTTGTCCGCATGTTGGTCCCGTACGACACCTTTCTCGTTGAGCACCAGATGCAAAGTGTGCAGGTACGTGGGCAAGACCGCTTCCCCTGGTGTAGGATCAGCCACGTCATCCACCAGCCACCCCACCGTAGGCGAGTCCATAGGAAACACCTCGAAACGTCCAGTCTCCAGCGAAAGACTTCGCGATAGAAGAAGTCTCCATATGTGAACTGGGATTGGCTGAAGTATCGAGAGCGACGTCAGTTTTTCCCAGTTAAACAGGGGTGAGAGGTTGGCGTGGAACAGGGGGTCGAAGGGAATGTGATAGGGGTTATCGTTGAAGGATACGAGCTCAGGCCATGGAACATCGAGTGTTACATCTTGAAGCTGCGGCGCACAAGCTGACGAGAAAGGCGAGATTGAATGGTGCATGGCGGCGAATTGCGACGAATGGCGGGGGTCGTCGAGGTAGCTTTGATAGCTCGCACGCAGCACGAGAGTTGTCAGCGGCCTGGTATGGATCCATTTCACCTGCCGCGCAGATACGCATCCGGGTATATCTGTTAGGTAGTCCACCTCCAATTCCAACCTCTCAATTCCGGGACCACGGCTTCCATATCCTTCATCGAGAACGAAACCCATGGCGTGATCCTCTGTTATCTTTCCCCCAGAAACCCAGCCTCCATCTAGCCCAAGAACCACCTCTAGGACTCTCTGGCAGAATCCATCGTAGGCCTCCGAAGACTCCCAATCCGTTCGGAACCCGGAAGCGAACCGAGAGACTTTGAGCTTCAGGGAGGAGAGTGGGAGAGGATAAGCGTTGGCAAGCCACGTTCGAGTGATCCAATGCGCTCGGCTTAAAGGGATGAGATGAGCGCTCGACCTGAACGGTTGACACGTCGGCGGAGCGACGTGGACATGGCCGGGAAATGATATCGAAGGTTGCGAGTTGGATATAGGCGAATGTGGTTTCCGACTGGGTGTGACAGCGACCTCCAAATTCATCCATAGGAAGGGTATCCTTTCAGAAAGGTAGCGCCAGTAGCGGCAGACCTGGCAGAGCAGGAGAGGAGTCCGGTAGGGTGTGGGCAGGTGACTCGCATCTGTTAAGCACAGTAAGAAGATGTAGGCGAGGATTTCGGGAGGAAGGGAATGGATGTGCGTTAAAGCCTGCAAGGCCTAGTATCAGTCAAGCGCGTATCGAAGTGGAGTCAACGAAGTACCTGCTGGTTCGTTGCGTGAGTGATTGCTATTGCCATTATCTCCAGAAGGGCGGCGGAGTGATAAGACCTCTCGCTTGCTCAACGGTCCAATTAACAGCGGAAAACTGAAACCCGTCAGGTCCGTTCGTTCAAGGGGAGTTGAAAGACTCACAACTAGGGGACGCAGTCCAGTCTGATTTTGAATTACACCAGCGGAAGGGGGTAGGGGAGCAAGGTTGGCCACGAGAGACACAAATCATCTCCCAGCCTGGATACGCTGCTTGCTCCGCATGACGTCTTGCCCAACTGCTTCGTTGCCTCCGAAACAAATCCCATGCATGCCTCCGACTCGATGGTTACGCTCCGAGACTAATCTCGCAATCCAATTGGCCAGTTGAGTGCTCCGATCATATTCGACGTGGCCACCTCGTGGCGGGTGCTTGCAACAGTGGATGTCCGTCTGCGTTCATCTGCCAACGATGAAACACAGGTGAGACCTGCGACCGTGGACACAAGGGCAACCCGGGTTTGACCGACGGTCCGTATGTACTGAGCGAAGTTCTCTGGAAATGTGATTCTTTCAGGTTGAGAAAAGCATGACGGAAGGTATGGCTCCTCTGAAAGAAGCTCGTGGCGTGGGCTGAAAAATTCAAGGTAGACGTTCCCTGTGAACGAACGACAAGCGCTGGGTGCTCTGGAGAACGCGTACACAAACGCAAACAACCCGGTCCGACTCGGACCATTCGCCCCCAAGCATAATACGTACGCCGTTAGTTCAGGGGATTTAGGTACTGGTATGCTTATTGGGCATATAAATGATTCACACTGTGGGACCGGATGCATTGAGAATGGGTACTACCAAGTCTACACCACTGCTCAGCGACAAAACTAATCACCAATACGATTAGTTCGCTTCAATCGCGGCAGCATGCGCACGAGCAATCCAGGCATAAGCGGGAAGGTATCTGCGAAGATCACAGCAAGTGAGTACAGAGATCAGACTCCCGCTACACTGAACTACCCACCTGTCGTAGAATGGAATCATCTCAGGCGCTCCAGGCGTGGCCCTCCAGTCTCTCATCAACTCCGCCGAAATCGCGAACATCGAGAGGACCTGTACTCCAGCATGTCGCATACGCGCGTTCGCCTCATCGGCAATCCTCTTGCTCATCGTTCCAGAGGCATCAGAGTTGGCAAAGACGGTGTATCCCTCTTGGGTGAGGGAGAGGGCGGCGAACGTGGTGCAGACCTACGACGGGAATAGTTTGGTCGTGGAGATCGAAGAATAGTAGTAGACTTACATCAGTGGTGATTCCAGCAATGATGATTTGATTCTTCCCCGTTGCTCGGACTGCAGCCTTGAACTCTTCGCTGTCCCATGAGTTGACCTCTCCGCCACGCCTGACGATCGTAGCGTTGGGATGCATATCGAGGATTTCCTGAGGAATAGGACCGTTCGGGCCTACACTAGTGTATTAGATCATGTCGGCAGAAAGAGGCGCCAAGGTCAAACTCACCAGATTCAGCGCTCGATGTGATGACTGTCGGCAGATTGTACAGAGCTCCCAGGGCAGCATGGGCAAAGACGTTGTTGCGGAACTCTTCTGGAGTTTGATCCCGCACCATTTGCATCAGCCCAACTTGGTGGTCGATAATGACCAGCGCCGCATTGTTCTTGTCGATTCGCACGTATTCGAAGGCCAGAGCGAGCTGCAAGAACGCAGCGACGAAGAGGAGTGATTTGTGGAAGAGCATCCTGGATGAGGGGAAAGGAGTGACGATTATTGGTTTGAGGGCAGCCCTAGAGAAGTGGGCGAAGAAATGATTGATGGATAGCAGTAAGCTTTGAGCGCAGGATTATATACGCAAGCATGGGCTTGACTAAGGGGGGACTGTGGGCGCCCTGTATGCAAATTCACTTTCACTTTGGGAATTCTCATACAAACGGAGAAAAACATACATTGAAAACTGCATTGGCAGCCCGCTTTCATCGCCTACATACTATGCGAGACCACAGCCTCGGCGAAACACGAGGAGAAGCGGGTTTTGAAGGCCTGGGCGGCAGACGATGCGAGCTCAATTTGGGTAACAAGGCTCCATTTTTGTGAGAAAGAAGTTACTGATCTGGTATGTCCGAGAAATGGGCGCTCGACGGATGGTGACAGATGTGCTTCTTGATCTCAACTTGCGCGACGTAGCTTCTGATCACCTCGCTTGACGCCGTAATTTAAACTGCAGCCAGAGACAGGCTTCGACATATTCAATTTTCGATTGGGAAAAGAAGTCCCAAAAGGATCGACAAGAAGTTTGATTACGAGTGGGTCCATAGGTTATGCTATCGATACGCTGGGACCTTTCGCAACATTGACAGGGCATCCTGGAGCTGACTCTGCGTCGTGAGCTCCCAAAGACCCGTTTGACATTGTGTGGTTAAACTGCAACGCCTGCGAGAACTGTGCGGGACCTGTTCCCGACGCCTTCAATGCGTGACTGATCCATGACCGCCCGGTCGTTACCCTGAAGATAAGCATCTGTGGTGCAAGCGCCTATGGGGACTTCGTAAGTCAGTCTGTACGCGATGAGTGGAATGAATAAATGCCCACCGCAGCGGAATAGTAGAGCATACCAAGAACGATGTTCGCCCTCGACATTGTCGCCCATTTATTGATACTGCTCGAATTGTCCTTATCAAGGTAGGGATTTGAAGAAAGTTGAAATATATCCGTAATCGCATATCCAATGCCGCACGCAGTCAAAGGAACCGCGGATTCGATGACAATACCTGCAATTTTGCGGTATATAGTTACGTCCCGTCCAGGTAGGGCAGAAGAGAAACGAGAATGAGCACGAAGGAGTTTAAAAGCGATTAGCGCGGTGACAATGATGTTGGTGGAGACCGTTAGGAACAGAAAACTGCTGTTGAGCGCTATGATCTGGTCGTAGTCCGCGATGGTTGCGTCCGGATTAGATAGGACTTTTGCTTGACGCTGAATTTGGTAGATTTCGACAACTGTCGTTTCCCAACGTCATTACATCCCCGGTGCAGTGTTGGGGCTTGGTCTCTTACCGATGGACGAAATGTACAGAAGGGCAGGTAATGTTATTGCCCATGCTCGATCCTTCCAGATCATGTAGCACCTGTATAGCTGTCGTCGACCTATGTTAGTCGAGAGTCACAAAACTCGATGGGAGTTAGACGGAACCTACCAGAAGCCCATCTCCAAGCCAAATGTACGCATCGATGAGCACCACAGCAGCGATACGATGCCAGGCACTCTCCAGTTCGTTGATCAGACGGAATATATCACCAGGCCCGGCAGAGTCGTAAAGAAACTTGAAGGTCATAAACCCGCTTCGGACAGCCGCAAGCCCGGATAGGGTGAGGATGGCGAAGCTAACAACGACGTATGGGATACGGCCTTTGCGAAGCTCGTGTGGGGTCTCAAGGAATACTGATAGGCCGTAGAGGCACATGAAGAGTTGCAGTCCTGTGGTGGCGCAGGCAATCTGCTTTAGTACTCAAAAAGTGAGAGTCTGTGAAAGGGGATTTTACGTACCAAGATCCATCATGGACCATAGGGTAGAGGCATACGTGGAGGATGCAATAGCATGTATAGCGCGCTCCATCCATGGATCCATCTTAGGAGGCTGCGCTCGGGGTAGCAGGCAAGGAAGCCCAGTGATCTAATCCGAAAGATTAAATAGTGTGTGAGCTCTAAGTTCTGGTTATAAGTGCCCGCGAGTATATCGGAACTTCTTACCGCAGATGATCGACAAAGGATTAGCGACCCATCGCATCCTCTCTTGATGAACTACAGCGCCCACGGAGAGCGCCCGTCTCGGTCTTCAACCATACGCGCCTTCAAACTGTCTAAGTATCAAGCATCGAGCAGATGGCTCCATCATTGGTCAACATTACTCTGGACTGAAGGCGGTGCGGGTCATCCCTACGCGCTATCCGCTCAATGCTAGGTCAAGATAATAAGGCGAGCACAACGACCCGAAATAATACTTAGTCGCGCCTTGCGCAAGTTCTGACACATGACCAGCAGAGGCGTGACCTGGTTCCATCTAAGTTCCCATCACGTCAGTTAGATCTCTGCAGTTAAAAGGGGGACCAATGTAGAACTCTACATAGGCTCTCCTTTTATTCTTCCCCACTTCTCACTCCCCGCAGCGCGACCTGGTCTTTTCTGGAGATTGTCCAAGCTCCTGTGCACCCTGCCTCTTGTCCTCGTTGACATAGCCTCGCGGTTCTTAAACCTTATAATTAAAGCCTCTATAACTGACAGAAAACCTTGATATTGTGGTCTGAGACCATTTAGCACGACTCAGAGCTACCGCGTCCGACGGACTTATCGTCGAAATCCATTCATTGCCCCTTCACCTCTGTAATGACGGGGGCAGCCTCAGGCTAAGATCGACAGCCAAACCCATCCCCATCGACTCAGGGCTCGGACGTATCCCACTATTCGTGGGGGAATTTCGCTCGCTCTTATACCGCTCGCTAAAGGCTCTGAATATTAGCTGAAGCGCTATTGGCTAGTTGGGCGTTGGCGCCGGAGTACTTACATGAGGTAAATCAGCCCCTAAATTGCAATCGCGTCATCTTATCGCCGCACGTGCGTTGCCAGCAACCTTGTTCCCAGCGTCATCGCATCATCACTGTTCAGGACCGCAGCACCCGCGGGCCAAACCAACCGTCTGATCGTTCTCTCCTCCACCTCCTTTCCTAGTCGTTCCTTTCAAAACCGGCAGCGCAGTTTTGCTGTCGCTGTCGTAGTTCATACAAAAGTTATCAGTAAGTCTCAGTCGTCTCCTTAATGAAAGTGCAATCAATTGACCTCGGCCTAGATTTATAACAAAAATGTCGGAATTCTTCTATGGCGCACAGGTGGACGGCAGCGTCCAGGCGACGTTGCAGTCCTTTGCCATGATCATTGCCTCTGAAATTGGCGACAAGACTTTCCTAATTGCTGCTATCCTCGCCATGCGACACCCTCGGATGGTAGTCTTCGCTGGAGCTTTCGGTTCCCTGGTCGTCATGTCGGTTCTTTCAGCCGCCATGGGCCACCTACTTCCCACACTCATCCCAAAACGCTGGACGCAAATTGCGGCTTCCATTCTATTCCTCGTATTCGGCGTGAAGATGTTCCTGGAGGCTCGCGCTATGAAGAGTGGGAATGAGAAAATTCAGGAAGAGATGAAGGAGGCAGAGGAGGAGATTGACGACGACGAGGCTGAGCGCGAAGGAAAGAGCATCCCGCTAGAGGAGATGGAGGAGGGAGGAAGGGAAGAACAGCCAAAGTCGCCTGTCATCCGCAAAGTCACGTCGTGGAAGGATGGTGCCCGCAATTTCTGCAGTCTAATGCTGGGACCTGTTTTCGTCCAAGCCTTTGTGCTCACCTTCCTCGGAGAGTGGGGCGATCGAAGCCAAATTGCGACCATTGCGCTGGGCGCTGCTCATGTAGGGCCTACTTGTCCTGTCCAGATTGCTCATAGGCTGACTGTTTTTACAGAACGTCTATCTCGTGACGCTGGGTACCGTCGTTGGGCATGCCTTCTGCACAGCGTTGGCGGTCATTGGAGGCCGCTATGTATCAACAAAGATTTCCGTAAAGCACGGTGGGTACTGTCGCTTTCCACGGTCAAGCATCGAACTCATCCTCACTTGTCCTAGTCACCCTCGGAGGCTCAGTCCTATTTATCATCTTCGGCATCGTCTACCTCTATGAGGCCTACCGAATGGGAGCTGACATCGAAATTCCCATTCCACTAGATACGGACCACGCGACCTAATGATGATTTCCTCTCCTCGCTCTATTTTTGTCTCAACTCCACACACGCACTTCGCTATCGTTCATCACCGTTTTTCGACTTCCTCTACTGTTGGACCGCAAAATTTTGTGCAGTTATACGGACTGGATCATTCCTCTTCTGCATGCATTCCAACCTTCGCTACTTCGCTCTTCTGCATGCACCTTGATCGACCTTTCGATTCTTTCACCACCTCGAGGACCAGTGCCCTCCCCGCCTTTTCCCATCCGACACCCACCCATAGACTATCCATTACTGTGACGCCACTGCACGGTCTTTTACTCTTACCTGTTCGCAATAGTGTATCAACTAGACCTAATGTAATACGAAAGTTTTCGTTGTATTTATTTAGCTCTGTTTCGTCATACTATGTTGCCCTTTTTCAGGGTTCATCATGTCCCAGGACTCGGACTCCACAGGCCGATTCATGTAATCCATGCTACTGGTTCTCTCGGGTGCACGTTTGTAGCCTCTTGGGATGTTTCGGTCTTTCTTTCAGTCTGGGCAAGTTTACGGATTCACCGCCTACTGCCTTCGTAGATTGGGATCGTCCTGGCGTGTGGACTGCCTCAGGTCAAGGACTTACCAAGAAGCATTAGCAGGTCACCGTGGAACTGTGCAATGGTTGCTCAAAAACAGAGCCGAGACGGTCGAGGTAGTGTCGATGTATTGCGGGTTAAACGAGAGACGAGTATCAAAATCATAGATGTGCATAGAATAGAATACAAGGGGATTAGGTAGGTAAAGATGCCCCGAAGTGTCGGTGAATACGTTTGTGGTATTAAGGCATACAACTGCACGAACGCGAAGTGGAAATGGGAAGCAAAGGAAACCAAAGAAACGAGAGTGATGTGGTCGAGGTGTGAAGACAGTGAGAAGGAAGCGAGATATATGCGTGTGTTCTCGCTTGAAAACGGACTTGGAGCGAGCGGTTTAATCGCTGCTGAGAAGGGACAGAACCTTGCTTGACCTTGGTCGAATGTCGCATTCGAAAGGTTTAGGATAGCTACGGATGCGAATAAGCCAGGCATTCAAGGGACGAGAGAGAAATAAAAGAAACCTACCTGATGGTACCGGAAGTGTTATCGTGAACAGGGATGACAGGCTTGCCGTCTCGCACGACGTTGGTGATGTTGAAGACGGCGAGAGACATGGAGACGACAGCCCAGAGGGATGCCTCGGCGAGGTACATGCCCGGGCAGATGCGGCGACCCCACCCGAAGACTGCTTTGCGTGGGTCCATCTGGGGGTTGGGACCCATGAATCGCTCGGGGTTGAAAGTCATTGGGTCGGGATAAATTTCAGGGTCGTGGAGGATACCCCTAAGAGCAGACGATGAGTCTCGCGGTTCATAAACAAGGCAAGGAAGAGAACATACCAAAGGTTAGTGATGATCATCGCATCCTTAGGGATGAAATATCCTCCAACCCAACCCTCCTCAATCGCAACATGAGGCACACCGCTCGGGGCGACGCTGTTCCATCGAAGAACTTCGCTTATAACCGCACGCGTATATGGCAAGTTGGCCATGTCAGCCTGGGTGGGCAGGCGGTCGGTTCCAACGACGGAGTCGATTTCCTGTTGGGCTTTCTTCTGGACTTCGGGGTGGAGGACCATGGCGAGGTAGAAGGCGTATTCGGCTGCGACGGTGGTGTCTGCTCCTCCTCCGTAGAGCGAGGCGGCGACCAGGGGGATGTCGTTCCTTTCGGATTCGGTGAGGGTATCTTGGATCTCGAGGCTGGTGGATACGAAAGATGGTGGGGCAGTACCTTCAGCCTGAGGTCAAAGTTAGTTATTTAAGATCTGCTTTACTTTCTCCGCGAAAATAGGACAGGCGACACTTACGACTTGCTTCTTCGTCATGTTGAAAGGTACTTCAACCATGGCGTCGGTGTCCTTCCTCCATTTCCTCGCGGTTTCCTTGAAGCCCATACCAGGAAGCCATTCGGGAAGGTTGAGGAGGCTGGGGAAGAAATCGACGACGAAGGCGCCGGGTAGCGTCGCCGCGTTGAAGTTCTCATTGGCGCCCTCAATGAGGTCAACGAGTGGATCATTACCGTCCTGGACGACTTCATATCCGTAGGTGATGCGAAGGATGACGGACCCTGCGAGTCTATTAGGAGGAAGAAGGAGAAGTCAGACAAGCCCGGCAGTGATACCTTTGAACAAGCACTCACTTCCGAATCTCGCCAATGAGGTTGCTTTGGTCCTTCGCGATCCTTGCCAAGAACCTCCTTGTATAACCGTCGACTAGATCATGCTGGGTGGTGATATTCCCATTGCCGATATACCTCGCAAACTGTTTACGATAGTGCCTGAAGCGTGGTCCGTAGGGCAACAAGACGAGGGTGTTGTCGTAGCCGACGAGCTCGCCTCCCATTGGGAGACGGGGTCGTTGAGAGTAGATTGCGCTCTTCTTGTCCAGCTCTTCGAGGGCCTCCATCGAGTTGACAATGATCACGGGTCGACCGAGGAGCTTGATAGAGCATAGTCCGCCTGGGATTGGAGAGGAAGACGATAAGTTGGAGTTGAAGATCACTTGGGTTTTGGAGATAAGACAAAGACGGAAAGGATAACGTACCGTATTTCTTGCCCCACTCCGCGAAGGTGAGCCACTCCTTCTCCTTGGGCATATCAAGCACATTCTGTCAAAGACAAAGTAGTTAGTGTGAATGCCCTTCCCAGTGTTGGTTGCACGACATACTCCTACGACAGGAAGACCTCTTGGGCCGGGTGGCAAAGCGCCTTCGTTCTTCTTCCCGCTTTGCAGGTATGAATGGAGGATGAAACCTCCCAGACCCAGGAGGCCAATTTCGAAGGGCTTGAGGTCAGCGAGGACAGCGGTCATCTCGGGGGTGTCGGAGAGGTCGAAACGGCGGAGAAGAAAGAGAAGGAAAAGAAAAGGAGACGGAACAGAAAAAAAAGAAGTTGGAGGAGGAGGAGGGCAGCAACGGCGATGGGGGGGAGGCGAGCAGCGCAGGAACGAATAAATCTACCTGCGTTCACGCTCAAGTCAGCTTTCACGACACACACATTTCTCGGCAGTCGCCTGTTCTGGCGCAGGGTCCAAATATCCAGGATAGGGTCCCGCAGATTCAATGGCGTCGGCAACCCTTGACCTTGGCGCCCAATGAGATTCTCCACATTCCATCTGTCAAATTTTAGCAGGCGCACCCACAACATGCAGGATCTGAATCCTAGCGGCCAAAGCGGGAAGGAGAAGGAGATCCCAACTTTTCAACCCGAATCTGGGCAAATTTACAAGCGCGAAGAGACCCCCTCCGTTGGTCGGGCGTTGGGCGGGGATACAATCAGAACAACGGTAACGGATAGCTTTGGATACCTCCATTCATAATGAAGAAAAGCGACAAGTCTTCAATCTCATCTGACATCTTAGGACACCCCCCGTGCCCAGACTCTGGATGCTACTGCAAAACGTGGCCAGGTCAGTCCTTCCTCAGATGGACCCCAATTTTCTTCCGTGGGCACCACAGTGGGCACCAGATGATGATATCAAAATGTTTCCCTTTTAATGGTTTAGCGCCGGTAGTTAAAGGTCATGCTTCTGATGACAACCAGAAGCGACCCTGCAGTGCAACTGGCGAAGTTCGACAGTCGGTACCGCTAGCCGGCGAGGAGGTTCTGCTCGTTGGGCACCCAGGTCGCAAGTCCCTCCCGTCCTTTCATCTGGTTTGCGCAGCGGTGGTGGTGGTGCACTCCAAGTTCCAGAGAGCGCCCTCGGAGTAAAGTATTGGAGGTTACCTTGGCAGACTTTGCTTCCGGTCTGTTTGTTGGTGCAAAGTGTGAACGCAAATCACTTCGGTCGCCAGAGCCCCGGAGTCTTGCTCCACGACCACCCACATGTCGCTTGAATCCTGCTTGAGCCTATGTATTGGGGCGACTCCAATTGTCGAACGCTCCACTCCCCAAGTCTTACCTACATGTGCAGAAAAGACGCCTGATTTACATAAATAAGTTTTTTGTCTGAAGCTTCTTTCCAATGCCCGTCGACGGTCGGAAGATCCGATTTTTCGCAAGGAGGGCAGGAGTTCAACAGAAGTTTGAGAGGAAGTCTTTGACGATTCAACTGTACGTACTTTTGTCGATCCCCCCTGGAGTAGACTGGGGGGGTTGCCTTTGTCTTGTCCTCCCAAGAATACGACGTTGGGCTGACGAAGGTTGGAAAACGGACTCGGAGGAACATACGAGACCATGGACTGCAGGAACACTCGAACGTGGCTTCATCCACTGAGCGGAAGCTCGTCTTGAGCTTCGCAGAGGTTAGAATAGAGTCCGTCCCAATGTGAAACATGTTTGCTTCACGACGTGCCGAAGGTGACCAGGACGAGCGATGAGCGGGCCTTCCACAAATGGACGTCCCCGAATCCACCGCAGATATCGACACCGCAGGTCGCCACATCGTTCCAAATGAGCGCGCATATTATTTCCTGGTTATTTATTTCATACCTGCTGCCCTGACTCCTGTTCGCTGGTTGGCACAATTCGGGTGTCCTGTCGAGAGCCCTGGCGACGCAATTAGGCCAAAATTAAGCGCTAGAAAGGCAAAGTGTGGTGGAAATGGTCGTGAGTATGAACATCCCGGTACGTACAGCAGAAGAAGCAAGCCGAATTTTACGAAATTGCACACAGAAGCAGGAGCGAACAAGGCTTCTCTCGGACGGTAACGAGGATCTGAACTGTTCGCGGCGGTTGTCGCGTTGGCAGGTGCTGTCACGCCAATCAAAGTTCCACTCCACTGCTGAGGATGTGACCCCTAGTCGACATGTGTTGTCTGTACAGGAGAGTTGAGGGTTCGGGCGCCTCTGTCAGAAAGCAAATTTTGTCGTCGACGAATGGCGGGGACCTGTGGAGACGGACGGGGTCGCAGGATTCGGTGTGAACGGATGCAAAGATAAGATAAGATATCATTAGTCACCCACCAAATCACTACTGAATCCGGTAACGATCCTTGACCTGCAAGGTTTTGCAGGGTTCCATTCATGATTGAACGGTGCAGTATGATTCCTCACAGTTCAGCACAGTCAGAAGCATCGTTACTCCGTATGCTTCACGACTTCTGAATGCAGGAAACCTTCCTCCATCGGCAGGTTTATACCGTTGCTGGATACTTTGTTCGGTCTCGTAACCTAGGCTGGATGCCGTTCCGAAAATCCGCTCAGATCTGGACTCTGATAGCCAAGTGTTTGGACTGGCCGCTGGAGGACGGAGCTGTTGACACCTATCACGGACAAAATAATAGACTTCAAAGCCCCATTAACAAGTGTAGGTGATGTGCCGTAAGAGTTTAACACAATTCAAGTGACAACTCACAAACTGACATAACCGTTCTTAAGGCACACAGAGAGAAGAACATTTCTCTTCCCCGCTCTTCCCTTGGACTTCACTTCCGTAACGTCCGCATGGACTAGAAACATTTTTCGTTCAGACCTGGTTATTTATATTCTTCGGTTGCCTCCCTCACGTTCGTAGGCCTTCATCCTTTCCCTCCTCTCAACCTTCCTGCCTCCTCTTCCGTCAACATGCCTTCAGCCACTCTCGAAGCAGGGGCTGCCCTTGACAGCACGTAGGTATCCCCAGTCATAGAGCCTACCTTCAGCTGACCTGGCATTCTAGGATGGGCGCGATGTTGATCGGCGTCATCATCAGCGGGGTCCTCCACGGAATCTGTTTAGTGCAAGCCTTCATGTACTTCACAAGTACGCCTGTTCGAGACAGCACATCGAGTCCACGTCGCTTACCGAAAGCTTAGGCTTTGCGAAGGATCACTGGTTAATCAAGACCATGGTATGCAACTGGCTCGACTTCGTTATGAATGGCATGTAACTGACGTCGAATAGGTCATCACGACATGTACCTTCGATGCCATCCACCTTTTCTTCGTGTCGCACACCAGTGAGTAATTCGCTCTTCCCTTTCTTGGCGCTTGTCTTACTCTTCGCCCCAGTGTACCACTACCTTATTCTGAACTTCCGGTACGGTTTGAAATCGAGGAATTGACGGATCATTGCTCATCCGCCACAATCTTGCACAGAGACGAGGAGGCATTGCAGAGGTTAATTTGGTGAGTTGTACCGTAAATGCTACGCTTTCGAACGTCGTCTAACTCCAGCTCCCAGGTCGGTTCTGGTACGACGTCGCTTCTATTGCTTGGAAGACAACGTCTCAATTTTCGACAGATGGAAGCCTTGTTCACGGGTTTGAATGCGGGGATGGTCCATACATTCTACTGCTACCGTGTCTGGAAGCGTAAGATACTCCAACCTTCACTTTGCACCGACAGATGACTAAATCTTGATCCAGTCAGCAAAAGAAACTGGATTCTCTCCGGATTCCTCCTCATCCTCATCCTCGCAACAGCAGGTTCGTAATCTCGCCTTTGTTACCCAGTCTTGTGCTAACGTGTCTACAGCGTCTGGGACTGCATGGGTCATTATTTCGTAGGTCGCGTGCGCCTCTGCTTGGGACTGTCAGCTAAATTCCTCCTTAGGATGGGTCTTGACACCTACCGACAACTCATCAACATCAACGTATGGGCGCCCATCCACGTTCTTTGTCTCGGGCGATCCATCTGACCGTTACTTTTAGCCGCTCACCATCACGATCAACGCACTCTCTACGGCATGCGACGTGCTCATCGCACTGAGTCTCTGCACGCTACTCCATCAATCTCGCACGGGATTCAAGAAGTCCGTTTGGTTCTTCGTTTCGTGGTGGGCATCGTGCTGACTTTGACCCTCACAGGTCCGACACTATCATTACTCGTCTTATGATTTTCGTCGTCAACACTGGAGTGTATGTTGCTTCCTGGCGCTCGATCTGCCGTTGGGTTAACCGGATCCATCTCTAGACTTACGTCGATGTGTGCTATCTCATCACTGGTATGCTTGGTGGTGTCACCCAACACCCTGATCTACGCCGCGTTCTACTTCTGCATTGGACGATGTACGTCTATCGCTTCATTAGTTCTTTCCAGTTCTCTAATTGTTGTGATCCCAGTCTACACCAATTCCTTCCTCGCCACCCTCAATGCACGGAAATCGTTGGCAGGAAGCGTCGAACCCAGCGAACGCTCGACGAGCCATATGGCCATGTCGATACCAGCGAGCGTACTCCACAGCAACAGCACTGGTCGCAAGAACCAGGACATTGCCATTCGCATCGAGACGACGAAGGAGGCCGTCATGGATCTCTCTGATCAGTCAGGCCAGACCGGCACAAAAGTGTCATCGGTGAGTTGTTTGCTACTCTACGCTTTGCTCGGTCCTTACGAACTTGTCGCCTTTAGCATGGGCTGTCGCGGGACGACAACCACTCATCGGACGACGAATTAGCGATGAAAGCGCGACCATTCTGAGCAACCCCAGGTCATTGAATGAAAAAAAGGAAAACCCAACAGACGCTTTTTTGCACTCACTTTTTTTTGAGTTATTAGATTGGCATTTTACCCTACACACCTTCAACGCATTGCATTTTCTGAAACTAATCCTCTCATTTCATCTCACATTCGTTTTCGTGTTTTCGTAAAGTAAGGCATCTTTTTTTCCTCTTCTTTGCCTTTCATTCATTCATTTCTTCACCATAGGCGTTCGCATTCGTACATATCCATCCATCCACTGTCAACCACTCATCCTCTCATCCTCCTCATCAGTGTCGTTTGCGTTCTGTTTTTTATCCTTATCTGTACATATCATCTCGGTCCATTCCCCTCATCGTCTGCTATCTACTAAGTACATACTACTTGTTGCTGTATATGGTTTTATTAGGGCGGGTGCCCTTCAATAGAGTGTCTTGGTATTCATTGGTGTAAAATCTAAATCCGTCCGCTGCTGCCGATTGTGGGGAGATTCAAATAAGGGTTTAGGTGAGCCCTCTCCTGCATCATCATCATCAGGCGGATTGACTGCCCGTGACGGTGCGCGATGAATGCTAAACGTGCGCGATTTGTTTAGGATATATTGCGCTCTAACTGATAGTGATAGACGCCGTCCCCGTGATCAGACGACGGTTGGACGTCTCCTGATTCTGATTGTACTCATTTGACGTTAGGATGTCGTTCTTTTTTCAATGTTTTTTTCCCCAATCATCGTCATTCGCTGTGACACGTTCAATCAATTATCAGGTTCAGTCCCTTCCCAAGAAGTAGTAAGTTCTAGTTGTGAGAACTCAGGGAAGCTCTCTCTAACACCACCGAGGTCCGAGCCCGGTTTAACCGCTTGAACGAACTTGCCCGCTTTTTTATTTATTATTCCTTACTTACTTGGTGGATCGTCTGAGAAGGGCGGAAGCAATTCGAGTCTTTTGACGACGACGCGCTTTTCTAGAAAAGCACGTCCGCAGAAAGTCTAAAATATTCGGGGTGCTTTTCGTTTTTCGTCGTGTGCTTCGCAGAGATTTCGATATTTATCTTACTTCATGCGTATGTCAGTATCTCAACGGCATCTGGGATTCATGATCATCGACGTCTGCAACCCTCCCAAATTACGTGGTGAAATGAATGTTGAAGCTGCCTGTTTTGGGGGGGGTTATAAGAGATTCTGAGGATTCAGATACAGATTCCACGAGGACACGCTGCAGGGGACAGTGCAATCCCAGGTGATTCGTTTCATTTCCTTGGATGAATGGTGGGCGAGCCTATACCTACCAATCTGCGTGAATGAACCAGTGGAGAACAGGTGGCGTCCGTGCATATAGGGTGAAGTGTAATGAGAATTGTGTACGTATCAAGGGATCTCAGAAGAAGCCCATAATCTATGAAGTCGATAACGGTCATTCATTAGTATTCATTGACGTGGGTGCGAGGAACGACAGAGACCGTTATCTAATCGAAGCCGTCTACTCGGTAGATATCTGTTAGGTGACATGGTGGCGAGTGTCTTTGAAGGTCACCGCTATAGCCTCCAGGCCCACGCCTTGAGAAAGTGGTGTACTGAGAGATGACCAATGATATACGCCCAGCTGGTAAATAAAGCAAGCATTTACGTCTGCATACATGGCGGTGTTAGGCTTCTTTCAAGTGGACTCGATAGCCAAGATAAGCGCCCAATCTAAAAATAGACTGCAGATTATCGATCCGAGTTGGAATCCGAGCGCTCTTCGGCGAAATGCATTTGCGGTTTCCGTTTTCCCAGGTCAACGTCCTGTTCTACTGCGCCAGGATGTCAATCATCCATACGCAGACCAATGCGGGGTAGATTTTCCGTGTGTACATCCATTGGTTCTGTCGAGCTAAAGTTGAGTGGTACTTGAGTATAATGAACTGGGGAAATGGGCGCCGTGTGGTGCGTACGTCCACCGCTATAGATGCCAGTCCATTTAGGTTTTTTAGTTGCGAATAGACTTCGAGATGGATATGAAGAAGTCTGTGGGTCTTCTGTGAAAGCGACGACGTAAAGTATTCAAGACGTACGTATGTCATGATGTACGTGGGGGTCTGAAGGCTTCGTTCTATCCCACTCCGGGACTTCGAATTCTATGTCACAAAAGTTTGGTGCTTGTCTTGTCTATTTTAGAGAGATATGATATAGAGAGATGGAAGTGTGGTGTGGTGAGTTTTCAGTCCGCCCGGGTTCTAGCTGAGTTGATGTGCTTCTAGCTCTGCGAGGCACATGCCATAGTGTACATCTTTCTGAGTTTCTCTGCTCCATGGAAGCCCTTCCCACCACAAACGAGTGATTGAGTTGCTAAACATACCGTTGTCCCAAAATCAGAGTCTATCCTGATAATTGAACGCGATGAGCCAGGGTCACAAAGTCCGGCTTTGAGAATGCCTTCTGAGGGTAGAAGCATAACTTGACACTCCACACACTTCCACCCTCGTACGAGGTGTACAGTTACCCCTAAAGGTAAGAGAACACTTGTCTACTCCAGAGCCACGTTGCTCAGAAGCTACTTACCTGGGACACCTTTGGGCTGGCACGCGTCGAAGCCCCTATAAGCGACGCGTCCCAACCCCGTGCGACGCGCCCGACGCGCGTGGCTGTGCTCCCCAAACAGCGCACAACAAGTTGGCTGGGTGATCCATGTTCTGCTCCTGGCCATCATGGTCCTCGTCCTGGTAATTGGCGACCTGCACATTCCCCACAGAACTCATGATCTTCCTCTAAAATTCAAGAAACTGCTGGTTCCAGGGAAAATCCAACAAATTCTTTGCACCGGCAACGTCTGCGACAAGGAGACGTACGACTACCTGCGGACGATCTCGCCCGACGTCCATGTCGTCAAGGGCGACTATGATGAATCGTCGGCGTTTCCGAGCTCAGTGACCGTCATGCACAACGCGATAAAGATTGGCGTTATCCATGGGCACCAGTGTGTGCCTGTTGGCGACTTGGATTCGTTAGGGGCGATTGCGAGGCAGATGGATGTGGATGTGCTCATTTCGGGGCATACACATACGTGCGTAGGTGCTCTATACAATGAATGACTGATAGCTGACTTGAGAATGTAGATTCCAAGCTATTGAAAGCGATAACAGGTTCTTTGTGAACCCAGGGTCAGCAACAGGCGCTTGGAGCGGCGCTTTCACGAGGTCAGCTGCTTCCAACATCCTATGCAGTCCAGGGAGCTGATATCATTTCCAATAGTGACCCTACGCCATCTTTTGCGCTCATGGATATTCAAGGGAACGTCGTTGTGACCTATGTGTACCAGCTTATCGAAGGAGAGGTTCGAGTGGAGAAGATTGAGTGGAGGAAGGAGCCAGAGTCGGTCGCGAATGCCCCGCGAAGCACGGTGATGCCGCAGAGCATACCCAGTCCTTCACCATCGAGCCCACAGGAGGGGTGGTAACTGTATTCTAGGCACGTCCCATTTGACCTTACGCGAAACACGTTTTGACATCCGAAAAGATATCCTATTACTCTTGCACTGCTTTGAACCCGAAACCAAGTTAATCTGATTCTTCGCATCGCGTCTTCTCCAACCTCTCCAGATAGATGGCTCAGGTTTCTTGAATATGTCTGCAGAAACCGTCTGTGCGAATGGTTCTGTCAAATCCGGTGCATTTATGCTTCCCTGGGCTCCCCTGCTCCGGGAACCATTCGCCGAAGGGTTCGTCTCGGTACTAGCCTGGGATCGCGAGTAAGCAGGAAAGGGGCCAAGGGGAAACGACGAGCAGGACAAGGCTGAACACACGTTCACAAGGGAGTGCGCTGGCCATGGAACGTAGCCTGGGACGACTGCACGAACCCAATCCTATCCACACGCCTCCGACACGAGACGCCAGCTCCCCGAGGGTTTGATTCTCCAGGCGCCGAGGGTATCCGTCTTCCTAAGAGAGAGAAGATGTGCCTGTGTCCTAGGTCCTCAATTGGACGTCATGTTTCAGCATCGTGGTACGCCCTGGATACTGATGGCTTAGAGGCATAAAGGCTGTAAACTCAACAGCTATAATACAAGCGTAGTGATGGAGAGAAATACAACGGCGGCCCGCCGCTAACGACTCGACGGTGCGTCCGCTATGATCGTAGTTGCCCCGGCGCTTATTTCACTCTGCCAATTATCCTATGAAAGTCGCGGAAATGCCTTTCTGTACCGCGATTCCCAGGTGCAACTACAAGATGTGTGTTCTAAAACCCCACGGAGACATAATCCTTGCAACAGCAATCCGAAAAACCAGGTATCTATCCCAAGCGCGTTACTGCCTTCGTGTCTACAGCAAATCGTTTGTGCATCACATGGCAGAACCTCATCTGATCCATGAAAAAAGGGTATGCTTACAGGTATACTCGTGGTGACATGGCGAAAGTCATGGATCACAGCTTTTATATCGTGGCGCAAGGTATTCTATTTCTAGGTTTTGCTGCATCATTTACAGAGAGAACCACACTCCGGCGAGACTGAACGGGAAAGGTGCAAATCAGGGTATAAATTCAAAGGGATCTCGTCGACTATCGGCCATCCACCAAGCTTCCTTCCGGTTATGTCTTCACTAGAAAGACTTCAAAGAAAACTCGTCGATACTCTGGCAACTGGAACCTATGCTGATATGGCGATAGGGTTCTCTTGCGTCAGTGTGTAGCGTCAACACCATCGTCAAAACTTGTCTTGAAAAAGGCCTTTGAATTACAGGTGTCCAGGTTTTCATGGTTATTTATGGTCTGTTTGTGTTCTTCGAAACTCCCAAACAGCTTCGAGGCGGAAGGAGAAAGTATATCACCATTAGCATCGCAATTCTCGTGCTCTTCTGCACATCTACTGTGATCCAGGCTTATGACGATTTCACAACTTTCTATTTGTCTATGGGGCCAGAGGGGTACAGGGACTTGATGCGGACGAGAAAGCTTCCACTGTATTCCATTGCGGATATTTCCTTCACCAATGCATACGTGCTACTTGGAGATGGCTTATTGGTGAGTGTCCGTCGAGTCAGATCAAGTAGAATGGCGAGCAAACTACCCCCAAAGCTGTACAGATGTTGAATTATCTGGGCCGAGCGAAGATGGGTCATGATACTACCGGGGCTTATCTACTTGGCCTGCATCGGTACGTTCTTTTCCCTCTGCCCGCTGCCCGGTCAGCACACGGAGGAACCCCTACCTTTCTCTCCAGGAATCGAATTTTACAGACTCGAGATGAAACCAAAATGGCCCACCTTGGACCAGGCTTCCTCCAGCCCATCCTCCTCACATTCGAAGCGGTCAGCGACAGCTTTACCATCCTCAGTATCGCGCTCAACGTCTTCCTCACGACGCTCATCGCGTTCCGTCTCACCTCTCAGCAGCGCAGACTGCAGTCCGTCCTCCCAGGGGACTTGAAAGTGTATAGCAATGCTGTTGCGATTGTTGCTGAATCCGCGCTTCCGCTGACGGTTTTTGCGTTGGGATTTGCGGGGAGTGAGGTGGCGAGGTATGTTGTTGGGGGGAGAGCGCCGGATGGGAGTGATGCTCCGCCGGAAGAGGTTGTGAAATGGCTGAGAGAGTATGTGAAGGTGATGGAGTTGAACCGGGTGTTCTCTCTGTTGTACTATTCTATGGCCGTAAGTGATACTTTTATGTGAAGACCCAGGTCGCGAGTGATTGATTTTGATGAACAGGCTCTGACTCCCCAGATTATCATATTTCGGATTACGGTTGGAAGATCGTGGATGGGCCGGGACGATCATGATGCGTCGAAACCACTGCACTTCTCACAGCCTCTGCGGTTTGACAACGGTCAACGCACGAACCATGTGCGTGGCACTGATATTCTGGATGAGGCGTAGGTTTTTGGGGAACTCGAAGCGAACAGAAACAGGGATATGTAGGGGTTTCAAGGGGGTCCTAATTACAAACGTCAGGGCTTGTTTTGTATCAAGGTAGACAGGGTTTATTACTAGGTTTATATGCGGTATCGCTCGAGAAGTCACCCCAAGTATTGTATTGATAATTCTAATTGCACATCCCAAATAATCCTCAGGTAGTATAGAAAACGAATGTGGGTAAAGTAAGGTTACAAAGTGCGGTATATCAACCGTAACAACAGGTCAAGTAGGCAAGTGTACAAAGACGGGGTAGTGAGTTCACAGTGCGGAAGACTGAGCATTCGAACGCAAAGATGGGGTAAAAAGCGGGTCTGGATCTAGGAGCTGGACCGGGAAAGAAAGGGTGCTACACCACATCATGATATCCATTTTTTGCATCCTTCCCTCTGTCCTTTTCGAAATCGTCCTGGTGGTAATCATCGGCCTTCTCGATCATGCTCGCGTGGCCCTTCAAGTTAGCATCGTCGGAGGCGACAGAGGGGGTTGCATGGGGTTGGAGCGGGACCTAGACGATTATTAACAAAGTCAACCATCCCTTCGGACCTGCGATGCAGCCAACAGGAAGTAGAAAGTACGCACCGTGTAGAAGATAGGTACATCATCTACTTCCATCTGCGTGGTTGTCATCATCTCTATCGAGATAGGGTTCACCGGGTTCTGTGATATTGTTGAGTTGGATTAAGACTATTGAAAGGACTCGATGAACGTACCCCTGGTCGACCATTCGATGAGGTCAACTCTCGAAGTCTTGTTCGCGAATGGGAGATTGATGATCGAGCAGCTTCTTCTCGGAGGTTTGAGCGGGCGTTGAGGCTGTTGTGGTCGCTTAGGATCAAGTTCAGGAAAGTAAGTGAGTCGCACGTACGCGCAGAGCAAGCTGTTCGAATAGAGTTTGGCCAGGAAGGTATATAGAGCGAGCCATATCACTTTGTGAGGCGTCGATGAGGATAACTGGAGACTTTTCGATGGGAGGCGGACGTACGTGTATGATCTTGGATCATGAACTATCGATCCATCTGTCAGAAGCTGGAGAAGATGAGAGTGCAAGGGACTAGGACGTACGACTATGACGATAACAACAGCCGCCACGCTCGTCAGGAGACCAGTACCTAGCAAAAGGTCTCCTCAGCAACCACTCGGAAGTCGGCCAGTGATAGAGTCGGGCTTACCAATTGTCCAAGCGACCAATTTATCTAGCAGCCTTGTAACTCTGTAGCCCCAGTTAAATGAACTTGTGCACGAGATCAGATTGAGAGAACCGCTACTTACTTGGGCATAGCGGACTCCCGTTTGGCAGATAGGAACCACAGCATCGAGACCGCAATGACGACGTCGATAGCTGCGCCGCTGATGAATAAAGCAGCGAGCATCCCTCTAAAGCGTTCGGTATATTCGACCATTGAGGTCGTCATAATGCCTGGTGATGCAATATTGGAGCAAGGGTTCAAAGCCCAGAGGTCTAAAACCCACCCTCGATCCCGGCGTAGAAACTGGTGACACATCTCGCGACGGTGAGGAAGATGCAGAATAAGCCGATGTAACGGTAGGGTGGCGGGAGGATGGAGTGCACTCGGAAAGCAAAGAAGGCCTGGTAAAGTGGATGCAGGAATCAATAGGTGAATTCCAGGTCATTGTACCAGGGACGCACCTGGACACACATCGTTATAGACCCTCCTAGTAGCGTCGCCAGGCCGAACCCAGGAAACCGGTCATACTCGTTGGGTTGGCCATAATGCGTGATTGTAGCGGTGTAGATTTCGTAGGAGATGGCGATCGTATGGGCGAGTTCGAGAACCCTTTGAGAGTCGAATGAATAATACTGATCGGCATTTGAGCTAGAAGGTGAGCGTACCAGACTACTGCGACCTAAACCAAATTACTCGGTCCCGAATGGGTACAATGTCATAGTAGTACGACGTACGAGGTATTTGAACAACTTCCTATCCTCGTCGAACCGGGAATAGTAGGCATGACATTGAAGGGTGACGATCCCGAAGAGGAAGACGGCGAATGTCGAGCCTATTACGAGCGCTCCGAATGTCCTGTGGAGGTCTAACTCCATGTCGGAGACTGCCAGTTGCGGTCGGAATGAGAAGATGTCTGGTTCAATGAACTGAAGCTACCCACTTGGTATAGGTAGGGACTCGAAAGGAACAGTAGGACCGGGAATGACAGACGACGACATCTTCGAGGTTGATATAGTATGTATCCTCCCAGAAATTCTCGTGTTAATGGATGGGGATAGCCTGAGATGAGGGTGGAGTGCAGGAGTGCACACTAAGTGCGTCTGCACGTCAAGTGCGCCGATGCGTCGTTGCAGACAGGCGGGGGCCTAACGAAATGGTTGACGGAAGAGTGAGCGTTTCGAAGGGAAAGGAACGTCCCCGCATTTGGTGGAGGAGTAAAATCTTTTTACCTTTTGGAGCCGACGGAGGAATTTTGGGCATGAGCGGGTCAAGGTGAGTAATTACTCCGCTCCACATTGTCTTGTGCATTTTCGGGCTAGATATGACTCGTGTTAGCTCGTGTTTCAACCTGGCTGAGGTGGTCTAGTTGGGAAGCAGATAACGGTTGACAAACTGGATGCGAAGACGGAAAAAAGCGTGCTAAGGCGCTCAAAAGCTTGTACAAAATGGGACAGAGGGATATGAGAGAGATGTCGTGATCGATCGATCAGCGTGGCGCTCAAGGGTTATAAAGCTTCCGGATAACGACCCGCCCCCAGATTTGGAGGTGGTGGCGTTCCGGGGGGCGCTTGCTGGGTCCTGTGCGACCAGGAATAGAGGTGAAGGACGTGTACGGTTGCCCGACGTACTTGCGTTTCTCGTAAGGAGAGGAAAACATGAACTGGAACGGGTGCGGTGCGATGTCATAATGAAGGAACAATGGGTCGGAGGTGTACAAGAATTACATTCACGTGTAATGAGAATGGAGGCCGGCATTCAACTGATTCTATCACTATCACCTTAATTTTCTTGAAGTTCACCAATCAAAGAGAGCCCCACGAGCAAAAGGCTGTCCACGTACAAATACAGATTATGGAATCCGACGAAACCGCCTTGCCACGGTAGGCTTGCAACAGCTATGTGGACATAGAGGAACCACAGGTGAAAAAGCCCTGTCCTTATGCATTTCAGCAGGCCTACATGGGTAGCCCAACTGCTGACCACAGATACACCTCCGGCAATCAGACACGCCTAACCCCTCCGAAGGCGATATTGTCGTTGGATTTAGATTTGTAACTACAACAGGCAGGTAAGTTCCTTCAAGCATTTGGATTAGACGAATTTAAAAGGAAAAACTAGCACCTATCCTTTTATCTCGACCAGGCGCTGGAGGGAATCGCGAGGAGAATCCCATTTAAGCGCCCGTCGGAATCCGGCTTGGTCCAGCAGCGGCAAAAGCCGAAGTCACGCCGTTATCGCCGCTTATGCACGGACCATTTCCGCGTCTTAGCCATCAACGACATCATCGACGAGCTCGCTGTGTGAGACAGCGACCAAGCTTGCTCGCCGTCGTCGTACTGCCAATAGGTTGATACTTCTACGGGTGACGAACACAGCGAGCTCGCTGTAATCAGTCATTCCAGGCATCATCAACGATATCGAGGACACCGAGATCGCGACCCGACAGTGACCGAGGACCCTTGCTCGTTGCTACCAACACCGAATCTCGACCGCGACGAGCCCTGAACGAGGGCAAATTTGTCGCTTGATTTGCCTTTTTCTGATATCTCCGTGTGGCTTATGGCATTGAAGAAAATCGACTTCGCCAACGACTTCGACGACATTGACGACGTTTCCAACCGCTGAGCATGGAACCCAAGTCGAGGAACAGCAGCCCGCAACGGCGGGGCCGCTCTGAAAAGCCGGGGTCGCGGTGGAATGGCGTCGGGAACGGCGACGCGACGAGCACGGCATCCGTGCGCATCCAGACTCGGAGACCTCGCTCAAGCTCGTCGTCGTCGTCCTCGACCGAGAGCAGCACCTCGACGACGACGGTCGACATCGGCGAGATCCTGAAATCCAAGTTGGCGTGGATTCCGGAGAATTGGACCTGGCCCTGCTTGAAACCAGTCATTCGATGCGCAATCCATGCCTGGGTCGGCGCGTTGTTGTTTGCGATTCCCAAGGTGCAGAGATGGATGGGCCAGGTAAGCTTCAATTCCGCCTGAATGAACCAGATACTGACCAAATGCAGGGCGCATTTCTTATTCTTATAGGTATAGCATTTGGACTGCGTATTCGAATCGTTCTGACGTTTCAATAGCCTCCTTTTTGTCACCCCCAAACGACCCCTTCATTTCGGTGCTGGAGAGGGAACTTTTGATTCTCATTTTCGTGGGCATTGCCTGGGCGTGCGTTTTTGCACTAACTCGATTCGAAGACCTTGCTAACCGGTGGCAATAGGTGGTCCTGCCTTGCGCTGGCCTTAGCGGACCTTGCCCGCACCAATCACAATCCAAATGCGACTATCGTTGAGGTACTCGACGGACGATACATAGAAACGGGGGTAGGTTTTCATCGTACTTTCTCATTGTTGTTCGCTGACCGTGCTCGTAGCCCAGTGTAATTATTGGCGCCTTTCTGGGGCTGGGGAGCGTCTTCTTCCTGTACATTAAGGCGAGGCAAGGTCCTGGCCCATACCTATTCGCCTCTATCTTTAGTTGTATTTGTCTCGGTGAGTGGTCTACAGCGATCATTGTGTTCTATGCTCAACGGTCCATAGACATTACTCTCACCACAGCCGCATTTTTCCCCTATCCATACTATAAAGTGAGCAGTCGTTTCCTGCCAGAGGCATGCCTTTCTGACAAAGGTGCAGCTCGGCCTCAACATCTTCCTGCCTCTGGCCATCCACACCTGCATCTCCCTCGCCACGTCTGTTCTCGTATTCCCAGCGACCATCTCTGCACAACTCACCAATCGCCTGCGAGACGTTCTTACTCCGCTGTCCAGCTGTCTAGACATGCATCGCACTCTCCTACAGTCCATTCCAGGAACAGAAGACTTCTCCGAGCGATCAGAAGTTCTTCGCAAGACGACGGCCAAGTCAGAGTCAGGATTGATAGCGGTGGCTGCTGCTGTCAGGCTTCTGGGCAACGACTTCATCTTTTGTCGTTTCTCTCCAGAAGACTTCAAGCCATTCCAAGTCCTGTGTAGACGGCTGACCGGCCGCGCTCATGGAATGGTGACCTACTTTGGGCTCATTGACCCCTTCCGGGAGACCTTTCCGACTTTCTCTGTCCCTAACACGCCTGCGCCGGGGACGCCGAGCATCATGTCCCGAGCTCATTCTCCTGAGCGGGTTGATTCTGGGCCGCCGACACCCACTTTATCCGTGCGCAACCTTCCGGTCACGCCTGCACCGTCCGCAATGTCCTTCCATATGCATTCACGGTCGGGCTCTGGCCAAAACCTTGCATCTGGGCGACACTCGCACTTCGGTCCCCACCTCCTTCACCAGTCGCTCCTGAACTTGTCATTAAGGTCAAGACACAGACGGAACGAGTATGCGGTGGGCGTTTTCGAGTCGCAGCGGTACCTCAACCTTGAGGCAAAGAAGCTCTACGACCCTCGTCACGACGAAAATTCAGCGATGAGCATGGCCCTTCTTCGTGAATGGTGAGTTTCCGCCACGCCTCCGTATTCGTAATTCTTACCCTTTTTGCCTAGCTGCGACGGTATCCTCGAGCAGTGTAAGGTTGGTGTTGAGGCCATTGAAGAATGGCTCGATACAGTTCGAGACGGCCGCTTCACTGTTTTCCGTCGGAAGGAGCAACGGAGGAGAAAACAGGAGCGCGTCGATCGCATTGCTATCCTTCGTGACGACCTTTCAAAAGCACTACACGAATTCAGGACAGAACTCAGGTACGGCCATACTTGTTTGTTGATTCCCTGACCTGGGTATTAAAGCATTATTTCTAGAATGAAAGTCCTTGATCCTTACCGACCCGCCTTTGAAACCACGCCGACAATGACTTTAGACGACGATGACGACTATCACCATCATCACGATATTCCACCTCATAGACATTTATTCCGTTGCTACGTGTATCAATACCATTTAATCCAGTTTACTGAAATTGTAATCGAAAGTGTAAGTGGCTCCATCATTGCACCTATCATGATTTACTGACATCTCTCAGTTGGACGAGATACTTAGATTAGAGAAGGAGAGAGGGTCTGCGCAGTTGTGGACCCCTGTCAAGCATTACTTCTGGTGGAGCCCCAGCGATGTTCCGGAAGGCCTCGAGAAGGACGAGGACGATGATCCAGGTTGGTTCAGCCAACTACCCTCCATATCGATTCGCTAACATCTCTACAGATATTATTCGCGGCCTGCCTAATGTTCAGGCGGATTCGGATTTGGGCCTTGCGCACCGTCGCGACCCAGACGCGCTTCCACCCAGGAATTGGTTCGAATGGTTCATGTATCTCGTCTACAAAGGCTTCACCCAGCTGTGGAACGGGAACTGCCTATTTGCTATTAAAGCTGGTATCATCACAAGTAAGGCGCCCATCTCTTCCTTTGCCTCCCCGTTCCATGTTAATCTGACTCTCGAATTGCCATTAGCTGTGTTGGCGCTCCCTCTCCTCTTCCAGAGCTCGGCTGCGTGGTCATATAGCAACCGATGGGCATGGGCATTGTGAGTCGAGCTCGTCTATGTTAGCAAAGCCTTTACTGAGGAATGGCCTACAGGGTTATGGGGCAGTTGACGCTGGCACGGTTCCGCGGTGACACGACGTTTGGTCTATTGGCGAGGATTGTGGCTACATTCGGCGGCGGGTTGGTCGGAATGACCATGTGGTACGTACACCCTGTGTCCCTTCGTTCCTTCCTGAGCTAATTGTCTCTGTTCATCAGGTACATTTCTACGGGCAGCGGAAACGGTAGCGCCTACGGACTCGCCATCGTCTGTGGTGTATGCTTCCCATTCTTTTTCTTTGTGAGACTGTACTGGCCTATCCCACCCATGACCAACATGGTGGCGTTCGTTACCGCGATTTTGGTGCGTGGCTTTACTGTCTGGAAGGTCTGTCTATACTCATGGCGAGAACCTAGGTTGTTGGGTATTCGTATCAGAATACAGTCATGCCTCAGCCTGGAAATCCTGGTTTTGGATGGGATGTTGCGTGGAGGCGATTCGTTTTGGTCACTGTCGGTGTTGTCGCAGCTTTGTACGTGCTCTTGTCTCCACCAGATTCTTGCGTACTCACTCAATGTCTGTAGCCTCGCCTCTCTTCTGCCACCGAACATGACCCTCCGACTGTACCAACGCCACATCCTCTCAACTACCGCCAGTGAAATTGGCACCATCTACTGTGCAATTGTATCGTATGCGGCGGAGAACGATCAGGACAAGAAAGCATCCAATGTCCAACCTGTCGTCAGTAGCTTAGTGGCGACGCGGTCCAGGCTGAATCGGAGTGAACTACTGTGGACCAACATCATCTACGAGGTATGTCCCCTCTGTTATATCATTGGTTCAAGAGACATACGCCTTTCTAGTTCTCGTTGCGGGGTAGATGGCCGAAGCATCGGTACAAACGCGTCCTGGACCTACAACTGTGCGTGCATTGGTTCTGCTAGCTAGACTAGATCCGAGCTGACTTCGGTACCGCATAGTGCTATCTCCTTTTCGCTGTCCCACTTAATGTCCGTCCTCAAGCATCTTGAACCAGCGTGGACGCGGGCCTTCCTCCGCCGAGCGAGGTTATTGGACCCTGATTTTCAGGGCGACGTCCTGGCCGTTATCACGATGATCTCAACATCGCTGCGAACTGGACACCCGCTTCCGCAAATCACGCCCTGCCCGTTGTTGGATCGATTCACGATGAGGAACCAGGGACTCGATATCATTCATCGCGATTCAGAAGAAGACTTCGGACTTCCGAGGTTGTTGACGATGGATACTTTGATGGATGAGCAGTACATGTGAGTATAACCTTTTCTCCATCTCTTTATGTCTCATTACCGGTTGAACTGAGTTAAACTGACAACGTTGATTGCGCTCGTGTGCAGGATTTTCTGTGTGGGCATTTCGACTGCCTTTGGTATCATCAACAGATTGGATAGGTTGATGCTGGCGGTGAAGGAGATCGTTGGGGAACAATACCATCTGCATGGGATTGGGAGTGGAAGTGGGAATGGAGGTGGGAACTATCCTCTCATGTCGAATCTCAGTCGACCCAGCACGAAGCAGTTCACGCCACCGGCTGTGAATGTTTGAAGTAGAAAGCCGTACTTGATAATTGTCGTGTGACTCATGCGCGTCATGGGTTCCCGGAGGTGCTTCCTTCCGATGATTTGAACCAAGCTGGCACCTCTTGAGGCCTTCCGGGTACCTGGAAGGCCGCGGTGCTGCATCTGTTGTGCTTTACCGTTTTATGTTGTTTCGCGATCTTTGCCATTGCTATAGAGTTAATCTTTACGTATGTCCCTTTCTCGAAGATGCCTGTTGATTTCGCGCATTGACGAGTTTTTTTGTGTTGTAGTCATTTGGGTGACGGTAGCAGTGCTACCGCGTTATTCTGGGTACTATTCGTGGGGACTATCATTTCTTGTCAATGTCATTTGCTGTTGTTGTCTTTGTGTGCGCGTTTGTGGTCCTAGCCTTCACTTGCATTCGAGGGGTACATAATGGTAGGGTCGATTGGTACTCGGAGCAATACGGTGCTGATCAAATGGCGTTTCTACAGAGCATGTGGTCGACGAGGTTACATATAGGGGCTTAGCCGACTGCTGTTCGCCTTCCCACTATTGGCAGGTGGGGCGCCCGCCGGCTGCTGTTCAAAAAATTGGGTTGACCGCATTGGGTAAGATTGGGTGCACATTGGAAGGCGTTTGCCATTGTTGGATGGCAGGCGTCCGAGGGCAACCATGTCCTCAATATATTGCAACCACTTCGCCGGAGGTCCAGCCCACTCGGACGGCTCCGTTAATTCGATCACAGACGTCACGGCCCCTCACCGCTCAATATACTTGCAACTCCCAAGTGTACGGAAACGAATATGGATGCGGTTTCTTATGGGGTCGGTCATATGAGCTGCGGTCTCGAGAAAGTATTAAGTGGGAGAGTGGGAGGATAAGGAAGGGGTTTCGAAGTTGCCGTCTGTCCCTTCCTCCGGGTTCCTTCGTCGCGGCTTCGACAGGCCACAGCGATGTCGGAAAGTATTTCGCTGGACAGCACTCTTGGTGCCCTTCAGATAGGCTCTGTGGGCTCGGTGTACCTTTTCGGGATCGTCACTTACCAGTGCTACGTTTATTATCAGAGTTTCAGGGAGGACAAGTGGCAGTTCAAGTGGCTGGTGAGCTAATGTTTCTATCGTGCGCGTTGGGCGATGAACTGAGTTCTGGTCTAGGTGGCTGCGATTTGGTGAAGAGTGTTCGCAACTCGGAGGTGGACGTTTTCTGAACTTGCAATGCGTTATCAGGGCACTGGAACTCGGTCATACAATCTGTGTTCTGTATGAAGTGTACAGAACAACCATCATCTTCTATGGACGACCGGAGAAGTTGGTCACTTTCCCGGTCTTGGGGGGCGCGACATCCATAGGAGGCACCATCACCTTGTTGGCACACGTACGAATCACTTTCTTCTCCCCATATCATTCGGCATACTGACTTGCGACTAATCAGAGTTTCTTCTCCGTCCGCCTGTGGCGTGTACTACCCCGTCCGTGGGCATACATAGGAATCTTCTGCATTGGCGTCGCCTTTGTTAGATTCGTTGGAAGCATTTGCCTGGCCGTCATCGCTGTAACCTCAGACCACATTGCCACCTATCGAGTCAAATGGGAGTGGTTGATCCTCTCGTTGCTTACTGTCGGAGCAGTCTTGGATATTATTATTGCGGCGTCGATGCTATGGTATCTTATTCGACAGCGAGGCAACGCTCTCATCAAGTACGTGCTGTTTATGGGTTGGATAACACCCTAATTGACGTATTTGCTTAGGCTAACGAGGATGATCGACCGTCTTGTTTCGTACACTGTCTGTGAGTAACTAGCGTGGCTTCTTCTTATTTCGCTAATCACTCCTTCGACAGGCACTGGCTTGTTGACTAGGTGAGAGTGATCTCACCCCCGTTATATTCTCCTCGTTTGACTCTGGTAGTCTCTGTGCAATTGTGATGGTGATTGCTGTACGTTTTCCCCCTCTATCCTGTGTCTTCCCACTAATCGTCGTTTCAGTTCCAAGCACTTCCGGGCACACGTACGTTACGCATCGCCTGTGTATCTTTCACTCGACTAACGTCGTCTCAGTGGTCTGGCTGGCAATCTATAGCTGTTTAGCAAAACGTACGTTCCACGATCAACCGCCTAGAGACGGCCTCCTGATATGCATGCAGTCTACTCCAACAGCTTGCTCTCTGCGTATGTACCTTAGAAATTTGGTCCGGTCGAGATTAACGCATATCCGCAGGCTGAACGAGCGCATCAATCTACGAACGCACATTGCCAACTCTGCCTCTTCTGTAGAGCGTCCCTCGAGGCAGAATCGAAGTTCACGACGCGATACTGTCGGTCCCCCGAGCAGGATGGTTGTATCAGTGGAAATGAGGTCCACTGTTCATCCCTCCCACGACGACCTTGGTCACGAATCTGACTTGGTATGTCTTGACTCTCTCGACGCTGTCCTTTTGCTCAACTTTACCTTCCTTCAGGAAAAGGAGCCGCAAAGCCCGTTCAGCGCGACTCCACTCAGGCCACCAAGCAGTCCCTACTCTGCTGCATGACCCATCACCCTACGAATCATTCGCGAGCTCAACATTCCTTTCAATTCGCCAAAACATTTGAATATTTTCCTGCATTGCAATGCTCACTTTGGGGCATTCTGTACCTGATGTTAGTTGTACTTGTATTCACCGTTATACTTTCGTTTTTCTCTCTAACCGCTATGCTGCGCGGCGGACCTACATAACTGTCTCCTTTCTCTAAGCGTGGCTTGCCCATGATCAACCAGAGGTGTCTTCTCATCGCGGTTTTCTTTCGGCCATTATCTAATGGTTATAGCTCAATGTATTCAACACTCGATGAGAGAAGAAGTATGGAGAATGCCGACTCGGAATTCCAGTTAGATGAAAACAATAGAAAGTGCAAGATGGCAAAAGGCTCGAACAGTATTTTCAAGAGGTTGGTGACGACCGGGGGTTGAACCTTGCTCGGGAAAGGAAACGAAGACAACCCCAGTCATGTCGCCTGAATGCAGGGCGAAGGGAGGATGAGAAAGGTCCCCAGCAAGGAGACTTGGGAACGAAAAACCAGGCGTGTTACTAGGTCATTGAAGGAATGCGTAAAGACCTTCCTTGCAATACGAGAAGCAAGAAACGGCAACCATTTACCCGACCATGGCGCTGAGCTCTTTACCTTCCTCAATGGGGCTATTTGAATAGTCACTCGGGAAGGGATGTTCAACTTGCTTCTGCTCCACGACTTCGTTCGGAGCATAGTGCTCAACATGGCCATCGAGGAACGTTGTATGCGCATCGTCCTCGGTTCCCGCTGCTCCATTAGTCCATTGCCGGGACGAGACTTGAGGGCATATCCAGAGAGGACTTCGAAACAGATGCCACACAGGCCCATTGGTCCTTGGGTTTACATCGTCTGCCCATCGATTGTTCCTGGGCGCTTAAGGCCTCCGACCGGTTTACAGATCGTAAGAAGGCGCATGCTTGAGGCGAGGTGTCTGCTGCGCCCCTCCTGTCACTCTCCAGCATCCACAACCCGTTCCCGTCGTGGGTTCGACCATGAAGTACGTTGCGATTGAGACAAACCCTCTCCGAAGTTACTACAGGCCTAACATTGGGTGAGGACTAACCCGAAAGCATGCAGAGATTCTCCTAAGATGATCTGGTGTGATTTCCATGGGAGAAAGGGACTTGTATGTTCGAGTTGAGAAATGTTGCACTCCAAATTTCCTGGACGCTTTCGACGGCTTGACGGTTGGCGACGTGCGCTCCACTTCGCTTGATCGCCAAGAGACGATTTCCAAGCGGCATCATCCTGCCAAGCCTGGCAGTGAATGTTCCGAGTTGCCATAAATGGCACCTCCGATGGCATCGAACTTTGCGAATTTGAGAGGCTGTCTTTTCGCAGTTGTGTTCGCGAGACATAGAGCTCATTAAGAAGCCTATTTTCAAGGAAATCCAATGTAGATTACCGGTTTCTCTGCAGAAAAAGAATGAGTCTGACGTCCAAGCCTACGATCTGTCGCGCAAGCAAATTAGCGCCCAATACGCAGCGCTTGAAAAATTCGAGGGCGGTCGTCGGACTGAGGCTATGACTCTGGTTTACGACTCCACACCAGAGAGATAAGGCCATGAGAATAGTAGTATTGGCTTTCCTACATACTTGGACTCCATTTCATGATCCCACTGAGCTGGAATCGTATTGAGGGGTCGAAAGTATAGGCTCGAAGCTCGAAGAAAGAGGCTTGGTAGCAGTCACACCTGTCGGGAGTCTGTGGTGTCCGATGGTCGTTGGTCACCATTCCCTACTGTTCCGGAGAAGCAAGGGAAAATGTACCTCTGCCGCGATGCCGCTTGCATCCGTGCTCATCAAGAATATCAATCAAACCTCCTCACCACCCCTTCCGGCAATTGAGTGTGCACCGCTTGGACTTGAGGCTAATCGTGGGACAAGTGCCATGTGGACGGGATTGTATAGACGCTTGGGTCCTTGAAACTGGAGGCTTGTACCTCAACTCATCCTTGCCAGTGCAGGGTTGAATACATGCAGAATCGTGCACAGAGGACTTTGAAATGAGGAGCGGTCTATCCGGTCTAGCACCGCACAGTGTTTTCTGATCAAAATAAAGTTTTTGGCTTCCGGCTTCAAAGTGTACGACCCCTTTCAAGGAATTTCAAGGCACTGCTTTTACCGAGACTCTCACGTTTCCATCTGGACGACTCGACATTGGCACATTCTTTCTGGCAATAGCCGCCACACATTACACATCACGATTGCGAGCGTGAATTTCAACGAGGAGGCGATCTGGAGTCTTTTCACGGTTAGCGTTGGCCATATAACCGCAGGAGGAGCGATGCTGGAATGTTTTTACCACCCCTTCAGAGGTCTGACCCCACACCACCATGTCCCTCCCTGTGATCAACCTCCATGACACAGTTGGGGCCCTTCAGCTAGGCTCCTTGTTCGCCGTGTTCCTCTTTGGAGTGGTCACCCTCCAATCGCACATGTACTACCAGACGTTCCGGGAGGATAAGATACAGCTGAAGCTATTGGTACGTCCCCAGACGTCAGTCTCTATCAAGCGCGCGCTTATTGGGGTCTTCAGGTGGCGACGATATGGTATTTCCGCTGGTTGTCGATCCCTCCGTGCATCGGTTGAACGTTTCATCAGGCTCCTCGAACTCGGACACACCTTCTGCGTGTCCGCCGAGATATACAAAGCCACCATCGTGAATTATGGGCGGCCAGAGAAACTCTTTCCCTTTCCATTCTTAGGAGCTTCGACGGCAGTTGGAGGAACGATCGCTTTCCTATGCCATGTGAGTACGCCCGGTTGGTCGCACGTTGTTGCCCCCTTATTCATCCGATGAACCGCAGAGTTTCTTCTCCTCGCGAGTTTGGAAGGTTTTACCCAAACCATGGAATTTCGTTGGTGCATTCTGCTTCGTCGTCGCCCTTGTCCGGTTCATTGGGAGTATCGCGTTGGGAGTCAACGCCGTCAAGGCCACTGTTCTGGAAGATTACCGACGGGATTGGGGGTGGCTGATCATGTCGTTGTTGGTTGTCGGGGCAGCAATTGATGTTCTCATCGCGGGATCGATGTTGTTCTACCTGTGGAAGCAGAGGGCGAAGGTGTTCGCAAGGTATGTTTCAATTCATTTCTGGTAGCCAAGGGAATAGTATCTGATTGTTGGTAGATCGATACGCCTCATCGACCGTCTCGTTCAGTATACCATCTGTGAGTAACACCTCTTGGAGATACTTAACCATACGACTGACTGTGGGTTCTTTACAGGTACGGCGCTGTTGCCCAGGTAAATAGGCCAGATGACTCGTATCCCAGTTTTCTGACTTCTTTGTTCAGTCTTTCGGCAATCGTCATGTTGATCGTCGTAAGTCGGTTCTGCTCAAGTGACCTTGTACCACGCTCACTCTCGTTTCCTCAAGTTCCATGTCGATCCCGACGCCTGTGTGTATTGAAATGCTTTCCCATGAATTCGGGTGGTGCTGACATCGCTGCTTAGTGGTTTGGCTGGCCATTTACTCGTGCCTCGCGAAGCGTACGTCTGACCTTTTCCCCTTTCGCGAGTAAACTGACGATCATCGTTGACAGTGTACTCGAACTGCGTCCTCGCATCGTACGCCCTGCCCCTTGCCATCGCCATCACCCTCACTAATCCTCTTTCCAGACTGAATTCAAGGGCAAGTCTGAGAGGCACGTTCTCCAACGGATCCTCCTTCGAGCCAACGTCAAGACCGCACCTAACTGGTCGACGGGACACCGCTGACCCTGGAATGGTCATCGCGGTTGAAATGAAGTCGACGGTGCATACCGCTCATGATAACGACTCGGACCCTTATACCGTTAGTTCCACCCTCCCTGTTCCTCGAGGAGGACAAGTCGTTCTGACAGGTAGATATTAGGGAAAGCGATACCCTCTCGAGCCAGCTCACTCGGGCGCCAGTGGTTGGAAGGATACACCATAAGTAGATTAGCATTGGAATCTCAGGTTCAAGTTGTGCGTCAACATCAGTTTGGCTCTGTTACCCGCTGCGTACTTTGTAAATTTTGGGGATTTCTTTTTATCTTATTCAATATGTATGTACACGTATGTTTATTATACGCTCCTTTCTTGTTATATTAGTCTACCATAAGATACCTTTGGCAATCCACATTCGTTTTCCGGCTTCGATGGGTGCGGTGATGGCGCATCAAGTAAATTCAAGTCCAAACAACGCGTCGCGCTTTTAGATTGCCTCCTGCCTGCCCTTCCTTGTTCATCCTTTTCCTCCTTCTTCTCCCATGACCTCGTCTGAAGGCAGTGGAATCTTCCCAGAGGGCCTTTCTTTAAATTGCCAAGTGGCAGCTCCATTGTCACTCATCGGAATTCTGCCAGTGGGCGCCGAATCCGATTTTGCGCATATATCTCGTCGTCTCGCCTGTGGCGGGTAAGCTGAAGAAGGATTCTACGTCGCTCCGCGACATTTTGAGCTGCTTGGGACGGATGGTAGTTCTCTTTAGAGACTGCGACGACATACGAGCCAAACTGAGCTCGGAGCGTCTTCCCCATATCTGTCTGCTTCCGGGCCTGCTTGAGCCTGCCGGGCATATATATATACACCTTGAAGGGCTCTTGGTGGCTCAAGCTTGGATCTGGTCTTGTGCTCGTCTTGTGTAATGGGCCTGTATTTCATCTTCCGGTACGTCCCAATGGACTTCTGCAACGCTGGACAATGCTGACTTCTGGACTTCTGCGGGCCCCGTCCCGTAGACCCAGCTGCGCATGAGTCACGGTTGACAATTTGGCTTATTTCATGTCTACGAAGGTCGTCCGCTAGTTGGAAAGGCGCAGGCGCTTCCGCCCTTTGTCGGGGCCGCATTGTCTCTTTAGGAAATCAGGCGCATCAAGCACGGGAGCAATGCGCTATCTCCCCTTTTGGCTACCCAGTCGCGTCACTATTTTCTCGCGGTAACTCTGCCTCTTCCTTCATTCGCTGTCTTCAACGACGGTGCCCTAGCCATTTAAATGGCCTCACTACCGTCACGACTGCGGATTGTATGCCTACAGAGCCCAGCTGAACTGCAGGCAGCAACATGCATTCGTGCATTGCATTCCACGAGCGTCCAGCAGAGGGCTCGATTTGGCCTCAAGGACACCGGTTCTGCTAGTCAACCTCCGGGTAAGTTCTGATCACCTTTACAGGCTAGAGATGGAACTTACTGTTTCTAGTCAGTGGGCGGAGAAAGCTAGTTGACTTGAAGGAACTCGAACCAAGGTCACGAACCGGTCGTCTCGAGGTCGCTCGCGAGCGCCAGCGACCCTCGGAACGTGAAGACGAACCCTCGACATCGGGGCCTTTCTACAAGCCCAAGGAACAACTAGATTATAACTCCACTTCCACCTCCCCTGAATTCGAGACTCCACCGTCTCTCGTTTCAACTGGATCGTCCATGGGCATCACAAACTCATTACGCGACTTGCCCAAGTCTTTTTCTTCACCGCCCCTCCTGCCAGGCTTGACAGAATCTATACACGACATCCTAGGGGAAGGCGCAAAACCCACACCCATCCAGGCACTCAGTCTGAAATGGGTGCTTGACTACTGCAAAGACGAAGAACGAGCGTTCGAACACGGCCAGTGGCTTCTGGCCAGCGAGACGGGGTCAGGCAAGAGCTTTGCCTACTTGCTCCCTCTTCTTCAGGCCGTAAAGGAAGCAGAACTTCGCGGGGAACCCCTTAATGTCGATCCGGACCGACCACTCAACCCCCGCGCCATCATCCTAGCACCAACGCACGAACTCTCCCGTCAAATCTCCTCGTTTGCCAAATCCTTGCTGCACAAGGTCAAGCTGAGGGTCGTCTGCGCCAGCCAGAACAATTCCGACCTCAAGTCGACAAGGAACGTTTCGTCAAGGGACATGGCGGCTGACCTGGATTCACGCATCGAATTCGACAGTGGGAAAGAAGGCCCGCAGTCCCACCCGGTGGATATCTTGGTTGGAACACCGATGAAGATCATGGATATGGTTCGAGGACGATGGTGGGATCTTAAAGGTGGTGAGCTTGGCGGTACTGGGCGCGAGCTCGATCGAGGGAATGGTCCGCGGCGTAACAAGACAGTTGGAAAGCCTGAGCTTGGCCTCGCCAACGTGGAATGGGTCATCATCGACGAAGCTGATGTTCTCCTCGGTATGTGTCTATACAGCTACCATTTAAACGTGTGTTAACTTGGTTTTAGATCCCGACTTCCAGGAAGTGACGCGGGCGCTGCTAGCTGATATCAGCGAGGCGCGTGGCCACCCTGTCCAGCTTGATCCTTTCCCCTTCTCAGCGGCATCCGTCGCCCTTCCCGCTAAAGCGGAAACCAGCCCGAAGCTCCCTGGTGTGAAGGCCAAGTCCAACCCCAACGCCATCGAATACCCTTTCAACCTTCTACTCACCTCTGCCACAATTCCTTCCTCTATGTCCCGCTACCTCGACCTCTACCACCCGCGCCTCCTCCGCCTTGCCAGCCCGCGGCTCCACAAACTCCCTGAGACGCTCAAGATGGAGTACGTCAAGTGGACTGGTGGCAACCGATTCGTCGATGTCGAGAGGAGAGCGAGGGAGGTTTGGGCTGTGGATGCGATCGAGGCTGGAAGCCGGCGCGATATCAAGAACACCGAGAAGAAGCCCGAGCTCTCCAAGATCCTCATTTTCTGCAACAAGAGCTCCAAGGTGCAAGAACTCAGCGACTACCTCGAAGAGAAGGGCATCAAGAACGTGGCTGTGACGAGCGGGAAGGAGGCGAAGAGGAGACGGAATGACGATAGCGGTGCGGGCGTTAGGACGCGTGGGAGCAACAAGTACCTTGAAGGGTTCTTGAGACCTATTGGATCAAGGAGACGCACACCCTCCGCGGAACAATCGCCATCGCCTTCAACGACGCCCTCGAACCCGTACATGCTCTCCGACCCCTCGACCAACCCGCACGTCCTCATCACCACCTCCCTCCTCTCCCGCGGCCTCGATTTTGACCCAAGCATCAAACACGTCTTCATCGTCGATGAACCGCGCAACATGGTCGACTTCCTGCACCGCGCTGGGCGGAGCGGACGTATGGGTGGATTGGGTGGCAAGGTGGTCGTGTTTGGACGGAGCGGTGTCGTCGACCGCGACAGGAGAGGCGGTGGGAAGGGGAGCGGGTTTGAAGGCAAGGGCGCGCTGCTGGGCAAGAGTTTGGGAGGTGCGATTGTGAGCAAGAAGGTTTTGAGCAGGTTTTCGAGTGAGAGGAAGTAGGTTTGATGCGTGGGGTGGTACCTGCGGTTTACTAGAACGCGTCGCGTTGTGCCAGGGTTGGCGGGTGCAGCAGGTATCGTCCTGTTGCCAGATATTAAAGTATTATATTAATCATTGTTCTAATCGACATGTAGACCGACCCTCCGATGTTAACAGGTCTTAATCAACATCTTCACTCTCATGTGGCTGCTGGGTTTCTCGGGTTGTAAAACCTACTGAATGACAACCCTGCTGAAGGAAGTACACAGCATACCGACTGATGGCTGTGATGGACGCCCAGTCCCATCCCGCAGTCCGTACTTCTTGGGCTTGGTTGAAGAAGCTGGCCAGGGTGCGAAGGACAACAGTCATCGCATGGAGTCATGTCGTATCGCACCTTCGAGTCGCCCATTCGCATTTTTCTTTCTCCTCTATATGTCCCCCTCTTGTAGGCACGTCCTCGAGGGGTGTCTTCTGTGGCACTTTCACTTCTATGACTACCAGGTTCGTCCATCGCCATCTTCTTTCATTCCTCCTTCGAGAGCTGAGGAGTACTAATGACTCATTAGCAGTCCGGTATCACATAGCTTTGGATATTGGCGTCTATTCTTTGTCATTGAGGTTGGAGGTGGTTATTGCTTAGGGGTAAAATCGTGCTTGGACCGAATTTTCGATCTTGCATGACATAACGCATCGGAGCTGGCTGAGACAATCCTGAGCAACCCGAGGTCTACGACCAATACTGACCGCTTCCCTCGACTCTAACCCACCACCTGCACACAACTATGGCTCCCTCTAGTCCTCCCATTGTTCCAGTATCGGTCCTCGAACAAAAATACCCGGGAGACCCGTACTTCACGCATACCGACGACCCGCTTCATAATCTCGTTGACTCCATCGCTACCACCTTAACGTACAACGGCCGTGTCTTGAAAGAACTTGCACGGGTTACTTTCGATGATGATGTCGATAATTCGACTCTGGATAGACGCTCCGGCGAGATCTGTGAATATCTCAAGTCACACTTCCCGGATGTCAAGTTCGTCGCCTGCGCCGACCCCAAGACCCACGCCTGGCACAATCGCGACGGGGAGGCCCAAGATAGACGGAGTGTAAAACATACAATCTTCGTCAACTTCTCCCTTTACAGCTCCCTCAACCACGCCCTTACCTGCGGGGTGCCACGCGAGGGCTTATACGCTGATCCCCACTATAAACAGTGTGTTTTACGATTACCCTTCAGCAAGGCGTGGATTATGCTAACCAAGGCCGCCTAGGGTTCTCTCCTTCCTCCTCCGTGTCTGTCTTCTCCACGAGTTAGGGCATATAGTCCGCACTATCTTTGGCTCTAAGCCGACTCCTCCCAAATATTCTTTATTATCGAACGCATCCAACGGAGAGGCGGGATTCCATGTGGAGAGAGGGGTTTTAGGCGGGGTTGTAGTACTTGGTTATCACACCGAACGCGCTGACAAGTCGTTCGTCCGCGAGTGGGGGAACATTGTAGGCATTGGTTTTCGCCAACCAGACGGTGAGGTTCGATGGCTCTCACGGGCCCAACGTGGTATGTGTCTCTCCAGACTCTCAAGTTCGTGGATGTGGATCTGACCATCATGCGCAGAACATCCCCTTTGGGCCATCTTCAAAAATGGAGTAATCGACCGCGTGATTGACCATGTAGAATCACTCCCCACCGAGATGAGGGATTGTCCTCTGGACGCGGTGGGGCGTTTGAGCTCTGTTAATTCCACTTCAACATCCGGTGATCCTTGCGGCAGCGTTCGCAACAAGCCCGACGACATCATCGACGCTGTTGAACCCGCGTCTCCTTCCCCCGGTATTCATCCGACATCCTCAACTACGTCGTTGCTGTGTTTGCCCAGCTCTGCGCCGCTCACAAGTAAGTTTTTGGGCCTGCCAGGTGAAGACAAGTGCGTTTCTACGTATTATCCTCCGAAGCATGTTCTGATTTCAGGATAGGGTACTTTGTGTTGACTATAGGTCTACTCCGGACGTGATATATACTAGTTAGACTGCATCACTTTTGGGGGAGACAGGGCTCCTTTGATGGGAAACGAAACGACGCTTTATATGTACACCCTTCTTTTAAATTCTCCTCCTCATCTGTCATCTGTGCCTAGGGCAATTTGAATCGTTCTATTTGTATTCTACAGGCTTTATACATATCATCTGTCTTGTGCACTTAACAAGCGAGAGTAGTGGAGACAGTTGGAATACGAGTTCTAGCGATCAAGATTCAACGCGTTTCAACCGCTGCCATGGCCAACGACCACTGAGACGACGGAAACCCTCGTTGGGGCGGACGCAACGAAGTCCCTGTCGAACCATGTCGACAGTCAGTAATGCTTCGGCTGTTGCTCGTCGGTAATCAAAGAGTGATTATCGTTGTTGGGATTGGCGCTTACCGCTCTGCTGATAGCCTGAAGCCACTGTGATCCAATTCTTGACCTTAGTGGTCCGAGTCGTGGTCCCTCGTGGATGGGTGCTAACCTCGAATGTCGTCAGGTCGTTTCTCCGTGATGGATCTCTCTTCAAAGTAGTCTTCCATCGTAGACTGGCGGACCTCGTGTCCTATCTCATCGGATCCAGGTGCAAGGCAGTATTTCGGAAAGCCCTTTTCATGAGCATAGATAACCACCTAGGCACGAACTGTCAGATTCAAACTTTCGCATGTCTTGTCGGTGCTCGTTTAACCAAGCGCTGGCTGGGAGCGCCTCGTGTTGAGCATAGCTCGAACTCGTGAAACAGGCACCGAATGTCAGCTTGATGCATAGAGCCCAAGGGCTGTTCTCTTTGCGTTCTACTTAGTGCTTTGATGGCATGTTTCATTGATGCGCGCAATGATAAAGGGAGCCCACCATACACACCCACTGCGAAGGAATCGGGACCAAGGAAAGCTGAGAACAATAAGGGGTTCACGAATTTGGACGTTGATCAACTTGAGGCTGAACGTGTTTCCGAGAGAGAGAAGTCGAAGTTCAGAAGGAATTCTCGTGATCTCCAGCAATAGTAGCTATGAATACCAAGACCTTGGGGAAAGACCATGTGTACTCTTAAGTCTTAGGATGCCTCTGGTCGATGGAGGTATAGTGCAGAACCACTGGTCGAGCTGTCGTGGCCGAAAGCTCGGGGTGAACATTACGACATCTATATAATGAACTGGGCAGAAGAGCTAGCACATCGGAAGGATGGGCATCCAGTTTGGTCTATCAATTTAATTGAAGCTAACGACATAGAAACAAAACGCTGTCACGGGAAGACACACACAAACAATCATGATTGCGGGGTACAGCCTGCAGATTGGCACTGAGGATCAGTATGGCAGTGAGGGTGTCCTGCGGAAAGGTGTGATATAACCCTAGCATGAAGGATCGTTCGGTTCGCTTGACAGACGGCCCACTCATCTCCTCCCCCGACGAGATATGTCGACACCCTCACCTCCGATTAACCTCCACGATTCAGTCGGTGCCCTTCAGCTGGGCTCACTATTTGCCGTGTTTCTCTTTGGAGTAGTCACTCTTCAGTCCCACTTGTACTATCAGCAATTCAGGAACGACAAGATCCACCTCAAGGCCCTAGTGCGTACTTCTCAGCCTTTCGGTGTTGCAGATGCTGACTCAACCTACATCAATGAATTCCCCGTAGGTTGCTCTAGTATGGTATGTCGGCAACGATGTCTGCCTTACACGAAGCTGTATTGACTCGTTTATAGGATTCTAGAACTCGGCCACACGTTCTGCATCGCCGCAGAGATATACAAAGCTACTATTATCCATTACGGCCGACCAGACAAACTATTTCCTTTCCCTTATCTAGGAGCTTCAACCGCTGTCGGAGGGTCCATCGCATTCCTCGCTCATGTGAGTAGCCAGTACCGACTTTTTTTTTCCTCTTGGGGGTCAGTATTAAAGGGCTCGATAGACGTTCTTTTCCTCGCGCGTATGGAAGGTCTTGCCCAAACCATGGAATTTCATTGGGGTATTCTGCTTCGTTCTCGCTCTGGCTCGCTTTATTGGCAGTGCTTTGCTTGGTTCCAAGGCTGTAAAGGCGACTGTCCTGGAGCACTATCGAAGGGACTGGGGGTGGTTGATCGTAACATTGTTGATGGGGGGCGCTGCGATCGACATTATTATAGCGGGGTCAATGTTATCTTACCTTCATAGCCAGAGAGAGAAGGTTTTCGCGAGGTAAAGTTTCCGCCTTTCAAGCACGGTACGCCTACTGAGGTTCCGAAAGATCTGTACGCCTCATTGACCGCCTGGTTCAGTATACTATCTGTAAGTTCGACTGCTATTAAGCGTTGGCATTTTCTGACCACCCACCGGTAGGCACTTCATTGGTTCCGAGGTATGGAGATGTCGACTCTAACCAGGGGTTTACTGACACACTGCGCCACACAGCTTGTCGGCAGTGATCATGGTCATTTGCTTCCATGTAAAACCAACAGCTAGTGCGTTTCATTCACTCGGCGGCGAAACTTACCCAGGTTCCTCACAAGCATCTCTCGATCCCCAGTGATATGGATTGCAGTCTATATCTGCCTTGCAAAATGTATGTGTTCGACCATCGTTCTCACTTCCGATCGCGACTTACAACGACTGGCGGCTTATCCCAGTGTATTCCAACTGTATACTTGCTTCGTGAGTTGCTCCATCTACTCTCTAGAGTGGACATGGACTGACGCCTCATGTGCTTAGGCTCAACTCAAGAGCAGACCTAAGAAGCACCCCTTCCCAGTCTGGCTCGCTTGATCCTTCCTCGAAGCCCACCAAGCCGAGTCGCCATAACACAGACGCAAACTTGTCGATATCAATTGAAATGAACTCCACGGTTCACACCACGACCGATGGGGGTGATTATGTGGTGGGTATGTCCGTTGCTCGTTTTTAAACAGACATCCCTAACTCTCACGCGTGGAAGGCGAAACAATACCCCATCGTGCACACTCCAACGTCTACAGCAGGTTGGAATAGCGATTCAGTCCACAGAATGGTTTAGGTTTAGGCTTTATATTTATAGCCTTTCCTTCATGTATGTATAATAGTGTGTATTTAACACTTTCTCTACCGGCGAGAGCGCGCCCTGAGCGCTTGTGCCGGTCGGAGGCTTGGCGCAGGCTCCAGGGCGCTTGTGGCGCATTCGATTGATGGATTGATGCGCCATCACGATCATTTGTATACCGGCAATTGGGCGAGGGCCCAAGTGTGTGCTGAAGCCCGGGTATCGGTTGGTACTGCACCCTTTCTCTCCAGGAGCTCACCCTCCATTCTACCCTCCATAAATTTAATGTTGAAGGCAAAACAGCAGCGCAGAGGCAAGCTGAGTAACGGTAAACACTTTGCAGAATCTCACCAGGGGCCGTTGGTGTTGGAATGAAGCTCCCAGAAAATATACCCTCGACTCAGGGGTGACACCCTAACGGAAGGTTATATACATACAAACCTCTTTAAAAGCCTAAAGACCATCATTAAGGTTTTATGAGGGCGGTATGTAGTTACAGGAGGAGGTGAATCGACAGTATATGAGATTAGCACGAGTTTGTGGGGCAAATAGGAAACAGGCTTGATTCGACCAGGTTGCTTGAAGAGAAGATCATTTCAATTATCGTTCCCAGCGTCGTCCTGCATATTAGTCCAATGGAGCGGGATTCTGATCTCAGGCACCACGTTGTTCGTACATTCCTGCTCGGTGATCGACACGGGCGCTTATTCGCCTGACCACCTTTCCGACCACCGGCGTGGGTTCTAGCGCAGAAAATGACTCCTAATAAATACACATTCGTTATTATCTACGCACTTGAAACTCATTTCGCCTGACAGGTAATTCGCTTCTGACCTCACGGGCCGACCAGTTGCAGCTCCTCAACCCCAACGTAATTCCTGGCTGGAATCTCACTGAGTCCAAAGGCGGGAAGCGCCAATAATGCTTGCTCGTGTGTTCCCTTGTCGAGGAACTATCTATGTAGGAAGTTTTGGTTACGGACTTCGCAACCCGTGACGGGGGTAAGTGCGACATCTCGCCCAAGGCACCGTATGTCATTCCAACAACGTCCGTGGAAAGATGCGCATTCAGCATCTTCATCGCAAGGGGAGGTGGGCGACTTTTTGATGTAACTTCATACAAAGTAGAGGACAGGAGACTCTCCAGCGCCCACGAGGACTCAATTAAATACCCCAACGTTACCCCATATTATGAATCATCCTCCAAAAGCGCACGCCAAGAAACGATATCCGCTGCAAAGGACCTTGCCAAGACCAGTCAATTGCTCGATTCCCCTACGGCCCAGTTCAATCCCCGAGCTCTAAACGAGACTGGGAGTAAAGGAACCACCAGAGAATAGTAAATACCCTAGAACACCGGAAACATCCAGTCATCAGACGTGGGAGTAGATACTAGATTGTACCTTTCTGAACCCATGTTTCGGTTTCGCAAAAGTCGAGGCTCACCTCGTCACTCGAGTCGGAGATATTTTTCCGTACTGAGGCAGTAACTCCGCACTGTGAGGGCGATTGCTGAATACGAGGAAACTCTGGAGTAAAGTCCTACACTCCAACTTTTGAGCAATTCGAATACTACCTTCCATAGAAAACTCGATTGCAGGGGTGCCCTAGTCGCCTACGATACTGTACCCTTTGACAGCCCTCAACTTTCAACCGTCACTCCATCCATGATGTTGAGCTGACTATTGAATATTGAATCTCCAAACCCCAGCTCTCACGTTGCCACAGACGACTGGCATTTGCCGGGCGATCAATTCAGTTCCCTCGAACGGGCATCAGTTTCATAATCTGATCATGGAGTAAAGACCCGGATTTGCCCAGCGAGGATCGGGATGGGAGCGGGGATATCCTTGCGGAACTGATTCTGTTTATAATTGAGGGATGAACAGAGGAGGAACAGACGGCCAACATCCCCATTGACCGCCCCTCTCGTGCGAGTGTTCCTGGTATCCCAGAGAGACCGCAACATGTCGGCGCCCCTCCCTGTGGTGAACCTCCACGACACGGTTGGAGCTCTTCAACTGGGCTCTCTGTTCGCCGTGTTCCTGTTTGGAGTGGTCACTCTTCAGTCTCATCTGTACTATCAGCAGTTTAGGCAGGACAAGGTGCAACTCAAGGCTCTGGTGCGTATCTCTTTCGGTGTTGGAAACGTCGCGTCGTAACTAATGAAATGTCTTTTCTGTGTATAGGTTGGTGTAATATGGTGAATCACCCGAGTCATACCCCTTTCACGACGCGGTTCTAATCACAACCACCTATTCCAGGATTCTTGAATTGGGCCACACTTTCTGCGTCGCTGCCGAAATCTACAAGGCGACCATCATCTACTATGGTCAGCCGCAGAAACTCTTCCCCTTTCCATTCTTGGGAGCATCGACGGCAGTTGGAGGAAGCATTGCATTCCTCGCTCATGTGAGCAATTTCTCCCAATCTCATTTACGTGGTGGCTCACAGAAGTGTTTCCTTTGGTAGAGTTTCTTCGCCTCGCGTGTCTGGAAGGTCCTACCCAAGCCATGGAACTTCATCGGCTTGTTCTGCTTCGTCGTCGCCGTGGTTCGCTTCGTCGGAAGTATCGTACTGGGAGTCAACGCCGTCAAGGCCACCGTTCTGGAGGACTACCGAAACGACTGGGGGTGGCTGATCATGTCGCTGTTAATGGCCGGGGCTGCGATCGACGTCATCATCGCGGGTTCGATGTTGTCCTATCTCTACAACCAGAGGGACAAGGTGTTTTCCAGGTATGAGCGTCCGGTTTTGAAAAAACACGGAGTAGATTGCTGATTGCGAGCCGATAGATCTGTGCGATTGATTGACCGCTTGGTTCAGTATACCATCTGTAAGTTCTGCTTCCGTGTTGCCGCTTCTTTCACGCTGAACCTATCCAAATAGGTACTGCGTTGCTCCCGAGGTATGTATGGGTTGCCTAAAATATACGCCTCGTCGCTAATGTAGATGAATTAGTCTGTCAGCGGTGGTCATGGTCATCTGCTTCCATGTGAAGCCGACAGCGAGTGCGTTCTCCTTCCTATCTGTGATGCCATACCCTCCTGATCTCCGTTACAGTGATATGGCTCGCAGTTTACTCTTGCCTGGCGAAACGTACGTGTTGTCACATCTAGGCCATGTTTCTGAAGGCTAACCCGGCTCTCTCCCAGTCTATTCCAACTGCGTACTCGCATCGTACGTCGCGAGATTCCGCCCCCTATTCAAAGCCTAACCCTCTCATCCATCCTAGGCTGAACTCGCGAGCAGAATTGAGGGCATCTACGCATGCATCCTCCCTCGGTACTTCATCAAAGCCGAACAGAACAGGTCCCTCCCTGAATGCAGCTGACCCCAACTTGTCGATTTCGTTCGAGATGAAGTCGACGTTCCATACCACACAAGATAACGACGGGGGAGAATTTTCGGTTAGTCATAGCCGCCTCTTTCAAGGTCTGGTCCAAGTACTGACCCTTCATTTGCAACAGACGAAATACCCCACCGTACACACCCCACAGAATGACTCCGTCCACAAACTAGTATGAGTTCGGTCACATAGGCGGATATTTGACACCATGTCACTGTATTTTTATAGCTAAGTGTATTCTCACTGCGTGTAAAAGTAGTCAGACTCTATTTCACCAATATTTCCGGTCATCTGAATCAGAACGTGAGGCGCCCATCGGGCGTCTAGTATCGTCGCCTTTAGCAGCTCCCGTCATCGATGAACCAGATCCCCCAGTATCCGTGTCTTCCCTAGAAAAAGTACATTGGTGAACTGTTCACTGATAACAGAAACAACTGCACTAACCCTATAATTGCACGAATGAGGCCCGTCGAATTCCAACCCATTGAATCGTGCTGGCGTTGAGGAACACATCACCATCGCGTCGTCGCCTGGTCGGATGTTCTCCAATCTTGATTCGATCATCTGCATCGCGTGAGCACCAGTACGCCCCAAATGAACGAGAAAAACATACACGTTTACCCGATCCTTGAGCGGTACAACCCTAGCATAGAAACGTCAGGGAGGCAGGAAAGATTCTGTTGGAGAGTTACACACCTTGTCCTTGAACTCGTTCCAGAAGCTGTAGCATCCCGCTTCGTCGAAGTCGATGTACCAGGTTCCAACGACACCTCCCCATCCCGCCTAAAACACCGATTGAGCTTTCATCAATGCATACCGAGTGGAAATCTGACCTTGCTCTGACAAGTATCAGGTAAAACCCACTTGCCATGGATGAGTGCCTTGGTCGTGCTGCATGCCTTGATGGGATCGTATCCGTACGGCAAATTCTCCAACCTGCTCGAAGTCCACATCCTCGTTCCCCATCGCAGGCAGTGTTTATCTGGCGTGACATCAGCCCATTGCACCCCACTCCGTCGCTTCGCATCTTCCTCTTCTTCCCTTCGCTTTCCCTCTTCCCGCCTTTGGCGCTCCAATTCAAATTCCCTTTCAGCCCTTCTAATCCTCTCACGTTCAGCGCACTCCTCCCTCCACTCCTTCCTTTCAGCTTCCCAAGTCGCTCGCTCGCGGACCATGGAACGACGAGCGGCCGAATGCTCAGCCACCTCGGAAGCCCACCTGGTCTCGATCTCTTGCATCTTGGAAACCTGGGCCTGGTGGCGCTCGTACTCCCTCTTCCAGTCCGCCCGGATTTTATCGCGCACGACCGGGTCGAGGATGTCATGTGAACGCAGGTACCCCGTCGACGCCCAGGAGATGAACATAAGCAGGAATGCTAGGGCAAGGAAACCGATCCCAGTCTTGTTTGGTTGGGTAGTAACTGCGGTGGTTCCTCTCCAACCAGAACCATCGGGGGGTCCCGTTGCACTATAGCTGGGAGGTTGAGATTGGTTGGAACACCCAGCGGACTGGATGAAGGGCGTGCGCTCATCCCTATACACCTGCAGATTCTTGGGGACTGACGATGGTCCCAACCCGCCATCGAGTCGCTCTCTGAAAAAGCTGTTATGATAACACCAGCCTGTGATTTTGAGCCCACTTACGGTTCTGCTCTCGGTGTAGAGGGCCACCCTTGTTCAATGTGCAGACGGTGAGAGGCCATTTCAAGGGCCAGGAAAGAGATTCAGAAATAATGGTCAGGGTGTGGTTGAAAGGAGAACAACGCGATGTGGGCGGCCTTCCTGCAGGCCATGGGAATCGCTGTTAGGTAATCGAAACCCGTGGTCGTGAGCTTACTTGGCTGGCGCTTATTGTGACACGTCCAACATTTGACTTACCAGATGGAGGACAAAAGTGGGACCGGTGCGGCACTGATGATACCGGGATGAGGATCGCTTCTATGAAGCCATGTATACGTGCAGCACTGACGGGCGCTTATTTGGCGGCTTGCAAACAATAACACCACAATCCTAATATTCCAAGACAAAGATTACAAGACTACCACCAATCGCTGTAGACAGAGTCCTGAACCCACGGCTCAGAGCCATCAATCGCTACACCGTCATCTTCAGGGAGAAGATTATTCGGATGACTGGAACCACGATTTGGGTTGCCCCACCGCGCACCAGCCCAAATCCTGCTAATCTCATCGTTCCTATAGATCGTCCATCAGTACCCCATTCTCCTCCAAATCACTGGTAGACCACTCACTCCTTGGGCAACTGGTCGATCTGCCTCCCGCCATACTTGACAGCCGCCTCATTCAACCACGAAACAAAGAACCTCAAAGAGGCCTTCGTCCGCTCGGTCCCCAAGAACTGGAAATGTCGTCCATAGCCCAGTCGGTCTTTCACAGTTTCGTCGTAGGCTGCCCACAAAGCGGCGGTATTCGGTAGGTCGGCTTTTCCAGACCACACCTTCGCAGCGGCGAGAGAGACAAACTCGGCGTAGGTGAAGGACTGCATTCCAAAGTTTGCTATCGAGAGAGAGGTCAAGAAAAGGGAGCGGCAGATGCAACAAAGTACACACCATTGATGAAGAGAAGCGTAGGATCAGGGATGTAGAAAGCGTCGAGGTAGAGCGATCGGACGTGAGTACCATCAGTGATGATGGGCTGGATCACACCCTCTTCGCGAGGAAGCTCGTCTTTGGGCCCCAGGCTGGGATTGATGTAGTCAGAGAGGAAGGGATAGGTGTATCGATACCCGGTTCCGAAGATAACATTGTCTACACCAGTGATGACCTAGGACAGAAATGAGACAGTGACAGGAAACTAGCAAGAGAAATACACGCACAGTGCCGTTGACGAGCTGAATCTCGCTGGCTTGTATTGAGCCTGAGGGATCGTTGAAGCTCTTTATCTCGCCAATAAGCGTGATATTGGCCGGGAGACGCCTGAGGTGGTCGGTGAGTGCAAAGTGCGGTCCTCGGACTGCAACGTTTCAGGTACAGGTCCGATGGGAGACTAAGAAAAGACTCACATTTGTCAGGCCGAATGGACACATATACCTGCTTGGCCTGTGTGATAACCTCTCGAGCAATTTCTCCGCCGCTGGTCTACAGCCTCAGTCAGCGCCAGCAACAGAGTGCGACGGAGAGTAATCGATCCTACCGCTGCGCCGATCACCAACACAGTCTTGCCCTTGAACGGTTGAGGGTGACGATACTGCCGCGAGTGTAAAAGGTGACCAGGGAACTTCTTGTTCCACTCTTCGAGTCCACTGATAGCCGGTACGTTGGGCGCATTGTATCGTCCAGTGGCCACCACCACAGCATCATAATTCTGCATGAACGTCAACCTCGGGTCGTTCCACCGCCTTCAAGCAACACAATACGTACCCTCTTGTACCAAGTAGCTCGCGTCTTGTTCGCATCCTTCACGAGCTCCTTCGCAACGAGCGACCATCCAGCCTCAGACCCGTCCGCATTGTACCTCTTCTCAACACGTTCAACACGGGTATTGTAGAAAGCGTGAGGATTGCCATCGTTGGTGTTGACGCCATGCCACGAAGCGAACGCTCGAATGTATCGCGCCAATTTGGCATGAGGGAGCTCTGTCAAGGACAGCGACAACCTTCGTTAGCCACACATTTCAGGAAGATCCCCCTTTCACTCACCCCACTCGGTTCCTTTCGGCCAAGGCGTCTCCCGAATCTGCTGAATGGGCTATCGAATAACACACTCAACACCCATCCATACACCAAAGCCACGAACCAAACCAATCCCACTCACAGCAGGCGCATTCGACCTTAGCGACTCCCAGATCGGCTTCGGCGCACGATGCGCCCTCCTCACCTCCCTCACATACTCTTCATCCGTATACTCCTCCGTATACGGGTACACCACACCCGCGGGCGGCAGGGAAGGTTCATAATCCCCCACAGCAATAGGCGCATTAGGGATGGGAGCATCCAAAGGCGTTTCGTCCGTGTAGTGCCAGTTCCCGCCAGGCACGTTGTCGCGCTCGTAAATGTCAACTGCGAAGCCGTGTTGGGTGAGTTCCCGGTAAGCTTGGAGGCCTCTGTAGATAAGGTTAGCCGGTGAGGCTGTTGTGGAATGCGGCTACGAACCCGACGCCAGTCCCAATGACGGCGACCTTCTTGATAGGCCACTTGAACTCGTACGACTCTTGAGGTCGGGGGCTGCTGGAAGAACCCCATTGAAGAGGTTCCTGCTGCGTACAAACTCCAGAGCTAACCAAGACAGCAAGATAGACAAATAAACCCTTCATCTTTCCAGCTGGGAGCAAAAGAAAGGGTCGGGACCCAACCTCATCCAACACCTCTTTATAACAGCCTAAGGGCAAGCACCCCGCTTGTCGCGTTCTGCTAAATCAATGGCGTCAGAGATAAAGCCTAAAATTAGGAAAGTATGCATCTTACAAACACCGAGAGAACGCTCAGCGCTCACCCCTCGGAAGGGTTACCGACGAAGAAGAAGGGTGAATTGAGCTGCTACGAAACTACTGCAGCGGGCGATATGTTACCATAATGACTACTACACACAACATGATGATCGAAATCAGCACGGGGAGGGGGTAAATATAGAACAAGTGTTGAGGGCAAGGTGAAGACGGACGAACTAGACGGAGGATGTGCAAAGAGAGAGAGAACCAAACAAACAGAAACGAAGAAGAAAAAGAAACACATACATTGTACAAGGAAAAGAATCGAAACGAGGAAAAAGATGTTACATCAAAAGTAGGAATACAGCGAGTAGACGAGAGCGATGGATTAGGTGTCCAAAGTCCGTGACTAAGAAAAAAGTCGGTCATCACGAAAGATCCTCCGCCAAAATACCCTTCACACCCCCGCTCTGCGTCCTCCCACCATCCCTCGCACGCGCATTATGCATCCTCTTCACCCGTATCGACGTATTCCGCTGCCTCTCCTCAACCGACGCGTCCTCATACTCAGCATCCTCCTCCTCCACACCCCCAACAGCCGGCGTAACAGGGAACGGGTAGTGCTCCTGCTGAGCCCTGGACTTCACAGAGGGGACAGGCACAGGGACCTGCTTCTTCCCACTCTTCCGATTGCTGCTCTTCTTCCCATTCGACGACGAACTCGACTTGGACTTGGACGACGGCTTGGGTGGCGGGACGTCCTGCGACGAGGTGGATGACGTTGAAGGCGGTGGTTGCTGTTGGTGACGATCTGGCATGGGCGTAGGCAACGACGGCTCGACCCAATCATCCTCAATATCCCCCGAACCCTCATCTTCATCACTAAACTCTACACGAGTCTGCCTCGCCTCGTCCGCCGCCGCAGCCTTCTTCACACTCTCCAAATCGATGATCGCAAACTTGGAACTTGGACCAGGTGTGACAGGGTCCATCGGGTCCTCCTCGGTATCGTTGTCTTCGCTCTTGCTCTGCTTGTCGTTGTCGTTGTCACCGTGCTTGCCGCCGCTGCCACTGGCCGAACTTGAAAGAGACGGGGAAGATGCTGACGCCGATGCCGAACGCGTGTCGAAGAAACGCTCCTCTTCGTCTTCTTCAACCTCAATGTCATCGCTTTCGTCAGGCTCCGAGATCGACAACAGACCCATCTCGTCTTCGGAATCTGAAGGCCACGAGGGTGGCTCGTCCTGTATCGAAAAGATAGTGCGTGGAAGCTGCGAAGACGTTAGTGAAAGACCAACTCATAGAACGAGTAACTTACCCCAGCCACTCTCTTTCTCAAATCAACCCACTCGGCTTCATCCCGACACAGGAACCCAAGCAACATGCTAGGGTCCAACCCACTCAACGGCATCTTCCGTACCCGCTCACAGTGGAACGTCTTGAGCTCTGCAGCGCTATATGCATTGCAATAGTGCACCTGAACAGGGTCCAACCCGCTTTCCGCTCCCAAATCACTCATACCGAACTCGCGGTGATCCATCTCCGACGCTCCAGGCGAAGCTGGCTGGCTGGCTGATCTCCATCGTCCATGGTGAACCGGGTAGGAAGAGGGCGGTGGAGGGGACCTCGAAGGCCTGAACATGTCGTCCGAATCCGTAGTCGACGTCGTCGAATTGGAGCTAGTCGAGAATTGTTGCTGGAGTGGTGATGGGGAAACGGGTGCGTGGTAAGAATAGGTGGAGGATCCTGTCCGTGTCGAAGAAGGCGATGTGGGTAACCGCCGATGGGGTGAATTCTTGGCGCGTCGTCGTTGGCTATCTTTATCAGACTCGGGAGTCGATTGGCGGGGGAATTGGAAAGGACCAGGCGGTGGAGGTCGGAGGGGTATCGCGGGTCGAGCGTGATGTGGGTCCAAGTAGAACAGATTGTCAGCTTGGGAGCCCACGAAATAGTAAGAAGAGCTTGGTCGACCGCCAGCAATTCCTACGGATTGCGGGAATGTGTATAGCATCTACGCTTTCCATGAGTAACGCGCCACGACAAGGAGAGAACAGACCGACCTTGATGGTATCATAATAAATAGGGTTGACGCCTTCGATTCCCAATCGAATGCCCAAGAGCAGCAGGACAGGACGATCGCCCCAAGAACGTTTATGTCGCCGCGGCGTACGTCCAAAGTGATCGCCATGAGATGCAGCGTGGACATCGGTCTGGTATAGCACGCCGTCAACAGCGACAGCGACGCCAATACCAGCCTCGGGGAAGCTGTTGACCAATGCCCTGATGTAACGTGTCAGTCACGACACGATCCCGAATCGACACGAACGACGTACTTGATCGCTCCTGCTGCGACGCTGGGGCCAAACCACTGGCCAACATCTGTTCCCAGCTCCTTGCCAGCAAGCGCCATGCGATGCACGCTGAATGGTGCCTCGGGAGCAGGAGTATCGAGGAACCAGGTCAAGATGTGCACGTAAGTGGCATAGTCTGCAGTCATAACTGGATAAGGTGGCTTTCTCCAATCTGCAAGGGACCGAGGTTAACTTCGCGCTCTAGCAGCTCAGGAAAGAGTCCTTACCTCGACCAAGATGGACATGAATGAGCGCGTTCGCCAAGAGAGACTGCCCAGTTCGGAGCATGCAGCCCCAACCGGAGTCACTAGACCACGATTTCTCCCCTCCTACCCAATGCCAGGGGCTCTTCTTCGTCACTGGGCTTGCAACGGGCTCTGGTTGGGGCCCGCCACACAGGTCAGCCAGCCTCCCATCCTTGATTGGCTGGGGAAAATGCGACCGATACGTCAACCAGATACGGGAAGTGAAGTCGATGTAAAATACTGGTGGCCAATTGGCGGCAGGGTTGTGTTTGGGATTACTGGAGGTGGATTGTGAAAGTGCGGCTTGCTCGTTTATGCTGCTGGCGAAAGATCCGATGGAAGACGTGGAGGACCGGAATGAGGGTGGTGAAGCAGAACCGCGACGACCAGGGAATGCTGTTGGTGGAGATGTACTCCGGTTATCATTCACATTGGCATTCGGGGGTTCGTATCCTGGGTGCTGAACCCCCAGTAACCATATCGGATCCGTACATTTATCCGGCGTTGCATCGCTGTCCAAAAGGTACCTGACGGCCTTGTCGAGGTGGCCTTTGCCATGTTTGGCAGCCGTCAAGAGGGCGCTCGACTTGCTCTTAGGAGAAGCGTGGGTCGCCAGTAAGGTGGGGAGGGAAAGATCTGTGCTCGACGAGCTGAATGTGTGGGAGAACCACCCTGAGAGTCGGGTAGGAAGGTCGCCAATGCGGGATGTAGAGGGGGTGGTGGCGTAGAGGGAGTCTGGGACGCTGTTGATAGGTCGTTCTGAGCGCGTACGGGAACGGGGTATGCTGACGGGCTCCACTATCACAGGCGGTTCATCCATATCGGTTCCATTGTTAGGATCTGGGGAAGCAGGAGTCGTCTCTCTCTCCTTGTCCTTTTCCTTTTCCTTGTCCTTCTCTTTATCTTTCAATCCGAGGAATTTGCTACCCTTGCGAGGGGTCTTCCCGGGGTTAGGGGTGCTGTGCACCTCTGGTGATGGGGAGCTCGATGGGGAGCTTTGCTGACTGGTGCTAGCGCTGGGATCTGTTACGGATTTTGACCGGTCGCGAGCTGAAGCCTTTTGAAGAAATCGAGGCAGTTTGGATGATCCATGTTGCGGAGGCGTCGATGGGGATGAGGTTCGTGAGTTCTTATGTGACATGAATATTACTGCGAAAACGCAAGTTCAAAGTTGGCCAAATGAATGAAACTCAAGGTCCGTACTCGTTAAACGCAAATGCTATTCGTCGCTGTATCGTTGGTTGTTAAAACCTAAACAAAATGTCGTTCAGCATCATCGTCTCATTCAGCAGCTTGCATGAGTCGACCGAGCCCAGATCACTGGTTTCTCGAGCCTATCACAGGAAAGAAAGACGTACTCGGGAACGTGTAAGTCGTTTCAATGCCTCGTGGTTTGGAACCTGCCGGTTTACAAATGAAAAGAAGACGAAAACCTATAGAAAGATAGCCGGTCAGCGCCATTGATATTGTCCGTCATTTCGCCAATCCAAAAGCCAAAAGGAGTCCCAAGACGGCCTTTCAGGCTTCACTAGCCCCGCCATTGGCGTCTACTGGCTACAACCGTTCAGAAACCAAATAAATCCACCAAGCAAGCCTCTCGAGAACCTCGCTTTATCTCAAGCTTCAGACTTGGCTCAGGAACACCGTCCAAACGACCTAGAGGGCAATCTAAACGGCTATTCAAGCGCCAAACTAGTCAGAACCAGCCAGAGCCGGCCATGGCTAGCCCAGGGTTCCCCATTTACCGCCAAAACCGCTCAAACCCGCCAGATCCACCTACAAACCGACAGAAAAGCAGGCAGCTGATTGGAGCACTTACCGAGCCCTAATTGGACCAGAATCAAGACCGCTAGGGTCGTCAAGGCTGCCCAAAATCTGAGATTCTGGTTTGGCGCTGTCGAGGGCGAGAACAAGGCCGGAACGTCGTGGTCGTTGTGAAACCCGCTGTGCTCACGGTTTCCGACGTTGTGGACATTGTTTGGCTTTGTTGTGCCGCTGTCATCTTGCCGCGGGGCGGATGTTCCGTAGTTCGATTCCAAGGGAACGCGATATTTGCGTCGTGGAGAAATTTCCCGTTCGGTTCCAGTGCACCGGTCTTGAGCGAGGAATACCCGCAGGAAGAATAGATCAGACCTCAGCTGAAACGGGAACGACAGATATGTTTTCCGCGGTAGCTATACTAGAACGAGAGGCCTTGAGCAGGCACTGTCAAAAATCTCATTTTCCAGTTCAATTTTCAGCATTCGCGTATTGAACTCAGGTACACTTCAATAGCATTTGAGCCCGCCCCCAGAGCTCTTGACGCCTTTCCCCCGGTGTCACTTATGCTTTCGAGTGTTTGCTGTTCAGAGTTCTAACTAAATATGGAGACGAGACATGTCTAATTCAGTCGGTGACTATATTGTGCGGATAAGGTACGTCATGAACATTGAAGGCAAGGAAGTGGACAGCGTAGAGTACGCTCAGATTATGCAAGTTGTGCATTCCGAGGCTCAGTGGGACAGCCGGCGGCGTGGACTCAGTCCCGGATCTAGGCCAAGTTGCCTGAGCAAGAGAGACCTTTCTCCAACCGCTTCTGCCCTAAATACACACTACAAGATTATCAAAGGAGTGCATAAACAACCTTGAGGGGCAATGCACACCTGTCACGCACCGCAACGAACTCGAGCGCGGGCGCGCGCTTAGATCGGCGCCTATTACGTATCCCGACTGCGTCTGGATGAAATTGTCGCCAGTAACATCCTGTATTTGCGAAAGACTACGTGTCTATGGAAATTAAGCCACGGGGCTGACCGAATCTAGTCAGTGGGTAGCAGCTTGCATGTTCCGGTGAGATTGTCCCTGATCATCGATTATCCTCGCCCGTCCATTACGACTTCGAAAGCACCTTAGACGGCCGTATGGCCCTCATGTTCTACCTCATCTGCATATACATGTCAGCCTCGACGCAGAGCCTAGGTTCCAGAAAGACCTGCTAAATCCACCGACGATTCTAACAACAAGAACTCAGCCGCCACCGCGACAAGAGAGGCCTTCGGAATCTTTCAATTTGAAAGTAGACGTACTTATTGGACAGTTGGACCTAGAGAGATGCGTACAGTAGTTAGACGGAGGGCTCTGCTCATATACCGTGTGGCATATTCTCTCCGGAGGAACCTCGATAATACCTAGACAAATCTGAGGCGCTATTTATAGCGCTCTTCTGGGAAGACCGATGATATTCAACTCGCATCACGTATGACAAAAAGTGATTTATGACATATACTGTAGCTCCCAAGCCCTGGGTAGGTCCGCGAGCTTCGAACCATGGTGCCATGGTCAGGTCTTCAAAGTTCCATCTCATCTTCATCTTCCCTTCTTGGCATAAATGATACTTCAGGGATGCTAAAGTCACTCTCATTCTCACTTGCTGTCAGTACTCATTGGCAGATATGGCTTTAATTTAGGCCTGCCACGCGCAAGGGATCCGTCGCTGTCAAGACCCGAAACAGCCTTGGACGCGTTACGTCCCGGGGACGCGCTCCGTTTAGGACACACCGTGAGAAGCGGCACACCGGCATCTGGGCGTTTTGTGAGGTGGCGGCGGCGAGAACGAGCGCTCTCTTTCGCGTTCCACATTGCCAGAGGCCTGTTGGTATATTCTCTCCACCTGCTCAAAGTCTCTAAGTACTCGGTATGAGTGCAAGAATGCCAGCAATCGAACCTGATTTTAGGTTCCTGGATCTGGCAATGGATTTACGGAGGGCTGACATTCGACCATTCAAATCGCACACACTCGACCAATTTACCCAACCAGCCCTGTAACGCGTCCTATTTTTAAACAACAAACTCGAACTCCCTTCTGACGCGTTTGGAAATTGGGTTATTTCTCTCTTGCGCTCACTTATCTACAGTGGACGAAATATTACGGCAACAGGGGCCACTACTCTATTTAGAGGAATTCTGCGCCCGCGAAGAACCAGCGGCGATTCACCAGGGCCCACAGCTCGTACAGACCAGGCACCACAACGCACTGACAGAACGGCTCTACAAAATCCCCGGATCCATGCTGTAAATCTTCGAGCCACAGTCCAGGACTGACTCGCCTGCGTCCGACATCCCAAATCAATCTGTCGAACACCTCCGGACGTTGAACGTTGAACAGCGACTCGTCTGAACACCACAGACGTGTCTGAACAGGGAAGCAAGTCAGACTAATACTCAGGACTGCCCGGCGTCCGACAATAAACGCTTCCCCAGTCTGAATCCTTGAGCTTCCGACCACGTTGTTTGATAGCCAGCCAAGTAGGATGCTTCTTCGACTTCAAAGTTTGACTGGATCTTCTCACCGCCCAATCAAAAGTTTAACTCCCGGGATTCGAAACACACGCGCTCGGCTGACCCAATGGGACCCAAAGGTGAGTCTAGTAGCTTCTTAAATCCCTCATGACGCCCTTACGATGCTTCTAGTGGGTGGTGCCCACCTGAGATACCCATCTTATCCTGCCTGAGTCGCGGAATTGGGCCCAGGCAGCCCCGCCTCCAAGCTCCAACTCAGCAAATATCACGGGCGCCTAATCTTCACCCAATCAAGAGGTCGAGACTGCTTCTATTGCCGTTGATCTGAGCCTTATTCCAGGCGGGGTAAGCAGCGTTTCCTATCAAACAGTCTAAAATTATCCTTTCTAGAAATCATGATTCGTTTGAAGTGACTCAATGACTGAAGATTGAATGCTGACGTCTGACAACCAGGCATCCTGCCTTCATCTGCACTGTTTGTTCCTTGCACGGACATGGATCATGCGTGCCGCCGTGTGCAAAAGGGGAAGCCTGAAAGCAGGAAGTTTGATATTCGACAGAAGGAAGCTTGTAATCGCGGATGTGGGTATGAGACTGGATAGAAGATCGAAGCCTTCAAGAAGTCCTCCTTCTTTTCCAAATTCTATAAAATCCGGTTGTATTGTTCACTAAACGGCCAGACACACCCGTCTTTCTTTCCTTCGCTTTTACAGCAATGCTTTCTTCTCGTCGTCTGTTATCACTTACCGCGTTGGCGGTGCTAGTCTCTGGTACGCCCCTTCACCCTACTCACCGCGTCCAGCGCGTCGCTAACACGTTTGGCAGGCGCCGTCGTCAACGTCGTCCCCCCAGCTCAACAAGGGGTTCCCAATTCGTTCGAGAACACCCTCGTAGTCGCGGGCACAGAGACCGACATCGAGACCATCGTCTCTACCGCCGAGATCGTCGACCAGAAGAGCGGCCCCGCCGTCGACGAAGAGCCCAACCACCCAATCGCAGAGACCGTCATCACTGCTGTCGATGGCGAATTGACGGAAGCTGGCATCTCAGGCTCGTCGTCGTCATCGTCTTCGCGACGATCCTTGACCTCAGTTCACAAGAAGCGAGGCATCGAGGATTACGAGATGGTCTTTGACGGGACAGGAACTAGCGCCGAAGCTCGAGACGCGTCTATCCAAGGAACCGCGTACCTGACGTTTACCCTCGTCAATAACGCGACGTACAACATCGAGGCGTGTCTCGATTTTTGCTCGTCCGTTCCTCAGTGTGGTAAGTCCATTCCTATAGATCTTTCAAGAATTCGTCTAATTCATAATAGTTTTCGCTAACTTGTACTACGAGTTCAACAACTACGGACTGGACTTTGAAGCACGCGAACAGTCCAACCTCAAGTGCGCGTTGTACGGAGACGTGCACACCGAGGCAGAGAAGACCAACTTTGGCAATCAGCAATCGTATCCGGAACCCGCTCCGTTGATTTACATCCAACAGAGTAGCGGCTGGGCTGCAAAGACTCTTGTAGAGCCTGAAGATCCTGAAGGCTACGAGCTTGTTTTCGGTCCCACCAATGGAGCCAATAACGCGCCAGGTGTACGTATATTCGCTGAGAGATAATATATACAACTGACGGTCTTCCAGTACATGGGCTTCGCGTTCCTGGATAAATACGACGTTGGTGCCTGCGCTCGCGAGTGCAACCAGCGCGGTGCAGACGGAAACGGTGGTGCATGCCAGTACTTCAACATCTGGCGTGCAGTGGTCAATGGAAACCCTACCACATACACCTGCAGCATGGTACGGCACCTCTATCCTCCACCCTAGCGAGCATAACCTTCTTCCTAACACGATCTACATCCAGTACTACATCCCCTCGGACGAATCCACCGCAGTGAACTACGGACAAGGCGACCTCCAAGTCACCTTCTCCCGCGGTTACAGACGCAAGAACTTCCTCCCTGACGGCGGATTCGAAGGGTACACTGCCTGCTCCTCCTTCTGCTACACCGAATCATACGCCAACTGGATCGGAACGAGCCCAAGCGGTGGATTCCAGGACGCCACGATCTTCCACTACCCGCCTTACGCCCACTCTGGGCACGGATCTGCTCTCCTCGGTAGCGCCACCGGACTTGACAACCTCCCCGGTGAACTCACTCCCGCCTCCCCATTGCAGACTGTCGCTGGGAAGAAATACCAGATTGCGTTCTTCCAGAATAGCGCCTTCTCTGGACCTACTTTACAAGTCGATGCTTTCGTCGAGGTCTTGTGGAATGGCCAAGTCGTGAGGAGGATTGAACCTGGCTTCAGCCAGTGGTCCTTCTATGCTGTGGAGGTTACAGCCGTTGGTGAAGATGTTCTCACTTTCCGTGGCGGAAAGGCACCTGCCTGGACCTTCCTCGATGATATCGCTGTTTGGCAACTCTGATGGACTGCCTACTATGCTTGTGTAGAGTCCCTGTGTATCATAAAGCTACCGCTTGTGCCCGTAATATTATTCACGTTCAATTTCTTGCGGTGTCACACTTCGGTGAACACACCTCGATAGACTGGGAGTCCAGAGCAAAAACAACACAAGAATAATGTAGGGAAAGTAGCTATAGCCCACCACGAGGGCTCTTGAGCTAGGTGGGCGACATTGGGTCTGTCGTGCAGCCCTCCTCGGGTTGTCACCTTCAGTCATGTACATATCCATCAAGACTCGCGATGAAGTGAGGGGAGGGGAAAGGATCGAGCCCCACTCTTCGTGGAAGGGGCCTGGTCCTTCTCCAGCTCTGCCCGCCACCAGTCAATCCAACGTACCCGAGTCGGACCAAGCCTTCTCATCCCTTGCATCACCCGAAGGCATTTAAACCTTGTTCTCCTAGTACAGAGATAGGCTCAATGTTTGGAGGAGGTATCCGACATATGACGGGTACCCTGATGATATACAATAGCTGGTGAGGTAATGGAGTACACAGCGACTAGCTGTAACAATCACTTGCAAAAAGTCCAAGTCCAGAAAATCGTCGGAAAACAAACTCAAAAGAAACAAAAGACCAAAAATCAGTACCCACGGAACATCTGCAATGAATTCCTCATCCTCAAAATCTGACCAGGCGTAAACGACTTCTGACAAACAGGATTCGAATAATCCATGAAGTTACCTAACAGTTACGGGTATACATTAGCTTCGCTTCCAACAACCAAAACATTTCAACTCACTCTTCAAATCGACTCCAGGCAAATGCGGGCACGAATCATGCGGGACACACTCAAAGTCAAACACATCGCTCTTCTCAGCCTGGGCGGGTGTATCATCCACAAAATCTCCCGGTCCATCACATCCTCCCTACACAACAAAACCGTACCCAGATCAACATGTGCCTCGCTTTAGAATACTTGTATGCAGTGCTTACCTCGAAAGTATGGTACAACCCAACCCAATGCCCAACCTCATGCGTCAAGTACCTTCCATCGTTCACGCCCTCAAAGGCACCACCATAAAACACCTTATGGTCCATCGTAACACCATCTCGATGCGGACCACCCAGCACCGGGCTGCCAATATCCGAATACAACCAAGGGAACGACGCGTACCCACTCGTCATATTGGAAAGCGGCAGCAACCTGAAGTTCACTCTTGTTAGCCTTTCTTCCATGTTATTGGTGAGGGTGGGGGACGTACGAAGTGGTAAACACATTAAGAGTCTCTGGACCGCCCGTTTTCAGTTTGAGCTTCATCTCGTCGGATATCCTGTCATCAAGAGTTCGGGAGTTGAGCAATGCACAAAATCCGCGTAGAACCTAGGAAAACGTACGGGTCGCCAAGTCCAACTTCCCAATACCACGTCGAGTTGACAATCCGATCGACTTGGGTAACTTCGAACGATACGCTCGCATCTCTAAAATCCTCGTTCAGAACCCTCATCTGGGCTTCAACATCTTCTTTCCTACATCGTCCTTTAAATTCAGCATCCGATAGACGAGGAAGTAAGAATTGAAACCACGCACGAATTCCATCCTCCTTCGTACGTCATATTCGTCGCAATGATATGGAAATGGACCGGGATGGTAATGGCAGGGAACGACACAGTCGCATTGAATCCCGCCGCTTTAGCCTTCCGCATCGCACGATTAAGTTTCCGCTGGGCAGAACGGTCTTTCTTGTCATATGTCATCGGACAATTCGTCCTATAAACGCACACAACCCAATTAAATGCAACCGTTCCTTGAGAACGAACAAAAGCAAACGTACGCTAGACGAGGTCCAGTCCTAAGCCCTCCCCCAGAGTTAGAACCCAAGGCCTTATGGGAGTCTGCACTCCCTTTGTCGACATTCGAAGATAGCCCAGAGTTAGTGAATCGGAAAGACGGCGATGCATAACATCCCAGGATAACAGAGAGCGCCAGGCTCAACGCAAAAACCTGTCCATTAAACATGAGAGTTGAACGGGCGGTAGAAGTGGGGAAAGACCCTGCCCATGTCACCAGAGGTTGCTTTTATACGCACACACTCTGCCGTACGGCGTCGAATGAAATCCTCGTTTCGGAAGTGTACACCCGAGGGATCCCTGCAACGCGTCGTCATGAGTGCACATCCAGTGATGGGCGCTCATTAGTGGCGATACAACCACTCCCGAAAGCTGTATGCACCGTTAGGGAATTCAAGTCGATCCCCCTACGTGCTCTCTTCGTTACCATTATTATCCCAAGACCTCGCCTTCATGTACGAGGACACCCATAAGCTTCAGGATTAGCCCTGATCAGCGATGCTCTTTGGTCAAGAGGAAAAGAAGGTCAGTCCTCTCCGCAACGCACACGCATTGAAAAGCATGACCCACACCTTTGTTCAAGTTGCGAGCGTCCAGCGGGTATTCTCTTGCGCGGCCGCAGCAGCGCTTGAAAGCAGGTATGTCTGTCCAGGGACAAACACAGATCCAACCAACACCGTCGCCGGTGGGCCTCAAGAATGAACAGAATACAATTGTCGCTACAAATACAAACTTTGTGGATTCATCCGAATCGTGTCTTCATATGCCTCCCGTGTACCATACCACTCTGCTCCCCGAAGCAGCACGCCCCCATTTAGATCTCCGAGGAACCCCATATCCCTCAAATCTTCTCAAAGACATACAAATACGCCAGCCGCTTCAAATCCCTCACACTCTCCGCATCCGCCTTCACAACCTTTTCGTCATTGAAAAGCACCCATTGATCATCCGACACCCTAATATGTGCGACATAGTGTCCCGAATGGACTGAAGGACCTTTATGCGAGATGAAAGCCTTGAGTTTGTAACGTGCGGGAACAGCGGTCGATCCTGGAAGAGTAGGAGGTGCAGACGACGTCGAAGGAGCAGGAGCAGCTTCCTCGCCGGTGTCATCAGGATGATTGAACAACCATTCAACCGCCCGTTCAGCATTACCAGACTGCACGAACATTTGGTCAGCCAAAACCTCATTTAAGAAAAGAACGTGAACGCACCGTCTCTCGTAAGGCCTTCTTCGCCTGGGCAGGGGTGAAACCCATATCCGCCAGCATCGCTACCTGTTCAGGCGAGGGTTCAGGCCCTGCACTCGATCCTCCAGGTCCCGGGATTGGAATAGGGTCATCGATGTCAGGATCCTCCATGTGGGCGAACAACCATTCCATCGCAGCTTCAGGATCGCTGTTTCCTGTCGCAAGTAGCGCCTTCTGGCACCGAACAGTGGGGAAGCCCATGCCTTCGAGCTGAGCCATCGCTGCAGCGTTAAATTCGGGTAGTCCTGGCGCGGCTTCCGCTGCTTCGGCCGGGAACTCCTCTTCTCCTGGTTGAAGACCTTGTCCAAGGTGATTCTGGTTGAATTCAAGGACATCGTTTTCGGGGAGAATAATGGGAATGTCTGGACAAATCGATTGACGCGACGATCATCGAATGCTGGCGGAGGAACATACCGAGCTTGGTTGGTACCCAGTTCACGAGTTGGAACTTCTTGGCATGCACGACGAGTGTTTCGGGGAACGAGGCAAACTTGGTCTGCCTGGAATGAAGAATTAGTTGCCAGCTTTGATACGGGCGATGGATACTCACTTGAGAGCGTGAACGTTCTTCTGACATGAGGGGCAAGAATATTCAAGTGCTTCGGGGCTCAATAGGGCATCCAGGCAGGAGGTGAGGAGCACATCTTCGTACTCAATCTTGCCCTCCGCGTCTTTGCTCTTCTCTTTGGCCGGTACAGCGACGCTGACAGAGTCCATGGTATCGTTGCGGTATCGGACCTTCTTGCAGTCGTTGCATTGCAGGCGTTGTTCCAAAGCGTAGGAGAAGATGGTAGTGGCGTCTGCGAGTCGTCAGCATAATTCACAGGGAAGTCATCGATCACATACCTTGCTCTGAACGATCCTTGAATTTATGCATGTCTCTTCTCAAGACCGTCAGCAAATGAGTGAAGAACTCTTCCGAGTCCTGCTGCTTCATCGTTGAGAACTCTTCGTGACCCTTGCCAATCAGAGTTTTGAAGCCTGCTGGCCTGATGCCAGTCTGGAAGACGGGTGTAGGGGAAGCGTGTTGGAGTGGATCAGATGAAGACACGGTCGGAGTTTGATGTGGTGAAGCAGCATAGTTGGCGGGATGAGAGTAGCGTCCGCTGAGCAAGCCGTCGGCAACCTTGTGCATCTGACACTCGACGCAGTCGGCAGGCAGGGACACAGTGCAGGCTCTGGCGTGGTTCACAGCAAGGTCGTTGTACCGTTTCTGGAAGGCCGGTAGCGAGAAGATGGTTTGAAGGACCGACGCCATGTAGCAGCTGTTGCCCAGGTTTGCCAGACCTGTGAGGCCAGGACCAAATACCGGCTCCAAGGCTTGCCCATCTTCGCCAACGAGAGAGAAATCGTACTTGAGATTGTGTTCGATCTGTAGCTCTGTCATGCTCTTCTCGGTCTTGGTGAGGGTTTGTACGTTAATTCCGAAAGTCGACAAATGGCGAGCGAGTTCAGGGTCCTGTTTAGCGTCGTTACAAACGTAGCAGTAGATGTCTGTTGAAACGCTTTAGTAAATATGAGACCACGATAGCAGAATGCCATACCTGCCTCGCCTTCAGCCGTGATCGTTCCAAGCTTGACGCTGACAGCATGTCCAGTCGATTCGAAATGAGCGAGACCATGTCCGTTTCCTCCCAGCCCTCCATACTGTTGTCGCCCACAACCGAGCGAGCCGCAGGTCAAACAAAGCCAAAGATTCTCCTTCAAGTCGCACGCGTTACAGTGAGCTAGGCCTGTGTAAATGAATCAGTACGATGTCTAAAATGAAGACATCCGGTGCAGCATCCAGGGCCATGTAAATCTCTGGTTACGCACGTCGTTCATGACGTAGGGCCTAGCATAAGCAAGACCACGCGCGCAAATGGCGACATGGGAGAGCGTGCCACAATCGTAGCCAAGCTACGGAGTGAACGAAATGGCAACGTACCCGACTGTGGAATTGGTCCTGTCTGGAGCTGTTCCAACGTCAAGGTGTGCTCGCAAGGAACTATTTCTTCTTCCCAGGCCTTGACTTCTGACTGCCGCGCCGACGATAGCGATTGCAGAACGCCGTCGACTAGTGATTTAACCTAAAGCCCTGATAAGCCAGAGTCTCGACAACCTAGAGAACACATACTCCTGGATTGCTCGACGCCTCTGGAACTTCGAGACCTTTTTCACGATCGCAAAGCCAGCACTTCACGACGGTAAACTGATCATACTTGTCTTCTTCCCGCTCTTCAACGATCGCCAGTTTGGTCATCTTTGCGGGTGGTTCTTCGCTTTCAGCGCGCTGCGCCGATGGCTTCACCTTTCGCTTGATGTTCAAGGTAAACTTGTGCCCGCTCTTCTGGACATGGTTCTGGGCGTGTCTGCGCTCGTTATCGAGGCACCCGCCATTGAAGCAGACGAGGCAGACGTCGATGCCGGCTGGTAAATCCTAGAATCTCGTCAATGACTGGGACGAAAGCAATTTGGACGTTGATCTCGTACCTGATTGTCAAAGCATTGTGTGCATTCTTCCCTGTGCACTGCCTGAGACAGTCTGGGTGGCGGTAACGTCGAGATCGTGTCGATATGTGAGCACGACATGGTGGTCGATGAGCAAGAACGGTTCGCGGCGGGGCTCCAAATCGCGAGGCGCGCTAAGCGCCGAGTCACGCGACGTCGGGATTTCAAATGTGGAAAGCCCGACGGGAATTTGCCGAAATCTTTCTTTCGTGGCAACCACCACGGCGATGAGGTCGACGGCGACTGCGGCGACGAGCGCGATGTCCACACCCTTCAATTTCGGATTACATGCGCCATAGAAAACAGTAACTATATGTCGAAGAATAAAAACTAGGCCAATCTTCGGAATGGCATCGTTCAGACCCCTGCTCGACGAAGGCGGCGGCGATGACGCGTTTTGAAGGCCTTATGAGCCCCTTCCTGGTGTGGAATATTAACCGAAACGGTAGCGCAGACGACATGTGGTTCTGCTGAGGGCGGGCATCTTCGACGGCGACTGGCCCGGGACAGCGACAGGGCTATTGGGCGACCGTCGGGGTGTCGGTGCCTTTGACAGTGACTTGCAAGTAATCCCTTACTGTGTTAGGTGCGTAGACCCCTATATCGAAGTGAGTGAATGCTAACAGACGACAGGCGCTCTCCAGGCTGCATTTGCATTTGTCCCTGGCGATGAGCAAAGGCCACACCCATTCAGAGTGTCATCTGACCAATAGCCGTGGTCAGACTAGTCCAGTCTCTGCCTACAAGGCGATTCGGTGTCAGAACATAAACGTTGCACCAATCCTGGGCTTATTTGCTACTTTACAGTGCCTGAGCAGGTTTATCGGGGCCGTTGCGCGATATTGAACATATGTACGTCCTTGGGCTGCACATGGTGAACTCATCGCGGTCGCTGAACAATACTCCCTCAGGCTGAGCATACTTATGACGAAAACAAACGTTCCACACCGCCAAGAGGCGATGGAAAGTGCGGGCTAACTCGACCAATACCGTATGGAATAAGTATCAAGTGCCTGATAAAGAAGCCCGTCGAAAACGTTCGGCCAAGTTAGCCACGTTCTACAGCTCTATATCTCCCTGACCAATCACCAATCGAAAATCAACCTTTTATCACTCACAGCGACCTAATGGCTAACTGACGAGGAGAACAACTTCTAAGCCAGATAACAAGGTCAAGTGGACTATGTCCCACATGTCTCCTGATCTTCGCCGTCTTTACATGGGTCTGCATTTTCCTATTCCGACGAACGACAGTTCTAGCTCAGCTGTGGCATCAAAGTCGTAATTGCAGGGCACCGACAGGCGATATCGAAGATGGACCTTGGCGCCATGTGTGCGGACAAGCGCCAGTTGTCCATAGAACACCTCCCGCGTGGACCTCCCTGTCCAACAGTCCACATGATAACCCATCCCCTTCCCAAATTCTCGGAGTTTTTCCTTCACTTCTTGCCTTCCGAAATGATAATCCCGCTTCTGACTGCCCTCAGCACCCGCACGAGTGCGCCCTTCTTGTTGGACATACATACATTTGCGACGTTCGGTTTCGAGTCTCAAGGTCACGTTCTTCCTTTCCCCGGGGGATCTCTGTAGGGATATAAGGACCCGATGCCATTTGCAGAAACCTCCAGGGTTCTATTGTTCCCAGAGCTGCAATGGTCTCTTCCGCGCTCGTTGTCTTGTCCCTTCTCGGTTCGGCATTTGCCAAAGCCAATGACTGGCGCAAGCCCTGTCATGATGGTGTCTGCTACTATGGTACGTAGCCCTTATCAAAGCCAGACTTCACTGCTCATCATTTCTCCAGACTTACCTCGGACTGCCAATGGGCCCTCTGGTACATTGAAGATCGTACGTACACACCATCTCCTCGTATTCGCACTCTAACTGTATCCTCAAGTGGGGTAAACCCGACGCCATCGTCGACATCACATCCGCCGCCGGCTGGGAGGTCCTCAACTGCGACAAGAATGCCTTCGAACAGGATATTCGCATCGTTTGTACCGACAGATCCAAATGCAGACACCTGTATCGGAAGAGACCCATCGGGAGGATCGTCCGACTCCCCGAGAACGTAAGATCCCTCCATCAGGCCCTCGCCCCTTTGGAACGTGAATTGATCCCGACATCCAGTGTGGTCCCGCCGCCTTTGCGCATATCTCTTCTGAACGCGTCTCGGAGGACCAGTCGATCCCTGAGAGCATCGCCAGGCGTGTTAAACGTGATGGTGCGGACCCCGAGGTCAAGACCATCCACGTCGATACTCACTTCGACGCTCTTGACACTGAAGAGTGAGTTGCTTCCTTGTCCTTAGACATCAAAATACCTACGTATGAATCTGCTTCCAGGGTCGGCGAGGTCTACTTCGCGCTGACTGGCGTCAACGTTCCAGTTGATGAAGAACTCCCCATCACACCTGTGGCCTCCTTAGAAAGGCGAAGTGACATGCTCGAAGCCAGAGGATGGCTCGACAACATTGTCAAGGGTTGGTAATCTTACTCGACTCCTTCCATCACTCACAATTTCTGCCAATACAGCCATCAAGAAGCTCAACACAGTCGACGTCGAGAAATCCAAGAGCCTCGACATCGTGAACATCGACAAGCACTGGAACCTCCTCAACCGACAACTTTCCTGCCCACCAATCCAGGCTGGCATCTCCATCGACGCTGATGCCAAAGCCAAGGCTGCCGCTACCCTCGGTGTTGCAGCTGAGGGCACCATCATCCCTCCCAAGGTCACCGACTTCGCTGTGATTGCCAGTACGCCTTGATCCTCCTACCTCCTCACGCTGCGACTGACCCGCGCTTTACAGGTCTCACCGGCTACGTAGACGCAGGCCTCGACATCGCCGCAGGCGTCACCGGTAACGTCGACATTGGCAAAATCAAGCTCTTCGAAGTCGGCATCCCTGGGCTCTCCTTCCCCGGCATCCTCACCATCGGCCCCACCTTCCGCGTCGACGCAACCGCCACTGCCTTCCTCGACGTCGCAGCAGATATCAACGTCGGCCTCAGCTACACCCTCGAACAAGCCACCTTGGTCTTCCCAATTTCCTGGAAGGGAATGTTCACTGACTGGGTCGCCGCGTACAGCTGTACAACTCTCCATCGGAGGCGCAGCACGCGCCAACGGAGCCGTCGAAGCACACATCATCCCCAGCCTCAACATCGGTGTGGACGCCCTCGGTGGAGCAGCCAGCGCCAAAGTCTTCCTCGCCCTCGACGCCGCCGCCGGTCTCAACCTCCAATTCCAAGCTCGCGGCGACGCCGGCGTGATCATCGGCCGCGACGTTGACTCTGCCCCTGCCCCTGCTATCCGCGGCTCAGAACTCATCGGAGCCAACTACTTCAACCCCCGCCAAGTCTCTGGCGGCGCGAGCGCGAGCTACGATGGATGTTTCGAGATTTTCGCCGGGTTGGACGTGAACGCTGGAGCTGATGCGAACTTCTTTGGCTTGTTTAGTCCCAGCACGAGGGTTTCGCTTTACACCAAGGATTGGGAGTTGTACCAGAAGTGCTTCGGGAACGCGACGGGAATCGGGTTTGGTGTTGGAAGGAGATCGATTATGGAGTACGAACATGAGAAGCGGGCTCTCACTTGCCCTCTTCTCCCAGTTGGTGCTGGCCTCGAGCAGCTTTTGAACCAGAAGATTTCTGCCAATCAGTGAGTTGACGTGTGCTTGATGTATTCCTTCACGATATTGATGTTCTTGAACAGATTCAGGGCAGTCTAAGGAATCCATTCCGGTAGACCGATACCCAAATCCAATGTAAATATACGGAATGTGGCAAAAATCTTTCCTTCCTTTCCTACATTCTCAGGCCTGCCGAGGGACGGTCCGGGAGCTCGAGCATGGGCGCTTAACGTGTTCCGCGTCATCCAGGCCATTCAAATCGGAGGAGTCGCTCACTCAAGTCCAGCCCACGTGAGGTATGGTACGATCGAAAAACACAGTACTTATTCCGTACTAATAATACACAGATAAAACATTCGACCTATAGCTTTTCACGACCGACGCCTGCGTGACCGAAACGTACACACCCATTAGATCCTGAGACCGATGTTGACGTGGACCGCCTTGTTTTGAGTGTACCTGGAGAAACAGGTCAGGCAACGAGAGCGAGAATTCACAATTTGTCAGAGACAACGTACGTGTCGATGGCATATTGACCAAGTTCCCTTCCAATACCTGACTGCTTGTATCCACCGAAGGGCATTCCGACGTCGAATGGGACTGTAGAGTTGACCTGAAAGGAAAGGTTGATCAGGTTAATGTCTCGAATAGAGCTCGAGAGTGGGTGGATAGACGTACCGCGACTGAACCAGCTTCGAGAGCGTGCGCTACTCGGATGCCTCGCGAGATGTTCTCGGAGAAGACGTACGCTGCGAGTCCGTAGACAGTGTCGTTGGCCAACTCGATGACCTCTGTAAACCATCAGGTCAGAACCAGAATCGACAAGAATCACGAATGACAACTCGCCTTCCTCAGTCTTGAACTTGAAGACGGACGCAACAGGACCGAAGATCTCCTCTCGGGCAATCTTCATGTCCTTAGTAACACCAGTAAAGATGGTGGGCTGGATGAAGTATCCCTTATCACCATGCTTGTCTCCACCAACGATGGCAGTAGCGCCCTCCTTCTTGCCCGACTCGATGTACGAGAGGACTCGATCGAATTGCGTCTGGGAGACTTGAGGGCCGTGCTTCGTGCCCTCTGCGAATGGGTCGCCGGTGGCCTGTCCAAAGCCCTTGGCCACCGCGGCGAAGCTCTCAACGAACTTGTCGTAGATGCCTTCTTGGACGAAGATCCTTGATCCTGCTGTGCAGACTTGTCCTATAGATTCCGGTTATTTAATGCTTGCGATCATGGGCGCTAAAAGGCGATCTTACCCATGTTTGAGCTGTTCGAGGTTATCAAAATCAGTAATCAAAGTGATAACGATGACTGGTCACGCACTAGATACCGGCGGTAGTCCACTTGAGCGCTTGCTCAAAGTCGGCATCGTCGAAGATAATAGTAGGGCTCTTGCCTCCCAATTCGAGGGTGACAGGCTTGAGGTTTGAGTCCGCGGCAGCCTTCAAGATCCTTCGGCCGGTCAAGGTGCTTCCAGTGAAAGCGACCTTGTCGATATTAGGGTGCTCAGCGATGGCCGCACCAACGGTGTGGCCTGGGTGGCAAGTCCGACATGTCAACATTGAACAGCGAGCAATGTGGGGAGCGGCGGAACATACCATAGCCGTTGACAATGTTGACGACACCGGGAGGGAAACCAGCTTCGACGACCAAGTCGGCGAAGCGGAGGGCGGTCAAAGGTGTCACCTCAGATGGCTTGAGGACGACGGTGTTTCCGGTTGCAAGTGCGGGTGCGACCTTCCATGTCAACATTCCCTGTCCGACTTCAAGTCAGCTGCCGCTCATGGCTCCTTAAAACAGCCTATGTACCATAGGGAAGTTCCAGGGGATGATTTGACCCTATACGACATCAAGTCAGTACTGTTTCCCACTCGTATATGAAGGAAACTTACGCAAACGCCGTATGGCTCTCGCCTGACATAGTTGAGCTTCGTGTCTCCAGACTAATTTGGCTGATGTCAGCGCGGGGAGCGCAATAACAGAAGAAGAAACCTTACTTCGACAGTCGTTCCCTGGATCTTATCAGCCCAGCCAGCGTAGTACCTAAAGACTATGACGGCTCCACCGATATCCATAACCTTGGCATTGGCGTAAACCTTGCCTGTATATAGGACTGAGTATTTATAGAGATAGGAAGACTAAAGATAACTCACCAACGTCAAGGGACTCCAACGCAGCAAGCTCTTCAAGGTTCTTTTCGATAAGATCCGCGAGTTTGTTCAGGAGACGTGCACGCTCGGACCCAGATGCTTTCAATCCCCAGGTGGTCTTGTAGGCCTGTCATAGAGTATCACGTAGATTTAAGATGCCGCCGGCGTCAGCAATGCCATTCACATCATAACGGATCCCCCGCGAAACCTGACAGAAGCACACACAGACCTTTCTGGCAGCAGCAACAGCTTTATCGACATCAGCCTTGGTACCAATCGCGACCTTGGTGATCACTTCGCCGGTAGCTTCGATGATGAAGCGAATGGTGATAGTGATAAGAAGTAGATGGGAGGGAGATGTCAGCTCGGGTCGTCCAAATGGTATCCTTTGATCATGGGAGACTTTGGGTCAAGTGAACGCTACTAACCAGGGTTGACGATGCTACGGATGTACGTTAGCGTCGTTCAAGACAGACAGAAAGGTGGGCTCAACGTACTCAATCTCGTCACCTTGAACAGGATCAACCCATTCTCCGTTGATGAACAACCTGCAGAGCACAGTCGAAATAGTATTAGCCAAAATCTCGGTGAGCGCTGGGCGTTACGAACCCAGTGCTAATCGTGGAAGAGCCCTTGTAGGCCTGGGTATCAAACTTGTGAGTGTAGGTCTTGGGCATCGCGACAGTGGTATTCGAATTCAGCAGTTGTGGAGAGTAAGGTGAGTGGGCGATGGTGCTAAACAAAGCACCGGGGGGTCTGATATTTAAGCAGTTTGGCGAGTGATCTAAAGCACCCGTTGCTTCTTCTCCTTTCTTGAAACCCCTTACATATCAGAAGTACTGTATAAATAATCCAATGATCGACTCCCAACCTGGGACGCGTGCATGGGGTGCTTCTTCCTCCCATTATGGCTTCTGATGGCGTATGCGATAGATAGGGGTCAGTTCACGATGCAGAAAGCGCCCATGTTCAGGCCGAGCTCCCATTTGCAATATGGAGGCTCGTAGATTGCGAGATAATCCCCTTCTCAATGGACAACCATAACTAAAGCTGTGAAGTCATCGAGGTATACCTTCGAATGAACCTCCCTTGCTACGTGATAGAGGGAGATAGTGGTCTGAGAGTAGCGCCGAAGTGGACGCGTCATGAACGTTGCATGAACGGCCGCCTTGCCTGGGTATCTCCTTGTATCTCCTTCCTTCCCAACGGTTATGTTGATTACATACACACTCTGGCCTTCATACCTCCAGTCTCTCGTCATAGATGCCCAATTACAACATGCCGCTCAGTCTGAACCACATACGCAAGCCCCGGGTCCATCAATAGCTCGTCTATTACTTCAAAGCGCAGCACGACGTTCACAGCTTTGCCAACCCAGAATCCACCTTGAGAGACTTGAAATTTGCCTTCTTCTTTGTCTTGGTAGCTTTAAGATTCTCCAAGATGTCCTGGAAGAGCAGCATGAGTTTCACATCCATCAGAGGGCAACTCGAGTACTCACATCCGTCATCAAAGCAGCAGCATTCCATGCACCCGTATACGCCAAATTCTCTGGGACACTACGAGGAAAAAAAAAAAAAAAAAACACGTCAACCTCTGCCGAATCCCCCAAAACCAAGCGACCAAACGTACCTATGGTCACGAGCGTGCGTAATGAGATGCTTCGTTCCCGAAACCGCCACGGGGCTCTTGCTCGCGATGTACTCCGCCAACTTCAACGCCTCCCTCACAACCTCGTCCTTTCCACCCTCCACGACCTTGCTGACCAGACCGATCTTCTCAGCCTCGGCAGCGGAGAAGTTGCGCGCAGTATAGGCGAGCTCGCGGATGAGAGATTGGTTGCCGGTGATCTTGGGGAGGTAGGCGAGGGTGCCGATGTCCGCTGCGAGGCCAATGTCTACTTCCTGCAGCACGCTCGACCGTTAATACTCAAGCAACAACGCGTAAAAGAGGGAGTACGCACCTTGATAGAGAAAGTCGTATTCGAAGCAGCGTAGCGGATGTCGCAGATCGAGGTCAAGTCCACACCCAGCCCAATGCACCAGCCGTGGATAGCAGCAATGACAGGGAACGGCGCTTGCTCGGGTTTGCCGATGGCCTCTTGGAACTCGAGAAGGGTCTTGCGCATGGCGAGGGAGGAGCGGGCGCCATCCCGGGACGTGTCGGCGCCGTCGCTACCCAAGACTCCCGCGTCGTTCACTGCAGCGTGAATGGCATTAGCTGGCGTTCAGAGAGCGGGATGAGAAGGGGAACGTACAGTCCAGCCCGGCGGTAAAGAATTTGGGGAAGGTGGATGAGACGACGGCTGCACGCACGTCGTAGCCGTCCTCGACGATGGTTTCGAAGAGGTTTCCGTAGGCCCTCCAGAACCTGGGATACGAGGTATATTAGCCATGTCTTGAAACCTCTGAAAGCACTTGGTTCGCAGACGCGTACTCGGTAGAGAAAGCGTTAACAGGAGCCCTACGAAAACCGGTAAATATTCCTCGTCCTCGCATTTTGAAACATCGCAACTGACCTGTTCAACTCAATGAGGAGAACATGAGGGACGGGCTCAGAGACCTTCAGCCACTTGCTCGAGTATTTCGACATTTCCGTTAGGTTGGAGGATGAATGTAGTGGTGCAGAGACAAGGGGTAGACGATCATCGTGGTCGTCGTTGCGGGGTAAGATATGGACGCCGACATACCGGCTATACAAACTGCCACATGATTTTGAATGGCCTGGACGATAGGGGTTGATGGGACCCAAATGGGAATAGGGGCACCCTGGGCTACTGGGAAGACGGGTCGAGTCTTGACTCTTGGTCTATCACTATCACTCCGTGTAGAATGGATTGAAAGCTAACGTAGAAGTCCTAGAACTGAGGGCGCGTACTTTAACACTCGCTAACCTAAATGGTCCCAAGACCATAATGCAAATGAAGTCGATAATGGAGGGGATACATCATACCTGCAGCACGGGGGAAATGCCTTTCCCTCCTATCTTTCCTCATTACGCGCAAATATCTACGGTCTTTCCTCAGTACTAGTATGTATAGGAACGTGCAGAGTTGTTAACCATATCGTATCCACACCATTCTTTTGGCGGCCGATGATATCCTCAGAACTGGTAGCGTCCAGCCTCAAGTCGGGAATCCACTGACTATCGTTGTCGCTGAACTTGTATCCGGGGAGCCGAGAAGGGCTGGATTATAGCCGTTCTGAGCTTGAAGCCTCGTCGAAATCGTTGTAGAAATCTCCCCAGGAATCTCGTACACGCCTTCGGGGCTCGACCGAGGTGTCCGAGACTCCCGAATCCGACTCGGGTCACATGCTCAAGCATCACGTGTCTCGATATTTTCTGCCGCGTACCGCTGAACGGCCAGAAGCCTCATTCCTTTTCCATCTCCCTCATTTTCCTCATTTCTAGACAACATGGCGGCCCCAAATGGCAGCGCAAACGCGCAAGAACCAGCTGTAGAGTTTAATACTCTCCCACCGGTCCTTGGAATCAATTTTGGAAACACTTACGCCTCGATTGCGGTCTATTCCAAGGTCAAATCTAATTAGCCACACAATCGAGACTGAGATCGCTGATTTGTTTCGTGGATTTTAGGACGGTTTGGCTGAAGCTATCGCCAATGAGGACGGTGAACGTCAGATAGCGTGTGCTATCTCGTTCCATGGCGAGGAAATCGTGAGTTTCTACTGAAATCTATGAAACGAAGTCCTGAAAGATTTTGCAATAGCATTATGGAACTGGTGCGATGCACCAGCTCGTCAAGAACTCGAAAAATACTATTCTTGGATTCAGGAATCTTATTGGAAAGAAGTGTGTTGTATATTTCTCTTCCAGGGTATTTTGACCAACGAAAGATCGTAGATTCTCTGAGATTTCCCAATCATCGTCGCCCATATCGGCGCCAGTTATCCAGCATCCTGATATCCCTGACGAGCCCGCGTACAAGGTCGAGATCTTGGCCCCTGCACCTTCACCGATCCCACCCAGCACCCAACCCTCCAATGTGAACACTCCTCTGGCCTCCAAAATCGGCACTCCCCGCTCAGAACCTGTCCCTGCTGAACGCATCTTGACCGTATCCGAGGTCACCACCATGTTCCTCGCAAACCTTCTCGAATCCGCAGAAGACTTCCTTGGAAAGAAGGTCCAAACCGCCGTCATGACCGTTCCCTCGTGGTTCACCGATGTCCAACGGGAAGCCCTCGAAAAAGCCGCATTGGCTGCGGGTATCCCCGTAAAGCAGTTGCTCGACGAGCCTGCTGCCGCAGCCGCCACCTCCACCACCAAGGAATGGAGCGAAGACCTCCCAGCTGACCGAACCCAGCTGGTGGTCGACGTCGGTGCATCAGGCACCTCCCTCTCGCTGCTCTCCATCCGCCAGGGCCTCAGCTACGTCCTGGCCTCATCCAACACCCCCGGAGCCGGCGCCGACCAGATCGACGACAGGCTCATCAAATTCTTCGCCGCCGATTTCACCAAGAAGACCAAAACCCCGCTCACCGTCGCGCCCTCGACCGAGGTCCAGGACCGCAGGGCAGAAGCGCGCCTCCGCCTCGCGATCGAGCACACCAAGCGCACGATCTCCGCTTCCCCAGGTGCCGCCACCTGCTCCGTCGAGTCCCTCAAGGACGGGCTCGACTACACCGGCTCGATCAACCGCATGCGGTTCGACATGGTGGCTAGCCCCGTCTACGGCGCCATCGCGGACGCCGTCATCTCCCTCCTCTCCGATGCAGGCGTCGACGCGCACGAAGTCGACGAAATCGTCTATGTCGGTGGTACCGCCTCCCTCCCTGGCCTCGACGAGCACATCATCCTCTCCGGCGGGTTCAACGAGGACGTCCAGACGCCCTTTGCGCGCGGGACTGTGACTGGCGGCGGTGTCGGTGACCCCACCACCGTCCTCGCCCGCGGCTGCGCGATCCAGGCCGCACTGATCAACGATCTCCCGCAGAACGAGGAGAGCGCCGAGGTCGTCGAAGCGTTCCACAAGCCCACCAAGGCGAACCAAGTCAAAGCCACCTCGCGCACGCTCGGCCTGCTCTTCCCCAGCAACGCCCCGGAGCACAGCGACCTCGGCGGCGTCTTTGTCCCCGTTGTGCAGAAGGAGACCGCGCTCCCCGTGCGCAGGACCGTCCAGTTTGCCGTTGGGGACTCGTCGAGGCGTGTGGCGTTTGAGGTTTGGGAGATCAAGGAGGGGATCAGGGTTGAGAAGATCAAGGGCGAGCCTTTGGAGGACGACGATGAGGATGAGGAGCCTGAGGAGACCGAGGTGAAGCACAAGATCACCAGCAAGGAGGTGCTGTTGGGTGCGCTGGAATTGGAGGCGTCCAAGGCGGTCGAGGTGCAGTTCGTCGTTGGTATTGATGGTCAGTTGGATGTCGAAGCGAGGAACGTGGGAGGAGAGAATGCTGAGCGGTTGCATGTGCCTGCGCCCTAAATTACACGACTAAAAGGTCCTTTCTACCACTTGCACTTTTGGATCTCACGAGTATTGTAGAGGTTGTACCACTTAGTATTAGAATGCATATCGTCCACTTCGATGTGTCGTACATTGAGATATACACTCACAGGCAGGGGTTTGAGCCCCATGCCAAACCTCATGCAGGTTTCGTCGTCGCGGGAATCTCGGTTATCTCGGTGATCGACGTTGATGGCGTTCATCGGACTGTGGACAATCCTGTAAGCTTCTCTTTCTCCTCCTGCCAACTCTCTTCCTCGGTCAACCGGATACCACAAAACACCCCATGCTCTCAAAACTCGGCTCCTTAAATCTGCAGCAAATAGGCGCCCTCAGCGTCTTTGGCTCGTACTTTGCGCTCATCGGATGGCTGGCCTCCGTCGTTTTTCGCAGTATCCAAGCAGCAAGCAGGGGCAACAGCAACAATGGCGCGGTGAAGAGTACAGGGAAGATACTGTTGTTTAGTTTCTTGACTCTAGGATCCTTTATGCACACGTGGTTCTGTGCGTAAATAGCACCCTTTGGGGGTCGAGAAACCACTGACGAGCTCGCGTTGTTGAAATGACTACTATCATGAATGTCGTGCAGACATGTTCAAGTTTATGTCCGTGAGTAGATCTTGGGTTTTGTCCTCCAAAGCCTCGCTGAAGCTCTGTCTATTAGTGGAGCTTCGCAGACTATGAATCTCACCACACGAAACTAGCCGACACCCTACTGGAACGCGTCGCGAATTGGTTGGTGAATACCGCATTGTTCGAGCAAGCGTGGACGCTCGTCTCGTTTGGCGGGATGAACTGGTGGTGGAGTGAGCAGCTTTGCCTGTTCACAGTTGGAGCTTGGACTGTTTTCTTATTCGATCAAGGTGAGCGCACACTCCATCCCTCAACGAATCCAAATTCCTTACAACAATTACCTTTCAGGCTCTCGATACAAAATCAAACACGTATGGGCGTACACTCTATTGGGTCAACTCGTCGCGATATCCGTAGCTTCAAACCTCTTCGTACTCGCCATCCTCGTCTCTCAACGCCCCGCAGACGAAGGCACAACGAAGCCCCAGCCAAACCCAAACTCTCACACTCGCACTCGCACACTCCCACCAGTCCTCTGGATAAGCGTCCTAGTGGCAATGGTGACCGTCTCCCTCAGTCCACTCACAGACAGTTCCTCGTTCCTACCCAACCTCCTCGCGATGCACGCCCTCATCACCATCCCCCTTTTCTTCACCTCTGACCCACCCACATCGCTTCCTCTGGACGCCAATTCGGTTTACCTCCTCGTCTTCCTTTCGTCTATCCCCGTCCGGTCTCGTAGTATCCTCGCTGCGCTGGGATCACTGCCTACGTTGGCGGCATCAGGACAGCCCGATACAACGCCGCTGGCGCTCTTTCGAGAAGCGTGGAAGACGCTGCATTGGAACCCTGCCCAGTCGTCGATTGGGTACGACGTGGTTTGGACGAGCGTATCGTTTGTGGCCTATGTGGCTCTGACCGATCCCGACCTCTTGAATGGGCGTAGCAGGTGGTACACCGTTCCCTACCTCGTTTTTGCCACACCTTTTGCGTCGGTGGGGGTTACGGCTCCATACGTTCTTCGACCGCAGTTGGAGGAGGGTGAGGACGATGAAGGTCTCAAGGAGGAGTGATGCGATTTGTCTTGTATGTTGTACTGTATTGGGTGTATTTGGTGTACTGATCTATGTATCTGGTGTAATGGGACCTGTGATCGAGCGAGAAGCATGGAATCCCGCGTCTCTGAAAGTATCTGGCTATTATCTTCTTTAGGCTTGCTTTCTTACGAATTCTCATGCTCATGAAACTGTTGAGTGCAGAGTGTTGCTCGCTTCCGGTGGGTGCTACTGAGCGTCCGGGATTCTCAATCACCTCTAGACAGACAAGAGACTATAGATACAAAGAAACACGAACATACATCGGAAGAACGAGGGCATTGTATCGTAAAAGTTCGTAACAGCCAGAGTACATAAACTAAATACAGTACGCAGACGTAAACACCAGACAATGACACAGGAGCACCATCATCTACCACCCCTCTCCAGGCCCTAACACAGCCTCCACCGCACTCCTCGCAAACTGCCTCATCTGCGGAACAGCGAACACACTCGAATCGAACGCATACTTCCTTCTCACCAAATCTATCGCACGCATCATACTCGCCACTCCAGGGTACGCACTGGCAGCCAGCTCCTGGCCCGAGCTCGCGCCATGTCCTACACTACTCCCACTACTCCGTACTCGCTGAAGCCTGTCCCCCAACGCGACCTCAGGCGCCTGCAACAGCAGATTATTAGTACCTCCCACCATGGTACTCGCACCCTCCGGCTCGGGCACCACATACGCCTGGAGGATGTACTTGGTGACATAGTGCACGTAGGCAGCGACGTACTCAGCCCTCGTCGACTCTTCGTACTCGCTCACGAGCCTCTCCCGATCCGTAAACGCCCCACACAGGATCGTGACAAACTCCATCCCCGCCATCCAAAACACGTCCTCATTGATCGTCTCGTCCAGTGCCAGAATCAGCGTTGCAGAGGTTGGGATTCCGGGGCTAGCGCCTGATTGTGATCCGGGCGTCCGCTCGTAAAACTCGAAAGGAAGAATGAGGAGCGGCTCTTTGCGCATGTGAGGATCCCATTGGATCTTGTCGTGTAGCGTCTCGTAAATGATATGTGCGGCGACGCCCCATATCTGGGCGCTCGAGAAGTAGAAAAGACCGATAGAGTCGTGGCGGCGTAATGCGATTTTGGCGTATACTCGGTGCTGGCAGTTCGTGACGCTGCCGGTGACTGGTGGGGGTGCGTTGGGTTCCGTTTCCTTCAATTCAGGAAGGGGGAGGGATTCGTCGACTTTTAGGCAGGCCTTCTCGTTGAGATTGACTGGGACGAATATTTCGTTTTCCAGCTTGTTGAGGGGGCTCTCAAGGCCATCGACGAGCTTGGACGAAGAACCAAAGGCCGCACTTTCAGACTGCGGTTCTGATGGTGATACCACTGTATCATAGGTGTCGTTTCGAGGGCGCTCCTTAACCCTCGACCCGGACGAGCTCGACGCAGTTGAAGGCTGGCGATGCAACGACACCTCCGAGCTAGGGAGAGGAATCAGCGCCTCCGGCCATACTTCCGACGTCCACTGATCTTCAACTTCCCGTACTTGCACGTCCGGCGAGAATCCGTTCTTTTCGTCCAGCCCAATCGAGTGGCTACACTGGGCACCTTGGAACTCAACGTCCGAGTCGGCGTCGGGAGCGTTGGTCCGCCTTTTTCTCTTGAACCTTGCGGGTACGGATTGGAGGTAGTCAAAGAGGCGTGTAAGCAGCTGCATCCAGGTACGCCGTTCAGGGAGCGGCACGACTTCGTTTTCGTAACCGGGGTTGTTGAGGGGTGTGACGTAGGCTTGGTTGGCCACGGTTATGATATACCCTTTCAGAAGATTTCCAAAGAAGAACGTTCCCTACACCCCACCCAAGATGAGTCCCTACACAGCAGAGACCTAGTAGATTTGAGACACTCACGATCAAGAACAGCACAACATACAAATGCGAAGATCTCGCACCAATATAAAACGCCAAAAACCCCGCCGCAATCGCGAGGAGGATAACAAGGGCCTGCCACGCCGGTATGACGGGGTTAATCGACACATGCTGTCCAACCGTCATCCTCCCAGGCGCCAAACTATTATTCGACACCCTCCGCCTCGCCAAATTCCCCGTGAACCACGTATTGTCCACGAGCATCCACGAATCCGCAAAGTTCCGCCTCGGGAGCTCGACGTACACCGACGTCCTTTGCCTTCCGAGCACCCACTGCGCGAGGAAGTGGCCTAAGGAGAGGACGGCTTGGCCACCGAGGAGCAGCGCCGACGCGCGCGCCTCCTGCCATCCCAATGGGTGTGTGGCGGCGAGGGTGAACCCGATGGGTACGATGGTGAAGAACGCGATGTAGGCGAAGATGATTAGGGAGTTTTGTTCGAGCGGCATGGAGGGTGTGAGCCAGTGCAGCTCGATCGCCCCTGCGCCCTTCGATATAAGCGCGTCCTCGCTCTCTTGGAAACGGACAAAGAGGTCTTTGGACCACGTCCCGTGTACCCCATCCCACGATTGCAGAATTAGCGCTCTAACGCGGGCCACAACTTCCCCCTGCTCCTTATACCCACCGGCATCTGAATCACCACACCTCCATTCCATCCTACCCGACAACGTGCTCATATGTATTGTATCAAGGAATTTCGCGAGTTCAGGAAAATCCAGTGCGCCCGAGTCTTCATCTCCTTTACTTTGTGACTCGGAGGAGACTGCAACAGAGAGGTCCCATCGCGCACGGATGACGGCGCTGGCAGCGATACCCGCGTTCCTCGTTTTATTGTGGCAGGTGAGCCCGCCGCGCTTGGAGAAGAGCGGGACGACGCCGTGCAGGCTCCCGCAGCCTAGTTCGGAGCAGGCATCGTAGATGTCGCTTTCGCCCGCCCCGAGGAGGTCTTTGATGGCGCCTAGGTTTGTTCCTGCGCGTCGAGGGGCGTCACATCAGATGTGGAAGGAAAGTTTAGAAGGGTTGGGCTCAGTCAGTCGAAATCGAATGGCAAGTAGAACGAGGACGGACAATGGACGCACCTTTGCACACCGTAGACATAACACCCAGCGCCCCAATCGGCGTCAGCGAGACCGCCAGGAGCTGCTTCTTGTTGCTAACATGGTTCGACAGGGACCGCGTCGCGTCCGCCCCGACGAGGGCAGCAAGAGGCGAGAACGAGGTGAAGGCTTCCGAGAAGAGCTGGCGCAGGTCGTCCTCGCCGATAAAATCCGCTGGGGCCATGATGCTTTTCAGATTTCAAATTTCAACGATGGGTATTACGAGCTACGAGAGCAGTGAGAGCGGGGGAGGGGGAGGGGAGGTATCATGGACAGTGTCGTGGCAGAACAGTGAAGTCACAAGGAAAGGGTATGGTTTTCATTAGAAAGTATTGGCTATGTAATTCCCTTGCGATGATCACCCTGTGATGGAAACTGTAAACTGGAATCATCTCGCTGGGTATACGGAACCTGTGCGGGAATGAATGTTGAATGAGGTGAGAGATAAGAAAGCTTGTGTGAAGTGTTGACGTGAGGGATGGAGCGTGCATCAGCAGACTAGCGCCTGTATGCCCTCGATAAGGGTTCGGGTGAGAGACCAGCGTCAAACCCACGGTGTTTCAGCCGGGCGCCCAACCTAATGACCGTCTCGCCAGGAGCACATCACTCTACACGTAGCACCTTGACATGATCGTGAGTTCCAACACCTTCAGGCGAGCTACTGCCAGTGAGGCCTCGGGAGTCTGAAGCTGCGTGGAATCGATAAGAAGTTTGGACCTGCCCCATTTGAGAATTTAAGCGCCCGTGACAACCATCGAGTCACACCTGTCGTCCGCGTCAGTTCGAATGTATTGCAATACATAGTCACGCACATAGCCATCAACGTTGCATCAAGCGTCACCGCGTCACCGTAGCATATCCTGGGCGGTCGGCCTCAGGCTGAGGCTGTCACCACCTTGACACCGACGTGTGACAACCACTTCCTGAGAACCTATTTAATACTTACTTAGTTGTAAAATTGTAAAACCGCCCGTGCCAGGCGCCTAATACCTAATTCAAATCCCCGAGTTGCGTCTTGAACGTGTTCGCTCTACATGAAAGCACACCGTGTCCGCTACTATGTACGGCTACCTCGGGGACACCTGGCTCGGGAGGCGTTTGAAGAGGCTATGGCACTGGACGCGATGGGGAAGGGCAACTGGGTAGCAGACTTGCGAGCTGTGATTTCGGAGCTGCCCTACTCGACGTCATTTCCGGACGCCCAGTCGGTGCGGGATGAGCAGATATGGTTGGATCTGACAAAGGACATCCGGACAGGGGCTGACAAATGGCTACACACGCTCCTCGAGGACAACGAACTGCTATACCTGCTACACGGGAGGAAGGAGCGAGTGGGATCGGGTGAAGTTAGAGTGGTGCGACGGTCTTTTGCGGGGGTACCTCAGAATCGGGAATCGAGACCACCGTGTGGCGCTCACCAAACTACTGGTCGCAAACCACACCCTTCGCTCGGTAACTGGTCGGTGGGCAGGCATACCACTAAACGAGCGGTGGTGCCGAATGTGTGGACAGGCGGAAGAGACACCCGAACACGTCCTATTGGAATGTCGTGGGGTCGCTGAGGTGATCACCCAGAGACAGAGGGTGCGACAGCTGCTAATGAACGTCTTGAAGCCAGACGATATGGAACGCATCCGAAGCGTGGGGAGCAGGGGCACCGACCAACTGCGCATTCTCATCAGCATCGACAAGGCCAGCGTGATAGTGGCACCCTTTGCGTACAAGGTCATGAAGACGGTTCGACAGGTAGCATCGTAACACACAAACTGCCGCATATATATATTCGAGTAAAATAGGAAGTATATGGGAGTATTTGTGACCCAAACACGGGAGAAATCGTGAATTAAAACTCCTCGGGTTGTCGGCTACTCTGGGATGGACATCGACTACCTACGGGCTGGCGACAGTCGCCCTTTGTCCCGACAACTTACTGGGCTGATGAGAGTTCTGGGAGTTCCTCTCTATTAGTCAGCCTGGGGGTTACGGTGCCCACGAGGCTGCTGGACCTTGGAAACACACACACACACACACCGGAAATGCTTACCCAAGAGTGTTATGTAATATATTTATGTAAGCCAGAACCCCTACGCCCGTGTACGAGCGCGAGCCCGCCGCTAGGCGGGCGCCAGCGAGTACACCGCGCCAGGAGGGCGAAGCCCGACCCTAACCACCGTACCCGTGCCTGCGGCACGGGCCAGCGAAGCTGGTTGTAGTGGAAAAGTAGCGCGTTGACAATACTAGTAACCCTGGCACTCCTGGATAGCGGCATGGTGTCATTCCCTCAACCCGACCTGGACCTAGGGAAACGAGGGTGAGTACCAATCGTCTGAACGAGGACGAAAAGTTGAAACGGAATTACTCGTATGTACTCACTTTTTCCACTTTCTAGCTCGTTGAGAATAAGTGCACAAGACAGGTGAAAATTAAATAAACCCTGTCGAATACAAAATAAAACGACGCAAATTGGCCTAGTAGGCACAAATGACAGATGAGAAGAAGATGATGTATAAAGTCTCATAATACTACCTCCAACTTTGTTAAGGAGCCCTCATGTCGTCCCTCAAACCCTCGTCCTCGTCGCAGCGATAGCGATCCAGTCTAATCGTATATCACATCCGAGAATTTAGTCCTATCGTACACCAAAATTTTCCTAGGTACCCAAAAATCAGAAATATGCTTCAGGATAGCAAAAGTACATCGAATCGGAAAGGGGGCGCACCTGCCACTGGTTGAGACGATGCATTTTGAAGCCCAGGATGGCAACTCGGGAGTCGAGGACGTTGGACTGATACCCGGTGAAGGGGTGGGAGGTTCAACAGGGTCGACGACGATGCTTTCATTCTCAGCTTCGACTCGGGTCCCACACACACCACGTGCATGATCACCACTGGCAGAGGTCGAAGTACAATCGGCAGAGCATGAACGCGGTACTACGTGCAGAGGGAAATTGGTCACGGTGTTCTCGGTGGGGAGTGTTTCCAATCGGTCAGATATGCGGTCTATTTCTGCCCGTTTGAAGAAGGTCCAAAGGCGATGTTCTGTATTCGAGTTTCGCGGTAGGTATGGATAAGTCAGTCAGTCAGATCTCGACATCCATGAAGTTATTGAGTAGAAGTAAATGGACATACCGTGTTGGGCGCATGATAAATAATGAGTCTGACCATCCAGTTTGCGGAATCCCACCACTTTGACGTTCTCCCACTGGCGGACTGGGGGTGGGTTGGTGGCGTAGCCGAGTACGACCCTTCCTCCCAACACCCCTCTCTCCACGTCGAACCCAACTTGTCCCTTCCGAACTTGCTTCTGCTTCTGCGACGGTGCATCATGAAGATCATCCTTGGAGGGAGATGGTTTGGAAGCAAAGACGGAGCGGATTATATGCCCCAGCTCGTGAAGAAGACAGACGTGGAGAAAGAAGGTGAGTAAGCTAAATGAGAAGTTGGTTAGTACAATCTATGGCTTCGACTTAAAAGCTGAAGGATAAAACGCACGGTCTGTAGCTGGGATCATCGTATGGTGGTGACTCGGAGTTCCCGCCTGTAAGGGCGCGGTTGAGGGCGATGTAAAGGGCGACGTCGACAAAGATTGTATGCCTAATCTGTCGTCTATCTTGAAGAATTTCCGATTGGAATGGGGTCTCGTCGCCATCGGGGTTCTTATTAATATCAGAGTGGACGTCGCCGACGAACTTGATAACCGGGAAGTGCAGCATCAAGTACTCTCTGATCTCTCGGGAACGACGATCCACCAGATCCCAATCATCACCTTCATCATCGTTATCGAAGGAAACCAGTGTGAGTTCGCGCAGGACACTGGCGGTGAATATTAAGGTGGCGGCGAGGGTGTAGAAGAGGTTGTAGAGGGGATGGGGTTCGGTGAGTGTGATGGGCGCTTGTGTTGGGTTTTCGTGGACGATGACTGAGATTGGGATAACTGGAGGGGCGGGAATAAAGGGAGACATTGTGGTTTGCGGGTAGTTGGTTAGAGATCAAGGAAGAGGTCGGTGTTGGTTGTAGATGTCGGGTTACTCAGGATTGTCTCAGCCAGAGGCTCTACCTATGATGCAATGATCGAACACATTGAATCTTCGCTCCAATTTGAATGGGTAACTGGGAGCCCAACGCGTACGAAACCCACTGGGCTAGTACAGCACCAGGTGTGTTGCCGATGACAGAAACGACGAGGCTAACTTTCGTCCCGCGTTCAGATAGCGGGAGGTGGCCTATGACCACAACCAGGAATGCCCATCTAACATGTCACTTTGACAAGGTAAGCGTGCCATATAGCTAGGACTTTCGCGACTTCAACTGACCTATTCCATTTATACCCCAACCAGGCCATCATCCCCTTGTGCGATTTCGGTCAAGATCATGACCCCTCCCCTCGGACCCTGGTTTCGAAACGAAGGCCATAGATTAGGATTTTGGGAATCGGTGGGCTGGCTTGTGCGGGTTTTCGAGGTCACGCGGTTCTATGAGTTTTAGGGCTGGGCGATGTGCTCCAGACATCCAGTAGGTCAACAACGGAGACTAACGCGCTGTTGCGGTACGTTGACCCGATTCGTTGTTTGTCTATGTTATCATGAGAGGACCTTGCCGTTAGCGCTGGCTCGGAGTCTTCTTGTCTTCTCCCATCACCTCCTAGTCTGTTACGTGTTTCTCTCTGAATCCTTACCTTGCAAATTCAACTGGAATGGCTATGCGAGGGATCTCCTTAGCCCTAGAGTTCATCACCACTTTCAGCCATCATTTCAGAATTCCTGACAGTGACGATCTCGAAAAGGACGCCTTTGTACGTTGCATCCAGTCCGAGTGTTCGTATCAAAGTGATGCTGAATAGATGTCCTGCCGTCATATGGCATTCCTCGCTCTGCGATATGGCCCATGAAGGCGAGCCTCGATGACTTAATTCAGAGACGCCAAACTATCGGCAGAATTATCTGCATTTCTGCAGAAAGGCGGAGTAAACATGTCGATGACATTCAGTCAAGCGCTTCTTCGAAAGATAGCAATCTGTGCACGCTGACGACTTTCATCAATCCTCTGTCGATTTGCCTACCAACCAGCACAGGACGCCCACCGGGCGCGTGTGGACATTGATATTGAGCTCAATTGACCCCGTTGCCAACATAGCAGCAACGCGGCAACGACCAGTATAAAGTTCTCGAGATCAAGTTCTGGGTTTATTCAGTTTCGTCATTTCCCCCAGCTTTCCCTTCATCGTTCGTTCTTCTTGACGCCAGGCCCTCAGCGCCGCGTCTCTTTTTTTCTCTTCGTTCGCTCGTTCGATCGTTCCAGTCCATTCTTTTTCGACCCAGGCAGGTCATCAACGAGGCTCAGGCTAATTCGAAGCTGCAATGGCTTTTTCTACTTTCGTTTTTCTGACACTCCTTGGATCCGCTTATGCGGCCAATGATTGGAGCAAGCCGTGCCTGTCTGGAGAGTGTTTTTATGGTGCGTACATATCACCTCTCCAATTCCATCTTTCACTATACCTGACCCCTGCGTCTTCTATTCCATCAGATTTGCCCTCGTCTGATAACGGTCCTTCTGGTACTTTAAAGATTGTCAGTGTTCATCACCCCAACTAGAAAAATCTTCGTTACTAATACTAAACTTATGCGTCTCGTAGTGGGGTCCGTCGGACTCCATCTCTGATATTACAACTGCTGCTGGCTGGGAGATCATCGAATGCAAGAAGGACGCGCTTTCTCAGGATATCCGTCTTGTCTGCACTGGTGACGCCAAATGCGCGCATCTTTACAAGAGTATCGGCGCGGTAGGCAAGATCGTTCGATTGCCTGAAAGCGTGCGTTTTTAAACATTCTCTCTTCGAATCTACATAGCACCTTTTCTGACAGTTAGATGCTACGTGACACAGTGCGGATCCAACGCCTTTGCACACGTTTCTCGAGCTTGGGTTCCAGAAGACCAGTCGATTCCGGAGCACATCTCGAAACGTCTGGTGCGGCGGAATGGTGTACAGCCAGAGGTTAAAGCTCTACACCTCGATACCGATTTCGGTGCCCTCGACACGGCGAGAATTGGGACTGTATACTTTGCGTTGACTGGTGCTAATGTCCCTGGTGCTAAAGACGTCGTGGACTTCCCTTCTGCGAGGTCGAAGCGGAACATCTTTAAGAAAGCCAAGAATTTTGTGAAGAATGCTGCCAGCAAGGTCAAGGAGACCACTACCAAGGTCGTCGACACGGTCAAGGAGACTACGAACAAGGTCGTCGACGCCGTCGTGGATAGTAAGTTGGAGGAGCATCACTAAGTTCCCCACATTCAAGTCCAAGTTCTAAATTCCGGTCTCTTCTCTTTGCAGAAGTCGAAGATGTCAACACGGTTGAAGTGGACGAATCGACGACCCTCCCACCTCTCACACTCGACAAGACGTTCACCCTTGTGGACCAGCAGCTGACCTGCCCACCGCTTGACGGTCGCTTGAAGATTGACGTTGATGCGAAGGCGAGGGCTGTTGCCACCATCGGCGTTGCGGCGGAGGGAACCATCGTTCCACCGAGGATTACTGATTTTGCTGTGATTACCAGTGCGTTTTTTTTTTTTGTTTCATTGGGATGGTGCGGTGGGTAGATGCTGACGGATGGGTGTTGTACTTGTAGCGCTGGACGGCCAGATCGATGGTGCGGTTGATCTTTCGGCTGGTCTCACTGGATCGATCGATTCTGGGAAGATCAAGCTTGTCGAGCTGGGTATTCCAGGACTCGATTTCCCTGGGTGGGTTAACCTGTTGGAAGTCCTTTCGCATGCATATCTGACTCTAGGTTTAGAATCCTCACTATTGGACCCACCTTCCGAGTCGATGCTCAGGCTAATGCCCAACTCGACCTTAGCGCTGACGTTCAGGTTGGCATTAGCTACACTCTGAACAAGGCCACGCTTGTCTTCCCCTCCGATAGCAAGAAGGCTCAGGCGCAAGGCGGAGCGTTCAAGATTGGTGATACTCGTTCGTACTCCCACTCCTACTACTGGTGCTGTATCTGAACTCTGACCTCTGACATAATATTCTACGCACCCATTTAGCCCTCAAGCTCTCTGTAGTTCCATCCGTCAAAGCCACCGGCACAGTCGAAGCCCACCTCATCCCCAGCCTCAATCTCGGCATTTCGGCGCTTGGAGGGGTAGCGGATGCGAGGGTCTTTGTGGAGCTCGACGCTTCGGCTGCGATGAAGCTCGAGTTGGAGGGTCGTGCTGAGGCTGGTGTTACCGTCAACCGAGCTCCGGCTCAGCAACAACAGCCCCGTGCCATCGAAGCTCCTCCCGCGAAACGCGAAGTCGCCATCCGGGGATCCAATGCCCTCGGAAACGCGTACTTTGCCCGCCAGTTGTCCACCCAGACGAACGTCAGTGGAGGGTTTGGAGGCTGTTTTGAGATTTTGGCTGGGTTGGATGTTAATGCTGGCGCTGATGCGGAGTTTTTTGGGTTGTTTGATGCTGGAACTAAGGTGCCCTTGTTCAATAGGGACTTTGAGTTGTTCAAGGTACGTGGTGCATTACTAGTGTGTTTTGGCCGACGGGATTTGGCTGACTCCGAGGATTGTCGTTGTGAATATACAGAGGTGCTTTGGAAACCAGGCGCGGATTCAGAGGCGGGTAGTTGGTCGGTATGCTCGTGTTGTTGTCGCCCGCTCGTCTGTTGAGGGTGGGAGGTTAGAGAGGAGGTTGGAGTGCCCGGCTGGTGTGGAGCAGGAGGTGGCGCCTGAGCCGCTTGTGGATGAGGTCGTGCCCGCTGCTCAGTGAGTTCTTTCACTAATTATTATGAGGGGATATGGAATTTGATTACGGCTTCAGGATTAAAGCGCTTGCCTAGTTTTGCCCCGTGGGCTCAAGTTGTGATACCCCAGTACCGCATATTCTGTAGTTGTAATATGATACCGTTTCGCTCGTTCGAAGGTCGTCGAAAGTACAAGGAAGTTGAAAATACACAACGGAGGCGCTAGTCTTCTTTATCTACCATCTCAGGAGGTGTAACGCCCCTCACCTCTCCCGTCGCAAGCTCCCTCCTCCCCTCCCTCAAAACCTCCTCTCCCTCCTTCACTCTCCCACCCCCATCCCTCCTCCTAAGCTCCCCCATCCACGCCTTAAACACCCTATTCGTTCCATGTAGACTATCCAACAGCCCCGTCGGGCCGTAATTCTCGGTATAGAAAAAGTGATGCCAGTCGTGCTGGAGGGCGTTGTTGTTGAAGGGGAGGTTGTAGCCGCTGTGGCTGGAGAGGGTGGCGAGCTCGAGGGAGGAGAAGAACATTATCATTAGAGACCAGTGTGCCTTTAGGAGGGAGATCCCGAGGATTATGGGGAGGATGTTGGAGAAGAGGTGTTCGGTTAGGGTGCAGTAGGTTGAGGCGAAGGCGACTGGGGCTACGAATTCTGAAAGGGATTTATGAGTCGGTTGTTGAGGGGGGATGGGATGGGAGAGTGGGGCTTACCGTGATGCATTTTGTGGAAGCGCTTGTAGAAGATGGGAGCATGCAGGGTACGGTGGACGTAGAAGAATCCGATTTCTTCGCATGCGAGGCAGAAGATGTAGGTCCAGATTGTTTCGAGGGTTCCGGGTAGTGGGAAGCCGGTTGGGAGAGGGCTTATATACGCGTTTAGGATGCTTAATGGGAGCGCTACGAGGAGCTGCGACGCAAAGTAGATCAGTGAATATCCTGGGAGAACAGCATACATAATAATCAAAGCATATGCCCACCTGGTTCCTCGCAACGACCCACATAATCTTCTTATAATCCCCCCACGAAACATGCTGTGCGGGCTGGATCTTATACTGGTGCAAAAACCTGGGCTGGAAGAGGTCGCCCACCAAGAAGACCAACCCCCCAACCCAGTAGACGATGGAGGTTACGCCGAAGGACCAGTAGGCGTTGATTTGGAAGGGGGTGTAGTGGTGGTTTAGCCAGGAGTAGAAGTGCGTGCCGAGGGGGCTTTGGTTGAAGAGGGAGGTGAAGAGGATGATGAGGAGGATGGGTGTTAGGGGGCGCAGACCGGTGTTGAGCCGTGTTGAGATGTGTTCGGCCCATTTGTAGCCCTTGGGGTTGAGGCGGTTGGGAGGCGTGTCGGTGGACTTCAAGCCCATTGTCTTTGCGGTGTAGCCTGGGGTGAGGGAGGATGTGGTTGGGAAGAATGGATGTTATCCGGCGAGGAGTGACTGTGACATCGTTGTGTTGTGGTCTGAGCACGGGTGGGTCACTGGGTGCTCAGGTGGACAGGCGAATGACAGACCCGGGAGCAGTTGCTCACCGGGAAGGGAGCCCCACGGAGCCCCTGTACGTACTTCCAACCGACTCCGGTCCCGACCTTTTACATGCATAAGAGGAAGTAGTGCAAGCTCCGAGGCTGGAGCGGGTACACGCCAGGCATCCCGCCCTAGGGCAGTTCACCAGCAAGAGCGGCGCCCTGGGGGTCATCCGAAGGTCCCACTATGAGCCATGCCCCCCGGGATCCTCCCTGTGGGTTCCCGGTCGTTCCCCGTAGTTTCCTTGGCCCTCCCTGATCGTTCCCTGGGGAGCAGGGAACAGGCAGGGGATAGGGAAGGAAACTACGGGGAGGATCCTGGGAGAGAATTCCCGGGTGGTATGAAGGACTCGCATCCCCGGATAGGGAACATTCAATTCCCTGTCCGAGGTCAGTAGACTTGAAGTGGCCAGGTGTAGCACTTACAATCGGTTTCAATAGCGCTTAAAACTGCTCTCGCGTGTTCCTAGAGGTTCAACCGTGTTGTATAGGCACTATGGAAGCTACGGTTAGTCATTGCACTCGGGTATGTTCGTCCTAAGCTCGTTTCTATCGCATATGCCCCACTCCTTATTCCATGGGTCCGGAATCCTGGCTATCAGACTTTTGATGTTTGTGATGTCGGTGACGTCCGTTCCTTGCGCCTTCTTGTAGAAATGAATATTGAGTTTTGTTGAAATGCTCCCTGTGACATGACACTTGTTAATGACACCCAAGACGACTGTCTTTGGTTCGAATAGCTCGGGGATCCCATCTACTGCCGGAATCGAAATCGCGAGAAGGTAGGTCAATTGACCATAGAAGATCTGCTTCGTGAACTTGGCTGGCTTATTCTTGAAGCGCGCATTCATATCGACATCCAGTTCATACTAACGAAGTCATCAGAATGCGTAACATCGCTGAGACGAGAGCTGTCTACGCACCCGAATAAAAGTCGCATCGCGTCGGTCGTCGGTGTCTGAAGCCTTCACTAACTCATATGAAAGCATAGTGTCCCCGCCTTCGAGCCGCTTCAACTTTCCCCATTGCTCCACCATTGCGTGGTCGAGGATGAACAAAGCATCGTTGATAGTAATACCACCTTCGTCTGCTGGGTTGTCAGGAGAAAACCGCGTGACAAGAGCTGCAGCCACCGCCTTCTTGAGGCCACGAACTGAGGCTAGATCAAATGGTTTACGGGGATTTACAAGCCTGTATTTTGAATCTAAAGAAGCGGCAAAGAGAATAAATCACGCGAAGCGGACGCCGGGATTTTGGTGACTCACATTGCTTGTGGCTCGGGTTTGGAATCATGTAATCTGTCTTTTTCTTGGGGATTTTGAGCGTGATTCGGTCTTCCAGGTTATGAAGAGTTGTCAGGTACGAAAGCTGGGCATGCCCAAGTACCTGGTAGTCGAGATTGGCGAATGGAAAGCGACGGCTTTTGATGGTGCGTGCCAGCTTCCCGCAGAAGCGTTCCATTGGGAAAGCCCAATACACCCATGGTGGTCCCATCTTCTCGATCCCATCCGCAATGTGAAGGAGGCTATGAATTGTTAATGGGCACGCTGAAAGCCGTTCGCCTTGATACTGGTAGAAGAGCCTACAGGCAAGATTAGCCAGAGAGACAACCACATAAACACCAATGGACGTACTTCTCATATGTCCGAACCCATTCAATAAAGCCAGCCCTAATCTCGTTGATATCCTCTCGTGAAATCGTGAACTTGAGGCAGAGGTTGATGAGCTCAACCAGCTGGAGATAGTGGGCATAGAACTTGCGCTCGGGGAAGGCATTTCGAAGGTAAATGGGCCCATTCCACAGCGCCCAAGTGCTGTACATGTCAGCGGTCACGCCTTTTCGGTCTTCGGAGAGGTTGCGAGGTCGAGCAGCGAATGCTGAAGGGATGGTGTCTCCGGATTTTGTCGTGGCCTCACCAATAGCCTCCCACACCTTCTTCTCAATGCGATAACCTTCACCGTCGTGTTTCAAATCCTTGAAATCGCCCGCAAGAAAGCTGATGTAGTTTTTCAGGGTGTTTTCGTAGCCAAGGTGCATGAAGTCGAGAGGGAAGGAATCGGGGAAGGAGAGGGATGGGACATGCGCAAGGATAGGAATACCTTTGATACCACACCCTTTCGAAAGTTCTTCCGCCTCCGCTTGGGTGCGCGCCTGTTGAACTGCTTTGCCTTGAGCAAGGAATTGGTCGTGCGTTCGGAGAGGAAGTTTGGTGGGATCGTAGTTGACTGTCCCATCAGCAGCGGGGGGGAATCCGCGTGGTCGCCGTAATGGAACATAGTATGTGGTCGTTCCTGGTTTGAGGACGCCTTCGATCTCGCACATGCGACAGGGGAAAACACCATTGTGCCCTTTCATCGACATCATCATGGCAACAGCAGGCATATCTCCCGACCCAAACATCGGATATGCCTTCAGAAGGAAGGACTCTTTTTTGATGGAATGGTACGCCTCTACTCCCACAGCGAGCTCAAAGAATTCCTCCACCAAAGGGTACAAGAACGAGTCAAAGTCCTTCGGCTTTTGGGGACCAGGGATGACACCGACGCAAATGAGATTCTCCATGTGAAAGCGGATGTCGGAGGGGAGATTGAGGTTGTAGAGGAGGATGGGCCAGCAGGTTTGTGTCCGCTTTTTAAAGGGCGCAAAGCCGTCGGTCGCAATACCAAGGGCGATGTCGGTGGCTTCCTCAAAGAACTTGTGGCCCAGCTCCTCCCCGCAGAGTGTGACCTTGGTTTTTACCAGGTTCTTGTAACGCTCTCCATCGTAGTAGTCCTCAATGTCGTCATCAGGGTTGTCGCGTCGGCTTTCCTGGTGTCGATGATTCATGAGCTTGGCCATCTCGGGATTAGCGTACAGTGCCTTGAGTCGGTCTGGGACAGGGATATATTTGAAGGTCTTCCGAGGATTGTTATTGGCGTTGTATCGGGCCTCCTGGCAGTAGGGACAGGATTCGAGATTCGCGTAAACTCCAATATATGCTATGCAAGAGTTGACGCAGCAGTCGTAGACGACAGGGGTGAATGTGAGAAGGTTGATATGCCGGCGAGCCTTCTTCCATTTGGGGATCCCATACTCTGGACAGAGAAAGCCGAGGTCGTCAAAAGCCCTATCGGTGATGTTGTGCTTTAGCTTGTAGGAATAGGCTCTCAGAAGCGCCTCATCCTGCTCTGAAAGATCTAGGACTGTCGTTCGGTTAGTTGCTGCTTGAGATGTGCAAATGTAACTGAGTACTCACGGTGTTCCGAGATCATCTTCTCAAATTTCTCGTTTGAGGTGCGCAAAGGGACCCCATCCTCGTCCACAATTGGGCGTGCTCCATATCCTTCAGGTTCGCCTTCAGTACCATCCTCCCACTGATCTTCATTGGAATTGCATGCCGCCTCCTCTTCTCCATCGCCATAAATGAACCCATCATCAGAGCCAACACCTTCCTCCTCCTCCTCCTCCTCCTCCTCAACGTAGTCCTCAACCCAGGCGCTTCGGAAATTCCGTTCAGTCTGCCACGACTCCAATGGACTCATAACTGATGGGTTCGACGGGCCAGCCAGAGGCGACGATGGTGTGTGCTGGGAGGTGTTTTGTTGTGGTGATCTCATGAGAGCATCGCTATCATGTAATTGTGGTTGTGGTGAGAACTGCGGTGGATGCTGGTTCGTTACTGGGGTGAGCCGCTCCTTTAACGCCTTAAACGCTACAGCTGTTGCCCTTCCAGCCTCTGCAGCCCGTCGCTTCAAAACCTTTGCCACTTTAGCCAGAAACGGAGGGTCCTGAGCACGTAGATGACGTCCTTCAGTTTTGGCTGTAACCATTCTTCTACAGCCACAGGAACATCGTGTCTTTGGGGGAGGTGCTTTTGCTTTTGATTTAACGGGTTTAGCAGTTGAGCGAGATGTCCGAGCCATAGAAAAAAAGCTTTGAGGGTATAGTTGATGTTGTAGAGCAACAAGGCATGCGCAGAAAGACGTGTCTGACCCGACGCGGTGGCGTGATGTGCTTTACAAATTAGGCAGTCACCAATTCCAAAGCTACATATATATTCAATTTCAGGGTGCAAGGAGTAATACATAATTCAAGGTACGAGACAACTGAACGAAAAGGGAAAGAAATACAAAGAGAGAGAGACAGAGAGAGATAATTTATCCAGGGTGTCGCTCGTTTAAAAGTTCGGGCATGAAGCAAGCGAGAAACTAATTATACTCGAGAAGACCTCGCAAGGAATTAGCGTGGTCTTCCAACACACCTGCCATTCCCTTGAGAGTCTTTATTTCAAGCTCCAGTAGTTGAAGGCGCATTGGGACGTAGCTGTCAACAGGCTGCATGACCAACGAAGTTGACAATGTGTTGATGGGAATTGGTGTTGGGCGGCCAGTGATAGGATGCTCCAGCGCACGTCGTTTGTTGGGAGGGAGCTCGAAGCCTGTATCAACATGAGGGGCTGGGGCGTTAGCTGATGGACCAGCGGTGAGACCACCATCGGACATGGGCTCGGCCTCCTAAGAATCCCAAGGGGTTAGTATAAAGAGAAAAGTCTTCTGGTCTGAACGTACCATCAAGGGTGGCGGGGCTTCGTCCAAATGTTCAGGCTCAGGGTTATCGCTCGGAAATAGTCCAAAGTTCTAAAGTAGAGTGAGAGGTTTCTCAGTAAGTCTAAAGCATGATATTTCTGAACGGAAACGTACCAGAAAAACTTCCTTTCCCTTTCCGTTGGCATCCTTCCAATGTGGCGGGGTTTGGGGTGGATTTTCTCGCCAGTGTTGGCGCCATACCTCTGGGATGCAGGTAAGAAATGACTGTTCTTGCGATTCAGCTTGAAGCGAGCTTGGCGATAGATGAGGTGGATTGGGCGGGGAAACTGGCATTGGCAATATAGCCTCGGGCTTTGCTGGGCTTGACAACGTCGGCCTGGGGGTTGGGTGTGAATGACGCTGCATGTGGGTGAGAACAAAGCGTTTGGAAAAGTGTCGCTACTACGCACCATGCTAGACGTGATGCGCACTTTCTCCCTGCGCTCCAGGAGCTCCGTATAAGTTATGTCCTTGAAACCCCACAATTCTTCGGCGGTCAGCGAGCGATACGACTTGCGGGGTTCTGCAGGGCTGATGGTGGGCTGAACATTGGATTTAGGCCGTGTTGACATGACTGCAGGGGTCGGCTCGATGGTGAAGGATGAAGGCGAGGATTGGGCGGGAAGCACTGGGAGTTCTCAACGGCATTCAAACCCAGCTACAACCCCGCAACTTTGGTAAGCCATGACTTGTGGATGATACTATCGGATATCCTTCAAAGCCTGGTTAGTGCTTGAGCGTTCGTAATTTAATCATTATGAACAACAGCACCAGTACACATTGGTGCAAGATTACACGCCTTTGGACGATGCCAGACAGGAGGAAGACCGTGGTGGAGCTATTAAAGGACGAAAACCTCATGTGAGCGCTTGGAGGGAAAAGCAGAGGGATGAGTTTTACAAAATAGATTCACGTACGTTGTACAAGCTGCACCTGTATCTCCACGCAACCAGAGGCAATATCCGAGCATAAACTGCGCTATCAAGCGCCTAGGGAGCGACATCAGTGCTGTGGTTCTGTATGCTGACGGGTACGACATATGTCGGCTCTCTGTGACTTCTGGGCTGCTCTGAATGCGATAAGGCAGTTGTTGAATGCTTCCCATTGGCAAAGCAACCTCGAGTGATGGATGGGCAAGAGACGAACTTTGGGAATGAAGGGGAGCGCTCTGGAGCGTAAAATTAGGAGGGAAGGCGGCGTCAGGCAGATAACAGTGTTCTGTGTCGATTCTGAGCAGCTGACAGCAATGTTCAGCACTTAGAGGAGGCTAGATAAGCGTTGAAGACGTTGGGAGGGAGAAAGGCATGCGTGGGAATGTTTCTTCAGGTTTCGAAGTGCTTATGTGCGTGGAGGCCACACCCTATGAGGTCCGTCGTATTCTAATGAAAGGTAACCATTAAGACAGGTAGTGCAGACACCAACCAGCATTTTTATGCAAAGAAAGTGAATGCCATGATGATACGTGAAGGCCGGACCAGACAACGCGGTTTGGCTCGATTTGTCTTCCACCGAACCAAATATGTCATCGACTGCTGACCGCACCGGTCCTTCAAGCTGACTCTGGACTCTGTTACCTTTTCCCCGCCACACCACACCGTCCCTGTGATGTCGTCCAAGTCTCGTCCCCGCCCAACGCCTATCGCTGTTTCAGCAAACGCCCCGCCAGTCCCAAAGCTCTCAAAACAAGCAGCAGCCAGGGTTTCTCGTGAGGTGGTATCAAAGCTTTCACTCTCAGCGTCCACCTCCTCGTCATCGACTTCGTCCTCTCAAGGTGCAAACGTACCGCCTTTGCCATCGCTCAAGAGAAAACTAGCTCCTGTCGTGAACACACCAGCTGCAGGTTCTAGCTCGCGTTCCACAGGTAAGTTCTCTCCATTTTGTTTCCATATTTGCTCATGTTGCTGGTGCTCTAGTTGCAAACAAAAAATCGCCCAATGGCATTGACAACGGTATGGATGAGGCTGAACGGACCTCTTACCTTCAGCGGATCCGAGAACTCGAGCAATGGAAAGAACAGCGACTAGGTACGTGATGTCGAGCATGTATGTTGTGACTGCACGCTAACTCATACCAGCCGTAGATGCCAAGGCCAATATTAAGGCTATTGAGCGTCCTTCTGGTCCTGCACGACGTAAATGGGATATTGGAGAAGCAATGGGTCTTCCCAAGGGGAGTGACGACCCGCTATACCGCAGCATGAATGTGAGTGTGATTCTCGTGCTTGGGCAATTACTCATTTTGTTTTAGAGAAAGCTTCTCGCCTTGCAGATCAAGTATGAGATTCCGCGAGGTGCTTCTTTGGCGAGGGGTGCATACGTTCAGCAGGTAGCGGACATTTTCACCGATATGCGTGACACTTTTCCCTATCTTTGCGAGGAGCGATTCCGTGATGGTTGGCCAATCTACGACATGCTCCAATTGAAATTGCAGGACCAACGCCAGTATGATCTCCAGCGGGACCGCCGCCTAGCAGCTCAGAGACGTCGAAGGGAGAACACCAGGGCTGCTTTAGCGAAGAGGAAGGAGAAGAAGGATCGTAAGCGGGAGGCAAAAAGGCAAGCATCTCCTCCCTCTTCTGCCAGTAGTAGCTCGGACTCGGACGACTCTCAGCTGGCAGTTCCATCAACGCCAATGGAAGACAGTACAGTGGTCACTCCCTCCACTTCCGTACCGGAAACGGATACCACTCCCGCACGAGAACAGGATAAGGCTGCAACTAACCACGAAGGGGGAAAGGACGATGAGGGTCATGCGTTTCTGCTATCGATTCTTGCGCAAATTGGTCCTGTCCTGGGCTTACATTTCCTTGGTATGTGTCGCTTTTTCTCCGTGTTTTATCTACTGACAAGCCGATTCTATGCCATAGATATGGTTCCGGACAGTAACATCAACTTCACGTACTCGACCTGGCCAAAATACGACGATGATTCCAAGGAGTTCTGGGAGCAGAGGGATGATGAGATTCACGAACAGCTATCGGATGCGAGCCTTACCTCTGATCCAAGATGGTGGCTTCAGGTTGTGAGTGAGCGGATTGTTGACGACGAAGATTTCGAAGCTTTTTGGCCTGGTAAGTATTTGACTATCACATGAATGAGATTCTGACGTCCTCCATAGTTTTCTATACCCAATTCTTGGAACTTGACGCCGACCCTCGTGACAACAGCAGCCCCGACTCTCCTGGCTCAGACGTCGACTCGCCCCTGGATCTTGGTGAGCTCTCTGATGTTCCCCCAAATCCATCCCCAAAGCCAAAGAAAGATCGCAAAGGAAAGGGTAAAGCGACGGTGAGTGCGCTGCGGAATACGCCGTGCGCTTCTACTGACAATAGAGCTTAGGACGTGAAGGTGGAAAAGCTTGTTCTACCCTCTCGACAGAACCCTGCGCGCACCTCCAAGCGCGCGTAAATTCTGATACAATACATTCATTACTCCTTTCATTCATTTTTCCGACTTCATACCATTCATTGATTTGTCCCAGTTTCATTTGCCTTTGTTTCCCTTCTATTGATCTGTCTAGACCTCTCGACACTGTCTAATGTACGCATATAAGCACATAATCAATACAGTATGGCTGTTCTCAATGGCTACATTTCACTATGCTCTCTAATGTGATCCGGGAATCCGAGTGGATTCCTTGCTTGGGGTGCGGAATCCCCCCACAGAACCCCAGGAAGTTCCTATATGTCAGCCATGGAACCACTATATTAGATTCCCATTGAAAATGGAGGAGAATCCCTGCTTGAACCGAGGAATGTTCAACAGGAATACGGACAAATTGAGCGGGAACCTCCCTGCTCGTTCCTTGACCCTGAATCCTTGTTTGTTCCTGATCTTTGATAGGGAACACCGCGGAACATCCCTGTCCAATCCCTGCCTCAACCCGGGAGCTTCCCCGCCAGAAAGAGGGAATGTCGCCAGGGATCAGGCAGGGAGCGGACAGGGAGGTTCCCGGCGGGTTGGGTCCATAGTGTCCGGAAGTTGTATATCGCCGGGAAAGCAATGGAGACGATCTTCGCATTTTTGAGGATAGTGAGACATTGGGGGAGTTTGCTTGCTGAGGTGTATGGCGCGGATGAAATAGATCAGCGCATCTTAGATCATCTTTTAAGCGCCCGTCAACGCGGGAAATTAAACTTGTGTAAATGGTGGAATGATTGGTATCATGATCAGGCAAGCTGTAAGTGCGTCATCTCAATTTTTCATTGCCCTCAGCGCCAATTGGCGGATCTGATAAATGGATGTGCCAATTGGTTTCAAGCCACGTCCAGGATTGGTGGACTTCGACTATCAGGCGACTCATTTCGCTTAAGCCAAGCTGATCAACTGAAGCTGCTACGAAGGAGTAGAATGAGGATTATTCTATATCCATTCACGTCCTTTTAGTACATCCTTCGGCAAATGGTAAGTCTCTTCTAAGCTCCATTCAACTTGAAAATGTCCACGTTGCAATTGGACGAACAGCAGGGTTCGAAGGATAGGGGCGACCGTGGCGGTGTATCTCCACGTGATCCTCATCAATTCTGGGGAAACCCCGAATCCCAGCCGAACGCCAATTGCCCCGCCCTCAACAATCGTTTCTCTCTTCATCCACGACCACGACAGCAGCGGCGACGACCACAACGACGACACCGAAGACGACGACGACGCCGAAAACGTAGCCGTCGACAACGATGTCGGAATCTGTCTCAGAAACGTCCCGTATGTCGTTCTCGAACGTTCACTCTAAGTCCTCACTGACGAGATGCGCCCAAACCAGAACCTGTGGCTGAACAATTATACCATGTCAAGCTGCTCTCAGCGTTGAGAAGCGGTAAGTCATTGATTAAGTCAGTGCAGGACTTGTCTGACCACGAAATCCAGGCGAACCAGCTGCGATTCATTCACTTTTAACCGAAATTGGGAAAGACAGGCGTAAATCGGTCGATGGGGACATCGATACAGGCGCTGCAGCTCTACATCTGGCGGTCAGATGTGCATCCAGTATGTACGAAATCATTCGATGTGAATTCATTGCTGATTTCAATTGTTAGAGGAGACAATCGCGCTCTTGCTGGCACATAGAGCCATATCTCCCAATGGCGTTCACCCACCTGGGTCCGGAACTACACCGTTGCATCTCGCAGCCTCCTTGGGGAGACTAGATGCCGTCAATCTCCTCCTCGAACAAGAAAACATCGACGACAGCTTGCGAGACAGCAACGGAAAGACCTGCAGAGATGTGGCTAGGAATAAAGAGATTGTTCGGGCAATTGACGGTGAGTTTGAGCTTCCAAAGCCAACTGATTTCATCTTACAAAGTTTCAGACTCCCGTTCGTTCCTCAATGCGAGCTATCGATCGTTGTTGCACAGTTATATCCTTTCTCCACCCAACGACCCGCCGTCACAAGCTCTCATTGATCTCCTCGAGTCTCCCCGCGTCAAATTCGTAGATTTGTCTTATCTCGACAACGACAGTGGGTTCTCATTGCTGCATGAGGCAGCTAAGAGGAAGGATCTCCGGCTCATTGAACTGGCTGTGCGAGCTGGAGCCGACGTGTTCCTGAGAGACCGAAGAGGGAAAATGGCACACGAAGCTGCTGGGAAGGACGATCGAGTCAAGGTCTTCTTGCGTCAATGTGAGTCTGTAGTCGAATTATTAGTATGATGACTAACGTCGATCTAGTCGCGAACCACGACAAGACACTCATCCAAAGCAAAGCCCCTCCAACCGAAGCTCCTTCTCTTAGGGGATATCTGAACAAGTATGCCAACGTCGCGAAAGGATACAACACTCGTTGGTTTGTCCTCAAGAACGGTGTGCTTTCATGTGCGTTATCCGAGTCGCATTAAGGGTCCTAGACTCACATCCCCCTGCAGACTATCGGCATCAAGAAGACGAAACAGTGGCTAGCCGCGGGTCGATATCCATGAGGAACGCTGTCCTCAAGGTATCTGAAAAGACAAGGTTCGAGATTTCAACGGTGGGCTACTATGGAGGAACCGCCCAAAAATGGTACCTCAAGGCAAACCATCCCGTGGAGGCCCACAGATGGACGCAAGCCATCAACCAGAGTATCGAATGGGTTCGACAAGAAGCCGCTTCGTCTATCGATGAGCGTCGGAGACCCAGCGGAGAGAGTGACTCAAGCGGTGTTCGTTCCACCCCGTCCGTTCATTCGCACAACCCCGTCCCTCCAACCATGAAGAAATCCTTGCGTTCGCGGCTAAAGGATTCGATATCACTTACCGGGTCCAGCTCCAACGTTGATCTCAACGACCACAACGGCCCCAACCTAGCGCAGAATGAGGAGTCGGCGGTGAAGGATGACGAAGATGAAGACGAGGGCTCGTCCTCATCGCAGTCTGAGCGATCGGGGTCACCTCCCCACGAGAACTTCGAGCTCCACGGCAATGCCACCGTTGCCCAATTAGAGATCACCTCCCAACTTCTCGCCAAACACCTTGATGCGATTACCCCACATGACGAAGCCCACCTTGCTCTTAAACAATCACTCTCCTCGGTCCACGACATGCTTAACGAATATATCCAAATGGCGCGGGAGAGGGATGAATATTGGAGGAAGCAGCTGAAGAAGGAGAAGAAGAGGCAGAGCTTCTGGGAGGAGAGTCTCGCGACCGTGGTTCGAGAGGGTGAAAATCTTGAGCGGGAGCTCAGGGCACGGAGCAAGAGGAGAGGGAGCCGCACGTTCGGACCACTCGATACAGTCAAGTCACCCACTCGACCCGCTGCACTCAGTCTGGCCAAGCAGCCGTCTCCTGTCAACGAACAGACACCACCGGCGACCCCAGCAAAGGAAACCTCTACAACGTCCCCTACCACGGCCGTGCCCCCTGCCATCCCGCCGACCGCTGCGACACCCAGTTTCCCCGGTGATATCAAGACCCCTTCGCGAAGAGATACCATCGTGCCCAATGTTCCTCCACCTACATCTATAACCAGCGCTCCTTCCGATTCATCGGCCACGGAGCCTGCCTCTGAACCTCCTATCGATATAGACACCGACGAGGAAGACGAGTTCTTCGACGCCATCGAATCGAATAACCTGCCCAACCTTGTGGTGCCTGAAGGCCTTACAAGCCCTACGGTCTCGCAGGTTAATCTTCCGATTCCCTCGATTGAGCCGTATGCGGGCTACACCCGTTTCCGCGAGAGGTTGAGGCTGAACGCGGATGAGAGGCCGAGCATCAGTTTGTGGGCGGTGTTGAAGGGCAGTATTGGTAAAGATCTTACCAAGATTAGTTTGCCTGTGTTCTTTAACGAGCCTACGAGCATGTTGCAGCGGATGGTGAGTGTTGTGATGTTTCTTTTTGCTTGCGGTTGGTAGTGCTGACTCCCTGCTCTCTTAGGCTGAGGATATGGAGTTCTCAGAGTGCTGTGCGTTGTCTATCATGTTGCGAGATGATGTGCGCTTACTGACTGTTACTCTTAGTGGATATTGCTGCTACCGAGAAAGATCCCCTTCGACGAATCGCCTACGTTGCCGCATTCGCCATGTCCAACTATTCGTCTACGCTCGGTCGTATCGCCAAACCTTTCAACCCCATGCTGGTTTGTGATGTCATCTCCCTCGATCTCCTTGCGCTTTTTGACACGCCTTTCAGAGCGAGACGTTCGAATACGTGCGGCTGGATCGAAAATATCGCTACGTCTCTGAGCAAGTGAGCCACCACCCACCGATTTCAGCGTGCTGGGCGGAGTCTCCTCTGTGGCACTACTATGGCGAGGTCGACGCTCAGAACAAGTTCTTGGGCAAGTCGTTCGAAGTTAGACCCACTGGCATCGCCCATGCGGATCTCCTGCTCCCCGAGGAGCAGTACCCACACTACCCCAAGGCGACTGGGCCAGGCGAGAAGGGCAAGGTTGTAGAGCATTATAGCTGGAAGAAGGTCACGACGAGCATCTCGGGATTCATCCTTGGTTCTCCTACCATTGATCATTACGGTGACCTAGTGGTATGTGACAAGTTTAATTGAAGGCGTTGGGATGCTGACATATTTTCTAGGTGACGAATCACCGTACGGGAGACCAGTGCATTCTCACCTTCAAGCCGAGAGGCTGGAGAGCCAAAGACTCTTACGAGATCTCTGGGCAAGTTATCTCCTCCAAGGGCAGGGTCGCGTACGAAATCGCGGGACGATGGACGTCGCAGCTCATCATGAAGCAAGTGGGTGTTGGTGGCGCCACGCTCCACCCCGACCTCACCGTGGCCGGGCCCAACTCACCGTCCGCTTCACCCGAGTACATCCTCCTCTGGCGAAACTCGGAGAAGCCCACTGGCAGCCCGTTCAACCTCACGCCGTTCGCGATTACTTTGAACCACTGCCCCCTCGACACGCTCAAGCCGTTCCTCTGCCCCACGGACTGCAGGCTGCGTGTGGACCAGCGTGCTTTCGAGCTTGGGTTGTACGAGTTGGCGAATAAGCTGAAGCATGAGCAGGAGGAGAAGCAGCGCGCGATCCGGAGGGCGAGGGAGGCGGGGCAGATGGAGCCTCACAAGCCGCGGTGGTTCATCGCTGAGACGGAGCCTGATACGGGGGAGAGGGTGTGGAACCCGTACCGAGCGGAGGATAATACGGTGGAGTATTGGAAGGAGAGGGAGAAGGTTTGGGCGCAGGGAGGGAATGCGCCTTGGAAGGATGTGGATGATATTTTCATTGAGGAGCCGAGTGAGATTACGAGGCTTATGGAGCAGGAGCAGGAGACGTCGTAGAGACCTTTGTTCAACACGGGGTTGTGTCGTGTATGTATATGTACATTCTTTTTTCTGTTGTCTTTCTTTTGTTTTTTATTTTCATTCAGTTATATCCCCTACCCGCCTTGTTCGCTACATGTTTCGCCATTTCTAGCTTTTCGTCTCGATGGTTTTAATTGGTTGTACCGTTACTGTGTTCTTGATGGAATCATTTGGTCAGTAGACTATACAAATGGACATTACGCTGCTATTGGTTTCTACTGCTATCCACCTGGCCCCGTGTTTTCCTTCCCTCGTCCATGATTGTTCCTTCCTGTGATCGGCTGTGTTATGGCAGATTGGGACTGTTGGTGAGTCGTCTTTCTATTTGTACCATTGCGTATAGAATAATTTGACTTTTTAGCTTCAATGCCTCGTCAACGTTGCTGCAGTTCACGCTGGACAGGGTCGAGGACTCGGTCCACCAACCCCCTATCATTGGTGGTCTGGAGATCCAGGCGCCGTCAAATCTCCTATATCCAGGGGCACAGAAACGTCTATGGTGCTACCACTGACGAAGCTTTCCAATAGATTCGTCACCCTGAGTCGAAACATCCCCAGAGTGTGGAAACTGCGAATTGAAACAGGGTTGCGATAGTTCATAAAAAGGACAACTGGCTTCCTCAATCCTCACAAACTTCTTTCACCTCAACCGACTCTTCCTCAACTAATTCCAACCTCCAACTTATCACCACTACCACACTTACCACACTTCTACAGGCCTTTGCATCATCATGCACTTCCCACTTTCTTTCATCATCGCAGCCCTCCCCTTCATCACCGTCTCGAGCGCGCAATCGGTGTCCGACTCCCAGTCTGTAACCTCCCAGTCCCAATCGCAATCCCAGTCGCAGTCAGCTTCTTCCAGCTCCCCTTCATCCAGTGGAACCCCTGCTGGAGGAGGCGGAGGTAGCTCAGGGTCGTTTGACTTCCAAGAGTATTTGGCTTTCCTGAACCAGTCCGGCTACACGTCGCTCTCGAGTGCGCTTCAACAGGCCAGCCAGAACGATCAAGGTCGTCAATGGATCGATCAGCTCAGCCAGAACCGTTGGACTGTCTTCGCACCAACCAACGACGCCTGTAAGTGACTGCTCATTTGTACGGTTTCTTCGAGCTCATTGTCGTCGTAGTTTCCTCAGTCCCTCAGAACGTGTCAAGTGACCCAGCGACACTTTCTGATTACCTCGCCTACCACTACGTCTACGGAGACTTGCACAACGCCACCAGCGGCGCTGTTGGTGGGGGTGCTGGCAATGGCGGTCAGCCGTCTACTGCTATGTCCACTGGTAGTCATACTGGCAGCTCTACTGGAACTGGCGCTGGCGCTGGAGGCTCTGCGTCTCAGACTGGAACAGGAGCGGGTGCTGGTGGATCCCCATCGCCGACTGGCACAGGTGCTGGCGGTGGAGGCTCTCCATCTGCGTCCGGATTCGCGTTGCATCACCTCTTCTCCCGACAAAATGGTGGCGACACGACGCATCCTGACCTCTATTCTGGTATTTATCCCAACGACACCATTGGTCGTACTGCCCTTCAGTATCGCCAGGGTGGCCACGTCCGCCTCGAGGGTAACAAGGATCAGGTCCTTGCATGGACGCGGTTCTCACCCAGCAACAATGTTACTATTCTCAACCAAAGGTTAGTACCACATCGATACTACTCCTACTTACTATTCTCATACTGACCTCACTTCAATCCTCAGGACTTCATCGAACCAGAATGTCACGGTTGGGAACAATACTCGATGGCGCAACTTGGACATTTACCAGATCAACGACGTCTTGATCCCTCCCGGCAACGTCTCGCAGGCAGTTCAGGCAGTTGGCGACTATCCCTTGCTGACCTTCGGCAACCAGGTCCAAGTTCCAGGTCCCAGCGGCTCTAACATTACTATCGTCCAAGCTTTGGAGAATACGCATGGCCTCACCCTCTTTGCTCCAGTCTCTTCCGCTTTCACTTCCCAGGCGAATCAGACCTTGCAGAGTCTGCAACAGAACAGCCCACAGCAGTTCCTCAATGGTGTCCACAACCATGTGCGTTTCTCTTCCTCCTCTACTCGCCATTTTCTGACCATCGTCTCCCGATGTAGTACATCAACGGCTCGACTGTCTACTCTCCTACTCTCCGAGAAGTCGCGGCAAGCGGTAACGGCGGTGCTCCGTACACCAGCGCCGGTGGCCAGTACTTCTCCTTTACGACCAACAATACCGGGCTGTACGTCAGCGTCGGCAACGACACAAACGCACGGGTCGTCATTCCCGACGTTCTTGTCGAGAACGGAGTTATCCACTTTATCGACACCGTCCTCTTCCAGACCAACGGCAATGATGAGGTCGCCAGCTCTGCTTTCGCTTCAGCCAGCGCTGCTGCCACCGAGTCCTCGACCGACACGCAGGCGATCATCTTCCCCGAACCTACCGGCTCCGCGCCCGGTGGTCAGTCCTCGGGAACGACGACGACATCGCAATCCTCTTCTACGCCGTCAAGCTTCCGTGTTCGAAGAGGTATTGCTGTCCTCTAAATTCCCGTCCGCTCCCTCTTATCATGTCTTCACGCTTTCATCACGATTACTGTAGGTAGTTTCACTGTGTAACGACCCATTTGTCTTGTAACCGTAGCTACGTACTATATATGCAATCCATACCCTCCTACAACCGTTGTGAGGACTTTTTGGAATCACATTTCTTGAACTTAGGGGCGCGTTGTTTGGCTCTCCGGCATCTTGATGCCTTTGCCTTCTTTGTTTGTGTCCGAAATAGGGGCTCGTAAAATACACGCGACGCGACTCTTGCTTTCATTCCTGTCTGTCGACATAGTCCCGAAGTGCACACCATGGCAGAGCCTGTGATCAAATTGCAATACGGGCAGGAAAGCATCCTCGTGGCCCGCCCAGATCCAAATTGCACACAAAGGGTGAGTGTTTCGTCGAACGGTTGCCAAACCTTCCTCAACCAGCAACAGGTTTTCCTTCCGCGTATCTGACGGGCTTCTATTCTCCCAGGACCTTCGCCAGCTGGCCTGCTCTGTGTTTCCTGAACTCAGGAATGTCGAACAGGCTATATATTTTGAGACTGACGAGTTTCGAGCGTGTAATGGGACCTGGACAACGGTCTCTGTAGAGGCTCTGCCCCTGGTGATACCGTCTGTGACACGCTTGAAGATAAATGTAAAGAGGGCCGGAGCAGGTAAGCCAAACACCTTTCAGTCAAAATAATGTCCCTCCTGAGGCCAAATGATTCTTTCTTTGTACAGCACTTCCACCTCTTCAACTCGTTCCACGTCACATCCAACCCGCGGCACATTCAGGTGAGTGAATTGTATAGAACTTGTAACCTTGCACCACCTAATTACCGAAGCTAGAACATCGGTCATTTTCTGTCACGGTGAGAACCGAGACAGGTCAGGAAATACAACTGGACGCTTTATCCTCCGACCCGGTGTACCGGTTGAAGGAAGGAGTCCAAGACAGGACAGGAATTTGTCCTGATAGTCAGCGTCTGATTTACGCTGGGAAGCAGCTAGAAGACTACTCGACACTCGTGGATAATGGGATCACCGGGGACGCGACTATTTATTTAGTCCTTCGACAGAGGGGAGGCAAGCCGGTCATCTACGTCTTTTCACCGATTGAGCGCGAGGTTTCGGTCAAGCTCTCGTTGGTACCCCAATGGGAACTATCCGCTATATACCCCGTGGTTCCCGTTAAACACAGCATCACTTCAGGACAGGAACTGGAATGGGTCGTTCGAACGTCGCCCTGCGGTACTCTGACTGAAAAGACGACCGGTTTAGACGTCTCGTATCTATTCTGGGAAGCCGAGTGAGTCCAGTTTTGCTCAATTTCAGTCGATTTTCACTAACTCGCTGCCCAGAACGACCAGCGTCCGACCGCCCTCTCCCCCGCCCTCTCCCCAGTTGGTCGCGGCGGACGGGAACGCCACAGAGCTGTTTGTCCCCAACGAAGCGCACCTGAGCGACGACGATTCGGTACTTGTCCAAACGAGCCAAATCACACCGTATTTGGACAGTGCTTTGAAGTCACTCGGCCTGCACACGGAGGCGAGGACCTCCTTCATCACGTTCGTTTTTCAAGAATCTACCTCATGGCCCTATTTACTAAGCGGTCTTCAGGTACTGGCTTCCTTCGATCCTCAAGCACCAATACATCGCCTTGCGATTCCTCCCTCAAAGTGCATACGAGAAAGCTGCACCGCTCCGAGTTACGCCTTCTCCAGACGTCGTTCTTCGAATCTTCATGCTGTTCAAGGGAGTCCAAGAGTCTCAGCTTGGGGAATGGACGAATGCTCGAACTCGACAGAACGAGGACGTATCGCGATGGAGAAGCGTGGTAGGGGCAGACGTCGATCTCGCTACTAACTTCGACCTCTTCCGTGTCATCGAGTGGGGAGGGATGGAAGTAAAGGACTTTGTGGGGGCTTAATCGTGATTCGGCGCTTTCACCTCCACGTTGCTTCCTAGCACCCAGCTTTTACATTCCATCGTTTACCACCTCGCAACTCTTGTTCCAAACAAGTCGCGCCCGACACACTACTTCACTACTTCACACCATTCGGTACATTTCCGTCTACAAATGCAACCCCCTGTCATGCCTCGGAAGTCCCTGCCTCTGCTGGGCGGCGAATCGCATCCCAATCTTCCTCGTGAAGAATATGCTGCAAGGCATCCATCAACTCAAGGTCCTCCCGATGATGATCGTAATATGCCCGAACAACATTCAAAAGCTCTCCCTTCTCCTTCCCTCGATACAGCTCGAAGTCGATCTTCATCTCGTGCGAGGCGAGCCAGTGGACGAGGAAGGCGAGGTCTTCCTGGTCGACCTCCCTTTTCCTGATTGTTTTCGGACGGGTAGAGTCGACATTGTTGCCCAGCGCTTCATCTTCGTAAGGAGGAGGATTGGCGGGGCGAGAATTGCGACCGCTGGATGTTCGAGTTTAAGGTGGTCAATAAACAGTTTTGAGGGGGTGTTAAGGGGATGCTTACAGGTTCCGGGAGAATACTCGACGAGATAGGTAGGCTCCGGGGCTAATGGGAGGCCGAGGGCACCAGTTTTCAAGGTCTCTACGAGGACATTTCTCTCGGCTGCGAGGAGTAATTCTTCGCCTTTGAGATTCTCGACTAGTTCCTGTGAGGATGAGAGACAACGTCAGATAAAATTCCATGCCTGGGGCCAGGAGGGTCGTATCCAGTCCGACCCATTCAAGTTGCCCGACGGTCGGGGCAAGTGGGGGAAGGAAGACCAGGCCCAGATAAAGTCTTTTCGCAGACAACAGACGGAAACGAGCTGACCAAAGATACGTACATTTGCGAAATAAAAGCTGACTCCAAAGGAGACAAAACGCCTGTCCTCGACAGCGCTCTGAAAGCGCTGGGTCTTCATAACGAAGCTCGAGCATCTTTCCTCTCGTCGGTTCACCTTTATACCCCTGATGGTTAACCGGCGCTGATTCAAGCTCTACCTCTATGAATTAGATACTGGCTTCCATCAATCCTCAGGCACGAATTTATCGCCTTACGATTTCTCCCTCAGTCCACCTACGACAAAGTCGCACCTCTTCGAGTGTCCCCCGCTCCCGAGTCCCGACGTGATCGTTCGAATCTTCATGCTGTTCAAAGGGCTGAAAGAGGGCGAGCTTTGTAATTGGAAGATGTCTCTGTACAGAAAGAGCCTCCGTGTAGAGTGGTGGAGAATTACTGTGGGCGTCAACGTCAGTCAGGCCACCAACCCTAGTTTATCCCGCGTGATACAGTGGGGAGGGATGGAAGTGGGACCGTAAAAAATAGATTTCACTGACAAACAATTGTGCGATTCCAATAGATAGCTTTCAACGACTGGCCCCGAGTTTGGACCTTCCTGTGATTCTTGAACTTCCCCAGTAACGTTAGAATTCTGTGTTTGGCATTTAAGCGCCCGTAGCCTTTGGCCTTGTTTTTGCCTTGTTTGCGGTGGTATGTGCCATGGAATATGAACCTGGGCACGCCTTCTTATCGATGCCCACGCTCCTTTTCCACCAGATACAGCATGTCTGCTCAGCGCGATCCCGTCTTAATACTCGAGTACGAGAATGAAAGCATCTTGGTACCTCGCCCAGATTCAACTTGCAGCTACGATGTGAGTTGAAGTCCCGTTTTTCGGTCCTCCCAAGGAGGATAGTTGGCACTCGTTATTGACTGAACCAACAGGAACTGAGAGAGATTGTATCGTCGACGTTCCCTACTCTCGAGGGAAGGGAGGCAGACATCATTATAGCAACGAACGAATTCGATTCTTGCCGCGGTGTATGGACCAAAGTCTCTGGTCCTGCCTTGCCGATCGTGCTACCTTTGGTGACAACCTTGAAGATATCGCTGGTCAATCGCAATGCTCAGGGTACGCCCATATGTGCTCAGCTGAATGTCTACTTAAGCTAAGGGCTTTCGCAAGGTGGATTTGCTCAGAAGATTGCTAGTATATTGTTTCAACCGCGACTTCAACCTGTGGACCCTCCAACGTCCCCGGTTGTGTCCCGTTTCCCTTCATCGTCAGGTGAGTTGCGACTGATCAGACTCTTCCATGGTTCGTCAGTCTCATCTTGCTCCAATCAGCTCAAACGGGCACCCAAGAGGCTCCGTTCTTTGTTTATGTCCGAAACGGGGGGCACTGGGTCACTAGTATCTGCATTGACTCCAATGCGACAGTCGGGAAATTGAAGGAGCAGATACAGCAGGTGGCAGGTATACCTGTCTCGGATCAGTTACTAATCACTAGACACCTGGGGCCTGAATTTCCAGGGAGGGTGCTGGACCACGGTTTGACGTTGGATGCCTATGGGATTCAGTCTGGGCAAACAATCGACATGGTAGACGGGTCAATGAAAGTAGGCAAGCCCGTGATCTACCTCTTTTCACCCGTCGAACGGGAGGCATCGGTCAAGCTTTCCCTAGTGCCCCAATGGCAGATATCTGTACTCTACCCCGTCGTTCCGGTCAAACAGAAGGTCCCTTCGGGCCAGGAGATGGAGTGGGCTGTGCGGACGTCCCCTGACGGTACTCTGCACGAGCTATCGACCGGTTTGAATGTGTCGTACCTGTTCTGGGAGGGAGAGTAAGCGTTTCGAAGCGAGGATTTTAATTTTCCAAACGCTGACTTTTCGCCTGAATCTAGGACCACAGCTGAGATACCTCTTTCACCTCCGCCGTCTCCCATCCTATCCTCAGAAGACGGAGAAACGCAGAATACCGAGATATTTATTCCGAATCAACCGCATCTGGGAGACCATAATTCAGTATTGGTAGCGACGAATGAAGTTACTCCTTACCTTGACGCGACTCTCAAAGCGCTGGGTCTCCATACGGAGGCGCGAACCTCTTTCATCACGTCAGTCGATTCGAACATGCTTCTGACGACGGCATTTATTTAACTCACCTTCGCAAACCGTTAGGTACTGGCTCCCATCGATTCTGAAGCACAAGCACGTCGCCTTGAGGTTCCTTCCGCAATACGCCTACGAAAGGGCCGCACCCCTCTGCGTAACGCCTGCGCCCGACGTTGTACTTCGTATCTTCATGCTCTTCAGAGGCGTGAAGGAATGCGATCTCGGCGAATGGGAGAACTCAAGGCTTCGGAAGGAAGATAATGTTGAATGGTGGAAGGAGGTTGTAGGCAGTGACATTGGAAGGGCTGTGGATTCAAGTTTGTTCCGGGTTATCGAGTGGGGAGGGATGGAAGTGAAGGAGTACTAGTAGGCTAGCGCTTATTTGAGAAAGAACGACTCTGGACTACCAAATGTTGAACGTTGATCGATGATCCTGTAACGACTGGTACTTCCTGATGACACCGTCATTTCCTTTGTCTGATGCTTGGGCTCCAGGGAAGGCAGTCAGTGGGAGGGACGACGAAAGAGCAGGCGGCCGCTTGACAATAACACCAAACTGCTCCTCGATGTACCTTTCGTGTGACATTGCCGGTAAGTACGACATAATCTCTTGGCGTTTGCTGGTTTCCAAGACTGAAAATTTTCGCGCACGGGATGGAACGAAGTGACAGTGAATGCATTTGCATTGCAGGTAACGACGACACAAAGAATTATAGGTATACAACAAACTGGTATCTAAGAAGTACAAAAGCCGCAAAAAGAAAAGAAGAAAAAAGAGGGTATCCATCAGACAGACACTCAACTCGCTGACGAGTTCATCGAGCAGCTCTCGCGAGCCAAAAACCCAACAAACCCGCCAAACGTCCTCGAGACTCAACAAAGAGCCATGTTCTCGGTATAACGAGTGAGCGCTAATGTCATCGAGTGGATATGAAGATGCGGCATTTGTAAAAATGCGAGACTCGGTCAGTTTCTGTAAACAGATCCTGTTCGAGTATGTTCTGAGGAAATCAAGATGGGTGGGTGCTGGGCTTTATAGAATTTTGACTTGGTCCGTGCGCGGGGGAACCATGTGATTGGGGTCGTGCCGAGGTGCCGACGGAGTGGAGTTTTTCCGCGGCGGGCGCTAATTCTGGGTTGGGTGTCACCCTCGATGTACCTTGCCTTGTTTCTTCTCGTCGCGATGTCTATTCACCTGACCAATGCCCTTTGAAGCTATATAAATCTGCGCGGAAATATTGTAGACTGTCCCGACATTCGAATCTTGGAGTTGCAGGTCGCTGGCTTGCCGGATACTGAACTTGTCGCCCTCGCCACTTTAAGATTTCGCCCGCATTCGCGCTGAATGGCATTCTCGCTATGTACCAGGTGTCCGCACTCAATGGCCTTTAGGACTCGGCCATCTAATACTCGGCCAATTGCTTCTAGCCTGGACTGTCAGCCCAAGTCGACCTCTGAGGCTGACTGGTCCACGATGAACCAAGTATATCACCGCAGAACGACCCTATCTTCATTCCCTCCTCCTGGAGACCCTATTCATTACCTTCCTCCCTATCGACCTACGCTTTATCCACGATGAAGGTCCTCGTTTGGTATGTCTCATCTCGCTCAAAGTCACTGTCAGACTTGTACGCTGGTATGCTGACGGAACGGCAGCGGCGGAGGAATCAGCGGTCTCATCTTCGGCATCGCCATGGGCAAGAACCCCAACGTCTCCGTTGAGATATACGAAGCTGCTCCAGAGTTCTTGCCCATTGGCGCTGGTATTGGGATTTGGATACGAGTATGGGAGATTATGGAAAAACTAGGTTTGGCGGAAGCGTTAAAGTCCAAAACGGCCTCGGCGACTACTCCTGATCCTAGTAAGGCTGACTTCCTCCAAAGGCGTGTTTAGATTCACAGCTCACGTCGCTCAGTTGACGCGTTGATATTTCGAAAGAGCGACCAGCCTGAAGGTCTCGAGTTCGGAACGTTGGTGACCAACGGTATGTCCGGACCTCTCTTCTCTATCGACGATACTAACACCTCCACAGGCCCATTCATCACCTTCCACCGACACGACTTCCAACAAACCCTCATCAACCACCTCCCTCCCTCCTGCAAGATGCACCACTCCAAACGGCTCTCAACCTACACCACCCTCCCCAACGGCAAGATCCGTGCCTCCTTCGAAGACGGAACCCAAGTCACCTGCGACCTGCTCATCGGCGCCGACGGTATCAAGTCCACCGTCCGCGATAATATGTTGAGGCAGAAGGCGGCGAGGTATGCGGAGGCTGGGGATTTTGAGGCGGCGTATAGGTGTTTGAAGGCGAACCAGCCGGTTTGGGCGGGGACGATGGCGTATAGGGGGCTCATTCCTATGGAGAAGGTGCAGAAGGATCTGGCCAAGGGGAATTTGACGCTGGAGGAGTGTCATATTCAGCATATGGGCAAGAATGCGGTGAGTGTTAATCTGTTCGTTCTGTTGCTCGGTGTTGACTTCGTGGTCTGGATCGGGTAGAACCTTATTGTGTACCCGATAGCGAATGGGACTATGGTCAACTTTGCGGCGTTTTATCACCAACCGGATAAAGTTGGTACTGTGTTTGAAGGACCATGGGTGGCGAATGTGTCCAACGACGAGCTCAAAGCCGCTTACGCCGGTTGGGAACCGTCCGTCCAGTCATGGCTCAAGGTAATTACCACTTCCTGGAAAGCCCTTGTTACAACTTCAGGCTGATCTGTCCTGCTTTCAGTTCGTGGAGAATCCATCTCGTTGGGCCATCCACACGATCGAGAAGTTGGACTCGTATGTTGCAGACGGGGTCGTTCTAGTCGGTGACGCGGTATGTTTTTGTGTCCCCTTATCAAGCGCTGTAACTGATGGACCATTTTATCGTAGGCTCATGCGATGGTTCCGCATCAAGGTTCTGGTGCTGGTCAAGGAATCGAGGTACCTTCCTCCGAATCCAGGTTTGATAAGTCGCTTACCCCAGTGCTTTCGCAGGACGGCTACTTCCTCGCAACCCTCCTCAGCAACCCATCCATCACAGCCCGCGACATCCCAAAGGTCCTCGCAGTATACGACGCCGTCCGGCGCCCCTTCTCCCTCGAAGTCTGCCGCCGCTCGCACCTCAACGGCTCCTACTACACCATGAACAATCCCGATTTCAAGTACCGTCTTGCTGAGGCTTTACCAGGTACACCAGAGCAGGAGAAAATCCTGAAAGAGCTGGCGGGGGCGATTAAGAGTAATTGGGAGTGGGCGTGGACGACGTCGTTTAATGATAATATGGAGGCTGGGCTTGTGATGTTGAAGAAGATGATGGCCAACCCTGGGGCGTACTCAGAGTTGGGAGGAGTATCTGCTGTTTTGTAATGCGATAGGGTACTAGGATTCTGTATGTTAGCTCCAAATGTACTGGCCTTCTCCGTAAAACGTCCAGTCTTCAGGAAGACTCGGGGGTCGATTAGGCGCCCGCCCACCGGTGGCTCGGATCAGTCCATCAAGAGCGCGAGTCCGATTATGGAAGGCCCGTCCACAGGTACCGCGATCACATTTTTCGTCCTTACCGCCAACATCCAAACTTTTGGGAACGGTTTTCTGGGTTTCCAAGGACCCAAACTCAACAAATGGAGGCCCTAATCGCCAAGGCAGATGCCATAAAACCTCTTCACGCAGGACAAAAGCGAAAACGTTCGCATTCCAAATCAAAAACGACCAACAATGACGACCCACATAATACCCGACACGACCACACTTTGCACTCGATTTCTGCGGCGACCAAGGCGCCCAAGTCTTTAGCGTCGATACCGGCGTCTGCGGATAATGTTCCCAAGTACACACCGACACAGGTTCCGTCCAAAAAGCTTAGAACGAAGCTACATACGCAGCACTCGTTAACGGCCCAGTTCGCATCTCATACCGAAGAAACACAGAATCTGTTGGCTTTGGCAGCGGAGGATGCGGGCCAGCTGCAGACAGAATCGCCGCTAGAACGGACGTGGAGGGTGTCCCAGGACGAAATCGTCGCCTCTGTGGGGGGAGAAGCTGCAAAGGGGCGCCGAGAGCTCGTGTTCGACGACGGTGGGGCGAGGCGGATGCGATGGACAAGAAACGGGCGACATCTGGTGTTCATTTCGGGCAAGGGCGGGAGTATGGTCTCCAGTGTGGACTGGATCAACGGCCAGGTCAATTCCCAGGTCAATTTGGCCCAGGGGAACTCGGCGAAGAGCGATGGGGCGCGGGATGTAACGTTTTTGCAGGACCAGAGCTTTTATGCTGTTGCGCAGAAACGCAATGTCTTCATTTACGACCGGGACGGTGTTGAGATTCACAAGCTCAGCAAGATCATCGACCCGGTCAGGCTGGAGTTCTTGCCATGGCATTGGTTGTTGGTCTCAGTGGTACGTCTCAATCTGGTTTCGTGCAGAGAAGTCTTTCTAATAGCTTCGACAGACCAATACATCACATCTAATCTATACGGATACAACAACAGGAACTATCGTCGCCCAACACCAATTTACACGATCGTCAGCCTCGTCAGTCCGACTGTCGCCTGTTCTAAGCCTAGCACAGAACCCGCACACCGCAATCACCTACCTCGGACATACGAACGGCCAAGTCAGTCTATGGACACCTAACATGAGCAGACCTGTCGTTCAGGTTCTCGCGCAGCTTGGAGGAGTGGTGAGCATTAGCGTGGACCCCAGTGACCATGGTTCGTACTTCCAGTTACTTCGGTCAACCCCTGCTAACAGGACCTGCAGGCAATTCTAGTCCGAACACCCTTGGACGATATATGGCAACAGCAGGTCGGGATCACAAGGTCAAGGTCTGGGATTGCAGGTACTGGAAGGGTGTTGTGAGGGAGTGGAGCCCTCGATCTGGAGGAACGAATACGAAAGGCAGTGGTGAGTGACCTGCTCAATTATACGAAGGCTTTCACTCAGTTTATCATCAGGCCATGCGTATGCTGACATCGAACTCGAATGGAGTCAACGAGGATACCTGAGCGTAGCCTCTGGTGGAAGCGTAAACGTAGGTGTCTTGTTCTCGTCACCAATACCACGCCAACGCTCTCCCATCCCAGGTCTACCACCCTCCAGCCATCACAACGCCCTTCGTCTCGTCTTCGAACAACGCACCACCGCCTCTGTATCTCACCCATCCTATCCCACACCGCCCGATAACTAGCGTCCGATTCCAACCATTCAGCGACGTGTTGGCGATTGGCCATGCAAAAGGTATGTCGCCACCGAGATCAAGCCAAACCCTCCTCGTGACTCTTATCCTACAGGCCTCTCTTCCATCATCGTTCCTGGCGTCGGCGAGCCTCAATTCGACAGTCTGGATGCCGATCCGTACGAGAACGCCAAGGCGAGGAGGGAGCGAGAAGTCAAGGGTCTCCTGGATAAAGTACGCTCTTCCTACCCCCCTGACAGCTGTAACCACCTAACCACCCTTTCGTTCTTCAGCTTTCTCCTGACATGATCACCCTCGACCCCTCGTTCATCGGCAAACTCGATCCGGCAGTGAGCAAGACCATCACCGAGGACGGCGTCCGAACGACCACCGCCGCGCAATCCCTGCTCGACGCGCGCGACCGCAAGAAGCTCCCGCCTTCCGCTATGACCGCTGCCGGTGCCACCAAGGAATTTGCTAGGATGAGCCGCGTTGAGAAGTTGGGTGTGCAGGGTAGACTGGATTTGGGCGAGGTCAGGAGGGGTGATGGGAGTGATAGTGAGGGTGATAGTAGTAGCGATGAGGATGAGGATGGAGATGGAGATGGGACGAGTGTGGGAGGGAAGGAGAGTGATGAGAGTGAGGATGAGGATGGGCAGAAGAAGAGTAAGGGGATGTCGAGGGAGGAGAGGGAGAAGAAGAGGATGAGGGGGAAGAATAAGGCGCTTAAGAGGTATCTTAGGAAGCAGAGGAAGAACGTGGTGGATCCCGCTGTGGTACGTTTCTCCACCCTTTCTACATCCCTGTACGAGCGCATTCTCACACACCTCTCCGTTTTCCTAGATCGCTATCCGGGCTAAAGTGGAGAAACTGAGGATGGAGGAGAAACAAAAGCGAGAGAAATTGGCCAAGGTGAAGAAGGGAGTTGCTGTGGATGGGGATGGAGATGGGGAGGACGGAGCGAAGAAGAGGAAGAGTGCTTTGGATCGCTTCGCCAAACGAAGTGGGCAGTAGTTCTGTTGCTGTACTATTTGGTGGTGGTGTCGGAGAATCGAAATTGATCGACTGACACTATGTGAAGATTGGATATGTCTTCCGTACGGCTGGAACTACTTCAATCCCTTCGCCGCTGGGAGTCTCGGTAAGGGAAGATTATGCGAGGTTGGGAGGCGACGGTGGCTCCCTGTGTGAGATTAGAGGCTACTTTCTATTTTTGACTCTATTTTCGAATTCAGAAGGTATCAGTGATGCTTTGATTGCCGAGGGATCGGCATTACACCTCCGATGCTCGCCCCGGTTACTGCGCCCCGCCCCTCAAGCTCAAGGGCTTGATATTTATCTCGGTATGGCACGCTCAGGGTCTACCTTGCAGCGAAGATTTACAGGTGAACATGTGTGAGGCGGTACCCGAGTTTCAACGTAACTTTCTCATTATCTCCTTCAGCGCTCAGCGCTCACTCCCTGGAGACGTCATCTACCCCTGGAATCTTCCCTCAAACTGTTCGGATTGCTGTGAAACGCTGAGCGCTTGGTGGAACGTATTGGCCCGGCGTGGGCGCGCATTTGCATGTGCGGCTGGACTAATTATAGCATTGCGCATCATACTCGAGTATAAGTACTGCTGCGGTCCCGGAGGAATCTGATATTGACGATGGGGAGTTTTAAGTTTTGCATGATTCGAGGGTATGCGATCTTGATGGAGAATGTAGGTCAGAGAATGAACGTACCTGTGATGATTCCTTGAGGCCGTGGTGAACGATGCGAGCACTTGGGGCTGTCCTTCAATCAGGATGATGATGTTCAGGTCCAGGTGTAAGTCGATTGAGGATCATCGATGTCGCGAAATCTTCGAAATAGATGGGCTTGTTCGGTAGAAAGATTGTTTGTTGACCTCTCTCATGCACGTTCGTGCATTTACTTTAGTGCACCGGCCGCGATGACTCTGATGGTCTCCCCTTCATCATTTTGCAATACCTCATGCTACTAGGCCTAGGTCTAGTGTACTGCCTTCTTTTATATAGTAGTATGGTCGTCATGTACTTCATTTTATATGATGATCACGGCGACCTCGGATACTGCGCGCGGGGGATGCCTGATTGGACTGCGTATATCAATTTGACAATGGTAACGGAACAGGGTTCATCTCGGGGTGTGGAAGTTGTTTGGGCATGGAAACGCTGGGATGAAAAACAAGGAAGAGAAACGACGTCTTACTGCGGCTTAGCGCTGGCCCCTCAGATTCAAACGTGCACTATAATGATGGGTGGAGAAAACGACATAGGTTGAGCGCTCGGCTGAACGAACGCGCCGAACCTGAAGAAGTCTAAATCGTCACCTCCATCTATATACCCCAAATTCGAAGCCGAAACAGGGAATGGAAGAGCTTGAAGTTTCCAGCACTCTGACGGTTAAGGCAGAGCCGGGCGGTGACAGCCTGCGACTCCGTCGGAAAATAAAAGCCTGTATCCGTTTCCTTTGGAAACTATGCTTAGAACAGGGAAGTCTCTGCTGCTATGGAATTGTGCGATTCCGAGATACTAGTAGCGGCCAGGTGTAGTGGCCCATTGTGAAGGTCGCTTCCGTAATTGCAACGATTCTATCTTTGCATCTCGGTTCGTTGTTAACTTCCCGCCCATGATTATATTCTACTCCCAGTTCCTATGACATAAAGTACGTGCTGCCATTGATTTATAAGAGAACACTGCCTATGTGTTTAGTTGCTATTCAATGGGGTAGTCTGGCCGTCGTTTCATCTCCTCATTCTAGGACCCGAAGGCGATAGTCCCTCGACTCAATGCACCCGGAATCTTGGTAGAATCTGAAAGCAATCCGTAAATGGGATGTTCGCAGGATTGCGTGCATATATATGAGCGCCCCGCTCTACAAGCTGTCTGTATCTCTTCCCATTCTTTCCCCCAACGATTTATCCTTTCCTTGACCTCCACTCTTATTACCTCCGCTCTTATTACCCAACACCATCCCAGCTTACCTGTCACGAACATCGTAATGAAGTGTACTAGTCACGCCTGCGTCTTCACTGCCTTCTTGGCTGCCGCTTCTTCCGTTCTTGCTTCCGACATGTCAGTCCTACCAGATTCGCCCTATGAACAGACACTGACTTGACCCTTCACTAGCACTCACGACGACCTCTCAGCGCGGGCCGCTGATGTTTTCGAAGGAACTCTCTCAGCCAGAAGCAACGCTCTCTTTGACGACGTCGAGTCGCGCTCTCCCGATCCGCTATTCTTCCTGCCCGCACTAATAGGAACAGTCGCCCGAGTGGGCGCCCAGGTAGGCGCTAGGGTCGGCGCTCGCGTCGGCGGTAGGGCTGGTGCCAAAGCCGCTGCCAAAAAGGGTGCCAAGAAAGGGGCTAAGAAAGGTGCCAAAGAGGGTGGAAAACAGGGCGGCGAGGCTGCCCATAAACGTCATCAGCAGAAGAAGAACGAGAAGAAGAAGCGGGATTTTGAAGATGGATGGGAGCTTGAGATGAGGGCGCTCGATGGGTTCGCGGAGGAGTTTGCGGAGGTTGTGACGAGGGAGTTCATGGAGAGCTGGAGTGATTTGGTGGAGAGGGGTGTCTCTGAAGGGGCAGTTGAGGATGTTTTTGTGAGGGCGCTTGCTGAGTGGGACGAGCTGGATTAACTACGTCCTCACGATCCGTTAACCATTGCTCCTTGACCGTCTAAATTATCCTATATATATATATGTATACACAAAGTTGTATAATGTATCACGTACTTGACGCCACTGAAGGGCTATACTTCGGTTAGACGCAGAGTCATGATATCAGTCGGTCGATGTTCCCACAGTCAACGCTGGGCGCTTAGTCGTTGTTGAAATTCTGACGCCTACCCCTCGAAAATACACCTTAGCTCGGTGTTATCGACAGCCAGAAGCAGAAAATACCTGATGACCCAATCCATTGTAATTTGAATGATAGAGGTCATCAATTCTTTTGTACGGCCAATAGAATGGTAGGTATGAAGTAGTACGACCCAAGGCTATACTCAGAGTGCACACGGGCTCGACAATATCGGCGTGTACTGTCGCTGCACCCATACAGTTACATCTCTTGGCACTGATCATATTCTCCTTCTAAGTTCTCGCTGATATCTACTCCCCATATTTGGCCCACCTTGCAGCCAATAGCCGCTTTATCTAGAGCGGGAACAGCGCGCGGTTCTTCGGGGCGTCCACACTCAACGTTATCGGTTTTCCAATGTGGGCGAGTGCTCGTACACCAGCTGAGGCTACGTAGTATGTAAGGGCAGGTTCTCGTTATATGTATAAATTCTCTTTACGGATTCCAGTAGGGATTCAAACCCACCTCTTTCAGTTTTTGCTCTCCTCTCTCGAAAAACGAGATAGCACTCGTTTCAGTGATACTTTCCCGACGATCTTACGAACCATCATCTGGCCCGACCCAGCATATTCACCACCATCGACGTCATGAGGTCCTATCGCATTGTGTACGCCGTTGGAGCAGCCCTGGTGATTGCCCCGACGGCTCTAGGAGTCGAAGTGTAAGCACTGATACTTTTATATGCCATAGGCCCGGGTTCAGTTGTGAATGAATAATGATCTCTACTCTAGAGTAGCAGCAAGCGAAGAACTCTCAGCGCGGGACGCTGATATCTTAGAAGACCTCTTAGCTCGCGACATCGACATTTTCGAGGAAGCACTCGCCGCCAGAGGCGCAGATCTGTTCGACGAGATCAGCGCCCGCGAGCCGGAGCCATTATTTTTCCTTGCAGCGCTTCCTGCCCTTGCGGCTAAAGCAGCAGTAGCTGCCAAAGCTGCTGTAGCGACAAAGGCTATCGTCGCAAAAGCTGTGATCGCCAAGACTGGCGCTGCCGCCGCGAAGATTGGAGCCAAGGTCGGGGCCAAAGTGGGGTTGAAGGTCGGAGCGAAGGTGGGGTCGAAGGGACTCCTAAAGGTTGGCGCTAAGAAGGCTACTGTGGTTGCAAAGAAGGCTGGTGTAAAGGCCATGAAGAGCGCACCCAAGAAAGTCGGAAAACACATTACAATGAACCGTGGCAACCGCAACCAGCGTAAGAAGAAGAGGGAATTCTCGGATGGGTGGGAACTTGACACTCGAGAACTCGATGTATTCGAAGGTGTGCTCGATGCACGAGAACTTGACGCATTTGCGGAGAGGATCTCTGATGTTGTTGCAAGGCAGGTTATGGACTCCGTGAACTGGGCAGAGGTAGTAGAGCGAGGTCTCTCAGGCGATGCACTCTCAGATTTGCTTGAAAGGTCACTCGGTGACCTCGACGAGCTCGATTAGTTTACTACTATGATCAGAGTTCATTATTATGCTCACTTATCCTCTTATCTATTGTAACGTCGTAGCTTACTCTCTGTACTTAGATGTTGGCCACGCAATTGTGTAGGGGCGTTTGGTTCTATTCATAGCGCAATTCCATAGGCAGCCCTCCTGAGCCCATGCAGGTTCATCCCATTTGGCCTAGAGGATAAACGTCTAACCAAGCTCGCCGCCCGAGTCTGCGATTCCGAGTCAGCGCCCATCCGTGGAATGATGAGACGACCTGATGCCCACATGCCAAAATCAAGTTGAACGATACCATCGTGAAATTGTCGGGGTAGAAATCGAGCGCCAGTGAGACCCTTCACTCAACTGTCATAGTATCTGTCCCAACTCCAGCTACCAGACAAACTAGCACGGACTTGGAGTCGACTCAGTTGTCGATAGGAGGGGCTGTGACTTTTTTGTGGGCTCGAAGACGTCAACCAACCCACATCGAATGGGCGGTCGTGGGCATCATCTTTTCAGATAAGTCCGTAAGTTGACGATGTTTTCGTTCAAGCCACTGCCTTGTACCGCTTCGGTCGGTACGATTACCACATATACATATGGGTGGTAGTACAGCGCATCTCCCCTCCTACGCTTGTGGGTCCAACTTGAAGGGATTACACGCAATATATAGTGCCTGAAGATTTTTTTCAAACGGTGTTCCCCACAGACCAAGCTCCATTCTCTTAACTCCTAGCTAGCTATAGTTATGAGGTACTCAGAATCTGTACCAGCGCTAGTGGCTGTACTCTTATTAAGCGCCCAAGCATCGGCCGCGACCGACCTGTACGTACCTTCGTTGAAGCAACTCACCTGATTCGCTGAACTTGGTGCTTCATTTGTAGCGACTACGGCAGTGAAACAATAGCACGGGGCGCTAGCGCCCTCGAAGACCTGGTTGCTCGAGATGACATGTTGGGCGATATTTTGGCGCGGGACGCCGATTTCCTCGAAGAGCTCCTGATCAGAGAGGTCATATTTGATCACCTCGATGCTCGCGATCCTATCTTTGGAGCAGCCATTGCAGCTATGAAGTCACTTGTCGGCCTGGGTAGCAGTATCGCAGGGGCGGCCAAGACGGCGGTTGGGGTAGCCAAAGGAGCCGCTGGTGCAGCCAAGTCGTCTGGCTTAACATCCAAGAGCCTTCAAAAGGCTGCAGCAAAGAGTATAAGTCGACCCAAACCCAAGAATCAGGCCCCACCGAGCAACAACAACAATAATAACAACAACCGGCCGAAGCCAGCAGCGCCGCCCAACCCAGCACCGAAACCAAGGAATAGAAAGAAAAAGAAGAAGAACAACAGGAGGAAGAAACGCGCTTTCGAAGATGATTGGGAAGAGCTTGTTTACAGAGAGGTCACTGCCTCTCTGGACCTGGATGATGTCGCACAGCGGGATGTTTCGAACGACGAGGTGTACGACATTCTTCGGCGAGCCTATGACAACTCGGATGACATAGATTAGACCGACCCCGCCACTTGCAGAGGCGGGCACCTTCGCACTTTGGACACATCTACAGTGTTTATTACCGCCTCTTGGCAGGCGCTGACACCTTTGTCACACTAGCTACTTTATACGTTCTTCTATCGACCGATGATGTTAAGTTGACCACGTGCCAATGAACTGAGAGCCGACGCTCACCTGTATTCGTGCGGCTCTTCAAGCTTCAAGCTTCAAAGCTTCCAGGCCTGGAGGCGTTCGTCCCGGGGGAACTCACATTATCGTCGATCGAATGAATGTATCTAACTTGTTTGTTTAACCCTGTCAGCATATAATATCATCAATTTCTCTTTCTGCGAAGTGGATCGGGGCCAGAGACTTGGGTGGGTCCTTGGCAATCGAAAAGGGAATGAAAGCAACCCAAAGCGGCGTTGAAGTCAGCCTACGGCAGTCCGACTCCACTCGGCCTAACATGGAACTCTGCCTCCGTCCCCATGTATCTCATTTAGAACCACTCATGCACACTCACAACACTAATAGGGCTTGAGCTTATCCACCCAACTCGTATTGTGCCCAGGTTCATCATTTTGTACTCTCAGTACGCGGCTTCTTCAAGGTCGTTCATTGCCGATGCTACCGTGACCGCGACCGAGCTGTCGGGCGTGTCCGCCTGGATCGTACCCTGCACTGATTCATGATATGTAGTAGCTGATAGCAGCGTGCGATGACGACATTTTTGGAAAGTCTGAAGAAAATACACTCTTTGGTCTCACATCGTGCAGCATCCAACGTTCAAATGGGATGTACAGGGAAGCATTCCGTACAGATAGGTCGCATTAACCCTTTGCCTTCCTGTAAATTCGACCAGATCAAGAAGGTCTGCGATGTCTGGTTTTCCTTCCACAAGGGCACGGCAGAAAATAGGCAGAAACTTAGGTGCGCACTGCGCGACGGTCTCTTATCCGCGCAACACGGCGGGAGAGTTTCCTGACGGGGTTCCCCGTTTTGATATCATCGGCGATCAAGAAAAACAAGTGATCAGTGATCGGAATCTTTAGACCAATCCAGTATCCGACCGCAACAAGCTGGCTTTGCTTTCTGCCTCCATGACGCTTCCACTCGGAGACGCTGTAGAGACCAACACTGTTCATTGAGGGGTAAGATATTACGACCACACTTTCGCATGCTAAAGACCTTACTTCTCCCAAACAGAATTCATGGGTTTCTAGTAGATCAATCCTGTGGGGCTTGCAATAACGAATATGGCGTCAATCCCGGACAGGGTTATCGTTAAACCGCCTATGACTGTCAGCTCTTACTTGCAATATTTACGATGCCGACAGCGTCGTACTCGACGAGATATAAAGGGCGGAAAATGTTGCAGGAACGCAAGCTCTTCTTGCTATTCAGGCTGGTACCCGTCCTGTACCCTGGTGGATTGGGATTCTCTGCATTTTACTTCGATTTTCCCCTCCTTGTATTATCACCATGCCATCCGAACCCATAGAAGCTGCACTTTTTACCGTTCCTCCTGCGCTCAGCCACGAGCAAGAAGAGCGGTTGCGTACCCTCGACCGAGAAGGCCCACTCGTTCTCACCACCACTTCCTCGAACGACCTTTCTACCACCCCCACAGCACACCACCCTCTTGAACGTGTTTCCACCCGCGGAACACAGAATTTCTCGCATCCGGACGAGAAGAAGGATGTCCAAGTTACCGTTAATCAGCTTTCCGACATCCACGAACGGGAGGGTTTCAAAATTGTCAAGTTCGAACCAGGCACCGGCGAAGACCCACGAGAGTGGAGTAAAGGAAAGAAATGGTGCGCCTCTAGTCTTCCGTGGCCTCTACATTTTTCTCATTCCCATTCCAGGTTTGTCACCGTCTCCTCATCCCTTCTATGTCTGGCTGTCGCTCTCGGTAGTTCAATCATCACCGGAGAGTGAGTCCTTTCTTTCCCCATCTACGCTCACCTTCTGAACCTGCGACTAGCATGGGTGGGCCCACGAGAGAATTCGGAAACACACAAGTCATTACCAACCTCACAGTAACATGTTTCGTCATCGGCTTTGGTGTTGGGTGAGTCTTCATCTGCTTCTCAGGGACCAGTGTCTCATCGGCCTGCAGCCCGCTGTTCCTCGCGCCTCTGTCAGAAATCTTCGGTCGAACGCCTATATATTCGTTATCCATGTTTTTGTTCTTCATCTTCACCCTCCCGTCAGCCCTCGCCAAGAACATCGCAACCCTCGTGGTCTCTCGCCAGATTGCAGGTTTAGCCGCCAGTGCCCCTGTATGTAACGTTGGTGGAAGGTAAATCATCCCGAGCCCCTTCCACGGAACGAAACTGAACGGTTTTCTAGCATTGCCGATGTGTGGGACGTGAAGGATCGTGGCGCCCCAATGGCCTTGTTCTCTGGCACTTTGTTCATTGGTCCTTGCTTGGGTCCCATGATTGGAGGATGGATCGGTGAACGTGCTGGTTGGAGATGGATCTGTGCGTAACTGCCCTCGTGTTGCTCGCGATGGATGGCTCAATTTTGCTTTGTAGACTGGGTCCTCTTTGCGCTAGTTGGCGCTTCATGGCTTTTGACCCTGTTCATGCCTGAGAGTCTTGCACCTGTCATTCTGCGACGCAAAGCCGAGCGACTCAGGAAGGAAACCGGCGACGACACGTACCAGACTTTGGAAGAGCTCGAGCGACTACCTTTCAAGGAGGTTCTTAAGATTGCCCTCATCAGACCATTCATTATGCTGTTCACCGAGCCTATCGTCATCTTCATGAGCATCTGTGAGTCCCTGCCCCATCTCGCTATTGACTATACTCATTCTTTGCAGACCTTTCCTTCGTCTACAGTTTGTTGTACCTCATGTTCTTCGCTTTCCCAATCGCCTTCACGGAGATCCGAGGTTGGGGAGAGGGTATCACTGGTGTCGCGTTCGTCAGTATTATGGTGAGTGTCGTATCTTCCCTTCCTGTTTCTCCTCTAATCCCCTTGAAGATTGGAATCTTCCTCGCCGGTTTGTTTATCCCTCTCAACGAGAAAACGTACCGCGAAGCTACCAAGTATGGATCTTTCCCTGAAGCACGATTATACCCGATGATGTGGGGCGCATTGTATGTGTTCGAGCCTTGCTCCTTCTCTTCCGTTCCTAACATGCTGTTAGCCTCATGCCAGCGGCCCTGTTCATGTTCGCGTTCACCGGTGCTTACGAACATGTACACTGGATAGGCGTTTGTATCTCCGGCACATGCTTCGGTTTCGCCATGATTCTCCTCTACGTCTCCGCCAACTCCTACATCGTTGACTCGTACTCCAACTTCGCTGCAACCGCCATGGCTGCCAAAACCTTCCTACGGTCTGAGATTGGCGCTATGATTCCCCTGTTCTCCACCCCGATGTTCCACAACATGGGCTTCCAGTACGCCGGTCTATTGCTTGCCCTGGTCGCTGTGGCCATCTCGCCCATGCCTTTCGTGTTCTACTTCTACGGCGAGAAGATTAGGGCACGGTCCAAGCGAGCAACGCAAGATGTCCGAAAACGGGAGCCTTCAAGCTTCGTCTCAGAAAAGTAGAGCAGTGGTTGGTAGAGCGGGTGCCATAGAGTAACGTCATTCATGAACTATCCACTTAATTACATAGTATACTAATCATCAAGTCCCTTCATGCTATCGTTTGTTCTCCTGTGGTTTCGGCCTACATTAATCTATGTTCGTTCCTATATCAAACAGCTTTCGCCAGATCGCCGTCTGATTCGTGACGTTTTCATAAGACGGCACTTAATAACTAACCTCAGATTAAATCCCTTCTTTCATCAACCTTTCATGACCACATCCTTTCTAATGCCCAGGGGGGCTGTCGAATATTGACGTAGCCGCCCAACTTCAACTGGCTGCTGTGAGTTTGTTTCCCGCTTAGCCCCGGTGTCGGACGACAGGCTGGAGATTCCCATGTTCTGTCTTCGCACTGTTCGCAGCCCTCTAAGGCACGTCAGGGATGTCTGTCAGGTCCAGATAGGTCTTTTGGGACGTCCGGCACTGGTTAAGATCCCTTCTTTGTGCATGGTGCTTCTCTTTGCTGAACCGATGTCCTACAGGCCCTTGCACCACCTATCACCGTCCTGTCTTCCTTTCGTTTGTGACATCCGATAGCCGATGTGAGCTGAACCGAACGGCGACTCCAAGGTGGACCTTTGAAATTGACAGAGTAAAGACTTTCCAAACCGAAAACGTTCGAAGCAACCCGCCTCAAACCCAGTGGTACGATATAACCGTTATCTTTAGACCACTGACTACCCCATGACCTTGACATTTTGGCAAGTTGAACGTTACTTGGAAATAGAGAAAGCACTCCATTCGCCATGGGCTGAAGGATATGGATGTCTACCATCTCCGCTTTCATACTTACTTCCTTGGGCTCCTCCAAGTAGGTAAGTATTTATTTCAGGATCCACCTTTGAACTCCAAAGGTCAACTGATTATTATTCAAGTGGAGACAACTGTCGTGAAGCTGAACACCTGAACATCGGTTATTAGGAGGCATTTGTCACTGTCTACACCCATTGGCAGCTCAATCGCCGGATGCAACCCTGAGTCTCCCTCCGAAGATGCAGCGACTACTTGGTTCATTGACTCTTGATTGGCTCTGCGATCGGACGTGCAACCTCAGCGCAGGCAGTCTAAACCCAACCCAGCACCCCGTTGCGTCTGGTATAGGTGCTACCACCATGACCTTCTAACTTTAGAACGGTAAGATTATTACACCAGGCCGCATTCACACCGTCTAACTCGGCGGTTAATTGACAGCACGCTTTCCCATCCAGTGTCGTCGTTCCTGCGGTTACGCCACCGACATCTGTGAAGTGTGAAACTGTCGCTATTTACGACATCAAATTCCACTTTAACGGTGCTACTACTGGGGTTGGCGTATTGAGGGAATGCTTTATTAGTGACCGCGGTCTTCCTGTCGGCACTGGTTGTGCTCCCCCACCACCACCGCCCGCATCACTTCCCTCTCCTTAACGGCTCCTTCGACGACAATGGCTGCTCCCCCCACTGATGGCTTCCCTGCTTCCGAGTTTCCTGTTCTCAACCCGCTCGCGCCCATGGCGTATCTACCACCAGATATCGGTCGCGAGACCCAAGTGGCGGGTCACATCATTTCCGGAACATTGGCTGTGCGTTGCATTCCCTCTTACAACGCCACGAATTCTCTTCTAACTCTCCTTCAGGTCTTGATCTGGGACGTTCTCAACAACATTCCTTCGGATTATCGACTTCTCACTCAGTACCGTATTCGACTGCCGACAATCACTTACTTTCTATCACGGTGAGCTCCGAGATGGACTCGCGATCAGCCGCAACCTTGACGATCGATGCTTCGAATAGGTTTTGCTCTCTGGTATATGTGCTCTGGAGCTCAATATATTACAGTCAGTCTACATCTACATACTGCAACAAATCCCAACCTCTCAAACTGACCGATTGTCCTGGTAGCTGGACCTGTCGGCAACTGCTTCAAGAACGAGAAAGGCCTGGGAGCCTTCTACCCAGCTTCGGTCTCCCTTTCAGCCCTCCTCTTCTTCTTCCGAGTGCGGATAGTATACGAGGGGCACAAATGGATCGTCGGGTTCTTCTTTTTCATGTGGCTGGCGGTCGTTGGTGGCACCCTTACCGTGGGGTTCGGCGTTACGGGGGTCCACATTGGGCCAACCAACTACTGCTTAAACGCGAAGGTCGAAGATTATGTCGCAGCAGCGGCTCTCATCCCCTTAATTTACGACACCTCGGTTTTCTTGGCCATCACGTATCGTCTTGCAGCCAGCTCGCATCTCGCTGCTCACAAGAAGGGAGGATGGTGGGCGAGGATCTCTGGAGACTACCTCCCCGGTGTCTCTCGTGGCCTATTGAAGGACGGACAGACCTATTACATGTGAGATCCCCCGAACTGTGGAAACCATACAGTACTGATCTTTTACTCAGGGTCACCGTGTTCTCCAACTTGCTCACCGTCATCATGATCTACATGTCTTCTCTCCCCGCCACCTACCGAACCATCTTCAGCGCGCCCAACATCATGCTCATCAACGTCATGGCCTGCCGCGTCTTCAGACACACCAAATTCGCCGCCTTCAGGGAGTCCACATTCACAAACTCCACCTCCCTCGCCACAAACATCAAGAACGCCGCCATGCTCCCCGTCCATTTCCGCCATACGGTGACAGGAAACGGAATCGAAGAGACCACGACGGACGTCATCGACCTCAAGCAGAAACACTCCTCGAGTGACTACAAGTCACCTGCTACGCCCTACTCTGGGGCAAGCTCAGGCTTTGGTATCGAATTTACGAGGCCTGCAGAAGAGCATGCGAGAGAGGATAGGATAACCGGTTATCCGCCTCATTACCCATCGATCCGCAAGTATCCAAGCTCAGACACTCGTTTCTGAACGTGCTCCGATAGGCTGTATTTTATAATTTATGTATCATAGGCCTTTAAGCTGTAATCTCATAATTTCCCAAGCAGCGGACTCATTGCGGAGGTAGTCTTGGCGCCAGGTTTGGGACCTGCGATAGACGCCTTGGCTGTTGTGACTTAAGCGCCCAGCTTTGTAACGACTGCGCACGAATTACAACAGCCTATCCCAGATTATGGCGATTATAGGATACCCGGTCATGTTGCCTACGAGGTTCCTGACTCGGAGATTCTAGGCCTTCATCGTAGGTTATAGGCGGCTATGATCAACTTGAGACGTCCGAAACGACGATCTCGAAACCCATGAATTCGTGAATTGTACCCATCAAAGAAGAACAAAGTCTAAGTATATGTGCGGAGATGATAAACTAGAATAGGAGCTGTATGGTGTAAGCAGTAAGTGCAGTCATGGAAAAGAACATGAGGATGTATTGGGGAATCAAGAATGCTGACAGGTGTTCTGCGCTCCCAGTGCCGCTGTACACTTGGGTGAGATAAACCTGTAAAGAAGTCGAGTCAGATAGGTCTTTCTTTATGGGATACCGAGACGGAAAGGTGGATAGTACCTGCGTAGTTGCTGTAGGCAAGCACGAGCAGAATCTATATGCATCAAATTGTCAGCTCATGCACCACCGATAACATCAAACCGAAAGAAAAAAGCTCACATGCAAACGAATCGAAGCACTCGATCATGTTCAGGTATTACACCCCCACGCACCAGTCCTTGGACAATGAGAACTCCAAGGATCGGCATGATAAGCAGCTTCGCCACAGCCAGCGACGAGATTGCGCCCAAAGGCAGCGCCTTCCACTGATTCCTCGGAACGTTCAGCCTCGCTAGAGCAGAGCCCAGACAGATCAAACCAAGTGGTACGGAAGCCGCGCCAATGAAGATAGTCGCGTCCATGACGAAAGCGAGAGGAGGGAGCCCATCAGGCGCGGAAGGCATGTCCACCCCCGCTACCGGGACGAACAGCGCCTTGAGTTTTGGGACGAGGGAGATGGGGAGTGCGACGCAGATAGCAATCGAAGGTGGGGATAATAGTCCTCGGACGAAATCTCGAACTTGGGCGAGAATGAGTTTTAGCTTCCCTGGTGGCTTCGGGGAAGCGGGTTCGTGAACGTTACAGTTGAGAGCCTGAGGATCAGAATCGTCTTTTGGAGTAGCGGTGTTGGCGATGACGGTATTGTCGATAGTATCCTGTCGCGAAATGAAGCCCAAATCGCTGGGAGGAGAGGAATCGTCTCCTATCCGAGGTGGCTTCTCGGCGACGGAGTCCTGAATCGTCGATCGGCGAAGCTGAAGTGTGGGAGGTGAATTCAAGTTAGCTTCGCTTCCTGTAACGGCAGCAGGGGAACTCGAGCTCGAATCGCGTTCTTCCCACTTCTCCTCGTCGTGAGGTTTTGAGCGGCATCGACGCGACCACGACAGGAGCACGGTGCGCTTCGCCCTAAGTTCATCCTGTACTTCTTCATGCTCTACTTCCGGTCCTTCATAGTCTTTCGCTATCCACCGGTGTCCTCCCATCGGGAAGAGCGAAACGGTGAAGACCAGGATGAACACAGAAATGTAGGCCACAGAAAGATCCTGGTCCGTGGCGGCATTGAAGGGAGCAGCCGCCGTGACGCTCATAATGACCGACGTCGCTAGAGATATTAAACGGAGTCAGCCAATGTGGAAAGACCTTGGGAGTCCCTTGATGCGGGAAGAAACACGTTCTCCGCCAGCATCGAACTTTGTACGTACGTATGTCGCCAACGTTTCCCCAACCTCCGGCTACCAGTATCCCATTCCGAAACCGATGGGGAACCCAGAAGAATTGCTTGATAATCCAAGCAGAAGCGATCCCCATGATCTCGTACAGAGATGCCACAAGAACCAGGGGTCCTATCCGTAGAGCAACTTTAGCCGATATTTGGAAAAGAAGGTCTCATTCTGTTCACTCACCAAATGCGCGGATATTATCCGCATTGAATGAAGGTACAATCTTCGAAAAGAGAAGACATGGAATGGCGATGTACAAAATAACCTGACTGGCGCCTCGCGCTGCAACCAGAGGAAAGATGTCGGCTTTGGTTATGGCATAACCAGCGCCTGCACAAATGATCCTACAAAACCATATTTCTGTCATTAAAACGACCCAAATCGCGCTCAAAAAACCTGGTCCCCACTTACAATCGTAACAACGGTCGAAACGAGATCCAGATGAGCGCTCCAACGGAAAGCATTCCGAAAAAAATTGCCTCTCGAACGCCCCAAACACAAAAAGAGGGTGGACTGGACCTGAACCGCCCACGGAGGGTGGAAAGCCAGAGGAAACCGGGGAGGAAAAAGAGGAAGGAAGGGGAAAGGAGGCGCAAACTGTGGATTCTGACTCCTACCTTTTAATCCTTCTCCAGGCGTTAATTTCAAGTCCGGAAAGCTGGACCAATGACATATACACCACTTATCAGGAACTTGAAGGTCCGGACCGGTTCCTGAAGAACCCCTCGTGCCAAGGGCGTCCACATGCATGGGGACAGGAAACGAACTCCGGGAGAAAAACGGGAAACTTCGCCACGAAGATGGAGAAAACGAAATAAGATTTGACTCCATCTATGACTTCAAAGCTCGCCACGATTGACTTCGAGCAAGTGTTCCAGAAATACAAATGAATTTCGACTTTTGAGTGGGTGAGCTATGATACATCATCCTAAACCTAGAAATACAACTTCCTATTCCTGTTCTTCTTTTACATGACGTGGCCGATGTTGACATGGACAGCCTTGACGTTGGTATAACTAGTGGCCACCGAATCAGCCACTGAGCTTCGAGACAATCAAGAAGGAAAAACTCACTTGTGCAAGGCGTATTCTCCAAGTTCACGACCAATACCGGACTGCTTGAAGCCTCCGAAGGGTACGTTGGCGTGCAGCTGGTTGGCGCAGTTGACCCAGACAGTACCAGCCTGCATCTTGTGGGCAGTTTCAATCGCGCGATTGATGTTCTGGCTGAAGACGGCAGCGGCGAGACCGTAGACTGAAAAGGAGGTTAATGAACCAAAGTCCGAAATGATAGCACTGGCAAAGACGGTACATACCTGTATCGTTGGCCTGTCGAATGACATCGGCCTCGTCTTCGAACTTGATCAAGACACCAACAGGACCGAAAATCTCTTCCCGGACAATCTTCATATCGGGCTTAACGTCGGTGAAGATCGTGGGCTCGATGAAGTAGCCTTCTTGACCATGACGCTTGCCTCCGAGATGGACGGTGGCGCCGTCGGCTTTGCCAGAATCGATGTAGCCCATGATACGCTGCGGATACAGTCAACACAACGTCAATGAAGTGGAAATTAGAAGAACCACGAACATCGTATTGAATTTGAGAAACTTGAGGACCCTGGTCGACTTCGACGCCGAAAGGATCGCCAACCCGGATAGCAGCAGCCTTGGCAGTGAATCGCTTCAAGAACTCGTCGTAGATTCCGGACTGGACGAAGATACGAGAGCCAGCGCAGCATGCTTGGCCGTGGTTCCAGCTGCAAGGCCGATTAGCAAGGTCAAAGTATACTGAAAGTAATAGTTAGACTCACAAGAGTCCGTGAACAGCCCAGTTTACAGCCTGGTCGATATCAGCATCGTTGAAGATGACGTTGGGGCTCTTGCCTCCCAACTCGAGAGTGACGTTCTTGAGGTTGCTCTTCGCAGCGGCTTCCATGATCTTGCGGCCGACGAGGGTGCTGCCGGTGAAGGCGACCTTCTCGATCTTGGGGTGGGAGGAAATGGCTGCTCCGACGGTGTTACCGTAGCCGGTGACAATGTTGACCACGCCGGGAGGGAAGCCAGCTTCTTGGATGAGCGAGCACATGCGGATGGCGGTGAGGGGGGTGAATTCGGAGGGCTTGAGGACGATGGTGTTTCCGGTGGCGAGCGCGGGGCCGATCTTCCATGCCAACATGAGGACTGGAATCTCGTTAAGCTTGCTAGTTTAAAGGGGATGGGATCTTGGGTGACTTACGAGGGAAGTTCCAGGGAATGATCTGGCCAACGACACCGATGGGCTCATGGCGAGTGTAAATGAGCTTCCTCTCGTCGGTCTAGACAACGGGTAAGCTCTTCATCGGCGTTCCGAGAAGTGTATCGACCTACCTCAATAGTTTGACCAGTAATCTTGTCAGCCCATCCCGCGAAGTACTTGATGACGTTAATCGAGAAAGCAACATCGGTTCCCTTGGCCCAGGCGAAAGTCTTGCCTATTCAACAATTATAACAGTGACTCTGGACACTTGCCAAACTAACACATACCGTTATCCGTAGCCTCGATAGCCGCGAGCTCTTCATGGTGCTGTTCCATCAAAGTGGCGAGTTTCCAGAGGAGTTCCGAGCGCTGAGAGCCAGATACATTAAGACCCCAAGTGGTCTCGAACGCCTTCTGCGCAGCTTCAACAGCGAGATCGACATCCTTCTCGACACCCTCAGAGATAGAGGTGATCACTTTCCCGTTGGCTGTTGTTCAAAAGGACGGTGGTCAACACGCGATGAGCAAACTGGCTGACAAAACACAATCGCGAGGGGAAAGAAGATCCGGAATATGACGTACTCGGATTGACGACACTGTGATGCAGATAAGATAACTCGGTCAGCAACTTGGAGGGGACGGTATTGGGGGGCTAACAGGGAACGTACTCGATGGTGGTCTTGTTGGATCCATCGACGAACTGGCCGTTGATGAAGAGACCAGTGTTGAACTCAGTCTTGCCCTTGTAGGCAGGGGTATCCCACTGGTACGAAAAGGTAGAAGGCATCGTAGTTGAACGAAGTCCGGGAGAAGAAGCAAAGTCAAAAGGCAGAGAAGAGGGAAAGTCGAGGAATCAGAGCTCCTGACTGCAGTCTATCGATCCAACCTGTCACTGACTGGCCTTATATACCTCTCTCCACCCTAGACCCCCTGAATGAATAACGCAACCAATCTGAGTAATCCAAAGAATTCCAAGAATCCCGGGGGGTGGTAAGTGCCATACGTACGCAAGCCCTTCCTGCGATCAGTGGGTCATCCGGTCAGCTGGACATACATTCTTGGAAACTGTGGAGGTAGCCGGTCAGACGTTTAGGCCTTCCATAGGTTTCCATAACCTCTTTGGCTAGGAATCGTGGAGGAACGGATAGCCTCGATTGCAGCGCTCCTGATCGTATGGAGAGCAACGGGAGCTTAGCTAGGGGGTTTACCCCGCATTACGATATGAATCGAACCCAAAGTAGGGGGAATGTTCCCTAGAGATTGGCAGTCGGCTTTACAAGAAGCCGTAGCTTTCTCAGTCCCTCTCAGTTCTGTCAAAACGGAACCCGAATGGATCAGTGTTACATGTACAAGCATGGCATTTCGCGTTTAAAGCAAAAGATGAAACAGTTACCGAGATAGATATCAAATTTAGACGCTCATATGAACGCTTTTTGGACCCTCCAGGAGCTGGTCCAGGCTGCGATGGTGGTGGTTTGTGGTAAAAGAAAACAGGTCACCAAACTCCGAACCCTGTCAACAACTTTGCAAACGTCGTAGTTACAGGAAGTCCTTCGAAAACCTGGGGTATCAACGTTTCCGGAAGCAAATGGGCGGATGAAAGGACAGCCGAGGCTCGACTTCAAAATGAACGTTCTCTAATTGTCATTTCATTGAGGGAAAGCATTTTCTATAGAGGTATGATACAGACGCATATTAATATGCATGCAAAGCTCGATGCTAATACTATAAGTACAAGGGAGTGTGAGAGTAGCGTAAGAATATAAGATAAAACCCGTATGTAAAGGGAAGCCAGTTCCCCGGAAAATAAAAAACAAAACAAAGCCATCAATATACTCATACAACCTGGGGATAGGTGGGCAATGGTGAAGCCGTGGATGCGATTTGTGTTTTTTTGCTGGTACAAATGCGAACGTGGGGATTGTCGTGATCTAAAGCTCTTGACTGGCATAACATTCGTGAATGAGGATGAACGAAAGTGTCGGACGGCGTGCAGGAGGGAGAGAGAGAGGGCGTTTAGTGGCGACGCTCGAAGCTGCCAGTCTCGATGAAGCGGCGCATGACGCGCGAGAAGTGGCGGGGGTAGAGAGCAGAGTCGCTAGTGGTCGACCTCTTGGACTTCTTCAACTTGCAAACCTTCTTCGAGGAGCGGACGGGCGAGCCAGAGGGGCTTGAAGAGGTGGGCTGAGGAGAGGCACCGCCGCGAGTGGAAGAGGAGCCTGAAGGAGCAGGGTTGTTGTTGCCGTTGTTGTTGTTGCCATTACCGCCATTATTGTTGTTTCCTCCATTGTTGTTGCCGTTTCCACCACCGTTACCGCCAGAACCGGGGGCAGGGCCTTCTTCCGAGACAAAGGCGGCGATGGCGGGGCCGGGGAAGGTGTAGTCCTGGGTGCTGAAGACGTTGGGGACGTGGATGCCGGGGTGATCCTCGGTGTAGCCACCAGGGAAGGAAACGAGCTCATCTTCCCTGGGCCGACCAGTGCCGTTGCCGCCTACACGAATCTGGGTGCAAGAGGGGTAGAATTCGGCCAGACCGCGCGTAGGGGCAAGGTGGAGAGCGATAATCTCGTGGCGGACGAGGTAGTTTCCGGGGGCAAGGTTTCTGGGCAACACTGCGGTGGCTTTGCCGCCGGACACTGTACAGAAAAAAAGAACGGTCAGCAATGAAAACGAGCAATATAAAAGAAATCTCTATACGCACTGAGGTCACCCTGGAACCAGTCAATCCGGCCGGGCTTGCGGCCAACTTGGTGAATCTTGAACCAGCGGGCCTGGCCAGCATCAAACTCGGCACAGGAAACATCGCCACAGCTTGCAAGGTAGGTGATCATGGGACCAGTGTTATGAGGCCACTGAAAACGTTTTTTGTTAGGTCAGCGCGAGTTGGAACTGATAGAAAAAAATAAGACGTACGGAAGTCAAATCAGCACCCCTCCAGTCAAAGGTAAGTGTATCTCCGGGGTTGGCTTGGAGGACTTCTGAGGCTCGTCGAGCATCAGGACCGCAGTTCACGGCAGGGTTGAAGGCGCCGAGGACAGGGTTGGCCGTGCTGATTTGTCGGATAGCACTGCGTTCACGGCCTTCGCCAAAGGGTCGGTTACCGGTGTCGGTGGTGCCACCAATGGTGACTTGGTGGACGAATCCGTGGGCTGAGACGTAAGAAGCGAGGAGAAGAGGGATGAAGGCAAGTTTCGTCGAGAACATGGTTATCGAGCGTGAGGGGGTCGTAAAGGGGATGGAAGCGGGTTGCGTCGAGGTTTATTAAGTGCGGTATGAGGTCTTGTCGTAAGTAGTGTGTCTGCCTGGAGGTGCACGCGCAGCGAACAACCAAAAGTCAAAACAGAAAACGGGGAAGGAACAGGAGGCAAAGGGGCCAAGAAATGAAAAAAGGGAGAAAGCGATGAGTTCGACAGACAAGCTGCGGGATGAGGAATAAAGCCGACCTTGGAGCCCTCGCTTTTTATCTATCCATAATCTTCTGCGGACTTGGACGTCCATTGTCCCCCTCGAGCCAAGTTGCCTATTGTTTGAGGGTGGAAAGCACGTTGAGATATCCGCGTTTAGCAGGTGCACCGCCACAAAACAAACAAGCCCAATCGCAAAGTCCGGACTCGCCCCCATTGTTCCCGGCGCTTGACGACCAAAGCTCGAAGACAAACACACATTTTCGCATTATCCCCCGCTGCTTGGACGTCTCCTCGTTACGACAAGGCCAATAGATCGTTCAGGGTGGCGTCGTATTGTGACGATTACCTCCCATCCCATTGAACTCGCCGCCAAACGTGTTCGATGAGGCGCCGACTATGTTTCCTAATTTGTACGCCATCACCGACGCCGGGGAGTGCGGGAGCCAAGCGACATGGGCGGTTTGCCTCGAGGAAAGTCAGTTTACTGATGAGAACGGAGAAGGTGAACTCTTCCGAGAATGAAAAGAGTCACAGCATTCTCAGCGTCGCCCGAAGACTCCGTGAGCACACGAATGGAGAGGATCGTCCCCTTCCATTCGTCGTTACATATTAATAGAAGGACAATCCTGAGCATTCGAGCCCGAGTTTCTAGGGACCCCGGTAGAAACGACGTCAAGAGGTCGTCTCTTTTACATTGGTAGCGATGAAGAATAAGATAAAAAAAAAAACAAATGCCAGAAACTAGGGACCCCTATGATACATCTGTGGAAGGCACTGCGAGGGATTATCGCCCTTGTACTACTCCAAAATTCCCATGAGCCAGCATGGAACAGAGGTGCAAAAGCCAGAAAAAGGACGTCGGTAAAATTGAAGCCTCTGAGGTTTGCAATAGACTTTGGTATAGTGTCTTCGAGCTCCGCACACCTGAGCAGGCACCAGTCTAAATTTAGCCAACAACATATCGGCGTGCATCAAGGAGATACAACGTCCGGCAAGCCAATTGAATGCAGACTTGACATGAGAGCCACGCACTGGCCTCATGGCTAGCAGTGTGTTGATGACCAGGGGTGCGCTATAGGCGGTGATGGTATACAGAGGTACCAAGAAAGTTGTTGCACATACCAGCGGAACCGGTGCCATAGTCCGCAAGGGGTCAAGGGTCTTGGGAGACGACGGGAGGTCCAATGTCCATGCAGGGTCGCATCGCCACAGACCAACAAGATAACGCAATGTGTTACAGTTTGCCACGGGAAGACAGCCAAAAGCCCAAAGCCATTGACGAAATACTTATGCCGGCAGGAGTCCATGCATCATGTCAAAGAGCAGAGCGGTTCCGTATGTGTGTACGATTGTTGTATGCGCAAAGCGAGGACGCAAATACGAGGTGTGGCGGATTGATTTTCTATTTCCGAGAAAGACGACAACGATTCAGCCAGTTGGTGCATTCATGATCAGCCACCATTCGAGCGTCCCAATCAAAGGCATCTGGACAAAGGGAAAGACACATATATACAGAGTTGGCAGATCGAGAGTTGCAGACACTGGCACAAATCAGAAAAAGGATATCGACGGATATTCCAAAGCCATTCCTGTGGCGAGACATGCAGTTAGAGAACACCTGAGCCCGAGTGGCCAGCGAAACAAGAGCCGCAGTGCCGTCAGCTCAGAGATAGCCGAGAAGAGCGAGAGACCGTCGAGGGTCGAGGGGTTTCCACTGCCAGAGAGGAACAGAACAGAATCAGACGAGAGATACATACTGCCGGCGCGCGCAGGGTCGCGCAAACGCGAAACCAGGATCCAGCCTGAGAGAGTAGTACAAAGTCCACCTTTGTCACTGTTGCAGTCACGGTTAACGTTGGAGGGGTACGGTAGTGACCATTTGCGAGACCTCTCCGATCTCGATTGGACAGAGCAACGACCCTAAGTACCTAAGTCTCGCGACTGGGTCTGACAGTTCTCTGTCCCTCAGGCCGTTGTCAGTCGAAGAAATCAGAAAATCGATGAACGTCTTTGACAAAATTCAAGGCCGGGAATCACGAAACAAAAACGAATATATATCAACATCACGGGTAAGAGAAGAAACAAAGGAAGAAGAGCTGCTAGTAGCAGCGCTTGGGCATATGTATCCAAGGGGGGTGCACATCATGATCTAAGCAGCGCTGTACTGACCAGTTGCTCCGTAGTACGGAGCTTGCTGCTGGTGGTGCTGCTGCTGCGGGGGTGGTGGTGCTTGTTGGGGGTAGCCTTGGCCTTGGTTAGGGTAGAGAGGCTCGTATTGGCCACTTCCGACGTCTGTAAAAACGTAAATTGAAAAAAGGGGGTGAGTAAGTATCGTAAACGAGTAAGATACGGGGCGTGGGTCGTTGTACAATATATCTCGGAGATTCGAGAAAGAGAAAGAGAGTACATAGTATCGATAGATGGAAAGGAAGAACGTACAGTGGAACCCTCCATTCCCGTACCTCTCCTCCGCCTGCATCTTCTTGTAGATTAGCCAGAAGGCATGGATGTGTCCCGGGAAGTATCCTAGGCTATAAAAACCGAAGAGGTCAGTGGGTGTCAGACATCAGACATCGTTCGTTAGGGACGAGATGGGGATGGGGCATGCATGCCCCTATGCCTTCAAAGGCGGCACCGACACAAATCAGAAACCAGACGTACATGGTAAGCAAGATATTGATGAGCAAGTCACAACTGCATCCAGTTATAATAGCAGCAGCAGCAGGGGGGAACAGAATCGCAATCTGTGTTCCACCATTTCCAAACATTCATTAGAAACCCTCCAAACCAAACTTGGCCGGGGCCCTTGGGTCACCCGAGCAAAGGAAAAGGCATACGAGGATGAGCGCAACGTCGGACGTTCGGACCATTCTGGGTTAGTTTCTAGTTTGTATACTGAATGCAGCTGAGATAGGGGTCGTCGTCGTAAGTCGTGGATGAGGTGAAGGGAGGAGCTCCAGTGCGCAGCCCCCTGCCAAGCCTACCTTAGTACCTACGCGCTTCGCGCGCCAAAACAACTGTCAACAACGTCCGAGTCGGTCGGGCAGGACCCCCCAAAATCTCGACGAAGGTCCGAGCGGATTCCGGACAGGATTTTCAGGTTTTGGGGACAGGCTGGAGGTCAAATCCGGACAGAAAAGGGAATTTTGAGGCCGCAAGGCCAGTGAAATCCCGGACAAAATTGGCATTTTTGGCCTCAACGGCGGGAAAAAAAACGCCAATTTGCGAAACGAGCGCCGCACCCGGACATTTTTTGCGGTTTCTGACAGACTCCTACCCAGTCGCCGTAAACGTCTTTATCTTATCTTATCTCTCCTGCCGAACTTTCTCCGAACGTTGGAGGAGCACGTTTACGGGCGACTGGCAACACTTGTTGCTTTGTCCTTGTTTGTCACGGACCTCCCCAGTCTGTCCATCGTCCTTGGAGAGGCTATACTCCGTGTTTCTGGCAATATCGTTGTGTTTGACTATAGCTTAATGGTTTTGAGCACCCGCAAAGCATAAATACACTCATAACCACCGCTGTGACTAGTCCTCCTCATTTGGGACAGTCTTCTAGTGCTTGCCTACAGAATGGGCCATTTGCTGAAGGTGAAGATCTATATTAGTTGAAATTCGTACAAAAACTGGCTAGTGACTGGCTAGTGAAACATTTATGACTGTATTACGGAAGAACTAGCCCTCAAACCCCTTGCAGTACATAGCTCTCTGGATTAGCGCTCGTCCAGAGGGTGTTGCCAAACAATACCAAAGTAACAAGTGTTGCCAGTCGTCCGTAAACGTTGAGCTCCTTGAGTTCGGAGAACGTTCGGCAGCTTACCTAAGAACGTTTACGGCGTCTGGGTAGGAGTCTGGGTTTCTGAGGCGCGAGGCCTGATAAACGCCCGGACAGGAACTCCAAATTCGAGATTTTTGCTCCGGACGGGAGACCGGGAACCTGTATCGGGCCTTTATCGAGGTATTGGGGGTCCTGGTCGGGCGCGTGTTCGAACCTCGCCCGGTGCAATATGTGTGCAGTCGACTATGTGTGCAGTCGACAAGCATTGGACAAGCATCAGAGGCATAAGTAGGGTTACCGAATGAAGCGCTGACGTATACATGGTCTTGATCTACCAGGATTCACTTCTATCCCACCCCATCCTACTGGCACCCTGAACAACTGCGAGTCAGCGGCCTTGCCCACATCGACAACTAGCCACCTCAGTCCGCCGCTGCACCGATTCCTCCCCCTGATCTACACCCTCCTTCCAAAGACCCACCTCCTCCTCAGAAACGCCTTGAAAATGGCAGAAGCACTCGAAGGGCGACGTCAGGGACGGGCGTGATGCTGAGAGGAGCAGCCGCCTCGTACACCGACTGCAGTGGGAATCGTACCACGATATAGTCGTGCTTCAGGATGGCTGGGAGCCAGTATTTACCGGCAGGTCGATCTTGCCAGATAGAGAAGCAAGCCCGCGATGGAGAAGACTCACGTTCTACTTACGAACGAGATTCGCGCTTCCGTATGCAACCCGAGGGTCTTCAATGTGCTGTCAAGATAGGGCGTGGCGGCCTTTCCTGTCTCGACCACGACAGAGGTAGCTGAAAAGAAGATAAATTCGTTGGGTGTGAAGGTCTCCCCCGTTGCGACAGTAGGTGGAGACTCGGGGGATGGCTCTTCGAATGCGTGGTCCTATACCAGGTTGAAAGGTCAGTCACATAGCAGACAACAGCGAGGTCGCCTTCGCATTCCAAGGGCGCGGCTGGCTGGGTATCAGAGTCCGCACTGGGACCTGAGCCTTCTCTCACTGGAGGCATAACGGATAGGAGCTGGAAGTGAGCGAGAAAAGACGGGATGGGTTAGAAAAAGGCAGAAAGCCAGAGGCGCAAAGGGAAAGCCCTTTTGCATCATCGGGGATCAAGGCAAGGAAATGCAAGTGAAGTGGAGCGGGAATCAAAGGAAGAAGCAAAAGCAGCGACGAACATGGCCGAACTGGATGGGACTGCACGGAACTGCATAAGACTGCAGTGGTGCTACGATGCAATGGTGCAGCAGAGTCTTCATGTGAACCCTTCCCTTGCCTACATGCTGCCGGGTATTCACGACATGGGGTCACGAGAGAGTGCAAGCCGCATGGAGCGTAGCTTGGGAAAGTCGAAAACCACATCGATTCCACAGGTTTATTTTACAATCGAATTGACGCCACGAGCTGGACAAACTGCGAGTTAGACCCGGCATGGAAGGAGTAAAGTGCACGATGCACAAACCTGAGAGATAATCCTTTACGTTGCTAGGGCTCTGTTAGACAGGTCTATGGTCAGCTTCCTCGACACTCGGAACCACAAGAGGCACGCACCAAGCTTTGAATAATGGCGTAGACGTGCCTATCATGGTACCGCAACCCCGTTGCCGGGTCAGTGTAGGGGGCCTGCAGCAATGGTCAAGTCAGATTTGAATAATAGCCATGCAAATGAATCAAGCGCACCTCTAGTCCAGTAATATCACAATAGTGTTTCTGAGGCCACACAGAGGGCGGCGCCTCGATAGTCGCGTCTGGGAAATCGAAACAGTCAGGCCAACCGTTCGAGATCGACGAGAACAGTATAGCCCATACAAGTTGGAACCTCCTCCTCAGCGCTGTCAACGTCCATGGCGTTGCTGTCTGCACGCTCCTGTCGACGGCGTTCACGCTCAGCTCGTTCGCGTTCTCGTTCTTGTCCCAAGACCGCCTTCAAGTTCTTCGCTCGACGATTGACGTTCTTCGTGTAGTTTGGGTTCTTGAACGGTCTTGGACTATGCAGGTACGAGAATTGTTCGGCTAGACTCTATACTCGAGGCCGTCAGAGGTTGGACGTTGGCTAAGCTGCTGCCGGCGACGTACAGGAACATGGGGTGTCGCTGAGCCGTCCGACGCCGCTACTTTCTTCTTTGTTCCACCCTTTGGAGGCCTGAATATCTAGTTAGATCGTCGTCGTTGATGGCGAGATCAGGGATTCTTACATTGAGCACGGTGCAGAATGTTGGAGCTCATCGCGGACGAACAGCGACGACTCACGATCCAACAGACGCGCTGTGGCCGTGCATGAACGTGGGAACCCTTCCACATTTGGCAATTTGATGTTTCTTCAGCCGCCGCGAAATTCAGTTCTGCTTTTCAATTTCCTCCACTTTCCCCAGGCCTTGTTTCTTCTAACACCACGATTATGGGGCCCAAACCGATATTGAAACGAAAGGCTCAGTCGCAGCCGGCGACAAAGTCCAAAAAAATCCACCTGGATAAGGCTGAAAAGCCTGAAAAGAAGCGAAGTCGACCTGTGACCGCGACCTTGCCTCCACCAGAGGCCAGTGGGACCGACTCTGAAGATGACGACGAGGATCAGGCTGCAGACGATGAGGAAGACGAATGGGATGGTGTTGACGACGACGGCGACGTGGAGATGGAGAACGAATCGCCTCAAAACGCTACAAAACCAGCAAAAGATCCCAACGGTATGTCTATTGAAATTCTACATTGATTCTGTATTGAAAATTATGTTCTAACCCACCAAAGCTGCCAGGGAATCGCACAAAGCACAAAAGGCATTGCTTCAGGAACGCAAGGCGGCCAAACCGCATTCGAATCTGTTGGCTGAAGCCAAACGTATCTGGGCTCTCGCCCGAAAAAAGGACATCAAACCTGCCGAACGACAGAAACATGTCCAGGAACTCATGTCCACGATCAGGGGAAAGGTCAAGGAGATTGTGTTCAAGCACGATGCCAGTCGTATTGTGCAGACGATCGTCAAGTATGGAGGACAGAAGGAGCGAGACGAGATTGCTTCGGAGCTGAAGGGCAGGTTCAGGGAGTTGGCGCAGAACAAGTATTCCAAGGTGAATAACCCTCTTTTCTGGCCGAAGAAAATGCTAATGGTCCTTTAGTTCTTGGTGACCAAGCTTATTCGATTCTGTTCCTCGCAACGACAGTCGATACTATTGGAATTCCAACCTCAAGTTCTCCGCTTGTTGCTTCACCGCGAAGCTACCTCCGTGCTCGCAGATGCCTTCGAACTCTACGCCAACGCCTACGAACGGTCCATCCTTCTCCGTGAATTCTATGGCAAGGAAGCCACTCTCTTCACAATAACATCCGGCAGCGAGGAGGACAAGGAGAAGGCCCGCAAGGGCCTCAACGGGTACCTCGAGGGTGTGGACGTCGAACGGAAACGACGAATCATCAGATCGGTCAAGGAAAACCTGACGACAGTGTATGTGCTCTTCATACCTCCCCGGAAGCTTGAATTGACTCAGTCAATAGTTTCAACAACCCAGATAAGGGTGCCGTGACACACGCCATCATCCACAGGGTGCTATGGGAGTACCTGCAGGCCCTGAACTCTCTTCCCGAGGAGGAGGAACGGGAAAAGCTTCGCAGAGAGATGTTTGAGACGTAAGTGGGGCTATTTATGCATCGAACGACGACTCTAACCATGATCTCCAGTTGCCAGGAAGTCCTCGCCGAAATGGTACACACCAAAGACGGAAGCAGGGTCGTCCGTGAATTCCTGGCCTGTGGAACTGCCAAAGACCGGAAGCAGATCCTCAAAGTGCTCAAGCCACACATCGAACGAATGTGCCTCGACGACGAAGCCCAACTCGTTCTCTTCACCGCACTGGATGTTACCGAGTACGTTTGACCAATCGTTTCCACCCGCGACTCCCTTCCCTGACATCTTTTCAGCGACACAAAACTCCTCGCCAAGTCCATAGTCTCAGAAATCGTCAACTCGGCCGAAAAGCTCTACACGACCGTCCAAGGACGTCGCGCCCTCCTCTATCTCATCGTCCCGCGCTCAAGACGACACTTCACCCCCGCCCAAATCGCCTCGCTGGCCGAAACAGACGAGACCAGGTCCCGGACGAGCAAAAAGTCGCCCGAGAACAGGGAGAGCGAGATCCGCACATCCGCGAGCGAGGGGCTGATATCGTGGGTCCAGGAGGAAGCTTCGACGCTCATCAGGGATCCTGGCGCCAGCTTGGTCGTCACCGACATCATGCTGAACGCTGAAGGTGACAAGTCGAGTGCCATCGCTTCGCTTCTTAGCGCTATCACCATCCCTTACCCACCCGACGAAATCTCGAAAGACGCGCACCCTATCGATCTGGCTCATACCTCCCGGCTCTACAAAACCCTCCTGCAAGGCGGCCATTATAACCACAAGACCCAGTCTATCGAGCCTGCTCGGGATTGGAAGCCGGCAGCGTTCGCGGTCCAGTTTGTCAACACCTTGGGCAAGGACCTCGTCGTGGCGATGTGCACCAAGGGCGAGCAGAACGGGTGCTTCGTCGTTGCGGAGCTCTGCCAGGCGCTCGTTAGTGGTGACGAAAAGGAGGCGAGGAAGAGCGTGAAAGAGTGGTTTACGAAGGAGGTTAGGAAGACGGTGGAGGACAGCGAGGCGAGGGGTAAGAAGGTTCTCCTGGAGAAGTTGGAATTGTTGTAGATTGAGTAGATAATTCCCTTCTTTATGCTCTTGCTTACTTCTTGACCCTGTTGCCAGTTGGGAGCTCCCCGGTGTGATTGGTAGGGAGGATAATGAGACCCCTATTTCAATTTGTCATCATTGTGATCCGTTTTTTCGTGAATTCAACGGGGCCCGGCGCTCGTCGCGCTCGTTTCGCGACTTGAACTTCATCCTCAATGGCGCCCATAAGGACAGGTCCTGGGCCCAGCGCAGACAACACTCCGAGCCAGTCGTCGTCTTGGAATACGACGGCGAACGGATCCTTGTCCCACGACCTGGTCCCGGTAGTACCTTCCAAGTACGTTCAACTTCCATTCACGAGACAGAACGCCTATCGATCGAAATTGACTGGCAGGATGTATACAGGCTTGCGCAGAGGCATTTTGCTGAGCTTAAAACATGGACGCCGGAGCGGTTTGAGTTCAGGACGAATGAACTCCGGGCGTGTGCTGGTGAATGGACCAAAATATCTGAAGCTTCCTTGGCGACGGTTCTTCCGCTTGTCAACGTCCTGAGGGTTACTAAAGGTGAGTGGCACACTGTCACAGCACCTTGTCCTCCACTTTGGAATTCTCATTCTGTGGCCTTCACCAGCTCGTCACTCGACCCAGATGATCCAGATCAATGTCGAGGTTCGGTCTGAGGTCTGCGACGAGCCAACGGGTCAGAGAGTGACCGTCAAAGTCAAGCCTGATAGCAAAATAGGAATTCTCCACGATGCTATCGAAAAGGTTCTCGGTATAGCCCGCGACGCACAGCGCCTGCTGTACGGTGGAAGAAGGGTCGATATAACAAGTGGCACTTTCGCGGACTACGGCATCAAGTCGGGCGATACCATTATCGTCTACAATGTCCTGCGAGGAGGGAAGCCGGTCATATATCTCTTCTCTCCCGTGGAAAGAGAGGTCTCCGTCAAGCTCTCGCTCGTCCCCCAATGGGAATTCTCAGCTATATACCCCGTGGTGCCAGTGAAGACTGCGAGTGCGGGTTCAGGCCAAGAAATCGAATGGACTGTCACAACGTCAGCTGACGGATCGCTCAAGGAACGAACGACAGGATTGGAAGTCGCCTACCTATTCTGGGAAGCAGAGTGAGTGTGCGCGTTGCTTCTTTCAGCTTCTTTTTCCCGTTCGAGCTGACCGACTCGGATGCCGTGCCAGGACGACCCGTGTTGCGCCCCTGTCACCTCCTCCCACACCGACGATCGCTGCTACGGATCCGGGCGATGGTCCCTTGCAGGAGGTATTCGTACCAAATGATGCGCATTTGTGTAGTGAAAATTCGGTGGTTGTCGAGACGAGCAAGGTGACGCCGTATCTGGATGGTGCGCTGAAGGCCCTCGGGCTTCACACAGAAGCGCGCACTTCGTTCATCACGTTCGTCTCCGCCTGTCTTTGCCGTTTCGACACTAACAAGGTTTGTCTAGCTACTGGCTTCCAGCAATTCTGAAGCACGAATACGTCGCGTTGCGGTTCTTACCCCAGTCGGCTTACGAAAGAGCGGCTCCTCTCGACATTACGCCAGCCCCTGACGTTGTCCTTCGCATATTTATGCTCTTCAAGGGCGTCGATCAAGGCGAACTTGAAGAAGATTGGAAACAGGCTGCATACCGAGCCACTGAACCGGTGGGGCGATGGGTTCAGGTTGTCGGTGTTGATGTGCCCAAGGCCACCGATCCTCAATCGTTTCGGGTGGTTGAATGGGGAGGAATGGAAATCCATCGTTGACCGGCCATTGGTGTCCACCAGTCAGACACTTACCGAAGATCACTCACATTCGGCACCCTCGATTTCGTTTGCTACCGCTGCGTCCATCGTCTTTAGGCTCGGAATCTGGATGGTACCTGACACTGTGTTATTCGTAAGCGTTCGAACCTTGCACGCCCTTGGAAATCGCATCTCAGCTATAATTCGCTTCAAACATGCTCTCTTGCTGCAGATGCCAACAGGCAAATTAAAAAAACTCTGATATTCGGGCGAAGCAATGATTCTGAAAGAGGAATGTACGGTACGCGCAAGCGCGCCTGACGCATCATGCCGCTAGTCGTTTCAGCTATTTTTAGCACACTACAGTGCACCCCCATTTCATAAGCTGGATTCTAGGCCAAGGTACGATCCTACTTGGCATATTTCGGTTTGAGAACTGCCACGCTTGCTTCTAGGACCATGCACTCAAACACGGAGTGCCCGAGTTCCCCGTAGTGAACCAACTCGTACCTGTACCAGGAGAGAAACATTCAAACACGCCACCCGACGGCTTAATCTCTCCACCTAGTGTTTGGCGCCGCCACTCGAGTAGGCTCTCTCTCGATACCGACACTATTCTGGTACCATTCACGTCGCATTGCACCTGGGGGAACCGTGAGTGTTTTAATATGCCTAAACGGCCTCGCGAATATTGCGCTTCGCGCAACAATCACCGAGGCATCTGGCGTCAGAGGCGCACGTTACCGCGGTCAAAGCTCCCAATCTCTGCGCGCTGCATAAATCCAGAGTAGAACCGCCAAACTGGCTCAATTGCGTTTTTACAGATTGGAAAGTTCGACCCTGACTCTGGAAAGGCAGTGACATGCGCAACTCAGAATCAAGAGATTGCCTTTTTCTTGCCGCGATCTTCCTTGGATCGTCTCTGGTGCAGATGTGGACAAGGAGGTAGGCAGACTGGTGGGTGGTGCTGGTGGTGCTGATGATGCATGTCTATCTGCGGGCGCCTTCACGGCGTGCGGTTGCTTTGATACAGATGGCGGGGCTTACAGTAACGCCAACCATGCAACTGATCTCACCACTGGCCATACCTCTCTCTGATGTCTAGAAGCAAAGCATCATCGCTCACGGCATTTGGCTCTTGCTGCTCATGCTCCGTGGGGGCCTGCGGTAAGTCTTTATATAGAAAATTGACGACTTTCACGGGTCAGATGGCGGTGGCCTGCCCAGAGGGTCGGAATGCCCCTCAAGTATTGGCGAATTCATACCACCTGCCTTGTTAATTTCCAAAACGGATCGGTCTAAAAACGCGACAGCCCTTTGTTCTCTATATGCAAGATTATAGACACGTCTTAAAAGGGAGTTCACTTAGATCCCGGACTTCACACCCAGTGTCAAGATCGAATATCAGCGTGGTCGAACAGGTTTCACACAGGCCCAGCTGAAAAAGCTGCGACGATGTACGAGGCGGGAACTGTCGCGTCTGTAGGGAGGCGGCTGAGTGTAACAGCTTCGACGTGGATCACATAGCCCTGACTGTATTCAATAGAGATAGTTTGATTGAATGGAACAACCGAGGCCGACGCTCCCGTCTCACATGTAGGCGCCGCAGAACGTATCGTCGGGTTGCAGGGATATGAAATGCTAATCCATACGGCGTAGTCAACAGGCATTGTGCGTTATCTGAGCAGTCCAGAAAGGGCCGCCTCAACTGATGGCAAAAACAGATTTGAGGGACATGTTTTCACCCCGCTGCATTTGGGTATAAGTCGTGTCCATGACTGGTGACCGATCATTAGCTCTGACCTTTCTCCATCCGTTGGTTATCCTTGAAAGACGTGCCTTAATAGACCAAGTCCTTGTACCTTGCTCGACTGAATAGCCAGCCTAATCACGAAGTGATTATGTTTCACCGAGCTCGATGATTCCGAGAAACGTGGAAATTAGGCATAAAATAAGAGCCCAGCGGTATTCCCGGATAATGAGCAACCTGAGCTACGCCAAATAGACTTGGCTTTCCAGGAATAAACGAAGACGGGGAACATTCAATTCATTCCACCAAGTTGATACCCCCAAGCAGAGGGTGTACCGTTTAACGAGGGGTTAGAGCGAACAAACCGATGACCACAATGAACCTACGGTGCCACCAAAAGTGTCCCTTCCTGGATGACTCCCTATGCCTCGTGACGCCGCGAATGGCTTAGCTCTCCGACGAGAATGACCGCTGACCTGAGTCGACCACACCACTCCGCAGAAGAGGCTAAACCCACCAAGTTGAAAAGATCAGATTATCACCACCACCAACAAAAGAGTTGCACCGATAATCTGCGACGATCCACCGCAGACACCGAAGGGAAGCTGGGATACAAAAAAATTGATAGATATGGGCCAACCATCTCAGTTCGTTTCTCTCCCCGGAGTATCAAAGAAATGTCGCTTACCATTTTGGTCCGATGAAGACAGGGCAAAGGGAAGCAAACGGGCAGAGACGCAGACACCTCTGATCAGGCTTGACGACATGATATCAACCTCATCAAATGAAATGGTAGTGAAGGCCTTTCGTCGAATTGCAGTCCCCCCAGACGTCAGTCGTGCGGAAACGCGAAATCGCCCGAACATAAGAATCGTGTACACACACCAATGGCGCGGTCTCCACGTTAATCTTGCCTATGTCATGTAGTCGTGATATCAAGATCCGTAACGAGACTGGCGCGAGAAAACAGGGTGGTCAATGAGATTGGGGCAATCCGATAGTAATGTCCACCTACCGTCTCTCCACTCCCAGCCACGAGGCCTATGAAACGAGGTGCCCACCGGCGAACAAACCTAATCTGCTGGAGGACGGCCCCCACAGCTCCAAGCTCCCTCCGGCCTGCTTTCTGATACTACTAGAGGAGACGGAAGGCCTTCTGGTCGGAAAGTTGTCAACCCCATCGAGCTACCGCAGGAAAGGGAAACACTGCGCCAGTACCGCCTTCGCAGGAAAGGAACCCCCAAAACCCATCAGGAAGTGTTTAATCACAGGCGCGCGTGTCAACAGCGCGCTTGTAGATGCTCTATCGGGCGCTCTAAAGAAAGGTTCCTCTTGGATGAGGAATTATGGAGGAATTATTGCGATAAGAAGGCTCAACCAAGGTCCCATCAGTGCGCGTTAAAGCTGAGGGTTTCGTGGTGAGCCCCTTGCGGGCCCGAGAACAATATCGCCCGGAAGCTATGATATCAGAATATACAAGAATCCCAACACGGAAGTGGTAAAGTGGACGTTACGAAACTGCGACGATTCCTTCCCCCACAAATAGTAGTAAGACACCCAGGGTACAGTTCGCGATGTCCTCTTGACGGCATAACCTGTCCAATGGCCAGTCATGGGCGAAGGTTTGTGTACCATCTGTCTGCCCAGGCCATGGCCGCAATACATTCCCGGTCATCAGACAGCGGTTTAGTAGCCGAGAGCACGACTTCCTTACCCCCTTGGTTAACGGATAAACCTGCATCTACAGAGCTGGTTGAGTCATGACTTGACGCTGTTGGGCTCAGCTTGAAATCGCGAAGGATATACGTGGTCAGTGCGCCCGTAGGATATCCTAGAAGCGCGATAGGTGAATTCTGAGCCTAGATACATACCGTTTCCGACAGCGAGAGAATACCATGATGGCCTCACCGAAAGATGGGTATCCCGTAACAAACCTACCGGTAGTGGATCGAGCTATCTGCCAGTACACTGGACCACGAGATGGTTGATATCGAGCCGGACTAACTGCCAGTGCGAACTGCTGGAAACACGGGTTCCTTTGCGCTGACAGCTGTTTGCGCTGAGGACACCCAGTGGGCTTGTGAGAGAACGTGCTATCCCTCTCAGATACGCCAGATTCCGAATTCGCGGGCTTCTGTCGGACAGAGGAAACCCATTCAGGGCGCGGAATCCGACTCGGAATCTCATCGCCCTCCAAGATTTCATCAGTAAGGCTCAAGTTGAGAGCCAGGCGATGTGGGGAAGCGGTTATCAGTACACACAGCATCGTACGGTGCCAGTGGTCCTCTGCCACATGTCGCTTTGCCTGAAGATAGTCATTGTATACAGCAATTCGTGTCCCAGGTCCCTGAAAGAACGGGACTGCAAAGGTTCTATCAGCATTAGACCTCTGCAGGTCCGAGTCGTAACAGCCTAATTGATAGCGTCCAGACGCATCTTCCATGCCTGTCGGAATGAAAGCATTCGAGGAACTATCGAGAAGATGAAGATCAAGTCGGAGCCCAGGTCGGAGACGTCTGCAGGTGTTTGTCAAGTTGCCACAGAAGACAAGAGATCCGAAATGGCGAAGTTCCCTCAATAGCTGGTACAAACCCGGATTTGTTTCACCAGGATGGAAACAAAAGCAGGAGGCTGTTCCGCCCGAGAACGCACAAAAGATAGTCTTTCGCCAAAGCCTCGAGCATCATCAAAGAGGCATTGAAAGCATCTCCGACAAATGCCTGACACATTTCCCAGCCCCTTGCATATGCATAGACTTAGGGGCCGGGACGTACTACGAAGCCGTTAGCATCGCTTTGCTGATCTGTATGCAAACCACGAACTGATCGCCAGATGAACGTTTTGCCAGTTGCAAACAGTCATTTTTCTCCTTTGAATAAGGCAGATATATCAGGGACATTAGCGCTAAGATCGTCCAGCCGCGGTAGTGGTTGTGGAAAGAAGACAAGAGGGGCCTAAGCAAACTTGGATCGCGTGGCAGCGTGACACGGACGCGTTGCAGTCACGGCCACGTGACCAATATTTGTTGTGACGGACGCGTCACTCACTGCCTCCCGCGCCAGGGCTTTCTACCCAACCACCACCATGGCCAGACCGCCCATCTCTGGGATTTTTCGAGAAAAGCTCGTTCTAGGTGCTAAACTCGAGGTCTTACGAAGTCAAGAAAGCGACTATGAACGCTTGATTAAACAGCTTACCGACCTCAAGGCGACAGTGACTCATGAACGGCGAAATTTAGAAGAACGGGTCAAAGAACTGGACGCCCTAGGCTTGCCCATAAACTGGCTTCCAAACGAGCTTATTGGGCAGATTCTCGCAATTGCAGTGGAATTGGAGGTCTCCGAGCGGCCGGAATCGTCCCCGAAACCGTTGGTTGTCCCCGTTCTGTTGTCGCAAGTCTGCCGGCGATGGCGGGATGTCGCGCGCAGCACACCGCAAATCTGGTCAAACCTCCATTTTCGATTGTATTCCCTCCGCGATGTGAGGCGAAACCAAAACTTCGTGTCTCGTTCTGGGACCGTTCCTCTGAAGGTGCGGATTTGGAACACGGGCGATGCCAACAGCCAGAGTCTGCTTGGATTGGGCCCAGCTTCAGAACGAGGCGTTGCTGTCAATGTAATCGACATTCTGAAACCGCTCTGCAATCGAATCCAGCGCCTCGAAGTCGGTACTCGAAGCCCAGAGGGAATTGTCCCAGTCATCAAATTTCTCAACGACCCGGCCTGGCCCCTCCCACTACTCGAGTTCGCGTCTTTATCCATCATTTCTGCTCGGCCTCCTCTCTTCACGAGCGCATCCCGCGCGCTTCTCCGCAACAACGAGCTCCAAACTAATGCGGTTGCCCCGGCATTGTGTAACCTCAAGCATCTCAAGTTTGAAGAGGTCCCTATTACGACTCTCCCAAGCTACTATATCGCCAATTTGTCATCGCTAGAGTTGGTCTTCGGCCCTCGCAAAACAGGACCAACTTCCTCCCATTCGCTATCTCGATATTATCTCAAGCTTTCGTCTGTTCTTCGGATCCTTTCCCAAGCCCAAAGATTGGAAGAGCTCACTCTCAGCAACACCGTCCCGATCTTCGACGTTGTTTCACCTGACGGCACGGAAGTTTCTGGCCCTTCTGGCCTTGAAGTAGTTCGAATGCTGCCCGTTAAGCTCGAGCACTTAAAAACTATCAACTGGAACTACCCGACTGCCGGCGACGTTTATCGGGTGATGAGGTTCCTCCAATGTCCGGCTGTGGAGAGATTGGATCTCTTCCTAGATGGAAAGCACGCTAGGCAAGATCCATTGCTATGGAGAGGTTATGTAGAAGCGGCAAATGGGTCAACCGCGTTGCCAATGGCCGCAATCCAATTCCCATCACTCCGAGACCTTACCTTCCAGTGCCCGGACGACGACTACTCCTCCTCCGCTCTCCGCAAATTCGCATTCCCCGTTCTCGAAAAATTCGAGCTTATCAACGTCGATAGAGCCCCTAAATCCACGAAAGAAGACACCATTTCGAAGCCATGGCCATCCCTCCCTCGAATCGAATCCATTTTTCGCGATCCACGGCTCTTCCATCTCACCCACCTCACCCTCTCCTACTTCCAATTCACGATCGATCATCGGCGAGCTGAGGCTGTACTGGGCTACATGCCCGTGCTGACCTCCCTCTCCCTCGATTCATGCCTCGGGGTGGAGAACCTAATCCGGGTCTTAGAAGACAAAGCCATCATCCCACTTGCCTTCCACAGCCCCTCGCCGTCCGCGAACGCGCGGACACGTCGTGGCGTCAAGGTTTGTCCCCGCTTGGAGTCACTCTCATTTTGGGGGTGTGATGATCTGGACCTCCCAGTTTTGCTCAGTGTCGTGTGTGCCAGGAAAGGCGACGATAACGGAGCTGCGCTGGGACCAGAAGGTCATTCTCCTTCTGCGGCCACCCCGAATGGAGTTGGGACCAGCGTCACGGGGGCAGCTACCACCGCCCCGGGAGGCGGGAAGTCAAGTGAGCAGAAGGTGATGGGACAAGCCGCGCAGATTTTGGGGCGCAAAATTCGCCCTCTGCGTAAATCTGCGCGGCAGGCTGTGGTGAACGGAGGAGGGGCTTTGGGTGGTGGGGAAGGTGGGAATGCACCGTCGGTCAACATCGTTTCAGGCGTCCTCGCAGCCCAGGAAGCACTGAACCCTTCCCCGATCTCCTACATTCGGATCCACGATTGTCGCTTGATCAGTGAAGAGGCGGCTCTTTCCCTCAAGGAGGAGCATGGTGTTACAGATGTGATTTGGACAGCCCTTTCGGACGACGAGAGTGTGGACGACTCAGACTGGGATGGGGACGAAGCAGCCGACGACAACGCCTCCACCTCTTCCGACTCATCAGATGCGTCGGACCATGAACCACTATCATCTTCATAGGCCACATCCACTTTGACACGATTGTTTATTGTATTTTCTCCTGGTCCTTGTCATACATAGCGGGCCATACTAATAGTAACAACAGATGAACGAACTGTTCGATGTCGACATCCCGAGGGAGTGGTACAGGCAAATCCCAACCCATCATATCTTGCGGATCGATGACTGCTATGTCGTCTGGTCGGGCTGGTTCGTCTCCTGCATGACTCACATAATAGAACTTCTGTCTGGAACATCTACGACCGTTCCCATACGCTGCCAACTTCCGGGTGTAGCCGCTGGATCAAGGGATTAGCGCACGAACGGCTTTGTGGAGCTCAGGTCGATGGGAACAAAGTATTCACCTGGTCTGGGATCGCGGTATTGGCCAATGCCGTTAAGACGCCCTAATGTAATGATTCAGGGTCTGAAGTCGACAGGCGAATGAGGGCTGCGAGAACACACCTGTCCCGTCCACCTTTCAGTCTCAGACACTTCATTGGGCTTAATGAAATCCTGAGAGGTTCGAGACGCGAACACCATCTGGACCGCTGCTGCTTTGATCACCGTGTCCTGACTGGCGGGTGCTGGCACCGGCTGGCTTGACGTCTCTCGTTGCGACATTACAGGCTTCACAGGCCCTGTCGTAAGAGGCGCGGTTGCAGATGGCCTATTTTTGGCTGAATGCCCACTCCAACAGTGTGCCAGATGGAAGAGATGGAACGTTTCCATCTACCGTGATCGACTTCAATAGACTGTGGGATGGCATAGGTTTCCACTGGTTATCACTTACCTCAAGTGTAGCAGCCTCCGGGTTCGACTGAAGCAGATGAGCAATCAAGTCCTCATTGTGGTCCGGAAACGAAGTCTGGCGGCCTTGAGACGAATAGAAGCTGGTTTTGGGTTAGCGCGCTCGGTGTTGTATTACCCACAATGTTGACGAACCTGTCAGCAGAGGCATTGACGGTGCCTGTGAGAATGACGGCCTGGGATTGAGGTGGTTTGGCGCCTTGAACGGCTTTGCGGACCTGTTGTTAAGGCCTCCGTGTCAGAATTTAGACTAATTTCTTTGATTTATTGCCGCTGCGTACCGTCTCATGGAGTTCCGGATCCGCGGAAACCTGCATACATGTTCGTATGCGTTTATGAAGCGGTCAGTAGACGGATATCGAGGGCGGAGGAGGCTTACAGGCTTGCTGATTCGATACGCGGGTTCCCGGTTGTCCTCAGGATGAACAAAATCGAAGTCGACGTTCCGGTTAATCGCCACGCTCGCTTTTGGAACGACAACGGAGCCGACAGGTATGTCGACAAGACCACCGCAAGAGCCCAGCCTTTAGTAAACATACTCTGAGTTTCGGCAACAGGCGGTGGCAAAGCCAAAACGGTTAACCTTATGATTACCATATCTCCTGTAACACATTCCCTGACTTCGCGAATGAAGAAGTCCATGTTGGGACTGCCCATTCCAATACTGACAATAGAGACAGGGACATTTCGAAATCGCCCAGTGATTGTCAAGAATCCCCGCTCGGAGGACAATACAAATGGCTTCGGTTCCGCGTCCAGCAAGCTTGCGAGACCATTCGCTCTGGAGGGCGAGCCCACAGTAATCTAAAAATACGATACGAGAAAACATCAGTCAAATTACAGCACAACATGACACCCTGATAGTTACAATCCTGTTGGCCACCTCCCCTGCCTTCAATCCCAGGTGATAGACGCGGAGATCATCCGTTCGAGGGAAATCTAGAAAACCATACGGTGAATCATGTTCTGATACATGTAACATTGTGGCTACTCACTCGCATCCGTCAATGTATCCTTCATTTTCTGTCTTGGGCGGCTGTTCTCCTAACTCGAATGAATATCTTTGAGCCTTCGCTCTTTGGAAAGGGAAGAATCGAACCCTGGCTCTTATCAAACCTTCATCAGACCACTTCCATCCTCGTGATCCTTGAACCCTCTTTCGACCCCCGCGCCTCTCGGAACTCACTTACGTCATATCCGCCTCTGTCCCCAAATAGCCACCAACGCGTTCCGACTCGAAACGCGCCTGAGAGGAGTCTGGAGAGGCTAAAACGGACTGGAAAGTTCTCTTGTAAAAACTTCATCCCCCCGCTGTCTTGCAGCAATCGACGGAATGTCGAATAGTTTCTCATGACTAGCCCCCGAGCTACTTTCCGAACTTCTTCGAGCACCATAAGTTGTTGCCAAGACTGGGGAACGGCAACAATCTGCCACCCGCCTCGCTTAATTTCCCAGTCCCATTGGTCCAATCTTAAAGGCAAACTAACGGCGTTCCTGTCCTAACGTACATACACAGAGTTTAGCCCAATTTCCTCCCCTGGGCCTGGACCCTAAATGTCAGTACTCATAAGGGGATGTTCTTGGTGATCGAAGGGAGTTGAAGGTATATGTCAAGACAGCTGGCGCCTATGCTGCTCGTTTCCGAAGACGCCTCCTAAGTCACTTCCTCCCACTGAACATCAAATATATCACTTTCCGTTGGCTGCGTATGATTCGTCGAGCGCTGCGTTCCCAAATATCAGAGACCATGCGCCACGGGCCTTTATCGATGCGTAACGACAGATTCTGTGAGGTGCCGTCTAAAGGCATCTATGGCATCTTTCGTCATCCACACCGGCCATCATAAATGGTGGGTAGAGTGCTCCTTCAGATCACGGATGTCTCAAAGCTCCTCATGGTGGGCTTCGAGCGTGTTCTGTTCATCCGCCCACCCCTCGGGGGCTAAGCCTAAGTTTTCGACGAATGTTGAGTTGCCTCGATCGTTCCTTCGCTCCCTCCGACGGCAGTTGCTGTTGAAATGCTTCTAGCTGGTCACAAGAGCTGTCTGCCCATTTCCCACTGTGCTGGCACTCGTTCGGCAATGAAGTTTTTGAAATCAAACATACCGACCTCGACCCTCTGGAAACCAGAGGTTCTTGGGGCTTTCTCATGTCAAGCGGTCCATCGACGGTGCCAACCTAAACCGTTGAGTCTTTGATCGACAGATTCCACACCCTCCCATAACGTTAGCGACATAGTCAATGCTATGTTTAATGGCCAGCGATGAAGCAAAAGTACCAGACGTACTATGACATACATCTCTTCTGGGGATACCCGCTAGGAGGACTGGGATGCTGCGATAATGCGTCTCAGAATGTATATCTTTGGTAATACTCCCGCCTGTTTCGGGGAATCCAAACTCTACGCGACATCACCCACCTTGGAGCGCTTGGCCCAATAAGCATGACAGGTGCGATTGTATCCGTCCGGTGGAAACCGCAAGTCGAGTCGACCCTGACTGTTTGGCGCCCATCCGGCTCGTACAATTATGTACTACTGGTTCAATTCGCGCTTTCGCCATCGACAGCAACAACGCTTATAACCTCGCAGACCCTCTCGCCTCTCCATATATTTTGGGACCGTTTGGTGAAACACGTCTTCAGAAAATATTCGAAGACAGAGAAGGGAAATAGATCTGGGCTCCTGGGTAACGAGCCAGATCTCTCCGGGTCAACATCTAGGATCTAAACTTCAGATCGTTTTGCTGAGAGACCGTATTTGACACTGTTGTGACATCTCCTTTGATTTCGTGGGATTTGGCGGGGGTTTGCAGGGTCTTGCACCCACAGTGGCGGGATGCCGTACAGCCTTACCTTCTCCCAGCCAGAGGCTCCTTGGACCCATCTGCGCAGTACTGGTGAGTCCTCTCGCCACAAAAGCCCGTGGGGAGCATGTAACGTCATGAGGTCGTTGGTGAGCGGTATTTGTGCGCTCGAATTATTGGTCTTGAGCGCGGACCCAGCTCCCAGTTTTGGAAGCATATGTTCCCGGTAAAATGGTGGGATTAGGAAACATCAAGAAAGGCAGTTTGTTTGACCTCAATCGCTCAGAATTCTCGGAAGGGGATCAATGAGGGTACCAATGAGCCAGGGTTGGAAGCTGAAGAAGTTCATCAATCCGGGTAGTGACGAACTCAGCGACGGGCCAGATTCGCTGGACGATCAACCAAACCGATCCAGTCAGTTCCCGAAACAGACTTACGGGGCTTAGATCAGAGTCACTCGCCAATTTCGACAAAGAGAAAAGAGGAGCGTTGAAGCCAGGAACATATATCTTAGGCTTCTTTACGCCATAACGACCTTTCGCTCTATTTTCCTTTTCCTCTATCTGAGACCTCCGCACAGGCCTCGATCATCTTTGGGGCCCCTCTCGCCTTATCCTCCTCTCTCGCATACGGTCGTCAGATAAACACTATCTTCGCGTACCACGTCCAACTCCCCATGAACCGCCTTCAAAGTTATTCGCAGTCCCTCTACGGACACCATCCCACTGAGAAACGGAGTCTACGGTCAAACTTTACAGGACGCGAGGAGCGCGCAGCCTCGCTATCCGGGTCTGAAGACGGGCATCATCATGGCGGCGGTTATGAGTCGGCAAAACACGACGAGACTGAAGGTGAGTTGGAACTTTAGGTTTATACTTGGACCTTCTTTAGCTTACTTTATTATTATTCCTAGTCGACGGCGCCGACCTGTCACTGACTTCGCAAACATTGAACGCTGATGGAACCCCGAAAAGGCCCATGAACGCCTTCATGATCTTTGCTCGCCGCCGACGTCCTCAAGTCTCAGCCGAAAACCAGTCACTACGCACTGGAGAAGTGAGCAAGTTGTTGAGTAAAGAATGGAGTACGATGCCCGCGGTAAATAGTTCTTGCCCCCACATCCGTCCACCCTCCCTAATCGTTGTCCTAGTCGGAGAAACAGTTCTATCAAGAACAAGCAAAACTCTTGAAGGATTCCTTCAACTCAAAATATCCTGACTATGTCTATCGTCGACGACCAAACAATTCGCGTCGCCGGCGACGTTCCGACGCCAGTCTGAAGGCGCCGGATGACATAACGGGGGACATGGGCGACGACGCGATCTCACCTGGCGGAGGTTTCGACTCGCCAACGGATCCCGACGACCACTTCGACGCTGGCAGCGACCACTCTTATTCCCGCCTATCACACGAACCGCCCCTCTTTGGTGACCCATCTGGGATAAAATATCCTGCCGCTCGCTCCGCCCACCATCCCTCCAACGACCTCTACTTCCGACACCCGAGCAACACCAATGATCCCCGGCTTTCCTTTAACACCTCAGGATCTGATCGTATGTCCCAGAACATGGCGCCATCTCTGCTTCAACAGCCACGAATCCAGCAGTCACTGCAACATTCGACCGGGAATTACGGTTATGGCCAATCTTCCTCGTCCGGCGGAACATTCAACTCTCAGCAGGGTTGGAACGCACGGATACCGCGCGAGCCCTCACTATGGTCCGGCGGTCTTCACCAGGACCGCACTAATTCGAGTTTAGACCTCAAGCCGATCGGCCTTGGGTCCTCGGATAACTGGAGCCACTCTCCGACTTCCAGCACTGGAAGTTCCAACGGGTCCCAGCAGCACCTATTTGGTTCGCTGAACCCATCATACAGTCCCAACCCGAACCAACCCAACCAACCCTCCTACAAGACGACTTCTTCCACCTCCCAATATGCCCCGTCGAATTCCATGCATCTGGCATCCAATCGCAGCTATGATCCCCGCGGAACATCTGTTCTAGGGCTTGGGGAACCACTGGTTTACCCTGCTCGCAATATGTCCCGAGAACTTCCTCCCGTGCACACGATCCCCGGATACTCATCTCAGTCTCCATCGAGTGGCGGTCAGATGGGGGCAACTCAGGGTTACCAGTGGCCGAGAGAATTCTATCTGAACGGTCGCAGTGACCTGGACCTGATGGGGGTCTCAACCCTAAAGGACCAGTAGTAGAAAACGCGACAGCTTTTGATTATGTATCCCCATTTCACTTATTCACCGCCTAATGATGTACCGCCGCATAGTCGTGACGGTTTTCTATTTTCTTGTTCGCCGACCACGGTGTTTATCCGCATATGCTATCCATCTTTCGTTGCTACAATTAGTCATGTATTTGTTTCGTCATAGCGTCCTCGATTCTGGTTCAATTCATTCGTATAGTATTATATGGCTAGCAATTCAATTCAAATCTATTGGTGTCGTGGTTGTTTGTAGATCCTCGCTCGTAAAACATGCGGTTCCGCACGTTAGATGCCCCAAATTCTCACTAGGCGTAACCCGGAGTACTCGAATCGTTTCTCCATTGTGAACGAGAGCTCCCTCGGAGTCAACGATGACCAGAACCGGCGGCTCCACAACATTCATTCGGTCTTACTACCACATACGTGTTCTTCATTTCCTAGAATATTCGATAGCTCGTCTGGGCAAGACTTAGTGCACTGTTTCCGCACCTTCTAATCCCCGTGTGCAATTGTGATGGTGGATTTTCCCTCATTCCAGTACGCTGGAACTCATACGCCATCATCAACCTCAAGCACCCATCAACTTGATCCTACAAGTGTCTACGATGATGCGAAAAGAGCAAGTGATGCAATCGGCATTTGCCAAGGTAGAATTTCGATTGGCCCTCTAGAAGTGTCGCATGAACGTCCTGGGGATCTTTGGACATCTTCGAGAATACGGGGAGTGCCGCCCAGAACACTGCGGGAGATGATGGTGGCTCGCGACTGGGGCACTTGCGCCAGCGTCTGGAGATCCGCTGAAAGAGAAGTCCACTTGACCAGCTCACATGGAATGAAATTAATTCTTGCCTCAAGGCTCGCCAGGGCGCTAGATAGGGACTCGGGCTTACCAAATATGGTAACACCGAGTATCATCCGCTACGCTCTCCTCCTTGCCAGGCCTCACTCACACAGATGTCTTCCATCAATTTGGAGCTCCAAGTCAAGGATAGACTTGGCTGTGAGAGGCTAAGTCCCCAAGGTAGCACCAATAGTAAGCTTCCAGCTACTCGTCGCACAAAGTTGCTTCGAATAGGGGCATCAACCAGGGGGTCAATAGGAACGCGGGGAAAATTCTTGGAAATTTCCAAGACTTCCGGGGACCGTCGTTACCGGGTCAGCCGGCCGTGGCTTACAGCTGCTCGTGAATTTCATTCAGAATCATGACGCTGCTGGCGGGCGAACGTTAAATACCAGGTTTAAGGCTTCCCTGATTCGCAATTCACATTATGGCTCCCCAAGCATACGTCCAGCCCATCGTCGCGTCGACCAGCGTCTTCAAGACCGACCTTTTCAACGGAAAGGTGCTATTTTGCACAGGTGGTGGTTCGGGAATATGCAAGGGAATGACGGAAGCCATGGTGCGCTTCTTCCACCTATTTCTTGACTAGAAGATACTCAAAGTCCTTCCATTCAGATGCGTCATGGAGCTAATGCTACCATTGTCGGACGAAAGTATGGCAGTATCAATCCAACGGCAAAGTTCCTCGCTAACCAATTCGCGTTACGTTTTTCCTGTCACCTCCAGGCTCGATCGTCTGCAGCAAAGTGCAAAGGAGCTGTCAGCAAAGACCGGTCGCGAGTGCTTGCCAGCCCAAGCCGACGTTCGCAACCCCGCTTCTCTGAAGGAAGCTGTCGCCAAAACCATCGAGAAGTTTGGTAGAATCGATTTTGTCATTTGTGGTAGGCACCACTATTTTGTTTCTGTTCGAAGGACGGTTGTGCGAGACTTCCATTTCAAGGTGCTGCTGGTAACTTCCTTGCGCCAATTTCTGGTGTCTCTGAGAATGCCTTCAAGACGGTGATGGAGATTGACACGGTACGTAGACGCCCGTTCGTCCAAACCTTGATGTGTACCGGTACTAACGATGGGTCTAATCCAGATTGGCACGTACAACACCATCAAGGCAACCATCGCTCACGTCCGTGCGGCAAAGGGTGCCTACATTCACGTCAGCGCGACGCTGCACTACAGTGGTTCGTGGTCATCTGATAAACTGGTTCCGGGGACGGTCTTCTCAAATTGCTCTCGTCACAGGAACCCCATACCAAGTCCACGTCTCCGCAGCCAAAGCCGGTGTGGACGCCTTATCTGCGGTGCTGGCAGTTGAGGAAGGTCCTCATGGTGTGAGATCGAACGTTATTGCGCCTGGACCCATCGCGGGTACGGAAGGCATGGACCGCCTCTCGCCCAAGACGCATGATGAGAGGTTTAACTCTGCGTACCCCGTGGGGCGTATGGGAGATGTAAAGGATATCGAGAACGCCACCGTGTTCCTGTTCAGCGACGCTGCCGCTTATATCACTGGCCAAGTCCTCCCGGTCGATGGTGGAACTGAGCACCTCCGTCACCAGTTCTTGCCGTACCCTCAGGCTGTCTTGGAGCCAGAGAAGGTCAAACACATGATCAAGGGGAAGTTGTAACAATCTAGGTTTATAGGGTACTTTGGGACATGAGGTTTTATCTTACCTGTAATAGTATATTCCTGACATATAACCTCGGGACGTTGGCTGACGTTGGACACTGGGACTTGAACGAGTCAGAAGGTCCATTCCGGTTTCTTAACACGGTCAACATAAGAATAGCCCGTGGGATGGACGTGGACATCCATCAGAAGGATATGTTTTCCTTCGAAACTGTCAACTCGACCGGGATAAATTCCGCTCCATGAAAATCATTGGTGGGCGTGTACGGCACAGGCGAGAGGCAACCGTATGCGTTTCATCAGGGCCTTGCACTGTTGACGACTGTCTGCCCCAGACGGCGCAAACAATCACGCCAGTACGCTCGAATCACTGTGATATCTCTAACGTCACCAGAAGAAGCAGCTCCACGGGATGGAGGGACCCACCTGACGCCTCGCTGTTCCCTGTCGGTCATGCCAGTGGCTAAAAGAAGGTAGGAAGGCGAGGAACAACTGTCAAGACCCTGTCGGATTTCCGTTTTGGTTGGGTTGAGAAAGGATAGAAGGGCATGTTCCAAGGGAAACTAGCAAGGTGCGATAGAATTCCACGATAAAGCCGCGCATCCGTTTATGGTCTTTAACGGTGAGAGATAACAGAGGGGACTATTGACAACGCGAGAACTCCTCTCGTTTTCCTTGCTCGTGTGTGGGATAAGTACGAGGTGTGGATTTTTAGCATTTTGTACATTGCATATCTATGCGAAGTAAGTAACGCTTACGCCGAAGGTAAGGATTAGCGAGTCAATTCAGTCCCTCGTTCAATACAATTCACTTACGTTCCGTGTTCCATCTATCGATGAGGGGTATGCAGATCTCAGATGGTTGAGTTGCCGATAATGCACCGTTTTCGATGACTAGATCAAGTCCTATCAGCTTCGACAGGCGCTGTGAACTGGGGTGTTGCAAGAATAGAGAACAGTTGACTGGTTCACTTTCCTGTTTGAAACATTGCTCGAGCCGGGTCCGTAGAGGAGCGAGATGCCTTCTGGGGTCCATGTGACCGCGAAGGAACCCAGGCGCCAAAGCTTCGCGAAAGGAGCCTGAGTGTTTGAAAGCCTTCTATGGTAATTTCAACGGCAGAATAACCCGATCAATATCCATGGAAGCTTTCGTCAAAAACTTGAATGTGAGCGTGACAGCCTGGGCAAAATCGTCCAAAGGGAGTCCTCGAGCGAGTTGATCGTTCACAAGGATTGGCGTCGAGAAGTTTTTCTTAATTGCAGGGCCCTGAAAATCAGAGAGTTGTTGGAGACAGCGGGTATGTTCATCAGAGTGGTTTCTTGTATAGTAATTCCCTAAAGGAGGGAGCGCTCGTCGTTAGAACGCAACTCCGCGCGATGAGAAAATGAGTGTCACTAGACCTGGCGCTGCTGGAGGAGAAGGATACCATTTCAGATGGAAGCCTAAAGTCAACCACATAACCAGCACAGATTCTCCGGTCTTGGCAGGCCTACCAGACTCGTGGTACAGAAGGACTGTCATCGAATCGTCGCTTTGAGGATGACATGAGGTCCGATTGGCTGCCCTATGGAAAGAATCGCCGACACCGGGAGGATGAGGAACAGCAGTGGACATTGAGATGAGATGAATCCTATACTTAGAATAATGGCACACTTGGCCGTCTTCGAGAGAAGTAGGCCAAGCCAGACATAGGTTCGGCACCGAGGGGTTCTGCGCGTAAGGGTATAGGCGGGGCAAGAGAAGGGATTAGATTCGTACTTCCTTTGCGGCCCTCCGACAAGAATATCCTCGAGATATCCACCATTTGTCCGAAGTTGTCGAGTCGATGCCCTGGAAAGGGAAGATGCGGGTGAGGCATGTTGTGAAATGAATTGAGACCGGAGCCGACGTAATTTTTACACAGTCGAAGAAGGTTCCGTGCTTTTGGGTGAACTGGGTTATTGTCTGCTTCGGGCCCATGGGGGATCAAGGGACGACAACGCTTCCGGATCCAGGACCATTAGGCCGACCCGTGGGGGTCGCATATAGTCAAGATTGAGATTGAGAGGCTCGCGGTCTTCATAGGAAGTGCACGAGGCATTCAGCTAGGGTTATAGCAGAAAGTCGGACAAATGAGAAGCATTGCATTTCGTCCCCCAGTTACAAAATACCAGTGTCGTGTGATCCCTTGTAGCGCTCGTCGGCAGTGGTAGAAACTAGAGGTCGACTCCGAGTTAAATGTCGGTAGCGAGAAGGTTTAATCCCACGATAGGGTACTCAGTTGAGCAGAGTGAAGTGGCGGGGCCAGATGTTGTTAGAGGTTCAAACAGTGTTGGAGGAAAACCTCCGAGAGCCGTCTTTATCAAGGTGTTCGACAGGCAAAATAGACATTCCAGCGAATGAGAAAAGGCCTTCTCACACCACAGATTTTTCCGTGTCGCGTAGCAGTCACTTCTCTTCTCTAGTGTGAACTTTCCTGGGTCCAAGAAGATTGCAAGAAGATGAGGTGAAAGGCAAAAGGTGCGACTCGGAAGCGGTTCGAACTCCCGCGACGGAGTTTGAAGTTGACTTACCGTATTTGTTCGTGCTTGATTCGGAGGCTAATGGCATCCGCTGGCCACATCGTCACTGCTGTTGGCGTCAACACTTTTCTTCTTCCTCACCGTTCTCAACAGCGACGACGACGACGAAATGGCACGACGAGCAGCACCCCCAGCAGAGCCTGCATACCTTCCCCACATCCCATCACAGGGCAGGCGTCTGGGAAATCCCGACGAATCTGGCTTTTCTCGGTGAGTTTGGACGCCAGCAGACAGCGAATTGCAATCCTAATGGAATTTCAAAAACAGATTTATTCGTGAAGAAATCTTTTCACCTGAGAAACTTCCAGGAAACCTTAGCATCTTGACCGCGTCTGTTTTGTTCGCTGGTGGCATTGCTGCCGTTCGGACCTGGGGCGAACTTATGGTCCCCGTGTAATCCGTGGAGAAACCAACCTGACCGTGTTTTGGTTTAAAATTATGCTTAGGTTCGTCACACTGGTCACTTCTGTATCACAAATGCTAATGGCCATTTGTCAATAGACTGTATTATCCTATAATATCCTTTATTGCATGTATATCTGCTGCACAACCATGCTCATTTGTCACGACTGTCTGGTTTCCGATCGACTGGTGCACAAGTTCGCCATGGCCACGTTAAACTCCACACCTATCTGCTCGTAGTCATTGCCAAACACTTGGGGCTCTCGGCGGTGCATACGCCGTAGACATTTGGGACTGTTTGACTGAGAATTACTCCAAGTTTGGGAACTCAAACACCGTCTTGGGCAACTGTTTCGTCTGCCCCACACGAAATCTACACCGACGTTCATGTGCGCAGTTGGGATTTTAAGGTCGTCTTTGGTTCGTGAGTCGCTCTGACTTACACAGTGTTCACTCAAGCTCCAATACCCTTACCACCTTCGACCAGACAGAGACAGCAAGACTCGGCACCCTCAGCTAGACCCGTCTTGTCTGTGGTGACCTCGGTCTTCGAATTGGTATAAAAGCAGGCGACAGCTGAACCATGAACTGCATCCACCCCACCTGGTTTTCCGCACAGTCAACAAGCCGACATCGCAGAACACTCCGTCACCTTTCAACATCATTTTCAGCATGCACCCAATCGCACTCCCTCTTTCCGTCGCCATCGCCGCCCTCCCCTTCTTGACCGGATCCAATGCCCAGGACGCCTCTTCGACCATCGACTCTCTTTCCCAAAGCCAATCCGCGACTTCAGAGTCCGTCTCCCCTTCTGGTAGTTCCGTCGCGGGCGGTGCTGGCGGCTCCCAACCAGGAGGGTCCTCCAATTCCCAATTCCAGCTTCAAGAATACCTCACATTCTTGAACGACTCCGGCTACAGCTCCCTCTCGAGCGCCATCCAACAAGCCAACGAGACGGAGAGCGGTCAGCAATGGCTTTCTCAGCTCTCGGATGGTAGCTGGACTGTGTTTGCACCGACCAACGAAGCCTGTGAGCAGCTTTTTCCATGCCAGCCTCATTTCCGATGCTGACGCGTTTTTCGTAGTCTCTTCTGTTCCCCAAGAAGTTTCGAGCAATGGCACCGCGCTCGCCGACTACCTTTCTTACCATTACGTCTATGGTGACTTGCGACAGGGTGTCGTCGGTACGCCACTTAACGGCGGTGGTGGAGGCGGGGGTGGCTCCGGCGTTCCACAGTCCACTTGTATCAACCAACTCCAAGGCGGCGGAGGTGGTGGTGGTACATGCCTGACTGGTACTCCAACTGGCACCCCAACTGGCACCCCCCAAGGTGGTGGGGGCGGCGGTGGGGGCGGGGGAGGTACTGGCGTTCCTCAGTCAAATTGTATCAACCAACTTCAGGGCGGCGGCGGAGGTGGAGGCACATGTCTGACTGGTACCCCAACTGGCACTGGGCGAGGTGCTCCTACTGCTGCTTCTGCACTCAGGGTATTCCCCCGACAACAAGGTCAAGGCGGAGGTGGCCAGGCTGGTGGAGTAGGTGGTTCATGCACATGTCTTACTGGCACTCCGACTGGCACTGGTCAAGGTGCTCCAACAGTTCAGGCAGTCCGCAGACAACAACAACCCCAGGGCGGTCAGGGCAACATCCATCTCTTCTCCAACGTCTATCCCAACGACACCATCGGCCGTACTCTTCTCAACTCCCCTCAATTTGTTCGCCTCGAAGGTGACAAGAACCAAGTCTTGGCTTGGACTCGCTACCAACCCAACGGAAATGTCACAGTCCTCAACCAAATGTACGCCATCCCATTTCTCGTCTCTTTGCAGCTCTAACCCAATTTTCATCGTCCTTCTGCAGGTCACAAAATGGTAATTTGACCGTTGGCAATGGCACTCGCTGGCGCAACTTGAACGTCTTCGAAGTCAACGGCGTCTTCATCCCACCCGGCAACGTTTCCACCGCCCTTACCGCTGTCGGCGACGCACCTCTCGTTTCTGTCGCCAACCAAGTCCAGGTCCCAGGGTCGGATGGATCCAACACTTCCGCCATCGAAGCTCTTCAACAAACCCGCGGTTTTACCCTCTTCGCTCCAGCTTCTGAGGCGTTCACCTCTCAGGTTAACGAGACTATCCAAGGCATTCAGGACGATCCTTCCGAGTTGCTCGCCGTCTTCCAGAACCACGTACGTTTCCCCTTGACCTTGCGTCTTGCACTTGTGCTCACATCGCTTTTCAGTACGTGAACGGCTCGACTGTCTACTCCCCCACCCTCCGAGAATACGCCGCCAACAGCACTGGTAATGACGACGACGGTGGCAGCCCACATCTCACCAGCGCCGCCGGGCAGTACTTCACCTTCTCCACCAACGACACCGGCTTGTACGTCCGCGTCAGCGACGACACCACAGCCCGCATCATCCGACCCGACATCTTGACCGAGAACGGTGTCATCCACCTCGTCGACACCGTCCTCCTCAGCACCGACGACAACTCGGGTGTGGCGAGTTCTGCTTACGCTTCAGCCAGCTCTGCTGCTACGGAATCTTCGACCGACACACAGGCCATCATCTTCCCCGTGCCCACTGGCGGTAGTCAGATGTCGGCTTCGGAGGGCCAGTCTATGACCTCGTCCTCGATGGAGTCGTCTGCCACATCTGCCACATCTTCTGAGGCGGAGCAGACTTCGACCTCGACTACGAGTGAGACTGGTGGTGGTGGTGGTGGTGGTGGTGGTGAGACTTCGCCTACTCCTTCAAGCTTCCGTGTGCGACGAGCATTGGATGCTTTGGGTGCTTAAATTATTCCTCCAATCCCCTTCTACCTTTTTTCATTCGGATCTCTGTTCTGTGCATTCTCGCTTTGTAGCTTCTGCTGTCTGGTTTTGTAAAATGTAGCTTTTTGGAATCTCATTATGCTTTACTCTCTTCATCATTGTGGTTTATCTTAGTTTCCATTGAACTCGTGTGGTTTGGGTAAGTGCTTTCCTCTTTTCTCTCTTCTCCGCCGCCTTCAAGTCCCCCTTCTGCTCTCAATAGCTACTCTATCATGTCGATCATTTCCATTATCTTTGCCCCTCGGCATCGTCGAATCCTTTCCCTCCTTTCGAAAACAAGTTCCTGATTTCCATCTGACCTCACTCGATGGCCTTCTCCCCCTCGGGCTGTTTGACGACAGTGGCACTGGGGTGTGAAGACAAACATGATGAGTATATTGTGATATAGCTTAATTATTCGAACTCCCAGGAACGAGGCAAAAGGGACAAGGATCGCCGCTTTATGGAGCCAGTGGTATCCTGCCTCTTCGGCGTCGCCGGCCTCGACACGAGTGTCTTCCCAGAATCAGTAGAAGCCACCGACGACACCGAATCAGCTCTCTGCGGGCGCGGCTTCAGCTGCGCACCACTCCCTCCCGCACTCGCCTGTTGTTCCAGCTTCCTCCTCGCCTCCTCCTGCTTCCTCAAAAACTCCTGATACCTCTGCTGCGTCTTCATCACATACTCCGTTTGACCGTACTTGACAGGTCTAACGGCGGCCTGCGCGGGTGAGGGGGGTAGAACGTAGTCCTTGACCTTGTCGATGATGCGACCGAACATATTGCGAGCCTCGAGTTCCTGGAGATGGGCGGCGGGCGTTGGCCTTGCTCCTCGTTGGCTTTCCAGCGCCGTATCCCCGCGAGACTGGGCCTGTGATACGTGACGAGCTGGACGGTGTAGGGTCGATGTACGAGCGACGAGCGCTCCCGCTGCGTTGTACACCCTTGAGCGAACTCGAAGAGCGCCGGCGGTGAACTCGGTTCGCTGTGTAAGTGGCGCCCCTGCTCCTTGCGCCACTAGCAGCACCAGAACCACCAAGACCCCGCTGGTAAAAGTTTGGAAGAGGTTGCGGTTTGTCAATTGCATTGCTGGACTGTAGGTGGATTGCATGGTTGGTTTCATTAGAATACGGCAAGATGACTATCAGAGAGGAGAACTTACAGAGAAGAGGAGGAATAATTGAAGGACCAGCCCTCGAGTTCGTGAAAGACGGACGTTTGCACCAGGCAGCATCAAGGGTGTCAACAGTCCCCACCCGCCCTTATATACCTCTCGCCGGCGCCAATCCATGTATCACCGACATACTCCTTTCGGCAACAGTCCACTTGAAGGCTGTACTTGTGGAAACGGGCGCTTGATTTTCGGTGAATGATGAATGACGGTATGGCACCAGGCTTTGTATTTCAACTACATGCATAACTACACACCGTTATCAGACATGTCGAAGCAGAACTAGCTCTATCTGCGACTTGGACTAATCAACCCACGAGCGTTTTTTCAGAAGATAAAGACGACATTGAATCAGATCTCTTGGGCTCCGGTCTCTTCGCGCTTTCCGGTGGTCCCGGCTGTGGACTCTGCCTACCTCCCGTCGCAGGCCCGTTCGACCCCGGCTCTTGGTTCTGTGGGCGACCTGCCTGAGGGGAGACAGGATTGGACCTCGGGGGTTCAGGCGCCGGCTGGGGACTCTGTACACTTCCCTTTCCGGGCCCATTCGAACCCGGCTCCAGGTTTGGCGCACTACCAGAAGAACCACTGGCAGGCGATGCAGAATTGGATCCCTTGGGTTCAGGTGGCTCCGGCTGCGTACTCTGTACTACACCTCCCTTTCCGGGCCCGTTCGATCCTGGCTCCAGATTCTGTGCACGACCAGGAGAAGCAGAAGAGATAGAATTAGATCTCTTGGGCTCCGGTTTCTTTCCGTTTTCTGGCGGGTCAGTCTGGGGAGTCTGTGAACTTCCTTTCCCGTCCGTTCCAGAGAAAGGCGGGGAAACAGGCGGGAGAGGATCGGCTTTCTTGGGTTCAGGCCTTTTCCCGCTTTCAGCTGGCCCTGGCTGAGTGTTTTTCCCGTTTGTCCCCTGCTCCTCTGGCCCCTTTGCCGCAGTCACTCGACGCCATGGTCTACGACTCGGAGGCATGAGTCGTCCCTGCCTTCTAGCAGTCTTGATCCACTGCGGTGGATTCGGGTTCGCGAACTTGTCGTGGGACGTCGTTGGGATATGTGAGGCGTCGGTCCCTCTTCCTGGATAGACCTTCTTGTACGACACTCCCTTTTGCGCTTGCACCCATGCTTGTGTTCTCTGTAATCGCTCCGATGCCTCCAATTCCCGCATTTCCGCAGGGGTCTCGGCCGCATCCTTCGGAGTTGGGTCTTTCTCTCCTGTCACTATACGAGGGAGGAGCGCTTCTGCTGCTGCCCGTGCCGCATAGTTGGTCCTTGGGCGAATTTGAAGGCTCTTGGTGCTAGATTCACGTATTTGGAGCTGGACAGGAGCGGCTGCACTTTGCACTGCGAGGAGGAACAAGATCCCACTTGTAATGGTTGAGAGGAACAAACTGCGGCTGTTGAACAAGCGCATTGTAGATCTGTTCGGGCCCCATGGTCCTCGTCAGGAAGAGACCGAACATGTGATCCGAATTGACGACTTACGGACTGCCAGTGGCAAAGCAGCGGGGATGGAGATTAATCGAAGGACCAGCCCTCGAGTGTTCAAGAAGAAGCGGATGTTTGCACCAGGCAAAGTCAAGGAAATCAAAAGCCCCCTGGCCGTTTATATATGTATCTCCCTCAGAATGGGCTCCGAAGACTGCTGGAACCCACTATGGCCCTACAAACCGCACAGTAGTCTTCTGATTTCTCGAACCGTATTGTTTGTGTTGTGGATATCGCAAACGTCACACACATACACAGAAGACGCCTACTGTTGATTCCCTTTCGTACTAGGAACGATGAACAGCGAAGCTTTGAAGGAGGGAGACCCAGTCGTAGTAGCTCGTGGTTTGAATATGCGACGACGCGAAAGCTTGGCGCGTAGGGCGCCACTCCTCGGATAGGGGCTTAAAATCAAGAGCCCAGGGCAGAGCGCAACCAACAGTGGCGAATAGCGATACGCTTCCCAGGAAGGAATTCGACATTCTTTTTTTACAACGCCCATTAAGCATTGCCCTGGTAATACAAAAAGTCAAAATCAACAAGAAGAAACACGGCGAATAGTAACCATAGTAGACGTAGATGTTCGTTATAGTCATAGTAAGTAGTACAATGATGAAGGAGGGGAAGCAAAAAAAAAGTCGGTTTGTACAATATGTGCAAGTGTTATGAAGCTCACGGGACCTGGGGACCAAGAGGAGGAACACATGATAGACGAAAAAAAGGTACTTAAGGGGGGAGCGAGTTGAAGTAGCCAAAAAAAGCATTTTGGCATTGGCATTAACGGGAGAAACCGCGGTTAATGTAAACCCATCTACACCGGAGTGCTATGACGGTGGTGATTAAGCGAGATTTACTGTTGCTTGCATTCCTCGGGGTCGACCTTGTTTCCACCCTTCTTGGCGGGTCTTGGGGCGTCAGAATCCGAGCCCTGAACGAGTCCGTCAACCTCGCTGGGAAAGTCAGGAGAGGGAGAGGATCAAACCTCGTCATCGTCATCATCATCATCGTCGTCGTCCTCATCACCGAGGTCGTAGTCATCGTCGTCCTCAAAGTCGTACTCGATGGCCTTGCCAGTGAAGTAGTCGATGGCTCGTGGAACGATCTAATGGACAACAGGTTAGTTAAATGGCGAGGTGTCAACAGACGGTATACTCACCTTCTCCTTCAGATCCTCGCCGATCTGGTAGTCGATTTCAAGCTTCTCCTCAATCTCGTCGAGCTCGTCCTCATCAATCTCACCCTCCTCGATAGCCTCTGGGCTGGGTGGAACGGGAGGGTAGAAGAAGTTGAAGAATGAGTCAGCAGGCTTGGCCTTGCGGACAAGACGAGTGCGGTTGGTGGCTGAACGGCGGGGTAAGCACAGAAAAGAGATCGAAAGGGATGCAAAACTCACTCTTGTTGCGCTGCTTCTTGATCTCAAACTCCTTGGTGAGATCTTTGTCCTCCTTCCACTTGATATCGGTACCGATGGCACGATCGTAGACAAAGTCACCACCATATCCGACCTTCTCCTGGTAGTAGTAGGTCTTCTCGAGAACATCGTTCTCAAAGTAGTCGTTGGGGGTGAAGTGGAAGAGGAGTTTGAAGCCAGGCTTGCCGTCTGCGGTGTACTCGAGCTGGATATCGGTGAGATGCTTCAGGGCGTCGGCATCGCGATCGGTGATCAGTTCGTTGAGGCCAATGTGGTTGCGCAAAGCGGTGAGCCAGAATTCGGGGATCCCGTCGGTGGATGGGGTAGCATCCTTGGGCAGAGGCTCGTATTCCTCGATGTCCTCAGCAGAGACCTTCTCGCCAGCCTCGATCTCTTCCTTGGTGGCTGTCGCCGTGCCATTGATGATGGCTTTTCTTCGCTCATATAGAGGCTTGGTAAGATTGAGGTACTGGTAAAGAGAGAAAAAAAAAGGTCGATGAGTGGGCCCGATTTTATGATTCTGGTACGCACCTTCTTCTCGAGCTCAAGGCATTCGAGCTTGTACTGTTGGACGAGCTCGTTTTGTTGCTCCTGGACGCCTTTGAGAGCCTCGACATTGAGCTTGATCTCGACGGGCAGGCTCTCGATGTAGCCAGAGCTCCTTCCAACGAGTTCTGCGAGTCTTCCCTGGACAAGACCGAGCATATGAGCCTTAATCATATCCCCGTCAATGTCGTTTACCTCGCCAATGTCTTCCTGCTCGTTATCTTCAGAGATATCAGGAACTGTGGGTCTTGAGAGCCCCAGGGAAATTGGGGCCTGGTTCAACGGCGTATTTTGGGGCGTCGGTGCCGTCAGGTCAGCTCCCTGGTTGATATTAAGGCTCGACGACATTTTTGGACGCTTTTTTCGACGAAGATGGTGGTAAAGACCAGATGCTGAAAACACAGAAACGGGCGGGAAGGAAAACTTTGGGCGGAGTTTCGGAACTTACCGACTCCTCATCATGGCCGTCGTCCGAATCACCGTCGTCGTTGCCGCTGCGCCTGACGCCTACAGCTCGACCTCGCTGTGACCGACGACGACCAGGACCCACTAGACTATATATTGATTGTCTCAAGAAACCTCGTCAGACCTCCAAACCGTGATACCCAACGGACCCGGCTTGTCCCCAGTGACGACAGACTTCCGTCAACAGTGGCCTTTTGGGAACTCTTGGAGCTCGGTCGACGTTGGCAGCGTGCCGAACCCAAGCACTTTCCAAGCCCAGCGTACTGGACAGCCTTATCGTCATGCTACGGTTTACTTGACCAGTTGAAGAGAGAAGTCATGATTTGGGGCGACCCTTGTATCCTTTCGAGAACGGCTGAGCTTTCCTCGATCCAACCTAGGACTGGTTACTGGACTTGACTTTGCTCAGTACTGCATATGATTTTTCGGCTTCGGAGTTGGAATGCATTATCCGGAGACTTGCCTCTGTGCCTTGAATGGAGACCAGCGAAGGGGACCTTGTCGGCTCGTCAACAGTGCACAACGATAGTATTGGGCAAGTTTGGCTGACCTTAGTAGGTCAGCGTTAGAACTCAGATGCGCTCTAGATCTTCAGTCTGCTTATGACAATGCATATGGATAACAGTGTGCAGCAGAGAGGTACCAGTGAGGCGCAGAATCTAGCTCCCGAGCTGAGCCGACAGGCTCCTTCAACTTTCGGATACCTACCCTCTAAGTCCTCGAGGACAAGACCCTACGGCTCCGACGCATCATAAATATAGATCATCTCACAGCCTTACAGCCGTCGGTTAGGTCTCCGAGAATCTATCACGATTCGACTAAATTCCTAGCCAGCCCTTCTCTCTTGCGCCATTGTACGGCCACCAGTCGTCATTAGGCCCCAGGAAACGGGTAAGCCTCCTTTATCTTTCCCTCTGTAGTCGTATAGCGGACACTGATGTACTGCTGCTAGTGCTCGTATCGCGTGGTTTACAACACCTATTGCATGATAGGGTATTGAATACTACAGTCGTAGAGATATGACGTTCGTCGCGGCGTATAAAAGGTGCCCCCCTCCTGCTTGAAGCTCGACAATCCTGTGCCCTAGCTTTCTACGACTTCACCGACTACCAGATTAACAAATGGCACCCTCTGTCTCCGAACTGAAGCCTACCGAGGCCGTTGCTGATGTCGCTGCCAACATCGCCAACTTGAAGCTCACCAACAAGCCTACCCAGGAAGAGACGTCCCTCGACAAGGTAACCCAGCCGTCACCACCATCCTTCCTACCCAGCTCATACCTTCGTGCAGGGCCCTTCCTACCCCTTCTACTATCCCTACCTCGACCCCAACGAGAAGTTCCCTCCTACCGATATCTTTGGTACGCTCCTCTTCGCGCGATGATAAACAAATCACCGCAACCTCTCCTTCAGAATTCTCCGACAAGGGCCTCCTCGCCGACAAGGCCAAACCCAACCTCCTCAACGCCGACACCAAAGTGCACCACCTCAGTCCCTACCTCGGCACCGAACTTCGCAACGTCCAAATCTCCCAGCTCTCCCCCGAAGGCCTCAACGAGCTCGCTCTCTACACCGCCGAGCGCAAGGTCCTCATCTTCCGCGACCAGGACTTCAAGGACCTCACTCCCGAGCGCCAAATTGAGATCGCGAACCACTTTGGGCCCATCCAGCGTCATCCTACGTCGGGCAACGTGAAGGGATTCCCAGAGTTCCATGTCGTGTACCGAGACCCCGGCTTCGATAGACTGAACAGGTATCGTGGATTCGACAACAAGATCAACCTCACGAGCTGGCATTCGGACGTCACCTACGAGAAGCAAACTCCTGGTACCACTTTCTTCTTCATCCTCGACCAAGTACGTTGTTCTTCCTCTCACCTGGCACTCACTAGTGACTATACTCATCCCTCGTCCAGCCCGAGGTCGGCGGTGACACCCTCTTCACCTCCCAGGTCGAGGCCTACAACCGCCTCTCCGACGAGTTCAAGAAGCGCTTGGTAGGCCTCCGTGCTATCCACTCTGCCGTCCCGCAGGCCGAGCACTCGAGGAGCATCGGAGGCCCCGTCCGCCGCGAGCCCATCGAGACTGAGCACCCCGTCGTCCGCGTGCACCCCGTCACGGGCGAGAAAGCCCTGTTCGTCAACCAGGGGTTCACCAAGAGCATCGTTGGATTCAAGAAGGAGGAATCTGACTTTCTTCTCAACTTTTTGTTCGAGCATATCGCCAAGGGCGCAGACTTTAGGATTCGGGCTAGTTATGAACCTGGGACTGTTGTTGTTTGGGTGTGTTACAGTTCTTTTGTTTCGTAGCTATGGAGTTGAGCTGATCGTGTGGCGATAGGATAATCGTGTTACTGTCCACTCTGCGACCCCGGATTTCGACGCCAAGGCTGCTAGGCGCCATGCTGTGCGGTTGACTCCTCAAGCCGAAATCCCCATCCCTGCCACCGACTGAGCTGGTCTTCGCCTTCCGTAACGTTTACATATACAGCGTATCAGAATTGAAGTGTAGGCGACCTTTGTGTATTTGTAGGCTCCCAAAATGACACCCACAGCAATTGTACAGTGGTCATTTCTGTACGAGAACCCCGAGCGCGCGATAGGATTGTAGGGCCGTCCTGTCCGAGCCAGAGGTACAAAAGCGATGAAGGACGCTCTTGAATTTCTTGACGTTGCCTGGTGCACACCGCAAACTTCCACTTTCACCGGAACTGAGTACTGAGGGCTGGACCTTCAGTTCATCTCACCCTTCCTATACTTCTGTGAGTTGCCCATTCAGAGAATTAGTATTAAGAATACCTTTCTGACTAGGTGCAAGACCCACGATGCGCGTGTCGAACAACAGCCAATTCTTTCCATCTCTCGCCAGTGGGATATTGTTCCTCCTTGCCGCGCTAGTGGTGCAAAGCGCCGCCGCACCGTTGCAGTTACCAGCTTCTGCCCTGGGCAGCCTCCAAATCCGCTCAAGGCCTGGCCGTGCCGGAGTGGTATTGCTCAGAACTCGTGCACCGACCCAGGACCCTACCGCCGAGGAAAGGCAGAGGAGGGTAGCGGCATGGGTTGCACAGCAACAACAGATTACGTCCAATGGGGTTGCGGGGCTGATAGTTCAGCAGCAGAAGATTGAAGGGAAGAAGGCTGAGGAGGGGAAGGTGAAGAAGGCTGAGGGGGAGAAGAAGGAGGAGGAGAGGAAGAAGAGGGAGCCAAAGAGATCTGATTCGGTTTCGTCTAATTCTTCTGAGAAGACGGTGAAGGGTTGAGGAGGGTACATAGTTTGAAATGTGGGTCTTCCGAACGGCCGCGTTTGGAACCTCGATGTATCATAGATCGCAATGTCAGTGATTTAGGATTATCGGAGTCCCTTCCTTCTCACTTAACAAGTCTCAAGTGGTTCGAACGTTTTGTGGGCCATCTGTATCCAGTCCAATCAAAGTAGGCGACCTTATGTTTCGAATCGAATCCACAGCCATTGGGTGTAATGTAGGTCCTTCATGCGTTCCACAGTAATCGGAAATATGATATTTGTTTGAGAATTAGCTTAGCCCTGTTATCGTCGGAGGTTGGTCAGAGGTACTGTACATAAAAGGCTGTATATAAAGGGCTCGGGGGCTTCGGCTTTCACGACATTGCCTTGCGCAAGTATCTCACATCTCCCGAACTGAACATGAGACGCGTGGCGACAATTATAGGGGCCCGTCGCGTGATCATTGCATGACCGTGAGACGCGAAAGCTTGGCGTGAAGTTTCAACGCGTCGCGTTGGGCAACCTGTCAGTTTGTTCTTTGCCAGCGAATCCAGAGATGTCCGATTGTGAGCCTGAGGGATACGCGCTGCACGGTAAGAGCTTGACTTCAGAGATAGACTTACTCAAACGGTTTCACTAGACCGTCTAAAGCGCCTCATCCAACCAAAGTCTACGGCCCAAAGCGCGGCCAAGCCTGTCGAATGGGTAGCGGCTCAGGCGCGTTACTACCTGGACGCGCTGCCTCCGGATGTGGTTTTAGAGGTCAGCCTATAACGGAGAGAGGTAATGGACGACCAAGCCGACCAGCGCTTAGGTCTCTGAATACTTGAAACCGAGAGATTTGTTGAGCCTCTTGCTGGAAATCTGTTCTCCTTAAGAAACAGGAGAACAGCAAACACTCACAATGCGTCTAATGCGTATGAATCGAGTCTATAGCGGTTTTTCGAGTACACGTACAAGAGAGATAAGGTGATACTACTTGTGTGGGCGGGCAGTCTAATGAGATGGAATGACTACACGTGATCGTGTAAGGCCCGCCCTTACACTCCTCCCTACCCCGAAAAAAAGGAAAGGTATCGTAGCAAAGGCTATCGTAAAAGAGGGGCCCATTTTTGACGTGGTGCATTAAAAAACCCCGGTGGGGAAAAAGACAACCGTTAGCCCCAGTAGCTCGAAAGGAAAAAAAAACAAACAGAAAAAATACAATTAAACATCAATTTCCGCATCCGATTTTTGGACGTCCTTCAGGCCTTCCAAAAAGATGTCGAGGGCTTCGCAATCCTCTACCTCCTTCCCGGGCAGCCACACATCGCACTCGGCACCGTGACCCACCCAACGAACCAGGTATCTCCACCCTTTGCCCGCTCGTTTGCGATCGAGGATTCTATCGATCTCCCATTCCTCTTGACCGGTTTCGGTGACGATAGGTTTAGGGATGATGTGTTGACGTTCGGGCCACTTCTCGTTGTCGTTGGGAATACACTTCTTCAGCAATGACGCGTGAAAAACGGGATGAGTGTTGGAATGTTCGGGAAGGAGTAGGGTGTAAGTGGAGTTTTCCTTGTTGACATCGAGGATCGTGTATGGGCCATCGAACCGGGGCATGAACTTTGCGACCCGTTTGCTGTCGCGCGACAAATACTCCCGTCGTCGATGACGCGTGGTTAGCCAAACGCGATCCCCCGGCTCGAAAGAAGGTTCGTGTCCGCGCTTCTTATTGGCATGGTGTGCTTGTTGGACTTTCGCGGCCAGGAGATTGTCTTGCGCCTCGGAGACATCATTCTGAAGTTTTTCGATGGCTTTGACGACGTCTTCCAGCCTAGGTTGGCCCTCTCGTGGGATAAGGGAAGGGAAAACGCGCGGAGAGCGTCCCATTTTCAGTTGGAAGGGGGTGAAGCCTGTGGAGGAATTGACCGTGTTCATCAGCGCAAATCTGACGCGAGGTAAAGCTTTAACCCAGCCCTTTTGGTTCCTGTCTACCCAGAATCGAAGACTTTGTATGATTGTTTTGTTCGTGCGCTCGCTCGAGCCATCGGTCTCTGGGTGATAAGCCGTGGAAAGCTGGAGTTTAACGCCCGTCAGTGTATGTAAAGCTTTCCAAAATTTAGAGGTGAAAAGCTTATCGCGATCCGAAGTAATGTGGGCGGGCATTCCGTTTTCACAGTACCACTTGTCAAAGAAAATGTTAGCAAGTTCTTCGGAAGAAATATTGGACTTCACCGGGATCAGTTGAATATCGCATCCCATACGGTCAGTGATAGTCAAGAGCATGTCGTAGCCCTCATCGACAGGAAGGGGACCAATGAAATCCATTGCGATGGATTCACCGCGACCATCTGGAACAGGAAGTGGATGTAAGGGACCTGCTCGTTTCGTGGTGCTATCCTTATTTCTTTGGCAGGCTTCGCATCCGGGAATGTATCCCTTTTCCAAGTCTGTGCGCATACCAGGCCAGTAGTATTCGTTCTTGATGGCGGAGTAGGCCTTCTCGAATCCGAAATGTCCCAGTCGGTCGTGAGCCAGTTGGAAAACGATAGAGCGACAGTTGGAATACTTGGGCACCACAAGCCTGTCGTTGACGAACCACAATCCATTGCGTTTCTTGAAGGCGGCCATTCCCTTCGCGGCTGTTTCGAATTTCCTACACCAAGGATCGAGTTGATAACCGCGAATCAAGTCTCTGACGAAGGAGTCGTCCAAGGACAATGATTTCGGCTTCTCCTCCACCTTTTTGAACCTGGCGGATGCAAGTGCTTCAGTCATCGCGCAAACGTCGATACCCGCACCTTTAGGAGTGAATAGAACCGCCACGGAGGTCTTCGATAAATTCTGACCGTCTTCCCATTGGAAGAATTCCTTAGCTGTTCGTTGGGCTTCTGCACTGTCGTCAACTGTGGGCATGCGGGACAGTGCGTCGGCGACGACGTTGTCTTCTCCTTTGACATAGACGATTTTGCCGTCGAATTGGAGCATGTACTCCATCCACCGTGCCTGCCGACGCGAAAGTTCCTTTTGGGTCTGGAAAAATTCGAGAGTTTTATGGTCAGTGTAAATGTAGAAATTCTCACCGAGCAAATCCGCTCTCCATTTCTTTAAGGCGTTGACGATGGCCAAGAGTTCTTTCTCGTGGGTCGGGTAATTGAGTTCTGCTTTCTTTAAGGGAGTTGAGTCGAAGGCGACTGGACGAGCCGTCTCCCATGTAGGACCGAAGGAGAGAACGGCACCTGTGCGTTTTTCAGAAGCGTCTGTGGTAACGAAAATCTTGTTCTCACCCGGGTTATCGTGGTCTATGGTGGTAAGACAGTCGCTCGAGACTACAAGCTTCTTGATTTCTTCAAACGCACGGCCGTGTTCTGTCGTCCAACCCGGCCAATTGCGGTCATATTCCTTCTTCGTGAGGGGATTCAAGACCGATGTCCACCTAGCGAGGTCAGGAAGAAAGTTTCCGAGGTAACGCACCAACCCTAGGAATCGTCGAACGTCGGAGGAATTTTTGGGGACTGGCCAGTTGATTACTCGCTCGATCTTGGAGCCATCTGGACGGATGCCGTCTTTCGACACGATGTGACCTAAGAAGTCAACCGATTCGCAGAAGAATTTGGACTTTTTACCGTTGAGGTACAACTTGTTCTTCCTAAGGGCTTCCAAAATTAGGCGTACGTGTTTTTCGTGGGTGGCGGCATCCTTTGACCAAATGATAATGTCGTCAAGGTAAACGTGGCAGAACTTCCCAATGTACTGCTTCAAGGCCTCCGATACTCTGCGTTGGTGAATGGCTGGCGCGTTCTTGAAACCCATGGGCATGACCAACCACTCGTAGAGGCCGAAGGGGGTTGTCACAGCCGTCCATTTGACGTCTTCCGGGCGCATTCGAGTCTGGAAAAAGGAATTCGTCATGTCAAGTTTGGAAAAGATCTTACCTTTGCCACAATCGGCGAGGATGTCGTCTATCCGAGGCAAAGGGTTCTTATCCGCAACTGAGTTGGCATTTAGCTGTCGATAATCGTTTACCCAGCGAGGTGGCGCAGAAGGGTCGGCTTTTGGAATAATGAAAGAAGGTGACGCGTGAGGCGAGTTTGATGGACGAATTCTTCCTGCCTTAAGGTGCTCGTCGATGAGCTTCTGCCAGGCGTCGCGGAATTTTCTAGGGCAGCTATACGTCCGAGTCTCGATGGCTTTCGTGGCGTCTTTGAGCGTGATAGAAGCCGTAACCTGGTCGGGGAGTTGAGAAGCATGGGGTATCGGTTGGAACAAGTCGGCGAACTCATCTCGTAACTTGTCGGCCTTGTCCTTGAGCTCGACATTGATAACAGCAGCTTTGATGGCACCGACCATGGCCTTGATGAACCGTTGCTTCGGTCTACGTTCCCATCGTTGGTCCACCAGATCTCTGATGGGCTTCAATACCTTTTTGAGCTCGGCGATCATAACCTTCCAGTCGCGGCGGAGCTTTTGTGTTCGTTCTCTCCCAGACCGAGGGAGGATTTTGGGGCGACTGACCTGTTGTGGAACGATGAAGTTATAACCGTCTTTGACGAAGCACTTACGATTGGCGCAGTCGATTACAATGTTGTGGGCTTCCAGCCAAGGGAGACCCAATAAGATGTCCACGCAAAGATTGTCGACCAGAATCGCCTTGAAACGTTTGGAAACAAAAACATTATCATTGGACCACAAGTCAAACTTTACGAATTGCGTCAGGGAAAAAGGCTCGGCGTCGTCGGAAGTGATGAAGGCGGGGTTCACAGGTAAGGGGGATTTCAAGGGGTATCTCTTCAATCCGTGCTTTGTCGCGACTTTGGAGTCCATTAAGACTGTGTGGCATCCGGTGTCGAACATCGTCAGTACATCCTCCGGGAAATCAGAGGTACCCGCCATGCAGGCTTTCCACAACAAATGGATTGATGTAGTTGGATCACTCACGTCGTCCTCGTTCTCATCTTCGTTCTCCTCCAAAATCTCTCCCGAGGTGTTTTGTCCACCCGATTCCTCCGAGGAGGAGTCCTCGTATTCGAAGTCGTCGGAAGGCAAGACAGCAGCTACAGCCTTGCCCTTGGCAGCGGAGGCATTGTTGGTGGTGTTGTCGCGTTTCTTCTTGGCATCGGCAGCCATTTCGGGGGTAATCTTCTTGTAATCCTTCAGGGTCGGATAACCGTTCGGGCAGTTGGCCCATCGATGGCCGGCGTAGAACTGTCGACACTTGAAACAACCACCATGCTTACCGAGGATGTCCTTCTCGTCTTCGGTGAGGTTCGGGACCCAATCAGCGCGACGACCAGCTCGATTACCGTCCGAAGGTCCGCTGGCATTGTTCGTACGAGGCTTCTTAGTGGCCCTCTCTGCCTCGAAGAGTTTCCTGGACAGCGCACGAAGTCGAGCGATCTTCTTGTCGACGCCGATAACTTTTCGGATCCACTCGTTGAAGACGGCGATTTCGTCGAAGTCGGCGTTCTCAAACTGTTCCGGGATATCGGAGTTCTGGTATTCGTCGGAGATCTCGTCCAGGCAGTTGGCGAAAAGGAGGTCCTTCAAACGTTCGTTGGTACGAATCTTTTCCGTGCCACGGAGGAGGCTGTTCCAATAAATGACTTCGTTGGCGAAATCCTCGAACGACTCGGTTTCCTTCTGACGCCTGTTGGAAACCTTACGTTTCCATTCCGTGGCCCAGTCCCTGTCCAACAATAATTCCTTCAGTTGCTTCATGAACTCGGTGATGTCGACGGTCGCAAGGGTGGCCCTATTGGCGGCGATCCAAGTGATGACGCGATGGTCTTCAAAGCATCCGAACAAATGCTTCACGACTTTGTTGTCCTCGATGCCTCTCTGAATGGCCTTGTTTTCACAAGCGGTTTGGAACCTATCGAGGATATCGATCGTGCACTTCCCTGCGGTAAGGGTTGGGAAGTGTTTCCCGTTGTCTTTGATCGTGGCCATTCGGGTGTTGTACGACATTTTTGAATTCTGTTGAACGTCGGCGTCAGTACCCCAATTGTCAAAGTCAACGTGAGTTTGAACAATCAAAGGCGGGGTAATATCAAAAGGTTCTTCGTCACTTTCATCATCAGAAGAATCATCAAAAATCGAAGATAATTCGGGTAAGGGTTCGTCGTCGTCAATATCCGTGCAGAGTGAAGTCTCGCCTTCGACGGCGGGTATTAGCCCGCACGCCTTGAGCAATTCTTCGTCTGCGATGGGATCGTCGTCGTTTTGGATGATTTGGCGTCCCCGCTGAGGCGAGTCCATCGTCGTCGTCGTCTGATTCTTTCTGGTTCTCCGCGCTTTACGCACGGGCACCGTTCGTTCTAACGTTCTTCCTCGCAATTCGAGGCTGTCTACCATTCTGGTACGTCTGTCGTTCTTGTAGCTTCGCTACCGTCCAATCGTTCAATCGTTCAAGCGCGCAAGGCGCCGATACCACGCCCAACAGTTGGCGTGATAGACTCGTTTGGAAATACGCAAAAAAAAGTGGAAATCTGTTCTCCTTAAGAAACAGGAGAACAGCAAACACTCACAATGCGTCTAATGCGTATGAATCGAGTCTATAGCGGTTTTTCGAGTACACGTACAAGAGAGATAAGGTGATACTACTTGTGTGGGCGGGCAGTCTAATGAGATGGAATGACTACACGTGATCGTGTAAGGCCCGCCCTTACACTTGCGCTCGACTAACCATGTTCACGAGGTGTTGTCGTCTCCGAATTCCCAGAAGATATGGGAGAAGGCGCTGTTGCTTGATCCAGATTCTCCCGAATGCCCGTGTGATATGACGGCGCAGGAGTTTATCTGTTTTGTCCTTCAAGAATTTTGCATTATATCAAGATTGTGTCCGACTAAACTGAATGTTCTTAGATCTGCAACGCGACGGAGAATATCACTCGCTTCTGGGGCTTGAGGCTCATGTTATGCAACACTTGCAAAGCTCCCAAGTTAGTCTTCATGCGTGTTTTCCATGAGCAGACCAACTCATGCTTGGCAGCATTATTGACGGGCATCACATCATGGAGAAGAACGGTAACGGAATATACAGGAGGATAGTTTCGACCCTGTTCTTCCATTGCAAGCACGACCCGCCTTGTCGGTGTAAGGTGAAAGATAACCTTCAGAACCACGTCTACTTCCAGGGAGACGTGGCGTTTGTCGTAGAAGGTATGAAAGACCTCGCCAGGGATGACAAGACCAAGTTCCTTAAGCAAAGGAAACAACTGGTCGTGGAGGTCGCGTCGGTGAGTTTGTTTCAGTACTCTTGCCATCTTCTACGTGATATTGAATGAACATGGTGATAGACGGTCAAGCCAATGATAGACTGGATGCGGAAAGACGCCTTTTCTAGGTTAATGGCCTCGGATAGTTGGTCAGGGCCGTTTTCAGCTAGGCTCAAGTCGGCGTACAACTCCTTCAGGAACGCGATACCTTCAAAGCTCCCTGGTTCATTCCAGGCACTAGAAGAGCTGGACGTATACCAGACCCACTTCAGAGCATTACTGGCGTCGGATACACCGGTACCGGTGCCTCTCTATCCCGGTGCCACGACGTGCCCATTCTCCGAAGCTTTCTTCGGGTCTATCGTCCTGGACATGACCCCGGGATCCTCAGACGCACTCTACGACTTGCTCTGCCAAGCGCGACCAGAATACCGCTCCCAACCCAAGCACACCGTCTTGTTTCGCGCTTCGACGTTGTTCTCCTGCGACAACGATCGCTATGGGTGTTGCGGTCTTTTCAAGCGCGCGGGTCTGTTTCCTTACCCCGAAATTGAACGTCGGGCGCAGTCGCCGAAGGTGGAGAGTCGGTTTATTGACGGGCTGAAGATGTCCTGGAGGCCTTTGGTTTTGCTAGAGATGCGTCCAGGGTTGCCATCCATTCCGTGGGGAACCGGTGGATGTGTACGTGTGGCTGGGACGCCAAAGGTACCACTATGGCGTTCTGTGAGCTGGTAAGCCTTAACGCTCTTTGCATCAGTAGTGTCAGCTGATTCACGTATACGCAGGTTACACATATCGTTTTTGAACAGGACTACTTCAATAAGATCCTCAGGGGTGCAGAGAAACGAAAGTGAGTTGTCTAGTACTTAGGGCTCGTTTGTTCCTTCGTACTAATCCAAATTCCGTCGTTTGCGTTAGAATCAAACTGGGAACAAAGCCCAATATCCTGATTAATGTTCATGCCAAAGAACGGTACAAGGATCTCATCGAAATCCGCGACGAAGAGTCTTTGATTACCGCAGATCTCTTTGAAACGCCTTTCACGTACGGTTGGGGCGACCCTGATCTCAACTACGACAACGATCTTCTGTCATATTGTGGACCCTGCTATCGAATGGGGGGAGTAGAACGAACGTTCCCTATAATCGATGGATGGTTCACCATTAGTGACCATTTGGAACGAATGTGAGTTTTCATTCCAGTTCTGCTTTTTCTTTTGGTCATCATTATGGAACCTGACCGAATATACGTGACTTAGGCATGAAGTGGAAGACGGGGATACAAACGTGGTTCTATCGCCCCAAGAGCTTGATGAGCTGAAAGAGCAAGAGGGGCCAAATCTGCACTCGGAGGACGAGTAGGAAAGAGTTAGGCATGGCTACACTCGAGGAAACTGATCTACCTCAACGACTCGTTTGATTTTTGATTTGTTCTCAACTTTTTGGAGCTTTATCTTCCTTATGTATCGAACAAGTGTGCTACTAGGATGAAGACGCCAACCCCTACTCTTTCCGTCTGTCAGTGTACCAGATACTGTATATTACATCTCGTTACCAATTCTCATACAGGAATACACAATTTGACGTTTAGTGAAATCCCTCCGTCTTCTCTCATTATATTGCGTGTTCAGACGCGTCGCGACAGGTACCGATAGGGGCGCGTCGCGTGATTGCATGACCGTGAGACGCGAAAGCTTGGCGTGTTCGCGTCGGGCGACATGACCGTCACGTCAATCGTGGATTGATCTTTGCCAGCGAACACAGAGATGTCTGAATCTGAGCCTGAAGGCTACGCGCTGCAAGGTAAGATTTTGATTTATCAAATAGACCTGCCTTAACCGAATCAATAGACCGACTAAAACATCTCATCCAACCAAAGCAGCCTGAAGGCAAAAAGGCGGGTCGCCCTATCGCACCGGCGGCCCCGGCGCGTTATTATCTGAATGCGCTGCCTCCGAGCGTGGTCCTGGAGGTCAGTGTCAGACAAAGAGAAGTGATGAAAAACGAAGTTGACGAAAACCTAGGTCTCTCGGTACTTGAAACCCAGAGATTTGTTGAGCCTTTCACGCGCGACGAACCATGTTCGCGAAGTGTTGTCGTCTCCCAATTCACAGAGAACATGGGAGAAAGTGCTTTTACTTGATCCTGAACTCCCGAGGCGTCCCAGCGACATGACAGCCCAGGAGTTCATTTGTTTTCTGCTGCAAGAATTTTGTATGGTATGGTGGAACGGTATCTTTGGACAGGGTGTTTCTCGAGACTGACCTGCACTTTCATAGATTTGCAACGCGACAGCGGGTATCACCCGCTTCTGGGGCCTGAGGCTCATGCTCTGCAACGTCTGCAAAGTCTCCAAGTCAGTCACTGTCCATGCTACTTGTCATGCGCAATGGACTTAAATTTGTGTAGCATTGTTGACGGCCACCAGATCATCGAGAAAGAAGGCGAGGCTAATTACAAAAAGATAGTACCAAGCCTTCTCTTTCACTGCAAGTACGATCCACCTTGCAGGTGTAAGGTGAAAGATCATCTTGAAAACCATGTCTACTTCCATGGAGACGTGAAGTTTGTCATTGACGGCATGAAAGACCTCCGAACCGCCTACGAAAAGGGAATGTTCCTCAGGCAAAGGAAGCGGTTGATGACACAATTGATGTCGGTGCGTCCTCTGAAGCTTTGGTTCACACCTCGCAGAGTCCCTGAGTATGTACTATCTTCACAGTCGGTTCCAGCTATGTTGGACTGGAAGCACAGGGACGCCTTTGCCAGGTTGAAGGCCCGAGACAGTCGGTCAGAGCCCTTTTCCAAATACCTGCGGTCCACCTACAGTGCGTTCAGGGAGGCTCTACCGTGGTCAGTATCGCTACCGGAGACATTCGATGAACTGGAGCAGCTGGGCGAGTATCGGGACCATTTCGCGGCTCTGCTAGCATCGGATGAGGCGGTGCCCCAACCTCTCCCTGCCGGAGCCCAGACATGCGCGTTTTCAGAAAAGTATTTCGGTAATCTCTTGCTGGAGGTGGAAAACGGATCGCCCGACGCACTCTACGACCTCATCTGCACAGTCCGTCCCGAGTACAAATCCCAACCGAAACCGACTATCCTCTTGCGCGCTTCGACGCTATTGTCGTGCAAGAGCAGTAAATATGACTGTTGCGGCCTCTTCAGGCGCCCGGGACTATTCAATTACCCCGAGATTAGCAGCCATGCGAGGTCGCCAAAGGTGGACAGCCGGTTTATAGAGGTTGCTGAGGACGTTTTGGAAGCTCTTGGGTATGCTAGAGATGTATCCCGTGCGACTATTGGCTCCGTGGAGGGTCGGTTGGTGTGCAAATGCGGATGGGATCCCAAAGGGAAAGCTATGAGGCTCTGTGAGCTGGTAAGCCGTGGTTCGCTATGGGTCGACACTGAAGCTAACGATCTCTGCTCTCGCAGGTTACACACATCATTGCTGAACAGGACTATTACGAAAAGATCCTCAAAGGCGCGCAGGAACGAAAGTAGGTTACATATGTCGTTCCTCTTTTTCCGTATCCTAAAGCTAACCTTGTGCTAGAATTGAGCTTGGGACAAAGCCCAACATCCTGATCAACGTTCACGCTAAAGAGCGCTACAAAAAGCTCATCAAAATAAGCAGCAAAGAGCCTGAGGATAGCGGAGAGCTTTTCAAATCTATTGACCATGAGTTCTATTACAACGAGCACCCTGAAGATCGGTACGACGGCGAGCTCTTAGCCTACTGTGGCCCCTGCTATCGAATGGCGAAGGTTTCCCGGACGTTCCCCGTCTTCGATGGCCATTTCACGGTTGAAGACCATGTCAAGCAAATGTAAGTCCGTTGGCAGTGTGACGATGGTGTTCATGATTGAACGTTTCTCCTGACATAGGCATCAAGCCACGGGGGGTTCGGCGACATTGTCTTCGAAGGAATTGAGCGAGTTAGAAGAGGCGGAAGAATACGGGGAAGAAGGGTCTGATCACCGCTCGGATGACGATGATCAAGAGTGAGGAAGGTTTGGACGAATTGGAAGAGCCGGAAGGCGACGGGTGGAGGTTATTGTCCTGTGGGTAGGACGGACGATCTATGTCTCGTTCATGGTACGGGCGTGACGTTCATTTGTCGATCATCTTCGAGCCTTTAGTTTGTTTATTCGTACAACTCCTAGCCTATTTACCACTAATCGAAACTTCTGCATGGACCGGAACTTGCTCACGGTGAAGATGGAGCGTCTTTGGCTTCGCGGTTCCTTTGGTACATTGCCAAGAAGTGCAGGTCGTCGCGCTCTGCACCATTTAGGGATCTCTTAGCCGTTCAGGTGCTCCGGAAGCGTCGGGTAGGGGAAGGATTTTGGCGGGGGAATTGACCTTGACGGGAAACCGTCCGAAAAGCTTCGGGGATCATTTCTTTTGAATCGGAGTCCGGCACTTATCGACTTGTGGGAAGCGGCCGCCAGGCGCCGTGTTTCCGAGCCAGAATGGCGTGTACCAGTCTAACTGCGCCTCATGCGCACTGCGCAAGCCCCTGAGCGCTCAGAGACCCGCTACTGTTGAGCTGCAGGAAGAAATTGGAATATTTCAGTCGCAGGAGTGACGGAATGGCGCACCAGAACTGCGCTCCATTGCTCACGCGCACTGCGCAAGCCGCTGAGAGCCCGGAGACTTGGAGGGTGAGATCTAGGAAAGAACGAATAATGAGGGCCTCATTGTGGGCATCCATTATTACCACTGGCCTCTTGATAGGCTCGTTCTAAGTATTACTTACTCTCAATGCCATTGCTCGCAGTGCCATTGAATGGCCCTTGAGGGGAATGCTCCCGGAGGGTCTTACCAAAATAAGTAAGTTCGGAGGTCGGGTCACCGAAAATGCCGGTTGATTGCATGTTGATGCACCTGGCGGAAAGTACCCGATCCATTCTGGCTCGGAACCATTCCGGCGCTCTGGGTGCGTCGGGTTCACCACCGTTTTCCCTCCTTTTTGGCCACATTTGGCGTACTTTTTCGATTCTTTTTTTATAGTGCCAATATACGACCTTAAAAACACGTAATTCCTGCGCTTTATCTATTTTTCAGAGCAAAGATGAACGATAATAACAAGACCTAATGCGCGGAACCCGACAGGCGCCGTGGGAATCAGATTACACCGTGTTTCCATTTCCGTACCTACGAACCCCGACGCTCTCCGAGCACCTGAACGGGCCCTTACTTTATTCGGTAATCGTCGGGCTGATGGGGTCCATCTCAGCGCCAATTTGTGTTGTATGTGGTCAATGCAGTGACATTTGCAGCTAATGGTACATGGTTTGCATAGTAGAGTACATTGATATGGCCAGTATCGAATCTTAAGGTGAAGCAGGAGCAGTGGGAACCTCAGCCTGAGGAGTAAGGCGGACAGCGTGTCGTCGGAAGGTGGGGCTAAAGTCAGGGGTAGCAGAGTGGACCGTAACTCGGTTGTCCTGAGGAAAAAGAACATTAACAGGGCAATCCAAAGGCACAGAAAGAGGAGACTAAACGTACCCAGACAACAACAGTTCCAGGCTCGTAGCTGGCACGGATCTGGAAGTCCGCGCCCTTGGCGATGTGGTCGAACAGGAATTTGAGAAGGAAGTCGGATTCTTCTTGCTTAAGTCCAACGATGCGTCGGGCGAAGCCTTGGTTGATGTAGAGGGCCTTTTCTCCGGTTACAGGGTGGACGCGGACGATGGGGTGCTACGAAGAAGGCGTATGAGATGCGCGAGCGTGCAAGAGAGGGAAAGGATATAACCACCTCAGTCTCGATGGGTTCGCGGCGAACAGGCCCACCGATGCGTCGAGAGAATTCGGCTTGTCGGACGGCGGAGTGGACGACACGGAGTCCTTCCAACCTCTTCTTGAATTCGTCCGAGAGTCGGCTGTACGCCTCGACTTGGGAGGCGAACAGGGTGTCACCACCGGTTTCGGGCTAAACTCGAGTACAAAGGTCAGATGATCGAACTTGCAGCATTAGCGGTTCACAAACCTGATCGAGGATGAAGAAGAAAGTCGTGCCAGGGGGCTGCTTCTCGTAGGAGACATCAGAGTGCCAGCTGGTGAGGTTGATTCGGTCGCCACCAATGTACTCCTTGAAGTGGTCATGAGAGGGGTCACGGTAGACGACATGGAACTCAGGGAAGCCCTTGACGTTGCCAGACGTGGGGTGCCTGTGGATGGGACCAAAGTGGCTGGCGATTTCGATCTGGCGCTCGGGGCCAAGGTCCTTGAAGTCTTGGTTGCGGAAGACGAGAACCTTGCGCTCGGCGGTGAGCAGTGCGAGTTCGTCGAGGCCTTCCTTGGAGAGTTGGGAGATCTGAACGCCTTGGATCTCGGTACCGATATATGGGCTGAGGTGGCGGAGTTTGGCGTTCTCGTTGAGGAGGTTGGGTTTGGCGGGGTTGGCTCGCAGGCCAGGGTCGGAGAACTCTGGTGTGATGGAAGTAATCCGTTGAACGAGGCGTACGATAAAGCATGAGTGTAGGACAACTTACCGCGAACCTCAAGAGGCTCCCACTTCTCGTTCAGGTCGTAGTGGGGGTAGTAGTAGGGGTAAGAGGGTCCCTGGACATAAAGTCAGCATAGCGATTCTCGGGGTTAAGAGAAGAAATAAAACCCACATCGTCATGTTTACCCTCGAGGCTGGCGTTAGGGACGGCGCTAACGGCGAGTTTGGCCACATTCTTGGTGACGGTATCAACCGTAGCAGTAGGGATTTCAGCGACAGAGGGAGCCATTGCAGATGAAGAGGTGTTTGTGATGGCAGCTGGACTTCCTTCCTGTCGCTTTTATAGGCATTTTGGACGTATGGCGGCTAATTTCCGACGATAGAGCCATCTTGGAGTAAGATGGTCACTGGTAGACGCCATTCCAGCACCCGTGAACAGAGATAGGAGAGATTTAACCCCAGGAATGAGTTTACTACCCAAATGGTGCCTTTGGTCGTTCGTATGGCGCAAGCCTTCAGAATCGGGTTGTCTTCCGGTCATGCTAGGCGTGTTGTCATACGCGGGAGAACATGAATCTATGCAGGAAACATAGATCCACACATATTGTATAACCGGTTGGACATTATGGCGTAGTCTTGCTGTGATGCGAGTAAGATGGTCGAGGTAGCCAGGTAAGAAGCGGGTGGTAGAATTTCCCGCGCTCTAGTGTCTCAAGCCCAACCGCCGTTGGAAGGGTGAGAATGCTTGGAGGGCCACTTGAGCTGCAAAGAGGTTGAAATAAATCGCAATGAGTTTGAAAAACTAAATGGTCGAATACACAATCAGGCGTGATATACATACAACGTCGTTTCCCAGGACGTTATGCAGAATTGAAAAGAAATAAGGGTAAATGCGAAAGAAAGACCGGAAAAAGAATCCATGCCTTTAAACCTTCAAAGCTCGTCGAATGCGGAAACTCGAAGGCGTGGCTGAAATAGCAGTACCCGTCACACTCCCTGTCGGACTGCCTCGCGCAACACCACCCGTGGGGGTAGGGAAGATAATAACCCGTGTATCAGTGGAAGTCTGCGCGGCCGCAGAGCTAGCAGAGGCAAACGCAGAACTAGCCGTGTCGTCGCTATCGTCGGTGCTGATGAGCGCACCATCGACGAGGTGCACAACACCGTTCTCGACGAGGATGTCGGAACGGACGATTCGGGCAGTCGCATCATCGCTAACGCGCACGTAAAGCCCGGTGTCGTTGGACTGGAAGATGAATGGTTCGCCTGCTGCGCTGATGAGTCGTGGCCAGTTGTCGTCGTCTCCGGTTGTGCTGTTTGCTGCGTATTCGCGCAGGGTGGGGGAATATACAGTCGAACCGTTCACGTACTGTAAGGAGCGTGTCAGAGCGAACGGAAGCGTTAGGCCAATGGGATAACATACATGGTTCTGGAAAGCGTTCCTGAAGTCGTCTTGATCGTCTGATTGGATACTCTGGAGAGTTTGGTTCACTTGCGAGGTGAAAGCCCTGGAGGCAGGTGCGAACAGGGTGAAACCGCGGGCTTGGTTGAGGGTCTGGATGGCTGTAGCGTTGGACCCACCAGGTCCAGAGATGTGGACTCGGTCGCCAAACGCGACTAGCGGTGTGTCACCAACGGCACTCAACGCAGTGGAGAGGTTTCCAGGTGGAACGAAGACACCATCCACCTCAAAAATGGCCAAATTGCGCCAACGAGTACCGTTGTTCACAGTCGTGTTACCGTTTTGCGACCTGTGTCAAATTACAATGTCGGACAGAACTCAAGGAGAAAGGATAAATGAGTTAACGGACATTTGGTTGAGGATGTACACGGGATCGCTGGGCGAATTCCGCGTCCAACCCAACACTTGGTTCTTGTCACCTTCCAGTCGGACAAACTGAGGAGAGCTGAGCGCGGTACGGCCGATGGTGTCGTTGGGATAGATGCTGGACAAGAGCTGGAGATTGTTCTGACCGCCACCTCCCTGTCCTTGCTGGCGGGGAAAGACCATGGCTGATGCAGCTTGACTCGTGCTAGACGACGTTCCCTGGCCAGATCCACCGCTGTCACGAGAGGCCGTAACGTTGTGCAAGTCGCCGTAGACGTAGTGGTATGAAAGATAGTCGGCGAGAGTGGAGGCATTCCCCGAAACGTCTTGCGACACTGAAGAAACTGAACGTTTGTATCAGTAACGAGTCGGCGTTAGCGCTAATATTAAAAGTCACTCACAAGCGTCGTTCGTGGGTGCGAACACAGTCCAATTTCCGTTGGATAATTGCGCGATCCACTCTTGACCGTTCTGGGTCTGGTCGGCTTGCTCGATGGCCCTCGAGAGAGAGGTGTAGCCAGAGGAATTGAGGAACGTCAAGTAATCCTGCAGCTGGAAGGTTTGGCTTCCGGCTCCTCCGGACTGGCCACCACCACCACCTCCAGCAGTGCTAGACCCGGAGGGTGCAGATATTGTGGGTGATTGGGAGAGCGACTCCGAGAGCGATTGAGCTCCAGAACCCGTCAAGAAGGGAAGGGCTGCGACTAGAACCGAGAGAGGGAGTGCGATTGGGTGCATACTGAAAGACGGACGAAAAAAGGTGATCTGGTTGAACGCTGTGGACGAAGAGTCGGTTTCTCAACTCGGCCGAAAGATGGTTGGTGGAATGAAGCCATATCTCCCCAGTTGAGCAGCTTTTAAAGGTATCCAGTAGAAGGGCACTCCATAGACCAAGCGAAACCTGGCAAAACCTGTTGGAGATTTTGGGGAACATGTTTGGTCTGCCAGTGGTCGGACTCGGTTTGTAGCGACGAAACAGCGACCAGAACCCGGCCCCCACAGTCAGCATGGTTTTGGAGAACGTAAGACAGAAGATCCCGAGTTCGAGTCAGTTTTGGATATGGGGTAGACAAAATTAGTGGAGGAGTTCCCAAACCAGGGTCACGCTCATCCAAGTCAGGTCGAGGTGAGTGCCAGACACAAATGGAACAGACACCACAGACCTAGGCAGTGGTGGCGGTGCCAATGTCTAGCAAGCGCGGGAAAATGGGACTGATGGGAAACCCCGCGAGTTCGATTCCGATTGGCAACAGTACCTAACTTCACTCGATTGGAGCCTGCAGTACCTCCAAGGCAGCTCTTTCGACCTGGAAAGCAAGACTAATTGTATATCCAAGGCGCACATATAACTCTTCTCTGATCCTAGTGCGTAGAAGTCTGGCGGTCCAACGGAAGGCCAGGCGCCCACCCTGCGCCCACCCGAGTATGGCAATGGGGTTTCTTATTCTGGAGGTAATTTCAGCATACCACCGATGCGACAATCGTTTGGAGATCATCGATTCCTGTTTTCTGGATGCTTACCGTGCTCACACCCTTTCCCTGAAGTCCCAAGCATCGGTAGGATCGGGCAGGAGCCATGATACCCGACGAACCACCAAATATGTCACCAAGAATCAGCCACCTGGACCTGAAACGTCCGATGACCCCATTTAGTTTCTGGTGAGTCTTCAACTCACGTTCATGCACTGTGCAGCTTCTCAGCTTCTGAAAAAGTTGAAATATCGGATTAACTCCAGACTTTATGCTTCTGCCGCTACAAATGAGATAGTAGGCTGAGTACTTGGATCACCCACGTAAATCCGAAGACAACAGTACCCATATAAAGTCAGGTATGGATTGGTTCTCCAAGCCATCGCCTCAGGTCAGTCACGATGTTACCCGCAGTGCGAATCTTGCTTCTCCTCAGTGGATCCTTCCTCTACACACTAACGCTCGCTGCCGAGTGCCCTACCTTGGCAGAGTGCGCGCCTCTTTCCGACTATCCAGCCAACACCCGTCTCCCTGATCCGTTCACCTTCCTCGACGGAAGGAAGGTAGCCACCAAAGAGGACTGGACATGCCGACAAAAGGAGATCAGCCACATCCTTCAATGCTACGAACTGGGAGATCTTCCTCCCAAACCCACGACTGTAGTCGGCACATTCAACGATGACCACACGTCTCTCACCGTCGAAATCACTGAAGGACCGCGAAGGATCTCCTTCACCGCCAAAGTCCGGCTCCCCGTCAACTCCAACTCCAATTTCAGTTCCAATTCCTCGAGCTCGTCTGACTCTTTCCCTGCGGTCATCGCGTACGGTATCGCCACAGTGCCCATCCCTCAAGACGCAGTGTATATCGAATTTCATCCCGACCCAATCGCTTACCCATTCGCAAACAGGCGTGGGCAAGGCCACTTCTACACACTATACGGTACCAACCACTCAGCAGGGGCGTACATGGCGTGGGCGTGGGGCCTCAGTCGCCTCATCGACGCACTGGAAAGCGCTCCAGGCTCTCGAATCGACACGAAGCGGCTCGCGGTTACTGGCTGCTCGCGTTACGGCGGTGCAGTTCTAGTCGCTGGCGCGTTCGAGCCCCGGATTGCCCTCACGATCTCGCAGGAATCCGGAAATGGGGGAGCGAACTGCTGGAGATTGGCCGATGCGTTCTTTAGGACTCGTGGACCTGGGATCCCTGAGCAGCCTGCCCCGTGGGAGATCGTCGTCGAGAACACGTATTTCTCTCCGCGATTCCACGGAGGGGTTGCACGGAATGTGAATGGTCTTCCTTACGACCATCACCTGCTCCTTTCCCTGATCGAACCACGAGGGCTTCTACTTGTCCAGAATAGTGGCATAGACTGGTTGATGCCGTCTGCCAGCTATGGATGCGCGGTTGCTGCTCGGAAGGTGTTGCAGGCGCTGGGGACCAGCAACTTTGGGTTCACACAGGTTGGGGGACATAGTCATTGTCAGTTTCCAGAGAAGCAAGCACAAGATGTGGAGGCTTTCTACGATAAGTTCCTTAGAAATAAGGATGCGGATACTGGGTTCTTCAAGTCTGATCTCCAGCCTAGGGATAACAGATTTGTGGAATCGCAATGGATCAACTGGACCACGCCCAACCTTTCGTAGTGTAACCTGCATTGTACGATTCACCCCTCGACTATGTATGTTTCCTACTTTCTCTGAACATAAGTTTCCAGGAGAGACCACTTCGAGATGGAGATGCCAGTGGGGGGCATCTGAGATAAGATAACGATCTACCCCGCATCAATCAAATGGGGAAATCAATCCCAGAATTTGAGATCAATGACACGCCGGACGTAACTCTTTCTTGGAAATCCCCAACTTTGACTGCAACGGCCACCACCAGCGTGTCTGCAGACGTGTCGCCGTTTGAACAAACGCGCCAGCCCAGGAAACGGTTAGGCCACGAAAAACGGGTCGCGGATTTCGTTTTCAAGGGGGCTGTATTGCTGGTGGTAAGTTTCTCTTTATAGAATTCGGAAATGGGACGGAACCTGACCTAGAACTTGCCCAGGGCACAGCGACAAAGGTCGACTTACAAACTCGGGCCACGAAGGGAAGAGCTGAATGGCCTTTCAAGGCAACTTCTGTCACGTAGAATGGTAAGATGTCTATAAGCTCGTGACGAACGAAGAGTAACGCTTTGTCAGTGATAAGAAACAGTCGTCTATATCAGAGGGCCACTTGAATGATCTCCCTTCAAAGCCCCAGAACATGCCCACACAGCTACCAGAATCCATACTCCACTCGTCGTTTGTCCCAAATGACGATGAAGCCGTTGCTGTTCGAGATTATATCCAACACTCGAAGGCTTCGCTTTCCAACTTGGATACGGAGATCGAACGTCTCAGAGCCTCGCTTCAAGCCCTGGAATTTCGGAGGCTCACTTTACAAGAGGATATAGCTCAACACGAAGCGAGCCTCTCACCTCTTCGACGCCTCCCACCCGAGATCTTGTCCGAGATCTTCCTCTACGCGCAAGGGGATGCGACCGTTTCCTGGCCTCGAGTGGACACGACCGGCGCCTCGGACATACCATGGAAGTTTGGGAGGGTGTGTAGCTATTGGCGGACAGTTTTCATGTCGCTTCCCAAGCTTTGGTCGCGGATAAACATCGACTTGTCGACTGTGCGGCTGGCGAGTTTGGAAGCCAACCATCCGGTTCAAGCGCGGGCACACGAGTTCCTCCAGGCATGCCTCCATCGATCAGGCACCGAACCGCTATGGATCTCTCTACGGTATCAACCTGGAGGAGTGGGAGGCCCAGGGAGGGCCCAAGACGACAGGACCGCCGAACTCGCCTCTTCGTTGCTTGCGGTGTTGGTCGGGGATGCAGAACGGTGGCAAGATGTGGCACTAGATCTCGACAATCTCTTCAGCTATCGATCCATCCTCGCTGCCACACGAGACAGACTACCCATCCTACACGCTCTCAGCCTCTCTTCTTCCGGCAATTTGGCACCAGCGCCGCGACCCTGGCAAGCGATCGAGTCGTTCCTCAATGCGCCACGGCTGACGAGGCTGACACTGAACAATATCGCCCATCCGACGCACCACCTTCGAATGCCCTGGGGTCAACTCAAGTACCTCCGTTCAAAAGGAAGCACGTTCCTTGAAGGCGAGTTCAGTCGGATCCTCAAGGAGTGTGTGTTGCTGGAGGAATTCACGACCGAGGACGAGCGGGTTTTGGAGGTAGCCGCCACGACGGCCACAGTCCATCCTCACATCCCGACTGGCACGTCTCCTCCCAATGGCCAACTTGCCACGGTCTCGAGTGCAGTCTACTTGCCCCACCTCCACACCCTCTGCCTGGTCAACAAGAGCTCCTACATCTCCCGAATCTTCCAGCTCATCACCGCCCCATCCTTGACCACGCTCTCCATCCGGGCGCGGACGCTCTTCAACCCCGAACAGACGATCAACATGCTGCGACGATCCAAGGCGTCTCTGCAGCTTCGGAAACTCGTTATGCAGAGCTCGAAGGATCCGGAGGTTGTGTGGGAGGAGAACTATGGGATTGTGGGTCTTTTGGTGGAGGTGAAGGGTGTACGAGAGTGTGTCCTCCGGGTCAGTCGATCTGCCGACGAGATCATACCACGATTGACGGTCAAGAGGGGGATGGGCGGCGCCGCCTCCTTGAGGTCATCCTCGGGAGGTTCGGGTTTCGGGTTTGCTGGGGCTCTGGGCACAGGGTACGCGAATGGCGTCACCAGACCTGGTAATGGTACGGCCATGGGGGCACCGGGAATGGTCCTCCTTCCGAACCTGCAGAAGTTTTCGTTACACGATTCGTTCTGCGTGTCGACGGCGGATGTGAAGGCGATGTTGGAGAGTCGGATTTCGAATACTGCTGTTGCTTTGGTGGACGATCCTGAGGAGGATTGTGGGGAGGTTGGCGGGGTTGCGAGGTTGAAGGAGGTGCGACTGGAGCTATCACGACCTGCGCCGCCAAAGTATGGGGAGTTGGAAGAGCTTAAGAAGTTGGCTTTGGAGAAGGGCGTGGAGATGAGTATCTCTGTTTGAAATAACTAACTTTTGTGAACGTGTGTACCCTGACTGTACTACTAACTAATCCACCTCGCCTTATTACTCTATTCTGTATCATACTACGTACTCCCAATCTAACATCAAGGCGGACTGAAGACGCTCAAGCTTCGTTTGCCAAGGACCGATTTAGAGAGTGACCAACTATGTATGGTAATTGCTTGACATTTCATAGCCTATGATGGTAGTTCCATTTCTTCGCCAAGTTATCCCTGCCCAGCTTAGCCATTAACCACCAATTCCTGGAAAGCCCTTATCGACATCCCCTCCAGTGAGCTTGCGCCTGGAATTCCGACATATCTGATGCGTTTCATCACCGCTCTAACCATGCCTACAAGGTTTCAGGGCAAAGTCCACGGTTTTGGCTCTCCAGTGTCCACCGAGCCTCATTATCTGTAGCAGCCCAGGGTGTTTATCGTGAAACACCGACATGACCTTGGGGGGGCCGCACGCGCTGGTGCCGGAGGCTTTTTGATGTCTTACTCTTCACCGCTTTCCGCCACATTCGGAGTATGACCTTGTCCTTGTGCTATCAGACATTTTCTCTCTTCCCTGCTGCTCTGCCTCAGAGCTCGAATAACCGATCCACGAGTGTCGCTTGAATCGACACAAGTTTCGGCCAGAATACCTTTCGCTAGCAGATAACTGGAAGAGTGGGCAACCGCGTAACCTACCACCGTCTCCAGCCCCACAGTACCCCACATTCGACTTTTGGACACGAATAACCGCCTCAAAAATCGGAAAAAATGATGAAGAATATGACGTTAAAGGAAGCTTTGCTGCCCCAGCCGCCTAGCTTTATGAAGAAGAGGAACTACGAGCTTAAGGATACACTAGGCGAAGGCACGTTCGGCAAAGTGATTGTAAGTAAACAAAAAGCAACTTTGTTGTGAATTATGTTCTAATCTTTGATGATAGCGGGCGACATGGCATGTTCCTGTAGACCAGGTAGACATCGCTGAACATGGAGCAGCAGCTCAGCTCGATTCTCAGCCCACGACACCCAGGGGTTCACGGCCAGCGACTCCAGTAACGACCTCCCATGTCGATTCAGGAATTCGAAAGGAAGTAGCGCTCAAGGTTATTCCCAAGAAGAAAGTTAAAGGAAATGAGGACAGTGTATGGGGAGAAATGGAGGTTCTGAAGGGTCTTGACCACCCGAACATCGTGAGGGCCGCCATTCCTTATCGTCGCAGACCTGTACTCACGTTTGACAGGTCAAATTCTACGAATGGTTCGAATCGAGGTCGAAATACTACCTCTCTTTTGAACTCGCTGTTGGTGGAGAGCTTTTCCAGCGGATCCTGCAGCGAGGCAAGTTTACGGAGAAGGATGCCGTCGCTGTTGTCAGGTCGATTCTGTCTGGTGTCAACTACCTCCACGAACATGACATTGTCCACCGGGATTTGAAGTACGTGGCAGTAAACGTCGTATCCTTATCTGTCTAACGTGTCCGCTAGACCCGAAAATATCTTGTATCGCACGAAGAAGCTGGATAGCGATATCGTGATCGCAGATTTTGGAATGTGTGTTGCCCCGCATCATCGCTTGCGTGCCGTTGCTCAACCTTCATCTAGCGCAAAACACCTCCACTCTCCTGATGAGCAGCTTCACTCTCTGGCGGGAAGCTTGGGCTACGTGGCACCAGAAGTCCTCAGCAAAGACGGTCACGGGAAAGCGGTCGACATCTGGGCAACCGGAATCATTACCTACGTGCTTCTCTGTGGCTACTCCCCCTTCCGCTCCAACGACGCCAAAACACTTCTCAAGGAGACGACAGAAGGCAAAGTCGAATTCCACGAACGATACTGGAAGAACGTCTCGGAGGAAGCGAAAGCTTTCATCAAGTCCCTGCTCAACCCGAACCCAGCTGAACGACCCACCGCTGCGCGAGCGCTCGCTGACCCCTGGCTGACCACCCATGCGCCATCCACTGCACATGATCTCTCCAATGGTCTCCGCGACAATTTCAATCCTCGAGCGAGATGGAAGTCGGCCATTGCGTCTGCCAGGGCCCTAAATCGGTTTGGCAGTTTTGCTGCTGCAGCCGCGGCGGCCGCGAAGGAGAGGGAGCTGAGCAGCTCGGATAGCCACATCAGCGCGGAGACGTCCAGTGAGGGATGGCGGACGCCGACGCGGGAGGAGTCGGAGGATGAGAACGAGGGGTGGAGGAACTCGGATACGCTGCCTTCGTCGTCTTCGATGAAATCTGCACCTTCCGAGAACCGCTTGGGTGATAGCTTGCGGAGGGCAGGAGGCGAACTTTCGAAAGCACCGCCAGCGGCCGATGACGGCCACTCGAGCATCAATGTTCGAGTGTTTGCACCAGAACCGGAGGGTCAACCGCCTGCCTCGACATCGAACGCTACTGCAACACCACCTCCCCCAGTTGGTTCGTCAGAACCGCTGAAAATCCCGAAATCCAACTCGAGATCGAGCTCAAGATCCAACTCGCCAAGTCGGGGATCGTCATGGCGAGACATCTTCGCACCGAAACTGAAGGAATACATCTACACCGAAGAACCTGAGGGCAACCCGGAAAACAGGCGGTCCGTCGACATGAGGATACCAGGGTCGTTCGATATGTATGGACCGCACGCATCAAACAGCGCAAACGGGACGACCTCGAATGGACAGCAACCACAGCAGCAAAGTTGGATAGACATGCTTCGGAGGTTGCATCTCCAACAGTGAGAACCTTCTTCCCGTCTCCTTTTAATTTATTGTTCTCGTTGTTGGACTAGTCTTTGTTAATAAGCGAAGCTGGTCTTGACTTTTGAGCCCGATGGCTGGCTCGTTCCTAACCCTTTTTATACTTACCTATTCGCCCGGACGACTCTTGCCTTACCCGTGTTCTTTTCCTTTTTGTCGTTCAGTGTCCTGTTGGGACTTACTCTTCCGGTCGCTGTCCTGGGCTTTTGGATTTACGGGTCCCAGCGGTGACCTAGAGGGGTAGTCTCCTCCCTCCACACGGAAGCCTTCGCCTGCCCGCCCATCCACTTTGAACTTCTCCCGCACTGGACCTGCTGCTCGGGATCCCATTCCCCCTTCTACGATGTGGACTCCAGTTTCCTTTTATCTATTCAGCTGCTTTCGGACACTCGTAACGTCACCCGTCAACGACTCGTACCACGACTCGCTTATGCTTTTTGATTTCTAACCCTGCTATCCGAACCGTCCAATTGTCGCTATACAATGAAATGAACGTTTGTCCTTCAAATTGTACTATGTTAGCACGATTTATACAATCCAGAATTACAAAGTTTTCTACGTGTACAGTGTGTCCGTGAAGATAAAACGAGTGGTTAGGGAAGTTGGGAAAGAACGTTTCGGTTGTGTGGGGTGGATACATAGGTCCGTGGCTTCAAAATGTCCGATAGATAGGTATAAAGTAGAATGTGTCCGACAAGGAGCACTGGATGGAACACAGAACGTTGCCCTTCCGCTTCTTCAAGGGTACGTAGCCTTGATGAGGTCCGCCGCCTTCTCCGCAATACCGTAGAGAGTGGATGACAGGTGGGCGCTAACCTGGAGGGCGAGCACAGAAGCATCCACAACGCGGACGTTGGCGGTGTCATACACCCTGAGTTGGGCATCCACGACACCTGCGCGATTAGGTTTTAGGTTAGTTTACGTCTTTATTTCGCTTTGAAGCTAGGAGAGAGTGGTACCTCCAAGGCTGCGTCTCATCATAGCCGCCGTTCCGACGGGATGGGAGACAGTGTTGAAGTTGTTGTTGATCCAGTTCTTCCAGTCGTTGTCTGTTCCTCGTTCTGCGTTATCTGGGACGGCGTTGCCTGGGATGGTTTCTCCAGTGGCGATCCAACTTAACACTGGTATCAGCGACCTGGACAACCAGTGGTAAAAGGGGAAAGAGTTGGTTACCTCAAGGGCGGGGTGGTCAGAGCACGTCGGCAAAGACGTGACGCCGCAACTTGGATATCCATGTCCAAGTCGATATCGAAGAAATTGACTTGAACGCGTGGCTTGGTGTAGGGGTTGTTGCTCTATCGGTGCGGACTGCTTTTAGGTACTCCGCTGACGTACATACAGAGAGGAGGCTTACGGTGATCTGAACGCTGCCTCGACTGAATGGCAAGAGATTCCACATCTGAATACCCAGAGTACTATGGCAACAATCAGCACAAATGAGAATCTTTCAAGTGTTGAAGGAATACGTACTCGGGCCATCCATAGCTGAAGAACAGCTCTGCAACCGGTGCTACAAAGGACAGTCAGCACAATGTTCGCCACGCGTCGTCGGTGAAGATGAAGACGTACCGTTATTGTTGATGATCAAATCTGCCTGCACCTGGAAAATCTGTTGGAGAGCAGCAGCTGAGAACCCTGAGCCAGCCTGTGACGCAGCCCAAGAGCTAATCGACGACCTAATACGGTTGACGATTGAGCTTGCTTGGGTACCGAACAGCTGGTACAGATTCGGGAACGCGATGACGTTCGAAGGGCCACGACCTTCAGGATTGAAGCCATTGCCACCTGCACCAAATTGACTCATGGTCTTAGTAGTACATAGATGGTTGCGTAAAGAGTAGAAAGTGGTAAAACAGCAGTCAGTTAGAGAGAGGTGATCGAAGGGGAAGGGTGGAGTTGGTGTACCTGTTCCTGAAGGTTCTTGCCAACTGTCTTGAGGTCGACGTGGGTTTGGATTCCGAGAGGCCCGAGGATGGCAGAGTCGCCGATTCCTGAAAGTTGAAGGAGGGCAGGGGTCTGAGAGGTAGACGATTTAAGTGTGTGCGAATAGACTTTTGATTCTCGAACGTCTTACCTGGATGGCGCCGGCAGCCAAGATGACTTCGCGTCTGGCAAAAGCAGTATACCTCGTCGAGCCACCATTGGCAGGACCAAATTCGACACCAGAGGCTCTGAAAGGCACAGAGTTATTTGACCAATTGATTTTAGTGACCTATAGCAAAGGGGCGTCAGCCACCTCCAAGAGACCGAGTGAGGTAAAACTGACAAAGTGCCTCGTCAAAGTAACCCAGTTTGTACGCTGATGCTCAACTGGCGTCAGATAGGCCATAACGGACGAAGATCGGTGGTCAGCATCGCGCCAATTAATCATCTGAAGGGCATGTTCAGTAAGACTTGCAACAAGGTCTGTGGTGATTGCGGAAGGCTTACCAGAGGAGTAATCGAGACGCCATTGGGGTTGCCTCCATTCACATCTGGGATGTGATTCATGCCAGTCAAGCCGACCATGGAGTCAATAAAGAACCATTGATGAGGGCCGCCATACATGCTATTAGGGTTGGTCACTTGAACGGGGCCCCCGTAGCCATGGTACCAGTCAACAAACTGAGCGCCCTTCGACATTTGCTCGCTGTTGGGAGGCGAAAAGGCTTCGGACTGCAGAGGTGAATTGAATCAGGAACGCCGTGTTGTAATTATACGGGAAAGAGCGAACCTTCTTCATGTACTCAAACATGCCTTGCCAATTCCAACCAACGTTGGCTTCCCAAGGTTCGAGAAGGGCCGACCACGCGTCATATTGGGCGTCTACTCCTCGAGTGAAGGCAGCACCATTGATCGAAGCTATTATTGTCCCTGGTTCAGTCTTCTCCCTCAATAATAAGGTAAGGGAGGTACGTACTCCCTCCTCCGAGCGTTTTACCACCGACGATGCCTCGATTTCGCTCGGTTGGCCAATCCCACATCAGCTCCGAGCCAAAGGCTTCCCCGTAACGATAAATATCGTACACCCGGGGATCATTCCTGTCATCACCCCCTGCTTCGATGACCAGAACGGTGACCGATGGGTTCTCAGCCAATCGAGCAGCAACGGTAATCCCTGCTAAGCCACCACCGACGACAATATAGTCGTAGGACTGACCATTCACGGCGTCGGGTGAAGTCGTCACGCCGCGCTTTTGCAGGGGAGACGCGCCAGACGCGACGGAAACAAGGGAGAGCGCCAAAAGAGTGACAGCGCTGAAGGAGGGCATGGCGAAAAAAAAGGAGAAAAAAGAGAGGGAAAAGAACCGGGTGCTGAAACCAGTATTCAGCGGGTCCGTTATAAAGGAGTGGCCCACTCAAGGACCGACCATGCCCGTGTGGCCGTCGACGGAGCTGTCCCTCGACTGTTGACAAGGATCTGCCCGCCGTCGTGAAGCCTCCGATGTGCAGCGAGCCCCACGGAATATATTAGAGCTGAGAGAACGGGAAAATGGCTCATAATCGGTATAAAGCGGTCTCCGCATGCTTGAGGCGGCGCCGGCGTCATAGCTTCCTCATGCACATGACGTGCAGTGATCACCATAGCCTGCAAACTAGGCGGAAGGTAAAATACCTAGGAAAGAGACTACGGTAAGAAGACTTACGCAAAGATAACAATCTGTTCACATATTTGATGGGCCTGAATAGTGATTTTCGGAATTCGCATGACCTCACGCCGCTCTGGCATTGGCCACATCTGCCAGCCTGAGAGCGCGGTTGGGTAGCGACCAAGTCAATCAGCGGCGAGCCGTGACCGTGATTGGCCTGATCAAAGAGATTTCCTCTTCAAGTTCCCTTGAGCGTGTGTCCCCAGATAGAGTTTCAGGCGAGCGTCAGGAGATTAAGCGCCCAAGCTTGAAGCTTGAAACTTGAAGTCTCGTTCGGTGGTGGTCGCTGGTAAAGCAGCACCCAAGCCAAACCCGAAGCAATGCCCGAGAATCTCAGTCTGGGCCTACGTGGCTATCCCGGATCATTGACCGGATAAAGAGGACCGGAAAGCCCCTATTATGTCCATTCCATTCTTTGAAGTCGCTGTTCGCGTCCACCGTGCTGGGATAAGGAGTCGTCAACGGAGAGGTATCAATCAGAGTTAAGATTTTCAGTAACATAGTAGCGGAATATGTTCATTTCCAAATTTCCGACGCCTCCCATGAGCCTCGAGAGCCTTGACGAGGAGATCAAGGGCAATAATCTGCCCAAAACCAATCCCCCTTTACCACCAACACTGTTAGATGGACTAGCTGCTCGTGGCCCTATCTGTACGTACAAGCCATTTGATACTTCTATCCCCGCTGTTTCCACTTAAGACCAGGGAGCCCTTGGAACCAGGAACAGCCAGCCAAGAATCCGTTGAAATCGCCTATGGAACTACACGATGGCAAATCTGAGGGGTACCTCTGAATGGTCAGGTAGTAGATGTGCCCAGGGGCTTCATATAATGAGAATGACTATAGACTATGAGCAGTCCACAACATGCTGATCACTCGACTAGTGCAAGTTATGGTCAAGCGCAGGGTAGTTCAAAGTTATCCCCTGCCATGCATTCAGCACTAGGCTGAGTTCACGAAACGATATCCTAACTATGCCGTAAAGGGCCATATCTTCCCTATACATAGAGCTCGCACATCTCCGTGTTATGCACTGCGGAGAAAGGGTACCTCGAATGCACCGAGTAGCGCGGAATGCTCGACTTGGAAAGCAATGTGTCGCGACCCCATGAATTGGTTCCCGCCATCCTGGACATTTCATCTCATTTATCATTTTCGAGAGATCAGAATTACATTCCGATTAACTTCGATTGCGCCAGCGAACTTTAATTTGAGTTGCTCTATAGACCTACACCTCGTGCGGTAAGAACTGTTTTCTCTCCAGCTCGCCACCCTCAACAGCCGATCTAACACAATCCATTCCGTCGGTCTGGGCTCTCAGTAAGAATCAGATCCAATAACCAATTAATATTCTAAGGTCTAGGATGGACTGAAAGCAAGAAACATTAGAATACAAAGAGGCCCGTATGTATACCCTAGAAGACCGATGAGAGTTGAGAACGAATTGAGGCATGCACATTCGTCTGAAGCCACTGAAATGCCAAATGAAGAAGGACGAGAATATCGAAGAATGTGGAACTAGATGAAGCAACGCCATCGACGAAGAAGAATAGACGGAGATGAAAAACCGAAGTACTGCCCAGATGTCTCCTGGTGTCCTTGCTAATCGCTGGACCCGTCTATCGAATAAGCAAACAGCGATGATCGGGAGAAACAAAGCCCTATGCCCGATGTTGAGCTGCTATGATGTCAATGAACGCTGAGAACAACAGATTAAGAACGAGCAGCCCACCTAATCGCGAATAGGGCCTTTCAGTCCATACGCAAATCCAATTGATAGCTTGGGTGCGAGACTTGACCACGAGGTTGTGTAGATCCTTCGACACCCTGTGAATCTTGTGCGGAAACTCGTTCCGGACTGTGGTCGGTGTTTGAACGATAGGTTCCCTTTACATCAGAGGGTGTGTGGACTCCTGAACTGCTAAATCTTGTAGAAAGACCTGATGAAGGAACGTTGGTCTCGATGCCTGAGATGGGGACTGATGTGGGCGAAATCTCTACCCATGTTGGTGTAAGATTAGGAGTGATGTCCTGTGGCATAGAGTTTCTAGGTGCGTCGGCATGTTGATTGAGTGTCTCGAACTCCACTGGGAGATACTCCCCTTGCGACGTGAAAGGGCCAGAAGCGAAGTCGCCGGGTATGGAGTTTCGAATGTTATGATGATTCAGGTCATGGGACACGCTCGAAGTCTCGGGTACAGGACAGCTGCGAATACTCATTCAGTTTTGGGCGACATCAAGACCGATTTGAATGCTCACACGGAGATTTGCTGGGATTGTTGGTATCTCATCAACGTCGAGGTATCGGTTCCACCCTCTGTCGCGCTTGACCCTGCCAGATCGAAGCCAGACCCTAGATATTGCCCATTGAGATCAATGGTTGGCTGCAGGCTTAATGGAAATCTCGCGAATGGCGGCACCACCGTGGGTTCTGGGCCAGGGAAGTTGTGAGAGGGATACGACAATCCTTGAACTTCCGGTATGGGCAGGTCGTTCCTCGGTGATTGTTGATATTCGTGACGAACACTGTCTTGCGTATATTGCGCACCAACCCTTTCTGTCCAGTACAGCGAATTTCCCGGCGAGGGTTGTAGTATGGGGACTCCGATGCGGCGGTCATGGTTAGACGCGGTGTCCAAATGTAGATTGGGCGGGCGAGAGCGGTTGGGTCGATGCTCGTCGAGAGATAGCGAGTTCCTTCGGGCCTGACTGGATCCAGGAACTCCAGAAAAGGAGGGTGCTCCGAGCCGCGTCTCGTTGGCACGAAACGAAGACAGGATAGAGGCGACGTCGTGGTGCTCGGAGGAGTTTCCGCTGGTCGACGTGCTGTCATTCGCGCTCATCGTACGGGCCCGACTCGGAGCTAAGGAGAACGGTTCGTCCGTCGCTGCCACGGTGGTCGGGGGTGGTTTAAGCTTTGGTTTGTTCGGCCCTCTAACCCGCCCTTCTTTGGCGTATTCGCAGACTAGTCCTCGTGCTATACAGCGTTTACACGAAGGGTGCTCTCCACTGCACTGAACACGACTGTTAGCAGACGTAATCTTACTGGACATTAATGAAAGCATACCTTGGCCTTTCTCGTGCGACACTTCTCACATGCCTGAGCAGTACGCAGACGGGGGTGGTCTGGCGTGCGGTAGAACACGCCTGTGGCAGGATCCAACGAACCAGCGAGGGGATGGATCCCGCGTGACAACCCGCCGTTACTGTATGATGGAGGGGAGAGTCGAGGCGGAGGAAATGGCGAAGGACTCGGGAACGAATCATAGCGAAGGGAGAGTGCGACATCCAAGGGGATGGGATGCTCGTACGGTGGCCAACTTTGAGGCGAGGCGTGCGGGTGTATGGTGGAAGAACGAGGAAGACGAAGGGCATCCTGGTCGAATTGGGCTGAAGCGGTGTATAGATCAGGCTGTTGTAGCGGCGGCAGATAATTACCAGAGCTACTAGCGAAGCCCTCTAAATTGATCTCCCTATTGCTCGCCGAGGGCTGACGTGCAATAAACGGGTGACCGTGAACATTCGGTGAAGTAATGGCGTCGGAACGATACTGGGCGGAAGAACCCATTTTGTTCTGTCCTTCGGGAGAGGGATACGGAAGATTGTGGAGTTGCCTGTATTGCATCGGGTCCTGGTAGCCAGAGGGGAGATTGGGATAGTCCATGCGCAGGGCAATTGCCAGGGAGGGAGATGAAATCCGCCACACAAGGGCTTTTGTATGAAAATTGGATAGAATTCAGGCCATTGAAACCACCCTCCGGTTTTGGCTTTGGCAGCAATCTGATGTAAGGTGTATGTTCAGGCTACCCCCTTGCCGAGAACCCGGGCAGCACACCGATCCTATGTAATGATCGAAGGCTGTTTCCCAGGACAGAATACCAAAAACGAAGCCGAAGATTGCTGAAGGGCTTTTCTACCCGTTGGAGATTGACCTCCGATTGAGTGGTCAGACCAGGAACGATAAACACCCCTGCTGTGAGCCGAGATATGCTGAAAATAATAACGCGCTGACCTTTGTGTTTGTCTTGATCCGTGCGTCACCTCAGTTTTCGAAGTCGAACGGGGGTAGCAAGTCAAAATAAGCGGAGAGACACGACTCAAGCGGGACGGTATATACCGATTCGGGGAGCCCTCGGCAGCAAGAATATTGTAATATTATAATGAACGTTGAACCTCCGCGGCACACTCCGGCTGTTCGGTTAATCCACAGCGTACCAGTGCCGTTCTGTCCTTGACGATAAACCAGGCACGGGAAAGTAGAATTCTGTTTTCAATAGATGGAGCCCTCCATCCACCCTCTTGTAATGCGTCCCAGTGCGGAGGACAACCACCTCCCCTTCAAACAGAATCATCCGCGAACAGTGGCCATTTATCTATAACTGCTTGGGGATGCTGATGCTTCTGAAGTCTATATCATCAAAGGGACCGAAGTCTCCGGTGACCTACCTCTTCTTACCTACCCCTATCACCCGCCGTGGACAAGTTCCAACGCTGTTTAGGCGCCTTTAGCCTGTGGTGCAACGTGAATCCCAACGCAGGCGGAGTGAAATCCTCCCTCCTCGATAGGCGCATGCACAACCATTCATCTACTTTCCAGAGGCTCTCTCGTCATCCATGACTACCACTGAGGCCTTTATTCACCGGCGCTCGGCAATACAGAGTCTATTCGTAGCAAGGATACAGCAATTAGGTTGAAGCACAAACGTCGTTGCATGGTCAGAACACCGCAAGATGTAGGTGTAGGATCTTTACCCTTACGCTCCAGATCTACATGCGCCCAGCCCATCCCGTACCTTGTGAGCTTCAATTTGGGGTGTGATTGTCTATCTGGGCTTTGAGGTTTTCAGACGGGCATTGAAACAGTTATTCCGTTTCCATGGTTCGCGGTGAGGAGAATCTCTTTTAGAATTTTCCCTTTCATTTAAGCACAGATTTCATAACACCTGTAGTGGTTCTATTGTCTGAAAAATGGAAATTCAGGCGGTGAACTAGTAACTCGGCCTTTGCTCTGCAGTCCATGCCGAGAGTCACGACGAGATTGTATTCGCGTGCTGACGCCACTACCTGAGACCATCTGGAATTACTACGACCATCGTCAAAGAAGGTTCTGCATGGTCAAATCCAGGTGCGTCTCTGAGGAAGCTGTGATTAGCACAACCTTTCGAGACGTATGGTAACCGGCGAGCACGGCGGCTGACGCCGTTGTGTGATCATTGATTTCAGCGATATGTTGTCCCTTGTCAATGCTTTATCAGACTTTAGTTCATTAACGTCAACGTACGTCTCAAATTCTGCCTATAAGTTGATGCAGCGTACTGTTTGGGGAGGGCTACATTTTTAATCTCACAACAAGCTCGCGGGGAGTGCCTTCCAAGAAAGCTTCGCTTTGGACTCCTCGGTGGTCCAAGAAGCTATTTCTCACGCCGCAGATGCCGCCGGGAGTTTCGAGCACATGTCTACCCATTCTTTCAAGCATGCAGGCTTTCTTACGATATTCCCCTTCGATTTGGCTCGCCCTTCTCTCCTTACTTTCAGGCCTTCCCCATTGGCTAGATGGAGCTCTGGCCTGGCAAGGTGATCGGCGTTACGAGATTCGAGCACTCCATTTGATTCCAATCGACTTTCAATTTAACCTCCCTACATTCACGTCCGTTCAAATCTCTCCTTGCGAATGACTTGTTCAATGGTACAACACCGCGGGCTGGGATATCCCTTACGAAGGTAAGTTTAACAGTGACCAGATACACTTCACGTTAGAAAGGCTCCAAGACGAACGTTCTACTCCAGAGTCCCCTTGTGACGTATAAAAAAGGACGGTTCTCTCAAAGATGCGAGTAGTTCCCAAATTATTGAAAACACGTTCAGTGTCGCCTTCTTTAAGATTTGCTTGTATCTTGACTGGGATCTCACTGATTTCGAGCAGTCAACGCAATTTTTCAATTTTGATAGACCTCTCTTAAGCTTGCCAACATCATCGTGGTCAGCCTGAGGGTAACATGTGCGGGGTCATGGAAGGGTGAGAATTCCTCCATGGCTGCATTGCCTCGTCCATAGTCTTGTAGCACACAGACCACAGTCGACATTCGACCGCTTTCTCACTGCTGCCTGATCTCGTTGTTCGAGTCCTCGCCAAGTCGGCTCCAGCTACCACTGGCAGCTCGTTAAGCGCCCATCGTCGGCATTGGCCGGTTGATGGACCCGCAAGCAAGGACAAACAAAGGCCACGGCAAGATTGCGCTCGGACCATGAGATACTACTTCTCGACCACCACGAAGGCCGTTGGGCGTGCTGTCCCTGGGGCTGTCGACGATGACCAAAATATTATTTCTGGTCGCTGTGCTGTCGTTGTGGGCGCTTTGAATCTGTGCTCACGAGATTTGTGCAGCGTGCAGCGCCTGGAGAAGACCTTACACTGACCGCGGCCGCCGTCCACTGCTATAGGCCTTGGAGTCTGCTCAATAAGGCCCATAAATCCACATTCGTGAGTTTTTCGATGCTCGTATCAGATGGTGGAGAATTCTGACTTCTTTCCAAGTTCCGGCCCTGAGATGAGGAGAAAGGTTAATTTTCGGCTGGAGGCATTTGCTTTCTTTCCAGTCTTACCACTCGAACAACTTAGAATTTATCAGCACCTCGGACGTAGATTCCGTTGTCCTTCTTGCGTTAAAGCCGCCAGGAATTTTGTGATTGACCTTCTGCAGAGTCTACGATACTGTTGGTCCCAGTTGGACCAAGTCACTTCGTTTTTGAAAAACCTTTTGTTCCAACAAAGTGCAACATTGCAGCTTACATACACACACTTAACTTTCCCCGGAGTTGCCAGGACTCGTGCCTAGCAAATCTGGGGTAACTCGCGTGGTCGAGTCGCGTGAACTCGCGTGAGTATCTCCATCTACTCCACCCTCTCGCGTTTTCGAGATTGATCTTACAGCACTCCCACAGACGTCCCATCCATGGAATGTCGCAGAAGTTTCAAAAGCTTCTGTGCTTCTGTGCATTGCCCGAATCCAATCCGTCTGATGTCCCCCTGTGGTTCTGGGGTCGAATTGTTGGCTAAGATTCAGTGCGTCGGAATAACCATCCCCACCATTTACTTCTTATTCACCCGAGGTAGTACAGAAAATATCCTTGGCAGCGTGTTCTCACCGCGTCTTTACTTGCCGCGGCCCGCTCGTTCCCGCCTTTCTGGGAGACCGAGTGTGCGCCCGGTGTCCCAGGTGAACTCGTGACCGTCATAACGGGTGACAACAATACTACGAGGACCAGGCCAACCAATTCAAGATGCTTCTTTACGATGCGCGATCTGATATTCTCCCAGCTGCTCTGCATTTCGGTTCGCGTCTTCTCGGTGATTTCGGTTTCATCCTCGCAGAACCAAGCTTGAAGCACAATGTCCCGGATGATACTCTCATCGGCACTCTGCAAACCCAACCGCACGTGTGAAGAACAGGAAGACATTACGGAGCTGCTTCGCCCGCGTGGCAAGAAGTGATCAGCGTTGACGGGATTTGCGATGACGGAACCGGCAGTGCAACGCTTATCCAGAGATTATAGAATGGTCAGTTGTAACGCCAAATGACTCGTCTGGACAGGATCTAACCATGCCTCTCGTTTCCCAGTCGCGTTATGTCTGCGTTCTCGGTTTCATCGGCGCACTTTTCGTTCCATCTGACAGGGGACAGTTTTCATTGCCGCAAGCGTCTCTCTTTCGAAACGTGCAAGATCACCCTATCATCATGGCTTAGAATTGGTGAGAATGCAACTATCGTTTTCGGGGTAACTCCAAGCGGCTTTCTAGAATCAGCCTCCGGCTCCATGGTAGCTTGGCCCATTCGGATTTATCTGCAACAACGCATGCAGAAATGGCTCTTTGTAATTCCCCGCGCTCAGGCCCACGAGACAACCTCGGTGGGGAGAGCACATAATCCGTGACTATAAAGGCGAAGATTGTTTTCGACTATCCTTGTGTACTCACCTCACAACCTTCGCCATGGGCTCCTTCAAGCAACTACTCGTCCTCGTTACTCTCTCCGTGTCTGCTATGGCACAGTCGGGCCCTTGGGGTCAATGTATGTGTCGTCGTCTCTTTGCATTCGCGATCCTCTAACCATACTGTTTATAGGTGGAGGTAATGGCTGGACTGGTTCTACAACCTGTGTTAGCGGTTATGTCTGCCGCGTCCAGAACGAGTGGTACTCGCAATGTGTTCCCGGTACCGCACCTCCAGTCACCACCCCTCCTCCTCCAGCAACGACTGTGGCTCCTCCTCCCCCCGTCACCACTGCACCGCCTCCCGTCGTGACCCAGCCTCCCTCGAGCGGCACCTGCCCTAACCTCCCTGGCAGCATCAACCTCGTTGCTAACAGCCGACTCCCCGATCCATTCACATTCATCAACGGACAGAAGGTCACCTCCAAGGCCGACTGGGAATGCCGACAAAAGGAAATCTCCGAATTGTTCCAACGCTACGAAGCTGGAACACTTCCCGGCAAGCCCGAATCCGTTACTGGCTCCCTTTCTGGAAATAGCTTGACCGTCAACGTCCGCAATGGTGGACAGAGCATCAGCTTCAGCGCGTCCATCCAATTCCCATCTGGAAACGGACCCTTCCCCGCCATCATTGCAGTGGGCGGTTCCTCTATCCCTACCCCCAACGGCGTCGCCATCATCAATTTCAACAACAACGATATCGCCGACCAGCAGGGTCAATCCAGCCGTGGCCGTGGCAAGTTCTACACTCTCTACGGCTCCAACCACTCCGCATCCGCCATGACTGCTTGGGTATGGGGTGTCAGCCGAATCATCGACGTCCTCGAGACGCTTCCCAACTCCCGAATCGACGTGAGCAGGCTCGGTGTGACTGGATGCTCTCGTAACGGAAAGGGTGCCTTGATGGTCGGTGCCTTTGAACCTCGTATTGCCCTCACCATTCCTCAAGAGTCCGGCTCTGGAGGCGCTGCCTGCTGGCGTATCTCCGACGCGATGTCCAGGAACGGCGTCAACACGCAGACCGCTCGTCAAATCGTTGGCGAGAACGTCTGGTTCTCCCCTGTCTTCAACCAATATGTCAACCGCGTCGATGACCTTCCCTTCGACCACCACTTGCTCGCCGGTCTCGTCGCTCCCCGTGGTCTCCTCGTCATCGACCACTCCGGCATCGACTGGCTCGGCCCTCAATCCGTCTACGGCTGCATGGTCACTGGTCGCAAGATCTACCAGGCCCTCGGTGTCCCCAACAACATGGGCATTTCCCAGATTGGTGGCCACAACCACTGCATGTTCCCTGGCAGCCAACAGAACGACCTCAACGCCTTCGTCGACAAGTTCCTGCGGGGTAATAACAACGCCAACACCAACATCCAGCGCACCGATGCTCCCAACAACGCCGGCTTCGTCGAGTCGCAATGGGTTAACTGGCAAGTGCCCACCCTTTCATGATCTCTCTCGTTGCGTAGTTGAGCATTGGAGTTCACTCCACTGTATATTATATGATTCTATTGACTCGTTTTCCATCACCTCACTTCAACCCGTCGCGTCGCGTCCCCTGTCAGACTTCTGTCGGTCGCGGCTGATCGCAGAGAATCTTCATGGTGCCATTAATATTGTCACGTTCTAACTTTCTACTTTCCCTTTCCGTTCATTAAGCAGTCTTCTACTCCGTCATCGCCAAGCCTTCTTTTCGAACCCGCAACTGTGACGTTGGCCGCCTTCGCGGTTGACAATCTCCGTGGGTTATGGTGCTGAATCCTCCGTCTGCCCTCTATCTCCTTCCCTGGATCCCAAATTTCGGATTTATGGTCAGTCACGAGGAACTTGGACTGAAGGCTGCGAAATCACCGGGTGCCGCTGGCACCAATGTCCTCTCCTCTAGGAGGCAAACATCCGACGTTCTCGTGAGTAGGCTTTTTACCCTCCTTTCCATCTGACCGTTGAAGTTCGTCCCTATCTAGCCTGCTTCACATCAGGAGGTATGTGACTTGGATGGAGGAACTTCGGTTTGCCTTGTTACTTTCAAGAGGGCACGAGGGATGCACCGAACTCGCCCGCCGTAGCTGGTGTCCGTGACCGCGGGCTTGAGCTTGATTCTCGATCTGCCTACTGCTGAGTAGTCTCTTTGCCACGATCTCAAAGTCCCTGATATTCTCAACGCAATACATCTACAGAACATCGAGTGACTTCAAGCTTCATCCACTGCCGTGCGCTGACTGCATTATCAGATCCCAGTCCTGTCTTTATTACCCTATCAGTGATACTCCGCGACCAAACTTCCTCTCGCGTGCGGCATCTCCAATTGTAACGGCCCTCGACCACGTTTTCTGAACTCAGATCTCGTCCACATGCTCCGCCCTCAACTTAGCCCGTCTCCACAAGGGAATGTCGTTGCCTTCAAAAATTCATTTGTGAGGCCGCTTTCGTCCCGGTGCCCCAAGCCTTGTGAAGAAGTTGTACCTCTTGTGACTCGGCGGGTAAACACGCGGATTAATTCGTATTTGTTTCTCTTGGTTCTTCGCCACGTTCTTCCAGCGATACTGACGACATCACTCTGGCTGTCTGTGTCCGCTTCTTTGCTTCCATCAAGAAGGTACTCCATCATTTAGTTACTGACGGGTGGGTTAACATTGCACAATGGATAGGTCAAGAGGCCCGCTCTGCGCGTATCAGTTATCGGTCTGCATTGATCAGTTTAACAACGTCCACTCATCCCCGTACACGAGCACAACGGAAAGTTCCTGGCTTTCTCGTTGGAATATCTCGAAACTGAGGACTCAGAAGGCGACCGTTGAAAACTCCTTTGAGAACTCTGAACGCCCCGACGTCACTCCTTCCTCGAGACTCCGGGCCTTAGACGGACCTTCCGGAGCGATCTAACAGCGTTTCGGGCCGCCGCTGACTTCGCGACCTGAACGCTTTTTGCTCTTTGCCAGATCCCCTCTTATTCTGAAACCAAGCTCAACATTGGCTCTTAGCACCCACCCCCTGGTTGATACCATGATACACTGTCGAATATCCACAATGGACAGCACTGTACCCACTTGAAGATCGACCGGCTTCTTGAATGCCGTTCGACGCGACGAAACTCAAATTTCGGAAGAATATCTGGTCAACGGAACCTCGTTTTGTTGAAATATTTACTACTGAAACAGTCACTTGGACAGACACCCCAACCACCACCAGCCTTCGGCAACTTCGCAAAAGTCTTGGGTCTTCTAAACTTGAGCTCTCTTGTCTAATTTGGCTATGTGGATCTGGGGCGGGGGTATCCTCTACCCTTTCATGGGCGCTATTCGACTTCCTCGGTCTCTATCGTCTGCTTCGAAGGGGCTTGAGATCAGCAACAGACTTTACACTCTGGCATCCTTCGCATTCGTCGGTTAAACTGGTCATCGTTCGCTTCGCCACAAGGCGGATGGCCAACCAGAGTGTGGAGAACGTCGGATAATCGTTTCTTCTTCTATCGAGGCTTCCATTTGTGGCCATCTACTTCGTTGGTGATAGCGTGGAAACGACATGTGGGGTATACCACAAAGGGCAGCGCGAATCTTCCGCTAAAGACCCTTGTTTGAGGCAATTCGAAAGTATAAAAGACGAGCGACAAAGGAATACTCGAAGCTCGAACACCCTCTCCCACCAGGTCAAATTCATAATGGCTCCACTCAAGGCCTCTTTCGTCGCCCTCATCCTTGCCTTGCCCGCACTCGCACAGCAAGGTCCTTACCAACAATGTGAGTACCGATGTCTACTCCCCGTTGCTGCTACCCATACTTATTCCATTCCCTCATAGGCGGTGGTACTGGATGGACTGGTGGAACCACCTGTGTGTCCGGCTACGTGTGTAACAAGTTCAACGACTGGTTCTCCCAGTGCGTTCCGGGAAGCAACCAGCCACAACCACCTGTTACCACTCAGCCCCCTGTCACGACTCAACCCCCCGTCACGACTCAGCCCCCGGTTACGACCCAACCCCCTGCGCCTCCGGCTTCCTGCCCCCCGCTCCCATCTAACCTTCCTTTGACTGCGAATGCCCGCCCCAACGATCCTTTCACCTTTGTCAATGGCCAGAAGGTGACCACCAAGGCTCAATGGGAGTGCAGGCAGAAGGAGATCTCCCACCTGTTCCAACAGATGGAACTCGGTACGCTCCCACCCAAACCCGAGTCCGTCACTGGTTCCCTCTCAGGAAACAGCTTGACCGTCAACGTCCGCAATGGTGGCCAGAGCATCAGCTTCAGCGCGTCCATCCAGTTCCCTTCTGGCAACGGTCCTTTCCCCGCCATCATCGCTGTCGGTGGATCGTCCCTCCCCACCCCGAGTGGCGTCGCCATGATCAACTTCAACAACAACGATATCGCCGACCAGCAGGGTCAATCCAGCCGTGGTCGTGGCAAGTTCTACACCCTCTACGGCTCCAACCACTCCGCCTCAGCTATGATGGCGTGGGCCTGGGGCGTCAGCCGAATCATCGACGTCCTCGAGACCATCCCCAACTCTCGCATCGACCTCACCCGTCTGGGCACCACCGGTTGCTCTCGTAACGGCAAGGGTGCTCTCATCGTCGGTGCCTTCGAGCCCCGTATCGCCCTCACCCTCCCTCAGGAATCTGGCTCTGGCGGTGCTGCCTGCTGGCGCATCTCCGACGCCATGTCCAGGAACGGCGTCAACACCCAGACTGCCCGCCAGATCGTCACCGAGAACGTCTGGTTCTCCACCCTCTTCAACCAATACGTTAACCGCGTCAACGACCTTCCCTTCGACCACCACTTGCTCGCTGGTCTCGTCGCTCCCCGTGGTCTCCTCGTCATCGACCACTCCGGCATCGACTGGCTCGGCCCTCAATCCGTTTACGGCTGCATGGTCGTTGGTCGCAAGATCTACCAGGCCCTCGGCGTCACCAACAACATGGGTATCTCCCAGATTGGCGGACACAACCACTGCATGTTCCCTGGTAGCCAACAGAATGACCTCAATGCCTTCGTCGACAAGTTCTTGCGTGGCAATGCTAATGCCAACACGAACATCCAGCGCACCGACGCTCCCAACCAAGCTGGATTCGTCGAGTCCCAGTGGGTCGACTGGCAGGTCCCCACCTTGTCGTAAACGGATGGCGATCAACAAGTCGTCGCGATGTATCATTATCCTTTTCGTATCGTACCCGCCGTGTACAGGTCTTGAGTGTATGTGTATTGTATCCATGTCCCATGTACCAACCCGTCCATGTAAAAATATACCCCATGAGCTGGGTGCCTTTTCTGAAACAGCAAGTGGCGTGCCTACGAGTCCTTTTGTCTCTGTCCATAACAAGTCAATAATAGCGATGTGAGGTTCAAGTAAACCGGCTAGCTGCCAAGTTAAACAGCCCCCGAATCTTGTTCTGGATGTTCATTTTCGGAAGCGGTATCGTCCTAGGCACCTCCTTCAAATACAACTTCGTCTCGAGTGCAGAATCAGCTGGATCAAAACATGAGCAGCTCATCCTTATTTCATAAATGCAAGAATTACGCACCCCATACGATCCCACCTCGCCCACCTTCCCCAATACAAATATTGACCCTTGCTTCCTCGAGAAACTGGACGCCTAACCTCCCCGGTTCACCTTCAGCAGCCAAACGGAAGGAGATGGGCTTCTGCACGTCTTGAAGGTACAACGAAACCGAAGTTTCAGACTTCTCCAATTGGTCGATGAATGCATCGGAAGCTCCCAGTGCCAGTAATGTGCCTCTCGAGATCGTGTTGTGTGAGGATGAGGTGTCGAGGATCATGTTGGTCACGACTGCCTGGGAATGCGATGAACCGGATTGGGGATTTCTAGTGGCGGAGTGGATGGAATCGGATCGCGTGCTGATAATGGAGGGCGCCGCTGTAGACAGAGTCGACAACGCCGAAGTGGATGTAGAAAACTCGGATTTGTAGAATGGAGGTGTGAATTCAACCTGGGATCTCGAACGGGTATGACCGTGTCCTATCTTCGGCGGTGGTTGGAGAGAAAACAAACTACGAGCATCTTCGCTCCTCTGTCGCATATGTTGCCTGAGGGTTCGTGGCGTCGCAGGTGTCAGGTGAGGGGTTGAAACTTTCGCTTTATCCTGCAGACGAACAACGAAGCGCCATGCTAAGAGACCAGTGAAGGGCCCGTTCGGAATCCGGATTCCTGCGCATGGGATGGTGTCGAGTTCAGTCGTGTGAGGGACGTTGTCTGGCCCGATGGCATTTTCGAGAGCTTCTTGTGGTGTTTCGCAGGTACGAATTTGTGAGGAGACGCTGGGAAAGCCAAACGAATGAAACCGGGTTAGACGACTCGATTCCTTGAGATGCAGATACAGACGTACTCCAAAGACTTTCGCGTCGATCTCGTTTCTAGCTCCTTTGACCAACTTCGGTCGCTGACGAGAGTGGAGCCCAGGCTCTTGTCGCTGTTGAACGAAACTTCATCAGACCCTCGTCTTCTAGGGGATGGCATGGCGATCGTGATGTTGACGGTGGTCGATTGGCTGTTAAGAGAGCTAGTCCAATGGCAGATTTCAGGCGCGGTACTGAGGTGGGAGAGAGGATGGAATACGAGACGTCAAGTGGAGGGTGGAGTGTGAAGCCCAAGAAGAAGGGACGCGAGAAAGATATGACAGCAGAATTCACCGAAACCACCACCCTTTTTGTAGGTCTATCGCAATTGCCCGACTGTGGGTCCCTAGTCCGGGGAATGACAAAATGACAATCAGTTGGCTGTCCATTCTGGTTTTGTACCTCTTTCGAGTATCGTTTCAGCCTTTCAGGGTGCTAATCACTTCCAATTCGTCCGTGGTGTCGAGGGCTGTGCACACCAAAACCGAGTGCGCCGGAATACAAGTCGGGGGTGGTTGGATGGTCGGGGTGCGTGTAGATTGTGAACCAGGAAAATAGTTGTCCCCACATGCACCTATACTCGCCATTGTCGTACTCGGTGCGAGTAGGAGATGACAGCGTTCATTTTCGGGTCGCTCGACGGTCGTTTGGCTTTGTAGCGAAATACGAAGGCTGTCGTACTCGTTCGTTTGGACGGGCGCTTAGTTGGATCGTTCCTCGAAATTCGCTGTGTATACCGCCTCAACTTGAACCTGCCTATCCGAAGAGTCGAAATGTCCGAAAGGTGGTCATGGTTGGCTCCTGGTCAATCCAAGTTCCGTTCCATCCTCCGGTGGTGGGCTGTGTGGAAAAAGCAAATTGCCAAGCGCCAAGCAGCGTCATGGTACCGGTGTGGCAATGCTTCCGATCAATTTCATCACACTTGGGTGTTCCGTTTCGTGAAAAGGGCGGAGGGGGTGGATGAAACGCGATTGCTGAAGCTTGAAGCAAGTGACGGTGCATGAAATTGAAGGATCTGCTGTAAGTTTTAGATCAGTTACGTCCCTGTTTAGAGAAAGCAGCTTTCCTTTTTGGTAGTAATTAAGAGGGACGGGATCAGACCGATGACCTCGAGGTGATCTCTGAGATGGAACGTTGAAACCAGTGTACCCAAATTCAGTCAAAGTTGGATATAATACGTACAACTTTACATAGCACATTTCCAACACATAATCAACGATCCTAGTAGCAATTCGAGAAACGATTCGAAAGCACGTATTGAAAGCTAGCGCAATCTGGGAGTCTCCCAATCGATCCACTCGGATTCATCCCACTCAAACTCCCCATCCGTCTTGAAGTGTCCAGTTTCGGCTCGCTTACCCTTCAAGAACCTATCAAAATACGCCTCCAAGTCCTTCCTCTGGGATTCAGGGAACTGACAATGATTATGCTCCCCAGCCTGCAAAAACCCAACATTCCTCTGCGCACCCAACGCCTGCCACACCTTCCTCGCAGCCGAAACACACCCATACGTCGACTCGGGACCCAACCAATCAATCCCGCTATGCTCAAGCACGAGCAACCCACGGGGCGCAACCATCGCCGAGAGGAAGTGGTGGTCAAACGGGAGGACACCCGTCTTATTCGCGTACTCATCGAAGCGGGTGGAGAACCACACGTTCTCGGTGATGATCTGCGAGCCGGTCTGGACGGTGAGACCTTCGTCCCTGAGCTGGTCCGCGATCCTCCAGCACCCAGCGCCGCCGGTCCCAGGCTCCTGCGGGATCGTCAGCGCGATACGCTCCTCGAACGCGCCGACGACGTGCGTGCCCTTGCCGTTCCGCGAGCACCCCGTAACAGCGAGGCGCTTCGTGTCGATCTGCGACCCCTGGGCGGACTCGAGGGCGTCGATGAGGCGGCTGACGCCCCACGTCCACGCGAGCATCGCGCCCGCGGAGTGGTCGGCGCCGTAGAGGTCGTAGAAGAGCCCTTTGCCGCGGCTGCGCGTGCGGCCTTGTTGTTCGGCGATGAGGTCGTTGTTGAGGGAGATGACGGCGACGCCTTCGGGTGCGGGGATGCTCGCGTACCCAAGGGAGATGATGGCCGGGTACTTCTTCTTGGGGGTGCTGACTGAGTCGGGGTCCTCAGGCTCGGGAGTGGGTTCTGGCTCTTCTGGCTCGGGTACAGGTTCTTCAGGTTCGGGTGAGGGCTCCTCGGGTTCTTCAGGCTCAGGCTCGGGTGAGGGCTCAGGTTCAGGCTTGACCGGTTCCGGAAGCCTAATGGTACTGGTGAACGAAATCTCCCTGTCGCCAACCGTAACATTAACCGTGATCGAACGATGGTTCTCGTCGATAACGCCAACCACCTTGTCCGGTTTGCCAGGGAGGTCACCGAGCTCGAAGCGCTGGAGGAGCGCGCTGATCTCCGCGCGGCGGCACGCCCAGTCGTCCTTGGTCCTAACCTTCTTGCCGTTGAAGAAGGTGAAGGGGTCGGGGAGTTTGGAGAGGATGAGGCGGTCTGGGAATGCTGGGCACTTTGTCTCAGGCTGAGGAGCGGATGGTGCGGTGCTTTGGGCACTGGCGAGGAGAGCGGTGAGGAGGGAGGCGAAGGCTGGAGTGAGGATCTTCATGATGGTTTGAGGATTAACTCGAAGCTTGGAGCTTGGTTAATTCTTGCATTTCTTGCCGGTTTTTATAGGTGATTTTGGGTCGGATATACCTGGGATGAAGATTGTTATGCGTGTAACAAAATAGTGATCACCTGCATAGACGAGAAGGCACCAGAACGACCATTAATCCGACGATGAAGTGGTTCTTTCTCTCTTCAAACATAGAGAATGGGAAAAGAGAATTTAGGGAACGAGAGGGAAGTAGTCTTTGAAGACTCGAATGGCGTTAGACAGTTCAAATACCCAACTTCGATTCAGCTGTACGCTTCAGGCAGAGTGGTGTCGTGATCTCTGTTGGGCCTCTGTTTGCGACAAACCGGGGGTTAAACATGGCTTCTCGCGGTGCCCCCGGCTAGATTTTACCGAAACCTCAATTTTAATGAAGACATTTAAAGTTCAGAGTGGGACACACGCACTTGCCGAAGTGAGTTCCAAGAGTTAAAGGAAGGGTACGGCAGAAGTCTTGCCTCTGTGTCTTGTGAAACGAAGCCCTCGGTCGTTCTCTCGGTTTCGTATACTCGTGTGTGTTATGGAGGTTTCTTTGTGTCTCGTTGTGGTGGTTGACTGGTCGTGGACGAGGAAGAAGTCTGCGGAGGCAGATGGATATCAGAGAAAAATGTCTTCAATTCAGTTGGGGCAGAGTGTGGCCGAGTTCTGTCTCGACGGCACTAATTCACGAACACACCTCCTACCAAACATGGACAAGCCCAACGTTCGGTCGAATGATCAGTCCTATGACGCAAGCTTCCTTTATGGCAGAGAACAAGGTAAGTAGGTCGTAAAAGTAACGATTAAGTCGACGCCCATGACCGTGAAAACCCCTCACCTTTCAACAAACCCATCGTGAAACAAAAGAAGCAACACTAGAGCCTGGCATTGTCGGGCATGGTCCCGGTCGCCTAGGATCCCTGTCCTGTTGTCAGTATGGCCATCGACGACGGTCAAAAGATACCTTATGGAAGCCAGAGCCATACACAAAGGTCTTCCAAACGGTTCAATTGTGCACGCTGGTCGAGCGCTTGCCCAGCCACAACCCCAGCGCTCGCCGCTCAATTCCCAAATCGAGGCACTGGATGACCAATGGCGGATCAAACGGCGGTGATGGCGGGACAATGTACTTTTTCGAGTTCTCCTCGGCGTTCTGACAAAGAGTTGTCATTGGTTGCTGGAAGTGATCTGCGCAGTGGTAGAGGGCGAGGTTAGAGGAAGGTAGAAGTTGTTTTTAGAATGAACAAACATGTCAAACAAACAGGAGAGGTATATAGTCCAGAGGATGGCGTCCTCCTCGTTCTTTCTTCCCTTCCCCCACCATCTCTCCCTCCACTATCTTCGCGCGTCCGTCGCCACCAGCGTCGACGACAACAGTTCTGTGGAACTAGGACGACGAGCAGGTACACTCACGATCTTCCGGTAGGCTGCCGATGGATAAGATACTCGCCCCCGACGTCGTCTCGCGCTGTCCTGTGCACCACAGCCGAGAATGACCCCTGGGTCGAGGCGATGGTGCGCATATATCCACCTGCTGGTCCTTGATCAACACCCTACAAGCATCCAGCCGTTCATCTCCAGGACGCGTCGCTTGTACAGGTTCAAAGCATGTAGCAGAGCATAATGCTGGCGAAGATATTGAAGCAAGTACGTGATATTACACTGCAGAGTCGGATACTAAGCGACGCTCGCTACGTTTCAATCACCTCGCGTTGCAGGGTCTGTGATTCCAATTGTATGCGGGTTTGCCGAAAGTGTATGCATGGCGAGGCTGGGCGACAGGAAACACTCGCGATGAACACGGCGAGGAGAAGCTTGTCTTGCTTCAGCGTGGTCCAGAAACCGTCGCCGAGTCTGCTGGTTGCAGCAGTCGGGAAACCTCGCCTATGAGCATGAGGCTACTGGACGCTAGTTTACGCCAAGCGGTCTAACATCGCCGCTCTCCGTTTAGGGTCCTGTCACGCCGCGTTTGTGGAAGTGATCATGCAGTGATGGCTGATTGAATAATCCGCTTGCTCCACAGCAACGAAGCTTCGAAACACGTTTGGAACCAGCTGACCTGGCCTGTGAGTGTCTATTTTCCTTCAGGTAGAGGCGCGATTTTGACCTGGATTTCATCGCAGAAAGCAAGGCAGCGAAGGGAGAGAGGTTGATTCCGCGTAGCCAAGGTTACGCGAAAATTAAAAATGACGGCCGTCAATGAGTGGTTGCCAAGACCGGGAGATTGCGTGCCGAGAGCGCGGCTTTTGCTGTGCTGGTACAACGGCGACCAAACAGGGCGGGGCCATCATCAGTGGCCCATTTCTTGCCTGTGTTCGGTTCAAATTTCCCCTTCTTCTTCTCCACGCATACAACCCACGTCTCTCAATTCTTCCGAGCTTTCGTCTTCTCTCGTCGCTGTTTCACGCTCTTTAGTCCTCCCACACCGTCAACATTCAGTCTTCTGCCTGAATACCGCCCTCGTTTTATCACTCACTACATAACAGCAACGACAAAGCTTACAATGTTCGCCAAATCCGCCGTCGCCTTTGCTTCTTTGGCCTTGTTCGTCCAGGGTTCGTACTCTCGTTCCATTTCTGTGTTTAGAGTGGATCATTGACCGAGTCTGGTTCTACAGCCGCCTCCGCCGCCCAGTGTACCCGCACGTACACCATCAAGGAGGGCGACTACTGTGACAGCATTTCCGCAGCCCAGGGAGTCTCTACGTACGTTGGCAAACCCAACCCATACCGCCCATCCTCACATCCCAATCTAGCTACCAACTCGCCGTTCTCAACGCTGGCAAGATCAACCCGCGCTGCGATAACCTCGTCCCTGGCGACGAGCTCTGCCTTGGCACCGACGAGGTCGACTGCCGCGAGACCACCGTCGTCATCGCCGGCAACACCTGCAGCGCCATCTGGGACGAAAACACTCTCGACAGCGAGATCTTCTACCTGAACAACCCCCAAGTCTCCCGCGACTGCAGGAACATCTACATTGATGAGGTGCGTACAACCCTCGGTACTGCCGCTGGTTACCCGTTGGGGCTTACGAGGGTTTTTGTTATGTGCGTTTTGACAGGTCCTTTGCATTGCCAAGACGGTGCAGGTCCCTCCCGCCCCGACCGTCCCCATCCACACTGGCCCTCCCCCCGCTGAGGCTACTCCTCCCGTCCCCCTCGACCCCGCTCCCACCCCCGCGCCCGAGGGCGAGAACCTCACCCCTGAGCCCATCAACGAGGCCCCTCCCGCCCCCGAGGAGGAAGAGTGCGAAGACGAATACGAGGAGATCGAGGTCATTTACGGCTCGGATGACGAGAGCATCCCCTACTGCGACGAGCTCTAAGCGAGTCCCAGGTTCCCCCCTTTCCCACCAACCCAACTCTTCTCCCGCCGATAATAGACTTGCCCTTCTTCCCCGAAATTGAATCCACCTAACAGTGGGCTGCTGCTCATCGCACTCTCTCACGCATTGCATTCTTAACTTCTCGCATCTCATCATCGTACCGCACTCGTTTAATGCATGTCCATGACTTGATTTGGGGGATTGGAATTTGGAGGGAAGGCATGGTTTTGGATGCAAGTGTACCACTTTCGTTCGATTCTTATCCTTTCATCTCATTTCCGTTCCAAATCCCAATCCCTTGTTCTCGTTCCCGCTTTGATGGTCACGGCTACGTTTATACCTCTTTCCTTTTCATCATCATCTTCTGCTCCTCATCCAGCACGACTGGATCGTCGGTCTAGTTGACCCTAGACCCGCCTCATTACTGATACATGATACCTACCTATAGCGCTTGTATTTACTTCTCTAGCAGAGGTAACTGGTTGCACGCGTGGAATCATCAAATCGTTCATCTCAGAGCTGATGCTTCTCGACATCCATCACGGTGTTTCAGCACTCAGCCTGGCCGGCGATGCAGATGCAGTGTATAGTATACGGGTGCGTCAGTACATCCGTGTATGCAGATGGGTTTTGAGCTACGTAGTGGGCGCCCAGCTTGCCTCGAGCTGGAGCATCACCCTTACAGTCTCTTCGATCGTCTTCTCTGGAGCGATGAACTCCATATTGAGCATCTCCCTAGCCCTCGTGTTATCCAGTCTGGACGGAGGACCAGGCAACTCCCCAAACGCCTCGGGATCCGTCAGACCCTCCTTCACCTTATCCTCCAACCCAGGGTGCTGCTTGAGGAACGCGATGGCTTCAGGCCAAGTATAATTCCCGGCGTTGATGATGATCCTCTTGGATTGGATGTCCCGGTCACGCTCGGGCTGGTCGCTGCCGGACCCGGACAGTGTGGACGAGTCGAGTGTTGGAGTCACAGTCGGAGTCGGGACGGGCGGGAGCTCGAGAGCGAGGACGTGCGCGCGTGCTACGTCGCGGACGTCGACTACCCATGGAGGTGCGAGCGGCGGTTTACCCCCGCTCAGGAGCGCGTAGATGAACCCGTTCGTTCCGAGGTTTGTTGAATTGGATGGGAGTGGGAGGGGTGGTGCGTACGGTCCGTAGACGAAGCCTGGTAGGACTGGTAGCCGCAGTATGCCAGTGGTATGGGTCGAGCCGTATTTAAACATATAATGTATATGATATCGTCATTCGAGTCTAGCGGAGAGCAGAAGAGGATGCAAACTCAACTGGTAGCTAGATCCACTTCTGGATTGGACGCTGCAAATTCCCAAGCTGCTTTTTCGGCTAGAGTTTTAGCTCCAAAGTAGACGTAGTATGGGTTGTGACTGTTGGTCTTGATGTCTTCTAGAGTTACATTATTCCAATCTGGGTGACCAGAATGGGTGATAGTGATAGTGAATTGAAGGGGGATTTACTCGTTGGTAAGTTGAATCATGGTATTGAGAGAAGAGTGAGGGACGGACCTGTTTCGGACAAAGTACGATCGGAGAATCCGTCGACTAGTAGCGCTGTGATGAGATGAGGTGGACCCAGTGGATGTGAGCTGTGTGTCTACTGCGGTGAAGGAAAGGATAGAGGACGTACGGTCAACAAGTGTCCCGAACGTGCTCGTAATAACAAACTTTTTGATCCCACGGTGCGACCCTTTGCGGAGGACGTTGAGTGTACCGTCGATCGCGGTCTGCCCAATCAAGAGAACCGCTGAGATTAGTGACCTGGGGAATGTACGCCGTGTACTGATACGTACGCTCAAAGTCTCCTCCATGCTTGCGTGGCCGGGTAGGGGCGAGGCTACGTGTATCGCCGCATGGACGTCTATAAGACATGCTCAGCAATGGGCCCCTTGCAAGGCCTCGAAACAGTCAAACGCACCCTCGAGTACAGCGTCCAGGTCTGATGTTGCGATATCGTCCACTCTGACGAACTCGAGGCCTGGGACGTGCACGGTGTTGATTAACACGTCGGCCTTGGAGCCTCTTGCTGTTCTGTTCGAGACGATGCATCAGTGACCGCACGATATAAGGGCTGTTTCGATGAGGGATTAGGGATGGGGATGGGGAGGTACGTACCCTCGGACGCGGTACCCCGCCTTGAGGAGGCTCTCTACGACTTGACCAGCGATGAACCCTGTTACGCCGGTTACAAGCACGAGGTTGCCTGGCATCGTCTCACTGAGTGGGATTGGGGTGAGGTTGAGACCAATGGAGGACAGAGGTGCGCCGGTTGGACGATGGATTGCAGGCTGTCTGCTGAAGGCGGTTTTATATTCAGCCAGCAACAGGGGAAAAAGTACCAGTTTCCCCACTGATCCCAGTAGTAGGCTAATGCCTGCTACGATTCTGGGGTACAATGCACCTATCATTCTTCATACATCGCTTCCCCACTACTAGTCCTGGGGTAGTAAATCAATCACGAAACTGCCGCTATTTGGGGGACTGGACGTACTAGAGAACTTTGGTGCACCACTCCTAGAGCGACGAAGAACAGCTAAAGGATCGCAAATCGCTTCTTTTCCCGCCACTTCATGCGAAGGAATGCGTGAAGTGGTAAGTCCAGACCGTGGAGATGCACCGAGAAGTGGTACATGTAGGTCGTGGGCTAGGAATTCGAAGCCTCGGACAGGATTATGTAGGTTGCCACCGTCGGAAGGTCAATCTTGAAGATGGGTGATTGATTCTGGTCTGTAGAGCGTGGAAGTTGAGTGAGAATCGAGAGTCTGGGCTTGTCTTTTTCCTGCTCGATTCGACTGTTGAGAAATAGGACAGGCTTTTGGATGGCTGTACCTGGCCTGTGCAAACGATTGCAGCTGACCTTTGGACGACTGTAGCACTCCTAGTACAGGGCGCAAGTGGTTAGGTTTGCCTCAGCTACTGCATCCCTGTAAATGAAGGAAGTATCGCTTTGATGATACTATTGGAAGGCTCTTTGGAGGAAGCGCACGTTGTGGTTCGTGTTCAGGAGGCATTTTTTGATGGCGGACGGCGGAAAGGGAAATTCGTTACCCAAACATGGCCAAAGCAACACCTTGGTCGATTTGTCGGTGACTCGGTGTACGCCAGCGAGGATAAATGGTAATAATTTACACAGTGGATGAGAAATTCAGTACAGGCATCAAGCGTGTACACCAAAAGACAAATCACAAGCCCGTTGTATCTAGTTTAAGCACTCTAGTAATATCCACTGTCTAACTAACAATAAATACTCAATAGTAGATCCCAAAGCAAAGCAAAGCTCTATCGCTCTGCGGTCCACTCGGTACAGCCCTCTCATCTAAAGAACGTATCTATACCCGCTCCATAAATCACCCTTCTCCCGCTTCGCTTCCGCCACAGTGGCAAAACTACCATTCTTAGACCATTTCGAGTCTCCACTAGAAGTCGTAGTAGTAGTGGTGGTCGTGGTGGTAGTGCTGGGATCACCACCGATAATTTCATCCCGTTCTCCACGATCTCTCCTTGCGTTCTCCATTTTCAAGAGGAACAGGTAGAGTCCGGAGAAAATCATTCCGAGGGCGAGGTACATTAGTACCAGACCTGGATTAGAGTGCTTGTTAGATCGAGTGGTTTTGGGGGAAGATGTGGTTGAAGTTGGGGACTCACCGTGCCCTGTAATACGGAGGGAGTGGGGTAAGCTCAGTAGGCCTTGCGGTGGTTCTATCGGGAAGGAGCTTACCAAGGGTATAGTAAGGCCGATCCTTCGCTCGGTACTGCGCACATAGTCAATCAAAACTTGAATGGGAGATGTTAGGTTGGTCAGGGCTTACGATATTGGAACCAACGGCACCATTGATATTTCCACTGGAAAGGGACCATTGGTATCAGCTCAAGGAAGGCTAAGAAGTCTGGGGGTCTATAGAGCAGTACGTACAGACTGATCACCATGGCGAGAGAGACGCTGCGCTTGTACGACCCCTCTACGTTATTGGAGATCCAAGCTCTAGAGGATGATGGATTAGACTCAGATTCTCGGATATAGGACCGCGAAGAGTAATACGAATTAGAAATACTACTCACATGGTATTGGCTACGGGAAACTCCGTCAGTACGTCGAAGCAAGGCAGAAGTAGCACCACGAGAAGATCGACTTACGGACTGTCGGATAGATACCACTACGAAGGAGATCCCGCATAAGCTCATCTGACCAATCGTGTTCAGCTCAGAGGACGATAAAGACTGACCAAATTGCGACGAAAACGGCAAAGTAGGAGAGTGGTGTATTCCGTGAACAAATGAGTATGATGTATCCGACGACTCCGAGTGACATTGATGCGCTGGTGGGATCCAGCGAATATTCGAATAGTCCGGAGGAGTAATAGAGTCAGTACTCTGAAATGTTCGGATTCCGTGAAGCAGAGCGGACGTACAGGTTGAAGTAGCCGCGATGACCCCAGCGGTGGACGACGACGGCACCGAGGCAAGTCACTACCCCGGCGAGGAGGTAGACGGGGGCCGTCATCAAGTTTGCTGGCGTCGCTTTGAAACCTGAGATCGATCGCCCCATCGTGTTATCGGCTGCTTGCGCAAAGCGAAGCGAAGTGAAGAAACGCACCCATCTGGAATTTTATACAAATTCAAGAAAATTCAGAGTGGAAAAACAAGGGACGATCTCTTACCTGCTGAATGATGGTCGGAAGGAACAGCGCAAACGCATACAAAGGCATGCAGCAACTCATATAAATCATCACTACATTCCCCAGTTGCCTGTATGAGTTACACCACTCCACTTTACAAAAACCAAGAACACGACAAACCACTCACTTCCAATCCAAGTCTTCCAATCCTTCAAACTCTGCCACAGGTACCGCTTTCTGAACTTTTCTCCACCGGCGCTAAACTGGTTGTCGGACTGCAATCGGCGGATCACGACAGTCCGTTCGGCCTCTGTTAGAAATTTGGCGGTTTCGGGAAAGTCTTGGATGATCCAGAAGGACGCGGTGCTGACGATGACGGTTAAGATGCCCTCCAGAACTGTGTGGCGAATGAATTAGTTTAGTTAGAGACGGAATTGGTGCTATTTCATGTAATGTGATTGGGAGGGGGGGACGTACTGAAGATCCACGCCCACGCAGGTTTGCCTGCGATGCCGTCCATTTTGGAGATAGCCGCCTAAGTAGAGAGGTTGGGTTTAATTATGATGGTCAGTTCTTACTGACCATTTCATAGGATGGTGAATGAAGGGTATGTAGCGTACCGCGAGTAAACCTCCGAATGCGCCTGCGATGGTACCAGCCGAGAAGAACCATGCTGCACGGAGACCGTATTCCGAGCGTTTATACCAGCTACGATCGTATCCATCAGCTCCGATGATCACCTTCAAAAGTATCGAAGGGAATGCGAGCTGACCATGAGAGGTAGTAACTGACTCCAGGGAACAATCCAGCTTCAAACATGCCAAGCAACCATCGGACGGCTATAAATAGATTCTGGGCGTCAACACAGTCTCCACAAGCGCAATAGCAGTGATGTCAACATACCCATCAATTGAGGAAAGTCGCGAACGAAGGCTTGGGAGAGCTGATATAGAGTCTTTTTAGCACTCTATGATCTACCAGGAATGTCCTTGAACGACCTACCATGATTAAACCCCAAATAAACATCATGAGGGATAGCCAGATGGATGGTCGGAGCTTTTTGAGTAGGACGTTGGAGGGGACTTCGAAGAGTGCATAACTTATGAAGAAGATCTAGGGTGGGTATGTCAGAGGGCTAGTACTGAAAGCAATGAAGTCTGATTAGATACACACTGTTAAACTAAGTAGGTATTGGCTGTCGGAGAGTCCCAGGTCTTCGTCCAAGCCGTACAACTGGAAGGGATGTTAACTTGGGCTCCTAACCAGCCTGAGAAAGGTTGCGGACATACCTTTGCACTAAAGAAAATAACGGAAATTAGAAGCTTATGCATAAAATGTAAGTCAGGAGTAACGCGTTAACGACTCACTTCCCGACACTCGTCCGACCCAAGAACGTAAGGAGGTAAAGAAAAGACGGCCAAGGGACCAACGCCAGGTCCAACTTGCGCACCAAAGCCTTTTCATCGACTTGCCCAATATCGACTTGGGCATTATACAACTCTACTTTTTCTTTCAGACTAGGGATTGACGGCCGCTCCAGGTCGTTAGGGTTGAGCGTGACGACCGACGTTGCCCTCGTATCGATATCACTCATCGTGATAAAGACAAAGTACTACAAGCGAGGGAAATAATGAGGATGATTAGGGCCTGGGTATGTGGGCAGCGAGGTACGGTGGCGAACGCCAGAGCTGAATCACAGCCCGCTTATTCCAGCCCACTTTTAAATGTCTAGGGCACCATTTACCTGGATTCCTTTCGCTTACGGAGGGACCGATAAAGGCGTAAAAAGGTGCTTTAGATACACATGGCGGTACAGGACATGAAGAAAAATAATGGGTCAGGGACTCAGGTATAGAGTCGGCAGTCGCGATCGCGATGCGCGCCTTAGAGTATACGTACGTAGGAACCGGGTCGACATTTTGGTAATTGAGGGATTGAAGAACTTTCTGGGCGTCCCAAAAGTGGAGCTTAGTGACTATGCAAAGTCCAGCGCTGCTGCGTAGTGTCACTGACAGTCAGCAATTACTTCTACGATGAAACACGGAGAGGGATGGAAGCATAACAGGACCGACACTATGGGAAGCCTACTCTCCATGGAGAAGGGCGTATTCATCTCGGACCTCGAGCTCCAAGTCGGCGGACCCAGGCTTAAGGATGAGGCTGATTCGGTTTATTGAGGTGCATCGGTATCTTCTTACGTCTGAGAGGGTCCTCCTCCAACGTGGGTGCGCTCGGCTGGTCCCAACCATCCCGCTGCTTGAAACATAATTAGGTCCGTCAGGTCTCCTCGTAGGGTCTCGGAGAATCTCGCCGAATTCAAAGGTCTTCCCGCCAATATGAAGCTAAGCATCGGGTGGCCCAGCGACCACTCCTTGAAGCTCTTCATCCCTCCCTCATCACGACGATATCGTCATCCGTGGTTCCCAGCGCTCCTTCAGCGCTACCGTAAACACACATGGAAGATGAAGATTCCTTCAAGGAATATGATTACAAGTACAATCTAATAACATTACATACAGTCCCTCATCCGTATCAAAAAAGAGAATTTTATCATCGTATGTTTGCCGGCAATCATTGCATCGTATGGGCAAAGGTATCCTAGCCTCCCTAACGAACCCTAGGGACTTGTCAAGACCCTTAGCCTCGTTTCCGTACGTCGACACTCTTCCTGCTGTACCCGATTTCATCAATCATCTCGCTGCAAACTTCGAGCCATGCCCTCCCCAGCAACTCGAAATCCCGGAGCTAGAGAACACGCCATACCATGTCAGCCGTCGCAATACTATGGGGCGGGGAATGACCAAGATGCGTTATTACATACCTCATTGAAAACCTGCACACTGCATCGAGTCCACCAAGACCCGTTGTGGTTGTAAACGACCGAGTAGATCCGCCTGTCAACTATCATCTTTTGCTTGAACATGCGATCGAGGTCCCATGTCCAGGGGACATCGCCAGGGAAGGGCAACCGGACGTTTGTCTGTTAGGAGTGGAAAGGAGACGGACGAAGTCAGCGCTCAGGAGCTAAGGAAAGAAGGGCGAGTTCATTGGGGAAGGGGAGGATATCCACGTACCATGTTTACAGCGCGATCGCCGTCGCAGCCCAGGACCGTCGTACCGAGAATCTTTGCCAGGAGCTTTCCGCCCTCCATGGCGAGTTGGTGGCAGTAGGTGTTGATGACTCGTTCACCACCCAGCCATTTTCGGAATGCGAGAGCTTCGTGGAGGGTTTGAGATGAGTATCACTTTGGGACCCGTGAATAGAGGAAATTGCTTACCATTAACAGCAGTGAGGTATTGTGTGTAATCAATGGTCTCGTTCCCTGCATGGAGATGATGACGATGAGCGCTCCGTGTCGGGCGATCCGTGATAGGTTCGAAGACGTACAAGTGAACTGCTCCACAAAGTTGACGCCCGTCTTTTTGTTCGGAGAGGATAACCAAGCGCTATTTGTGGGAAACGCAGTCTTGATAATATGCTGGTTTCTGAAAGGATTTCCATCAGGATCGGATTCAGAGGGCCATCAATAGGTACGGAAAGCGCTCACCGGAAGGGGACATAGAGCACAGCACATGGTCTCTTCACGTATAGCCACTTGTGGCAGCTCTATCATAAAACACCGGGTAACGTCCAGAGGTTGGTAAGTACCCTCGCAGATTACTTGCACCGACTCCACGTACCGATACCCAAAAGTCAGGTTGGATAGTGCCAAGATCGAGGTCCAGTTCATGTCCAATCGAATGCGCAGCGTCGACGAGATTCCAAACGCCGTATTCCCTGCAAAGCTTGACCATCCCTTGCCAGGGCATCAGGACGCCAGGGGTAGATACGATACTTTCGATGATGGCGATCCGTTTGTTTCGAGGGCCGACCTGGTTTTGGCTGGATTTGAGGAAGGCCTCGAATTTAGTGAGGATCTCGTCGTGCGACATGGGGAAGCGCAGCTCGAGGTTGGCTATTCTTGGGTGGGGCGGGGTAGCCGCTAGACATTGCACCGTCGATGATACCGCCATATAAGACGTGCTACCTTTTCATCGGATGTGCCTGATCTCAGTATGGGGATAGCGAGCCTAAGGTGGAGTTCAACGCACAGGTAAGGATTAGGTCGCCTTCATTCCAGTTGAAGTTCCTGAGAACTGTGTTGATAGCGAGGGTCGCGTTCATGACCAGGACGACCTCGTCGGTCTGCGCCCCGATCATGGAGGCGATCTGGGTTCGAGTCTTGACGAGGAGAGGCTTGTACTCGAGGAGGTGGAACTTGTCAGGATTAGCCTCGATCCTGCGAGTGAGTTGCTGTGCTGCGTCGAGCACAATTCTGGGTGTACTTCCATAGGAACCTACAGGTAGACGTCAGCAGTGGAGGAGTAAACACTTGGAAAGAGACGTACCGCTATTGAGGTTTGTGTGGGTAGGGTCAATGGCGAAATAGGGCAGAAGGGCTCGACCAAATGGGGGTGGAGGTTTGTTGAAGATACTGGCAGTATCTTCGTCGACGTAGGAGAAGTTTTGAGCCATGATAGTGAGCGTCTTTTGGGAGAGATTTCTGGGGTAGTGAATGCCATAAGTTTTCCAAGTTTTTGTAGTAGCGGTGGAGTTAGCGGTCCGCTAAGAATTAACCAAAGCAGTGACTGAAAAGGACTAGTTGCAACATGGAGGGACGAGTACATGGAAGTTGGTCGATGCCAAAAGGACCTACGAAGCTGATGTACAGTCCCAAAGGAGGCTGATGACGACCTCGTGCTGGGAAGAGAATCCTCGTGCCATCCGGCGAGCCTGGAGGCAACAGTTGTGCCATGCAAGGCAATGTAATTTTCGCCGTTGACCGAACAACGTCTGAGAGTCAACGGTGGCGGGAATCCGGGTCCCCGAGTCGAAGCCGATACGGATGGCGTGCGGTGGTCACCCAGTTGAGGACCTGTATATTTGGCGGGAAAGTACTTCGTGTTCCAGGTGTGGGGCTTTAGAACGAGTCGTGGGTCCATGAGATGTATTGCGTGAGGTGAATAGTCTGCAGACGAGGGTCGCACCTGTCTGCGCTGGGAGGCCAGAGAACCAAACAAAATGGATAGGCTAATGGTTTAAATGATTAACCATTACTTTCAAGGAAAGTCGGGCAGACTGCGACGCAGAGTAGCCCACACCGAACCTGTGAGTTGCTCGCATCACGTTAACGTTGAGCGTTCGTCGCAATCAGCACGTCCATCCATCAAGAAGGGACAAGTGTTTAAATAGCATTAGAGAATTTGGGGAAGAACGACCTCTGAGCGGAGCAAAGAAACACAGAGTACATGGGTTTGCAACAAGAGGACAAGTGCCGCTGGACCCACATAACCCGGTCCCCATGGCGTGGTGGTTGTCACATTCGAATGATCCCAGGTGCTCGACGACCATGAGGTATATCATAAGACCATATAAGTGCATCGTTCGAGTTTCAGAACACCAGGCCCCAGGCACGAATTCGTCTGGGGTGCCGCTGGAGACAGTGCAGCACCACAACAGAGGTCCGCAAGTAAAACCAGGAAGTCGACATGGGATTGAAGTGGAACCGCAGAAAAGAAGGGCCAGGCAGAGTTCTTTACTTCTTTGGCTTGTCTTCGAAGTCATCGGTCGCTTGTTCTGGCTTATCCTTGGTCCCGGTGGCTGTTAGAGGCAAGGTTCAAAACCCAGGCGCGCGGGTCGCATTGCCGCGTTCAATCTCCGACTCGGCTCCGCCCGAAAAATTCCGCGATGCCCGGGCGCCTCCTCGTCGACGTCGTCACCATCGTGGACGACGGTGACGGTGCTTTGGCGAACAACTAGCCGCGTAGGAGAAGGGGAAATCTTGTCGTCGGTACGCGTTATCTATGCTCTCCTCAAGCGTTGCTCACAACGACGGCCAGAATTTGACTGGCGGCTTTTCACGACGTTTGGGACGATGTACAGCTGCCGGAATGCTCTGCGACGTTTGCAAACTCGACGATGGTATTCGACCAAAGGCCCCGACCCAGTCAAGTTCGTTGAGCCCCAGTTAAACGAACTCCGGACCTCATTGTTGTCGATGCTGGGGTCAGGTCATGCTGCGATCAGTGAAATAACAAAGTATTATTTCTTGCATCCTTCAAAGCATGTTCGTCCAGTCATCGTGCTCTTGTTGTCACAGGCTACAAACGGACTAGGCTCAGACTGGAGCAAGAAGCTCTGGGAAGCTCAAAACCAGGGAGGCGGGGCTCGAGCAGAGGACTTGGACGCGCCTCTGACGCGACCAGACGTTCTCAATGACTGGAATCCCTCAATGCCAGATGGAACCTCATCATTTCGTCCCAATTTCCCCATCAAACCACCAAAACCCCATAGACCACCAATATCAACACCCACGAATTTTGCATCCAAGCCACCATCTCTACATTTGCCACCTTACGTCCTACCCACACAAGTTCGGCTTGCACAAATCGTTGAAATGCTCCACACAGCTTCTCTTCTGCACGACGACGTGATCGACGAATCGGCATTGAGACGGGGTGCTGCTTCAGCCCCTTCAGCCTTTGGTAACAAGCAGTCGGTGCTCGGTGGAAATTTCGTCCTTGGCCGAGCATCTGCTGCATTGTCAAGGCTAGGGGACCCAGAAGTCACCCAGCTTATCGCTGGCGTGCTTTCCAACCTTGTGGAAGGCGAAATCCTGCAGCTGAAGGAGATACAACTGGACGGCAGCCCGGAAACCGCGAGTCAGCGACGTCAAGATGCCTGGAATATATACCTGCACAAAACCTATCTCAAGACAGCTAGTCTGATGGCCAAGGGCGCGCGTTCAGCCGTCGTTCTCGGAGGGTGCAAGGAGGGAGAGATTTGGAAGGAGATTGCGTACGCATACGGGAGGAACCTAGGGATCGCGTTCCAGTTGGTGGATGACGTACTCGACTACGAGTCTGCGTCTGCAACGCTAGGAAAGCCAGGAGGCGCTGATTTGGAGTTGGGATTGGCGACTGGACCAGCACTCTACGCTTGGGAGGAATACCCCGAGATCGGGGAGCTCATTTGTCGCAAGTTTGAACAGCCCGGTGATGTCGAACGGGTGAGTGTGCCTAAAATCTGATCATGTGCACGGTCACTGACCTCGTGTTAACAGGCGCGCGATTTGGTCCTTCGTTCTTCGGGTGTCGAGAGAACAAAAGCTCTCGCACAGGAATATGCGAGCAAGGCTCGAGAAGTCCTACAAGAGATACCAGACAGCGACGCCAAGGCTGCACTGGAAGTGCTGACAGAGCGTGTCGTTGGCCGGCGATCATAGCACTACGACTCACCTACGTGGCCCTACATCTATTCTATATTTCCCTAATTCTAATAGATCAGTCCCCACTAGATGGAATTTTCACTGCCTTGGGCCAGAACGGAGCTCGCCTCGGTCCTCTCATAACCGCGTCTCCCTTCCTTGCCTGGCCTACACCCCACCGTCGTGCAGAACTGCGTCCGCGAAAGGCTTCTCGTCGCCCAAGTTCCATTGATGATCCGCTGCGTCCCTGGAGGTCAACTTGGAGGGCCCAGTTGTCAGAGGAAGGCCAAGCGCGCCCAAATCTCAGTTTCAGACGCCTTGGAAGAGCATCCATCCCCGGCGCAAGTGGGCGCCACCTGAGCGCTTGATGGGACATCACGTCCGGAGCCTGAAGCAAATTCCAGTTGGACATTCTTCCAACACCATCCTCTCTCTCTTCAAGAACGCGTCCCTCTGTCGTCGACACTGTTTCCCTCCATCAAGACGCGCACAATGGTCTTGATACAGTCGTGAAGGGTGCAGTTAGAGTTGTGCTTTCTTCGGGACCGGTTTCATATCAGAAATCTTCCGTATTTCGTGATGCATTTTCGTGATGCTGCTAACCCACATCAATCAATTCGGATTGATGAAGTTGTAGGGCAGGTATAAGAAAGGCTCGCTCCCCACAGATGTTTCCTCAGCCGTGCTCGACACCACCTCGACCTCCAACCCTTGCGCTGAGCGTTTGTCGCAGCTGTGCTGCTAGCCATCTCTGATCAGGTATCAACCATGTCTCTCCCCACCGTCAACCCCTCGGTCGAGTCTTTCGCTTCGGACGAAACCCACATTGAATTCCCCTCTATCATGGTTGAGGAAGAGAGTGCGTCTCCTTGCTGACTTTAGCTGAAGTTTCCTGTTTTCTAACTCGATATTACAGAGAAGTACTCTTCGGAGCCCCACTTCATCGCTCCTCTGTAAGTCTCCTACTATTTGTCATGGAACGCGCCCATACTTACGATGGTTATAGCCCCGCCCTTCCCTACCTGAAGGCTGGCAGCTTCCCGGAATCGCCCTTCAACAACACCCCTGCTTCCCCCTACCTCAACAGGGCTTCCACCTTCGACTTGGACTCTGGCTGGCGCCGCCGCCAGGCCATCCTTCGTGGTGAGAAGCGCAAGGTCAAGCTCACTAAGGGTCACTTCATCGCCGAGTACCGCGTCCCTACTGCCGTCCACAATGCCATGGAGAAGAAGTACACCTGCACCAAGTCAACTGAATTCTCGTAGGTCCCCTAATACCCGCTGTGGGCGCTTCGTTCTGACATGCACTTTACAGCCACATGCGCTACACTGCCGCCACCTGCGACCCCGATGACTTCACTGAGGCCAACGGCTGGTCGCTCCGCCCCAAGATGTACGGCCGCGAGACCGAGCTCTTGATCGCCGTCACCTCCTACAACGAGGACAAGGCCCTCTACGCCCGCACCCTCCACGGTGTCATGCTCAACATCCGTGACATCTGCAAGACCCAGAAGTCCAAGTACTGGCGCTCTTGCGCTGAGGAGGGCACCCCCGCCTGGACCAAGATCACCGTCGCCCTCGTCGTCGACGGCCTCGACAACATGGACAAGTCCGTTTTGGACCTCCTCGCCACCGTCGGCGTTTACCAGGACGGTATCATGAAGAAGAAGGTTGATGGCAAGGACACTGTTGCCCATATCTTCGAGTACACCACCCAGCTCTCTGTTGATGACAAGCCCCAGCTTGTCCTCCCCCAGGAGAACGACGATGGCTCCAACCTTGTCCCCGTCCAGATCATCCTCGTCGTCAAGGCTAAGAACCAGAAGAAGATCAACTCCCACCGCTGGCTCTTCAACGCCCTTGGCCGCCAATTGAACGTAGGTTGCTTCGCCTCTATATCATAGGAGTCATTCTTACAAGCTTTATGTAGCCCGAGATCTGCGTCTTGATCGATGCCGGTACCAAGCCCGGTTACAAGGCCATCTACCACCTCTGGGAGGCTTTCTACAACAACGAGAACCTCGGCGGCTGCGCTGGCGAGATCTACGCCATGGGCGGCAAGCGCCTCCTCAACCCCCTCGTTGCTGCTCAGAACTTTGAGTACAAGATGTCCAACATCCTCGACAAGCCTTTCGAGAGCTCCTTCGGCTACGTCTCCGTCCTCCCCGGTGCCTTCAGCGCCTACCGCTACCGCGCTATCCAGGGCCGCCCCCTCGAGCAGTACTTCCACGGAGACCACTCCCTCGCCGATCGTCTCGGTGAGCACGGTATCAATGGCATGTCCATCTTCCAGAAGAACATGTTCTTGGCTGAGGATCGCATCCTCTGCTTTGAGCTCATGGCCAAGCGTGGCGAGAAGTGGACTCTTGGATATGTCAAGGACAGCAAGGCTGAGACTGATGTCCCTGAGACCGCCCCCGAGCTCATTGGACAGCGCCGCCGCTGGCTCAATGGCTCCTTCGCTGCCTCCATCTACGCCCTTGTTCACTTCTGGCGTGTCTACCAGTCCGGCCACAACTTTGTCCGCATCTTCTTCTTCCACATCCAGGCCTTGGTGAGTCCAATTTATTCCTCCACGTGTTGCATCTATCTGACTAATTCATGTGTGTTCAGTTCAACGCTTTCAACTTGTTCTTCTCTTGGTTCGCTCTCGCCAACTTGTGGTTGACTTTCAGCATCATCATCGACTTGCTCCCTGCCAACATCAAGGGTGCCAACCTCGTCTTCTTCCACTGGTTCCACCTCGTCCTCAAGTACATCTACCTCGGCTTTTTGGCGATGCAGTTCATCCTCGCTCTCGGCAACCGACCCAAGTCTGAGCGTGTCGCGTACACTGCTTCTTTCTATGTGTTCTCGATCCTCTCGGTCTACCTCATCTTCTCTTCCCTCTGGTTGACTGCTTCTTCTTTCATCGTGAGTAGTGCTTCTATGTGATTTTGTGACGTGGGTACTGATGATGTTTCTACAGAGCCTTGAATCCGACATTGCCCGCCACAACTACAAGAACACTCTTGAGGCTCTCAAGGGCATGTTCGAGACCCCCATTGGCCCCCTCACCGCTGCCATCGTCTCCACCGTCGGAATCTACCTCATCGGCTCCATCCTCTACCTCGACCCCTGGCACATGTTCCACTCCTTCGTCCAATACTTTGTCCTCGCCCCCTGCTTCACTAACATCCTCAACGTCTACGCCTTCTGCAACTTGCACGACGTTTCGTGGGGCACCAAGGGCAGCGACACCGTCGATATCCTCCCCTCCGTCAAGTCCAAGGCTTCTTTGGGATCCAACGAAGTCGTCGTTGAGGAGGCCACCAACACGCAGGAGGACATCGACCATTTCTTCAAGGAGACTGTCGTCCGTGCCCTCGCCAAGGTCGAGGAAGTCCAGACGATCGAGAAGCCCACCATGGAAGATGACAACAAGACCTTCCGAACCCACCTCGTCGGTGCTTGGCTCATCACCAACGCCCTCCTCGCGCTCGCCATCGGCAACATTGGCGGATGGATCAATGTTAATGACCCCAAGATCACCGCCGAGCAGATCCACAAGTTCACCATTGCTGGCAATGATCGCCGCAATATGTACTTTGCGTTTTTGCTTTATGCCACGTTCATTTTGTCGATGGTGCGATTCCTTGGCTCCGTCTTCTATTGGGTTAGGCACTACCTCTTTGCGTTGTGCCGCAAGAACTGAAGCTGTGCTTGTTCCCGCTGCATAATGTTTCTGTATCGTATACCCGAAATATACCTCATAAAACCAATTTTTTGAAAAAGTGAGATATTTTTAGAAGAGCGTAAGGCTGAGAAAGAAGAGAGGAATTAAAGTTCTAAGTGAACCAGAGGCGGCGCAGTCGATGCAATTTGGCGCCCAAGTGAGAAAGCTGACATAAGCGATCAGCACACGTGATACCCATTTTCCAGGCTGCAAGGGTCGCGCGCCTCGATGACTGTGGTGAATCTTGGCTTGTTGCTGACCGTTTCTGTCTTTTCTTTCTCTTTCTGCCTTTGCAGAAAACAAGACTCTGGGCTGTATGATTACTTACCAGCGCTGTATTCATGCAAAGCAATTCTCTCGCCAACTGGGATGGTAGTCTGACAAGAGCAAAACAACTCCAAGGACACGAGAAGACCACAACGAAGCGCGACGGTCCCAATGGACTCATTACAGACGGAGTTGGGGGTGGAGGCTCTGGAACGGTCTCCGTGCGTTCGGTTGCATGCTGTTGAGAGAACCCAGTTGACCGCTTTGATATCGAACAGACTGGCAGTACATTCGTGGGGTTGTCATCTGGCCATGATTCAGGGAAACAAACAGTACGTTCCGTTGTCTTGTTTCTGGTCGATTTCTGACATAAAGCAGGGACAATTTTTGCCTGTTCACGCGTCTAAAGAGACACAGAAGCCACAAGAATCTTCCGCCAGAAAGCCAGATCCCGCTATGCAGCAGGGGTCCCATAATGAGGGAGCTGGGAGGCAGGCTGCGACCAGACCCAATGTGGTGAAGGTTGTAAACGGCACACAGCTCCAGGTGAGTGGTCTATTGAACTTACTTCATTATTCCTGACCGATATACCGTCCTCAGGTAGCAACTATAACCTCAGACACATCCTCGATATCAAGAGCGGTAGATCAATCGTTGTCTATCTGAAGGAAAGAAATTAACGCGTTTGATAGAAACAAGTATCACATATAACCAAGAACACTTCTGCGTCCAATACGAAACTTCACGGCCCTGTTCAACATATTTCCAGGCCCAGTCACGCTGCGCCCGATCGAAACACCGCCCAAGTCAAGACTGCACTCGCTGTAAAGGCATTCTGATTTATCGGGTAGTGTTTAAACTGATTCGATGTCTAGAGCACAAGCACGGCTCGTATCAAGCCACGGCCACCGTCGTCTAACGCGACTTCCAGTTCCAATGCGGGTCAGACGGCCTCAAGAATCGCACCGAGGCCGTCGTTGGCGAATGCGACTGCCATGCCTGTTCACAAGGTGCCACAAGTTCATAAACCCCCAGCCGTGAGTCCTGTCATCATCCGATTCTGGCATGCGTCGAACATCTCTTCAGACGACTCCGTTGCCTAAAGCGAAACCGGCACATCCTCCAACAGCATCCGCAAAGGATGCCACCGCGTCGACTAGTTTACAAAAACCCAGCGCATTGGAAAGAAACTTCACGACTGCTTCAAGTTCCAAGTCATCCCGGGCTCCTGCTGCAGAGGTTATATCAGTGCATAGCTTCGATGCGGATGGGGAGTCGATTCGTGACGATAGCAGCGACATTGTCGTTCTTGCTGGGCCCTCTCGTCCACCGGTCCCGCCCCAACGTCCTGTCGAAACTGTTGATAACTTGTTCACGCCATCACCCTCTCCCGACCGACCTCCACCAAGGAAGAAGCGGAAGATCACGATCTCACATGTCGAGGTCCCTCGTCTGTCCGCTGCCCGGCGCAGTGTATACAGGCCCATCTCTTCTCTGAAGCTCAAGCGCAGACCTAAACCCCAAACTAGACCAGTAAACGGCGGGACGGTACATAACGACTTGCGCGAGGCGCTCGCGAATGCTTGGAGCTCCAACGAGAAGGACCCTTACCCTTATCGGCTGCCGCAGTCATCGACGTCTGTTTCGTCTGGCGTTAGTGAAGAGATTCCTATTGCATCCACCTCCCTTCCCCGTGCACCAAAGAGAAAGCCAGGACGACCGCCAAAGCCGAAAGAGCCTTTACCTCAGGCAGACCATTCGTATCATCATCATGCGCCGGGATCATCCAAGTATAAGCTTCCTTCTCAACCCAGACCAAGCTCAAACGCAAATGTTGTCTGGTCAAGCGCGTCTCAAACTGGCCAGTTCAGCAAACCTGGGCCCGCCACAAGCAGCGCCAATGGACATGCGCGGCCCCTTGCCCCTCCTCCGTTTGCTCCACGAAAATCATCCAGCCAGACTAATGTCGCGACACCTTCAACCCAATTGGACGAATCTACGCCAGCCCCAGACAATGCACAAAACCGGTCGCGGACAGTGAGGCGGGTTACGTGCAACTATCTTGTCTCCCCCGAACCGCCCGTCTCTCCTCTCGCCGCCATCCTCAACACGCGAAACTCAACATCCATCCCGCTGACTTTGGAAGGTGCCATCAACATGGTCATTGCAGGAGACAAAGATATGGTTTATCATGATAGACCAGGTCCACTGTTGGTCCCTCAATTTCCAGACGAAGAATCTGAGTTTACCGTGCACCATATACGAGATGAGCCGATGCAACGGCCTCAAATCAAACTGCCGCCAGTCGAACCACCGGCACCGTCCACGTCTCCTCTGGTCGACTTGTCGGAACAGTACAGGCGACAGAAACTGGTGAATCGAAGGAAGCGGAAGGCTGAGCAGCAGCGTCAGGCCCGAGAGGGTACATCGTCGCAGCTGGTGGATGAACGATTTCAGAATGCCACTTCGGAGGCGAGCTATGCTGACGAGAGTATTTATTCCTCGCCGCCGCGGCCCTCGCTCAAAGCACTCGGAAAGCGCAAGGCTATTGGTCCAACGACGCCTCAGCAACCACCGCCGACCCCTACCCACTCGCGTTCAATGTTGCAGATCAATTCGACTGCTATCAACGCCTTCCTCCACGAGACTAACGGGCTTTCTGAAACCCCGCAAAACACGGGTCCGTATCGCAACGCTGCAGCGCCCGAAGTTCTACTCTCCTCCATCATCAGTCCTTCCGCGTTCGTGGACGATAGTCCTCAACGACAACCGACGGTTGATACCGCTTCATTCTTCAACATCAACGGCGACGCGCGACAACTTGAACCGTCCGTCTCGGTATCGGTTTCGAGAGACGAGTCTCCTGCACGAACTCGTGATCAAACAGCGCGCGCGACTTCGACGGCGTATGAGATCAATTTTGAAGCTGCGACGTCGGTTTTGTCGTCTTATGAGTCGTGGCAGATGGAGATGGACATGGGTGGACAGGGGACGTACCAGTTGACCACGATTAACCCGCTTTTGTTGGGTACTGCTGCTGGGACGGTTGTTGGGCTTGGAGGAGGGGAGGATGGACATGGGGGTCTTGATGTCGTTGGTGGAGGGATTGATGTTGTGGGAGGAGTGGAGATGGGGGTGGATATGTATGAAGTGGAGATGCGGGGAGAGCTGGCGGATGATCCGATGGGTATTAGGTCGTTTGAGCCTGCTCTTGAGGCTGAGATGGTGGCTGAGATGATGGTGCCGTCGTCGCCTTCGTCTTCATCGTCATCGTCATCTTCGTCGAGCTCGAGCTCGAGTTCGAGTGGGAGGAGGAGGAGGAGGAAGGATGGAGAGGGCTCGACGACAAAGGAGGAAGAGGAGAGGCAAAAGCAACAATCGCGTCAACCGGGGTCTCCTTCGCCGGAGCCTTACGAATCGCCTATCGAGATTCCTTCGGATTCAGACGAGAGTTGGAATGGGGATGGATATGTTCCTCGTGCCACGTCTGTTACTGGTCGGAAGGGGAAACGCACCACTCGTTCGCCGAGTCGGGCAGCGGCGGATAATACGTCCCGCGAGCAGCAAGATCAGCCAGCCGCACCGAAGCGTGCACCAATAAGGTCGCAGTGGGCTCGCGGTGGTCCGGCAGAGTACTGCCATCAGTGCCGAACGAAGAGCGACAGGCTTAAGATGAGGTGCACAACGTGCACCAAACTGTATTGCAATCGGTGTATTGCCAACCGGTGCGTCTCTCAGTAGTTTCAGGTCATGGTTCAACCGACTCATCCACTTGCCCTGCCAGGTATCCCGAGATGACGTTTGGCCCCCAGTTCGATGCGGAGAACCCGTGTCCTACCTGCGCGAACAAGTGCAATTGCGACGTGTGCTGCCGGAAGAGGGGTGATGTCTTCATCAGTGCGAAGAAGCCCGGTACGGTATCTGGGGCGCGAGCGGGGCCCCGAAGCAAGCATCTCCCTTCGAGAGAGAAGAAGAAGGCCCGGGCTGTCTCGTCGTCGCAGGGCGTGTATCCGGGTGCTCCATCTTCGTCGCGAGCCACAAAACCTCCGCTGCCCGCTGTAGTAGCCTTCCCCAAACCCAACCATATGATCTCTGGAAACGTCTCCTTCTGGGCTCCGATATACGGATTCGACGGGAAACGACTGGCCAATGGGTTCATCGGCGATGAAGACCAGCACGATCCTTCAGCTATCTTTGCGCAACGGGACGACTACAGCCTACCGCACCACGCGGGGGAAGGTTACCTCAAGCGCAGGATATTCGTTGGTGACTTGTGCAAGAGTTGGAAGATGGGGAGGGGTGTGAAGGTTGTCGTTTTGGATGCGGATGAGGATTCGTTGAGTAATTTTCCGAGGCCGAAGACGAGGGAGAGTAGGGTTTATGTTGGGAGGAGGGCGCCGCTGTATTATCGGGCGCCGCCGAAGTACCCGCACGTCGAGGAGGAGGATGGGGTTGAGGTTGAGACTGTGGATGTGGATGTGCGAGAGGAGCCGGGTGGTCCGTCTCTCCCTGCAATGGCAGGGGAGCCCAGTGGAACCGCGACGTCGGCGTCGGCGGGAACAGCGGTGGCGGTAGACCAGGACCAGGCGCGCACGACGGCTGATGACGCGGACCAGTGGCAGTTACCTCCTTCCCCTCTTTCATCTTTAACTGATTTAGAGAGCGATACTGAAGGTGATTAATTTTTTTTTCCAACGCTGTTTATTCCCCCTCGTTATTAGTCGATTTTTAATGCTTATTGCTGTGTAGGTCGTGCAGTTGTGGGACTACATGGACAAGGGAATCGTCATGATCTTCCTCGCGATCCTCTTCGTGAAAAACGCGAACCACCGCAGAGCGTAGATGATATTCTGGCTTCAGGTGGGACTGTCAGCCTTAATGAAGCGGATGTTATGCGGGCTGTTAGGTTGGCGCTGGGGATGTTTGGCGGTGGCGGTGGAGGAGGCAAGGCATGAGGGGGGCACGAGGCGGGTCGTGATCACGGCGAAGAAGTGAAGGGTTATGGAGTGGGTGATGGTGAAGAAGTGGTACAGGAGTCAACGGTGATTCCCGATCCCGAAGGAAAGAAAGGACAAGATGGGTCGATGACAGTGGCGACGATGGGCCTCGTGGTGGGAGATGGTTTGGAGAAGGAAGACACCACGGTGGATGTTGACAGGCTTGGGGAAGCGAGCCTGATTAGGGAGGATGGGCGGGAGATGTCTGCTTCTTGAATCTGAAGTTTGTGAATCCATTCATCTCCTTCTCGTTCTTGATTTCTTCTACTCAAAAGGATGACCGGCATATATTGATTGGATTCACGAACATCCCTCCCCTGACATTACGGTCACTCAAAACATTTCCTATTTAGACATTCGACTCCTTTCATTATCACCTTTTTTTTTTTTCATCAACTTGTTCACATCCGTCTCTTCTCGTCCCATTTCAATAGTATCCTTTCTAGCATCGAAACATTCCATCAAAACTCGCCTTTTGGCACTCTTATGGTTATTTTAGATCCGGTTCATTCTTACAGTATTCGTATACGTATGGCTTGCTCAGTAATTTTGTACGTGACTTCTTTTTATTTTATTTCTTGGTTTCTTCTAGGTTTTGGCGTGTGATGACAGGCTCCGCTACGCGACAACGATGGGCATCGTACACACGCCTTCGTGACGCCAAGCCTCAGCGCATAAGCGCCCAGTCCTGAAATCTGATGGCGAGGATTCTAATTTGTGATGGCCTTGAACTGCCGGCAAAGTCCACTCAAGCGGAAGAGTAGTAGTGTTTGTCTGTGTACTTTTGTAGGTACATTCTGCATTCTACAACGCTTGAGTAATGTGTTCTTGCAATGGGATTGTGCTGCACAGTTTTGGTATTAGATTAGACTGGCCCCGGAGAACGTGTGTGTATTATTATGTAGAGGGGTCGGGGCTATGGAACAGGAGTCGAAGGATTAGGAGCCTGGGCGACTGGGAGTGAGACTAGTGAAACACGATCGATTCGGATTCCGCGACTCACTAAAACTCAGTCAGAAGTCCGAGTCGTATAAAAGCGTGCGTTCTCCCCGTTCGAGCGGTTTCAAGCGTCCACCCTTTCACCCCATCAACCAACCACTACCACTATACTCGTAGTACTGTCACGATGTCCAACGTCTGGTTCTACGAGCCCTACTACGATTTTGATCGTTTCATCGATGATATCCTTACGAACAACCCGCGTACGACGTCGGGTGAGCGTCAGCTCCAGCACCGCAGTGCGGATAAAGGCGGGGCTGTTATGAGGCCTATGAAGCCCAGGTACGCATGCGTTTTCTCTCCTCTCTCTGCCTTCCCCCCTTGGATTCCTCTACCCCATGCCCTCCCATCTCAGCTCCCTTCTCACCAACTGCATAATACTAATCACAACTCCAGAATGGATTTGCACGAAGACTCCAAAAACAACGTCGTAACCGCCACCTTTGAGCTGCCCGGTCTCAAAAAAGACGACGTGAACATCGACGTGAACGATGGCCGGCTCACTGTTTCGGCTGAAGCCAAGACATCTTCAGAGAGGGATGAAGGCGGGTATGCGATTAGGGAGCGGTCGAGTGGAAAGTTGTCGAGGACGTTGCAGTTGCCTGCTGGTATCCAGGTGCGTAACTATATTACTTTGTACTACTGGTTTGGTACTGGTTATTGAGGGATTGAACTGATGGGTTGTGGTGGTTATAGGATAAAGACATCAAGGCTAGCTTGAACGATGGGATTCTGACGGTTACCTTTCCCAAGTCGGCGGCTGAGATGCCTCCCAAGAAGATTACTATCTCTTAAATCAGAAACCTCATTGTAAAACTACTTTGCCATGTAGACATGTACTAGTAGAGCCTCTCTCTATGCAATTGAGCCATTTGTATAGCTTATATAGCCTGAGTGATATTCGTAATGTTGGAAGAGGGACTGACAACGCGATCCCCGTTTCCTCATCATGATCACTGCCAGGTAGCTAAGCGCCCAGAGATAAGATAAGATCTCGCAATGTGACTGTGAGAGTTAGGTAGGTACACGACCACGTGAATCCCGCGCCTGGCGGAACCCTGGCCAAATGACTTCTCGGCATCGTCGTTCCCTTCCCATCATCATCCCAATATTTCGTGTCGCGTCGTCGTCACCATCCACACATACGCGCCCCTCGTCGTGCACGCACCCAGTCATCCACTCTAGAATCTCCTCTTCCGTTCAAGCGCACACGTCGTCCAACCATCTCCAGTCCTCCGAGGCTGAACTCTCTCCCTACGCTGGACGTGAACTTCCCCCACCTCTAAATACCTTCCTAATCCAAATCCAACTCATCCGACACTAAAACCCGTCCAGGTTTTTTAGTGAGCCACCGACGATGGACTTCCTAACAACCGACTGGCTCGACGAATCTGACGAGTCCGACCTCGCGAACGACCACGGCCCTCGGGACGACGAGATCCAAGTGCGGTGGCAGAGCTCCCAAGCGTGTCCGGCATTGAAATCGTTGCTCGTCAATGCTGGTGGTGGTGGTGGTCGAGCAGGTGGTGGGGATGGTGATAAAGCAAGTGGTAGTGGTGGTAGTGGCGATGGTGATAAACGCAAGAATGCGTTTCGAGGACCGAATGGGAGTCCGAGGAAGAGTTTGTCCACTGGTAGTGAGTAAATCCCATCTTCTAAATCACCGTTCAGGTCTCCTTTGGAATTCAAAGACTTCCTTTTGCGTTCTTTCTTCCTTTTGGGTCCTCGTTTTGTGTACCAAGTTTTTCTGATGATGACTCTCCATCGTAATGTCTACAGGTATATTTGGCTCAGCGATAGCAGGCCCGTCGTCTCTGCTATGGGGCGGAGAACCCCAAACAAGACAGGGCAACACCTCGGCACCACGACGACCACGGGCACTAGCAGCGATCTCCAGGCGGGATATTTATAATTCTTCCACCACGACTACGACAAGCTCAGGATCAAACGCAAACGCAAACGCAAACGCAAACTCAAACTCAAACTCTTCCTCATCATCATCATCATCAGACTCCCTCGCCAACTTCATCCAAGCACTCCAAAACGTCAAAGCTCAAGTCGACGAGAACCTACATTCCAAAAACTTGGAATATGCAGCGGCGGCGGCGGCGGGGAAAGGATTGGGGAGGACGGGGAAGGTGGCGAAGAAGCCACTTTCCAGGGTCGGGCGGCACGGTCACGGTGGCACAAATGTGCATGCGCATTTGACCGCGGCTGGACAGCCCTACCCGTTGACGAGGAGGAGGACGGTGACTGTGGACCCAGTGCTAGGGAGGGCAGCGGATGTGAAGGGAAAAGGGAGGGCTTTGGGTACCGATCGCACCGTGAGGGAACGAACGCGATCCTCAAGACCTCCCTCGCTGATGGACATCGACGACGATCCATACTGTGTACAGGAAACCGTGAGGGGTGCGGAGTCCGAGCTGGTGGACGCGGATGGGATGCCGCCACCCGCTCTGCCACCCGAGAGCGATGTCGAGGATGCGGTTATGGCCGACGCGCCGCCACCACCACTACCACCACAGACTCGATCCTTCTCCCGGTCGCACTCGACGCCGCATGTGGACGGTGGGACGGCCGTGAGGCCTTTGTGGGCGCAGCAGAAGCCTGGTATCACGTCGAGAACGACGACGAATTCGGCTGGTCCGGTTTCTTCAATCTCGAGCGACTCGACTGCTGCGATTTCAACTGTTACTACGGCTGCGACCGCGATCGCGACTACGGCTACGACGACGACCGGTGTGACTGTGAAACCTTCAACAACGCGTCTCGCACCCCCTGCTCAGAATGCACGTCCCAAGTCGCCCGTTAACGGCGCTCCTGCTCTTCCACCCTCCCAACACCAACAGCAGCAGAATCAACAGCAGAATCGACGCCCACCGGTATTGGGTATGCGTCGTGTGCATACCTTCTCTTCTTCCACTACGACGACGTCTGGCGCGAATACAAACGGGGCAGTTGGTGCGCCAAATGCAAGTCAGTCGCGTCTTGGAGTAGGAATGGGGAGTCAGTCCCGGTATGCAGCTCCTTCGCACGGGCAGCAGTTGCCCACTAAACAGAGGGGGTTTAAACCGCCTTTGTTGAATCGTGCTTCGACGACGACGACCACGACGGCGATGACGACGGGTATTAGGGCCATGGGAGCGACGACGGGTGCTACCACCGCCACGAGCGCGGCGAGTTCAGCTTTCAAACGGACTTGGTCGAGTGGTTCGACGTCTACCAACTCCTCGTCTGCATCTGGATCTGCGCTATCGGGTACGACGTCTGGATCCGCCGCCTCCACCTCCTCCCCGTCGAATACTAGTAGGACGTCGTCCTTCGTGCATCCAGGCCCGACGAGTTCGCAGACGAGTAGTAGTGAAGGTGATTCGCCTCATCCCCACCGCCGAGTTGGGAGTGGGGGTGGGAGTGGTGTTGGCGGGATGAGGGCGAATGTGAATGCGAGGAGGGCGGTGCCCAAGACTGGGTTCTGTAACCCTCGAATTGAAGATCAAGAGGAACACGAGGGTAGGGCAGTAGATGAACACGAGGATAAGGACCCCGCCGCCGCCGCCGCCGACGAGGACGACGATTTTCGAATGCTCTCAGACGACCCTAACGATTCTTCCTATGGAGACCTTATCGATTTCCCGTTTGAGGAGGAGGCGTTGGAGGAGGTTATGAAGATGTATGATTAGGGGCTTGGGACTCGCCGGTGTTTCGGTTGGTGGGTGGGTTGAAGGTTGGCGTTAAGGGTTTGGTGGATGAGGAGGGAAGAGCGTTGGGTGTTCGCTGGGTGACCGGTGACCCTTGGGAGGGGCGGAGAGAAGAAACCCCAAGGCTACATACCATCTCGTTTATTCGACTATGTGCTACTATGTACAAAGTCAAGTTCAAAATCCCGCACATACATGCATTCGAACTTACTTACCATCACACATATTGCGGAGTTAACTTTATTCGTATCTCGTTTCGGTTCGGTCGTCTTTTTTTGTACTGTATAAGTCTAATTTCAACGTGTTTATGGACCGGATAGACCCTAGGTGTACAATAGAGCATAGGTGTACATACACAGGCTAAGCGCTAAGCGGCGAGCGCTCGCTTCGAGAACCTGTGCACAGTGCAGTATATACCTCGCAGTGTGTTCCACGGAACGAGCGGACGTTGCGTTCATTCGTTCAAGCTGCCAAGTCGATGGGGCCTCTTCTGCCTCCTGCAAGAATAGACCGTATAGTACATCAGCCTCTTATCATCTTTAGGCTTCAAGCTTCAGCCCTTAGCCCCTCAAGGTCTCCTGAGCCCTGACCCGCTTAGCTTAACTTTCGTTGAATGCAATCGCATCTGTTCGAACTCCCGGTGACGATGGGCAAAAAGCTTGAGCGATGTATGTGACGATGTGACGATGTGGGTGAATTCTATACTATACAAAACCAAAAACAAAAACAAACGTCCGAGTGTCCGAAGAGGTGTGAAAGAAGGATTGCAATGTCCAAGAAGTTGTTGAAAAAAGCGCTGCGATGTCCAAGGGGTTGAAAAAGCGCTGCAATGTCCGAAGAGTTGAAGGGGTTGCAAATGAAAAAAGGGATTGCGAAGAGATCTACAGTACAAAAGGCCCGAATATGAAAATAAATAAAGTCCAAGGAGAAAGAGGGAAGGAAGAGCCGTGCTAATGAATGGATTGCTGTGTAAAAGAGGGGATGGTGCGTGACAGAAAAGATTGGGATGGTGCGTAACAAGGAAAAGAGGACGGGAGATCTAATAATACAGACAAGGGCGTGTAGAATAGATAGAAAGGAAAGGGAATGCTGTGAAAGAGGAATTACCACCAAGCAAGTGACCAGGGAACTACCACCAACTAAGAAATGACGAGGGAATTACCACCAAGAAAGGAGAGACCTGGGACTCCACCAAGAACTTGAAGAGGGGGGTGTCGCCGAGCAAGTCGACCCGTGTTCTGTACTCGCTGACGAGGTGGCCTCCTCCGATGAACTTGCAGTTGCCTCGTTACCGTTACCGTTCCACTTAGACATCGACGTTGTTGAACTTGGGGCCGCCTCAGACGCCGCCTGGGCCTCGGTACCGTTATCGTTATTCCGCTCAGACGAAGGTGACCTGGTATTATAATCGCACCCATTAAGGAAGAAAGCCAAGAGACCAAAAAAAGAAACAGATAGTCCTGTTGAGTACCCGGAATAGTCTAGATTAATAGTAGTAGAGGGGGCGCCTACAGCTTGGGAATGATGCGCTCGCGGGGGATGGGCGAGGTGTTGTATTTGGCCTGTGTTTGTGTTGTGGTGTCAGTCAGTCGTGTTCGGGATGGGGAGAGGGAAGGGAAGGGAGAGGGATGGAGTAGGGAAGGAAAGGACACGCACCATCTCGTTCTCTTTCCTCTCGAAGCCGCATTTCTTGTAGAACGCTATAGGGACGTTGTTAACGGAGACCCACGAACCAAATGAAAGAGAAAGGGGCCACTTACGAACGTTATCATCACTACAATTCAAAATCGTCTTATAACACCCCATACCCTCACTAATCCCCGTCAAAGCATGTATAACCCTCAGACCCAACTTCTTCCCCTGCATGCTCTTGCTCACAGCGATATCCTCAATGTGTCCCACCTTGCCGAGGTTGCGCAGGAACTTGCGCTCGATGAAGACGCAGCCGACGGCGACGATCTGGTCGGTCGGTTTGTGCACGATGACGAGAGTGTAGTAGGTGTCGGGGCAGGCGCGTTGCGCGTCGAAGGTGGCTTGGTAGCCGGCGAACCCGGGATCGGGGGCCTGGGTCAGCACGGAGAGGATAGGGATGTGTGAGCGGTGGTAGTCGGTGCGGGCCAGGGGGCGCATCTGGATACATAGGGACGTGGTTAGTTGAAGGGAGGAGAGGAAAGGAGGGAAGAGGACGTACGTGGAGGTCGGGAGGGAGCTCTGCTTTGACATGGGCTGGGATGAGGTTGGGGTCGAACAACAGCTGCAGAGCGGAATCCGGCGTGAACTTGGTCATCTTCCTCTTCTAAAATCGTCCTCGTCAACAACACCTCAAAGACAACTTCCAATACACCCTAACTAGGTTATGGGTGGAGGACAGGTGGGTGGGCGGTGGGTTGGTTGGTGGCGGTTTGAATGAAAGCCAAGCGAGGCTTGCTGGCTGACGTCCATTTAGCTGCTGGGTTGGAGCCCTGGCGCTGATACCGCTGATGGGGCACAGCCACCCCGCGGCGGTGTTGTTGAACGTGCGTCTCGATCTGGACTCTCTTGACGCTGTTGCTGACGTTGTTGTTGTCAATGACCAACCACAGCATTGACGCTGAGGGTGTCCTCGACCGGTGAAACACCAATATCGGCTGCGCTGGGGAATACCAAATGGAATCCGTGAAACCCGTCTTTTTGTGTGCTTGTGGTTCTCGTAAATGGCTCGTGGTGATGGTGTAGCGTTGCGGCTGGGTGAGGGAAAGGGTATCTGGTAAGCCTTTTCTCGATGCCATAGCTGAAAACGACTAAACCTGTTGTTAGAGCTCTAGTATTCAATCGCCTACAAGGCCTGCCTCTCTAGCCCCAGTCAACCGCTGAACACACACCCACAGCAGATCGATTTTCTAGAAATCGACGCGATGACATCGCGACCATCGTGGACATTCCGCAAAGCCATGGAACAGAAAACGAGGGAATAGAGAGATATCCATCTCCAACACTCCTACATCCTACTTCTTATACATACGAAAACTCCGCTTTTCGAGGGCTTCCAAACGGCAAGGATCCCATAACAGTTCAGAACCACGAGGTCGCGTTGTCCACATGACAGATTCAGAGGAGCATCTGCCGGTTGAGTAGACTTAGTCGAGTTCGGAGCGAGGGTTCTGAGGGAATACATGTGTATTCAATCATTCATTCGTTGTTCGGTTATTCAGTCGTTCTCTTGGGATAGGCTTTTTTACCTTTCTTTTTTCAACGTGATTCTTTGGTGCGTGTGTCCGTTTTCTTTGCTTGTTCTTGAACTTGACAGGGTGTTCACTGATTACAATCTCTAATACTTAGATGAAAAGACTGGCCTCGAAAGCTCGAGCTTGACGGTTCATACCTTTCCTCTGAGTCAAGGATTCGGCTACCCGTCTTCAACACTACGGGACTTGGATCCGACTCCGGTGATTTAATTCGCTGAGTCTCCAACTGGAATCAGCCCTCCCGAGTCCTCGGTCCTCCGACTTGGGCCTGGGAGGTGCTACTTGCATTCGGCCCTGGACGACGCGAATGAATGCCTCTTTGTCCCGCAGTCATTAAGGCGCCTGGCAAATAGCCGTCATCCCTCTCGAAGGAGTCCCCAGCAGGTGCGGACGCTCCTTCAAAGCTTCAAGGCTATATCTGTTCGTGATCTGACCGCTGTCCGAGTCTAGCCTAGTTGATGCAGTCGAGCTTCTAGCTTCTATATTAATATTCAAGAAACGAGATTTACTTCGCTTCAAGCGTGTATGGGGCTTTTTCGCCTCCGGGAGGAAAGTAGGATATCCGATAACGTCCTGTTCAACTCTGACTTGGGAATGCACTAGTAATCAGTACTCTGCTCTTCGGTTGGGAGACCTTTTAGCGATTCCAGCTACAAGCCCTGTCGGTGGAGCGCGGCGCAGAACTCAAAGATCCACTACACCTTCGCCATACATAAAGCACAAACCACTCTGCGGGTAAATTACGACAACACGTCTGGCAGTACCAGCCCTGGTGAAGCGACCCCTTTCTGTCTTTCTGTCCTGCCCTGCCATGCCCAGATGTGACGTGCTTGAATGCCGTGGACGCCGCAACACCCTCTCTTCCGTTACATCCGTTGTCTGTCCCCGTCCTGTCCATTGTCTGCCTCCGCCTTGTCCGTCCTGTCTGCCTCCGATGTCGTCTGGCTCCGCCCTGTCCGTTGTCCCGTTGTCTGGACCCTCATCCCTCAGCCATGACATGAGTCGTGACACTCCGTGACAGACACCGGCGGTTAAGCGCCCTTCAACAAGCTTCAGCCTGTTCAGCGGGCCGTACCGTAAGTATTATGTCGTATGTATCACTGACATACTACTAGTATAGTGTGCTACGTATTACTTGCGTAGTGTCGTCGTCGATCCACAGGCTCCATCATGGTGAAGGTGCGTAATCATCGCATGGACACAGTGGCGACAGTGATCCACCCCCTGTCCGAGACGCTAATGGACTTTTTCATAGAGACTCTGTGGGGTAATAAGGCACCCTTCAAGTAATCAAGTGTAATTACAACCCTAGACATGCCAGTCGCGAGCGGTAATTTGGCGAGCGGTAACCTGGAGACTGACTTTTCCCTGAATAATGACACAACTTGAATAATATCCTACAGGGCGACATATTGGATGGCACGGCACTCAGTGGGGCTCTCCAGCCGGCAACAGGCGCCCGTCGTCGCCACATGTCGTCGCCACCTGTACGTGCCTGACTTACCTGTCGTTCCAAACGAACTTACCTTTCCGAATAAACTGGCTATAGTAAGTATATGTACTCCGAACAAACGAATCCGAATTTACTTACTTTACTATTCAAAGACATTTTTAGATCCTGCCAGTGTCCGACTGTCATTGTCATACTAGTAAGGAGTACGTGATCCTCTCTAACCGGATGGATATCACTCACTTGGACATTTTCAATTGCGTATGTAACTTTACCATGACTGAATATTGAATGAGCTGGCTGACGCGCTGACGATTGACTTGCTAGGTGACTTACCCGTCAAACACTCAGGTCACCCCCCTGACTTGACTGTATAGGAAGCACTTGGAACCGACACCCGCAATCTATGCCTAAGTCCAATTCGAGGATGAACGTCCGTCCCATTCGATTCGCGCTAATAATTCAATAATTCCTAGAATGGCGAATGGGCTACCTGCCACTGCCATAGGAGCCACTTGTGTGGCTCCCTCCCGATTTGCAGCAGGTATGCGGTATACGGCATACGTCGCCGGTATGTGGTAAATGACGGGATACGGTATATGATGGTATGTATGTATTTACTTATGGACTTGTGGGCTTTCGGTGCCCTCCTTCCAGGTTGGCACCAGTGATCAGAGCTAACTAAAACGTTTATTACAGTGCTCGATCTGGTTTACGAGGGTCTTTCTTTCCCTCCGTCTCCCTCTCTTCTCTTTCCTGTCGTCCCCGTCCCTCTCTGGTTTGCACCCTCTTCGCGGCTCCGCCCCTCTCCCGTCTCCATTGCGCTCTCGCCTTTCCCGTCTCCACCCCTCCCTCCCTCCTCTCCGGGTCCATGTCGCCAGTCCTCCTCCCCGCTCTAATGGACACCTTGTACCAATTCCCGCTCCTCCCAGCTGTAGCAGCCTCGGGTGTACTATGGTACTGGTTCAACTCCTCCAGTACTCTCAAATCCACCAGTACTGTCGGTGCTCTTCGTAGGAAAAGACTACCTGGACCAAGGCGACTCCCGATTATCGGCAATGTGCTGCAGATGCCGCAGGAGAGGCCGTGGCTGGTTTTTGCGGAATGGGCTAAACGATATGGTGAGTTCATGATCATGCTATCTCGTTGTGGAAGCTTTGATTTGCTATCCCTCGTCGTGGAATCTTATCTCGTCGAGGGTTCTTGCTATTTCGTCGTCGTTTCCTGAATTCTTTTCTTTCATACGAGACCAATTCCGCTGACCCCGCTTAAACTTTCTTTGGATCGGAACGACCTAGGCAATTTATTCCAAGTCGATATCCTCGGTCAACCACTCGTCGTGATCAACTCGGCCAAGACGGCGCTCGACCTCTTGGACAAAAAGTCAGCTACGAACTCGAATAGGCCGCACTTCGTTATGGCTGGTGAACTGTCAGTATACACCCTTTGCTTTCCTCAAGGACCACTCAGGCCCCACGGCTAACTACTCTTTATTATTATCATTGTTCTCACTTAACCCATCTCTCTAGAAGCGGCTATGGAACGATGTTCCCAATCATGCCTTATGGCGAAAGCTGGCGGAGACACCGCCGTGTTGTGGCCCAAGATTTTGCCCAGGGCGTGGTAGGACGCTACGCCCCCCTGCAGGAGAAAGAAACGAGACTCTTGTTCAGAAACGTCCTTGCCAACCCGGAGAATCTCAAGTCAGAGATCGCCTTGTAAGTCCCCTTGACTTTCTCTGCCTTCGACGTTCTGGCTACAACTATTATGGGGAATGCTCACTCACACTCGGCTGTGTAATGGTTTAATAAGACGAGTAGGCATTATCATCATCCGTATCACCTACGGCTACTACATCCAATCAAAAGACGACCCAATCCTCACCACTCCCCTCCAAGCGATGCACAACTTTAGTATCGCGACGACACCAGGGAACTTTATTGTTGATTTTCTACCTTTTCGTGAGTTTTAGCCTTGTCTTCAGTCAGCCTCCTTTGAAGATTGTGGTTATCGTGTTAACGTTTATTAATATGACGATCCCAATTGAAATTCAGTGAAGCACATACCGGAGTGGATGCCAGGTTCGCGGTTCCACCGAATTGCGAGGGAGTGGAGGGAAGTTGTGCGGGTGGCCACGTTCACCCCGTATGAATGGTGTAAACGTAACTTGGTGAGTCGTTCGCTTGTTTTCAAATCGTTTCGTTTCGACGAGAGCTGAACGATGGCTACTATTATGATTCCAGGAAACGGGAAAGACTCTGATGCCCAACTTATGCGGAAACTTATTATCAAGCGGGACGCTTAGCGCCGAAGAAGAGCGGACACTCGCATTTGCATCTTCCAGTGTCATGGGTGGCGGTCTCGATTCGGTCAGTCGGTCACCCAGTTCAAGTTCGCGAGGCAGCGTCCCAACCAACACTCGTGCTAACATCCATTGAAAAAAATCCAGAACGTATCCAGCGCCCTATCGTTCTTCATGGCCATGATCCTCAATCCTAACGTGCAACGGAAAGCGCAAGCAGAGATAGACGCGGTCGTTGGTTCGGATCGGCTCCCGTCTATTTCTGATCGTGCTTCGTTACCGTATGTGCGGAGTGTTATGACTGAGGTTTTGCGTTGGGCGCCTGCTTTTCCTATGGGTGCGTTAGCTATAAACACTTGAAGTGAGATCTGGAGTAAGGCGCTGACTTTATTTCGTTCCAGGCATTGCACACAGCTCGACAGAAGACGACGTTTATGAAGGATATCATATCCCCAAAGGCGCGATCCTCATGCCAAACGTTTGGTGAGCCACCAGCTTAACTTGCTCATTACATTTCTATCGCATTTCTAACGTCCACCCTCTATACAACTGTAAACTCCAGGAACATGCTGCGCGACCCCGAAGTCTACCAAAACCCTATGGAATTCAGGCCAGAGCGCTACGGCAATTCGGATGCGGAGATGACCAAGGTCAATGATCTTGTGTTTGGGTTTGGAAGGAGGGTGTGTCCGGGGATGCATCTAGCTGAGAACACGCTGTTCTCTATCATCGCTACTTCCCTCGCTACGTGTACGGTCCTCCCTGCGCTTGATGAGTCTGGGAACCCGGTTCTTCCAGACCCGTTGGATTACACGACTGGGACTATTAGGTACGTGCTAGTCTTACCGCTGAGTGTCCCGTGTTTTTCCATTCAACTTCTTTCACCCTTCTTCTCCACCCCTTCTTCCTTTCATCGTCTCGTCTTCCATTGCACCCTCTCCGTCCTTCTGAGATTCCCAATTCATTCGCCAACTGTTTTCTGACTGACTGATTGACTGACTCTTCCTTTTCTTGACTTGTAGCTTCCCAAGCCCGTTCCCATATCGCCTGTTACCCCGTTCTGAAAAGGCGGTGACAATGCTGGCTGAGATTAGCACCGACCCAGAATAATCTGCTTCGCTATTATTGCCATACGTGTATTATTGTCATACGTGAGATCTTGAGAAGGGGTACGTTACTTGTTAGGGGGCTTTGATTAATTACTTCTTTCCTTATCTTGTCGACTTGTTCCCCGTTTCTTCGCCGCTCAGTGTACTTGCACCAAATTCTAACTTATTCCCTCTTGTTAATTCGACTTGGGCTCCAGGCAATCTGTAGTTTCATTCATTGACCATGATGGGAGGCTGGCAGTAACTCTGGTGTGGTTTTGGAGGGTGACAGGGATTCCAGGCTCCAGTGACTGGCGGCGTTCAGGTGGCACCTCCAGTGTGAATCAGTGGTGTCCTAAATCTCGGTTTTGCATCTCGCCGCACAAGGAACGACCTTAACTGCGCCTCTCCTCCCTCCTGTCTACACGCGGATGGAGCTTCCTTTAGGACGGGCGTCCATTAATTCCTGCGCTTCGATCGCTCTTCCACTCTTATCCCTCTCCCAGTGGCGCTCTACTCTCCTTTTTGACACTCGATGTCATTGTAAAGTATCAGTACTATGGAACTTCCGCTGGAGCCCGTAGTAAGTATCCCAGGGTGCCTTTCAGAATGCCGAATGAAGTATGGTGGTCTAATGGAAGTCACGGCTGGAGTGTGGAACTTGTTGGAGGGGATGGGATGGAACAAGAAGTCAAAAACTTTCTTCCCGCTTATTTCCTCGAACACGCCCAGGGTAGACTGATCGCCGCAGTGACAGTTACAGTGACAACCCTCGAAATAACGCGGACGAGGGGGAGAACGGCGGTGGTTGCGCAGTTACTCTTCGAATTCCTGGGTGCTTCTTGTGTCTCGACTCACGAGTCTGGGAGTCTTTGGGGAGCCCGGGATGGTGTCACGAAAGGGTATATGAGGCGGGGTTCTCATTATGTGTCTGTGAGACCCACGCTTTCCAGTGTACCCGGCAGAGAGAGAGACTGCTGCTGCTTTACTGTGACGAAGCTTTTACATTCGTGATTCTGGAGAGTTAACATGGCTGAAGTGGCAAGTCCATATCTTTTCTTAGTTCAGCATAGTGAACTGATTAGGCGCTCAATAAACAGCCTCGGAAAACGTCTATTCTCGTCATTGGTGGCGGGCCTGCGGGGAGCAGTGCTGCCGCCTTGCTTGCTCGTGAGGGGCATGAAGTTACCCTCCTCGAGAGTGCCAAGTTTCCCAGGTCTGTAGGCAATTATAACCCTTCAGCTTCCTTCTAGATGGCTGACGACACTCACAGGTATCATATAGGAGAGTCAATGCTGCCGTCCTTGGGGAACTACCTGGATTTCATTGGCGTGAAAGAGGAGTTTGTGAAGCACGGTTTCTTGGTCAAGGTATTTGGCTCTTTCAGTCGGAAGTGGATTCGGTGTTGTGATGCTTTTGGTAGCCTGGCGCGTGCTTCAAGTTGGTCCCAAAGCTTCGCGAGAGCTGTAAGTCATCGTATCGTTATCACGGGTCGTAGTCACTCAAAGACTGCTAGACACGGACTTTCGCGCTCTCGGTCCAGACTACCAGACATGGAACGTTGTGAGTACAGATTCAGAGTGCCCTTTCCTCCTTCAGCCCCTAACTGCCGCCCTAGATTCGTTCCGAGATGGATGATATCCTCTTCCGCCACGCTAAGGCCCAAGGAGCTCAGACGTTCGATGAAACAAGAGTGGAGAACATCGAGTTCGAAGGGGATCCCAAGAGTTCTCGTCCCGTGGCTGCCAACTGGACTCGGAAAGATGGAACCTCGGGGAAGATTGAGTTCGACTGGCTCATTGACGCTTCAGGACGGGCGGGTCTCATGTCGACGAGGTATCTCAACAACCGGAAGATGAGGGAGAATCTGCGGAACGTTGCTGTTTGGGGCTATTGGAAAGACTGCAAGCGGTATGGCGAGGGTACCAAGAAGGCCAACTCTGCGTGGTTCGAAGCGTTAACTGGTAAGTAGTATCCCTGAGCTCACCCGTTTCGTACGTGGCTAACTTTGAACTCAGACGAGACAGGCTGGGCATGGGTTATCCCTCTCCACAATGGCACGACTTCGATTGGCATTGTCATGCACATCACCAACTCGAACAAGAAGAAGAGTCAGCTGGGTCCAGACGGGAAGAAGTTGTCACTGACTGAACACTATCTGGACCAGCTTCAATACGTCCCAGGTGTTCGCGAACTCATTGGAGAGAATGGAAGTTTCATCCCAGACAGCACCCGTAGCGCATCAGACTTCAGTTATTCAGCTAAACGGTACTCGGGAGACCATTTCCGCATAATTGGAGATGCAGCTAGTGAGTTCTGAAGAGAGGGTTTTTGAGTTTATGGTGGTATCTGACAGCGGCGTTTGTTCGCTTGTAACAGACTTTGTGGACCCGTTCTTCTCCTCTGGGGTCCACATCGCAATGACTGGTGGTTTATCAGCTGCCTTGACTATCTGTGCGTCTATCAAGGGGGAGGTAAGCGAGCCTATGGCCCAGGCATGGCATGACGCCAAAGTCGGAATCTCGCATACACGGTGAGTGCTCGAGCTTCGTGCTCCTTGGAGCTGAAAAATCGTCGAACTGACGGTAGTGCATCACTGAAGATTCCTTTTTGTCGTTCTGGGAGCCTATAAGCAAATGCATCTGCAGAAAGAACTGGTGTTGGGCGATGTCAGCGTGGAAAACTTTGACGGTGCATTCGAGATGTTCAGACCAGGTGGGCACTCTTCCCTCATTCATATCCTCTACATGCTGATACAGAAGCTCTCGCTGCCGATGATAGTCATCTTCGGCTTAGCCGACAGTCAGAAAAAGCTTACGGACGCCACCGTCCGCGATGTCATGGAAGTTTGCGAAAGGTACTTTGACCCGTTAGTGGACGAAGATAAGGTCCTCCATACCCGGCAGCGATATGGGGCGGAGCTCATGAAATTCAGCTCGCCACCCCTCGGAAAAGATAACATTATAAAGCTTGTTGGGGACGATCCTGATAGTGAGCGCGTTCTGAGAAAATTTGACGCAATAAAGATTTTCAGCGAGGAAGTGGAGGCTGCGTATATGGGGAAGAGCGCTGTTCTAGGTTACAGGGCGAGGGTCGAGCGAGGTAATTTGGGACTGAACAGAAGTCTTCCCGACAATGATACCCCTGATGTGTTAGTTGCAGTTCCATAGGCATTATTGACGTAGACATAGACTGTATACCCGTTTGATTCAAGGAGACTATCTTGGCACGCGTCTAAATAAGCGCCCAATCACTTGGCTTCCTATTACGGAATGCGGGGCAAAAGCGGGGCCAGTTTCTGACAGATAAGGATGGTACGCCCGTCTTCTGCTGTCGAGGGACCGGCGAAGCCCCACCCTTCTCGTTAGCTCCTGCCTTACAGGTGCAGACTGTTCTCAGGACGGGCCACTGGGAATGCCAGACGTCCATATGCCCATCGAGTTTAATTGCATATCCACTTGCTCTTTGATACTTACTTTTAGAGCTCGACGTTGGCCGCGAGGTTCGCCCCTGACATGGGAGGGAAAGGGAGGTGACAAGTGGTCTATCCGACCGGATAAAGTGGTTGCTATATTGTCACGGGCCCTAATTGCTAAGTATCCCAGTGGAACGGGATCTATCTCCACATAGACACACTCAGATGCTATGGCTTACTCCGGTCAGAGTCCAGGGGTGTCTGAGATTCGGTAAATAAATTTCTCGGCGCTAACCTAGGGGACGACGACGATGTAAGTTGGCTGTGGTATAGAGGGGAACCTTTTGCTTGCCACACACCTTGCCAGCCTTCATTTGCTCAAGCCCCGCAGTAACACTCGCAAGGCCCTTGGGAAACACTTTGATGGGACCAACCGTGAGCTTTTTCTGAGCCAATAGCTCAGACACCATCTTGCTATACCCTACCGCGGCCTCATATCGTTCTGGGCATGCGGGATAGTAAAGCGGTTGCTGTGTCTCCTGAGTACAGTACCATTTGTCAAACTGAGAGTGAAGCCCGAGAGCGATGCGTTGCGTGGAACGTACCTCTCCCCACATGGAGTACACCCAAACAAGCTCGGTCTCTACTCCCTTTTTTCGGCTTTTGTAGGGAAGAACCGTCGCTATCTTGCCGCCTTCTTCGCTCAGACAGTGGCTGACCTGGGCGGGAGTCATGCCTTGGCTGACACAATCCACGGCAAGTTTCAGTCGTCCTTCAGTCGCGGCATATATCCTTCGCGGGGTGAACGAGTCCGAGTAATCGAAAACCAAGTCAGCCCCGCTTGCCTTCACTTGGTGAAAGTGGGAAGGAGATGAGGTGGATATCACGCGTAGTCCAGCGAGTTTTGCCAGTTGGATAGCGTAGTACCCTGTAACCGATGTTCCAGACCACACCAGAATCTCGTTTGGTGGGACACTTTGGCCATCAGCGGCGGTGGTGGTTGGAGGTGGAAGTTTTAGCAAATCGAAAAGACTCAAACATGCTGCATAGATAGAAACACCGAGTTGAGCACCTTCCTCGAAAGATACGTGATCAGGGAGGTCGACGAGAAGTTTCGAGTCTGTGCACAAATACTGTGCGAAGGACCCGTTCGGTGTTGTATCTGGAGGAGTAGTTGAAATCAGGGATCAACGGCACCGTCTCCAGGAGCTTGTACTCACTTCCTCGAACACATCCGGCAACTCGCTGACCTATTTCGCGACCACGCACTCCCGCTCCAAGCGAGACTACGACGCCGGAGAAATCCGCTCCCATGACATTCCCTGCCCTCGGATGGCTAGATAGTGTCTTCCCTATCGAAAGGCTATAAATATGCCAGGTGCGACGAGAAGCGTTTGTGGTCACCTACAGTCAGTATGGTTTCCAGCAGCTGCTTTGACCTCGATCAGGACCTCTGAAGGTCCTGGACGGGGTATCTCTACTGTTTGGAGCTCGAAAGTTCCGTCGCCAGTGGTGACAAGAGCCCGCATGGTTTCTTGACCTCTGCCGAGCATAGTCTAGAAATCGAGTCAAAGATCAGTTGAGCTAGGGTGAGACGCGCCTATATGCGGGAAACTGCTGCTTGCTTCAGTACCCGGTTTAAGTTTCCCAAGAGGTTAATAGGATTGCATATGGGAATTCTATCGTTGAGTTGGAGATGCAGCTAAGACTTACAGTAATGTCCGTCCATGATATCAGTCCCGTCACATAATTAGAAGCCAGAGAAGAAGAAGAAGTGCGTCATTTCTCGTTTCACCAGGGGCGGGAGAAGGAGAAGCACAGATACCCAAAATTTGGTTGGATACAATCTCTGAGCCGTTAGCCCCGGAGGGGGTATCTGTAAGGAAACCAGAATATCAATCATGTCCCAGTGCAACAGTCAAGTTAGTCTTCGAAGAAGGGTGCAGATCCATTGACTGGAAGAACTTCAACCGAATGGGCGCGTCGAAAAGGGCAGGAATCGGGTGGGAAAATCGGGCATCATCATTCGCACGGGGACATTATCTGGAAGTCGGGGCTGGAGGTTTTAGAAACCTTTTACTTCTCAACCACCATCACTCGGGAATCCAACATACTCTTGTCGTGGCAATTCAAGGATCGGACTTAAGACTATGAGCTTCGAGGAAGTATAATCATGCTGGACCCAGCTGTGGGATTGCTTGTACCTTGACCACTCCTAGCCCTTCACGATGCCAGTTCCAACGAGACCCATAGCGATTGTACGTGTTTTAGCCTTTTTACCGGAGTAGACATTGAAGCGTTTATAGGTGGGCGTGTCTGTCGAGCTCCCGAGTGGGGTTTACTCCGATGAAAACCTAGACCACCATTCTTTCTTTGAATTTTTGTTCAACTCTGGGAATGCATATGAAGAGCTACCCACCAATCGTTTTAATTTCGAAGCGTAAGTCCATCCCACCGGGAAATTAGACCAACTGACGGGTTTTCTGAGAATAGATGGAAAGGGAATGCTTTGGGGACTATCCATGCGCAGAAAGGTGCATTCTTGAAAGATGTCGATTTGTTCGACAACGTCGAGTTCGGGATTTCTTCAACGGATGCACGAGCGATGGCACCAGCCACGCGCAAACTTCTTGAAAACAGCTTTCTAGCTCTCCTTGACTCTGGGATTGACTACCGATCGAAAAGAGTCGGTGTTTATACAGCAGGAACCAGTATCGAGCTGACCAACGTCGCGGAACCGGTTGGTTTTTGGCTTCTTGACCACGGATAGGATGTGAAAGTTAATTTCTGTCCCTGAAGGATGAATTAGAAGTTCGCGGTTCCTTTGCAGGATATCCAAGCATGATTGCGAACCGGATCTCGTGTCACCTGGATTTACTGGGACCGTCGATCCCTGTTGATACTGCATGCAGCTCTACATTGTCCGCGATGCATCTCGCAATCCAAGGCCTAATACATGATGATTGCGAGGCGGCTATCGTAGGCGGGTGTCAATTGAATCACCGGTGAGATCAATTTCAATCGACGCAGTCCCATCAGCTCAATCTCTCATCTTTAGTCTCGTGGACTGGATTACCTATAGCCAAGGGTCGCTTCTCTCCAGGGAAGGGAAGTGTAAGCCATTCGATATCTCTGCAGATGGGTAAGTGTCAGTTGAGCCTGTTGCATGGAATTGCAGGCTAACATGGAGTCCATTAGATTCTCAAGAGCTGAGGGCTGTGTGGTGGTCGTGATAAAACCGTTAGAAGATGCCCTTCGCGACCACGACCACATATATGGCACTGTATGCAGATTCCTTACATCAACAACATTGATTAACTTCGGAACATAGATTCTAGGGTCTTCTATCAATTCTTCGGGTTCTGGAGCGCCTCCAGGGGCCCCTGTCGCCGAGTCCCAACGCGCTGCGATGATAGAAGCCTTCCAGAGGGCGGGAAGAAGCCCGCGCGATGTCGACTTCGTCGAGCTACATGCCACGGGTAGATTGCTTTGAAGCTCGTGCACCGTTTGTCATCTTGATCATTTTTCTTAGGGACAGCCAAAGGCGATCCAACGGAAGCAAACTGGGTGGGGGAGGCTTTCCAGCGCGAGAGGGAGCTCCTGGTCGGCAGCGTGAAAGGAAATATAGGGTCTGTTCACCATTCCGTCAGATTTAGACGATCATACACTCAAGTCGCATTTCAGTCATACTGAAGTTACAGCGTTCCTTGCTTCGTTGTCCAAGGTCCTTTCAATATTCGAGAGGAGAACCATACCGCCTACAGTTAACATCAAAACCTTGAATCCCGCCATACGATGGTACACCTTTCGCATGAGGGTTCCTCTCCTTCCAGAGCCACTGCCCACTCCCTCCGGTCGCAAGCCGTTGATCTCCATCGCAGCTTCGGGTATTGGAGGGTCCAATGGCCACGTTGTCCTGGAATCTGCACCGCCCAGACCCAGGCTATCGCGCTTCCCGAGCAAGGTTGATTTACCGACCCTCCTCGTTTGTGGAGGGCTTTCTAACAGGACCGCAACCGAAATCAGTAACGATTTGCGGGAGAGGGCTGTCAACAAGCATGCCAATCTAGCTGGGTTGTCTACTGTCCTTGGCCGTAGATCGAGACAAATGACGTGGCGGTCATTCGCGGTTGTACATCCTAGTGACCCGCCCCCATCCTTCTCACCACCTCAACTCGTTCCCCGACATGCACTCCCTATCGCGATGGTGTTTTCTGGTCAAGGTACCCAACACGTAGACAGTATGTTCATCCTGTGCATTGTGCCATACAAACGTCACTAACGCTGCGTCAGTGGGGCGCCAGCTCTTTGGGACGTTCCCAGCCTTCCGACAAAGCGTTCTTGAGATGGACGAAGTGTTCCGCCGTATCACAAACTCGTCGATCATCCACGATCACCATCTCTTCGCCGGGCAGTCCACCAACCTTCCAGAACCGTGGCCAATATCTCTCGTCCTACCAGCAATATGTATCTTCCAGATCGCGCTATTCGACTTGCTCGTCAGCCTTGGTGTCAAGCCGAACCTGTTGATAGGACACTCAGCTGGAGAAACGGCGGTTATCTATGCCTCAGGTGCCGCTCCTAAGGCTATGGCGGTCGAGTTAGCAATCATTCGGGGCCAGTGCTTCACCCCGATTGAGGAGATGGGAGGAGCTATGGCTGCTGTCTCGTGCACTCTAGACGACGTTCAAGAGCTTATAGACCAATCACGACGAACTGACGAAGTCGTTGACGTGGCCTGTTACAACTCACCCACCGCTGTGGCCATCGCGGGCCACGAACGAGCCGTCGATGACGTTGTCAGGGCTGCGGGTGAACTGGGGATTTTCGCTAGGAAGATCCGTACAAGAGTACCTATCCACTCGTCGATGATGGAGGCATGTTGGGAACGGTACCTCGAGGCGCTGGACCAACTCTTCAAGCGATATCCCGGAGTTCGCAAACCATGCATTCCAACCTATTCCACGCTGACAGGCAAGCTCGTTGACGCTTACGAATGCGACTACTTTTGGAGAAGCACGCGAGACCCTGTTCTCTTTGTCGACGCTGTTACCAACCTGACTACAGACCACCCTACTGCTACCTTCCTTGAGATAGGTTCTCACCCGGTCCTTGGATCCTACATCTCCTCGATGGCACTCGATTCCCTGGTCCTACCAACAGTTTATCGCCCCAAACGAGGGGCATCGACGACGGAGCACGTTGACTTCTTGACAGTGCTTGGTCGTTTGTCTGTAGCGGGCCATAACTGCGTCGACTTCACTCTGCTAAACAGTTGTGCTTGTTATGAAGCGCAAGTGGATCTGCCCAAGTATCCTTTTGCGAAGAAACGGTGGCCACTCTACCCAGACACGCAAGGCTATCACAAGCAAATATCGCCTAGGAATGGGCCTCTCAATCACCAGTACCTCAGGTTCAACAAAGATACGCACCCCAGCCTTGCGGACCATATCATCAGGGGAGAACCCATTATGCCTGCTGCTGGATTCCTTGAGATGGTTTGTATTTAAAGAAGTTGATCGCTCCCTACCATATCCACTGATAACCCTTGTTGATAGGCAATTGAATTTGGAGCAACGACGCTACTCAAGGTCGATTTCCGCGGGATCTTGTCCTTGTCCTCAGAAACACCGGTACCTATCGCCATTAATCTTGATGGAGCACACTGGACCGTGAAAACCACGGGCACCACAAGTTCAGGACTCGATAATGCTGAACGGCTTCATGCAGAGGGACTACTGTCTTTCGAAACCCCACCTTCTCTTCCCGACGTCGACCTCTCTGAGATCAGGAAGCGGTGTACCAACCACGTCCACTCCGGATTCTACTCCTCCCTGTCCTATTTCTCGTCATATGGGCCTCACTTCCAACGCGTCACGAACGTTTACTTTGGTTTCAAGGAAGCCTTGGTTTCGGTTGTGGGCCTGGATACAAATCTGGCAGAGTAAGTCACCGATTGAGCTTCAGCACCTTCAATGATCTGACGACTGTGTGTCCGTGCGTCTCACAGGGAAGGGGCCTATTTCCTTCATCCCGCTGTCCTCGATGCTTGTCTGCAGGTGACCGCATACAAGGCCTTTCATGGAGACTACAATCCCAGTGCATACTATCTTCCTTCGAAGATTGACGCTTTCGTCGTTCATCAGAAGCCTCGACGCCATTACTTCCCGTACCATGTTTACGCGCATATTCAGTTGAAGGAGTGGGTTCCAGGTAAGCTAAATCGTTCCGACGACGACAAAAGGCTCATTCTCCTCCAGACGGTATTGTCTACGATATTGGTGTATTCAACGACTCAGGTACTCGGCTATGCACCTTTCAAGGTCTTAAAGTCGCCAAGCATCGTATTCAGCCTATCGCCGAACCTTCCGTCGCATTCGAGATTGCTGCTCAGCTGGTTTGCGACCGTCAAGGGGCACCCATAACCTCTGGACCGGGCTTCCTCCTACCATCCCCGCCGTCTAATGTGCCGAATGGTTACCCACAGCCGAATGGTATAGAGAAACCGCACGAGGCATCAACCCCACCGTTATCGACTCAGAAGCCGTGTGAGGCCCTGTACAAGCCTGAGTCCTCGTTCACTTTCAGTTATCGCTATGGGGAAGAAGCCGACCTTCAATGGGAGCTGAGCGGGCTGAACATCTTCCAGACCCTCGACGTCTGGATAATAACGAAGGAGGGTCGTGACGGAGGGGCAGCGAGGGGGTTAGTGGGTGCTTTGAGGAAGGAATGTTCGTCGTGGACGATCAGGCTGGTTCAATACCCGGAAAATTTCGACGAAGAAGCGAGGCTCAAGGCACTTTCAACCATTCCCATCTGGATGCAAGACGAGACCGACTTTTGGATCTCGGAGAATGGTGATATCTCCGTCCCTCGAATCACGCCTATCAGCTTCAAACCCAATGGGAAAGGTCCAGACCGGGGGATAAGGAAGGAAGATAAGGATTTACTGCCCTTGGACCACATCGGCGTACGACTCGAGGCGTCGTCGAAGCAAGGACAGGTCGTAGGTTTTGTTGGGCAGGTCACAGACGCCAACTGGACAACGTTCAATGTCGGATCTTTCGTCGTCGGAATACTCAACGAGAAGCCCAAGGAGAACATTGTAATCGATGTCGACGATGTCCACCATCTACCTGAATGCCTGCATTCCTCGATTCAAATCGTCCCCCACCTTGTTCCCGGGTTTATCTCTGCCCTCTTGGCGCCTGGGATCAGCGCGTTCTGCCGCGGGAACCGCCTGGTTCGCCAACGGATTCTTTTGACCCACAGTGGCTCTCTGGCAAGCCACGCCATTATTGAGGTGTATCGACAGTTGCACCTTGCAGTTTCAACCGTCCCTAACGATGCCAGTCTCCTCGAACTCGCGAATATCAAGGGTGCCCCTTTCGACCTCATCATCACCGAGTACGAAGACAAACCGCACCAGCAAGTTCTTCGTTCCCTGCTGCAGAAAAATGGCCGGCTGTACAACTGGACTCAAGAGTTGCAAGATACCCTCACGAAAGATCCCTCACTCATCAATGACGCTCTCCAGCATGTCTTTAGTCTGATGGAAGATCGCATTGGCGACATCGACCTCCCCCACGGCCTCCTGGACCACACGATATCTCCAGTTCATCATTCCATACCCGCCAGTGACGAGTTAGTTCGGGAACAGCCTCGATCAGCCAAGTTTGACTCCATGAAGAGCTACATTCTCCTTGGAGGTGTAGGAACCCTTGGTGCACATCTGGCCTTGTTCATGTATCAGGTGCGTTAGTTCTCAATCATTCGGGTAAGATACTTATAGTCCTTTAGCGAGGTGCCCGTAATATCGTTCTTACTTCTCGTTCTGGGGAAGCGGGTCTGGAGAAAAACGAAAACTTAGTTGTCCGGCGGATGTTCGAGTACTTGAAGGGACGCGAAGATCTCCATATCCGCTTGGTCGCTGTCGATGCGACGGATCCGGGCGCAATGGCCGAGTTCATGCTGGACGTCAGTCCTGCTGTGGGTGGGTGCGTTGTGTTGTCGGGGGTCTTGAGGGATCGACACTTCCAGAACCTCACCGAAGAAGACTTTTCCATCGTTTATCGGTCCAAGCTGGGAGTATTGGAGGCCATGAATCGTTATCTCGATGTCGAGGCTTTGGATTTCGTCGTCGCCTTCTCTTCTGTCACTGGCCTTATAGGCATCCCAGGCCAGACCAACTACAATGCGTAAGTGCAAGGCTGGTATTTCCGATTGATTATTGAATAATACCTATGTTTCTAGGGCGAACGCTGCATTGGAAGAAGAGGTCGCCAAGTTCCGTAACGGCTTTGCATTCGTATGCCCTGGAATCCTGGATTCGACGATGATGTTGGCTGGTGCAGACGAAAGGAAGGCCGTCAAACTTCGTCGTCTCACGGAGTGGTCGATCAGCGCGGAAGGTACGGTTCCATCCCAACCAACGCTGAACGCAAACTCATGTGACCAGATATGATCCCATGGTTCGAAGATGCCATCTGCAAATTCCAAAGCGGCCACAGATTCTCTCGGTACATCCCAACCCTGGATTGGAAAGTAATCGAGAAGGCTGTAGGAATGCCTCGCATAGGCAAACATCTCGTCCCACCTGATGAAGTAGTCGCTGTTACGGAGGGACCTGCAACTGACGCGATTGCGGACATCATCTGCTCGGTATTGGGGGTAGCGAAATCCGACTTCTCAGCCGCTACTCCCCTCACGGCATATGGTATCGACTCTCTATCAGCGTCCAAGATCTCGTTCCGCCTACGCCCAATCCTTGAGGTCTCACAAATCCAGCTTCTCGCCAGCACCTGCTTGAATGATCTGCATAGGATGAAGCAGCAGGCGGCACGAGGGCGGCAGGCTCAATTGTTGCCCGTAGACCAGACGAAGAAAGGGCTGTCCAAACCCGAAACGATGCAGGGGTACGTGGAGCGATATCTTCCCCAGATCACACACGAAGTGCACCCCCTCGAAAATAATCGCCCTTCGAGCACGCTCCGCACCGTCATAGTGACTGGGACGACAGGCTCCTTAGGGAGTCACCTACTTCAACGTTTGGTGCAAGACGATACTGTGGAACGTATATTTGCTCTCAATCGACCTGGTTCTTCATCGTTGCTCGAACGCCAGCAACGGGGTTTCGATCGTCTAAGATTACCCAGCCACCTTCTCTCGTCACGCAAACTGATGCTCCTGGAAGTTGACTTTCTGAAAAACGACTATGGTTTGGACAATACCACGCTGTCTCTGGTGAGTAATGGACATCTTCCGTCGGTCTCCTCGAATGGATTCTGATGGTCTTTCAGATGGAATCATCGGTTACGGATATCGTACATAACGGTATGCTGAGAGTCATGTCTCTGGATCACGGATCACGAAGCTCTAAACTCATTTTTCGTTAGCATGGACCGTAGACTTCGTCCTTTCCCTGGAGGAGTACGAACCATTGCTTGTCGCGACTCGCAACCTGCTACAGTTCGCTCAGCGATGTAGTCTTGGCCCAGCTTTCACTTTTATCAGCACGACTGGAATATTCTGCAGTAAGTCTCCTCCACAGACCCACCTTCCCTCGATACTGACGGTTGCATAGATCGCCCGCGTCATACGCCGCTGCTCTCCGAACAACATCTGTGCGATCCCCATCCCGCTGTTGGCGCGGGATACCTGGAATCTAAATGGATTGCTGAGAGGATCGTTCAACTCACTGGGAAACGATGCGGTCTGAAGACGAGGGTGGTGCGAGCGGGAGTGCTAAGCGGGAGTGATCATCATGGGGCTTGGGATCCTTCCCACTGGGTACCTGCTTTGGTTCAGTCTGGAGTCTATTTGGGCTGCCTTCCTGAAGCCGAGAGTGTAAGTCGCTTATTCTCTTCTGTATGGCCAAATGCTCAACTCTCGTCGCAGTCGATATCGTGGATCCCTGTCGATCATGCAGCCAGTGCGATCGTGGAAACTCTCGTCACCAGCGCAGATTACATTCACATCGTCCATCCTCGACCTGTCCCTTGGAATGACATCATAAGGCCAGTCTCTAAAGCGCTGAATCTTTCGTTGGTGCCGTATCAGGAATGGCTCTCAAGACTCGAAAGCTCCATCTCTTTCCAGCGGGTCGAGAATGAGGACGAGAAAAGCAAAACGAGTCCTCAGTCTGCTTTGCGATTGTTACATTTCTTCCGGTTGGGGCTTGAGGAGGGTAGGAAGTCCGCCGTTGTGGGGCATGAAACAGAGAGTCTAGGGATGCTTCCGAAAGTCACTTTCGAAAAGGGAATGGCTTCTTGTAGGACGCTGCAACGGATTTGGGACTCGGGCTCTCAACTCAGCTCGAAGGATGCACGGAAGTGGATACAGTACTGGCGGAATGTTGGCGTCATATAGTGTTTGAGTATAGTTCAGGCGACCCGGGTTATCGGATACTAGGTAGCCATTGAGTTCAATGTCCTTACACATTTTACTGTAGCCTCTTTTTGTATATGTTACAGTGACATCTACTGTCTTCTCCACTGAAACGCGTCGCAAGCGAATGGGTCAGACGCTTCTACCGTAGAAGCGTTGAGTAGCCTAATGATATTCGGATGTGGCTAGCAGAGCTTACATAGACTGTTGAAGTTTGTTCACCCTGCAGCCTGGAACTTTTCCGATCCCAACTTCGCCAAAATTCGCGTTCCCTGTGATTGGACAAAGCACAGGTATTGTCAGGTTCTGGTACTTCACTGTGAACTTCACTGTTACAAGGATTTACGCAGTAAATGTTGATACGCATGTGTGGAGAATTTGAGTGTCGCCTACAATGTCAGCCTAGATATTGATTTCAGCCGGCTGACCCTGTATTCTCGGGTCCTAGGAGCTTTCAAGGTAAGCAGCTGAAGCTTCATGTCAGAAGCCGTAGTCTGATCAAGTCGCTACTGTCATCGCACCATACCTTGGCCACCCCCATCTTTCGGCCACTTTTCCAGATCTCCTCAAAGTCGGTCAATTTCTTTCAAAATTTCTGTAGATACGGCCTATCCTGTACGTATTAATGATGAAAGTGAGTTTTATTTGAGCGAAATCGAGGAGGAAGTGAGGTTTCTGGAGGAGGGGCAAATGTCACGCTTTGTCACGCCTGGCCGAAGGAGCCGCTGATAACAGGACGAAATTGTGGGAACATCTGGTCGATTTACGGTCTCCGACGCGTCTTCTGTGGACGAAAGCTCGGAGTTTCAATTATAGCCTTAGCGGCAGGCTAATGCCGGATGTGACATTTGTGACAGTGGCCGAAAGATGGGGGTGGCCGAGGTATGGTGCGATGACAGTAATGCTTCGGCTGTTGCTCGTCGGTAATCAAAGAGTGATTATCGTTGTTGGGATTGGCGCTTACCGCTCTGCTGATAGCCTGGGCCCTGAAGCCACTGTGATCCAATTCTTGGCCTTAGTGGTCCGAGTCGTGGTCCCTCGTGGATGGGTGCTAACCTCGAATGTCGTCAGGTCGTTTCTCCGTGATGGATCTCTCTTCAAAGTAGTCTTCCATCGTAGACTGGCGGACCTCGTGTCCTATTGATGCACAGAGCCCTGGCACGTCCTCGAGAGGTGTCTTCTGTGGCACTTTCACTTCTATGACTACCAGGTTCGTCCATCGCCATCTTCTTTCATTCCTCCTTCGAGAGCTGAGGAATACTAATAACTCATTAGCAGTCCGGTATCTTTGGATATTGGCGTCTATTCTTTGTCATTGAGGTTGGAGGTGGTCATTGCTTAGGGGTAAAAACGTACTTGGACCGAATTTTCGATCTTGCATGACATAACACATCGGAGCTGGCTGAGACAATCCTGAGCAACCCGAGGTCTACGACCAATAACCGACCGCCTTCCTTGAACTCTAACCCACCATCTGCACACAACTGTCGCGAAGAGCGAACACTAAACCAAACCAAAGACCAGAAGAGCAGAGCGGATGAGAGCGGAGAGCGAGATAGAGCGATGAGCGGCGAATGCAGATGAGTGCTGAAGCGGTGTATTGACGAAGAGGTCAAGCTGAGGAAATACAGAGGGATCTACCTAGCTTATATACCTATTCTACAGTCTACATAGCCGCGATGAGTCAAGGTGACGAACGGATGGCGAGACACAAAAGAACAATAAGGAGAGTCACAAGGCTGCGCGAAGGCTGCGCGAAGAACGAAGAAACAATAACGGAGTGAGTAACGAGGCAGTGCACAGAATGGAGAGAACATAAGACGTAGGGCGAAGGGCATAACGAGGCAGTGTTCCATGGGAGAAAGTGTCCGTGTCGAGAATAAGGGCAAAAATGAGAATAAAGAAAAGGTGATAAGAGCGATGAAAGCGATAAGATAAGATAAGGAAAAATAGGGGCTCGTACTTGCTGTTCACGACATTACCCCCCTTCTAAGCTTCATCGTCCTCAATGATCACTGGCAGGCGTCGTCCAAGCTCCCAGTCGAAGTCGGTAGGTGGTGTGTCCGTGAAGTTCTCAAGCGAGCGCCAAGGGAGAGAAGCGAAGGTGGTGGCTGAGATGCGGCGGGGTGCAGAGGGGTGACGTTGATGGAACTCCTTGACGGCGTCGGGGGCATGCTCCAAGTTCTCTTCTGGTTCCCAAGTATCCTCTGTCGATCTGTAGCCCTTCCAACTGACCAGGTACTCCAGCCTGCGGTTCTTCCCTCGTCCTTTCCAACGACTGTCGAGGATGTCGTGAACCTCGTATTCAAGCTCCCCCTCCAGTTCAACAGGCTCAGGCGGAGGTGGCAGAATGCCATTGACATCATTGCCTTTCCAGGGGGAGAGCTTGTCAACGTGGAACACAGGATGAATGCGGGAAAGGGATGGGGGAAGTTCAAGACGATAGTCGAGGTCGCCAATTCGTTCGATGATCTTGTAAGGGCCGAGTTGGAGGTCGCCAAGTTTCCGAGTAGGAACTTTGATCTGGATGTCCTTAGCGTTGAGCCAGACGTAGTCTCCAACCTTGAACTGGTGAGCTGATCGCTTGCCGGATTCGTACAAGTCCTTCTGTTGCGCTTTCTCAAGGCGTAAGGCGGCTTCGGCATCCTTGCGGACTTCTTGAAGCTGTTGGATGCGTTCATCGACGGGGCGGATGTCAGTTCGTTTACCGACAGGGATGTTGAAGTGAGGGATGTAGCCGTAGAGGACTTCAAAGGGTGATCGGTCGTGGGCAGAGTGGATTCGGGAGTTGATAACGAATTCGGCCATAGGAAGGTGTTTGTCCCAATCATCTTGTCGGCGGCTGACGTAGAGGCGGAGATACTTCTCGACTTCTTGGTTGGCTCGTTCAGTCTGTCCGTTGGCCTGAGGGTGATAGGCAGTGGTGAGGTTGGACTCGATACCTAGACGCTTGAGGAGGGTGCGCATGACCTTGGAGGCAAACTGAGGACCGCGATCGCTGATGAACCGGAGTGGGAGGCCGTGGAGGCGAAAGACTTCTCGGTAATAGATGTCGGCGACACCTTCGGTGGTGATGTCGGAAGTGCAGGGAAGGGCGTGGAGGAGCTTGCTGTAGTGGTCGACAAAGACGATGATGGCATCATGTCCATTGGCATCAGGAAGCTGGGTAATAAGGTCGACTCCAACGGTCTCCCAGGGGCCATCGGGTACCTCCAAGGGCTGAGTCGAGGCGCGGGGGTGCTGGGCGTGTTTCTTCCGGGCACAGATGTCGCAACCTTCCACATACTTCTTGACAAAGGCTCGCATGGTCGGCCACCAGTACTGTCGTTCAACTCGTTCGAGGGTTCCGTGTACGCCAGGATGTCCAGAGGTAGGATCGTCGTGGCACTGTTTGAGAACGTCGCGTCGAAGTTCATCGTCTGGGGGAACGTAGACTCGACCCTTGTAGTACACAAGGCCGTTATCCTCCTCCCATTCAGCGAGACCAGAGGTGAGACGACGGGGACCTGTCTTGCGGAGTTGGGCGAGTCCATCCAGGACCTGGGATTCTCGGGCGCTGGCCTGCCGGATACGGTCCTCCAAGGGGTTGACGACCATGCTCGAGGCGGCGAGCTTGGCAAACAGCTCGGGTTTGAGTACCACCTGTTGTTTGTTGTCCTCAGCGTCGGAGACCTGGTGAATATCGAGGCGGGAGAGGGCGTCGGCTTGGGTGTTGGATTTTCCAGGGCGATGGGTGAGCGAGAACCGGAAGCGGGAAAGGTAGAGGGCCCAACGAGCTTGTCGACGGCTGAGGTCTTGTGCGGTGCGCCAGTATTCGAGGTTGGAATGGTCGGTGACGATCTCGAATGGTTCGGGGAGTCCTTCCAGGAAGTGGCGCCAGTCCTTGAGAGCCTCGATAATGGCCAGCATCTCCCGGTCGTAGATCTCGTAGTTCCGTTCGGCGGGCTGCATGGAGGCGGACCGGAATGCAACGGGGTGCCAGAGGCCGTCGTCCTGCTTCTGGAGGAGGGCTCCTCCAGTGGCAAAGCCGGAGGCGTCGACTTCAATGCGAGTGGGGCGATCAGGGTCCCAGAGTGCCAGGATGGGGGCAGACGTGAAGGTGTTGCGGAGGGTGTCGAAAGCCTGCTGCTGAGGTTCGTTCCATTGCCAGGGGACGTTCTTCTTGGTGAGGTCATTGAGCGGCCGGGCGATGGTGGCGAAATCCTTGATGAAACGTCGGTAGAAGTTGGCGAACCCGAGGAAACCACGAACGGCGCGGAGGTTGCGGGGAACTGGCCAGTTGCGGACGGCTTCGACTTTGGCGGGGTCCATGCTGACTTCGCCCTCACGGATGATCAGCCCGAGGTATTCGATCTCCTGACGTTCGAACTCGCACTTCTCTGGCCGGAGATACAGATCGTGCTTCTTGAGGCGATGCAGAACTTCGTGTACAACTTGTCGGTGCTCGTCAAGTGTAGCCGTGAAGATAAGGATGTCGTCCAGATATACCGCAACCTTTCCTCCAGCAATGAGGTCCGAGAAGATCGAGTTCATGAGAGCTTGGAATGTCGCCGGGGAGTTGGTTAGGCCGAAGAACATGACAAGTGGTTCGTAGAGTCCCTGGTTGGTGGCAAACGCAGCCTTCCACTCATCTCCTTCCTTAATCCGGATGTTGTTGTAACCCCAGCGAACATCGAATTTCGTGAAGTACTTGGCACCGCGGAGTCGGTTGATGATGTCGGAGACGAGGGGGAGGGGGTAGCGGTTCTTGACGGTGATCTCGTTGAGCTTGCGGTAGTCCTGAACGAAGCGGAGCTTGCCATCCTTCTTCTTGACGAAGAAGACCGGGGAGGAGAGGGGAGACTTGGAGGGTCGAATGTACCCCTTCTTGAGATTCTCGTCGAGGAACCGATTAAGCTCTTCTTGCTCGTTCTGAGACATGGGGTAAACCTTGGTGCGCATGGTAGCCGGGGCTCCGGGGATCAGATCGATGGCGTGGTCCC